AAATGTACGAATCAAACTAGAAGCAGAGGTCAATGTGAAGTTCCACAAGCGGTACACAGAATTTCACAAACACCAGGAGTCAGGCCACATAAGTACTTACCGAGTTGAAGGCACGTAGCATTTGTGACGTGATATCCCCTTAGCCTTTGGCGGTGTGGCAGGGGTTGCAGCGACAGTGGTTACAGATCTTGCAGCGCCAGATGGCGACAAACGGACCGGAGTTGCAGTCAGAGCATCGCCAGGTAAGGATATTCCCGTTTGTTGCCTGTACAATGACGAAAACGTGACCCGAGCATTGGTTGGCCATTTTGATGCTATTTGCAGCCGATTAGCCTCGTCGCTTCTGCTGTCAGGTCTCATTCACTTACCAATTCCTGACGGGATCTTGAGTATATTAGACAAGGCAGTGCCAGCAACGGAGAATGGAGAGCACTGAAGCTGTTGCTGTTCAATTGCTGCGCAAGATAGCAATGGTCTGGTTGCCCGAGTATAGACTCGCAAAGGACAAAGTAAGACGAATTGGGAATTCGACGGAGTGACGTGATGGTCAAGGAAGAGGAGAATGGACTGGAAGAAGGAAGAGAGATTGTTGATGATGGATGAAAGACAAAGGGCAAGTGGGATGCGTCGCCATAGCTTTATATAGAGAAGCAGCTTTGAAAACGGACCAGCGCATGAGACATCTCCTTTGAGTGATGCGATGGGTGCGTTGCTTTGGTTGACCGTTGTTCAGAGAAGATCCCAACAGCTGTGCGAGGTCCAGACTAGAAGCAGCTTTGCAGAATGGAACTTCTCTTTCCGTCGGCTGATGCACGTACCCGATTACTGTCGACGGGTCATTAAATGGGTGGAGAAAGCGACAGAGAATGGAGTGATGGATAACAATCGACAGGGAAGACGTCGTGGTGAAGAAAGGCGAAGATCCAGCGAGAGGAGAATGGGATGGACCAAAAGAGAAGGGATTGGGGGGGGAGGGGGGAGGAGAAAGAACGAGGAGCAAGTGAGGAGAGCCGAGAAAATCGTCAGAAAGGGCATTACATTAAGTAGTGTTTGCGTGAAGACGTCTTGTCTCTACTTGGGGGAGAGCACCACCCATGGATGAGTACCGGGGCCCAAAAAGGCAAAAGAAAGAAAGCACACGACCACCTACATCAGTTGCGCGCTCCTAGCAAATCGCCTATATCCCAGCCAACCGCAAATCTGGGACCGAATAGCGCGACACCAGATGGGCCAGGAAGCCAGTAGTAGGAGATGGAAGTGATATATCGCCGTCGGTGGACCCAACCAAGTGGGTGCGGAAATGCAGGCGACAGCCGCTTTTCCCTTTTTCTTTTTCCTGCTTCTTTCTCCCTTCCCTTTTTCTCCTTCGCGCTCGCCCTTTAAGCTTTTGCCCCTAAAATTAGGATTTCCCCAGGGAGAAGCTGAGTGTCGACCCGGGAATGTCTGGATCTGGGCCCGATCCATGCGCTTCCGTTTGGGGGCTGAGCTGGATCCAGCCCTGTGGTGCGGTGGTGCTTGGGCTTGCAGATCAGATCCGACACTCTTTTTGACACCTGGTGGTGCTAGGTAGGTAGGTAGGTAGGTATATGTCTAGTAGGTAGTAGTATCATGATCGTGTCTTCATCATGACCGATCTGCTTTGTAGACACTAGACAGTTCCCACCAGATTGGATCAAAGGGGAAATGATAGACGATTCCCGATCATCTTGCTTGAATCAGTAGCTCATTTCGTCATCCCAGATTTTCAGGAACGTCATGTCCGGCCTATTTGGGAAAACCCGATCGTCTTAGTGTGCTTCGAGAACACCCCATCTCCGGCCTATCTGATCAGGATGCCCCCATTTGTTTGATCGCGTAAGTAGCCATCACCGAGCTGCTCCGACAAATCTTAATGAGGTGCCTCTCCTGTCATTTCGACTCCTCTCACGGCCCACGACAGGACGACCAGACATCGGCGTCCCGGTACAACCGATCCACCATCGCCAACAGGGATTCCCCGACCGGACAAACAACACCTTTCGGTCTTTGATTGATGAAGTGAGGCCAGGATCTGCATCCCGTCGTCCTTTCATACAAGCCCTCGTAGGTATCTTCTACCTGGTATCCCGGCACCCACCTCCATATGCACACCCTTGACTCTGCCTGCATCCCTCAAGGTACGATGCAGAGGAACGTTCCGGGCGTTGGAGGTAAAGAAGTCCCGGTCCAACTGAGGGTCTCTGCGGTCTCCTCAATTCTCTTTCTCTTTGCTGATCCTGGGCCGATCGCTCCGGGCATTTGCAGAAGACCCGCGGGCCCGCCAACCAGGTTCATTCCTGGGTGGCTGACTGGTTTCCAGCTACACAAGCTCCCTGGAAGGTTCTTTTTTTTATTTTTATTTTTATTTTTTTTTTGTCAGCCACTAGCTTTCGGAGTGGCACAGGATGCCAGAAATAGGAAGCTGGGATTGAATGAAGTCTGTCCGGTGTGACAGAAACGGGCCTGCCATTCCTGCAAGCACGTACTTTTGTCCGCTGCGGCTGGTCCCCTGTCAAACCAACGCCGCGGGCTAATTTTCTCACCCCTCAGACGACTGAGGCGAGGCCCGGAAGATAGCTGACCTGCGGAGAATCTTCCGCTCCCCCAAATTAGGTGGACGCGTCGATCCATCCAAAAGAGTCGCTGAGGGCCAGGGGTTTGCTCCACCAAGAGATGCTAATTGCTTAGGCACTTCTTCTAGTCTTCGACCCGGGGGCCACTAAGGAGTAGATCCAAATCGCCCCGGCAAATCACAGGCCCTCATTGCCCTTAGTTGACGTCTCTGGGGCGCTCGCATCCAGATTGACTAGAGGCCCGACTGTCAGTGGACTAAATGGGCACGCGGTGCGTCAAGTGCTCCGAGCTTCTCCTCCTTTGCTCTTTTCCAAGCATGACACACTGGCTTGCAACCCGGCCCAGCGCTTAGACCATTTTTTACGCACATGGCTGGCAGTTCTCTGTCGTGAGATGGTGGACGTTACATAACCTTCTTATGGCATCAGTCTGAGACAGCAGCTGTAGCCTGCCTGCAGATAGTGTCTGAGAAACGTCAAAGAGGCCACCTGAAGGGCGTGGCGGATGTAAAACACCCGAGTCGCGCAGCTGGTGCTCCACGGTTCATGGTTATCCCTGTCGGAGTGTCTGGGCCCCCTCCCCAGCGAGCAGCGAAGCTATAGGGTGGTATATCGCCGGATGGACAGTCTAGTCTCCAGTCTCACTGGCCTAGAGGGGACAGCGTCCGCTTTTCCCCTCAATTAGGCAATGGCGGATGGGACTTGGTTGAAACTCGAACATTTGGCTGCATGCTTCCCTGATCTACCGGGAGTGGCTCCCGGACGTATTTCTGGCCCGGTGCGCTTCAGTCCTTACTAGCGTTGCCCCTAAGACACTCCGTCTCCCTCCGTCTCCCATGGCGCTGGGGTCCGCTGACGCAAGGTACTTTTGGCTTCTCGATACGTCTTTTTGTTCCCTTCCCAAATCCCATTATCAAGGCCGTGCCGGATAAACCAGGGCCGGTGCTCTGCCAGCCCCCACTGGCATCAATTTTTCCACGAAGCCCATTTGTTCGGCGGCATGCACAATCTGCAATCCTTTTTGGTGGCGTCTGTAAACGAGCTGTTTGGGATTGATGGTCGACCTGGCCAGAACAACGGCATTCTTTCCCATGATTATGATATCACGTACAGAGTATAATTGGTCAAATCAATTGAAGCTTGCATGCCGGGGGTATCCCAGTGCTTCCGGAGACTGCCCTCAGCATCGGATGCTGTCCATCATTATCTCGGCTAACGGAAGGTACTGGTGTCAGGTGCGTGAGGATGTTGAATGTCTGTCGTCCACAAACGGATTCAACTTGTGCGCTCAACACTCGGCCTCATGCACACCGCTATTGTTGTTATTCAAACCTGAACACAGAGTACGCAGGGCCATATCCACTTGCTGATGCCGGGCAGTTGTCCGGCAGTTCCGCTGTACGACCCTGCTATAGCAAGGAATGGAGACAATGCAAGTTGTCATTCAGCCGACTCCCGTCAAGCCAAGCAGACATAGGCTAGATCATTTTCCGCCCCCAAGCTGGCAGAATGGATGCTGACAGTTCCATTTGGGCCAGGCATTTCGAAAGGGAATGGAAGTAAACAGACACAGCATCGGTAGATGTAACCAAAATTGTGATATTCAAAAAGCTAAACATGATACTACATTGAAATATACAGCAATGTCCGAGATGTTCTCTTGCATCAGTTCCACCGGCCGAGGCCGCAGGAAACTCGCCAAAAGACATGAATCCTAGAAAGTGATGCCTTCATTCCTCGGCCAATTTTGCACAGTACCACTACCGCTCCACGCCAAATGGCATAGAGAGATAGTGAACCGAACAAGACTGGACAATTAATCTCCCAACGCTCCGTTAAGAGCATCTTGTGGATTAGGTCGGGAGAAAAATCTCCTTCCCAACAAGATGCTCCTGCAGTACCCAGAGTGGACTGCATCGCTGGTGTAAAGTTGTGACGTGTTTTCTCAGCTCCCGTGCTGTTGCAAACCGATCGGCCTGAGCGCACCTACGCATAAAGCAGAAAACACAAGGGGAATGGCAGCCTCGATCCGACATGGTAATGGGACTTGGGCCCCGTCCTAATCAATTCGGGACAGTAGAGCTAGTCTTCATGATCGCAGAGTCCAGCTGGCTAGACTCTGCAGTTGTTGCTTGGTCACACCACATGGCTGATTTTAGCATCAGTCATAAGTTGGGGGTGATAAAGAAGGTATCCGGAGGTTATCATCACATAAGATGACGCTTGTGCGTATGAATCGAAGCAAAGGAAGTCGCCATGCGCTGTACGAAATGAGGAAGAAGTCATCAAATTTACTCGTCACTGTCTTTAGTCATCATCTTACCGATCACCCGGCTTGTTACACTGTTGCACAGGTGAAGAAAGTTGAGAGAAGGGATGAAGTGGCAAGGCCCTTTGATACACCCCAAATCAGTCAGTAAGGTGGAACAATGCCGAGACACTATGAAACATTAGTGATGATGCCTGATAGTCGAGTTAAAAAGGGGACTAACCTTTCACCGTAATGGTGGCGTCTGATGCTTTCCGCTAGAAGACTTGAAATGTCGATGACAATCAACTTCTTCGACCTCTTCACCACCTGTGGTGGAACAGGGAAGCTATTCGTGACGACGATGTGGTCAATCGCCTCGCATGCCTCCATCTGTTCGAGAGTTTCCTCTGTGAAAAGGCCATGGGTAGCGATGCAGTATACCTTCTTGGCGCCGCCCTTTTTCACTACAGTTTCTGCTGCAGCTGTCCAAGATTTACTCTTGTCAATCATGTCGTCAACTAGGAACACGGTTCTACCGCGGACGTCGCCGACCAATGTGATGGTCTTTTCCTGCTCGGTGTGTTTTCCGACTCTGCCCTCTTCATCGGAAGATTCAGCCGCATCGAACGAGCCACCTAGGGCATGGTCGCCAGGAAGGGAAGATGTATTAGAGATGAGGGAATTCACCATGGAATCTGGAACTGTCTCCGAATCATCACGACTGTGGCTCTGCCCCGGGGTTGTTTCGCCCGATGCGGGGTGTGAAGTCGGGCCAGTCGATGGGTAGTCATCGTCCACGAGGTGACCTTGTACGAGCCGCCCGGTGATGACTTCCCGCACCCGCACATCAGTATACTCATGTGCGGCTTCCAGTTCCGAAGGACGACGAGCACCGGTTGGTGTCTCAGGTCGCAGGTAGTTCGCCGCGACAAGAGACTCCATATTGGCGTTCGGCTCCCCCCTTGTATCCCCAGATTGAGCACTCTCATTGTTTGCACTCTGAAAGTGTAGTACAAAGGGGTCTTGGTCCTTGTCCGTGGCGGACGGAGTGGTCTCTTCTTCTATAGAATCAAAAAAGACAGTGCTGTCCGTCATGGCCATAGGGATCTTCGGACGTCTCCTGTCAGTGGTGACGATGCCGAAGTTGAGTTTCAGTGTGTCGGCCAGTGAGGTGACACGCTTGGTGCCACCCGCATTTTTGCTGACAACAACAGCTTCCCGCCATCCAGGCACGTTCATACGGATCCAACGGGCAATGAAGGGCTCGGCGAACAGGTTATCCACGGGCTTGCCGAAGAATCCCTGCATTTGGGAGGCCTAGCGATCACGCTGATAAGAACTCCATCCATGCCACGCAACACGAAGCAGCACAATAGACAAATTGCCTTGTGACTCACATGCAGGTCCAAAGTTATCACATGGTCCACCCCAGCAATCGAGAGGAGATTGGCCAACATGCGGGCCGTGATGGCACCACGGTGACTCTTCTTCTTGGACTGGCGGGAGTATGGGAAGTACCTCGTTGGTGTCAGCATCAAACGTGCAGTGATGGAGTCAAGTAGAACCATACGGCATGACCGCTAGAAGGGAGGGAAGTACGGGTCAGCCAGTGGAGTCGAATTGGCGGGGGAAGAAAACATGTCTCTTGCACATACCTGTGATCGATTTTGCCGAGCCACCCTTGCAGGCAGAGATCATGATCAGGAGCTCCATGACACTGTCATTGATCTTTCCGCTACCGCTTTGGACAATGTATACATCCTGGTTGCGTACGGAGACGCCAATGTTTACACTGGTCTCGCCATTGCTGAACTTCCCCAGGTCGGCACGAGCCGGTTGGGTTCCCAGACGTTCACAGATGGTCTCAGCCAGGAGGGGATGGGATGTCCCCGAGAAAATCTGTACTCCCCGCATCTTAGGACTGTGATGATCTAGAAGGCATGGACCAAGGGGAGGGAAGAGAAGTTGAGGTGGGCAGCAAGATCATCTCAAGTGCCGAGGGAAGAAGCAAGGGAGGGGGGGGGGAAGAGAAGAAAGAAAAAGAAAATGGCACGGGGGCTTTTCTTCGCGGGAAAAATTTCTAAGTGGAGGTCGACAAAGGCGGCAGCCACAGCACGCTGGGCGCCTGTGGCTCTCCGTACCCGAGCTGCCCCCACCAGCCGACAAGACGAAGATAAGCTCCTGCAACCCCGCGGTCAGTGAATTGGCCGGCAAATTGTCTCAAGGATGTCCCAGAAGTTCCCTCCCGTGCAAGGAGGAGGATCCCTCATTGTCGCCTGGCAGGCAAAGGCGAAACATGTTCTGGTAGTTGGCGGTGGAGAGGTGAGCCTCCCTTACCTGAGTCATTAGCCTCACCAAATATATAATGTTGCTTACCAAACGATTTCACCTCAGGTGGCCGCAGGTCGCATCCTCCACGCCCTCAACGCCGATGCCAAAGTAACCGTGGTCTGTCCTGCATCCGGTCTCAACGATGAAGTGGCTTTCAGGGTAGCAGAAGGCCAGGTTAGTCACATTGATAGGAACTTCGAAGCAGCCGATTTGGAAGGAGCAGACATGGTGCTCTGTGCCATTGACGATCCGGACGCTTCGACGCAGGTTTGGAAGCTCTGCAAGGAGAAGCGAATTCCCGCGAACATAGCTGATGTACCCTCGGAATGTGATTTTTACTTCGGTAGCGTATATCGCGATGGGCCATTGCAAGTGATGGTCAGTACCAATGGAAACGGACCCAAACTGGCCAGTATTGTTCGGAAGAAGATAGCGAACACCTTGCCCGATAACATGGGTGCTGCCATAGACAATGTGGGTAAGCTGCGGAAGAAGCTGAGGGAAGTCGCCCCCAATGCCGAACAAGGGCCGAAACGAATGAAGTGGTATGCTAGTCTCGTGATGCTCTCTGTACAATGATCTCCCACCGCTGATCGACCATGTAGGATGTCGGGCGTTTGCGAGTCCTGGAGCCTAGAGGACCTCGTCCAGATGGACGACAGGGATATGGACAGTCTTTTGACCCATTACGCATCTGGGAAGATCCCGACCCTGAGCGAAGTCCGGTCCAGCTGACGAGGCTGAGTAGAGATCTTGTAGCACACCTTGGTCGATACGTCAATAGCCATGCATTCGGACGTGTCAAATACCGAATGGGTAGAATCCGGCAACGCTCTCATAAAGATGTTATTTTGTACATACAAATATAAGTCCCGTCGAAGGAGTCTCGCGGGAGATAAGAAGAAACAAACGCAATGCTGTGCTAGGTCTACATTCAATACTCCTCCAGATCGAGAAAAGCCCTACAGTCCTGTAGGCGAGGATATCCAAAAAGCAGCGCAAAGTAAACAGAAGGAAGGAAGTAACGTCAACACACAAAATCGAACACTGGCCGTCTTGTTCAACGACCTCCACTGTGTTTGCGGGGATACTGGCTCGACACGGAGTTCCGGTGACTAGACGGCGCTGGCAGAGATGATTGGGTGGCAGGTATACCCAGCTTTGCCTCGCCGATTCTCCGCAACAATGATTGAAGGGAGACGCGAATCTCAGGGTTCAGGTCGCGACCCAACAGATCAACCGCTAATGGGTAGAAAGTTCCAATATGTTTGTCGAAGCCCTCGGTGGGAAAGTTGGTGTAGCCCTCGATGACGTCCACAACCACCGGACGCCAGGCCACTACGTTCCGATGCTGTGAGTCTTCATCAAGACGGACGAAGCTGCGAATTATATCCGCACACAACCTGTTATGGTTAGCAAAATTCAAAGCAATCTGATAATAAACGAAAAAAAAAACACTTACGGAATCAGAGCCGCCTCTGTTTCTGCGCGGCTGCTTTTACGCTCCTCCCTCTCGTCGTGATACATGCGGAAAAGGATGTGGACGTAAGTGGCAGCGCTTCCACTTTCCTGCTTGAGGAGGTTGGGAGGTTGCTTCATAAACCCTTGACGCCACAGTTGCATCCGCAATTCCTTGTCCTCGTTGAACTTCTTCGCAAACTGATAACTTTTCTTCAGCAAGCCCATCAGGCGAAGGAGCTCATGGCTGGGGATCTGGGCGTAGACTTTGTCGTTTGAGAACAGTTCGTGAACAGTCTCAATCATAAGCAACTGAAGTACACAGTTGGTAATGATACGGTTGAAGAACCGACGTCGTGCCACGGTCACAGCGGCTGGTTGTTGCTGGGCCTCTGCCTGAGGTCGGTAATCCTCCAATGCGGGAGTTGAGGTCGCAGGCATGTCGCCCTCCTCGTGCTCCGACGTCACACTCTGCGCCCCGTTAGCCTTCTGCGGTTCAGGTACATGTTCCTGATCCGAGGCCGTTTCGGAAGATTCTGGCCCAGACTCTTCGTTGATTGAGGCTTCCCCGTTTTTCAGCGAGCTCGGTGCCTTGGAAGAGATGGAGGCAGCGGCAGTAAACAGCTCGTACGCAGTGGTCTTGCTGAAAAGCTCGACAAAAGCCCCAACAACCTTTTTCCAATGCTCCAGCTGGAATTTGCTAACATTCTGCAAGATCAGCTGTTGCAGGCAGTTGCTTCCAATTCGCGCAATGGTGTCATTTTCTTGACAGATGCACAGAGTGAGGAGCTCGAGAATGCGACCGAGCATGTACTCAAGTGCGTCAAAGTAGTGAGTGAACAGCGTGATCATATTCCTCAAGGCCTGAATCATGGTTGTTGACAGCCACACAGAAAGCTCTTCATGATTAGGCACCTTGGACATTTCCGATTTCGACTGTAGCACCACAAAGATAGGATAGAGAAGCTGTCTCCACAGCACGTCCCAGAATTCCTGTGGAAATTCACCGCCGTACCGGATTAATGTCTCGAAGAGGTATGTCAGTGCTTGTGAGCGGACCTCCAGATCATCGCCGGTCATCAGCACGTCTTGGAACGCGATCAAGATCGGATACCAGAACTGCTCTTCTTTAGACTGGCGGGTGAGCTGCTGGGAAAGGTTGGTAGCATCTTCATGGAAGCCTTCCGGGGATGCACCGCGGTGAGACAGTGGGCACTCCGGCGTCCTGAGCATTTTCGAAACCGTGGACTTCAAGGTCTCAATTGCCTGCAACGACTTCTTCTGGAACCTTGAGTTCTTGGAGAACTCAGTGAGGCACACAACGAGGTCAGGAAAAGCGCCCTGTGTAATCACGACCCCAAATCGAGTGTTGTAGATCTGGGTAACATGCTCAAATGCCATATTGACGATGCCTTCATATGGCTCCCGTGCAGCAACTGTGAAGACGCCAAACATTGTTTTCCAGCCAGAACGAATGTTGTCACCACGTGCTTGGATCATTTGAATGAGACACCGGAGAATCATATCCTTGACAGTTACTGCGCTGCTATTCGCCATGACATGCTCGAAGGGCTTGAGGAAATCTTTTTGGAACTTGAAACCGGGCAACTCTTCAATTTCCATGAAACGCATAGAGAGCTGGCGAAGCGAATCAAGCGCAAAGAAGACCACCGTCGTGTTCGAATGACACCCCACCTGGTTGAAATGCTGACCGAGGACTTCCCAAATCTTGGACCATTCTATCCTGACTCTCGTCATGTTGTAATAGCTGATCTCGACGAGCTTCTGCAAACTGTAAGTCCGAGGGGATTCAGTTTGCCCGGAAGATTGAATTTCTTGCCAGCTGACTTCGCTCAGGGCCTGGATAAAGTCGATGATGGCCTCGTGAGAGAGGTTAGCCGTGTTGGTGAAAATGCGATCCACTCCCCGGATCATTTCTGCAGACCGACTCTCCATTGCAACCTCGGTACGGAAAGCTGTCGGTCCATTGATTGATCGGGGGCGAGGCCGCCTTGAGGCTTGCATGGACTTCCGAGATCCGTCCGAAGATGGTTGGGTCACAATGCGAGCTCGGGAGACATCAGGCAAGGAGCCTTCATCGACGCCATCGCTTAGGAGTTGAAGACGGTCGAGTTGACTGACACAGGTCAGGATTTCTCTCCATGAGCCCTTAAGGTGGTTTCCTTCCGTAAGAGCTACATCAAGTAAGGCCTTCAAAGCTTCCACGTTCTTGGCCACCATCTCCCGAACGTTGCCCAGATTTGTGAATTTGGCCAACGCTGTGACAAACGCAACCCGAGGGGTTTCAAGTTCAAATGCACAACTGATGCGAATCGCCAGCTTCATCCCTCCCATGCAAAGCCGGATGATTTCTAGGTATTGAGTATCTTGCATTGGGGCAGACAAGCCAGAAAGGAAAGACATCCAGGTGACATTGAACATGGATCCCACGTGCTGGGCAGACGTTGCCGGGATAAAGCGCGAGAGAGCTTCCTTGACAGCGGTCTTTCGCTGTGCTCGTATTAAACTTCGATAAAGCTGCTCTGTTTTGTTGGCCATTTCCTCAGAGGCTTGGGCGTATTTTTCACCTTGAATATCCCGTCCCACGGTTGCGAAAACCTGTCCAGCCCTGGAGGCCAGGCCGCCAGTAGGGGTAGATGTCGGAATGCCGAGATTGGCAGCATGCTCTCTTTCAGTATCCAGAACGATTTCATTGCTTGCAATTTCCTCGTAGATGGAGCTGAGATACTCGTCAGGCAAGTCCTGGTTGTCGTTAATACCCCGGTTGTTCTTGATGAAGTCTTCCTTCGTCATACGGAGACCCTTAATCTTGGCACTGTGTTGATCTGTGTTGAGCATGATGACGGAGTACGCGAGAACGTAAGCGGTATCCGCATTTGCAAACGCGTTTGGATTTTGGGTGACGTAGCGTTCTGCGAACTTGAGCATGAAGCGATCGATCTTCTGTGCTTCACCGGGCAATCGGAAGTGCTGCAAGAATTGACGCAGAGCGTCAACGAAGCGGCGCTTTGAAAACTCCATCATATCGACGAAAGCATGCATGATGGCAATATTCTCCGCATCCCCTTCGCCGAGATACTCACCAACCATGGCCTTATCCAACCGGTCATTTCGAAACAAAAACGCAGCAATGTCCTCGGGTGAATCAGAGCGTACGAAGCCCTCTTTGACGAACAGTTTGATTCCCCGTTTGGCCTTGAAGTTGAATTGTTGAATAGCGTTCGTGAAAGCAATCTTCCTTTGTTTGACCCTCTCTATTTGGTTCGGATCGTCTTCTGCGACAGGTGTAGTACTGCCGTCAGTACTCTCAATTCTTGGGGAGGCAAGGTAGGTTGCGGCGGTCGTTTCCGTAGAGTCCCTGGGATTGTCGATTGATTTCTGCGAAGACGAATTGAGAGCAGGAGCGGCCTGATCAACCAAACGCTGCGAGGCCCAGTTGTCTAACGATTGCAGAATTTCCACTAGACATTCGACCGCTTGATTCTTGAGTATATAATCCGGGGGTACATGTTGCATGTTTGGCAGATGACCGTTGGCTACATTAGCCGTGGTCAGATAAGGCGGTAGAGTACCCCGTTGATGCCAGTCGTTTCCAAGAGTCGAGACTTTGACATGATGCTCCAAATATTGTTGTTGCTGGAAAGCGGTGACCGCAACAGGTATACTTGCGTATCGCGATAGTTGTTCGATGACGCTGCGCAAGACAAAATTAGAGGCTGCGTTGGGAGGTATTTGGAATGAAAGCATACTTCTGGAAGATATTCTCCAATGCGGTCCTGTCGCAGTCATAGTTGAGGTACATTTCAACTAAAGCGCGCGGATCACCGGCCAGCCTCTCCAAGATCTCCATGAAGTATTGTTTTTGGAACGTGGGGGAATTGCGCTTCTCGAGAATGGTCAAGTAAATTTCTTTCAGGAAAACCTCGAGTTCTTTCTACTGGATGTCAGATCATCTCTCCTGCGAATAATTCCATGGTGCACACAAACCTTCATCATCACTCTCATGTGCTTTAGCATGAGCCAGAAGATCTCACAGCAGACTTCGAAGATCCGAGGCACCGAGCTAGAGCCATTGCGGCTCAGACTCAGACAGAGATGGGGCCGAACAGCCTGTAGAAGTGTCATCGCGTCCGGGCCGTTGGAGCTGTTTTTGATGGTCAAGAGCGGAGATGTGAAGGCTGCGACGTGGTTGTTGATGAGATAATGGATCAAGTGCAAGGACAACAATTTGGACCTCATGTTCTGGGACTTGAGATCTTGCTGTTGATCATGACTCAGGATTTTGTGGCTCAGCTTGCAGAGAGCCCTGAAGACCAGGAAGGCATCTTTGACATAAATTTCATCTTCATCATCGTCTGCACTGCCGTCGATGTCCTCTCCTGAAGCCGCGGACAAAGACCGTGCCGATCTCTGATTACCCCTCGCACGAGTAACCATTGTGGGAGCATTGTCGTTGACAGAGGTCACGTCCTTGCTCGACTCGAAACTTTGCAATGTCAGTTTCTCCCCGGGCTCCTTCGTGACAGGGTGGTCGGAAGTTGCGGCAGAGGGCGCATCTGACTCGTGGTCATCTTCCGTTGCTTGGGGAGTCTCTCCCGCCTCCAGAGTTGCGGTGTCTGAGGAGCTATGCTGCCCTTTCTCGCTGTCGCGCAAGCATAGCTCTTTCAAGTCCAGTCTGACCTGGACTCTATCGAAAACCGTGCTAACCATTTGTGTCAAGGACCCCTGGGCAATCTGCTGATTCTGAGATGATTTGGAGTAGATGAAGATATTGTATATTTGGCGGACGGCTTTCAGGAGACCTGCTCCATGAACAACAATCTTATCATTCAGAACTGCTGCAAGAAGGGACTTGATGATTTGTTGCTGAATTTCGACCGGTGTTGCTTCGTTCTCAAAGCATTCGCAGATCGCATCAATGGCTCGCTCAATGAGGGGTGGCTGTTCAGGGTTGGCCTCCGAGTCCGACGTCTTCCCCTCATGTGCCGAAGGAAAGGCGAAGTATGAGTAGGTAATCAATTTTCCAATGCAGTCGAGTGCCGTCACTTGAAGAGGAATGCTGATGGATTTGGTGGCAAGCTGTAGAGGGCGAAAGATAAGTTCAGGGTCAATGGGCTGACGGTCCGACTGTTTGACATTCGCGAGCGCGCTCTTCACAGCATCGTCCAATTCCTTGCTTCTCCGCGCCTCCTTGGATGCACCAATGGTGTCCAGAGCTGTGACAATGAAGACGGTAGAGCTGACAGTCACAGAGCGGTGCGTGGCAAACGTTGCAGTTGTTGACCGTGAATCCGAGCGCATGCGGGTATCGGAAGCAAGTTCATCATTAGGTGGGATGGAACCGACATCTTGTCTTTCGGCCGGGGTTTCATGTTCAACACTGACAGCCGGAACCTCTGGTGGTATATTCGCAACATCATCCTTCGACTTCGACTCAGCCCCCGCGTCGGGCTTGGGTTCCGGTGATGATGCGACGGCTCCCTCCGGAGGGCTTGCGGATTGATTCGGTGACTCTGTGTTCTCAGCAGCTTCCAATTGTTCCGGGGATGGATGAGCATCCTCCGATTCCTCTACCGCGATTTCCTGACGTTCCGACTCCTCCGGTAGTATGGGCTTGCCTCCGTCGACGGAGTGATCTGTATGCGCTATGACATCGCCGGCATCCTCGTTGTTGTCTGCCTGCGGCAGGGCCGTAGCTGTTTGGGTTGGCTCGTTTACCGAGCCATTCTCGACTTCCGCCATTTATGCGAGACTCCGTCCGGAGCGTTGAAAGACCGGCAGACGAGGGGTCCACATGTGACTAAAAGAGAGACCGAAGGGGTATATGCAGGTCTGAGAAGAAGGACCCTCTAGCCTCCTGGACGCTGGGGAACTGATGCGTGTTCACTCCGCGGACGGGGAGATTGTACGGTGGCCGCGGCGGGCCATAACCGCGTTGCTGACATAATTAGGACACGGCGGCGCCCGGCGAGTCTATTCCGAACGCTCACCGGGAAGCTCAACAGAAAAGTTCCTGGAGCTGCAGTAATCCTCAACCCTCCGATACGGGCCCTTCACTCCGCCAGACACGCTTCCCGGCACCCCTTCTATCCCATTTCTCTTCCTCATTCCCGCCCCGGGCCTTTCCTTGTATCACATTTAGCATTTGGGCGCCATGGTTGCCTCTGCTATCCGGATGCGTACTCCCAGCGCTATGTTCCTCTCCAAAGGCGCCCTCTCCCTGAGGAGGCCGCAGACTGTTCACAGATTCAAGGATGTTGCTCAGTATGTTGCGCTGCCGCTGTGAACTTTGCTTCTCTATCTGATCAACATGCTAATTGTATCTGCTTGCCTTCTAGATCTCAATTGCCTTCCCTTTCCGCCCTTTCCCGTTTTTACGCCTCTAAGTGTATGCCGTTATCCCCGTCGCCTTTGGTTTGTGGATCATCGGATTCTGACATGTTGGATCTACAGCCTTCCCTCCCCACACCATCATCAGCATGCCGGCTCTGTCGCCGACCATGAACGCCGGAAACATTGGTGCCTGGCAAAAGCAGGCCGGTGATGCCCTGCAGCCCGGTGATGTTCTGGTCGAAATTGAGACCGATAAGGCCCAGATGGACTTTGAGTTCCAGGAGGAGGGTGTTCTGGCCAAGGTTCTCAAGGAGACTGGCGAGAAGGATGTCTCTGTCGGCTCCGTATGTATCTCCAGTCAATTCTTAGTGCTCACGCAGTTTTTACTGACCGCCATTAGCCTATCGCCGTCTTGGTCGAAGAGGGTGTCGACGTTGCCGCTTTTGAGGCCTTTAGCCTGGCGGATGCTGGCGGTGAGAAGGCTGCCCCTGCCGCTGAGGAGAAGCAGGAGTCTCAGGGAGCCGCTGATGCTGCTGCCCCGGCCGCTTCCGAGCCTGCCCCTGCTGCCGTGGAGCCTGAGACTTCGGGTGAGAAGCTCCAGCCCAGTCTGGACCGTGAGCCTCTCATCAGCCCTAGCGCCAAGGCTTTGGCTTTGGAGAAGGGTGTCCCGATCAAGGGTCTGAAGGGTACCGGGCGTGGTGGCCAGATCACCAAGGAGGACGTCGAGAAGTACAAGCCCGCTGCTACTGCCGCGGCCGCTGCCCCGACCTACGAGGACATCCCTCTTACTTCCATGCGCAAGACCATTGCTAGCCGCCTTCAGCAGTCCACCCGGGAGAACCCCCACTTCTACGTCTCCACCACCTTGTCGGTTACCAAGCTTCTCAAGCTTCGCCAGGCTCTCAACGCTTCCTCCGAGGGCAAGTACAAGCTTTCCGTCAACGACTTCCTCGTCAAGGCCTGCGCCGCGGCCCTCAAGAAGGTCCCTGCCGTCAACTCCAGCTGGCATGAGGAGAACGGTCAGACTGTGATCCGTCAGCACAACACTGTCGACATCAGCGTCGCCGTCTCCACCCCCAACGGCCTCATCACCCCCATTGTCAAGGGCGTTGAGGGCCGTGGTCTGTCTAGCATCTCTAACCAGATCAAGGACCTGGGCAAGCGTGCTCGCGACAACAAGCTCAAGCCCGAGGAGTACCAGGGTGGCACTTTCACCATCAGCAACATGGGCATGAACCCTGCTGTTGAACGCTTCGCTGCCGTCATCAACCCCCCTCAGGCCGGTATCCTGGCTGTTGGCACCATCCGCAAGGTTGCCGTCCCCGTTGAGACCGAGGAGGGTACCGCCGTCGAGTGGGATGACCAGATCATCGTTACTGGCAGCTTCGACCACCGTGTCGTTGATGGTATTGTCGGTGCCGAATGGATCAAGGAGCTGAAGAAGGTTGTTGACAGCCCCCTGGAGCTTCTTCTGTAAGCTCATCTGTGAACTTTGGAACACCGAGCAGCGCAGCATACTAGCTATCTACGATCGGAGTTTCTTTTGGCCTTGTTGTAATATGTATTAAAATCATTCGAATGTTCCTCCCTTTCACGACCATCACGGTCTGTCAAGTACAGCCTAGATATTCTCAATGCATCTCCTATGTCTCGTATCTTATCTTCTTTATAACCAGTGTTGCTATCTCGCGAACCATGTTATTGGACGAGCAACGGCCCCTGACTATGGAACCAGCCCACCCAAATGAAAAATCCATCGCAGGGCAGTAATTGGTAGATCCGATAAACAAGCTAAAGCGTTTCATAGCCGGAAGTGCGATGCGTTCGGCACTAGTCTTGGCGGTCCTCATCCAACTCCACCACGGAATCTATGACGTGATGCCATTCTTTCCGGACGGTTCTGCCGTCCATAAATACCTGGGGGCTTCATCCCCTGGAACTTACCTCGATACTTTTCTCGTGCGATCGAATCACCTTCTATTTGCTATCACTTTCAAGCTACATGTGCGTCTAGTCCTGGCTGGACATCACTAGCCTTGATGCTGGCCATTACATAGGCCCTCTCACATTGGATGCGCTGACTGATGACGTCGTAGATCACCAACTTCGCTGATCACATCGAGTCTCTTAATCCATATTATCCACCATGTCTTACGCAGAAGCTGCCGCCAAAGGTCCCAAGCAATCTCCAGAGGAGGTGTGTACTCATTCTGTCCTCGCTACCACTCAATGACTACTGTGTCCATCTATGTTCTCCAAACCAGCTAACATCATCATAGGCGTAAGTCAACAAACAACAGCTGGGTGAGCCCTTAAATGTTGCTAACACCTATACAGCCGTGCCCCCGACGTTGGCGGAGTGTACCGAGATGAGTCCGAAAGCACCGCTTCCCTCGTCGACGTTGATTCGCCGCATGTCCAGGCCGTATATTCCGAGTTCCTGCAGCAGGACGTGCAGACCACCACACAGGCCGAGCGGATAGAGCGAGAAGAAAAGGAGCATGAGTCCTACGAAGAACGGAAGGCGAAGGCCAAGGCCAAGGCTAAAGCCAAGGCGAAGTCTGGATCAGTGCGCCGCAACGCGCAGAACCCTGTTTACCTTGGAAATGCTCTGATCCTGGGCCTGGCTGGCGCGGGCTTGGGATATGGGGCATACAGAAAGCATGCTGCTGGGCAGCTTTCATGGGAACTGGTCGGATGGTTCTCTGGCGCCGTTGGTGCCTTTGGTGCCGTCGACTACTTCGTTAGCAAGTGAGTTTGGATGAGCATGCATGTGATGGTATTGATCGCTAACAAGGGCTTGTTTAGATGGCTTCTTCAGAACAAATACCCTCCCAAATGAGCTTTGAATGGAGTCGTGTCTTGGACGTCGTGATATCCCGAGGTCATTTTTGACTGGCGTGCTGTTTTTATGTTGTATTCCGTGCTCTATTAGGGTGCACGAGGCGTTGTGCAAATTCTCGGCGTTACAGTGAATCTCTACTATTCCGAATGGTTCGATCATGTCTCCAAGTCCGCATTATGCTGTAGGATGGTAAAGCACAATAGCATACATAGCTTTCACGATAGCGGCAGCCCTGAAGTCATTTACATCCATCTGACAGCAAAAGAAAAGAAACCGTAGGTATGGAGTAGACATAATAAGTGGAGATCTTCCAGCAGTGCTCCTGCATGAATTTACTTTCGCTCGGACCGAGCGATTGAGTTGAGCGGGTCAGGCCGCAGGCATTACTGCAGTGGCTGGAGGCGGTCAGCGGCGTCAGAATCGTGGCCGGGCAAGAACATGTGGCCTTGGCCAGCATCATTATTAGCCTGATAAAGAGTAATATCTCCGGACACGTCGCTGCTTCCTGACACCAACTACCAACTATCGCTCAAGGATAGTCCAAGTCTCTCTTCACAGGTTGAGCATTATAGTCTCGTCAAATACGGGCTTTGCTTCTCGGCTTTTGGCTGTGGTTGTATACAACGCACTCCCCCGATAGGGTACACCGCAACAAAATGGTAAATACCCCCAAAGCATCAGAAACCCCATCTAGATACCAGCTCAACTCCATCATGAGGACGGATGCTTATTTGGATTAATGCAAAGAATTCCCTCTTCAATTCCGCCCTCAAGCAGTCTTCTGCTATCCGCCGTGATCTGGACACATTCTCCCAGTCACCGGCAACATCGTCTGCAGCGCTACAAGGTGGGTTTTGGAATTGTTGCTTGTAGTGGGCCCACTACTCGACATAGGGACTTATGCGCGTTGTAGGTCAAATCGCCGCTTCGCTAGCATCACTATCGCGAACCGTCGACGACTATTCTGCATTGTCCAAGAAGGAATTGATTCCAGAGAAACAAGAGAAAGCGTTTGAGCGCGTGAAGAATTTCCGGACAGAGCTTGCAGATTACCGGCAACATTTTGACCGACTACGGAAAGAAAGAGAGGATGCTGTAAGCACTATACTGACACATGTCTGGGATCAAGGGTTGCTGACCATAGTGTCTTACAGCAATCTGTCACCAACCGCAATGAGCTCCTCGGTCGACGCCCGCATCACACAGCAACTCCCGAGAACCCATACGCCCAATCGTCGCTCCCGCAGTCATCTGCTTTTGGCAATCCTTCGTCACGATCGGGACTCAGCTTTGGAGCTTTGCCGGCTGACTACACACGGGAAACGCATGCGCTTCGCGAGCAGAGCTTCCTAGCGAGCACCAACACCCAGCTGGATGAGTTTCTTGATCGGGGGCGTGCCGTACTTGCGGATTTGGGCCAGCAGCGGGAGGTGCTCAAAGGCACGCAGCGTCGACTCTACAGCGTTGCGAACACGCTAGGTGTGAGTGGGGAGACAATTCGCAAGGTTGAGCGTCGGGCCAAGCAGGACAAATGGATTTTTTTGGGAGGAGTGATAGTGTTCTTCCTGTTCTGCTGGGCGGTGTTGCATTACCTGCGATGAGGCAGGTGTATACTTTTGTTTCTAGGCCTATTGTGTTTGGTGCTTGGGTTGTCTTACAAGCGCAGGCGTTCGGAGCGCATTGACAGGGATCTTATTGCTCACTAAGTATGTAGATATGTATGGGTTGTGGTGGTAGCTAGATATTATTTAGTTGCTGCAGCTGGAGTGGTTAGCTTCCCTTTTCCCGTGCGCAACGGGGTTTTCCTTGGAAGTGTGGAGTAGTGCGGCGTCGTAGCCTCGTAGAGACACCGCAGTATGGCTGGTGACCGGGAAGACCGTTGGGAACGTGGCTGTCGGTTAAATGGAGACGGGGACTGGGCCGGGATGAGTAACAAGGAGGCAGGCAATTGTTGTCTGGAGGCAGCTCGAGACCTCCACGGGGGGAGAGAGTAAGTACTAGATAGTAAATGATCGGAGGACAATTGACGGGCAGCATCATGCATGCCAACCGGTCGGTAGGACGGAACCGGAGCAGAGGAGGCGAGGATGGGCAGAGGAAAGACAGTTGGCTGCCGTGGGGATCGGAAACGGAGCCATTTAGCCGCCCCAAAATCCTTCGCGCTCACCGGCCACCGACGGCTTCTCCCTTCTTCTCCCTCCCTTCTCTTCCTCTCTTCTCCTCCATCGCAATTGCTTCTCTTCTGTCCTCCCCATCTCCCCTTCTTTTCCCCAGATAGATTCACTTCTGTCTCCTCTTCACAGCCAAGATGTTCGCTGCTCGTCAGACCTTCAACCTCCTCCAGAAGCGTGGCTTCTCCGCTTCTGCCAGCCAGGTGTGTAGAAAAAAACATTGCCTCGGAGCTGTCTGTCACCCTGCTAACCATCACATCTCCATTCCTAGGCCTCCAAGGTTGCCGTCCTCGGTGCCGCTGGTGGCATTGGTCAGCCCCTGTCCCTGCTCATGAAGCTTAACCCCCTTGTTTCTGAGCTCGCTCTCTACGATATCCGCGGTGGACCTGGTATGTCGCACAGCTTCCTCCCAACGTGAAACCATAATCCGATCATCGGAGTCGACTGACAGGAGTCTTTTGCAGGTGTCGCTGCCGATCTGAGCCACATCAACACCAACAGCACCGTCACTGGCTACGACCCTACCCCCTCTGGCCTCCGCGATGCTCTCAAGGGCTCTGAGATCATCCTCATCCCTGCCGGTGTTCCCCGCAAGCCCGGCATGACCCGTGATGGTATGCACTGGACCACTTTGAAACTGGCCGAGGCACGAGCACAGCAGGACTAATCACGCCATTTGCAGACCTCTTCAACACCAACGCCTCCATTGTCCGCGACCTCGCCAAGGCCGCTGCTGAGGCTTCCCCCGAGGCTAACATCCTCGTCATCTCCAACCCTGTACGCAGTGAATCCAATTCTCCCAATCCATCCGACCTTGCACTAACAGCACCAGGTCAACTCCACCGTCCCCATCGTCTCCGAGGTCTTCAAGGCCCGTGGCGTCTACAACCCCAAGCGCCTCTTCGGTGTCACCACCCTTGACGTCGTCCGTGCCTCCCGCTTCATCTCCCAGGTCCAGGGCACCAACCCCTCCAACGAGGCCGTCACCGTCATCGGTGGCCACTCCGGTGTGACCATCGTTCCCCTCCTCTCCCAGTCCAACCACCCCAGCATCGAGGGCACCACCCGCGATGAGCTGGTCAACCGCATCCAGTTCGGTGGTGACGAGGTCGTCAAGGCCAAGGACGGTGCCGGTTCCGCCACCCTCTCCATGGCTTTCGCCGGTGCTCGCTTCGCCGAGTCCCTCCTCAAGGCCGCCAACGGCGAGAAGGGCATCGTTGAGCCCACCTTCGTCGACAGCCCTCTCTTCAAGGACCAGGGTGTTGACTTCTTCGCCTCCAAGGTCGAGCTCGGCCCCAACGGTGTTGAGAAGATCCACGAGGTCGGTGCCGTCAACGAGTACGAGCAGAAGCTCATCGAGACTGCCCTCGGTGACCTCAAGAAGAACATCCAGAAGGGTATTGACTTCGTCAAGGCCAACCCTTAAATGGATTGATTCGAAACCCTCTGCAGCCGCTTTCCTCCATGTATAACAGTCTTGTGTAATTTGCCATACCCCTATGCACTTTCCCATCTCGCATTGGCTTTTGTCTCGGAGGAAATGCAGCTGTGGATTCGCATGGCATCAACTCGGTTATGTGAGGGGAGATGGTCATGACGTGTATTTCCTATAAATAAGAAAAATCTAATGAGATATTATGACTATACCATATACCTTGTAACTATGTTCTTCCCACCCATCTATGTAAACCACACCACCGAACCTACTCACTGTCTATACCGATCTAAGGCCGGGTTCCCATTTACCCAGTCAACCAAGCCATGAACCGAGCCCTCCAAGCTCACCTCCCCGCCTCAGCAATGCCCCACCAACCCAAGGTAGTACTCTGTAATTAAGTCACCATCGACCACAACTGCATCTAGTAATATCAATAGACATTCATTCCCCTTTGAGTAAATCTGGTACGGTCTCGGACAGTAAGATAGGCTAGATTGGATAGGAGTTGGTTGGGTTTCGGTTCGTACAGAATTACTTCTTGGTGATCATTACTTCGTGTTCAACTGTTACGTGTTCTTTGTTTCTGTTTTAGCTACCGAGCACAACGAATTAACCACAATCTTTGCAAATTAGATATGGTTATCCTGTCTACTCCGTACACAAAGGAATGGCAACATCCAGCAGATGTCATAACGATAGCGAGGACGAAGATGAAAAAGAGTGGGGTATTGGTTTTCAAATAACGCATCTCGTGAACAGTCGTCATCATCAGGGGAATGGGGTTAGTAGCAATAAGAATAATCATCAAGGTAATAAAAATAGGAATAGATCTTCGCACGAGAAAGGCGGTCAGTGGAGGAGGCGTTATCCAATCTGTCGTCACTAGCTAGATGAGGTAGATAGGTAGGGGTTGCCAAGTTCGAGTGCCAATTTTTTTCGCTGGGAAAGACCAAACGGAAACAACATGAAAGTCAAAATTAGGTATAACTCCTCATGGCGTCGAGATAGCCTGTACCCCCGCGGAGGTCGTGGTCGAAGGTCTGTGCGACTTCGAGGACGCGTTTGATGTGCTCCATGGATAAAGGATTTTGTTCGTTCACAGCGAGAGCTTGAGCGGTGCGGACGGAATTTTTGATCTATTAGAGACAGATTTGTTAGTGAGTTGTACGAGGGGAGGCATCTTGTAAGCCCGGGGGTCTTACCTGACGTCCGTTCAGATTGTGTCGAGCCAGCAGATCAAAGTCCTTCTCAGTGAACGTGGCGGTCTGCACACCCTCCATGGCCTGCACACGCTCCAAGAACATCTTCCAAACACTACGCTTGGCCTTTGTGGTGAGGTCGCCGTAGCGCAGGGCAACGTGAATGCGGGATTGGAATGCATCATCGAAGGTCTCCACGCGATTGGTGGTGAGGAACAGAATCCCCTGAAAGTACTCGAGGAGCCGCAGGAAGATGCTGACAAGGGCATTGCGGTGGATGTCCTGGATTGTGCGCTTCTCGAGGAAGATATCCGCCTCGTCGAGGAGCAAAACGGCGCCCCAGGAATGAGCGATATCGAGGATCTTGTTTAGCTCCCCTTCAAGGGTGCGCGAGTCGGTACCCAACTCGCCGGCACTAACCATGTAGAGTGGACGTTTAAGGAGCTCAGCAATCCCTTCGGCTGTCAAGGTCTTGCCGGTTCCTGGGGGCCCATGGAGCACGGCGACGAGGCCCTTGCCCTTGCCCTGGATGACGTCGTCAATGTTCTGGGCAGCGCGGAAGGTATGAGACTCGACGAGGGCCTTGACGATGGATTTCTGGTTGTCCGGGAGGACAAGAGAGTCGAAGGCGTCTTCATTCCACTCAATATCGCTGATGCCCGAGATGCTAAACTCGAGCCATAGCTTCTCGCTGAAGGCGAAACCGAGCACCACCGGACTAGCGATGAGAAGCTCCTCTTCGGTGAAATCGCGGTCGGAGGGATCCTCGACCTCATCCATGTCCTCCTTGCGAATCTCGTTGCCGTTCTCATCCAGCTCGACCTCAACGACATGCGGCTTGCCCTCCTTGTCTCGCACCACCTTGTACCGGACTTGTGGGGCATCCGAGTCGCGCAGTTGCCCGAAGGCCTGCTCGGAATCCGAGTCGGACATGGCGCAGCAGCACCCATCATCGCTGCCGTCGTTATCGGAGCCGTCGAGATAGTCGGGGTCCTTAGGACGGACGGTGCTGATCGGGTAATTGGGGTTGATGCGCCGGTGGATGGCGGGATCAATCATCACCCGGCCGTTAATGTTGACCTTGATGACGGACCGCTTCTTCTTATAGAAGGCCATGCCCTTGTGAAACCGATAGTTCATGCCTCGTAGCGCCACGAACTTCTTGCCCCGCTCAATCAGCTTCGCCTTGACGCTCTCGGCTTCGCGATGGTACTTCAGGGGATAGCAGCTGAGACTGGTGATCTTGCGGGCGCCCTTGAAGGACTCAACCTCCGCAGCCATGGTGCCCATGCCAAAGGCCTTGCCGTCGTATTCGAGATAGCGGCCCTCAATGCTGTACCATTGGCCCTTCATGAAGGAAGACTCCTTGGTGGCATACTCAATCTTGAACGCGCGCGGCTCGTCCTGGTTTCCATACGTGGAGGAGTACGCCACAGTGTTAGGCTTGAAGATGGCCCACAGGAGATCGAAGGTGATCATATTGGCGTCCAGAAGCGGATACAGAGTTTTCTTAGTTTCGGCGTAATCCGTGTCCAGATACTTAATGAGCACCTTCAGATGGGATGCCTTGAGCTCGGCTACTTTTCGGGCTTTTCTCTTTTTTTCTGCTTTGGCTAGCTGCGCAAGGTCCTTCATGTATTGTCGCGTCTCCTCAAGATATAGGAAGAGCATGTTTGGATCGACGACCGCCGTCTCCTGCACCAAGCTGACGCCCTTGACTCCGTCCATGACCTTGGCCAGCGCATCGCGGAGGTACTTGCTTTTCAGGTCCACCACGGTCTCCAGATATTTGTTGTCCCAGTCGAATTTGCGACGCACGGTGAAAAGGTACTGGTCCCACTCGTTTGCGTCGGGGTCATCGACCGTCTCGGTCAGCTTAAAGTTGTGGATTGTATTGTCCCACACTGGTGAACAAGATTAGCTAGAGTAGAGCATGAATGGATAGGGGAAGACGAACATTGATCTACCCGTTTAAATGCAATCTTGGAGGCCGCCTTCTTCCGACCCTTGGTCTTCTGAGAGCTCCCCTTCTGACTTTCCGTGAGTCCATCGTTCAAGCCACGTTTGCCTCGACCTTTCCGACGCCCGTCAGCGAGCTTGATTCGTAAGGTAGCCAGTTTCTGCTTGGCCAGCAAGAGCGCCAACTCTTCCGCATCCGCGTCGTCGTCGTCGTCGTCGCCGTCATCTTCATCTGGCAGTTCCTCGGACGAATCTTGCTTTGACCGCGATTTCTTTGCGTTTTTCTTCGCTTTGAGCTTGGCGACCAGCTTTTTCAGGGTCTTTTCATCGAGCGTAGAATCGGAGTCATCGCTGTCCTCGTCATCGGAAGTAGAATCCGAATCGGTCTGATGCGACCGGCTCTTCTTCTTTCTGCCACCTTTCAGAGCTTTCTTCGCCTTGTTCTTGGCCCGTCGGCGGCGCTGCTTGCGATCCGACGCGGACTCGGATGAGGACTGGGTGGCTTCGCCGTCGGATGCGGAGTCCGGGTTAGATTCGTCAGTGGTGGAGTTTATTTCCGGCGAGCTGTCATCGCTGGGGGTGACGATGGAGGATGCCTTCCGGTGGGCCTTCTTTTTCTTGGTGGACCGATTGGGATCCTGCTCTTTTGTGGGGTGCTTGGAGCAGACGGACTTTTTGGCGACGGGCTCGGTGATGGGGGCGGGGGGAGCTTTGGGGTCAGAGATGACGGGGGGAGAATCAGTGGTGGGCGGGTCGGCGTCGAGCTTGGATTCGGGGGCGGACGAGGCCGGGGCACTAGCGTCGGCCATGGTGGAGGTGGATGGAGCTGGTCCAGGGACCGGCACAGGCTCAGGCTCAGGCACAGGCCCACTTTCAAGCTCCGAGGTCTGCTGCTGGGGATCAGTGGACATGGATTGGAAAGGTCGGGGGAGATAAATGGGAAATGGGAGATGGGAGAGTCAGGGAAGAAAAAGGCAGGAGCGAGGACAAGGCGGAGGAATGGCCGTGACGTACTCTGATGCCTAAGAGGTCGGTCGTATCCTCGCTTGCGAAGCGCCTTGCGTGTTGGCCAGCCCAGCAGATTGGAGGACTCGAATTCTGGCGGTGTGATGCCTAACCACCCGAGACGAGGTCAAGGGAAGGATGCAAAGGGGAAGAAATGAAATGAAGGAAGAGGAGAGAAGGAGCAGACGGAAGGAAGGACTGCGGGTCAGGTTGGGGGAGACGGCGTGAATAAATACCAGGGCAGGGGGATGACGAGCCGGGGGGCACAGCAGACAGTGAGGCGATTCCATGGCCGTCGGAGAGAGCCTGGAAAAAGTAAAAAAGTGCCGGATTGGGAAGAGGCTGGGCTGGCGATGCTTGCCAATGAGAGTCTGGATGGCCGCCGGTCAGCAGCAGTTGATATTAATGTGCCCTGGTCACCAATGCCTCCCCAAGTGGCACAGGCTCCCTCCCCGACGGCCGCAGGAGCCAACCCTTCAGCCGCACTGGATGTCTTTGCTTGCTCTTTCTCCCCATCACCAAGCATTACGGACTGGCACTTCCCGTGCTTAGATCGGCAGCTGATCGGTCACCGACATTTGCCAGCACGCGTGTCTCATGCGCTGTCCAGATGCCAAATGCCAGGAGAACCCCCGGTCTGGTGGTTGAGGACGGTTACGGCGCACCCAAGATTGGAATGGACAGCCAGTGACACATACCAACCACTAGAATTGGGCGAGAGAGTCAGAGGTACTCCATAGATGGAGGGTGTGTGAATCATCCTCCCCCAACCGATCCGCATAGGCAGCAGGCACCTGTCGTATCCGTCATGGACAAATCCCTGCTAGGATCCCCTGGTCTTATTTGCGACTGGAGCCAAGGGCGAGGCTGCAAGAGGGATTTGATTAGCCTGGCTATCTAGGGTCTGGCCTGCAGCTTGCCAATGTCACAGCCCAAGGCATTGCAAGAGCCTTATTAAGCATCTGGAGCACTTCCCAGAGCTTCCTATTTCAAATCCTCTGAAGCCTTCTATATTATCTCTTTGAGCATCTCCCAAGCACTTCCCAAGCACCTTCTGATTATCTCCCAAAGGACTCCACAGCGCAGTTGATACGGTCTAAATCTATATTTCTGTTCTGGCTGAAGCGGTGAATGAGGGCAGTATCCATCTAGATCGTAACGTTATAGATAGCTTGAAGAACCAATCAGGATATAGAACTCGACTTGGGGGCCTGGACCGTGGACCTCAGCAGGGACATACCGCATTGGCCAAGCACTCTGATTTGTCTATTTTATCCGCGACGCAGCCTTTCTTACGCCAGTAGACTTGTTTGACTAACAAAGGCTAAATTAGATAAAGAATGCGGCCTGATCGCGTCAACAGATGATATGACGATTTAGGCATGAAATGCGTAAGTTGTGTGAGGGCCATAAAGAGAAAGATCAGGTAATCTGCCCGCCTTCATTGAAGAAAAAGTGATTCCTACCTCGGAGATGAAATCAGCGTGGCTTAAATGAGATCGCACAGGTGTAACCACTACTTCAGTACTCGCAACGTGAGTCATGGACAGAAAATGCCGCCTCTATTCAACTTCAAGAGTCACGACCGTGGCTTTAAGAGAGTTCAAAGGCGGAAGAAAACAGATCTCTGCCCAGTTCACCCGAGTTCATGTAGGTGATGAAATATCGGGTCCCAGGATGTTATATGACTGACATCTGTTTATATTTGAGACCTCGCTAATACCGGAAAAGAAAGTGCGATCCAGAGCCAGTGAACATCTCGATTGCTTACAACCTTGCAAACACCACCACTAAATCCTCTACTTCTCGATTCCCTTCTAAAGCGCCGCAGAAGGTCACAGTACTCAATCCATATCTATTATACCATGCTTCCTTACCAGTGCATAGTGCAAGAAACGATGCATAGTCCCGGATGCTGGAATTCCCGTTCAATCCCTGCACATTTTCCCTTTTTCATTGCAAATAATGATCTGGTTGACTGAACGCATGGCAAGATACATGCGACATCAGAGGCGACCGAATCAGGCTCCAATTTGAACAATATACAATAGCAAGACTGGGGAGCTGGTAAGATCCGGGGAATACCCTTGTTATTCAGACAAGCAATTGTGTGATTTATCCACTCTTGAATGCAGTGGTCTCTCCACCGTGTGCTCGCCCTAAGCGGGGTTGCAGAAACCCTAGATGGTGATTATGACCATGAAACAGATCCCGGCGATGAATATCAAATGAATGTATCCGAAGTGAAGTCACGGTTGAAGAGGTGACAGTGTGGATGGTTCTAACAGAAAGCCCAAGCTGTAAACCATTCCCATCCGCAGTCTATCCAGGCTCCAAGAAAATCGTTCCAGGACAGAAAAGTCTAGAAGAAGATCTACCTAAGAAAATACAAGTTCTGCTCCTGCCTTCTGCTCACGCAGCACTAATATTGATAAGTTGCAACTCCTCTTTTTTGTAGCTTAATGGACAGAAGTCCCATGATACCATATCAATCAAAACCACATCCATCTCTTTAGAGGCTTCATAACAACCCGAATCTAGTAACTGCCCATGTAGCATATCCCTCCAGTGAAGTCCAATCCCCAATAAATGCCGCCTTTCTTCCACTTCACTGCCTGAAGACCAACACATTCACTACGAGTAACACCAACTGAACCCAACCTCAATGCCCTCAAACATGACATCTCTTCTCATCTCTGCTCTCTCTTTCTCTCCTCCCCTCTCTCAACCATCTACATGACCATCCACCTCACCACTCCTTCATCCCATCACCACCATCTCAACAGACACAAACACCAACTCACCACCAAGACAAGACCCAACCATGGACCCCTCACCCTCACCCGACTCTCCCTCCAAATACTTCACCCCGATCAACTCCAGCACCCCCATCAAGCCCGACCCCGAAGAGACCGAAAACTCCACCCTTTCCAAAGCAGTGGTAACCATCCCCCCACCTACCAGCCACCCAAACCAACCCAACTATCTAACCAACCCAAAGAGAAAAACCAGCACCAAGCGCGGCCCCATCAAAACCTCCCCACACTCCTCCTCCTCCGAATCCCCCAGCAAAAAACCCAAGCTTACGCCCAAGAAAACCAGACTGCCCCCAATCCCCACTAATCTTGACGCCGCCACCATCAACGATAGGCTCATCCTGCGTCTTCGAGATGACGAACAGCGCGGATGGAACGAAATCACGAAGGAGTGGGTGAAGTTGACGGGTATTCAGGTTGGAGGGTCGACTCTTCGCATGAGATATACTACTATGAAGAGTAATTTTGTGGAGATGGATGGGAATGATGTATGTTTTTTTCCCATTTCTTACTTCTTTGGGAATGTGAGGGGGATGATGCTAATCTATATTTGTTAGGAAGCACGCATGCTCCGCGCCAAAAAGGAAGTCGAGGAGAAGTTCGAAGGAGATAAGTGGCGGCTTATTGCAGATGCGGTGGAGAGTGCGGGAGGGAAGAGGTATCCTGCCGGGGCCTTACAAAAGAGGTTCAGGGAGGTTTGTAAGAGGGGGGTTAGTGGCGGTGGTGCTGGGGATGGGGGAGAGGAGAAAGGGGTTTGAATCCGGTTGCGCTTTGGTCATTCGCTTTAAGGGTATTGCTTTACTAGGGCTGCTGCTGATGATTATGCTTTTGTTGTTGCTGGTTGCGTTTCGTTGGGTGGAAAGAACTTGGAGGGACATGTGCTGCTGGCATTGGGATATGCATTGCTCTAGCTTGGGATGGTGATAGTTTGGGGATAGGATTTGATACTCATGGGATAGCAGATTGAGGACAGTTATGCGATAACGATGGCTTAAGGATAACACGCAATGCATTTAACAGAGTATTGATGAACTACCAAAGTATCTAGTCACAAAACACTGATCTCGATGGCCACAATTCTGCTACTCATCCCATTCTTCACATTATAGTGATTGTCCCAGTTCATACATGCAATTACTGTCCGCAACCGGATCTATAAATATATCCAGTTAACCTGCGAGTAGATAAGAAAAAAAAAAAAAAAAAAAACCGAAGAACCCAGCAACTGAACACAGTACTATATTCAAACCAAACCAACAGCACCAGAAAACAACCATCTCAAAGACAAGAAAGCATCACTACTGACGAAGACAAAAGAGATTATCTATAGATAGATCAAACAAGCACCAAAAGTAACACGCAATCCAAATAACATCACCAAACACAAGCCAATAAACACAAACAGATACGAAATTCTATAGGAAGTAGAAAAAAAAAAAAGAAAAACTGAAAAACACCCTATAACCAATCCCCGACAGCTCGCGCGCAATGCCCACATACAACTACCACCTACTACTAGATAGGCGCCGGGGAGGGAAAGACAGCCGCCTCGACCGCCCTGCCGATCCGATCCCCGCCATCACCACCTCCTCCCCTCCCCTCCCAAATCCTTCCACCCCACCACCACACCTCACCACCACCACCACCATGTCCACCATAACAACCCTCCACGCAATCTACACCTCCCCCCAACAAACCCACACCTTCGAACACCCCATCACCACCACACATCCCACCTCCGTCGCCACAAAAGTCACCTACCTCGCCGAACTACGCAAACTCGTGCCCAACATCCAAAACGACATCAATGTGTTCCTGACCGAGCGGATGGAAGAAGATAAGAAGGCGGCGGAGGCGCAGGGTCAGGCGGTCTCTGATAAGGAGGTCAAGGAGGAGGAGAATTATGGGGAGGAGGTTGTGGAGGAGGATGCTTGATCCTTTTCTTCTTCCTTTTTACTAATGGAGATGGGTTGGGTTGGGTTGCGCAACTCTGTTGGGGATTTTTCTGGACGGGGTACTGCGTTGCGAGGAACGAATAATGAATTGATTTGAATCGAATTGAGGAATCATATGCATTTGGTGGTTGGATGGATGGATGGATCCTTGAATACTGCTAGCCCGGGGTATCATAGTGCAGGGGAAAATGTCCGCCACTCCGGTATGCTTTGAACAATATAAGACAAGACAAGACAAGAGAAGACGTGGGGGTAGGAAGATGCGGGAAACAGGAGGGAAAAGAAAAGAAAAGAAAAAACGCAAACGAAACGATGAATCGATACCAATAAACCTCTATATACAGACAATATCATGGGCTCAACGCATGCGATTGGCACAGCCAAGATGGACAACAGTATTGCTACCTCTGGTCAGCGACGCTCAATTGAAGGATACTGGATACTGGTGGGAACTTACTCCGGAAACACATTGATTACGCTCCCTCCGATCCTCTTGTGGCAGATACCACACACCCGCTCTTCGGTGATGGTGACATGTCGCGATCGCGTCGATCGCGCATCTGTCCCCTCACCCACCAGCAGCTGCGCCTGGGTCTTGATGTTTTCGGCCTTCTGCAGGTTGGCCACGATCCGGCTCTCGTTCAGGATCGAGTTGGCGGCGCGCATACGCCCCTTGAAATAGAAGTCGAGCTCCTTGACCGGGAGCGTTTCGGGGATCAGGTCCAGTGCAGAATTCGGCGGCAGACGGGATCCATGTTTGGCTAGCACCGCGAGCGCAGGCCCGTACCGGGGCTTGTAGTCGTGGGGAGGAGATAGATATAGAGACAATAGAGTTAGATAAATCGATGGTTTGTCCTCCTCATAAGCCAGTAAGGCTACGCAGCGTGAAGCCGTCCCATCCGCGGCCGCCGTATCCTCCATCTTATGGAGTTGGTTACAGTACCTGCAAGGGTTAGCCCAGTGAATGGTGCAGTCGATATAGCTGACTCACTCTTCAGCTTTTGTGTAGTCCTCCAGCTTAAACACGTAGATCTCCAGTGCTTGCCTATGCTGTCCCATCTTGCTGAAAACAATCGCTCGTGCCTCGAAGAACTCGGGATCTGGCATCGTCAGCACCGTATTAGCATCGCAACGAGAGTACTCACCGTCTCGGTCAAGCCGATCAAGAATCTTAGCCGGGGAATACTGGGAGCTGGACTTGAGCATATTCAGGAACTTATTCTGCCATTCGACATAGTCCACCTCGCTAGAGAACTCCCATTCCTTCGTCTGGTGCTTCTTCAGCCGTTCCAAATAGAGCATGAGCAGCTTCTGATGTAGATCCGGTGTCATATCGTTCAATTCCCCGATGATATGCTCCAGGTAACGGACAGCGAGGTTTACATCAATGTCCTCCAGGAAGTCCAGCACCCGATCCCGCGGCAGGGTCTCTGCGTTCTCCGTATCTGCCAGGAAGACCTCCATGCCCAGCTCAGGGGCCTCCCGCACCGGCCACTCCGCAAACTCGAGGATCAAATCGATGTGGTCTGGAGACAGATTCTGCAGATACCCAACCGTTCTCTTCGGCCCGTGCAGCTGAGGCGCCGTCTCTTCCTCGTCGTCAGCCCGTCCGAACTTCTGGAGCAGCTCCAGCGCCTGTCGGTGGAGCTTCTTCCCGTACAGAAAGTCAATCAAATCGTTGTGACGCCCGGTCTTCTCCAGCTTCTCCATCACCACATCCGGGTCACAGAAGTTGGCAATACGGAACAATGACCCTGCCAACGCAGGAATGGCATACATGTATGCCCGGAACAGGGTCGTATCCACGAGCCTGGCCTTTTCTCGCAGCTTCTCCCCGAGGTCATAGTCATCCTCCTTGTCAATACTCAGCAGCTTCATGACCGAGTCTGTCAACGCATCGTTCGCCCCGTCCGACGTAGCATCAATCACCTTCAGCGAGCCATCCGGGTTCAGGAACCGCTGGAACCTCCTCCGCACATCTGCAAGGTATCTCTGCAGCTCACGAACAGCCAGTTTCAGATCATTCCCTTCCAGCGCCTTGTCGTGCTTGGCATCCTCGACCACCTTCGCGCGGATACTGCCCGCATCACTGCCGTCGTCTGTCCGCGTCCGCAGAAGCGACATCACCGAGGGAGCATGCGACAGCGTCTTCGGAACCGGTGTTTCCTCCACAGTCGACCCGTCGGTCTGGTTGTGGTTCTCTGGTGTCTTGGAAGGACTGTCGCTCGTACCATCGTCCGACTCTTCCGGCTCGTCGACAATCGACGACAGTTCGCCCGCGATAATCTTCGGATAGAGTCGAATGATGGTCTCCGGGGGCGCCGAGATCTCCGTGAACAGATCCATCGAGTCACAGTACTTCCGCATCTTAAACAGCCCTTCGGCCTTCTCCAGCTTGATCTGGCGCAGCCTCCCCTGCTTATCCCGCAGCAGCGCATCCTCCAGCATACTCGCCAGACTGATTGCCTCATCCAGGTACCCCTTCTCGACCAGCGAATCGATCTGCGTATCGTAACTCAACGCCTCCATCCTCCAAATCGTCCGGTCACTCGACACCAGAAACCCCTTCCCAGCATGCGCCAGACTGATCGTCGGCTGCGGGATATGCATTATACTGGCCGACGGCAGCGGAATCGATTGCAACAGCGACAACGTCTCCGGGTTCCGGACCTCCAACACCCCCTTCGAAGAATCATGCAACGCCAACAAAAACGGATACGAATACCCAATATCCGCCGGCGCATGACTCCAGGGGATCTGTCTCCGCCCCAGCGAATTCCCCTGCACATCAATAAAATGCGTATTGATATCCTTGGCCAGCAACACCTGGCCCTCCTTCAATCTCGTCGCCAATGGCTTCGGCGCCGCACCTCCAATGCCAATATAACTCATACTGGCGACACCCACTCCCGCCAATCGCCCAGTACTCTCCTGGCCACCCAGCCCACTAATCCCGGCTGGACCAGACAAATCCACGATCGTCCCCTCCCCCTCGATATCAACCATGACAAACCCCGACCCCAGCCCAGCCACCAACCTCGTCCCCGACACCCACGTCAGCGTCTTAATCCCACTAACCAGCGTCATCTCCATAACCCCCCGTTCCACCTCCATCTCCATATCCCTCCACACCCACACCAAGATCTTCCTCTTCACCGCCACCGCCAACCTCGACACAATAGCCGGCACACCCGTCTCCGGATCATTAACAATATTCGAAGTGACTGCAAAAGTCGTCGCCCCCTTCGTCTTCCCCAATTGCTCCTGCAACGCATACGTCCCCAAATCATGCAGCGCCACATATCCCCCGGCAAGGGAAACCAATATCTTAGCCTCCTTAATCAACGCCAACTGTTCAATCTTATACCGCGAGAACTTTTCCACCTCGCGCAACAATTCCGTTTTACCCCCATTCCCATTCCCTCCATTCGTCCCATTCGTAACCGTATTCCCATTCATCGTACCCCCATTCGCATTCCGTATCGTCGCATCCTCATCACCATTACTCCCCTCACCACCACCTCCACCACTGCCATCACCCCCCCCCTCACTAGCGCTATTCGAACTGGCAGGCGACGGTTCATTCACTCGATATATCCTCAAACACCCATTATTCAACCCGACCAGGACCCGATCGCCGTACGCAAGCACGGATTCAATCCGTGATCGATCGCGCGGCTTCAGCTCAACGAGCGGTCGGGCCGTGAAGGCGGATAACATGTTCATTCCTTCCTTCGTTTCACCTTCCTTGGTTTTCTTTATATTTTCCCTCGTTTGTGTGTATATATGTGTGGATTCGGTATGGGGTAGTGTGCTATGTTGTATGCGTGAATAAATCGGTGTGTCGGGGTTGGTTGGTTGGTTGGTTGGTGGGTGCGGCGGCGAGCTGGCTAGCTCCGTGACGGAGGTTAAGGGTATGTGGTAGGTAGGTAGGTGTCGCCGCTTAGCCGAGAGTTAGGGGGGTGTGGTCATGTCATTTCATGTCAATGGGGGTCGTAGAGAAGAGGGGTGTTGTGTCTGTGTAGATTCAGTTGTTCATTGCGAGGTGTTGGAGTGTTGGTGGATGGGCGGAGGTCGAGTCGATAGGATAGCGTAGAATAGCGGAGCTGGGATGGACGGCCGGGTTGAGCTGCGCTCCCCCCGGGCCCGTGCCAAGCCTGACACCGACGGCTGATGGGTATGGATCCGTCAGTATGGCGCGCTGGCTCATGTGACGGGTATCCCTTGCTTACTTGTGCTTGGATTATCATTGTACTTTTAAAGTAATAGGATAAAGAGTGAAAACTGTATTCGTAAGAATAGAATCTAGTCTATTATGCTAAGCTATATAACTGAATGGATGTATCCCCCTGTTCCATGCACAGCGCTACTGATGTGTATCGCTATCCGCTGGCATATAAGCTCCGAACCCATGCAAGAATCTAACGTCCAACCAACCGATCAAACAAACACAGCCCATTGGGCCACAATCAAAGATGAGTCCCGACTTTTCAATATCAAAGGCGGAGGAACGCATGCGCCTTCACAAATGAAGGCCAAACCCAATAGGGAGAAAAATGGCAAAACTGATACAAGAGCATAACAATAGGACAAGACGGACTTGTATTGGAATAATAAACCTCACTATCTCGGATCACGCCTTGATCTCGGTGGGGTATTCCTGGTGTTTCGCCGACGTGCCCTTAGCGCGCCATGTTGAGACAGCCGGGATATCCGCCTTGAAGCGCTGCTCGTCCGTACCGTATGCCCGTGGCGTGAGCTTGATCAGCGTATGGAGCGGCACCTCCATCCATGGACTCTGCTCTTGCGGCGTGTTGAGGAAGTATGCGTAGATGCATCGGAGGACGGCCTGGTGCGTAACGATGATCACATTTTCACTGCGCTCCAGTTCCATGATGATGGGCTCTAGCCGGATGACCACATCACGGTAAGACTCTCCGCCACGGTAGCGGTAATTATACTTGTCCTCGTCGCGCGCAGCAAAGTCCTCCGGGTATTTTTGCGCGATCTGCTCGTATGTGAGTCCATCACAGACACCGGAGTCGAGCTCGTCCAGCGCCTTCCATTCTAGCTTCTCAAAACCCGTCTCAGCAGCGAGATGACGAGCTGTTTGGATCGTACGTTTCAGCGTCGATGTCCAGATAACAATCTTGGTGTTGGGTGGCACCCCGGACTTCTTTAATAGGCCAGGCAGAGCCCGGGCATATGCCTCGCCACGCTCTGAAATGTTGGAGTCGCCGCCGATCTTCCCAGTTAGATTATATTCTGACTCGCCATGCTAGAGCTTGTCAGAGACAGTGTAGGACAGTGGTGGATGCATCACTTACGCGGGATAGCCAGATTGAACGAGGTTTGATGTGGAGGTTCTGAATGTAATAGACCAATCGACTGGAAAGATAATCTTTGATCTGGTTGATGATGACTGTCGAGCCGACATTGATGAGTTTTACATAGGTGAAGTTCTTCTCATTATCGTCAATTGTCTCATAGGCCTTCTCATAATTGCGGATGCGGTTGCGGAAATCGAGGGCAGCAACTTCCGGATCCTGTCCCTTGTAATCCGGCGACGTCGTCTTGACTTCCAAGATGTTGTTCATGATCAAGTCTTCATCGTCGCATATTGACTCGACGTACAGTGTTTCAACGCCATCTTCCTGGCAGCGCTCGTGGATCCAACGCCGCCGCTCTTTCGTGGAATTCGTGGCATCGAGAATGGCTACCACACCTTTCCCGGACCTGAACCACTGAAGCATATCGGAAACCGCAGCCTCCGCGGCCGCACGTCTCATCTTTTCGCCCTCGGAATTATGCGGATCAAAAAAGGTCGCGTTGGGCTGCGGCGTGCCTTGACGACGGTAGGTGCCGACGTTGAACACCCGAGCGGGGATCCCAACCCAGGCGAGATATCGCATGGCTGCTACAGTTAGTGCCTGAACATACTAAAACCAGAGCCAACGTACCTTTTCCAGCTATGAGACTCTTGCCTCTGGCTGGGAGGCCAACCATGACCACACAGATTTTGGAGTCATCGGACTGGGAAGAAGAGTAAGTCTTTCTGGAGTTGCTGCCATTGCGGAATCACGTAAATGCCAGGGACAGCAGAGAATAGATGGGCGAGACAAAAGAAACAGGATACAAAAGACCGTGCAAGTGTCGTGATTCCAAGTTTTGATCGCAAACACCGGCAATTCCCCTCCAAAATGAGGGGTATAAGGCATCACCGGTAGCGCCTAGGATCAGGAGAGTACATAACGTCACCGGCAACACCGACACCGAGTCACCCCACATGAAACACCCAAGCAACGAACAATGACAACAAAGCATTCATTCCACTTACGCTGGCGAAGTAGGTATGGCCATTGCCCCTCCGAATCGCACTGGACATGACGAGCGGTCGGGATGAGCTTGGAATCGGCTGCTGAGTAGGTAGTTTGAGCGTGGATGAGGCGAACTTCGACCTCGGCCTCCAGGGGTGTCCGACCGGACGCCGGGAGAAGGGATGTAGGACGGATAGGGTCGGTAACGGGCGAAAGCGCAAGAATTCTTGATAGAAAAGGAGCAAAGTAATCTGCGACTTGTAATTTGTTTGGCGGGGATAAATGGGTCTAAGCAGTTGAGTTCAGACAGATCCGGCCTGTCTCACGACGGATTCTTGCGAGGAGAGAACAATAGTAGTAGTAGCAGTAGTAGTAGTAGTCAATGGAATGGATCAACAGCAGCTCTGGTTGGATGTCATTAACCCAACAGTCGATGCGGTGAAGAAGGAGTCGACGAGCACAGACGTCATTCCGCGGGGCAGTCGCAACAACGCCGCTCGGTCGAGGCAAGTAGTACTGGTATCTAGTCGGACCAGAAACACTCCCACTGGGCTGGACCCGGATGGATTGCAGAAGATCAGAACCGCCCTGAAAGAGTCGATCGCAGTGCATCCGGGGAGGCGTGAATTTCCCCAGTTTGTCAGGTCATCTGGCCCCGACTAATTGCCTCCTGCCACACGTGACCCTCTGCGTTTTCGTCGGGTAAAGTCGTAACGGGGCCTTTCGGGTCTAGCCTCAAGGACGGCGTGAAAATTTGGTCGAGGTGTTTCTCCTTTTAGAGGGATTTCTACTTAGTGAGTTATAGATAGATAGTAGTACCTACATAGTATCTACTCCGTAGCTGACATGCCATTATTGTTCAAAATTAGAGGCCTTGATCTCCAATGGAGCCGCGCTGATTGGGTCCCTTGCATGTCTCCTTGGTGGGACTTGAGCGTCTACCCCGTACTACCAGGGTGGATTTACATGAGCGATTTTCGACAGCGGACTGGGCCCAATAATCCCAATATTGGGTGTCAGCCGGACGATTCCGCCTACCTAGTTGCGGGAATTGAATCGGGTACGCGTGAGCTATGTCTACAAATAGCCAAAGGATAAATTTGGTAGATACGGAGTACTCCTGGTGATTATGTGCATTTGCATCTATTATAGATTCCAGGTGCTTGCCTATGCAATTCTTTTGCCGACCCAATGGCCATTATTTTCAACCTTTCCCCCTTTTTGAGTGTAGTGTCTGGCTGGCCCCGTCTCATATCCATACGGTAGATGCATAGCCCTACGGATAGAAACGAACAGGCCTTTGATGCTTCTGCACGGGACGGGAGCCCTGATAAGCATCGCCCCTTGCCGCAGACCCATGGCTTCCATTGGCCCCTGTCCGCGGTTGTATCAGCAGACGGAGGGCCGAGGGGCGGAGGAGCGTAGTTCGTAAACTTCTTTTGTTGGGGTGGAAGCCCCTTATTCATATCGTAACAACGTCAGGCATCTATTTTTAGCTTCGGGGGTGAAGTCTTGCTCTTTATGATGATGATCGCTCGGCAGTGTCGGTCTGTCGGGACTATACTGCGACCGCAACCTCCTCGGCAGCGGGGGCGGCTTCGTCCCGGCCGGAAGAGTATTTGTTTCTCCGGTCCTGCGAGTTGGTGTCTCCGCGGGCTCTCTGGACCCGGAGAGTGGCGCCCCAAGGGCCCTCCGCTCGGTTCAGCGCGTTCATGGCATTTTCAGCTTCTTCGGCGCTGCTGAAGTCGACGAACAGGTAGTAATGGTCACCGGGCTCGAATCTCTTCGCGGGGTGGGGAGCGAACAGCTTGCTGACATTCTCACTATCGACCCGAATTAGCATCTCGCACGACCAGCACGCACAAAGGCCAACCCTTACACATTGTATTCCTTGAAGAAGTTGGTGATGTTGCTGGTGATCGCCTCCTGATCAGTCAACCTCGGAATGCCGCCAACATAGAGGCGACGGCTGGCATCGCTGCTATTGCTAGGGCTGGTGCTGGCGGTCTTCACAGGAGTCCGAGGGGGCTGAGCCTCGTCGCCACGGCGCCACCGGTCCATGCTGAACGGGGAGGACCTCGTCTCGCGAGGAGAGGCATCCACGCGCGGCGACTGCTGCTGCTGCTGCTGAGCCCGCTCACTGGAAGACTTCACAACACCAGGCTTGATCTTGACAGGACGACCGAGCATATCCCGGCCATCCAGCTCCGTCATGGCCTGCTCAGCCAGCTCCTTAGTCTCCAGATCGACGAAACAGTATGAGGGGTTGCGACCGGTGAAGGGATCAATGGCGATGTCGATACGCTCGCTATTAAGCACTCAGTTTGGAACGCCCAGGGTTGTCTTCTTCTGTTCATGAGAATCCATACATTGAGAACTCGGCCGCATCAAAGAGGGCTTGCACATCCTCCGACTTGGCCGTGTAAGGCATGTTGCCCACGTAGAGGCGACGACCTTCCGAGATGGCCTGCGGGACATGCGGGCTTGGTCGGCTGAAGGCGAGTCTCGAGGTGTTTGTCTTGGGACCGGGGGACCCAGCGGCAGCGGTGCTTTGTCCACTGGGGCTCCCTTCACGCTTCACACGCCAGTTGGGAGAGTGGAAAGCGCGACCTGTCGTTCTGACCCCATTCTGGTAGATGTTCTTTTGGGGAGCTAGCCACGCATTAGCGATAAAGAGTACGGCCTCGGTTGGGCCTAGCCCCAAATGAGCAGCCCAATTGTATCGCTACACACTTTGTTCCTGCGGCATGGGGCTCTCGGGAGCGTCGACCATGGTGACGGATTTGCTTTTGTGACGGGTGGGAGCAAGGGTATAAAAAAGTACGTAGCCTAATCAATTCAAAGTTCGTTAGTATGAGCAAATCGCAGAATTTACCTATTTCCTAATCCGACAGGAAAAGAGGGACTTCATACCGGTATCGTTGGCTACAATGAGCAGTAGAACGGGAAAAGCGGGACGGACAAAGAAACGATCGCTTTTTCCAGAACCTCCAAGGCAGGATAAAATTCCCCGGGGAAAACTGTGGAAACCAACACAGAAAGACGCCGACGCTGTTGCCTGTGTCAAAAAATTGTCTACTTTTTTGATCCGAAATCGTACCAAACAGAGCAAACCCTCCAAACAGCGCAAACTGCTGGAGCTGACTAGTGTCGGTACCACCCATGATTGGCTTGTTAGCGAACCGGGGCAGTTTTTCGGCCATATAAAGCCGCTCTGTTTGCGTTTTTTCCTTTCAACTTTTCTTCATCCATCGGCGGCGCATGCTTCTTCCCATGGAGACTGTGTTTGTTGAAGACGCAATTTTCGACCATCGATCCGAGCTTACAGGAATATCGCTTGCTTGATATGTGACTGTTTTATGTGACAGTTCTTCACAGCTCTAGCAACTTCGAAGCTATGGGCTAATTTGATGCCCTGGCTACATCCAGATCGCAATATCACCAGTTATTCCTGCTTTTATGCTTTGTTTTGTTTTTTTAGCGATCAAACTCCCCAAACAAGTCATCTTTCAATGATGAAGCAACATTTCACACAGACCTGTTCCGAGTATCATACGTGCGGATCAAAAATTGTACCAACTGCTGTCTGACGAAGTGATGACTTGTTACCCTTGTTATTTGCATCTATCATTACTGAGCAATTTGCTCCTATCTTCCGAGAAAGCCTCTTGGAATAAAAAAATGAACAACAAGATAAAGAAAAACCCCCTTCATACATAAGACCTTCATTCGTACAAATAGTCATGGTAGTCAGTTCATATGGGAGAGGTTAGGGACTCGTGCATTGCTGAGTCGGCTAGACTTCTGCCCTAGAGAAGTGATTTAGCCTGGCGCTGTTCGTTCAGGAAGTATTATAGCCGGCCTCGGTCATAGGAATCTCGTCATCCCGCTCGTATAAGATTTCCGGTCGGACCTTTCTGCGAAGGATATACCTCTTGATGAAATAAGGGATTTGACGAAGTCCGTATGCTGCATGGAAGCGAGTGGAAACCGAAAACACCTGATCTAACTCTTCGAGGGTCTTGCTCTTTGTCTCAGGCATGAACATGAGAATCAACCACCAGCCGACGATACACCATCCTGCGTACCAGCTGAAAGCCCCTTGAGGGGTGAAAGCCGCGCGCAGGGACGGCCAGGTGATGGCTAACAGGCAGTTGAACAACCACGTCGTCGCTGTCGCCAATGCCATACCGTGAGAGCGTACGTAAAGTGGATAGGCTTCAGCAGAATAGGTGAACGGCACTGGGCCTTCCCCGACAGAGTACACGATGGCGAACAGATACGTGCCTAAAGCAATACATCCGAGACGGGCAGAAGCATGTGTCTCCTCAGGTATCCAGAAGCTGAAGCCAGTGAAGAACATGGATATGGCCATTAGAGGAAACGTGGTAAGGAGGAGATTGCGACGCCCGAAGGTGTCGATCGTGTATACAGCTGGAATGGCGAAGAGCCAGTTGATCATACCCCATCCAAAGGAAGCTGCCAGGGCCTTTCGCTGATTTGACACGGACAAGTGACTCGTGGAGCTCACTGTCCCTAGGAAGATCTCTGACGAGTAATAGGCGATTACGTTCACACCTGGAGTACCGTTAGTGTAACACATTTTGAGATAGCTCGGTATACGCACCGCAAAACTAGTTCAATCTCAGTTAGCAAAGAGTCAACCTTAGGGTGTGGAAGTAGGGTTGGACATACCTGTTGCATGAACATGACGAGTTCAGATGCAATCAACGCACGGCGATTTCGAGGCACGGCGATAAGTTCGATGAGTTTATTCTGGCCAAGTTTCATGCCGGTCTCCGCCTGGAGCAAAGTGTGCATGTAGTACAGGTCACGCGCAGCCTGGACCTTGTTGAAGCGCAAACTGCACATTGACTGATATGCTTTATCATAGCGATTCCGCGACATATACCAACGAGGCGATTCCGGGCATGTAAAGACAAAGCAGCAGACCAGCAGGGCCGGAAACATGGCCGAGGACATCATCAAGCGCCAGTTGAGACCGACTATCCCTGCTGGGTCCCGTACCTCGAAGAAGGCAAGGTCGGCGACGTAGCCGAACATGATGCCAAACGCGGTCCACATTTGCCATTGCATGACCAAGGCGCCGCGAATGGCAGGAGGTGCCGTCTCCGCGGCATAGATAGGCACGGTTGCAGACTTAGGACCGATTCCATAGCCTAGGGCGAAGCGGGCGACGAACATGTGCCACCACGTATTAACGAACCCTTGCCAGATACAAGTAATGGCAGAAAAGCAACAGGTGATGAATATGGTGCCGCGTCGGCCGAACCAGGCATTGAATGGAACTGTCAACCAGCAGCCCATCACCGCACAACACATGTAAGGTGCAGAGTTCACAAGCCCAAGCAGCCAGTTGGCCCTCGATTCGCTGCCCCGATCAAGCCCAAACTGGTGCTTATAGTAAACCTGGGCGCCATTGACAACGGTCTCATCTGTAAGGTGCATGTTATACTTTAGCCAACTGTACCTGGCACAATTGGATGGTACGGAGGAGCGCTATCTCAACTTACCCATCCCTTGAACAGCAGCAGAGAGGGAGCATAGGCAAATGACCAGCCACATTGTCCAAGGCTGGGACCAACGATGGGCATATTCGTTCTCCAGAACCTCCAGTTCCTCCGGAGTTAGACCGGGAACCTCGGCGTATTTCTCCGGCACTTGAGCTAACATGGCACCCATCGCAAAAGCACGAATATCCTCCTCATCACCCATCTGGTGAGTGATGGCGAAGTTGATGCCCTGCTGGCGCAACTCTTCCTGAGTATAGCCAGCAAGCGGGTTGGCCAGTTTAGCGTTCAAGTTGCGCCGCGCACGCTCAGCAGCAGTTCCAAAGGAGCGCTGGACACGGATGTGCTCCCTGTGGTCCGATGCATATCCGTCATTTGAGGCTTTATTTTCGAAGACAGACGTCCCGAAAGCTGGGGGATCCTCCTTTCCAAACATTTGTAAGTACTCTTGAGGATGCAGTCGTAGTGATAGTGGTGGTTGATAAATTGACTATCGTGGAAGCGAGAGGCTGCGCGGAAAGATCGACACGAGTAAGCAGGCTATTGAGGAGGCTAAGAACAAATTTGAGCAGAGAAGCGCAGTAGGGCATCAGTGACTCGCCAAAGAGATAGCAATGTGAATGGCTCATTCCATAACGGGGATAGCAGATCTGGCTGGACTGCTGGCGCCACGCCAGCTCGTGCTATAACAAAGAATATACACGACAACAAAGAAGTAGGATACGTGAAGACTGGACAGTAATAGGCTAGCCGAGCAGATGTGCCTCTTTGGGAGTTATAGTTTTGTGCATACAAAGGATCCGTTTACCACGCGTGATGTGATCCAGGGATATGATAACGGTGCGATGCGGTACAGATATGAAAAAGGAGAGATACATCACGAATTATTTGCAGCACATTTCTCAACTCACCTTATCAGCCAACATCACGAGGTGATGACCACAATGGGCCACGAAATCAGGCTGAGTTGTGAGGCCGCAGATGCTTGATCAGTGTCTGGGGAGAGCGGAAGAGCACGAGGTGGTCTGATTGGCAACGGACGGGGAAGAAAGGGTAATGCAGTGGTGAGTGGGCACATGCAAAACAAAGAGGCAGTGAGACTGGCAGCCCACCCAATGATAGCACATCAGGAATCTGGGGTTGGCCTCTGGTCGAGGCTCAGAGACAGCCTCTGTCCAGGATCGAGACAATGGTTCCCAGTCTCTCGTCGCAAATCTCTCGATGATTAATGGGCGATGACGAGGTTGTACAAGCCCCGTTTGCAGCGAAGGAGGTTACCATTGATGTCGCGAAGGTGGCTGCGGGTTCCGCATGGCTATGCAACCTAAGATGCCAAAGATAGAGTTTCTAAATCTGCGCTGAACCCGTCGACATCGTGGCACTTGTTATTATTCCGAACCTTGAATCGCTGATCCGGCAGGGTTACAGCGGAGACCTGCCAGCGGGACAAAGAAGGCTGGAAATCTTTACCGAGAGACTTCTTCAGAGTTCAGAGTTCAGAGTTCAGACTTCAGCGCGGCCCCGGATCTCCGTTGCTTACGGCCGCTGGCCCCGTGCGGGGTCGTTCCCCCACCGTCGGATCGCGCCAGGCACATCGGATGCAGAGACCACTGATGCTCTATCCACGACAGATTGTTTTTCCCTATCCGATGGTACTCTCAGGGTTTCCGTTCGGATAATCTGGCCATCCGCTCTGTCCCAAGGGAACTGAAAAGGTGTCAAGAGACGTCACTACCCCGCATCCCGATAACGGTTCTGTTATGGTTAACACTGACAATTGACGATCGATAAGGTCATTACACCCAAACTTGATTATAATAACTTTAATAGATGTCATATATAATCTCCCCAGTAGCAGCGGTGAGGCAGAGGATAGCAGCTGCTGTCAGCTTCAGTTGATGCTAGTAAGCAACCCCCATGCCCCTGTATAGCTTCCGGTGACGACATCGACCCATCCACCATTTGTCCACGACCATCGGAAACGGACTGTCCTGCCATGTATCGGAACAAGGAAGATATGCCGGATATCCTACAAACCCCGCTCATGACCTGAAGCTAATGCAACGCGAAATGCATGGGTCGGTCGGGAAGGGGACGAGAGGGAGGAACCTACCCGCTCCCGACCCGCCTCTGACGACGAGATGATATCCGCGAGGTCTATCCAGCTGCTCGATAAATAGCCAACACCCCCCTACAATCTATGCTTCTTTTCCCTCTTAATCAACATCTACATCATTTCCAAGCCCCTCTTTCCGCCCAGAATCCGCCAAACCTCACAATGCTTGGCAAGATCGCCCTCGAGGAAGCCTTTGCGCTCCCTCGCTTCGAGGAAAAGACGCGCTGGTGGGCGAGTCTCTTTTCCACCGACCCCGAAACCCACGTCAAGGAGATCACAGACATCAACAAGCTCCGCATTGAATATGCCAACAAGCACAGCGTCGGATACCAGATCCTTTCCTACACAGCTCCGGGTGTCCAAGACATCTGGGATCCCGTCGAGGCGCAGGCCCTCGCCGTCGAGATCAACAACTACATCGCAGAGCAGATCCACGACAAGCCAGATCGCTTCGGCGCATTCGCGTATACCTCCCCCTCTCCCTCCCTCCCTCCCAAAAACCAACTACTAACCCACATCCCAGAACCCTCTCCATGCACAACCCCCAAGAAGCAGCCACGGAACTCCGCCGCTGCGTCCAAACCCTCGGCTTCAAAGGCGCCCTCGTAAACGACACCCAACGGGCCGGCCCCGACGGCGACGATATGATCTTCTACGACAACACAGACTGGGACATATTCTGGCAAACATGCGCCGAACTCGACGTACCCTTCTACCTGCACCCGCGCAACCCCACCGGCACAATCTACGACAAGCTCTGGGCGGACCGGAAATGGCTGGTGGGACCACCTCTCAGCTTCGCACATGGCGTCAGTCTTCACGTCCTGGGCATGGTAACCAACGGCGTCTTTGACCGCCATCCCAATCTCCAAATCATATTGGGTCATCTCGGTGAACACATCCCCTTTGATATGTGGCGGATTAACCATTGGTTCGAGGATCGGAAGAAGCTTCTTGGGTTGGCGGAGACGTGCAAGAAGACGATACGGGAGTACTTTGCCCAGAATATCTGGATCACGACGTCTGGACATTTCTCGACCACGACGTTGAATTTCTGTATGGCGGAGGTGGGAGCAGATCGGATCTTGTTCTCGATTGATTATCCTTTTGAGACGTTCGAGGATGCGTGTGTTTGGTTTGATGGGGCTGAGTTGAATTTGGTTGATAAGGTGAAGATTGGGCGGGATAATGCGAAGAGGTTGTTTAAGTTGGGGGAGTTTAAGGATAGTAATGCTTGATACCTATGTATTTGTTTGGTGTAGGTGGTATGAAATCAGATTGTTACTTGGTAGTTTAATCGGATAATTTGTCATTTTATTTGAGTACTAGACACGAGCTGCGATGTTCAGACTAGGATCAGTACATCGGAGAGACTAACTACATCCTGTAGACATGCCACCGCTCGATCAATGTACATCTACATCATGTCAAACTTTGAATATTTCAAATCGTTGCATCAAGTCACCGTTGCACCTTTGGGGTATCTTCCTGGCTTTCCTTTTTCTCTTTTCGTTTGCCTCTCTTCGAGAGTTGTTTTCTTTCTGCTGTCATCTCCAGTCGTAGTATTCCGTCATGAAATCACATATGCACGGCAACTTGCTAGATTTCGTCCCAGCTCACTTCAATCTCACCAAGGTCTTCATCACTTGTCACTCACTGATTTTGAAAGAAAAGACCGTGAGGATTAGACTTCATGATCACCAAATGAGCATTCATCGCCAAAATGACTTCAATCGTCGACACCAAACCAGGGAATATCTGCATCAGACCTATTCGACACCTCGCGAGAAAAGTAACGGTCTTGGGAATTAATCTCGAAACCGCTATCAGAGCTCATCATAGTATCGGTCTGTTCGCGAGGACACTCCCCATTGGTACCGTAACGCTCTTGCTGCTGCTCAACCAAGATCCGAGCGTGTTCGCGGGCCTGTTCACGGATTTGGGCCTGCTGGTCGGACTGACGCAAGCGCGCGCTCTGGGCCTCGATGTGATGCTGAATCATGACGTCGCGCCAGATGCTAGGAGCCTCGCGCATATTGTTCAAGGCGGGCTCGATGTACTCGCGCTTGATCATCATGCTGATCTTGACAATGGCGTCGTAGTTCTCGATGGCTCGGTTGATCATATCCCAGATATCGACCATAAGACGAGTCATCTGCATGCGAATGGGATTCCAAGTTTCTTCGATCCGGATTTGGCGGTGGCGGATACTGATAAAGTCCGTGTAGATGTAGGAGTCGAAAAAGTCAAGGAAGACAGCCAGGAGGCGTTGCTCTGAGGGGCGGGGCTTGTTGAGGTGGCTGTGAGGGAATGGATGGGTTAATCTTACTTGCCTTTGATAGATGGGCGAGAGGTGGGTCAATGTGTTGGACTTACTTGATTATGACCTCGGCCATGCTCTTGAAGCGAGTCACCACGTTGTAGCCCTTGTCTTCGGCGATATACTTGATCGAGTGCTGAACGTGCTGCGCACAGTCAAGCTCCTGCAGGAGGACGTTGTTGATGATGGTGAGATATTTTATGATCTCCCCGGCAAGATACATCACTTCCTCGACTTCCTCACCGGTTAAAAAGCTCACGGGGTCAACGGGGGTCTGGTGTCTGCGGAATAGAAGGTATTCGATGCGAAGGATAATGTTGCACATGGCCACGAAGCGTCTCTTGGTGGCTGGTTTCATGCGGTCCGAGTTGACCATGATTCTGATTTTTTCAAGAACATCCTTCTTGCGATTCTCAGGCATAGCTAAGCCAGGACGGGGTTCGGCTCCTGAGTGCTCGCTCAACTGGGGGGTGGTTACTTCGCTGTCCATGTGAAAGGATGGTGGAACAGGACTGTCACTTCGAATAGGACCATTTCCATTGCCTTTGGAGCTAGAATGATCGGCAACGTCCTCCATGGTGAACGGGGGAGGTGAAGTCACGTCGGAGCTGACCTCCCTGAAGCGGATGACCTCTTCACAGACTTTGGAAATGGCGATCTCGTATGCCCTTTCTACTTCCTTGTCGACATGAGCCTCCGCTGTCTCGCACGACGCGTAGTACTCAGGAAACGGGTCTGTTGGGCTTTTACTCTTTGTTTTGTGTGGAGACTCAAGGGTTATAGTAGAGTCAGAATCAGGAAAAGACTCATTGCATCGTTTCTGTGTGTTCTCAATGGCGCAGATCACGGACGAACTGGGAATGCCTCTTTCACTCAAAGCGGGTCTTGGTTCTCCACGTAGAATATTCCTGGTGTTCATGGGATCCGCCGGTTTCATTTCAGCAGCAGGGCCGGGCTCATCCATTTCCATTTGAAAGACCATGCCGTTATTCTCATCCTCTGCTGCCTCACAACGCTTTTGAAAGTATGCAAGCTTCTGGGTGAAGACCTGACAGGGATCTATGTTCAGCGTCACGGCTCTGGGTTCTTCATTGATTGAGGGGTCTAGTTGTACGTTGTAGGTACGAAAAGCAGGGCCACTATTTGCAGTAGACGGGAGGGGAACAACCATAGTGAGCTAAGTCTCACGTGAAGTAGAAAAACCAAATATCAATGGTTATCAGAATGAGTGGACATGCACGAATTGATACTTCGACAGTCAACACAGTCACACGAAGAAAACAAGCTGCATGAAAGTATCAGTAAAAGTGAGAATAGAACAAGAAAATTATGCTAAGCGATGTAATTCACATCAACATACACCCCAGAGCGGGTAGGCCCTACTGAGACTGGTTTCTTTCTTCACTTTTGTCTCTGGTCCCTGAAGCTTCCCCGACCCGGCTCCCGGGTTCCCGGGATTCCGGCACAGATGTGAATGAAATGAGCCATTTTCTGTGCTGTCTAGGTTGGAGAGAGGCTGTAAAACTAATAAAGTCTTTGCTTTAGATAAACACCCTGCTTAAACTGAGTTGTCGACACTGGTGAAACAAAACAGGCATCAATGTTGATATCACAAGTGCAAATACATCATAACGAACAAGCGGCTGACCTACAAACTCTATATTACATTAAGGCAATTTCAAGATGGGCAACCACCACCCATGATACATTTTCGAGTCAGACGACGACTACAACGGGTATCTGGACTATGTCTCCAGATCATAGCAGAGCATACACTATGTAATTCTAGATGCATGACCAGCATGAATGATGGACAAGACGGCCCTTCCCGCATTTTGGCTTGTAGTAAGTAGACCGAGTTCAAACAGTCCCTGGAATCCTTAGCCAGCAGTGTTGGTTTCCTTCACAGGACAATGGGCACTGGTGGTCTCAATGTCTAACAAGCTGTTCATCTTTATTGGAGTGCGCAGGGGCCTATGTAGTTGCGGAGCAACATTGGACTGCAATGTACCGAGTTTGCTCCTGTTTCACTGTTTACTTGTTCCATGGATGCCTCAATGACATGCAAGAAAGATTGACCATTTCTCAGGCTTGCGGCTGATTAGAGTTTGATAGATATTGGTACTTTAGGTGGTTTACAGTTACCATGTCACACCACGTGCGTAACAGATCCGGTCGACTCAACCACCCGTGGTACACACTATTATAGAAACAATAGATAGATAATAGATCATTGGGTATATCAACAAGGAATATCTACCAATCGTGCAGGACTGTACTGCATCTCGATTCACGACGCTCACAGCAAAACGGCGCCAAACAGCACCGAGTAGCGTCTAAGTGATGAGTTCAATCAGAATGACCGAATAAGATGCAGTTCGACCCTCCCTCCAGACATAGCTGATGAAAAAAGCAGGTGAAATTGGAAATGACAAAACGCCCTCGCCAGCCATCCTACTTAACAGCCATGAACTGTGAAGTTAACAAGGGTCGGAGTTGTTCTGCGCACGTTGACTAATTGGCACCTCATTGACAGGAGTGTGACAACTCAAGATTGTGCGTGGGTATCGCCAGCGAATAGAGAACAAAGAGCAGAAAAGAAGGTGGGATACGAATATTCAATACTGAATGGCATACGCTGGATCAGAGTCAATCGTCCTGGCTGGAAGAGGCCACATCATCCTCATTCTCATCGTCAGGTAACGGAACATCCATGACACGTTCCCCAGCTTTCTCTAAAGCCCTGCAGCTCCAGGTCCTTACAGCCTTATAGACAGCCTAGATGCAGTCAGTAGGTGCTGGCTAGAAAGGCATTGGGAGCCAAACATACCCAGAGAAAACTACCCACCCCAATAATTATGACCAACCATGCGACGCGGTTCCGGCCGGTATTGCGACCCCCACCAAGCATACCAGTGCCACGCAGCGTCAATCCATGCCATGAAGACAGGGCGAAGATAGCTTTGATAAAAGACAGAAAGCCCAATGAGGCCAAGCCTTTGACGAAGTGCTCGGTCCAGGAAGTCTGCTTCTCTTCCGGTAGTGTACTCGTCACCGGTCGAGTGTCCCATAAGTCTGAACGGATGATGGGGTCCATGGGGTCCACGTAAAGGTTAATGATCGGGTCAGCAACGAAACCAAGCAAAAATATAGTAAGCATTAAGACAAATAAAGTCAGTCCGAGCTGTGTCAAGGGGCTACTGATCCAGTGCGCCCACTGGAGGCGCTCGAGGCGATAGTGGAAACCACAAGTCGGGCAGTGCCAATAGTTCCTCTTGCCATAGCCTGGGTCCGCGTGGCGCCAAAGCTGAAGACATCCCTCATGTACATAACGAGAAGATCCTTTGCATTTGCAGGGGCGAAGTAACCGACCAGACTCCGGGTCTGAAGATTTGTAGATCACCCGCTGCTTGGACTGAAGAAACCCAGGCAGATGTTCGGAGGGAGGAGGGAAGGTAGGGTAGACGGTCTCCAGGCAGATGCGACAAGTACGAGGAGGATAATGCTCTCCGGAAGACTCGCGCGGAGATCGATGCATATCAACAGGCTGACGGGTATCTTCTGAGCGCTGCCTTACATCAGAGTCAGGGTTCGAAGCTGAGACTGAGGTTGCGGAGCTTGATGGCCACTCCCAGCGCGGCTTTTGGTGCAGGTCCATTCTACCCGGAGAGTTTCGAAGCTAGTGACATAATATGTACTTCAGATCTACCAGCGATCTGAGGACCTGCAGTGTCAATCGATATGTCGATGTGTCGAAGAAGGCGCGAGGACGAGGGACAAAAAAAGAGGGAAAAGTGGGCGAGGGAAAAAGAGGCCAGCTTAAAAAGGCGATGTGGAGAAAGAGGTCGAGGGAGTAACCGCACTAGGCGCTCGCCTATCTCACCGCCCGAGGCGCGGCTTGGCGCCGAACCAGCCGGCGGTGCTGCTGCTGCTGCGTCAACATCCTGCCGCCTGCTGTCCTGAGGGTAGCTCCATTCTCGATCCCCCCCACGACCTCATCCCATCCTCCTTCACCTTTCATCCATCGCCTGCCCACATTCCCATCCCCACTGGAGCTTGTCAAAGTAAAAATACGCATCCATGGCTGATCGATACTCCTTCTCTCTGACCACGTTCTCCCCTAGGTAAGAGCAGCAGCCCACGATTCCATAGCTAGGGACCCTGCTAACATGGCTTGACAGTGGAAAGCTGGTTCAGATCGGTAATTGCTCCCACACGAATCTAGAAACACCTTATGCTGATCGATCTCAGAATATGCTTTGAACGCTGTCAACCAGGGTGTGACTGCTCTGGGTATCAAAGGTATGACATAGCTCCGGACCGGGACTCGACAGCTTCGAATAGCTACTGACAGCCAACTCTGGTCCACAGCAACCAACGGAATTGTCCTTGCCACCGAAAAGAAATCGTCTTCCCCGCTTATTGACCCGCCTTCTCTCTCCAAGATCTCCCTGATTACCCCCGACATCGGCATGGTCTATGCAGGAATGGGCCCAGACTACCGTGTGCTTGTGGACCGGGCACGCAAGGTTTCCCACACTGGCTATAAGCGCATCTACAACGAATACCCCCCGACTCGTATATTAGTGCAGGACGTTGCACGCGTCGTGCAAGAAGCGACGCAGTCTGGTGGTGTCCGACCGTACGGTGTCAGCTTGTTGATCGCCGGTTGGGATGAGGGCGTTGAGCCTGAATCGGGAGAGGCCCAGCGAGGGGATGATGAGGACGAGCCCAAGAAGGCAACCGGGAAGACGGGTGGCATCCTGAAGGGCGGACCCAGCCTGTATCAAGTCGACCCCAGCGGTAGTTACTATCCGTGGAAGGCCACGGCCATTGGAAAGCACGCGACGAGCGCAAAGACATTCCTTGAGAAACGTTACACCGAAGGTCTCGAGCTGGAAGATGCCATCCACATTGCTCTTCTGACTCTGAAGGAGACCATCGAGGGTGAGATGAATGGTGACACGATAGAAATCGGTGAGTTTCAAGTTCCGACGATTTGGGGCGCTATATGCTGACAGCTATAGGCATTGTTGGGCCTCCTGCCGATCATCTGCTCGGTTACGAAGGCGTTGAGGGATCGCGCGGACCCCGGTTCAGGAAGTTGAGCAAGGAGGAGATTGAGGACTACCTCACCAACCTATGAAATATTCCATGGATGCAGAACTTGATATATGGAGCCTTGTAGTATAATAGACATGTCTCAAGTCTTACGAGGTTCTTATGAAATGACAGCGTGTCCCGCCAATCCGGAAACTTGGGTGCTGCATGGCCGGTTTCCAGGGTTGAACCAGGGACCTGGCGAATCGTTTGGGCGGTTTTAGACTCGCCAGTAATACTTCAAAAACCTGATTTGGAAATGAATGCTCTTGTCAATGAAATTGAATGACTGCTACCGTCGTGCGGGATTCTAGTACTCGGGGTCTATCGGGCTTCAGATCATTGGCTGTTGCAGGGCACAGCATCTGCAGGGTTGTAGACTGGGCCAGGGAGTCAGTCCCCTCCCCCCCTTCGTAAAGTAGTCCACTTCCTGGCAATAATGTCCAGGCTGACTGTGAGAGAGAATGCTGGGCACTGGACCTTGGGGCCGGTAGGCGGGTTACTGCAGCAGTGGCACGTCCACCAGGGCAGCAGACCATCCTGAATGATCGCCGATGACTTGCCTTCCATCGATTTCTCCGCAGCAAAAGCAATTACTAAGGACAGCAAGCCCAAGCGGGGTCTCAACAATGGGGATTCCACCTGTCACGCAGCTTACCAACCGGACAAGACGAGCTCGCCAACGCCATCCTCTCGGTTCCTGGATCAACATTCCAGTCACCGTCCACCCTCGCTGTGGCCCAAGCTTGATCCACGCCATCTCCGATCCCCTCCTACACACGCGACTAGCTCGGTCTCCTTCCACTTCCCCGGATCTGACGACGCTAGGACGTTAGATGAAACTCTGTCAGAGGAGCTCCGGACTTTATGGACTACTTTGGATAGCTGTACGACGTCAAGACCACGGATGCGGTGTGTGTTGTGCATGCTTGAGTTCGATATCTCTTCCTATTTTGGATATCGGTCTTACAATCCACACCCCTCTATTGATGCCTAATGCTGCCGTGAACGCGATGGCTGCGACTCGGTTGTTCTAACATCGAGGGTACTGTAATTAGAACAAGTGACACTGATGGCGAGGATATTGAAGGACGGCGAACTGCCTTGAACAAATAAAATTCAATTGGTCGAGGACTGGGGCTGCAAACCTGGCCATCTTCGCAGCCAACATTGACCTCGTGGGCGTCATCTCAGCCAGGTTTCAAATATAGCCTGCGACGCCGGTGCCTAAGCAGTTCTTTTTGGATCCACAGCTCATGCACATGATATGGAAATCCCCTGATTTGCTGCATATTGTTATCGCCATCAGATACCATGTCCGTATCCTCTACCACAGACCCGCTCGATGGCATTACGGGGGAGCTTGCAAGCAACGGCGATGCGTTCAAGCTGGTTTTATTGTTCTTTATGGCCATCTCTTGCTACAATGTGGCTGAGCTAGTGGTTCTTGTCTTATCAACCTTCCGACGCTGGAAAGGCTTGTACTTTTGGAGCCTGCTTTTATCCGGCTGCGCAGGCGTGGTGCCATACACCTTGGGCTTTATTTTGAAATTCTTCACCAAAGCCAACTCGACTCTCTCGGTGACCATCCTCACCATCGGTTGGTGGATTATGGTCACGGGTCAAGCGATAGTCCTTTACTCACGACTCCACTTAGTGATTTGCGATGATCGCATCCTCCGGAGAGTGCTCTACATGATTGTCGCGAACGTTTTCCTTCTCCATGTCCCAACGACCATCCTCACGTACGGGTCCAATGTCGTCCACAGAAAGGCAGCCTATGTGATTGGATACAATATCATGGAGAAGGTTCAGATGACGGGTTTCACTATCCAGGAGATTGTGCTTTCCGGACTATATGTGTGGGAAACTGTGAAGCTGCTCCAGCTGTGCTTTGTCCGGGAGAATCAGAGAATCATGCGTCAATTGGTTTGGATCAATCTCGCCATGCTCGTTATGGATTTGCTATTGCTGGGTCTCGAATATGCCAGCTACTATGCTGTGCAGATCACTCTCAAGGGAGCGATATACAGCATTAAACTGAAGTTGGAGTTTGCGGTGCTGGGCCGACTCGTCGCCGTGGTCCAGAATCGACGACCAATCTCGATCGACGGGGATATTGCCCTCGGTTCTTTTGACCATGGAGCTGCCAGTGGCCCTGATCGAAGTATAGGATCTGCTGGAGAGAGTGTGTCTAGCCGAACACCGTGTTACCTTTCAGCCGCTAGGTTTGCAAGTCAGACGCATAGGGATATCCACGTGGGGAATGGAAAAATTGTGACAATGACGGAGCTATCAGCTTGGGTCGATCGGCCGAATGATGACCACTGCTGACCTTTCGAATTTGGAATCTTGTCTCATCTATTATTCGACGGGTAGTTATTGACTGGCGCGACAACATTGAGGATGGGAACATCGGGCTCATTGAGCCAAATCCAAAGCGTCGGGTATAGATACAATCACCCTAATGGGTCGACTACTATTCCTTTTCTGTCAATCCGACTTCTCATCTTCCATCTACCCAAGCTCCACCTCTGATTCATCCTCATCTTGACTGTCCGCGATCTCCTCTGCCTTTCGTTTTCGTTGGCTTGCAGTCCCTGCATCACTTTGAACCTGAGCTTGGTTCAGTGCCTCTGGTGCCTCTGGTGCCTGAGTCTCATCTGTGTGCTCTTGTACTGGCTCTTGTACCGGCTCTTGTACTGGCACTTCCTGTACCGACTCTTCCTGCACCGGCTCTTCTTCCTGCACCAGCTCTTCTTCCTGCACCAGCTCTTCTTCCTGCACCAGCTCTTCTTCCTGAATCAGCTCTTCCTCCTGAATCAGCTCTTCTTCCTGAATCAGCTCTTCCCTCTGGATCAGGTTTTCCTCCTGGACTAGGTCTTCCTCTTGACCCTGTACTTGCTCCTCCTGCACATGTTCCTCCTGCTGCGCCTGCACAACAACAGGAGCAGCCCCCAACTTACCCTCCGCCCCATTTTCAACAGCAAACAACCCATCCTAAACAACATCAACCCACCCATCCCCAAGCAAACAATTGCCACCAAAGAAAGGCAAAAGAACTCACCTCCGAAACCCGAAACGGCACCACCACCGAACCATCCCTTACACTCACCACCCTCCCCGCCCTCTTCATAACCTCGGCCACCCTCACCAGTCCCCGATCCTTATCCCCCTCATACCCAAAATCCCCATAAACTCCAACCCGAACAAAAACACACGCCTCCCACCCCCTCCCACTCAACACCGGCGACAATGTCGCCCTGACCTGTCCTCGAATCCTGGTATGCATTTGATTAATCACCAAAACCGCAAGATTGCCCTTACTCGCGAACTTGACCAGCTGAGTCGCAAGATCGCTAATCACGTTCCATTTCCGCGCGGCGAGCCATCTCTGGTTCTCCTTTTGAGTTTGTTGGGGGTGGTTAGTGTCGCTTGGGTTGGGGAAGTAGGGTGCAAAGGGAGCGGAAATGGAGTCTATGACGAGGAGGGTGGTGTTAGGGGGTGGGAAGGATGGAGGTGGGTGATGCAGGAGCGATAAGAGGTGCGGGAGTGTAGGGGTACGAATGTATGTTAGCTTCTTTACTGGAGAGTCAGATGACGACGACGCCGATGATGATGGGGCTTGCCCGTCAAGCAACCTGCGCAAACGAGGTCTAGGAAGCGGTGATGCCGTATCTAAATGCAACAATCAGTTCAAGTTCAGTCCAATCCCACTAATCCATAGATCATATAAATACCCACCGATCCAAACAACCCCATCCCCATTCCTCAGCGCACCCGCCGCAGCATTCATCCTAACAACCTCATACTCATCAGCCTACACCCACACCCACAACCCCTCAACCAAAGAAAGAAATAAAGAAACCACCCACGCCAAAGCAGTCTTCCCCGCCCCAGGCGGCCCAAACACCTCCGTAACATGCCCCACCGGCAATCCCTTCGTCTCCTCTCCTCCCTCATTGAAATTTGGCCCCGCGTCCGGGGAAATGGCCTCGTCGAGCGCCGACAGTCCCGTCGGGAGAGCGTTTCTGCCTGAGGCAGGAAACGCGGTGGACGCGTGTAGGGACTGCGAGGCTGGGAAGGAGATCACGCGGTCTGTTTAAGGGGGTTAGGTTCTGGGGGGAGGGATAGGAGGCGGGGGCGCGTACAGGGATCTTGAGTTGATAGGTTGGGGATATCTAATCTGTTCATTTTGGGGGTTGTGGTGTGGTGTGGTGTGGTGTGGGTTTACGCGTTGCGCGTCTTAAGTGCGGGATGGGATGGAAGTGTGGTGGTGGTGGTTGGGGGTCATGTTCGGGTCATTTCTTTGAGTGCTATTTTTTTTTTTTTTTTTTTTTTTTTTGAGATGAAAATAAAGGGAAATTGGTTGTCTGTTTGATAGGAAGTTATGTATAGGATAGTATTGTATTAATGATGGCTGCTTGCTAGCTATTGTTGAGGTTGGATTAGAGGTGGTGGTAATTGATGGTTGGGTGCTCCACTCTTCCCGCTGGTTGTGCCGTTGTGGTTGATCTTGGGTTTGATGGGTTGGAGGTTTATGTTTAGAGTTGGGTGGAGTGTGGAGTGTGGAGTGTGGACATAAGTATGGGGAGGAATGATAATTGGGATTCGGTTTGATTTTACCTGCGTTGGAGGGCTATGATATCTAGTAAGTTTAGGACAGCTCTTGTCGAATGCTCTTATTTCTATCTGTGTCTATGATCGGGTAAGGAACTAGGGTGTAGTGGTTGGTGGTTTATTCATGAATCGAACGTCTCGACGAAGATTCAGAGATCTCCTACTTTCACCAAGACACCTAAAATACAACGGCCCATCAAACCAAGCACTTCAGCAGGTCCCGTGTAACGAGGGACTCGGAATCGGGGCATCCCTGACCATCTTCTCCGCGGTAGAGTACTTCAGTCCTGATCCTCCATTGCTCTGTGCATCGGCTGTGGCTATCCTTGTGGTCGGACAGCCATATTGGAGAGTTTTATGATCTGCATACGAGCTAATCTGCATTCGACCCACACGCAAGCATACATTCATCTTCATTAACCAAGAAGCTACCAATCTCATTTTGGTACGGGCGAGCCTCATGTGCTGCACACAAATTGACTCTGATGGAAGTATGCAGGATATGGCCTCAGAATTGCCTTCCTCCACACCTCTAATCCAGACTAGACGACTAAAATGCGTCTCAGGGATATACTAAACTTATTCCAGGCAGTTGGCCTATTCCAGAAGAACGAAACGTCGACAACATCGAGAGCCTTTACTCCTCCTCTTCCTCCTCCTCTACATCTACAGACTCCTCCCTCTACGTCACCCAAACAAACGACCACACCCAAGACCTCACGAACCAATGTCGCAGATTAATTACCATGATCAACAGTATGGACGAAAGTTTCCACTCGCACGTCAAAGAGTTCCAGTCCCGACACAATAAAGACCAACAGGCCTGAAAAAGACAGAGCGATGAGCTCCATACCGGTCTCAAACAAACAGGCGCAGAGTTGAAAACCGTCAGAAAGAAGCTGAATCACTCAGAAGGCTGGAATAACCGACTCGAGGAAGAGATCACACTTAAGAGCAATTATTCGAGGGCCTAGAGGCAGAGCTGAAGGAGCCAAGGCGTAACAGGCGACGCCTGGCCCGCTTGAAGGGGTGCTATAAGGAGGCGCTACGTGACATGAAGAAGCTTCATGAGGAGGAAGACTGTGCGGACAATACACTGAACGCGTAGTGTGATGAAGATAGGGATGAGGTTCTTGTCGCGTCGATCGATGATGTCATAAGTGAGCGAAGTTGGTGTTCTGGGTCCGGCGGCTCTGTGCTCCGGTCTCAGAGGTGGTCAATAGAGGTACAAGTGTAAAAGGGAGATCAAATATTACCGAGGAAATCATGAGATACTGTGCACTTAGTTATTATCATCCAAGGAAAGAGTAATTCCTGTAATGCGGCACTCGTGGGGGTTATTTTCCTCGCAGAGGTTAAGGCATCGCATGTTGAGCGGATTTTATCTCGGGTTGGTATAAAACTTGTCTCGCATCTTTTTATTACCATTATGAAACTGAGCGTTCTGAGGTTGCGTTGGATTGGGGACCATGAATTCTGCGATGGTTTCAAAGAAGTATCTAGTTTAGACCAATTGCCGATGCTCATTTCTTCACACGAAACGAATGCCATCAAGGAATCAATACTCAGTGTTCCTAGGAGCCGATTAAATGGGTACTAATATCTAAAATGTTCGGCATAACTCGAGGAGTGGCTGAAACAGTATTCCCACGGGTGTCAATATATATTCATGGTACTCGTTCAATTAAGTCGAGCGTATGTGATTATATTCGACTATCACATCCAAGCCCCCGAAGTTCCAGCCCCAGCCAAGTCTAACCTCGCCGTCCTCACAATATCTAAGCCAGACCCATATCCTTGTAGAAGGCATCGGTCTTGGGCTCACGGCCCAAGAACTCAGTCAGCGTCGTCATCTCGTCCTGGCTGCCTCCCTTCTCCAACACCTTGTACCGGTAGCGGCGACCAGCTTCCGGGTTCATCGGGTCCTCCTTGAACACCGTGTAGAACATGTCGGTCGAGTAGACTTGGGAGCTGGAAGGAGGTTAGTGATTAGAAACTCAGCCCAAAGATATCCAACATACCTCAGGTAGCCATAATATCCAGCATCATAGCCGCCGATCAAGTGTCCGAAAGTCGCCTCACCGTGTCCCCATTCCTCACCCAGGCCCAAGCTCTCAGGGCCCTCCATCTGCGTGATTTCCTTGCGTAGAGTGTTATACGTGGCCGAAATGGGCAGCTCCTTGATCTTCTCGTGGCTCTCCGGCTGGTGGACCGTCATGTCGAAGATACCAAAGTGCAGCTGGCGCAAGTTGAACAGCGCGTCGTTGACGTGCTTGGTCCGGATCAGGTTCTCAATCACAGAGTCGGGAATCTGCTCAGAAGGCGCCTCGGTGGCGCCGGCATGCTCCTTCCAGGCTGCAAGATACTCAGGCGATAGGGCAGAGTAGTGCTTGCTGAGTGACTTTAGCTGGGATGGGGTCCAGCACCAGTTCTCCAGCATTTGGCTAGGAGCCTCGACAAAGTCACGCACCGTGTTCGTGCCGTGGAAACGAGAGTAAATGGTCTTGGAAACCAAGTCGTGAATACCGTGGCCCAGTTCGTGGAAAAGAGTGACCACCTCGTCGTGCTTCAGCAAGCTCGGCTTCTTCGGGGTCGGCTTGGTGAAGTTACACACAAGTGCCGTGGCCGGGTAGCGACGGTTGCCCTTCGCATCAATGAAGCCCTACAGTTGTCAGTACACTAAAATCCATACCCGAGACAGGATCAACATACCGGCTGCAGGTTGAAGTTGGCAGCGTGGCCGTACTTGCCGGTCCGAGGGAATAGATCCAAATACAGGTAACCTACGAATCCGCTGCCCTCGCCCTCGTCGTTCCAAACGCTGAAGATCTGGACGTCTTCGTGCCAGACAATGTCACTGCCCTTGCCTGAAGATGCCACCTTCTCCCGATCCTCACCGGTGATCTCCACAAACACGAGGCCAAAAAGCTCTTCGAAAATCTTCAGCATGCCCTCAATAGTAGTCTGAAGAGGGAAGTACTCAGCAATGAGCTGCTGGTCCAGGGAGTAGTCCTTCTCCAGCATGAGACGATCGTAGTATCGGTGATCCCACAGATAGTAGTGACCATCAAACTTCTCACCACGGGACTTCAGATCAGCCTTCTTGATCTCCAGCAGGGTGTTGACTTCCTTCTGTCCACCAGCTGTCAGACGAGACCGCAGATCACCCAGAAAAGTGTTGACTGTCTGTGGTGTCTTTGCCATCTTGTCCTCAATTCGGAATGCCGCGTGGTTGGGGTAACCGAGTAGGCGAGCGGCCTCATCACGTAGGATAATGGCCTCCCGGAAAAGGGGCACATTCTGGTTGCACTTGTTCTCGTTCTGAATCATGACCTGCTTGCGGGTCTCGGGGTTCTTTGCGTACTTCATGGTAGGGAAGAGGTCGGGGTACTTGAAAGTCAGCCAGAGCTTGCCCTCGTTCTCGCCCTCTCCCTTCTTCAACCCAGCTAGGACATCCTCAGGGACACCATCCAGCTGTTCAGGTGTGAACCAGATGCCCTCATTCTCCTCGTTGAGGTTCTTCTGGAATTCAATGCTAATCTGACTGAGACGCTTCTTGATCTCCTTGAACCGGTCACGCTTGGGGCCAGCGGGGAGACCCAGACCATTGCGAATAAAATCCTTGTGTTCCTTCTCCAGCAGACGACGGGATTCAGGCTCCAGAGATTCATTCTTGTTCAGCACGGCGTCCACAAGCTTGAAGACATCCTCGCGCATGGCAGCCTCGATGAAGAACTCATCCATTAGCTCCTCTGCCTTGGACGATGCATCCCGCAGCTCTTGCTGGGTCGACACTGCCTGATAAAAGCTGAGAATGTGGGATTCCAGAGCCATGGCGTTCTCATCCTGTGCCAGAGGCTTCACGACCGCGTCGAATGTAGCCGAGTCGGGCTTGACGGTAGCCACGACGTCATCTTGAACTTTGCGGGATGTCTCAATGAGTCGCTTGGCGTCATCGACGATGGACTGGGCAGTCGCGGTGAAGAGGGGCGGTGCCTGAGGAGGCCGACGGAGGTGCTCGGGGGCCATGCTGGCGGTTGTGAGGGATTTGCGTAGGTTTGTCAAAGCCGAATGGGAGCTTGTAGGAAGTCGAGAGCCCCGGAAGTGGCCCAGGACGGAGGAAAGTCGGAAGGCGGGAGAGGAAAGGCGAAGTGGAGGAGCCACGGTGACGAGGAGAACGCCCAGGAGGAGGACGAGGAAGGCGGGTAGATAAAAGGTGCGACGGAGAGGGGAGCTAATGGTGACGGTTGGAGGGGCAGACTGGTGAAAGGCGGGGTGGCAAGGGAGCTACTGCAATGGATTGATCCGAATACGTGGCTCGACAGTGGTGATGCAGAACAAGATGAGCTGGCCGGCGGAGGGTCCAAAGTCCGGCCGATCAGGTGCAGGTGGATCGCTGCTTTCCCCTCCACCCCGAACTCCCTCCACCCTCCCTCCTTCGCCATCCCTTTCATCCTTCATGATTTTATTCAGTCTTCCGATCACCCGCCGAGAATGGAGCTATGACCGCTCAGGGCACGGGGTCCACTCTTTGTATGTCTACTCTCTCTGGTCCACACTAGATAGATAGGTCTACGCAGCGTGCTGTTAAAATGGTTCAGGGTGACTTTGGATATCAAGATTCTATTCAGGATTTTAACAGTCAATGTTCCTCATCACATCACGTCACTTTTCGAATGAATGCCGTAAAACCCGGCGTCGACTCAAAACCCGCTCCGTCGACTTGAAGATCGGCCAACTCCAGCAACGCCAAACACACGAAAGAAAGAACGCCCCGAGTGCTAAATTAAATACGAAGGCTCATCGGAGTCGAGAGACAAGCAAGGATGCGAGAGCGCAAATGATACATCAGAATATAAGGGGAAAGCATCATGGACAAAGGACCGCTCATGCGGCATCAGCGGTGGGGATGGGTTCAGGGATCTTGGTGACCTGCTCACCAGCCCGGATGACTCGCTGGCCAGTGCCGTCGCGAACATACTCGGCGCCCTCCTTCTGGGCCCGCTTCCAGATCTCGACTTCGCAGCCACCACGGATCACACCCACACGCATGGTCGACAGAAGGTTGTGGGCACCGTTGGAGTGGTAGTAGATACCGCCGTTGAACATGGCAGTGGCGTCCTTGCCAATTCCAGAGTTGATCATAGCCTTGCCACCGGGGTGGTCCTTGATGAAATCGGTCACGTCATGAACAACACCGGCAATAGCAATCAGACCGCGGCCGTTCTTGGCCTGTTCGACGTAGTCGTCCCATTCCATAACCGGCAGCTGGTCAAGAGGAGTACCCCAGTCAAGCTTGGCACGCTTCTGATCGAGCTTCTTCTGGAGCTGCTGAACACGGCCCTTCTCGATCTCGTTGGCACGGAACTGCTTCAAGTCATAGGCCAGACCGAGCTGCTTCCAGGTCCAGATACTCCACTTGGTGGGGTCGTACTGGTGCCACTCAATAGCGTTGCGGTAGTCGGAGGGGAACTCGTGGTGGAAGTTGTGGTATCCCTCACCAAGGGTGACGAGAGCAGTGATGACGTGGTCACGGGGAGAGTTGCGGTCGTCGAAGGGCTGATCACCGAGCCAGTGAGCCAAGGAGTTGACACAGAAGGTAGCCTGCTGGACGAAGAAGATACGGAGGATGCCGGCATAGACAAAGCCACCCCACCAGTCACCCCAGCCGAGACCGGCCACGAGCATGGGGACGAACAGACCCATGGTGAAGACGACCTTGAGGTAGTTGCGGTGCTGCCAGACGACGACGGGATCCTCGTTGAGGTCGGAAATATCGGTGCGGCCGATACGCTTGGGGTTCTGCTTCATGACCATCCATCCCAGGTGAGAGTAGAGCAGACCCTTGCGAACGGAGTAGGGGTCTTTGTCGGTATCGGTATAACGGTGGTGAGCCCGGTGGTCACGCGCCCACCAGCGGATGGAACCTTCGACGGCACCACCACCAACAGCGGCGAGCCAGATGCGGAGAGGAAGACGAGCAGAGTAAGAGCAGTGAGCCCACAGACGATGGTATCCTGTCAAACAAGGGTCTGTCAGTATCTCGAGCCTATGAGGAAGCTGCTGCTAATCCTGAGGCGAACCAACCTGCGGTAATGCCGAGACCGGTGAAGAAGTAATAGATGACGGACCAGACAGCCGTCTTGACCTGCAGAGGCACCCAGAAGGCCTGGATGCAACCATACACAGGGATGCCGATGATCAAGAAGACGTTGAGCCAGTTAACGTGCTTGTACCAGTTACTGCTAGTGAGGGCAGTATCGGCGATGTGGACCTTCTTGGGGTCGGCGGCGCGAGGCCGGGAGGCGTCCGCTGGCTTTGCAGACATGGTGATGTCGTCTGTCTTCAGACCCTTCAGAATGATTCGGACGAGGGTAAGAAGAACAGATGGGCGAGAGGGTGGGTTTAAAGAAAGGGCCGGGTGAAGGCGACCAAGAGGCGAGCGATAAAAAAGAGACGGAGAAAACCGGTGGGGAATGCAATCGAATGGCAAAAGAAGTAAGCCGGTAGATCTGAGCCAGTGAGAGAAGGAAAATTCGGAGGCAGTTGAACTCTACCAGGGTCCACACCGGCGGATGATGGTTGGGGAAAAGCAAGGTGGGCAATAATGATGCGACTATGAGAACACGAGAAGACGATAGGTTAAAGGGAGTGGCCTGACGGCAAGCTCAGAGGCTGACCACTGAAGCAATCATAAGATCCCGAGGTAGAAACCGGCCGGCATTCAGCAGGGAAAAAAAGTAAGGAACAGACTGGAAGGTGTCCGGATCACTGAGAGCATCCGCGATGGCAGGTCGGAGTATCTCCAACCATACAGCGCCAGCCCTTCGTCCATCTAAGCTTGTTGGGCCGCCTCTGATTTGATGGCCGCTGCCCGGCCAGAAGCTGCTGTTTTGGGTAAGGCTTCCCGGGAGCCACCAATCAGCGCGGACTGCTCATCTGTTGAATCCCCAACGTTTTTCGCCCCCTGGCAGGTCCGTGTGGCTGGTGGCTTGGCTCCGGTGGCTACTCGTGGCGAGTGGCCCCGGTTCGATCTCGGGACGGCTTCCTTTTCCGCAGCCTGAACATTGCTAAACCATTCCGCACGATTCGAGACATTCGACTAGCGGTCGCCGTTTGTGATTCTTGGGAATGTCTACTTGAATCATTGCTTTTCCACGGCCACACTAACGCAGTCTAGTGCTGCTATAAGCATACATTGTATTACTTGGTTGGTCCACTAAACTCCGACTTTGCAGCTGAGTGCAGCCCTATGAGTGGACATTGCCACCGACTAGTACTCTGAAACAGTGAAGCGCCGTGTAATTATTGACTTGACCGGGAGCCGCAAGCTCGGCAGAAGCCCTTTCCGGGTGCTCCGTTCGTGCTGACATCCAATCGCAAACTAAAATGATCATCGCCATATGATTCAGGCATGTCCCCAACAAATTTTTTCCGCTATTTGCCACGTGATGGCATGTGAGTTTACCGCCCCATTCTTTTCAACTGCGTTCGCCTCAGGCAACCACATGACCATGTCAACCGGCCAAAGTAAGGCGTCCCACACCGCAAGTCTTTCAACCCCAGGCATCTTGGCACTATCAGTATCTGGACCCCACGTTATCAGATAGTAGCCCCAGAAGTACTCCGTGTTCCGTAACGGTCCTAAAATCTAGACCGGTGTCCAGAACAGCTTACCCCTGAAGCCATCGTGCCACCATCATCTGGTTGGGGCGGGAGACACTATAAGGATTAAGGGACTATACCTGCATGGTTTCTCTAGTACCATCCGAGAAGAAGCCTTGCACTCGTTTTTCTATTGTTGAGAAAGCATGATGTGTCTTGAATCGTAAATTGACGCATCACTTGACCCCGACCTGTCACTTTCTGCTTTTGGATCGTCGATCGTTTTGAGGTGCTCGCTACGGAGTAAGCGGAGATAAGTATATACTTCAAACAGCAGGGACCCTCTGCTTTACAACAAAAGCAGCGCTACGCTGCAGAAGCTGCAGAAACACAGTGTCAGTCTAGATTGCCTCAGCTAGCAGTACTCAGTCTTCACGTGGACCTACTAGTAGTATGCAGTGTCACTGTAGATAGTAACTATAGGGGATCATCGGTGTATCTTTCTATTTGCACCATGAGAACATACACTTTTCGTCCAATGACAGTACTCCGGAGTGGCAAGTCTGTCATAATTGTCGATTACGTGTCTGCGGTTTCTCCTCGGAATAATGGTTGTGAAGCTACTTGATGGCCGCAAAAAGAAATCGGCCGCAGAAAACTACTTGCTACATTGATGAACTATTTTCAAGTGGTTCGAAGATAGCTTTTTCTTCCCAGCACTCATACGACTATCGAGTCCGACTGCAGCGTCTAATAAATAGTGATTGACATATATCGTTGTTGGATTGGTATCATATGCGTCTTTGTGACTGAAGAACGATCTTGTCAGGGATCTGCCACGATAGATACAAGATAGCATCATTGTTACCCCTCATTTGCCAGGCACACCACTATTATAAAGATATAGGAAGACTGCTAACTTAGGGTGGCTAGCGCTTGATAAAGCAATGGCATTATAGTCTACTAATGACCAAGACAATAGCTTTATGCCCGAAAAAGAAACGAATAGAAGGCGTGATTCGATAATCTCACCTGCATGATTGCTGCATAGTATAGCTAGCCACTTGATCTACCCCATGTCCATCTTACGAAACTCATCAACATCATCATCGCAGATACTCCCAACCCACTTCAATGCATATGCGGTGCTCCGGATTTCTCCGCCAAACTATAGAGGAAAGGAACCTTCTTCCGGTCCTCGCCGATCCGAGGTTGGCGATGAAGATGAGCCGGTGGCTCGGACTGACGGCTCGGTTCCACTTTTTCTCTTCTTCACGGTGTCCGCGGCTGGACAAATCTCTGCCGATCGATAATCGGGTCGGGAACATGTGGGATTGAGATTGTCCGAGAAAGAGGCAATGCAGCCCTTATTGATAGAGTTGGACAAGCAAGGCTATTCATTGCACTATAGTTCGTTTGAGTTTCCTCAACGAGCGGGGTATTCTCAGCAATGACCATTGCGGAGTATCTATTTGGTACACCGGAACTTCTTCCCGGGTTAGCAGAATACAATTGTATCATTGAAAGACACAACAAAATTGGTTGTTACCCGCTGATATATGATTTGCGATTATGCTGTCCTAGCATTATTAATTTTGGTATGAAAGAGAGGCTGCAATCAGGATAGCGAGGTCTCCTTGCTCCAAAGACATACGCAACTGTGTCAGGTTTTGCACTTTGCTGATGGTTAGATGTGTATATAAGACTTACCAAGCGAGTGGCATCGAGTCACCAACTGACTATAAGGTTTGTCTTCGGTCTACACTCACTTATTCCACTTGTTGGTTGATATGGGTTACCTCATCCTCCGCCCTTTTGTATCCAGCCTGTCCTTCAGGTAGCTTCATCTTATTGCGCATCTCTCTTCTTCAGATTACGTATCCATCTACTTCGAAAGTTTAATAGAATTCCCCAATATTGACAAAAGCCCGCCGATATCCCGCGGTTCCTTGAATATTTGAACATGCAAGCATGTATCCCTTCTTCTTCGAGTTCTACTCTGGACCTTGGTCCCACTGATTCTTGAATCTCAGTACTTACACGGCATGCTCAAAGCAGTCTCCGTGGCCATAACAAAGCTCGACAACAGTCCCCGCGGCTAAGTCCCAGATTACGACTTCATACATATTATTCGCAGAGCCTACCAAAGTGGCATTATGAGTTATAATCTCCCCGGAAACACTAACACTACTTTTATTTGTCATGTAAACACGACCTGATTGACCATATTATAAAGTCACAGTCTGATAGTATTTCACTAGATGCGCCTCTCACGCCAAATGGACACGGACACAACGAGAAAGAGGAGGATTGGTACAGTTGTCACAAGCACGCAACACCTTTAGTTTGACAGGGAGAAGATGCTCGATGATATGACACCATCTAGACTGAGTGAGACTGGAAGCCCAAGGGCCAACAGTATTGGGTGATCCATATTCACCAATATGTCCAGATTGAGGTGCCTGTTTACTGGTACCGAGAACAGGATCTTTTCACGGAACAGATAAGGGCCGGGGTAATATTTGAAGACGTAATAAAAAGCCCAGCAAGTTGCATGTGGTCTGTTTAGCAGCAGGTATTCGCCTAGATTGTTTCCAAAATAGAGGTGCCTGAAATGGGAGAAATTGCGGGCTTGTTGCTACCTGGATGAAGAGGAGGATTAATCATGTGAGACAATGAATAGCTTCACTCTATATCTTGTATATCAATACAGCTTTTCAGGAAATAAATAGTATCCGAACAATCTGATTGTTAGTCCTCTATCGATGTACGCAGCCTCTGAGCACAGCATATTCCTCAGCACGTTGAATTAATAGCCCACCTAGTTGTAAGTGTTTTACGGACTTAATGCCTGTTGCCGACCAAACTGCTGCTAAAGTACTAGGGCTCATCTCGGGTACGTTGGAAATATATATCAGACCTCTGACTGACAAAGTATGCTACTGTTCCTAGATTTTACGAAGACAACCTAGAAATAGAAAAGTCATAACACTAGATACTTATGAGCATTTCATAATTCACAGAAAATGTCTCGAAAATTTGGAAATGACGGGAGCATCTCCGCGCGTGGTGTGTGAGCATGTGGGAGTTGGATTTATGATCTAATATGGGGTGTGTGATAGCCCAACATATTACCCTAATGTCCGTAGCTTAATGGGTCCGAATGTCTTGCATCACATTGTTTAGAGGTGCAAAATCTATTGGATGCTTGTTGGGGTCTACCCACTAGTTATCCATCTACGCCTTCTCCGGAAGTTGAGTACAGTATTGATGGATTGATTGATTCTGTATCTTGTATGATAATAGATTCATCCAGGAATAGCTGGTGGCAATTGTTATGTGTGATCTGTACAGCTATTCCGATCTTAATCTAGATATATGGCAAAGGTCATGATGCTCGCAAGGACCTCTCCGGAGAGGGATATATATAGCTTTGGTTCTGACACGATCTTAGATTGTGCATTTTATTGTGGGGAATGGGCCACTAAGTGGTATCACCGTTCCATGATGGTTGATTTGCACTGCTGGCCTGTGCCTTGCATTATGCATGAGATTTAGACTGCACGAGTAGGTAGATACCGATCGTGGGCGGTATGGGAAATAGCTAGAAGAGGGATAATAGGGAAGCCAGTCACCCTGTTGATATAAAATTTTCATTGCCTATTCATATTGACAGAGAAGAAAATAGACTACGTGGTCAATTAGTAGAATGCGACCTTGCAATGCGACGTGCAGCCAAAGATGTTAGTCACGGGCGAAAGTCAAGGTTGCGATAAAGTTGGAGCAGGAGGGAATCCATGACTAATGGATTGCCGGATTGGGGCTGGCGTTTCCCCGGACTGCGACCAGCAACAGAACCGTCGTCGATGCTTCGATTTTCCCCCTGGTGCGCCCTCTAGTACTAGCCGTAGCTTATATTTCCCCCGGCCCTCCCACGCTCTGGATGAGTTTTACTCCGGCCACAGTCGGGTCCGTCAGCTCCAGGCCCATCGGCCACCGGCTATCAGCCCCAGACACGAGGCATGGATTTCGGCGGAACCCGAGCTGGGGACAGATAAGCGGCCGGGGGCGTTACATGAGCGGACTCTGTCAGTGGCGGCGGCCCTTATCGCGGGGCCCACCGGGAAGCCTGAGCAAAGACCAGCCAACTGAGCTAGGCCGATGGCGAACCAGTCATCCACTAGTGCTGCCCAGACTTGCAGCTCGCTTGCAAGTTGGCTCGTGTGTCTGGCACGCCGCGCCAAAGATAACCGGGTTGGCCCTGACCATTATTCGATTGATTCACCCACCGTGTTTGCCACTGATAGCTGGTATCATCATCCTCTCCGCTCCGACCTTCCATCCTTCCGATCCATCTTCGACCTCCACGCCCGATGCCCCGTCTATATAGACACCTCGTCCGTCGATGTCTGGGTCCATCTTAGTCGATTCCCCAGATCCAAACTGAAACATCGTCGAGAACCGACCCCTCAATCCACTCTTGGCCAACCTGAGGTGACCCAGTTGTGCAACATAAGGAGACAACCATCCATCTTCTGTCGACATTCTTCAACTGCTTCCTCATACTACTTTTCTCCGCGACATCAACACTTTTCACATCGCAGAACTCGCCTCCTGCCGCCATGGACGGTCCTGATCAGATAGGCCCGGACTACCGGCCTAAGCAGACTTGGGGGGATAAAACCCGTCGTCTTGTCAAAGCCTTCACTACAAGGTGCGTTGGTGAAACCAGTGGTTCTCCGCTGGTTTGTATGCTAATATTTCCATAGAGAGGGACTCATCGGAGATTATGATTACTCCTATCTGTTCACCCCGAACATCCCCTTCATTACGAAGAGGCGAAGCTCGGCTCCATTCTTCGGACTTGAAGACCGAGTTCCTGTTGTGTTGGCTCTGCTACTCGGATTGCAGCATTCGCTGGCGATGCTGGGTGGAAGTAAGTGCTTTCCGATTCTTTGGCCAGATCAGTATTAACCCTCATAGTCATTTCACCTCCCATTCTAATCGGTGGTACGGCCGGTGCCAACTTCGGATCCGAAGACTACCAATACCTCGTCTCGACATCGCTCATCGTCTCCGGTATCCTGTCCGCCATTCAAATGACCCGCTTTCACATCTATGGCACGAAATACTACATCGGAACTGGTCTTATCTCTGTCGTGGGAATTTCCTTCGCCACGATCACTGTGGCATCTGGGGCTTTCGAGCAAATGTATTCCACTGGATACTGCCCCACGGCCGAAGACGGGACTAAGCTACCATGCCCCAAGGGCTATGGTGCTCTATTGGGAACCTCGTGTCTATGTGCCCTGCTCGAAGTCGGCCTGTCTTTTATGAGCCCTAAGATCCTGAAACGCGTCTTCCCACCCCTCGTCACCGGTCCCACCGTCCTCCTGATCGGTGCCAGTCTCATCCAGTCCGCCTTCGAGGATTGGGCAGGTGGCTCCGGAACCTGCAGTGACAACCCTGGCAACGGTGCTCTGTGTCCGAGCGCAGACGCGCCGCACGCTCTTCCTTGGGGAAGCGCGGAGTTCATTGGTCTTGGTTTCTTGGTCTATGTCTCGATTATCATCTGCGAGCGCTTCGGTGCACCCATTATGCGATCCTGCTCCGTTGTGGTTGGTCTGCTAGTTGGCTGCATCGTGGCAGCTGCATGCGGGTACTTTGATCGCTCAGGAATTGACGCTGCACCCGTGGCCTCCTTCGTCTGGGTCCGCACGTTCCCGTTGGTCGTCTACCCGCCCCTGATTCTCCCACTGCTGGCAGTGTACATTGTCGTCATGATGGAATCGATTGGAGACATTACAGCCACCTGCGACGTCTCCCAGGTCGAAGTCGAGGGTCCCACCTTCGACTCGCGCATCCAAGGCGGTGTTCTGGGTAACGGTATCACCTGTATTCTGGCTGGACTCTGCACCATGACTCCGATGTCCGTCTTCGCCCAGAACAACGGTGTCATCGCTCTGACCAAGTGCGCCAACCGCACGGCCGGTTACTGCTGTTGCTTCTTCCTCATCGTCATGGGTATCTTCGCCAAATTCGCTGCTGCCCTGGTCGCCATCCCCAGCTCTGTCCTCGGCGGCATGACCACCTTCCTTTTCTCCTCCGTGGCCATCTCCGGTATCCGCATTATCTCCACCATCCCCTTCACCCGTCGCAACCGATTCATCCTGACCGCTGCATTCGCCGTCGGCATGGGCGCCACCCTCGTCTCCGACTGGTTCGACTACTTCTTCACCTACAGCGGCAACAACCGCGGCTTGACGGGTCTGCTGGACGCTATTGAACTGGTCATGGAGAACGGGTTCGCCATCACCGCCCTCCTGGGAGTGGTTCTGAACTTGATCCTTCCCGAAGATCCAGAGGAAGAGGCGGCTATTCTGGACGCTCGGGGCGACCACCGACGGAGCGAGGACGTGATGACCTCTTCGGAGAGCACGCAGTTCACCAAGGGAGAGCCATCCGCTTCCCCCAGTGCATGATGCTTTAATTCTTTTGGTTATATATATTAGGTTGGATTGGCGATGAGCTTGGTTTTTATTTTTCTGGATACCCTTCTTTGTTGACCTAGATGGTCATTGATATGCAATGGACTTTTAATTATGCACATCGAGCATTATAGTATACTAATGTAGAATATAGTCAGCTAGAAGAGAGAAGTATAGTAGTAGTAGTACAGTCCGGCACCATGAGATCATCACACTCCCTCTACCTTCTCCCCCGGCGCCAACATCTTGATATAGAAGTGTTCGCCCGTCTCCAGTACCGAGACGGGATCGTTAACCCGTAGCGTGAATTCTAAACTCACGTTAGCATTTCCAGGATCAAACAACATCAACAATAGAAACAACCACGTGCAACAACGCCCGCCCCCACCATAAAAACCAGAAAACACAAAACCTCAAACAGCAAGGGGACGGACAAAGAAAGTCACAAAGAAAACTACTCACCCCTAACAGCCGGAACCAACTGCATGCCCAAACACGCATTCGTACGATCCCCAGCATCTATCTTCCGATAACTCTTCATAGTGCGATCCGGTTCAGAGGGGTGTCTAATCCCCGTATCAGGATCAACGTTGGGTAACTTGCAGCGAATAGTTCTGCAGACTGTGTGAATCTCCACGCCCGTCTCCACTGACCCCGACTCCGACTCCGACTCCGACCCCGACATGCGCCCAGAAGACAACCTGGAAGAATCACCTCCAACCCTAATCCTCTTCCACCCATCCTCCTCAAACCTCCCCGGTCCCTGAACCACGACATTAGCCCGAAACCGTCTCACACTCAAGCACGGAATATCCCCCGCACACCGCCGGGCTACGTCCCGAATACTAGCCATATTGACCAAATGCAGAGGATAGGCGTCCGCGAAGCCCGTGACGGGCTGGAACCCGATATCTGTCTTACGGGGAGCGCAACGGAAGATTTCTCGGTGATGGGTCTCGCATTCTCGGAAGAGGGTGAGAGGGCGGCGGAGCTGCGGCGGGGTGGTGGTGTCGTAGGTGAGGAGGGCGCGGAGGGCATCTGGGATGAGGTGGCCGTAGTTGTAGGCTAGGGGGGTATCTTTCCAGATTTTGACGGGGGTGAGGGGGAAGAGGTGGGTTTGGGAGGGTGGGGGAGTCAGGGGGATGGTAAAGGAGGTGGTTGTGGGTAGGAGATGGAGGCGTTGGAGGAGGTTGGTGAGTGGATTGGTGGAGAGACGTGGGTAGTGGATGATGAGGACGCCGTTGGATTGGATTTCGGGCAGGGTGGGTGAGTATGAAGGGGAGGTGGGATCGGGGATCCAGATCTCAGGGCGGAGGAGGGCGAGGTTTCGGAAGTCGCGGTCGCGGAGGGTGCGGGCGGTCCAGTGGCTGGTTGGGGGTGAGGGTGAGGGTGAGGGTGAGGGTGAGGGTGAGGTTGTGATGGTGATGGTGTTGGTGTTGGTGTTGGTGGATGATGGAGGTGGTGGAGATGGTATGAACTCGGCGAAGCAGAATAGTCGGTCGTACTTCAGGCCTGTTTCGATCACCTCGGCGGTTTCGAGCTCCACCCCGGTGCAGCTTTTGATCGGGTATGTGAAGAGAGCTTTGATGCGCCAGGCCGGGTGGCCGGATTCGTCGGCGGCGGTGCAGGGCACGCCGTGGGTGTATTTGGGAGCGTATTCATCGTGGAGATTGGATTGCTGTGATGGAGAGAGGCCGAGTCTGCGACAGCCTCTCAGAGGTGGGGGAGTGGGGTTGAAGTAGGGGATGAGCAGCGGGATGCAGAGGATGATGATGATGGGCAGAGTGGAAAGCCAGATGATGGCTGGCAGGGAGGTTAGACCATGGTGGAAGGCGGTGGTGATGGCGGGGAAAAGGTCCAGCATTGGCAGTATAGTGCGGTAGATGGTAGATAGGTGATAAGCGAAAATCGAGTATAGGAGTGAAGCGTATAGTATAGTGGACAAAGGAGAAGCGAGACGAGAGTGAATTAATTGATTAATGACTGGAGCCGAAAAATCGTGTTCCTGAAGATCCGGCAGTTGCCTCGGAACCAGCCGACCAAGGTGGGGCTTTCTTTCAATCCACTCTGGTACATATAAGACGAAGTCGTTTCCAGGATATACGGAAATGTTGAAAACTTGATATGTGGAGGGATGCCTGGACACGTAATTACAGGGGACATGGTTGGGGGAAAGATATTTACAGGGGACAAAGTAATGGGAAACATTGTCAAGAAAAAATCCCAGAAAAAAACCAAGAAGGGAAGAGAAGAACGCAGACGGGACGGAATGGTCGAGGATACTACTGAGAACAGCCCGCCTCCACCTTACACACCCGCCTCGACAGACCAGGGCAATGATAAAGCACCCAATGAGGATGAGAACAACAGCCCGACTTCCCCTCACGTCCACGCCATGGCAGACCTGGGAAATGAGAACCCTGTGAATGAGTCAACCATCTCTGCAAATGCCTCTGCGGGAGACCAAGCCAATGATCATGCTTCTGAGAGAGACCCCGCCAAGCTCTGGTGAAAAAGGTGATGAGGAGGAAAGGTACAAGACATCCTTAGGGGGGGAATTTGGCAGAGGAAACGTCGGACCAGGCATTCTGAGGGGTAAAGCTAATGAGAGTTATCTAAAAAGGTGCTTATTTATGTGATTGGACACTGAAAGAATCCTGTAGACTAAGTAGCGGGGACGACTAAAGCTGATGAGAGGTGTGTAGCTGTCCAACTGTAGTGGTGTGGTGACGCCGCTTCCATTTTGTATGACAGAGTAGGTTCTAGACCGGAAACAAACAAGCAATGGGGCATAGCTGAAAGTCTGGACCTTCGCGGGCGCGAGGAAAGCCCGCAGAAGAAAATCAATGTGTTGTGAGAAACGTTGGAAGGGTGGGGTCAAAGCGTGGCTGGCTTTACCAGACAGACAGACCAGCCGGGCATCTTCTGCTGACTACTCCTGCATTGTCATCACTGCACACATGATTGATTCCCCTGGACTTAGCTCTATAATGTGTCAAGTAGGGTGACGAGGGAGGGGTATATTGTCTCATCACGGAATGCTCGTCAAAGGCACTGCCTGGCCTTTGCACAGCGAGCTTGGAGGGGAGATATTCACGATGTGTTGGTACGTCTTTGAGCCTTGCTTGAATGAGCGCTCGCTTACGAATCATGGCTACTTTAGTGTCCTTCGGTTCTGTTTACCCACCGGCATACGGATTTATCATTGCGAGTGCACTCGATTTTCGCTTCTCGGTTTACACTGCGGCACTTGTGGAATCGGTGGAAGCCTGAGAGATAAAGGAAGGCCTCATAGGATCGGAATGATCCAATAAAGGTCGAAGGATGGTTGCTTTACGTTCGGCTTGAATCAGTCGAGGTCACCAAGCACTTGACTGTACGAAGAATTGTGTACAAAGAGAGTCTTCGATGGGCAAGGGCTGATGGGGGGAATAAGACGGAATATGGGGTCCCGAATGAAGGGAATTGAAGTGTTGTTGTTCTAATTCTATGGCAAAGACATAGTCCAGACTTTCCTCCTACGCCGATCCATCGATTCCATCACCCTTTCGCCGTCCTCGCCCCATTTCTCGAACAGCTTCCTCACCAGCTCATCAATTCTCTTCTCATCCTCTTCTAAAATGGGCTCGAAAGACTGTTTCGCCGATGAAGCCTTTTCCGTCCAAACCTGATATTGTTCCTCGTCACCCTGAATTTTGCACGTCTTGGCTACCGCCTCCATTGCTCTGACGGTCCGCAGAGAGTTCTTCCCCGCCAGCGTGATCCACGTCTCCACCGCACGACGTTGAATAGCACTCCCCTTCATCAGCTTCGGGCCACCTTGCGATACAAGTATGGTAGCTAGGATGGTGGACGCTTGAAGAGACTCAGGACTATCTGCACCGGTTATGTCTGTATTGGTCTTCAAAGCCTGGCGCGAGAGCGCTTCCGCTGTCGAATGGTCCCCCAGCCCTTGGTACGACCAAGCAAGTCCGCTGTCCAACTGGGCGATCATCATCTTCTCGGGAGTTGTATCCTGCCGGAATCGCTGCCAATAGCGATCTTTACACTCCAGGCTGAGAACCAAGGCATCCATGAATTTACCCTGGTAGTTCAGCGTATCTCGGAGAAGTAGAGCGGTTTGCAGAGTGCGCATATGCGCCGTGCCCAGCAGCTGGACAAAAATCGCCTGCATGTTCTCGTGGATAAGCTGGGAACGCTCCCACCGCCCCATTCCGTTTAGCACCTCAGCCACGCTCTGAATGAGACCAAATGTGTGAAGCAGAGAAGATACGGTCGACTGATCCGGGTCCCAGGCTTTTTCGTACTCGTCACTTAGAATAGCCACCAAAAGCGACCCGGCCGAACGACAGTTTCCGATCTCCATATATGCGGTTGCCAGATTGGCCCGACCGCGTGCCAGAGTTACCTTTATGGGCTCTGGATGCGCCCCAAGCTTTTCTACTGCTTCAGCAGCCATGCTCATAGCAGCAGAGTACTTCCCTTGCTGGAGTAGGACAGAGGAGCACTGGATCATTACGGCCGGTGATAACCATTCAATGTGACTTCGCCCACTTATAACGTTTATAGCTTCTTGATATTGCTCCTCTGACTCAGCAGCCTTTCCAAGCTGCTGATACACAAAACCAAGGCTCTGTAAGCTAGACTGAGCCACATTGGGCAGCTTTCGGATGCGTGGTTGGATCAACCGCACGGCATCTAGCGCAACATGCTCCGCCTCCAGAAAATATTCGCCCCGATCGAACCCACAGTCCGTGAGGCCATTTGCGATGGAGTTCATGCGATCGACGTTTTCCCGCTTTCCGGAATCGTCCGCCGTCAACGGGTACTGCAATGCGGTATAGAGGTGCGGCTTTCCTTCTGCGTGTCGTCCCTGCTTGATGAGATTGAGACCTAGCTCACACTGGCTGAGACAAGCAGCGACGGTTCCTCGACCGGAATGGCGTTGCTCAATTTGAGCGACCTTTTCCCGAAGAGCTTGCGCCGCAAGGCACATTTCCCAGGATTCGTAAAGGTCGGCCAATCTCCGCATTGCCGTGACGGTGATCTGCTGGTCACCTGCTACTCGGATGCAAGACTTTACCAGCCGCACCAAGAGGGGTTCAGCGTCGGCATAATTGCCCAGGGTGGTGAGGGCCTGACTCAGCCCCGTGATGGCTTCGAGCTCTATGGGGGTTCCCGTTGCTTGGAGATCGGCAATCAGACCCATAGCTTTTTGAAAGACATCTACTGCTGCAGCTGGTCTGCCCATATCTTGCAGCACACCCCCTGAATGAATCATGGCCATGATAGTATCGTGTCCCTGATCCCCACCGCGACGAGGATGAGCCGCAGACAACTCTGCATTCAACAGCAGAGCGTCGTCCACACGTCCAGATAGCTGGTACAACCATGAGAGAGTAGATTTCTTTTGTAGTACGGGAAAGCTCATTGGCCCATAGACTTCGTTGTAGACAGGAAGTATTTCCTTAAGCAGAGCCTCCGCTTCGGGGTATAGCTCTTCCCTGATATAGGCCGTGATTAGGTTAGATTTGGTCACAAGCACAGCAGGGTGATCTGGAGGAAACATTTGGAGTCGGATTTGTAGTGCTTGGAGGAAATGTTCATGAAGTACGGTGTTCATGTCATCTTCAAACCCGATAAATCCGAGGATGTCATAATTGTATGCCTCCAGAGCGGGACTAGGCTCAATTTCATCCAACTGTTTTATGGCCAAGTCACCTAGTTCCTTGGCCTTGGTTATATCTTTGTTGGAATACAAAGCTATAACGGCTTCCGTCATGGCTTGTACAGTGCCTTCCTGTTCCAGGCCGAAGATCCACTGCCGCACTTTAAAGGCCTGCATTGCCCAATCCATCGCCCCTTGGTGGTTTTGAAAGGCACTGCATGTCTTCGCAAGTTTCAGCATCAGGGCCGCAGCGCACTCGCCACATATAATGCCGTCAGGCGCATGGCCTTTGAGTTGTTGTTGTGGTACGAATGCCGATGGGATATCCTCGCCAATGAACTGTATCTCATCAGACTGAAGCAGGGCGAAAGCATGTGGCATGTAGGCCATGTAGTTATCCACTACCCGCCATTTCAAGCTATCAACGCTCGGAAAGTTCTGACTCAGGATCTTGAGTGTGCTTGCCGTCCACTGCCGCAGCTCATGGTTTTGGGCTAGCCAGCTTCGCGTAGCTAGCCGTACCAACCGGTGCATATCATATGTGCCCTGCTCTCTGGATATTGTATCTCCTCGCGCATTACTAGTAATAAGCGAAAAGGCCTCCAATATCTCTAATGCTTTGACTAGCTCCGGGGGGAGCTTTCCCGATGCGACCACTAAAAAGATAGGGATTGCATGCGACTCCAGTAGGGACATTCTTTTCAACATGTCCCCGGCGACCGGAAAATTACGGTTGATGTACTCAAAGGAGATGAACCATGTTGCTGCAATGGGGTTCCTGTTGCTTCTCTGCTCATTAAGAACATCGTCATAATCCTCGTTGAGTACGTCCAACTGCGACTGAGGGCTCTCGCAATACAGCTGTAGGTACTCGCCGGTATCGATGCCGTTGTGCTTCATGTATGCTGCGGCTTGAATGATGGCAAGTGGGACACCGGCGAGCTCTTCAACCAAATCCCTCACGGCTTCTAAACTTGGCTTGGATTCCAGTCTGCTGACCAGGAGGTCTTGAGCGTGGCTGGTGTTCAGTCGGTCGAGAAGCAACAGCCTAGATGAGGAACCGGTGAAATCTAGTCCAACGCGCTTGTCACGCGTCGTCAGGAGGATGGATCCATTCTTGGAGCGTGGTAGCAAGTCAACGAGGCGATCAGATCCATACAAAACTTCGTGGTCGTCGGCATTGTCGAGCACAATGAGCCACCGTCCACTGGAATCGCTCTCAAACCATTCCGTCACCATATACGCGCTATCCCGGTCACTGGCCTTGTACCCGACAATGGAGACTTTGCGGGCAATTTTTTCGTATGATTGGAGAAACATGGCCTTTGTCGATGCATGGATCCAGAATACAGAGATGGACGTGCCCTGAAACTGGCGAGCATATTCGAGCGCCACCCGGGATTTCCTGGTCTCGCTCGAATCAGCCTTGCGACAATGTATGATCTTGGACTTTGGATGAGCACTCACCCCATGCCTCCCGAAGCCACTAGTGCCACGCGGTCCTGTGTCTTCAGCTCATCCGCCAATGCCTTCATAACCTCATCCCGCCCGACCAATTGGTCGTCACTGTGGATATCCACCATAAACTCAACAGTATCGTTCTGGGGACTATTACCAACCGTGTCCACCACTGTTTCCATGGCATCTGATGCCCAACTCTGTAAGAATGCTTTGGTGCAGGCAGCTGCTGTAGCCGCTGCATAATCCTGCCACGGCTTGCTCTTATGCGAGTCTGCATAGTCGCAGACACCTTTTATGACAAGACTGGGGAAGAAACTGCAAAGATCGACACCTCCCCTCTCCAACCCAATAAATCTCTCGCGATGAGCAAGCTCATCGCGGTGGCTGCCAGATTTCATGACTGTGCTTACTGAGCCAATCTGACCGAGGTGAACAGCTGGAGAAAAGCCTGCTATGATCGGGTCTAACCCTTCAGAGGTGACAGTTCTTTCCCTATGCAAAAGGTTGTCCTCGTCACATCCGAGGTCGCTGCAAGAAGCCTCGATCGCATCCATGCACACATTATCGGTTGCACAGCCAGTGCAAGTGGAAGTGTCACGGTGGCGATGAAGATATGACGGCTGAAAGAGGCGGTCGGACCCAAAACCAGGATAATGGAATTTCCCATGAGGTTGACTCTGCAGCGTCCGGAGCCGTGTCCGTGTCTCTTCCTGAAGACGACTGTGATAGTTATCAGTCTCCAGCTTTCGCAAAACGGACTGTAATGGCGAGGGAGGAATATCCTCTCCGGCTGCCCCTTCTTCGGCGTGCTTGAGGAATCCAATCTGGTGTTGGCCGTCAAAATTGTACCCAACTACTGACTCGCTGATAATCACATCTCCTAAGAAGATCTCTATCTCTCGATGCGGGTTGGACGGGACGCCACCGCAGACTCCCACCACCAGAGCGAGTTGAATCCCAGGAAATGTGGCGCGGAGATCGATGGCAAATCCAGCTGCGCTGTCCTTGCCCAAGTGCCGCACCTGCGCTACCACGACATTGTGGGCGCCAAGAACACCGGTGATGTACGCATTGGAATCACCGGGGCCTTACTGTAGAGCTCTTCAGTATTATCCCAGCGATGGTCGAGTAGCGCGATCACGGCATCTGCTTCGCGGGGCAGAGCGCAGATGATGGCGATGTGAAAGTCATGACGATCGCGAGGATGGGTCACCACGGTCATTTTCTTTGCATGTGGAAAGGTTTATCCGCCAGCAGCCGTTAAATAGGGGTATCGTGGGAATTGAATTCTCCTGTGAGCTGCCAGTAATCTGCGGGGTCTCCGTTGTGGGGACTGGAGAGGAAAGGGAAAGAAGAGGTGGTTGGCGATGACGGAGGGCAGCGAGGCTGGGCGATTTTAGCGCGCCAGGGTCCAGCACTAACGCCTACTGAATCGGGTAGCTCACAACATCCGATATGAGTATCCCCACAATGGAAGAAGCTGTGAACTTTTCCATCTGATGCTGGTTTGTGATATGGCTTCTTGGAGGCGTTTTCGATCTACTGTATCGAGAAAGCTGACGGACTGGGGATTTGTGTGCGTGTGGTGCTAGGAGAGCGGAGTTTGGAGTCTGGGATGAGATGAGAGTTATTTTGTGAAAGCATTCAAAATGATATACAAAAGGGAGTTTCGACCTTACAGATAAAGGAGAGCAATCTTTCCTCGTTTCTGAGTGTCATATCCTGTGTCTTTCTCCGTATCATCAGTTTGGAATGATCATGAATACGAGGGATGTTTGGCGACAACTCGCTTCATACCGAAGGAAGACGAAGTATGAGGAAGGCAAGAAGGTAGGAATATCAAGCAGCTAGCTTACCCTTTACTTTACCCCGCACCACAGCTAGTCCTATTATAATTGTCATACACGCCGTCATACCCACTCCACTAGTCAGCATACTCAATGAAAAGCGGCCCCAAGCCGGATTTAAAACGAAACTGCAGTGCTTTGATCATCAAGAACAATATCCAGACCAATCCACTGGCTATCATATCCACCATCCCCCACAAGAGAAGTGCCCTCGCGATAGCAGTTCTCCAACGGCACGGGATCATCCACCGCAACGCTGTTCTAGACACAATTCCATAACCATAAGCGACCAAAGACACTGAAGAAAGAGCACTCATATATGCCACAAGCATACAAACTAAGTCTTCTAATCAAAGTCAATATTGCCAAGATTTCCTCCAGTTATCGCCCAACCACAAACATATCCCTACCAGTAATTACCCACTTATCACATATACAAAAGCCAGTCTTAGAATTGCATTATACCAAATATCCCACTTCTATACAAATCCCCACAAATCATAAGTATACAAAACACCCAACCTAATACATCCCCCACCCCCCACTCACACAAACCACCTGACCCGTAACCCACGACGCATCCGATCCCGCCAACCAAGCCACAACATTCGCCACCTCCCCCGTCGTCCCCAACCTCTGCTCAATCGGCGTCGTAGCCTTCTGCAAATCCACAATATCCTTCGGAATCCTATCCAGCAAATCACTCGGTACCGGACCAGGCGCCACCGCATTCACCGTCGTTCCATCCCCCCCTAGCTCCGCAGCCCAAGCACGCGTAAACCCTTCAATAGCCGCCTTCGACGCAATATACAAACTAATGTTCTTGAACCCGTACCGCGCACCCACAGAACTGAGGTTGATTATCCGGCCTTTGGGCGGTAAATATGGGATGACGGCCTGGGTCATGAGCATTGTCCCGCGGACGTTGAGGTTGAAGACCTTGTCGTAGTCTTCTAGGGTGGTGTCTTGGAGGGTGTTGATGATTTCGATCCCGGCGTTGTTGATGAGGATGTCGATTTGGAGGGGTGTGGGGTGGAGGTGGGTTTTTAGGGTGGAGATTATTTCTGAGGCGCCGGTGAGGGAGGATAGGTCGGTTTGGCAGGTCCAGGTTGTTGGGGTGTGGGGGAGTTGGTTGATTTTGGTGCGGAGGTCGTTGATGGCGGGTTTGCTGCTGGTGGAGAGGTAGGTCATGCAGATCTGGGGAGGGGGTTATTCTCGGGCTGTGTGGGGTTGTTTTGTTTATAGGAGGGTGATGGGATGGATGGCTTACGTTTGCTCCGCGGCGTGCAAGCTCGTATGCGAGACTGGCACCGATGCCGCGGGATGCGCCGGTTACGATGGCTAGCTTGCCTTGCAGTGGAAGGGTGAATTGGGTTGCAGAAGTGTCCATGGTAGTTAGCGAGGATTGCGATGTTTGTTTAGAAGTAAAATGGTTCATCTGGTTGGATTGTCGTGTATGGCGTAGGGCATTATATAGGTAGACAGCAAAGTACCCTCAAACATTGGCTTATGCTAGTTGGCGACGTCATTGTCGGGTATAGGAAATAAGAGCGTAAATCCGAGGTTAGAATCCTGTAACCCTGTTCGCTATAGACTAGCGAAGCAAGCGTGTCCACGAACTACGGCGGTTACTGGGTAAAGACAATGTGGGCCTCTATAAGTGATCGGTATTAAGTGATATTTGTGGAGCCGTTGTGATATCCCAGTAAGTCATGTCGAACCAGCCGGATATAAGTATATGCTCTGACTATCTCGGGAAGGAAGCCACTGCCTCGTTCAACTTCAAGCCCGGTACGAAATCCCTCCAAACTGCCATTTCAGGCCATTAAAATAGACCAAAAGGCAACGTTCGCTATAGACATGATTCCGACGTAGGGAAAAGATTGATATCAGGACGGACTGGACTCAAATAAAAGGCTCGCTTGATTTATGCATAATCTGACTACCCCGGTCGATTAAGACGTTGGAGAAGTTTTGCCTCTCGAAAAACTATACGCATGATAACAGGCAATCGAAAAAAGCCAGCCAAAGCCAAAGCCATTTTGGAACATGTTGTGAAGCTCATACCATGGACTCATCAATCTCATTTGCGGACATTCACTCATTCGTCTTCCAGGAAACATCAAGCCAACAGGCGCGAATTTCAATGCCAACTGCCGAAGCTGCAGGCCCGAGAATGCCACCAAACAATCACAGAATATCACAAGCTCCCCACGCCTGCGCCTGCGGAGGGCTAACAGGGACTTTTACCTCACCAGCCACCACGGTGCTGCTGCCATCAACACCCTGGAAGCTGCAGAACCCACCACCAGCCGAGGAGATATTGGTCACTGCCATCGGATTGGCTATTGAGAAGACTCGTTAGTTTTGTCGCTTTTTCAAACCTAGGAGATGAAAGCAGATAAATCGAAAAGACACATACTGATAGCATGAGTGCTGTCGTCAGCTGGGAAATTCTGGCCGAAAGAGGAACCATCAGCACCCCAGAAGGTAATGGCCACCTGGAACGCGCTGTTCTCGACAGGGCTGGCACTACCTAGGGCAGCGATAGAGGATAGGGTTGCGGCGATAAAAGTGGTTTTCATCTTGATGATGGATGGAAGGAAGTTCTATATGAGTATTGTTTCTCGTTGTCTGATGTGTGTTTTTGTTTAATTGTACTCGACTCGATGGGGAGAAGCACACAGATATATATATCGTCGGTCGCTCCTTCCAGATCTATGGAAGAGCACACCGCTTCAGCCCAAAAGGGCATGCAACTAAATGTGCACATAAAGTCCAATCCTGATACATACCAAAAATAGACCTCGATAGGTCTGATCGACTGATGTCATTAGGGAGCAAAACATCGGATCACATTACCACGGGACGAGATCGCCACTGTCAGGCAAGCCACCCGTGCAGTACCAAAGCCACCATATACAAACCTGGCGAACCACAACTGGCTGGAGAGAGACATGACCCAAGGAAATATTAAGATTCAGATCTCGTCTGACTCAGCTCGTAGGGCCTGATCGGCGCTTTACGAGGTGTGGGGTTACCCCACGGGAACTCCGATTTGTGAGGCGGTCAGGCTGGCATCCACAGACTGAAGGAAATATTCCCGCGTCAGATGAGAGAGAACGATGGTTCATAGCCTAGTGATGATTGTAATGAGTCGTTGTAGAGGGGGTGCTGATCATAGTGAGAGGGAGATGAACATAACAGATCTCTACCAGACAATACGGGCAGCTCGTTGAAATCATAGAGTTGACATAAGAAATAAAGAGTTCTTCTACAACCACCACAGCACATGATTATGCGGATTTGATATCCGTCGGCTGTGGTCGCCGAGACATGATCCAGATTCGGCTATTTTCAGGCTGCTTACGCCGGTAGTCAGGGTAATATCACAGGAAGGTAAATGAAGACCGTGCAACCTGAACGCAGACAGTATACATCAATACCCAAACGTTATGAGTCAGCTTAGACAGTGGCTTAGACATCAACAGGACATGGATTTTGGTACTAAGCGACGCAGGAATATAGATTTTGCTTGAATCGTTAGTCAAGCACGACAATATTTATTCCATCCACAAGGCTTAGTTGTCGAATACAGCACGAAAACACGATGAGCTATAGCTCCCCTGGACTCGACGGTAGCCTTGACCATTTTGATTGCAGCTGATATGCCACATAGGGAGCAACAACGACAACAACAAAAAAACGACGGAGATCCGGGAGAGCCGCACATTATACTAGACAGCGCTTTTCATCTGCCTAACTAGGAAGCTGGCCATTGCAATTACTTTTTTATTCGGGAAGCTCCTCTTGTTTTGTAGGGAATGTGGTGGAGCATCGAAAGCACTTCACAAAGAGGCTTTCAAGAAAATGAGCGGAGTACCTTGCACGGCGTCTCAAGAAACATCCAATGGAACAAATCCCGACCCGTTGAAGAGATTGTAGAGAGATACAAGCATATTCCGCCGAGTAAAAAGCGGATAACCAAGAGGAGAACCGGAGATTAGCACCACCATGCCGTCAGAAAATGCTGCCACGGCTCTTGGCAATTGTTCTCTTCCCGTTTGCTTTGTTGAGCATGGCCGCATACCTGGCTTCAGTCTCAATGCCATTGACGGTCTCGATAAGTTTGATGTAGCCTTCGTCATCCAACGCAAACAGGGCCTCCTTGACCCAGACACGACAAGTAATGGATTCATGGAAGCGTGTCGAGTACTCCATTGGGACCTGTGAAAGGCGGATTTCCAACGGGCCGTGCAGTGCCGGGTCCAAGTCACCGATTTTCAACGCCAGAACATATCGCCTGGACGTGTTCACATCCTGGTTTGGCTTGGGTTCGAATGTCCACACCTTTGGGTTCGGGGAGTTAACGATCTCGAAAATGTCACCGGAGGTGGGGGTCTTCGCAAGGTAAAGACCCCAGTGGAAGGTCGACTCCGCTCCACGGTCTGACAGAAGAATGTAGAGCCCATTGGTTTCGAACTGCAAGGCCATGAGGGAAATGACAGGCGAATATGCAAGCAAAGCACCGATGCAAGAAGTAGTGGGTGCATTAAGCGGCATGATGAGACCCACGCAGGTTCAGGCCGATCTCTAAGCGCCCAAGGCTTGTACTGCGCCACGTTACAAGGGTCAGTGGCTGACAGGCGCATTCAAAGGGGAAATCGAAAGGCCAAGCCACACCCCTGGAATCTGAGTCCCTCATATGTATGTTGCTCATACTATGAGGGTTCGAGGGTATGTCTTTCATTCTCCATAGAGAAAGTTGCTAACTCGGCTCCAGTCCCATGGGGGCTATCAGGTGACATCTATCAGTCTCGCATTCGTCCTTTGATCGCCCATTTGCAGTGACATGTCCGCTAGCAAATTCAAGACATGGCGAATTGCGGGCGACGACTGTTCACTACTATTCTATCTAGCTCAGAGCTAGTAGGAGTTTGAGTGGGTAAGAATCCACTCGATTCGTACGCCAACACGAGAAGTGGGGGGCGATTCACACCGGGTTGTTTTTGCCGATGAGGGTAGAGGGATTTTTCTGGAGGCGGGCTGTGTAGATTGAACTGATCTGCTATTTTATCAGAGGATTGTGGGAGTCCGTTGGTGATTTGAGGATATACCCAGCGTTGAGTGGCACTTCCGTGTCATTAACAATATGAGGTGTTGTTGGTGGTGTTGTGTCGGCGTGGTTGGTTCCGTTGGGGAACCGCTACCGCCGTACTAGTGATGGCGCCAGCACAGAACAAGTTCAGGGGCAAATGACACATGGGTATCTACCAGTCGGAACTTGAGCTCCGGTTCCAAAAATCACAGTCCATGTGAAATTAACAAGAAAGCTGGGGCACTTCTATATTGAGGCTGGTAAGTTTTGACTGGCCGGACAGAGCAGTGGCGAAAGCCATCCCTCTATTGGTCTAAATGCAGACCAGATTTCTCACATAAACATGTACAGTTAGATGCGTCATTCCAGCTAAACCGCATGGGAATATAATGCGAAGAGATCAAAAGTGGTATATTGATGTATGGGCGCCTTTCATTGACACGCATGAAGGCGCAACGCAAGCTTCACGACCCTCAATAGGAAGCAGAGCATCCAAGTACAGTAGCAATCAACGTGGTGTAGACTGTGCTGACCACTGTCACGACTTCGTCGGGCTCAGAAGTCGGAGTAGAGACAGCAGGTGGTGTATTAACCTTTGCTCCACCGGATGAACGGATAACAGGGGTTGAGGCTGAGATTGAGCGTGACACTGCTAGCAGTGATGAGGATGCCAATGCTTTTGATGGGGTCATTGTAGATGATCGGATAACATTGGAGGATGAATGCAGAGACTGCACCAAAGAGCTGGAACTCGATAAGCTCGAAGAGGGACTGGACTGGATCACTCGGGAGCTAGCTGAGACTGGTACAAGAGGGGCACTAGCAGCGACTGAGCCGGAAGACGAAATAAGAGATCTTGAAGGACTGGAAGATGCGGCAGGAACCACACTCGAGTGTGATGGGGTTGATGTCGGAATAGTTGGTGATACGGTCGCAATGGCGGATGATGAACTGGCTGGAGCCGGAATGCTGGAAATTGCTGAAGAGCTTGAAGTGGAAACCGCGACGGTGGTAGTATAAGTCGATGTAGTGCAGGTTTCGAGATCATCTTCCTCAGAGACAGCCAAAAATTGTGCATTGTCCAACAATATCTCCGGATCGGTACTCGATCTAACCACATAGACCAATATGTAAAACTCATGACTGTCGCTGGTGGGGGTAAAAGTGGTCGATATTGTTTCCCACGACGTACCAGCTGCAGTATAGGTTACCCCTTGGAGAGTGAGCCTGTTTGCTGAAGCGATGCCGTCCACGCATATATAGAAAGCAGCTGATCCGACCATTCCAGCAGATTTGATCATGTAGTCGTATGATAATGTGTAGGATGCTCCCACGGTGAGACCTGTTACAGTCTGATATATAGCGCTCATAGTTTGGTCTTCAGCGAGGGTCCTATTCATTCCTTTAATTTGGATAAGATGATAATCAATGGAAAGTCCATACTCACGCTACATGGCCTCTGTTATCCGCAGTATCCTCCACTACACTTGCTGATCCAAAACCTGTCATAGCATTCCATGGGCTCAAGCTTCCAGTGTCAAAGGATGGATTGGTCAAGAACTCGGCAGTCGTTGTACAGGACTCAGTTGTGCCGGTGATTACGGTGGTCCCAGCGGTAACAAAGGGGAAAAATAGGCAGGAAGTCAAAACGAGTGTAGTTGGAAGAAGCATTGTGAAGAGTGATGATATTGAAAGAACGACGAAGTCCGTTTTCTTATTGTTTGATTATCCAAAGAACGACACAGTAGGGATCATATAATAAAACGTATAGCTATTCCAAAAGCCACGAGAAGGAAGAAGGAGAGGAAAACACAACGGAGAAGGAAAAAATTATGAGAATATTGTGATGGACAAATGGTCCGTTTAACCTAGAAGAGAATGGTGAGTCAAAAGTAGTGATTTTAGGCGATCTGGATGACCACTCTCATCCGTCGACAAGGGGTGCGAACTTTCTGCCACGACCAATCAGCAACCTAGTTGAAAGCTTTGGCAGTTATCCATGATCGAGGTCAGTAATCCTACTCGCGATCAAGAAAAGTGGGTCGGTCGAGCTGTGATGCTAGGTTGGTAGCCGGCGAAATGGTCTTACCACGCTAGGGTGCTTTTCAGATTCTTTCATACCTTGCTATTTGTCTTCAAACTCCAGATATCACCTGTGAAAGGAATAAGTGCCATGACTAGGGACTCCGCTCAGGGCAAGTACGCGATGCAACACCCACTGCATGTCGAGCAGCTCCAGAGATGGCAGAGGGCGTCCATCCGGGTCATCGGTCTCGAAAATCATCTTATCGCCCGATGACACTGGCATTTTTGTTTTAAGATTATAAATTCCAGCACCAGAATTAGACACACCTTGTAAGTTTGCTGGGAAGCTCGGGCGCGATGTCATGCTGATCTGTCGAGCATACGACGATGATTGAAGCCAATGAAGTTGGACAGTGAGGGTCTCTCGGTTGGACGAAAGCTCCAATGGTCGCAACCCAAACACTGCCTTATCCCAGAGATCATGGATATGCAAAGCTAGGGATATCAGATTCGAACATCTTTTGGTACCTCCAATCGTTGCTCTCTGCCATGAATCGACGCGCTCCGAAGACCAGAACATGCGCAGAGTAGACCAAAACTTCCCAGAACGAGTATAGTTTCATTCCACGCCTCCAACGAGGGTGTAAAAATATGGGCAGACTCAAGGGGTACATCTGCCTGCGTGACAACGCACAGTCCTTTGTCCCTCTCCTTACACTCCTCTAATTAGAGGGAGCTTAACGGACCTTTCTGAGGATGCATACTTACATTTGCAATCGCAGTCCCACTCTCGGGATCAAAGATCGCTCGGCTCGGGGCTATTGGTGACCACGGGTGACAGGTTACTAGGGATAGCAGTGAGCCACCGGGCTGGACTGGAGGAAAGGAAATTATTTCCCAGTGTGGTGGGCGTGGTTCGTTGAGGTTTGTAATTCTAGTCCATATCCTCTCAGGGTAATCCCTCCAGAATCTCGAAGACCCTGCATGGAAGAAAACAAGTCAGTCAGAGTTATCGAATGTTAAATTCTTCACCACATACATAACTTCAGTATATCCAATAGTTGATTTCCAGCATCTTGCAAAAGGAACCGAGTCTTGGAAGGATCTCGTTTCGCAGACTCATGGTGATTCTCCAAGACAGAATCATCGCTGAACCATAAAGTAGCGAAAAGAGGGGAACCAATGTTCGTAAGGCCGGTGATTTCACTCAGCTGGCATATTAGCTGAGCTTTCTTGTCAGTCAGCTCTTCCAAGTCCCCCATCATGAAGGGTTAACGTGCTCGAACTGTTGGGGAGTTAAAGGAGAAGTGGTGGGGGGATTAGCAGATTTTGTGGGGGTAACGGAGTGCAAAGTGCGAGCATGATGAAGACTGGTGGAGGGATGTCGCTACCACTCATGACTCGAACAGTCACCACATGACTTCCAAGCCCTTGATTTACTGGTATTTTCTTCCAATAATGACTCAGCGTCCTATGACGGCAGCGTTGTTACAGTGATATCATCATATGTAGCAGTTTTTTCTTTCGAGGCTAGTTCACCATTCGCATTCAACCATACAATATATCAGCTTCTAAACCATAGAATATGGAGCCTCTTCCTGCTTCCAGATCAAGGTAGCTGGGAAGTACTGCTTTAGACGGATTTTGATTCGGTTTGGAATCGCATATCAATGGATTCACGAAGCACATAGTGAGACATACCTACACAGCGCCAAATCCTTGCAAGAAGTAATCGAAGGCGCAGGGTGATAGTCCGCTCGACAACAGCGAGAACCTACCCATGCATCCGCAGCTACCAGGTAAAAATCTTTCTCATCTCGCAATCAACTTGCCCGTCGACGATGCACCGTATACTCGCCTGTCGTCCCTCCTCAAAGCGAGGCGACAAGGATCTCACACGACATTCGCGTCCAATTTCAGCCACCTGGTAACTCACACCCGGTGTAATACCAGCGGCATTCTCTTCGATCGTGATGTACTCCTGCGCGACTCGAGCGGCAAGGTCAGAATCCCACAAGCCCTCTCGACGACGACAGCAAAAGAGGAAACTGAGGGCGCGATAGCGGATTTTGGAGTCCCGACAGCGAGTTGCACAAATGTAGAGAGGGGTTATTATGCCCAACGAGAGCGAGAATGTAGAGTTGACTGCATTTGATGGTTTGGGAAGAAGGGGAGGTAGCACAACTCCAAGATCATTTTGTGGGGTTAATGATGCTGGTGACGGGTGGTGGCCAAAAGAGTATGTTGAACCGTGAGGATTCAGTATCGCAGAAGCAAAGGAGAGTAGGTGTATGAAATCAGCGGTGAAACGGTCCCAGCACATCTCAGATGGGGGCCAGTCCATTCTCAAGTACATGCTAATGAGAACCCTCCATGTGTTTAAGATCATGATGGAATCATAAGTAGTGGATGTCTTTGGGCTGTGTTGTTGGTTACCAAACACCATGGCATTCCATTGGTCGAACCTGATCATCCACCCCTGCATGTCAAGTCGGATTTTCATTAGTTCGGACTCTAACATTGATGCCGGTGGGGTGTTTTGCGGCATGCCGTCTTTCAGTGGTGCTTCCAGGATTTCGGCTATAGCGTCTAGACGCATAAGTTTGTTGTACAGTATTTCGAAGGAATGTTGTATGCCATCACTGTTCGCCGTGGTCCTAATCATATCTCTGGCTGTGTATGTGTCTTCCGACGATAATATGTCTGCTCCAATCGTCACGGGGCCTTCAATTTCGAGTATTTGGCTTTCCAAGGTATGGAATAGACGACCGATGGCTGCAGGTGCTCTCTTTGGCGAGGCATGCGATAAAGCCTGCTGCTGTTGAATGATCCTGAGCCCCGAAGCAGCATGTTGCAGAGCGGCCTTGTAGCGGCCTTGCAAGGATTCACAGCAGAAAAAAAGCACGCATGCCATGAGGACCGTGTTGCTAGTGCGAACGGAGTTATGCCATCCTCCGAGTACTAGTTCTCGAATGGCTTTGTTGTAGTATCGAAGAGCGAACTGGCTCCCATTATCGCCGCCGGTGCTGGGAAAAGTGAAAGAGCGGTGCATACAACCCACTGCAATAGCTACTGAATGAATGATGGGATCACTAGACGCCGCCGGAAGCAGACATGCTCCGAGATCTGCTCCGAAGCTAGGGATGGTATAGCGCTGGAAGAATTCCACCGACGTTTGCTCGTTCTTGGTAAGTTGTCCTACCTGTTGCAGTGTTTTGCCAATGGGAACGTGCTGGATAATTCGGAGAGAGTTGGCGGCATTATAGCCGCCGCATCGCCTCCCAGTTGATTTACACCTTAGACACACGGGCTTTTGCTCGTCACATTTGACCTTCCGGGCCCTGTGATGGAAGTCAGAATCCATGTGATGCTCGGTCCCTCATAGCTACGTACTTGCATGTCGCGCAGCCGTTCCTGGATTTGGATGGCCGAATTTCCGTCATTGCGCTAGAGCGCACCTCGTATCCCTCTCGTCGAGTCTGGATCCACGTGCATGGATTTCCGGTGATATTGCAAGGTCTGTATCTTTTTGCTGCGAATCTAGGCGGCTCAGAAGTTACCGGAGCGGTAAACCAAGCCTGTATTGGCTAGCGTATGCGAGGAAGGAAGATACTGGTCCAATTTGAAGGAAGCCTGGGTGGGAAGGCCGTCAAATATCCCTGGCAGCTGGTCTCTGAAACGGGCACTAGAGACTGTTTGGTTAGTGGATGCGAGCCAACCAGTCAATCACACGTACGATAGTCTGGGGCGCATTTGGGGGCCGAAGCATCTCCACTGCAGAAGTGGGAACACGAGGCTGATGTCGATCTTCTTCACTGAGCCTCGTTCTCTAACGAATAAGGGCCAGGAGGTGAGTCCACAGCTCTATATACCTTCATTATCAGAGCACGCAGCGGGTAGCGCTATGGAATTCAGGTCTATAAAGGACCGGATTCCCTCGACCTTCCTTGGTTGACAATCAAGATTTTTTTTCCACTTGCAACAATGACACCGACACACCAATTGCTCTTGCTTGGCGCGCTCGGAATCCTTCCGTGGGCCTCTGCGTCTGCAGCGTCTCTTCCACAGCACGTTTCCTCCCATATTAACCTGGTCCATCGTTCCGAGCCGGGCGCTAAATTGACCCGTCGTGGAAAACATGGCATCGCAGCGGTGTCCGAGTCGAATGTCGGTGACCTCCGTCGGTATCGGGTGCTTCTGCATTGCTAATCCATCACAGGGCTTTTGGTTCGGTAGCTTCGATGTCGGAAATTCCAAGAACCTGCACATGTTGATCGACACGGGTTCATCCGACGTCATTGTCAACCCCGGTCTCTATACACCAGGGTCATCGTCTGCAAGCCTCAACCTCACATTTGAGAATGCCTACGGGACCACAGAAAGCGATGGGTCCGGAACTGGCACAGTAAGAGAGCATATATCCATCGCGATGAGGCAAGCTGATCGTTTCCAGGTGGCTGGAACTTTGTACAATGATACCGTTCAATTTGGCTCGCTAAGCGCAGCTCAGACGGTCGGGTCAGCGACCGGCACCGTTCTCATCCCGGGCGATGGAATCGTAGGATTCGCCGGAGTTGAAGTGGCTCAATTCCCCAATGGAGCTCCCCCATTCTTTCACTCCCTTTGCAATCAGGGTCAGGTCTCCTCATGCAGGTTTGGGCTTGCACTTGGGAAAAACGACACTGGAGTGCAAGTCCTGGGAGAACTTGACTCGTCTTTGTTCCAAGGAAATCTCACGAGCACCTCTGTTATCCAAGAATGGGCTTTCTTTGCGGACCTGGCTCTCGAAAACACTATCATTGCCTCGGATATCCTGGTCGAGCTCGATTCAGGAACGGCCACGGTCACAGGGTAACTGCCACATCTGATCTACATTTTGGTCTTTATTGTTGACGCAAAGGAATCGACAGTCCCGTAGATGAGGTCCTCTCCATCTTCGAAGCGACTTCCATTCAAGCCGTAGTCCAGAACACCACCGACGGAGTGACCGTGACCGGCTACTTCCCTTGTGACCAACCTCCCACACTGGGCTTCAGCATCCCCTCTCAATCCAACGCATCTACCGCTGAGAAGACCGACTCCAGCCTGATCAGCCACCAGAGCACGATTTTCAATATCGCCGCTGACCAGTGGATCGCTGCTGACAACGGAAACAATAATTGTACTGCCATATTGTCGGGCATGACGGTCGCTTCCTACCCGACTCTGTGGGTTGTGGGTCAACGTAAGTGTTTCCGCTCCATCTCGATGGCATCCATCGCTAAAACCTTCCAGCATTCTTCCGCGGCCTATATATCGATCACAACCTTGCAAATGCGACCGTGGGTTTGGCCACTGCGAAGACGCAAGGAACAACGGTCAGCTCGGGAACCCCAACACCCAGTAGTGTGGCTAGCAGCTCTCCGTCGGTGATTGCAACCAGCGCGGCTAGCTCTGGAATGTCTGTTCACGCACCTTTGTTGCTTCTTTCTTTCCTGGCCAGTATGTTGTTTTAGCGATGAATGTGCAGGATAGTTTTGCTTCTCTGCAAATGTATAATACGGATGTGATATAGAAACAAGAATAATATCTACAATTCAATGAACCTGGCAGTACGTTGTATGTTGGAACGTTAGGTGAGAAGCAGAAAGTGAGAAATAACCAGGCAGGTGAGGCCGGGCCATTGCGGCCATCGGGCAACTTCACGCTAATCCTAATCAGGACAACGACGAATAAAGTATTGATGCGTCGAACAGATACAAATCGAGCAAGGCCTTTCACGCTCTTCTCGTTAAATATGACGCTAGGAATAAGAGAACTAGTCATGAGACCCTACGACAATAATCAAAGAAGCGCAAAATCGCATTAGAGTTTGTATTCTGCTCTATACGTAGGAAAGGCCCTTCTAAATACAGGGAAAGGAGTGTCTGAAGTCATCATATTCAGCTAAGTACATGCATGAGAAAAGGTAGGGGAACCCAAAGGGTTGGTGTCCTTTGTGCTGGGCCTGTCTCGGGCAAGCATCCCGGAAGTATTGAAGCTATTCATGGATGCCACGGGCCAATGCGGATAATGCCCGGTAGCAACGCGGTACAAATTGAATCTAATTGGCCAACTAGAATAAATATATGGATGGGTAACATGGAGAGTCTTACAGAGTAGCCAAAAGTGTAGCGGAAATAGTAAAATAAGTAAGGCAAACATATAAATCTCTGTAAAAAGACCACGGTATATATTGAACCTTGAACGAAACATGAGAAGTAATAAAAGGAACCCTCTTCATAATCGCTTTATGCTCTGTGTAGAATCTACTCTGCCCTTCTTTTGTTTCTCTGTTCTTTGTCTCAGGAGTCTCTCTCTCGTCGTCCGCATCTCCTGCCGCTCCCTTCTCATATGGACCTGTTCTCTAGGATCACCACTTCGCGTTTACCTCCCTACGCTGATGGTCTTGTGCCACCTAAACTCTGAGCTTATCTACCATGGTATCTCTTGCTTTGCTCGTCATATTACTATCCAAGATGTAGTATCCTCCGTACACAGGGTGAATTTCTTCAGATCGTCAAGTTGGGTGAGCCACAATGTAAGACCGCAGGGACACGCGAGACACGTATCTATCCACGCAAGTATCTTAAGAATGAAAAGATAGATACCCTCGCTAACCTGTGCACAAATGATATTAGGAGGCAAAAAGGTCACCAACCATAGCGTAACCTTGGTAACTAACCAGATACTTAATTCCGTTCCATCCCATCCGGGCAGTATTCACGGCGATGCTTGTTCCGGATATATCAAGCAAATCGAACTCCTAATAACTATCGATAATGCATTGGCCGACAGAGTCAGCATGACAAGATATATCTCATGGTCTTATCTCAGACAGGATTGTTAATGTGTGTCGAAATGTAATCTAGAATGAAGAACGCGCTGGTTTAATCCTTCGCAATTCCCAATATTTCCATGGGAATTCACACAAAGCTGGCTCTGTTCAGTTGAAAAGTCGAGTCTGCCTAACTAGTAATTCTGAAAAAGGATGATCCTTTCTCTTCGCAACAAGATGTCGAGTTACGCCATAACCCCCGTATTATTTCAATTTCGGGCTGTATGGTTCTTATGTATGGCCACGACAAGATGGATCTTCGATTTTTCGAAGTAATGGGTTGATCAGTCGGGAGATATTTCCACCACATATTGGTCTTTTCGCGGCATTATCAATGTACCACAACGCCAAAGGGACAGAAAAGTCGAAGCTTTCAAGGGCTAGCTTTTTTCTGATGTAAATTGGGTCTGTATACTAGATTTTCCCTGTTACCCAGAAATTTATACTCTTGAGTTATGATATTGAAACTATCCGTATTCTAAGATAGCAACGTGGTTGTATTTGCCAAGGTTATCAGAAAGGCTCTGTTGATACTCCGAGTATCATATAGATAACAGGGACTTTGTAGTACATTCTGTTGTTTTTGACAGGTCGTTGCAGTTCAGCTCTCACTGGTGTTCTTAGTGGTGCCCTCGGTGGTGGGTTCTGGCGTGTCTTGTGGCGGGCACTGCGCGGTGGATGTTTGAATGCGAAGACGATGGAATATTCTGTCATGTCTTGTCATGGTTGCGACAGTATGAATAAACGTGTTGACTGCGATATCACAAACTAGTATAACGTCTGCTGTAGAATATCTCTTTGGATTGAGGATGTCGTATTTCAGGGGGTTCTCGGTTTATCATGTCGTGGCTCGTTGATACTTTAATGGGGATCTTGTTGAGATGGTATTGTACTGTATTGGCAAAGATATAAGTTGATGGGACTCAGTGAGAGGGGTTGTGTCTTTCAAGCATTTTCCAAGGATATGGAGCTGGGGAGGGATCGAGGGGTGAGATGAGGAGAGAAAGGATATATGATTCTAAGGTCTAGGGGAATGTGAATATGGAAGACATCCATAGTGAGTGTAAATCTACGTGGGGAATAGTTGCATGAATGATGGCATGTGTCTGTGAATTCACTGAGGTAACCTCAACCGATCCCGATATGGAATTCGAAATCCAACATCTAGTGATGGAGGTGGATATTATCGGCATGAATGATTTGTTTCCTATCCCAGTGGATTATACAGAACGCAGCGAGCGAACAGGGAACAACGAATAGCTATTACACGAAAAGTCCAACAAGTCTAGCCCAGAACGACACTTCTTTCTCCACCGCCGTAGCATCATCGAACACAAACATCTTCCCTCCCAGGTCTGGTCGCGTATAGTTCAAGTCCAGCTCAGGTTGCGACACATCATCAACAGCGGATTTCACCGGTTTCCCACCCTCCAACAGTGTGGCTATGTTTATCATCGTGCTGTATACAACTCCGCGTGATATGGGCTCTGGAAAGGGTTCTGAAACCTCCCCCAGAATATGTTGCTGGGTCTGTATGTCCGAATGGCGTGATCGCATATCCAAAGCAGGAGGCTTCCAAGTTCCCATCAGTGAAGGAAAAGAAGAGAAGCACTTGAAGATACCCATTTCACAGAATCTTCCGAATGAGACGTCAAATATTGAATCTACACCGGGAGGGATGATCTCATCAGGTGGCAACACCATTAGAGCTGCTAGGATCCTTTTCGCTGATTCATAGGTCACAGCATATGCATTTGTATATATCGCATAACGTGTTCGGCAAACAAGACGGGTATTTGGAGCCTTATCAATTGTTTCGTGAATGGCGGGGCCTGCCCAGTACTGCGGTAGGCTGCTAGCCGGAATAGCTGTTAGATCATCGGATCGTCTGTAATATGGAGTTCCTCTTCCACATCTCGTTCCACAGTGGCCAAGCCATAGAATGTCCCATTCGTTTCCGTAGGGGGAGCTAAGTGTTGCATCCAGTACGAACCCCTTGGATTTAACGCGGCGGTTTGTGCTCTTCATGGCTTGGAGTGTTTGGGAAGCACTGGCAAATTCATGCAACTAACTCTTCAGGGTTGCATCCCAGTCTAAATCATCTTTAATGATAAGCGCCGTAGTGAGGCGCTCTGAAACGACCCTGCTTCCTATTAGCTCGGAAACATGTATCCCAGTACAGTCTGACGGTACCTACCTCTCGAGTGCATCGACATGTGCACGCTAGTTTCCAATACTCGCTGAGGATATGTCCAGACTGGGGTCTTCGAGCTGCCAGGTAATATCAGTCATCATCATCTCTAACCCATTCCACATGGAAACCTGTGAACGAAGAGCCAAGGACGATAGCATCCCGTTTATCCCCCCTGCTGGGTGAGCTGATGCATAGAATCTTTTGGAACTATTAAACAGTAATTAGTGCGGAGCAGGAATTGATTTTCCCTTGGAACATGGTGCTTACCCCTAGCATGTCATTATATATGTCTTGGAAGCTGCTGTGCCCACCCAATGAGCGTAGACCCGACCTTCCAAAGTGTCGAGGATGTTGGGCAAAAACTTCGGGTGTTCCCCACAAACAGAGAATGACAAGGATTATTGCCGAAGAAATGTGATAGAAAGCGCAAGGGTTGGATAGTTAGCAATTTCCAGGAAGGAGAGAGATCGATTGTGTCCATAACGGTCGCTCTGTTGAGGAATGACAGCGGCGCTTGGTGTCCAACGGCAATATACCAGAGTGTAAGTGCCTTACCGCGGAAATGTTTGTTCATCAAGAGTCAAAAAGAAGGGGGAGACAATTTAGGAACAACTTACATTGCACGGCCCTCCTTCCTGTCACATTGCTCGCCCTTCATCGATGAGCATTAGTCGCCCGTCTGATCTCGGCGGCACCATTGGATCTATCTACAGGAGAGGACGCTCCAGTGAGACTTGCGAGATTCCAGTGACCCCATTCTATGGCCAGTGGTTGGGAGCAGAGTTCGGCCTAAAAATAGCCGGTCAGCGACTGGGCGCGTATCCGTGTATCCGTAGGCGCCGTTCCCCCGGCAAGTCCGCGAGCCTTGTCGGTCGGGGCCGACGCTGGAAGGCGGGCGCCTCTTTACTTGCTCTCCTTGCACTCGCTTGTCGACATATCGCTGATGAAGTCTGAAGTCTGAAGTCTGAAGTCTGAAGGATGTCATAAACTCATAATGTTATTTTCTACAATAAGCCAGAAAAGAGAGATGTTTATCATCATTTGGCCTTCCAATGACTGTTTATCCTAATGACAATTGGGAGATGGTGGAATGCACCAGCCGCTTCTAGTTCAGGCCGATTTCGCATATGCTTGAAACTCGTCAACTCCCCTCAGTGTCGATGGATGGAATCCAAGATCTGCCGCAATAATGTTGCTCGCACCAGACATGGCAAGGAGTCTAGCAATGTACCAACGCAGCTCCAGGAGCTCCAAAGATGGAAGGGGAAGCTGGGAAGGGTTCCATGTTGTGAACTCGAGAACATCACCAGAGGCAAGCTTCTTCTCGGTATCACGGTTCCAAAGCTTGCAGGCCTGGGGACAAGCAGTGTTACGCTCCTTCAGCCTAACATCACCCGGGTCTCTTTTCCTGCTAAAAGGGTACTCGGGAAGCCAGTAGAACATGACTCGAAGTTTCTTGCCATCGTCAGACTTACTCAAGGGTTTCAACCCGAAATAGCCCACGTCCCAGAGCTCACGTACATGAGAGCACAGACACATTTCGTTCCCACATGGACCAGCAAAAAGCTCAAGTTGGAGTATTGCGCTCTCCCACGCGTTCACCCTGTCGGGCCAGAAGTACCTCAACGCGTCCCAAAACTGTTCTCTCTTGCCGATTCCCAATGTAATGAAGTGGTTACGGACAATCTTGGCAATTTGCAAGTTAAACCTGGACTTGCTTATCAAACACACTCTGTTGTCTCTTGTATAGCACTGTACATGGTCAGTAAGGCACACTACTGTATGGAAAATTAACACGCACTGTATTCTCTGGGAGGGGCGAGAGGGGACGCTGAGAAGGGGTTCCCACCAGTTGAGACATCCGGTGTGACCATACCATCTGTATGTTTGTAACCTCGCGCTTTTTTACCACTTCTGTGATGGGCGAATGTGATGATGCTATAACAAGCTCAGTACCCTGTCTCACATGTCAGTTGGAGATACTCCCGGCGCTACTTACCCAGCTCGCGTATACAAAAGCCTGACCTCCTGCATATCTCGGTATAGACTGCTTGCGGATCCTCTCTAGCGGCATCACGTATATCTCTTAATCGGGGGAGATCGGCAATCCAGAGACACGCCCAAACGCCCGAGTCGACATAAGTTTTGTTCAAGATTTTGTGAAGGTCCCGGATTACTTCAGCCTTGAAAGCTCTCTCCACATCGTCTAGGACATCGACCAAAATGCCTGTCGGAGAAGCCTCTCGAATCTTCTTTGATGGGCTCATGGATCAGTTCTACCCGGTATAAGATAGCAAGGCTGGAAGTGGAATAAATTAGCACTGTAATGATAAACGCTGTGCTGTATATTGAAAGAATGGACAAGACTGTAGTGACTGTGAATGATGTATAATGAAGCAAACACGTTCAGTAAGGGTGAGAGCTCTATGGAAGACCGGATCATGCCTTCTAACAGTATTCCCTAGCGAACGTTCCTTCCAATTCGACTGCCCTGAACTAGAACAAGATTAAATGTACATTATCACTAGTAGTAGAAGTGTATACATGAAATTGAACATAATATCAAGAACAGAGATTATAGGCTAAGAGTTCTAGAAAGCCGCACATAGATACTCCTTCAGTACAAGAGAGGGATGAGATATGCACAATAGACCAGCATCTAAGCATAAAGCTCATGGGCATCGGCTCTACTTCCCGAATTAGATGTTGCAGCCAGCTCGGACGGAAACATTTGTCTGATCACCTTCCTACTCATGACATCACCACCATATTGATATGGGTATTGAACACTGACACTTGGTGATTTCCGTACTTTACGGTGCCGTAAAATCAGATAGCAGATACCCGCCAGGATAAACGCAGCAATGACGCCTACTCCCACGCCAATACCGATTTCAGCGCCGCTAGATATTCCAGTGACTCTTCCGCCGGAGGTAGCAGAGCTTGTTGCGGACGCCGAGGTTGACGCGGTGGTAGATGACACTGTCTCGGATAATGTAGATGTTGTCGATGCGGAGACAAAAAGACTTAGGTCGGAAGACTGGACCTCGACTTTAATGGGCTGCGCCCACATGGTTACTGGCCCAGTGATTTGTGTGCTTATTTCGCTTTCACGATCCGTGAATATGATAGAACTCGACGACGGTAAATTGCTAAGGCAGCCGGCATATGTCCATGTCCCATCTGCTTGATAAACTATTTCAGTATAGTAGTTGAACCCCCTAGCGTGTGGAGTCAGCTCCGTAGACAAAGGGACGTCCGAATGACTTGATTGCGGCACGACATACGGATAACAGCAGATTGCAGTTGTCACTGCCTGTGAGATGATCACATTAGCCGAGGTGTACCCCACTGGGCACCATCCTGGGCTGTAGACGAGATCTGTCTCGATGATTCTCCCAGTATGGGTGAATCCTGATGGAAAGCATGACGCCATGGGAGCTGCATCGTTTTGGATTAGGAGACCGTTCTTCACGTTGTTTGCCAGTTGATCTTCGTATGTGAAAGAATTAGAACAGCCAGCTGGCGGGGTGTAGACTGTTGACAAGGCCAATGTTGTTATTGTATATGTATTGACGGTGCTCGTTGTAGTCACACCTACTGGTGTACTGGACGCCATGATAAACGCGGCTATAGAAAGACACCCTGCAACGGTAATCAATGAAACATGCGGATGTATGTCAACACAAGATTAACAGCTAAGTTTGCTGCGGTTGTTCTTGGCCCACTGGAAGGCTGGCACCCGCATTATAGGAGCGATGGGAATTTGGATGACTGCCTTATCGATGGGGGCATATGTTTAGCTGACATGGAGAGGCTAGAGACTAGTATGAAACCAATCCAATAGACAACACACAGTGAATCTAGTTGGCTTATCGTACATGCATGATAGCGCCGACATTCAGTCTGTGAACTTAAATCAAAGGCTGGAGCGTTCAATCCGCCTAGTAAGCGGACGCTATCACCGATCTAGCGTGTCTAAGCTTGAACTACGGCAAATATCCAAACGAGCCCTCCAACGTATCTAAACTCACCAGGTTCTGTATGGAGTAAACCATACCCATCCTGGTAGTCTTCAAGAAACACCATTCAGCAGTATACTCAGCTGAGAAGATCAATGACGCAGAGTGATAGAGCCATTATATCTAGAACATTCTATTGTATCTCCAAAGATTACGCCAGTAAGGTAAGTTTACCGCTCAAAAAACCTTTTTTGATCTTTACATCATGACCATTGCCATTTGCTATACAGTTGCAGAGTGGTGACAACATAAAGAAGTATTGTTTACTTGGATCTCGGAGTACAAAAATAGCGCGGCTAATGTTGGATTTCAGAGTCTTTCTTACTTTCCTTCCTTAGGCTAGTGTACAGCCTTGTTCACGAGCCCAGGTTTCTTTGTTCCTCCCACCCGTGGCCGTAGGCTTCCGATTGCCGCGGACAATATCAGCTCATCGAACAATAATTTGTGCGCAAACCTTTTAGGGTGTGAGGCACGGATACCTGGATCTGGTTGGTTTAGGGGAGACTAACCGTCAGGCTACTATCTACGAAACTCTCGCCCACATGATCCCATAGCCTCGATGTGGGTATATTATTCTGGATGGATCAACAATTGAGCTCCCTGGATTGGAATAGTGCAAATTAGATCCGGCGTGGGGTTCTCGCGGGTTTTCTCCAGTGCTGTCTAAGCTTTAAGCGCCCATGACAAGCTGGCCATGACCCATAATCCTCCCACCAAATGGATCCAAGTTTACCTTTGGCGCCACATGTTGGGAACATGTACCTCGTGGCCCGATCGCTGTTTTTCTTAACATCAGTCTCTACTTGATTGGTAGTTCTGTTAAACGCCCAGTCTAGGTATCAACATAGTAGTATTATTAATATTAAGAAAGATAATTGGACCCGTCGTCTCAGACCTGCATGGATGCCGCATGAGGCCAGTCGAAAATGGCAGGGTTTAGGGGTCATTGCTTCCACGGCGCAATCGCTTCTTTTTCCGGGGCCTGGCCGATTGTTCCGCGTTGTCGAACACTTCGGTGTTACATCGATCGCTCAATTCTTTCACTATAGGACTGATCAATGAAACTATCATCGGATCTAAATATGAGGGTCAGTCATTTAGACTACGGGACACTGATCATTCTGGGTACGGAAACCCCACTACACCCACTTGTGCTTGATTTGATGTGCTTCGATGATTTCCTGCGCAGTCTCTCCGACTCCGGTGGGCTCTCACTATTCGAGCCCTTCTTCTAGGACCTTTAATTTTAGTCTGGCGGCCAAGTACATACCTAGCGATCGAATAGGTCGAATTCTGTCTATCTCTAACCTACACCGGGTATGTGGACTCCACTTTTGCCAATCAAACGGCGTACGGAAGCGCCCGCCCCCAGGCAATCACCCTGACCTGCAAATCCTGGGTCGCAATCTATTTGAAGTACTGATCAAGTGGTCGGGGCCCAGATTACGCCGCGGTTCTTACCGCTGGTGCAAGACACCATTCTCTGTGGATAGCATTGGTTAAATGAGCGCTCTCTACTCCATTAGTTGTTGGCTCGGCACTGCTTCATTTTCTACCACCACATCCCTCGTGCTGTAGAAGATGGGAGCTATCAAAATACGGTTGACATATGCTCGTGGTGGCCGAAGCCATCGTGTCTGGCTCAAGCCTGCGCTGCATGTGGCTTTGGCCTTCATGGTGGTTCTCGGGCTGCTAAACATGTTTTCAAGCTATAGTACGTCGGTTTTCTAAGTATCAAATATGTGAAATTGACCTTATCAATAGATGTGCATCAGGAGCAGATCCCTAATTCTCTCCCTACAATCCGAAAGGTCACAATGCTCTATGGTAATAGAACAATTTACGACAGGGCACTCAAGACACACGAAGCACATTCCCGCAAATATGGATACCCTATGACTGTCTTGCGCAAATCCATCCTTGAGGGCCTTTGGACCAAACCCGCCATCATTTTATCCACCCTCATCGAGGAGATGGGGAAGCCAGAAGAGCAACGAGCTCAGTGGCTCTTGTGAGTGTCAAGAACATAAGGCAACTCATCTCATATTATAACCTTACTAACACAATACAGTTGGTTCGATGCCGACACCATCCTTATGAACCCGAACATACCCCTCGAGACATTTCTTCCTCCCCCTCATTTCTCTGAGACTCACCTCCTCCTGACCAAAGACTGGAATGGCATGAACAATGGAGTTTTCTTTCTTCGCGTCCACCCATGGTCCATCCAATTTCTTTCCGCTATAGTTTCCTATCCAGTCATACATCCCGATGCCCACCTGTTATGGGAGGACCAATCTGTGATGAATCGCCTCAAAAAGGAACATGAATACTTTTCCCGTTCCATGGTCTATTGTCCGCTTCGATGGTTCAATGCATACAAAAGAAATCACAATGCGACCGACATCAACCTTAAAAAGCCCACGCATTTCCAAATACACCCTGGAGACATCATCGTCCACTTCCCTGGAACACCCGCCAACGAGTTGAAAAGTACTATGCTGCCTTATCTCGAGGTAGCCGAGTCTCATGACCCGGAGTGGGAGTTATCACTCGAACAAACGGGATACCTACGAGAAACAGCGGAATTTTGGGGCGACATGTCTGAGTCTAACAACAATATGCTATGATTCTGAATTGGGCAGGCCCCATGATATTTCGTTATATATATCTGACTGTACATTCATTCCGAGGGCGTTTGGGGATTGGTTGTCTCTACGAAGTAATATCAACGTTACTTAATCATCTGATGTATAGATATGATGCTCTTCATATCGTAAATCTGGAAAAAATACTTAGCATTGGTGTGACGGCGGCACCATCTCTAGGACCGTCCGAGCGGTAGGCCCGATGCCATCTCGTTCCCCCGCACTTTCATCTCCAAACCACCACAATGATAATAGTCGACCTATCCTTCGACATTCTATTTGGTATAGCACAAATGCTGCTTGGATCCAAGCATGGAAGACCTTGTTGTGCTGGTTGGTAAATGCCCGAGCGCCCATGGTGCGCGTGGTCAGTCTCTGCAGCACTTATTTGGAATCACACTCGTTTCACCAAATGCAGGCCCAAATGACATGGTTTGCGCGACCGTATACTTTGAGGCTATTTAACACTATTCAAGCTTACAAATACGTCACAAGAGTTGGAAGATAACGACTTGACACCTGTGAGTTGAGATGTGTGTTAATTACAGAGTTGCCGTCTAACAACTTGTCTATAGAACCTCCAGACAGAAATTATGCACCCACCATTCAACCAGATGCAAACTTTGACATTGCCCGCAACTTGGGTCCAAACTTCCAGAAAAGAAAAGGGGCCGGGATTCCGAGGCCGACACTGACAAATGCTAAGACACTAGTACCCCATCCATAGCCCAGACTCTGGTACAGATAAGGCGCGAAAAGGGGAAACCCAAAGCCTGCCAAACTGCGAAGAATAGCACAAGCGGCCATGGCACTGGCGGCATATGTCTGATAGCTATCAACGGTGTATGTCTGCATACCCTGCAGACACCCCATAGACCCGGCTGCGAAAATGGCGACACCGATGTTAGGCATGATCCAGTGCACATGGCCCTGCACACTCCAGCCGTACCAGAAGAGGCCTGTTGTGACCAAAACTGACCCCATAAACATGGTAGGGGTGCGAAATTCGGGCAGGCCAATGCCGCCGTTCTTCTCCTTCAACTGGCGGTAGATGCGATCGATGAGGTTGAAGTTGAGGAGGACCCCCACGAGCGAGCCGACGGCGATGGAGATGTAATTGAGACCACCAATTCCGGTGCTTTCGCCATACTTCTCTGCCCACATTGACGGAAACGTGGCAGTGATAAGATAGATCGTCCCGAAAAGATAGCCCATGTACAACGCAACAACGGTAACAATCGGCTGGGTTGTGAGCATGCGCAATGGTCGCACCAGAGCACCGCGGAGCTTTTGGGAAAGACTATCAACTTTTCCGCCGGTGTGAAATTTGCTGTTTGCTGTCTCCTTGATCAGGCGGTCTCGCTTCCTCAAGAGCAGGGTTCCTGGGTGGGATTCGCGCAACCACATCAACCCGACCAGCTGGATGCCAACGGCGGCTATGCTGGTTGCCCAGAATACCCACCGCCATGTCGAGTACTCTGCAATGAAGCCTCCAGCTATCGGTCCGACCACGGGACCTATGATTGGTGCGAGGGTGTAGATTCCCATAGCCTTGCCGCGTTCCTCTGCACTCCAAGTGTCACTATTGACGATGTTAGCATGAGAACGACATGGGGAATTGGAATGCGTCACCTGAGAGCTCCTCCTCCTAGTGCAAGGGGCGCACTTCCACCAATGCCAGCAAGAAAGCGAAAAACAAACAACTCTGCCGGGTTCTTTGCGAAACCGCAGCCGAGATTCCATGCTAGATACCATAGGTTGCTTATCTGCAAAAGAGGCACGCGGCCGTACAGCTCGGAGGCGGGCCCGAAGAATACGGGCCCAACGGCATAGCCAAGGATGAAGATTGACAAAGACAACTCCATCTCGATCTCGCTATGCATGTGAAGGTCTTCTCCAAGCTTCTTCAGCGCTGGTGCGACCATTGATGACGATACTGGGGAGATGAAGGTGAAGAGCGAGACAGCCACTGTGTAGCGCCATTTGATGCTGTTCGACCAATTTTTTGGGTTTTCCGGATCTTGTGGTCCATCCCAGGTGACAAGGTATGGATCTACTGGAGGCTTTTGCTCGTCTTCTGCGGAAGATGGCCCTGCCTCGATGTCGCGGTCTGTCGAAGGGGCGGTTGCCTCTGATTGAGCTAGGTTGCTCTCCGTTTGATTGATCATGCTTGCGAGTCGATAAATGACAAGGGATGTATGCTATCTGCTTTTTAAGGCTATTGAGGGTATCTACCTGCCATTTATAACATTGATGCTGTGCTGCTGCTGTAAATGCTTAGAACAGGGGACCAATCGGAGTACAGGATTTTCTTCGGGCCCGATCGTGACATGCGATCGGAGTTTCCGAACCCCCCGCCAATCCCTTCGTTTCCTTCATATTCCCAATTCTTGTGCCTCAACTTGACGTTTCTTCCCGTGAAAGCTCATAATTCAAAATCCCGTGAGTTAAGCCCAGCGTATCGTGTCTTTTTGTCGAGAAAGAATAGACAGTGCAATAGCGGGCTCGGAACCTCCATGTCTGACCGACCACTGGCGATTGCACCAGCGGGGAACAAACCACCGCTATCCCACGAGGGCAACGCTGGCAGTAAGCTTTCACCCTACAACAGCTTCAAGGTGATGCCATATACCTGTCAATCCTGCATCAAGAGGAAAGTCAAATGCGATCGTGCTATTCCCACATGTTCCAGCTGCAGCAAAGGCAACGTCGAATGCATCTACCAGGAACCGACACCCCGAACGCGGAAGCGAAAGCGCAGGCCCAGTGAGACTTCGAATGACCGTCTGGCACGCTACGAAAAGATACTACAAGATAATGGCCTGCTGTCCGCAGAAGTGGAATCCTCGCCTCGGAGTGTGCAAGAACCAAACCCCTTTCGGGACTCAATTCACGACACAACAAAAACAGGGAAGCTGATATCCGGCGAAGGAAAATCGAGATATGTTGACAGTAGTCTCTGGCTCAACTCTGGAGAGACCAACATGAGGGAAATTTCGGAAGATGAGGAGAATTGCCAATCCGCCCCTACGGACAATGGCCCGTTGTCTCAAGATCCGATCTCGGGCGCACTTCTAGGCGTTTCACAGGAATTGGGTCACTACCATCCTACTCATCAAGATGCCATGAAACTGTGGGAGGCCTATATTAACAATGTGGAGCCACTCTGCAAAGTTTTACACATACCAACAACGGGGAAGATGATTGAAGCCGTCTCCCGACAACCAAACGCCCCTCCAAGGCACAGGAGTGTCTGCTCTTCTCCATTTATCACTTTGCAGTTTTCTCGATGACTGACGAGGACTGTGTATATAACTTTGGCCAGTCCCGGAGTACCCTGCTGGCTAGATATCAGTTTGCACTGCGACAATCCCTCGTCAACGCCTCTTGGCTAAAGACCACAGAAATGCCGGTCATGCAGGCATATGTACTCTTCCTTATCGCTATGCGCACGCAAATAGACCCTCACACCTTCTGGATATGGACTGGGGTTGCGATTCGAATCGCGCAGCGCATGGGGCTTCATCGCGACGGTGAAGCCCTCGGACTGTCTGCCTTTGAGGTGCAAATGCGTCGACGTCTCTTCTGGCAGCTTCTACCGCTTGACGGTTATGCCGGTCAGGTGTCAGGCACCGGTATCTCTGTCGCCCCTGACAGCTGGGACACTAAGCAACCCCTCAATATCAACGATGATCTGATTTATCCCGGAATGTCACATCAACCTGAAGAACAGAAAGGAGCGTCCGAAATGATATTCTGTCTCACCAAGACCGAACTATCGAACTTCTACACCCGCACCGGAGTCCAGAAAAAGAAAGTTGGGGCGACAATCCAGTTTCGTGACAGCGCCGAGATTGAAAGACTGATCGATGAGGTCGAGAGTACGATCGAGTCCAAGTACCTCCGCTACTGCGACATTGTCAATCCCCTCCATGTCCTCACAATGGGAATAGTAAGATCCGCTGCAAATGCCGTCCGACTGCGGAACCGAATGACCACTGGCGATAATGAACGCAGAGAGCTCTGTACTCTTGCCCAAAAAATCATCGACACTGATAACGCGCTTTACAGAAACCCTAATACAAGACAATTCCAGTGGTACCACAAGGCCTTCTTTTTGTGGGATGCGCTGCTTTGCATATTGACTAGCCTAGGGAAGACCGCGTTCTTTTCCCGTGCAGAGTCGGATACCACCTGGCGGAAAGTTTCCGAGGTGTATGTCAACCACCCGGAAATCCTAGAAGCCAAGCATGTACATCTCGTCGCAGTGAGCAAGGCGACACTTGAGGCTTGGTTTTCGAATCCACCTAGTGATTCTAGCCCCCAACCTGGTTTCATTACGGCGCTGCAGTCGCAGCGAAGGGGGAAGGTCGCCCGTCATAAGGTAGAAAATACTGCTGTCCAGGAAGACATGTCTTCATTTGACATGCTTGTCGGAGGATTCGATGGCATGGACCGGAATCTGGACTATGACTTTAACCTGGATGGGGTAGACTGGATGTTTTGGGAGCAATTGTGATCAACCGCGAAGCACCGTTTTATTTTCTTCGAACGTCAGTTTCTTAGTGTCTCGGAAACTATTCGTTGTAGAGACGACAATCCAGCTCTATGTTGTTTTATTCGAGTACAACCGTGCAAAGGAAAACGCCCCTACAGAGCTTCAACCCATCCCAGCACCACCATTGAACCCACACGTTTGTAATAGTCAGGTTCAAGGAACAGGTTCCTGACAATCCCATCCTTGTCCACCAGCAATGTCGCAGGGATCGGGACTTCGACCGAATCATCTCCATTTCGTTCCTACAGGTCGTGTCCCAGAGCCTCGTATACTGGTCTGTGGCTGGATGTGCTTCCACACAATCCCGAGCTGGCGAGCAAACTCATTGTCATGATCCGTCAAAACAGGGAACTCGAGCTCGTGTTTCTGCGTCATGGTCCAGGTGTTGTTCGGAAGCTCGGGAGTGATTGCCACAAGATTGCCACCTTTTGATTTGAGCACTGTGTGATATTTTTGTAACCCTGCGACGGCAATATTGCAGAAAGGGCACCATTCCCCGCGAAAGAACGTGATCAATAACGCATCCTGACCGAGGAGATCCGCGCTATTCTGCTCCACGCCCACTGCGTCCTTGAGGCGGAAGGATGGCAGCTGATTGCCAACCTGAATGTCGTTTCCAGAGAAGATTGCCGTGCAAGCTCGCCTTTTGTCTCAGCAATTTGTTTTTTTCTTTTCTCGAGCGCAGTTTGCTCGATGGTCTTCTGGAGGGCTTTGAGTTCGAAGGTGATATCGGCCATTTTCAAGCTTTCACAGAACACTCAATTGTCAGGTACCCGAGTACCCATGACCGAATCCCGAAGAGTTTCTTATATATGAATTACGCGAAGACGAGACAGTTCCATTCACTTCTCCAGGGCGAGAATCGGGAGCTACCGACAAGGAATGCAAGCCTAGTCGGAGACATTCACATGAAGTCGTTCTCATATTGGAAGGCTCTATTCTAACTCTGTACTATTGAGCAACATATTGAGCTAAATCGCTGGACCGTTTATGGTCAAGATTCCAAGTGATGTGCTGCGCTGCTTGCGTGGAATCAAATCCTCCCGTCCCCTCATTTCCGTCGTTGCGGAACCATGGTTAGGACGCGATCTCGATATTTCTCCCTAACGCTAAACTCACATGGCCGATATCGTCTATCGCGGTGCCAAGGAGGCTGACAGCGACCTGTGTCTCGCTCTTGATCGCCGGCTTGTCGGAGTCGTCAAGGCCGTACCGTGTCGGAGGCTCGGCCAGTATTGCGCGCGACTGTCGGGGAGAATCCCACCGCAAGTTAGTGCTTACGAGCATCTGGGCAGCGTGATATGACTCACAGCGTCTGGCCAGCGCTTATGTCCAGTGACCTTTGGTCCGAAAGAATAGACTTTGCAAAACCAGTCATGGCTACAACTGACCCTGCAGCTTCTATAAATTCTCGCCCTCGTTGTTCACCCTCTACCATTAGTAATATCCCTGAGATACCTTGCACACTACTACAAGTGGATGAGCACATCAACCAACCCTCGACAATATTCACTATAATCATCTTACAAACAGTATGGCCGGTATGTATCTCACACTGCTCAACCATAATCCCCGCTCACTCCCACAGACCAACCGTCCTCCACCCCCCTCCGCATCGGCATCATCCTATTCCCAGGCTTCCAAGCCCTCGACGCTTTCGGACCCCTAGACTGCCTGAATGACCTCTCCCGAACCCACAACCTAACCCTATCCATTCTCTCCTCCACTCTATCCCCCGTATCCACCAAAGTCCCCCTCCTCCCCAACACTATCAGCCAAAGCATCCTCCCCACACACACCTTCGCCACTGCCCCGGATCTCGACGTCCTCCTCATACCGGGTGGTCTCGGCATCCGCGACTCCGGCCCGGCCATCCAAGACGCCATCAGCTACATCCGCGCCGTATACCCCAAGCTCCAGTACCTGATCACAGTGTGCAACGGATCAGCCCTAGCCGCCATTGCCGGCGTCTTGGATGGTCGTCGCGCCACAACAAACAAAAAGATCTTCGACGAGGTTGCGGCCCTAGGCCCAAAGGTGGATTGGGTACCGCAGGCGAGGTGGGTAGTAGATGGGAATATCTGGACTTCATCGGGTGTCAGTGCGGGTATTGATGTTATTCTGGCTTGGATCGAGGAGGTGTTTGGGGAGAAGGTCGCGGATGATCTTACCAATGGGTTGGAGTATACGAGGCATCGGGATGCGAATATAGATCCGTTTGCGAAGGTGCATGGGTTGTGAGTGGTGAGTATTTGAACGGGGTTTATGCTTTATAGGAAATATCTTTACTCATGACTTTTGAATGTTGCTTTTTCTATGTATCACTTTCTTTTGTATCACTATTTCTGTCAAACTTGAATGTAAAGGACTCTGCTTGTTGGGTAGTCTCCACTGTAAATCACCCCAAGTTTCGACCTAGTTGAGATATATACTTACGGTCGAGTTACTGGATTGTTGTATCTCCAGGGCAGAAAGGGACACAAAAGGCCCTGAATTAGCACCTTGGAGATAATATTATTCTATCGAGTACTAACCTTTGCTTCATATTGCTCACTTGGTAATGGCGAATCAGACAACTCACTTGCTCAAAGAAATACATTATAGCAAGAAAGACATCAGACCTATACAGTATATTTGTGACCGAATAATAAGACCAGACAAAGTAGTATCATCCAACACTAACCTAACCTAACCTATCAAATACAATAATCGGCGATAAACGCATTATGCAAAGTCCAGCAAGGTGGCATTCCCATTTACCCCATTTAGGCAGGTTTCGGCGGCCCCACAACCACAGCCAAAGAGACAATTACTACATCGAGCAAGTCTCGGCGATCGTTCATGAGAGCAACCACCACGATAATGGCTTGTATACTAGATTCTCAAGGCATAAATAGTAGCCCATTTTCCTTCGATTGAACTCATCTCATAGTCTCAGAGTATGCAATTTTTTCGGATCTCTAAACCTCCTTCAGCTGACGCTACGATGAGTTCTATTAAGATTGCGGTGGTGGGGCTTGGTCGGATGGTATGGTCTCTTCTTCTTCTTCTTTATTTTCTTTTTTTGGTTGAGGGTAAGCTAAGTTGGGTTAGGGCAAGCGCCATGTCCATACGTTGTTGTACCGTGTGCCTCGGGCTCAAGTGGTAGCTGTGTGTAGCAGTGACCCTAGCGAGGTTGAATGGGCTACGAACAACCAGGAATATAACGACTTTGGTATTGCCGTTTACGACAACTACGATAATATGCTGGCGCATCCTGGCCTTCAGGCTGTTTGGGTCTCCAGCAGCACGGACGTGCATGCGAGTCAGTCTTTGGCTGCTATTAACAAGGATCTTCATGTTCTTTGTGAGAAGCCGTTGAGTACGGATTTGGCGGAGGTATGTTTCCTTGGACTTTTCTACCGTGTGGAAATAGCTGACGGATCTGGACTAGGCCCAATCGGTGGTCGACGCAGCCCGAGCAAAGCCTTCGCTGAAAGTAATGGCCGGGTTCTCGCGTCGATTCGATGCCTCATACCGAGATGCAAATCAGAAGGTCTTTGACAGAAAGGCCATCGGATCCCCGTTCATGGTCCGGTCCAACACCTGCGATCTCAGAGATGAGACCGGGTTCTTCGTTCGATATGCGTCCCGAAACGGTGGGATCTTTGTCGATTGCGCCATTCACGATATTGACCTGTCGCTTTGGTTCTTGGATAACCCGAAGCCCAAGGCGTGTTGGGCGGCTGGGACGCTTCAGCATCATCCGGAACTGAAGGATCTCTCTGATGTGGATAATGCGGTCGGGATTGTTGAATTCTGGGGCGGGAAGATTGCTTACTTCTATTGCTCCCGGACTCAGGCGCACGGACATGATGTCTGTACTGAGATTACTGGAACGGAGGGCAAGGTGATGGTGAATGTCATTCCTAAGCGGAATAATGTTGTCCTGGCCGATTCCTTGGGTATGAGGCATGAAGTGCAGCCGGAGTATTGGGAGCGATTTGAGGATGCGTTTGCGGTGGAAGCTAACGAGTTTGTGACTGCTGTGCTGAAGGATACGGAGGTTCCTTTGCCGCTGGAGTCGGGGATCATGGTGATGAAGATCGGTCAGGCTTTGCAGCATGCGCTGCTTTCTGGGGAAGTGGTGCGTTTTGACGAGAGTGGGGAGCGGTTGAACTAGCTCAGGGAGTTGTTTCGAAGCTATTGATGGGTTAGTGAATGCAATGTTTTTTGCGGTAGAGAATTTGGCATTGAGCCTGGTGCGCTTTATTGTATTTCGACCGGATAGTGTGGTGAAGTTGTTCGGGATGGATAGCAATGCGGGGAAGCGGGGAACCCCTCACTTTCTCCAAAGGGCAGGTCGCGCCGTGTCGCCCTCCGCTGTCCTCACCTCCAACGATGCCGCGAACTTCGCGAGGCAGGGCGCCTTGTTCTAATTGCCGTGGTAAGACCAGACTTCTCACTCTACTATGACAGCTAATGATAATTACAGAGAGACACGTGAGATGTGAGTTTCCTTCCAGAAGCACGGACACTTCTAATGTCACTTGGTTCAACAGGTGACAAACAGCAACCGATATGCTCACGATGCAAAGAACGGGGCTGGGAGTGTACACCTGCGCAGCGGAGAACGATATTTCGACAGGGATCGACGGCCGGACTCGATGCAAGCTTTTCAGTGGACCAATCTTGGATGAGCAGTGAGGCGAGAAAATGGAAGGCATTCTCTGGGAATGGAACAATCCTAGACTCTGTTGACAGATCTGAGCCCCCGGGAAACCTCCAGGATGTTGATCACGATAAAGCCATGCAAGTTCCCGAGACTGATAGCGGTGGATGGGGTAATGGCTCTTCGTTTGGATCTCCGTCCCATGGATCTCGTGGTAGCGCTAGTACCGGAGAGAGCTATCGTCAAGAGCAAGGTTCTGGGTCAGAATGTTCGCCATTAGAGAACTTGCCAGTCAAATTACATGCATTGGAGGACACAGCAAACGTCGATACACAGTCTCTCGTTACCCCCCCATGGTATAACACGAGCAACATTGAACGCCATAGCCCAGATAGATCCGGGTTGATGGATACTAATGCTGGCCACTCCAAGTCTGCCCCACTGACCGTCCAGGAAGCTTGTCTTTTACGACATTTCATCGAGGAAATATCGCCATGGGTAAGCCATTTATTCCTGTCAGATATAGTGACTAAAGCTTCTAGTTCGACCACTGCGATGACCGGAGGCATTTCCAACTGGTAGTACCTCGTCGAGCACAACACTGTTCAATCATTCGCAATGCTCTTTTCGCTGTCTCGGCTCGTCATTTAGCTCGACTGCCACAGTACGCAACACCCGATGGAATTTTGTATCACGGTCAGCTGCTTCCTGATCTGCAGGGCTCCACCGCAGTGGAATATACCCTCAAATGTATTCCGGATCTTGTCAGATACCCCGAAATGACTGACCCGCTAGACCAAGAGAACATAATGGTTGCTACGGTCATCTTACGGCAATACGAGGAGATGGAGGAGGATATGGACACCGACACCGACATGTCTGCCCAGGACAGAGTCAACTTCTTAGCCATCACCCAGAGAATTATTGATTCCATGATTTCCTACCGGCTGGAGCAGTCCCTTGCTACCGCAGCGTATTGGATTGCTATTCGCCAGGAAGTCTATTATGCACTGACAAGAGAGCGAGCACCAAATATGCGATTTGGACCAGACGATTGGAACAATGCATCTGTTGCCAGCACGTTGATTATGCTAGCCAGTGAGGTGACAAAATGGTGCTGGGGCGACAGTTTGACTGATGAATGGGGTTCGTTCGCTTCCTGGTTTATTGGCCGCTATACTGACATGCTGACCGGTTAGAGCGTCTCATGCTGCGCCACCAGAAACTCAGGGATGAGTATCGTACCGAATTAGCCCCAATGTTTGAGAAACGAGCGGATCGATTACGGGGTGAAATATTCCCTACTATCTGGTATGGTTCCGACGACCAGGTGACGGCAGTGCAGCATTTAGAGCTGGCCGGATTAATTCTGACTGCTCAAAATCCACACCTTGAGTATGTTGCTTGCTCCTGTCTCTTTACCCATGGTATATGCTAACGACGAAGATCATCCACCCGCGCTGCACATCGCAAAGCCGAAGCCCAAGTCCGATCGATCGTTCTAAAAATCTGCGGGATCGCGCTGAATCACGTCCGATGTCACCCTGCACTAGTCAATGCAGTCATTGCAATCACACTCTACGGGGATTACTTTACCGAGCCCGAAGAGCGGGACGCATTGGTTGGGATCATAGATCAAACCCGAGAGTTGCATTCTTGGCCTATGCAAAAGCGCTACGCCCAGCTGAAGCACCGGTGGCAGTTAGTAGACAGCTGCTCTCTTTAGACACTAGGCTGTTTTTTTGCACTGCCAGGAAGTGGATATAATCAGGCTCGGCGCAATTTAACATGGTGATCGGCAGGGACCATGTCTGGAAGGGTCTTGATCCTCGGCAGGGTTGGCCCCATTGACAGGGTTTTGGCCCCTTGGCAGTCTTGGTGCCATCACCCAAGAATAGGGCTGTGATGGATAGTTCTTATGTAAGATTACTACATTACTTACTGTCAGGTATCGCCCCCAAGTCCAGGCGGGATGCAGGGTCTAGACAGCCAATTGGTGAAGCAGCTCGGATTTTATACCAAATTGATCAGGGGCTAGTTTCTACTTCATTGTACTCTAGTACGCCTCGCGGTGGAAGTATACGAATCCACCAGGTGGGAGACTGGAATATATAAAGCCTCTGCTGCCCTCATGTCAAGTCCCAAGCACTATACCAACTGTCCATTTTCATGCAAACCAACCACCAAACACCACTTACATTCACATCTACCAACCAAATCAAAATGAAAACCCTCACCACCATCTTCCTAACCACCCTCCTCTCCACGACCTCTCTGGTACATCTACACTCCTTACTCCCATAAGATACCTATCCCTTCACCACACAAATTAACTCCAACCCGCTAACTGCAACCCCCAAACTAACTCCCAAAAAAAGGCCACCCTCCCAACAACCCTCTCCAACCACACCATCACCCCAATGACCTACACCGGCCCCATCACCCCCGGCGGCGAACACATCTCCTTCGAAGGAAACAGCATCCAAGAAATCCACTCCCAGATAAAAGCCCTAAACCCGGATTTCGAACTCCTCTCCCCTGATGAACCACCGTCCATTACCCAACGAAGCGACGTAAGTCCCTTCCCCCTCCCCATCAATCCCAACACCATCCCTCATCCTACCCATGACACCAAAAACAACAACAACTAACCCGAAAAAAAAAAGTCAAAACAGTCTACAAAAGAAAAAGTCCTCTGCAACATCCCAGGCCGCTACTCCTCAACAGCAAATACGTTCTGGATCCGCTCAGGGATCAAATACCTAAAAGGTCTAGAGGGCAAATGCGGGGTAAGTAAAGGGCCCAGGTCCTGTGCGAGGATTAGTTGTTCGTATGATTCGGGGATTTGGTTGTGTAATGATGTATGTTTATCTTCCCCTTCCCTTACCCCATCTCCCTCTGTTTTTCTTTCTGTCTTTTGGGGTTTGGTGGTTGGGGTGGGGGATGTGGAATCAAGGGATAATCAATGCTAACTGGTTTGGTTGCTGGGTGTGTAGAATGAAGAGAAGCTAGAGGTTAAATGTTCCGAGTTGGCGGGGTATGCGGAGGATATTATTGAACGGTGTGATGAGGGGGAGTATGTTAATGGGCAGGAGTTTGATGAGGGGGGTTGGAATGTTGTTGTGGCGGAGGATCTTTGTTGATTCTTTTTACTTTTTTACTTTGTATGTTTTTGGGGGTTTGCGGGGAGGGTTTACTGTCGTGGTTTTTGGGATTTGGTGGTATTGTATGGGTTTTAGGGTTTCTTGGTAGGGTGATTGGTTTGGTTTGGTTCTTGGGTGGGATGTGATGGAGGGGATGCCATTAGTCGGATGGAATTTGGTATGGGATTAAGGTACTTGATTAGGATCGGTCTTGGTGTGGATAATTCTTGTCGAGTTGTACATTCCTAGGAGGTTGAAGTGGTATCCTCTTCCAGCGAGTCATTTACAGCAATAGCTAAGTACACACCCCTCCTTTTGGCGTAATGGCTTTGACACACGACCACGATGTCAAATACTCCACACTCTCTAGTGCATCATGCAGATGGAAGCTCGCCCCGCTCATGATCTGCTGTTGCACCTGCTCTATGTACCCCACCGTGGACATATACTGATCTGCAGTCGCCCCTGGAGAGCCCATCGTCGAGCTCGATGACTCCGACGGAGACTCGGGCATGTTCAACACGTCCCTTTTCATGTCCGCCTTTATAAACTCCAACAACAGAAATGACGCCCACTTCGATTCAAATAACCCTTCACGATGCGGCCAGTGCTGCAGCGCTTCGATCGCCCGCAAGCGCACTCGAACATCATAACATCCAAATGATATCAGATACAGACTAGGAAGAATGCCCACATCCAAAGTGAAGGTCGGACGCTCTGGATACTTGTACAGCAGCGCCTCCACCAGGTACAGCGCTTCCTCATACTCCGGGGTGTAACAGTCCAGCACAGCAGGATTCTTTGCGAGAAGACAGGTTTTGACTGATAGAGTGAGACACCGATGTAGAATATATATAATATCAGCCCCCCTCTGTTCCTTGTGACCGAGGCCGCTGTAAGATCCAAAGTAAAACGGACTGAACAATTCGGCATAATGATTCAGTTGCGAGAGAAGCCGTTCTTGTCGTGGAAGCAACGAGTCGTAATCACGCGCCACATCCTCCGCCGAAAGTGGCCAGGATTCTGAAGTGAACCGGAAAACCCCACTCACCAAAGGCTCAATAGCTTGACGTGCCTCAAGCAGGGTCGAAAACATATCGGGTTTGTTCAACTGCCATTGGTATTTTCCCAGTTCTGAATCAACGCACAGCACCGGGCCGTGAACTCCGTAGTATGTCGACTGAATATCGAGTTGCACAAATGCTGCAACGAGACATTTCTCCACCGGCGATTCCGTATCATCAGCCAGCTGCTTCTGCACCTTGATCTCCTTCAGGATCCGTAAGCCTCCTTGCAAATGCCGACATGCCCGCTCGTACTGCCCCTGCAATAACTCGAGTAAAGAGTATAAAAGACAACAGAGCAGCATGACTTCTCTCAGACGGGGATCAGACGCATGTCGTCTACTTAAAATGCCATATGAACGTGCGGACTGCTCCAAGGCAAACTTCTGCCAAACATTCTGCCGGCTCTGTCCAGGTAATGGCATCCCCCATTGCTCGACGTCCTGATGGATTGCGCTTAGCGCCACGGCAGCGTGATAGACGGCGGGCTCGGAGTAGCTGATTTGCAAGACTAGGTTTTTCCACAGGGACGAGTCGAATAGCTCCAGGAGGCTTGGGATCGTAAAGTGTTGAAAGTGAGAGAAACATCGCCGCTCATCCGATGTCATGGCCCAGCGGAAGCCGTGTGCGACCTGGCAGGTTAGTTTGCTATCAGAACCTTGGCCAGCCGAGGCTCGAGGCAGCCGGTGCATATCATAGGCACAGGATCGACCGGTCGATGTGCAGTTGATACATTTTCCCGGCGTCTCATCACATTTGATCCGCCGAACTCTGGGTCGCTGAGGATTAGCAGGCTGTGGCGACATCCAGCAGGGCGACTCACCGACAGGTACGACAGCCCGTTCGGGACCTGGTCCCATCCGACTTCCTGCGCTTTTCGGGGGCGGCGGTGGATGATTTTCGGGGCATGGCTGTGGCGAAGGAACGAGCCTGGGGATCTGGCGGGGAGAGAAGGGAGAAAAGGAGATGGGCTGGCCAGACGTGAGGGGAAGGCAAGGGCCCAGCGATGCTCCTCAGCTGCCACCAACACCAATCATCGCCGGTGCCGCGTGGGCTAATCAGGCATCTCCGTCTAGTGGCCGTAAGTGGCCGCTTAGTCGCTGTTTAGTCTACCTTAGTCACGGCCGATCCCAAATTCCCCCGACCTTTTCCCTCTTCTTATTCGGCTGGCATGCTGCATGGGGAGTCGGGGACACCACGCGGTGGGCAGGATGGAATGTTGGCACGGCTTGCAGGTGGGGAAGGCCTGAAGAATGAAGAATTCGAGGCATCCGCCGAACCAGGTGGGCGGTGCTCCGTATCTACGGAGTAGTCCGGCCAGCCTCGCCAAGCGAGCCTCTTCCATTGTCGGCCGGCCTCCGCCACTACCCCCGAACAGGCAAAACTCCACTCCTAACTGCCAGATCAGTTCTGCTCACTTTTTCCATTATTCACGGCTATCGGCTCCCACTTCTGCCTTCAGCCGACCCCGCGATGAGGTCCTCGGCCATGCAGACACCACGCTGACACCACACTGACATCCACCTTGCCGTCCACGCATAACAACTATCCACCAGCAAGATGATGTGGCTCCACCTTGACACTCGTCGATCTCGCGTCCGTGGCATCGGCCCGCAGCGGCGCCAGGCCCGCTCGGCGCACCTCGCTTCCACCTGCCCTCGCGGAGTCTCCGGATGTATGGGATATGTATCTGCTTGCTGGGTTTCCTCGTCCTAGCCATCCCAATTTGACTACGTGCTGTACTCAGCCTGCCTCAGTCCACAAGTGGACTGCAGGTTGGCGATGAAAATAACCGATACGGGAACCATCAGGCAGGGATCTGTCAATCATTGATATATCCGTAATATTTTGTCTGTAGACCTCGATGGGGCAAATCGATATACCCAGCTAAGCCTAAGCGAAGTGTGTCACCATTGTCAAAAACATTTTCCTACCTGACGTACCATCTGAGCACCATCTTATCGATGTGTGGCTGTCGCATGGTGAGACTTCTAAGGCTGAATGGTTCCACTTCAACTGTAAGTGATATGCGTTGACCTAAAAAGACTCATTGTGCTTAAGCATTTCTCTCATTCCACGTCCGGTCAAAGACATTCAGGCTCCTTTGTGCTAAAACTATATTCAGTCCTCTCTCAGGAGTAAATAGGACTCAATCACTTACCAGAAGGAACAACATCCAAAGCCTTGATCGATACATTCACCGGCTGCTGAAGCATGAATACCGCGGAATGCGCGATATCCTCTGACACAAGGGGTCTAAATAGTAATCGATACGTAAGCCCAGTACCAATGCGTACAAGAAGGGCTTGGAGGAGACTTACTGATACCCTTCAAAGAAACTATCATATTTCTCCTTGTTGTGGCCCACACGAAGCGAATGGAAATTGGTAGCAACACATCCGGGGCGCAACACCAAAACTCGAATATTGGTCTCACTCAACTCGTTTCTTAGTGCATTGGAGAAAGCTTCCTGGGCTGCCTTGTTGCAGTGGTAGACAGCCTCGCCAGGGAACGGGGGGACCTCGAGGCCCGTGACAGAGGTGATGTTGAGGATAGTGCCTGCCTTGCGAGGCTTCATGGATGCATTGAGTACAGCATAAGTAGTGAACATGAGACCATTAATGTTGGTGCTGTTCATGGTGACAATGTCGGAGACCTTGAGGTCTGAAAAGGTGGCGGGCGCGCCGAGAGCGAGACCGGCCTGTCTGATCGTCAGCCTAGGTCCTCACTCTGTTATGAACGTAGAAAATGGTCTGACATTGTTGACAAGAATGTCAATATGGCCGAGCAGTTCGACACTGTCGCTTACTGCCTGTTCAACTGCCTCATAGCTTTGGATGTCGACTGCTTTGTAGATCACCTTCGCTGCGGGATATTGCTTCTGAAGGGTATTTGTGATGGTCTGCAACTTATCCTGCGCGTGCTTTAGCATAAAAATGAAGCATAAGAATTGGAAAGATGATGTACCTCTGATCTAGAGAAGAGAATCAAATTTGCACCTTCTCTCGCAAGTGCATTGGCGATGGCTTCGCCAATTCCCATGGACGCCCCGGTCTATCGGTCAGTGGCAGGCTCAAGAAACTACAAGTAACACACAACAAACGCTTACTATGAGCACATTTGATCCTTTGAGCGACATCTTGACTTGCAGTTGAATTGCAGCTTTCTCTATTGCTTCTGGCACGGGATCCAGTTAGTTATAAATTGCGGCCGCAATCGACGTCACCGGATAACCTTAGCACTAGTCCCATTCGGGTCGCTGCAAGCTCAAGCGGGGTGCGGACCTCGCTTCGTGCTCCCATTGGTTGATTGGAAGCGAGACACCTGCCCCATGTAGATTAATCAGAGGTCTTGGTTCCAGCAAAGTCATCGAATGACCAATGGTTTCGCCTCGGGATAAGGGTCCAATTTCTAAGCAGCTCCGGTGTCTCGGAATCCTGCCCCTCTCGGAATGTGCCGTGTTTGAAGTCCATGGTCAGTTCTTATCACTACCAGTATATACGATTTATCCCAAGAATACTGCTTGGAAGTGGGTCGAGACGAACAAATCAACAGCATATGCGAGATTGTAAACTGGATACTAGCACAGTCGTCTGCTAAGTTCAGTCGAATTGCATCTGTGCTATTCCCTCAGAAGCCTTCTGCTTCCAGTCCGCTCTCCACCGGGACAGCGCTGGTCGCCCATGGACCAGATCTCCAGCAGCCCAAGCAATTCTCCGCCGATCCAGATCCTCAGTGACCTCATTATCTGGGCAAAGAATATAGAACCTGCCTTCCACCATCTTCGCATTCATGTATTCCACCACCTGTTCCGCTGACCAGGCCCCATCTGGCTTCGAAGCGTGACCCGCAGTCAATCCCGTGTATGTCCATCCTGGAACAAGTAAATGAACCGCAACATTGGGATACGTTTCATGAAGGTCCAAGGACAGCTGCTCTGTAATCGTTTTCACGGCGCTCTTGGAAGCATTGTAAGCGGGATCTCCCGGGGGGTTGGTAATTCCTTGCTTGGACCCGGTGAGGATGATAGCTCGGGGCTGCTCCTTGTTGGGTCCAGTCACGCTGTCCAGGAAGGCGGCTAGACCATTCGTGTAGCCCATTGTGTTGACAGCAAACGTCTTCTGGAAATATTCCGGGTCTTGCCACCGGGTTTTGCCCTCGGCGGGCTTGAAGGCGCTGCCGGCGTTCAGCATCAGGAAATCTATTCCGGACGGGTATTTGGAGGTGACTTCAGTCTGGAGAGTCTTCCAGGCAGACATGTCCGAGACGTCGATGGCGTAGGTGGATGTGGTTGATTTTGTCGTAGATGGGAACAAGGCCGAGGTGGTAGAGAGTGCCTGTTCGTTCTTGTCGATAAGGATCAAGTTCATGCCATGGCTGTAGCAAAGCTTAGCAGTAGCGAGACCAATGCCGGAGGCGGCTCCGGTGATCAGAGCTGTGGCTTCTTTGCGAAAGACGGGGTGGATTGGCGACATGGTGGGAGCTAAAGCTTGTCGAATCTTGTAAGATGGAAACTAGGAAGGTGTAAGGTGTATGTTGTATGTGAGTCTCGGTGTCGGCCAGAGAGGAGGGGTTATTTATGGTCCGACCGATCGGCGGGTACACGATGGTTCCGGGATCCTTCCAGGATTTCCGAGTGGAAATAGATCGCAGCCGTCTTGAATTAGTATGCATAATACTCTGCATAATCGTGTTCCCTCTTTGGAATCTCCCTTGTAGTTTACGACGAATGTCAGGCAACACAGTGAGGCCGGGTTAGATCCGGGCTACCCCGCGTCGGATCTTTACATGCTACCCCTCATACTTCTGAATGGAATACTCTACTTAAATAGTGTCCATAGACAATAACCATCAGGCCAGGTCATGGTGCCAAATATTATCTCTCAGAAAATAGGCGCGAAGAACTCCAATCATCGGTGCTGAGATAGATCATTCCAACAAATCACTCTACATGCAGATGAATAGGCGAAATCCGACCTAATAATCCCCACGCACAATTTCCTGAACTGGAAGTCGATTCTCCAAAATGTCATCCGCATTCAAAAAATCCGTCGAAGCGATCCGATGCCGCGCCGAGGCCTCGTCCGCCGTCACGCCCCTGATAACATGTCGCTTCACCAATCGCTCCCGGGCCACCTCGCGGTCAACGTCTATGAACCACGGCTCATCCATCAGACCCGCTGCTGACCTCCACGGCTCTCGATCGAGAGCTGGGAAGTTGCCCTCGAAAATCAGCACTCGCGAAGTTGGCAGGATGGGGATCTCGTCGGCGACGGGGTCCTTGATGGCGTGGTCGAACCCCGGAGTGCAGATGGTACTGGAGCCAGGGCTGAGAGGCTCGCGTAGCCGCTGCGCCAGATGGAAGAATCCCTGGCCGTCAAAGGTAAAGGCAGCACCCCGTCGGTGAATGGCTTCGGCTGCGTTGGGCATCGCGGCTAATTGCGCCCGCGACAGGTGGAAGCCGTCCATGGGGATATCAACGGCGAACGCGGCCCCGGCGCTCTCAATGACCTTTTCAGCATATATTGCATTCACTGTAGCGGCTACTTTGACAGCCAAAGTACTCTTGCCTGTGAACATTGTGTGCATAAATACAACCAGTAAGGGGGAGGGCTCATACCTGATCCTGGAATACCTGGAATCCCAATCATAATCCGTGCAGTTTCGGGGGCATTTTCATACTGAGCTTTCCTCTCGTTTAGTGAATGCTGAATATTATCAATGGAATATGGCACCCACCCCATATCTTCCTCGCCAATCTGTTGGCTTCTGTTACATGTAACTTGGGGATTTCCGGTGCGGAGGGGTCCATTTCAGACAAAGTCTTGTGGAAATATAGTAAGATTAGAAATATAGCAAGATGTGTTTGTGCAATTGTGAAATATTGTAGAGTGGGATAGCAGAAGGCGAGGGGGGGGTGAGGGGTAGAGAGAAGCAGTGGAGACGAAGATGTATAGACCACCGAAGGGCCTTGTCATCGCCGTGAAATCCTCGCGTGACCACCGCGCAGTGAGCCAATAACTACATGGTGGTGCAGATCACTCCCATCAGTATCCAGAACTTGGGATGGAAGTTTTACCTCATATGGGTCTTTTTTAACTGGGCTTCCATTCCCATTATCTACTGCTTCTATCCGGAGACGGCCAACCGCCGACTAGAAGACATCTACAAGGTGTTTAACGATGGTCTCCGTTTCTGGGTGTTCCGAGACCGTGAGGTCGTATAGGTGCAGCGGCCAGAACGCTTCATTGCCATGGACCTTCAGGAGGAGCACACTGCTGTTCTGGAGATGAAGGGTGCTGATGTCGAACACGTGGATGATGCAATAATTAATACTAGTCACAGGTAGTGTTTGCAACTCGGCACCTGAAGGAATATGCATCGCAGAAATATAGCAATAAATATACAGTAGTGTGTAGATATAAAACTAAACTTACCTTCGCTAGTTAGCCTATCCCATTCATGCCTTCACTGGGATCTCAGGTGAGATTTGGCGTTCAGACACAAAACGTAACCCCCAAAAGGTCCAATCAGTCGCTAGGGTGACCACAAATTACTTCCTGATCCTCTGAGATCGCACTCATTTCTATATCAGCTGGAGGCCTAGGTAACAAGAAACCAGGATAGGTACCGAACTCCAACGCAACAGGCGCTTCAGATGATAGAAACGCGAGTCGAGATATTACTATTCATCACGCAGCTTGGCAAGCACCCACGCCGCAGCAATAGTATCATAGTCCGTTGCATAGGCCGTATGAAGAGCAAGAGCATCAGCTCCCTCCGATGGGGAGCAGACACTATCACCATTATTGCACCAATCACCAATGACATCGGTGTATCTCTCGTTCAGATCGTCGATCTGGGATTGTAGGCGGGGATATTTCTGTTCGAATTATGCCAATTAGCAAGCCAGCAATACCAAGAAGGATGTATGGCACCTACTCCAGTAACAGCCGTAGCATTATGTCCAAAGTCGTACGGCTCGTAGGGAACATGGCGTGGGTTGCCGTAGAAGACGTTCACCGCGACTATTTCCAATGATCAGTAAGTGGGACAGGACACGGACAGGGTACAGCTTACTGTGCTTCGAAACCTCTTCCGATATCAATGGCTCTGTGGCATTGCCGAGAACCGAGTTGCCACCTCCTCCAGCAAGAGCATCGCCCACGATCATGGCGCCCTGGGAGTAAGAGAGGAGCACAATTCGGGAGTCTGGGCAGGCGGCAGCATAGCGGTTGACCTGGGTGCCAACCGCGGCTCTGCCGATGAAGTAGCTATTAGACGCCGTCTCGCTGACAGCAGGATAGATGATGCTTTCGTAGTTATTAGTGACGGTCAAGCTTTCGGAAACCAGCTCGGCCAGGGAATAAGTTGTTCCTGGGTAGGATTCTGTTGTCCCGCGAGCCAGCATGAAGTGGACATCGGCGCATTCTGTACTGTTGCTAAGAGCAGCGTTTGCTTGGCCCAGGGAGATGGCCAGAGCAAGAGCGGTAAACTTGGAGAGTTGCATTGCGGTGATATACAAGCGGGAAATGTTAGGTTGGTTTGAATTGAGTGCAAACAGCTGATGAATGATACAGGTCGGTAGGATAGGAGGGGAAGAGCGGAGGGGAAGAGCGAAGGAGAGACTGCAGAGAGTATTTATGTGCAAAATCAAAAGCGGCTCGGTCATATCAGTGGATACACACTAGCATGATACTCTTTAAGCCCTGCCAAGCAGCACAAGATGAAACACGTCTCCTGATGCCGAGTCCATGTCAATAGGTTCACATCATTTGCAGATATCTTGCAGCTCTATCCTGAGGAACACAACACAGGGTTTATCCCTACGGTGAAATGGTGTAAATTGGATCTGCAGGTGCGTTACGTACTCTCATACTCCACATGCTTAAACTTAATCTAAGAAGTTAATGTTGGTTGCAATGTGGCGTGCGGAGTTAAGCAGGCAGAACTCGGGGATAGGCCGAGCTCGGTGACAATTTCCTTGACTAGTTTGTTGAATACGTATGCCAGTTTTGCGTACGTCATTTGGCTCCATTCAAGCATCGTAGACGGAAAACAGTTATCCAAGTCTAGGCCATTCCTTTCCTGCCAACTCCCTGATATCTAGCGCCAAACCTTCCGGGCTCTCCAGAACCGCAAAATGGCCGCCATTATCGCGTTCTACAATAAGTTCAGCCGTCAGCATCAACACTGTCAAACTGGGGTGATTTAAGGTCACATATCTCTATAGAACACAAGATTGCCGGTCCGTTCCACAGCTCTCCGTGAAGAAGGTTCAGTGTCCCAATAGAACGAAGTATACCCAAACGATACTTTGATACGGTTCTCGGGCCTCAAGCCAAACTCGGCGAAGTTCTCATGGTAGGCGTTCTCATGGTAGGCGTTCTCATAGTAGCAGAGTATCGAAGGCATGATGCAATTGGTGAAATAGTATAAAGATGCCGTAGTGAGGATGGCTTTCGTCCAAAACGGCTGTTCCTGTGCTTTCGGATCGGCAGCCTCATTGTACTTCTCTCCAGCCCACATAAGAATGCCCATTGGATTGTCATGAAGTGCTATTCCAATTGTGTGGGGCTAGATAATCAGCAGTCTCCTCTCCGCATGGATCATCAGTGGCTTACACGTGTCCGCATGCAAACGGCATATCCCATATGGTTCTCTAGCCAGTCATCGGCACGGTGTGCCACTTCTTTCTCTCTCTCCGTATACTCTACTCCCTGTGGAAGAGAGCTTGATGAAAAGTTGCAATGAATTAACCGACAGGAATTGGTGTATTGGGATGCCAATTCCCGTCCAACAAAATGGCCCCAGTCGCCACATTGGACCATATACTGATTATAGCCGAGTCTCTTCATCAATTTGTCGAAGATCCGGGCAGTATCACGGAGAGTCCACCCAGCTCGTGGCGGCCAGTCTTACCAACAGAATCCAGGCATACTGGGGACTACAACATGGAATGAGATTTCTTTGTCGTTGGGTGGACAGGACAAACGGCTCCAGATCTGACTAAACTCCCAGAAAGAACCTGGCCATCCGTGGACCATTAGTAAAGGAATGGCGTTGGGGGATTTGGCACGGACGTGAACAAAGTGAATGTTTATCTCTACAATCGCGGTGATATAGTGTGGGACTTGATTCATCTCTGCTTGGACGGAGTACCAGTCATAGTCGTTAACCCAGGCCTTGTATAGGTTCTCTGCCCATTGGTATGTTGGCCCTATCATGTATCAGCGGTGTCGTATGAAAATTCAGGGGAGTCCGTTGCAAACCATAGCTGCTCCCCGCATTGGGCACGATCGGACGTCCTGGAAGACGTGTATCTCTCAGCTTTCGTTTGAGGCGTTCGACTTCTTCCGCAGGGACATCAATGCGAAATGGTCGGATCTCTGGACTTGTCATTGTGTTGGAGGGGTGTTACTATGGGCACGTTGTTTAGTTCAATGGTGAACAGATGGGAGTATATGTTGGTGAATAGTACACCTCGGAGAAATCATTGAAATACTTCGAGACAAGGTCAAGATATAGTAGTAGTAGTAGTATGAACAGGACCCTGCTGACATCATGCCGATCGATCCCCCACATGGCTGAGTAGACCAATCAGATATGATGGCGAGGAGGGGTAAACTCCTCTCGCTTCTCGCTTCTCGCTTCGACTCTCATTCTCCCAACCGAGAGCCGGCCAATTAACCTCGCCAACAAGCGAAGAATATCTCGCTATGACCAAATTTCTTCGAGTAGAAACTGGATGGTATTGATATCCTTTCCTCTTTCTCCACGCCTTTACACACATTTTTGCAGACGGAAATTATATCGCACTGCTGACGCACAAACTCCCCCATCCAGCTTGACTTGTCGTGCCCGTCGTGTCAAATGCGACGAGGAACGTCCCATCTGGCGGAACTGTGCCAAGGGTCCTCGTACCTGTCGTTACAAATTCAATCCTCTTGATGGGTCCCCATCAACTGGTGCCCGAAACCATGACCCTGTACCGGTGACTCCACGGGAATTCTATCCAGACGTGGTTACATCGGATGAGCATCTAGCCCTATCACCCCGGCTCCCAGAACACACAGCTCTACAACCTCCACCGCAACCCTCCCCACATCCTGTTGCCAACCTAACTACTATACTTCGAAATGCAAAGTCGCGAGAGCTTTCACATTCCCCACTTCGTGAGACACACGACATCTATAGCTCTCCTACATCGACGCGTCTGTCGGCTTCATTAGGACCAGCTGGTGACAGTGAGTCTATACCCACTCCTTTTCGCGTGTCAGATCCTCTTCGGCTTTCCGACGTTGAGCTCTTGCTCTTCCGTAATTACGTCGACAAAATATCAAAATGGGTAACCACCTTCAGCAATACGGATCTGCTTCGAATCACATGGTCGATCCAGCTAACCTTCTTCTCAGGTCGATTCCTTCTCTCATGACCAGCCATTCTACTGCCAGGTACCAGTCATGGCTCTGCACTGTCCCATGCTGCTCCACTCTTGCCTTGCCGCCTCCGCAAAGCAATTGAGCAGAGTACCACCTCACGGTAACACCTCCCTGCAGGAGAAATACTCCTTCTATTACCAGCAAGCCCTCCGGGAGATGGGCTCCTTTCTAGTCGAACCTCACTACTCAAGCAGTGATGAACTCCTCGCCTCCAGCATAATTCTATCCACGTCAGCACCACTTTCCCTCACATACTGTCCAATATTCCTTCCCGCTAACACAAATCAGATACGAGATCATCGACGTAGCCAGCGAGAGCTTCGGCTCTCACCTCAAAGGCATCGCCAGCCTAATCCAATCCCACGGCATCCACGGAGACGAAACCGGTATCCGAGGCGCAACCTACTGGACCTGGTACCGACATGAAGTCTGGGCCGCATTCCAAAGCCGCCGCCGCATGTTCCTCGATGAAAATTACTGGCAACCCCGACCCCTCGCCAGCTTCGCCCATATCTCGATGCGTGAAATTGCAAACCGCATTCTATTCATCTTCGGCCAATGCATCACACACTCTGTTCTCAGATCCGAAACCAACCACTCCCACAACCGCCTCCATGCACAGACTACTACTACTACTATATCACCCTCCGAACTCGACCAAGCCCTAGAAGACTGGAAAGAAAAACTCCCCCCATCCATGATGCCTTTCTGCTCCCGGGAACCAAAAACCCCGGCAACCGATACACGCGAGCGCGACCTATCTTTCATGTTCCCTTTTGTCTGGTTCGCGTACCCCGAAAGCGCTATCTCCCATCAACTATACCACGCCTCCAAGATATTACTTTCCCTACACGGTCCCTGCGCTTCAGCCACTGATCCCCTCAAGGCACGCCGCGAGCTAGATAATTCGAGAAAGGAGGTCCTCATAATAGCTAACTCGGGTATCAACGAAGCATGGGGTCTCATCTCCACCCAGTGTTTGTATATTGCTGGCTTGGTTACAGAAGGTATTTTGGAAAGACAACGCACGATTGAGCTCATTGAAGCATATCAGACAAAGACAGGACGACATACCACCTGTATCTCGGATCAGTTGCGCAAGTTTTGGGCTAAATGAGCTTGATATAGAGCCTTGGCTAGGTTCGTCAAAAAGTGAATAGAATATCCGGTAATTGGCCAGCGTAGATCAACTAAGAACTGGTAAGGTTCGGTTCAGCTTATACTTGGTCTGCGTGTGCCATTCCTTACGTCTTGGTCTTCGCTTCATGTCCATAGATGTCCAGGTTGATTTAGATACGGAACTACAGAGTTATGGGACCGATAACTAACAAAAAAAAATGGAATCATAAGATATCAGGAGAGATTTATTAGTATCCTAGTATATAGCCATGAAAAATGTTCATAGTCATAATAGAACCAATACGGAAGACCACTTGGTATATGCAGCTGGGTATAAATTTAGGCTTGCCGTGCCCATTTCCTTGAACCTCACCACATCGGATAGAAGTTCATCGATGGCCAATCGGACAAATACGCGTCGACGTCCATTGCCGCCTGTTCAAAGACATCCGGGTAGACATCTAACCCTTCGATGCCGTATGGCGGGTCATGGATCCCATAGTCTGTTGACATAGGCAGTTGAAGGCTGTCCGGGATATCAGCCGCGTGCTCTACAGTACACTGTGCTGTGTTGGACGTCGCTTCTGACAATCTGGTTTTGATTCTCAGCACGATTAATGGCGGTGACGCCATCTGGCCGAGTTGCTTATATGCTGCTTCGTACACCTCCCAGACTTGGAGGATACTTCGCGCAAATAGCATGAATATTGGATTGGGAGCTTCCATCCCGTTGAATCGGGCTTCGTAGTTCTCGCTCATGACATTCCACATTTTGTCAGCGTGGTGCTCAGTTGGTCGCTTCTTCAGGGCCTGGATGATATGAAGGTATGCTGGGAATGGGAAGTGAAAGTGTACATGCCAGCTGTATCGCTTTGTAAGAGGGGAGGTCATCAGTTTTGTATCGCACTCGATCATGCGTAATGCGTAGGTACTGGCGGCGTCGCGTTGGGCGTCTGTTTGTTGTGCGGGTGAGCACGTTGAGTAGTGTTCCACTAGGAGGTACTTTGCCAGGAAGCCCCGCGCTGTCCAGATGGTCATGTAGTGAAGGGGAATTTCGGGGTTACAGAATCGCAGATGTTTGTCCTCGATACTGCTTTCTAAGGCGCTGACCCCATCACCGTTCAGATTCTTCGCAATTGCCTTCAAAGACGGGTTGGTGAAGTCCAGATGACAGGCGCTATGACGTATGAACTCTCCCAGTTCACTGCGTACAACTGCGAAAAGCGCCTCGGTGGGCCCCTCGTGGGCAGCTGCTGGGTTCTTCATCTCTGGCTGCAGATCAAAGTCATTCACGTTGAGAGGAGTTTTGCAGTCCCAGGTCGGGATCAACATTGAGGTCTTGTGGTCTGACATCTCGCCTATGCGATTGTCGAACGTGACCAGCGACCACCATAGTCTTCGGCGTATCTCACCTTCGAGAGCAGTACATTTGGCATTGGCCGATTCGGTATCAATATGCATGCGTTGCGCGTTTCTGATAGCAACGCCGAGCATTGAGGATAGAGACCGGGGGTCTGTTTCAGGTCTGGCAGATATCTACGAGTGTTAAGAAAGTAAAGAGATTGTAACCCATCGGGCTTACCAAGTAGAGCAACAACGCTGTCAAGCAATCGCGATCACCAGAGCGCAAAACGTCACATTTCAGCAAAGCCTGTTGGCATCCGAATTGATAGCCTTTCAGCAATTCTCTCTTTGGTGCCCCGAGTAAGGTAGGACACTCGTCTTCGGGGAGACTCATGATAGCGACGCTATAAATACCGAACATAAGCGCTTCCAGTGTTGGGCTAATATGGCCAATGTTACCGACGGCATCGATTATTCGCATCTGCAGAGTCGGAGTGTGCGTGACTTTCAACAATGGATCAACATTCTCCAGGTATATCAGCCAGAGCTTAAAGATCTGGACTTGGTCGGGGTGCAGGGTAGAGAGGTCGACATTGGTCTTGCATGACCCAAAGAGTAGATTCTGGTCGTTGTCATCATATACCTGATCCCATGTCTTCTTTACCACAGCTTCGTGCACAGTATCATGTGAGTGATTGCCGTCGTAATCATCGTCGCTACCATCATCACTTTCGCCGTCCTCAGTATCTAGTGTCTTGATCCCCTTGTCAGTGCAGCTCAAGCACACCATCAAATTAATACATACCAATTGATTCATGAGCTGCCAAAAATTCCTAAAAACCTGTTAGTACTTTGAAGTATGCATTGTTCGGGAACCGTAACTTAGCCGTGTACACCGGCTCGGTCTTGACCGACCCACGAGCTGTCCCCGAGCCGGGGCCTTGCAAATCCTCATCATCTACAGACCCACGGCCCCCGCTAACCTCTTCTTGAGACCCCTTCTCCGTCACAGACGTATGCAGAGGCTCAAAATCTATACCATTGTGGCGGAGCAAATCCTCATAGCGCCTCAGACGCTCCAGAAGCTCACGTTCGGGAAACCTGCGACGCCGGGGCCGCGGGGCCAGGGTGGGCACGCACTGGGCGCCGGCCCGGACACAGCTGGCACAGGGGAACTTGCGGTCACACTTGACTTTACGCTGCTGACATAGGACGCACGCAAGCGCCCGATGTGGCTTTGCAGCGGCTCGTGAGGACGCAGCTGGAGGCCTTTGGTCGGTTGGAGACATCACCGGGGATGTGGTTTTGGGAATGATCTTCGTCTGGGATGTTTGGGTCTTGGAAAGTGGGAAGTGGGAAGTGGGAAGAATGCGTTAATGTTCGGTCGGACCCGCCAGAGGCCCGCCCTCAGCCAGCCTCTTCGCGTCAGGTGATTCCCTGTCCTATGTTAAGGGTATTTGACCACAAGTATTCATACATAACGGAAGCTCTGTCTCATGTCCTGAATGCTTTCCTTGGAAATCTATCTGACAGCTCATCAGGTAGAACAACTAAAGATGACGATCTTCTATGATTGCTTTTCTGGATTTATAACTATACAGTGAGTAGTAGTTTGGATACAGGCCATTGAGGCGCTCATTAGCGCAAATCTCAAACTGTATTCACCCGTTGGCTCGCTTGGGTGCCTACATACAGAGGAGGCAAGATAAGTATGCAGGCAGCCTCGGGGAAGTAGGTGTGCCGGGACCATTGCAGGGAATCGCGCCAAATAGAACTCTCAAGCAGACAGTCACTGGGTCTATGTGTAAATGCAATGTCGGAAAATAATATGGATATCAATGAAGTGGCTGAAAAAAATCGTAACCAGCGAAGGTATACATATCGCCTGCTCATAGCTTCGCTTTTGGCTTTTGCTTGCCTTTCGCGGAGTAACTGTTCAACTGCGTATGCCACTCATCAGGCAGAGTAATTCTCTCTTTCGTGGTTAGCTCTAGCCATCCCTTCTGAATCCGTTCTTCTTCCTCTTTCCATTTCGCCGTCTCTTGCTTCATCCATTCTGCAGTTGCTTCGGCGACAGTCGTAACATCCTCGAACGGAAGCTGGTGAGTAGCATGAGGGCTTATGACTTCCTTGACTCGACCATTCTTGTATCCACCACTGCCTCCAAATCCTGCGCCAGTACGTTGCAGCTTATATGCGCGCCGGTCTGCTGTCGAGATGGGACTTTTCCCTCCATAGACATATAACACAGATGGCCGAATGTGTTTTAGTGCTCCCCACAGTATTTTGGGTTCAGACCGATAGAACGGGAACACTGCTTGGGTGGGACCCACGACATCTGGGTGAAAAGAGGCATCGTGGGGAGTATCAGGATCGGGGTTTTTCTCGAAGTCCAGCATTTGCCTGTTGAGGAAGTTGGGGCGCGCGTATAGTGCCGCTTCTTGGTACTTTGAAGTGGCCAGAGTGACAGGAGAGTCTGAATCAGCCTCTTCAGCCAGATCGCTTTCCGGGCGTAGCTTTTTTAGGCCATGTTGTAGCCACAAGTCCAAGACTCTTGAGTCCCAATTCTTATGCGTCTTTTTGAAGAAGGCAGTCGCTTCTGCCTGAGATCGCCAGACATCCTTTTTGCTAAGCGCAAGTTTCGCGAATGCTGGCCCCTTCCCGGAAACGAAGTCTCTTTCAATCACCGGTTCCACGAGGACGAGAGAACTGAAGAGCCGGGGATGAATTAAAGACAAGTGCAGCCTGCAATATCGATTAGGCTTGATCTGTTACACATTGCGAGTCCAAACACTGTAGGACTTACAGTTGTCCAGCGCCGAGACTGTGCGCGACGCCCATAAGTGGCCTCAGCATGTCAGCCTGGAACTGATTGATCATGTAAAGCAGGTCTCGGCTGTGATCGAACCACGATGCTGGTAAGATGGTTAAACCAACTTGCGGTCTCTAACTGCTAGAGGTGTGCGAAACGTACGATCATTCCCTAGATTCTCTTCGTTCACCACTGCGCTTGCACCCTGGCCGACAGGATTCGCAATCCAAATAGAGCGGATGCGAAGTCCATCGCGCTTCAATCTTTCATAGAGCTCTTCCCAGATTGGCTCGTAGAGTTCCTATGTAGTACTACCTTAGTATACACGCCCGATCACCACTCTTGTAGTCAGAATTGGTGCGGGAACAAAAGTCACCGACTTACTTTAGGGTATCCGCCGCCTGCACCACCAATGATGGTGATATCCCCAGGTCGGGGGTTTGGATTCGATTTTGGCGTATATTTTTTGACTACGAGCTTCAATGCATCTTCTGTTGTTCGCGTTGCTCGAGGATACTCTCGTATATACTGGCAATCAACGATATGCTCTGTGGTTATGAACGGAGACGACGCCATGACTGGAGTTGGTGATGATCAGAAACCAACGCTCGACGGCCGCTGGTCAGGGGTCCTCACATGGGGCTTTATATGCATCCGGGTGCGAGATAAACTGGGGAAGACCTTCTAGCTGAACCTCAACCAGAATTTCCAAGCCCCATTTTTCTGCGTCATATGAACCGAACCCGAACTTCGTATGTCGTACACACTAGGGAAACTTCGCCGCAATAGTTGTTATCTTTGTTTTTCTTTCTTGTGTTTCGTTCGCTTCCTTTTACCCGACCTGCCTTATTGCCCCACGCTATTGTGCTTCATAGGAACATGTGGCTGCTCCCGGCCCACTTTGTACTCCACTGTGAGCCTAGTCAAATTTGATTCACGAGAAGATGTGAGTGATACACAACTTCCATAGCTAATTTGGAGGCAAGCGCATCACGAGCTGTTGGGTGTTAATTCCGGGCCAGCAATTTTCAGCCAGCCAGCCACGTGAAAAGAGCCAGGCGCGGTGACTTGGCTAGAAATCAGAATGAAGAATTTGACGGAATCAGGATGCGTACCAAGGGCCCCACAGTTCCTTGAATGCTCAGCTTGACGCTAGATGTGTGTCGGCTATCGATAGTGGACGGGTCACGATCCATAGGGGCCGAGATCGCCACCAGATCCTGAGATCAGATGTGCCTCCAGAAAAAGAAAGCATTTCTTTCCGAGCTTGCGGGACCGGGGGTAGCAAGCAGAAACCTCTTCTTGCCAACAGGCAAACTTCAAGGTCTTTGATTGTCTGTTCATGCATGCGTTGACCTGGCGACATGTGTCCTGCCAGTTGATTTCGCAACAACTCCAGTGACAATGATCCAGGTGTAGGTCGCAAGCGAAATCTGCCATGACGTGCAGTATCAGCTGGAAAACTGTCTCAATTTATGTACTGGATGATAATAGGCTGGTTCGTCTTCCACGTCTCGCATCCCTAGATTCATGTGCGCTCACGGGGCATTCCAGAGATTGGCTACATGTATCAGACGACGATCCTGTTGCAACCAGCCACGAGATCTCAACGCTGTGATTGCCAGAATCCTGATAAATCTTCCGCCGTGATTAGCACTCGACGGGACTGCTCATATCTATCCAAAGGCCTGATAGCCTGCAGCTAAACTAGGGTCAGTTGATGTTACCAACTGATATCGAGCATCTGATTGGTCATTACTCTACCCTGATCCGTATTGAGCCGGTCCGGGGAGTTATTCTTGTTTCGCAACTTGGAAGCCGGACCCGGACGACAATCTCCGTGCCGGACCATCTCCATCATAGATACGTAGTACAGGCCATAACCACGGCTGCAGCATCTCTGTCTTGTGCGCTTCTTATCCGGCCAATATACGAACAGTGCTGTTGGGTGATCCGGGAAGCTGGACTGAGACTGGCTGCGCGTTGGTATGCATTGATCTAATCTATCAACTTTATCTCAAGCAGGTGACTGTGATAGGCAGACCAAGGGTCCAGCGTCGGCTGGAGGCAATTGATTTTTTGTAGATACTCTGTACTGGGCGGCAGACGCGGGAAAACCCAAGGAAATCAAGGTGGGGTGCTGTGTTGACTTGTCTTGGTAAGCTGTGTCCGATAACTATGAGCTATCGCGAAGCCATCCCTTTAGGTATCAGATTGGCCCATGGCGCTGTGGCTGATTTCGAAACCTGAAGCATTGTCATCTATCGCAACCCACCGCGTCGCATACGTCGAAATATAAAGGGGAAGATGTTAGCACAGTCCGTGGGTTGCTCACGCCTGCTACATGGCAAAGTAGCTCACACAGGTCACTGACACTTTGTAAATAACAACATGGCTTCTGGCAAGCGGGCATTTGGACTAACTATGCAGTAGAGTCCCATCAGATGCTCATGGATCAATAGGAGCAACAAGTCTCGAAGCCCAATTGACCGGACTGGATTTATACCTTCCGCCAGACGTGTCACGGGGCACTTATGGCAACTATGGTGCAGAAAATGTAACGACGTTATAGACTGGTATCCGATACGCCTTCCACTCTATTCCAACCTCCAGTATATGCCATACAACCATATCATCTTATGTAAGTGAGTCAGTTGCAGCTTCCATTCGAACTTTATTGACACCAGTTGATTAAATCAGAACGTCGCAACACGACACAGGTGGCGGTTATGCGATCGCCAAATTGCAAGATCAGCTGATGTTTTTCAAGGTCTATAGCGCGTTGTGACGTGTGATTAGAGACCTGTCAGCACTAAGACACCGATCCAAATGTTCTTTATTCATCTTTATTCCTTTGGCGTTCTGATCTATAGCCATGAAACAGTCAACAATCAGAAGGCAAAGTATAGAAGTCAGCCTCTCATGAACCATACAGCCTTTTTCTTTTCATAGAAAGAGATCAGCAGCTGAGCGTGGACGCAATTCATGATATTCTACGACAGAGCTGACTTTTTTTGGGATGAAAACACTAGCCTATGGAGTGTAGAGCTGAAAACGTATTGATGCCTATGAGATCATGGGTAAACAGATCGCAATAGCGGGGCTGTCACTATAACTCTAATGTCGATTGGTCAGGAACGCGTCGTTGTTCGATAAGCGTCGCGGTTGCAAAGATAATCGATGAGGCAGCCAGGCCAAAACGTCTCGCAGATCATCTCCAGTGTGACATCAATGGGATTGGTCTCAAGGCAGCTCTGAAAGACTATCTATAACGGATTCCCTGTCGGTCCTGCATAGCAAATACATTAATCCCTGTCAATCATACTTTTCACATTGCTTTTGTGGGCAAACACTACGCGTCCTGTTCGCGTCGACCTCTGACTAAAATATTCACTGGTTTAATTAACCACCAGAACAAGCATTGTGTTCCCTCACATATTCATATACTGGTTCATCATTCGTCGAAGATGACAGGCCTGTCTGAAGACAACGACCAGCTCAAGATTGCAATCGCCAGGACGCCAAAAACGTCCTAGAGAGTGTTCTTAATGCGCTGTGTGAAGAAGGACCTGCAGCCCGAGAATACTTGGCCGAAAAGCTCCTGGTGACTGAGGGCCAAGTTGCAGTATCAGATAGCGATATTCTCTATAGGTCTGAAGATAAGGGGAGTAGAAAGAGGAAGATGGCTGAGTCTGCCACCACGGGCTCCAAAAAAGTGAGGACTCGCTATGCCATCTGCGCGAACTGTGATCAAGAGTTCGATGTGAGCAAGAATACTAGCAAGAGCTGTCACTTCCATCCACGTAAGCATCGAATCATACTCCATTTTGGGCGGATGAAGCTGATCTTTGCTTAGCAGAATCTGTCGCGGACCGAGATAGTTTTGCGGACAATGATGATGACCACGGCTCGCTTGATGAAGAATGGATTCGTGAAGAATGGCCTGAGAATTTCTACTTTGAATGTTGCTATAGAAATCTCACCGAGGAGCCGTTGTGCTGTTGGTTTTCACAGAGAAGTTAGGGGTTGAGGCTTTGAGTGGCTTATCTGTAACAACACATCTCGCTTTCTTATTCCCTCCGCTTTGCAGAAGCTTCGTAACAACTTGGATATGTAGAATAAATTAGCGTTACGCTCAATAGCATCTGCCACTGTCAGCTTCTGCTTCTGTCACCTGTTTCATGTGCCAATCTGCAATACCCAATGCTTAACTATGTAGAGACTAGAGACCATCCATTAATTATCTATAGCGCTGCTACAGTTTGACGCAGACCCTAAATAGTCCATCCTTATCGCTACAGAACTAATAGAACTACAACGTGAGCGCTTTTCAATGACCGGCCCCTTAGCCAAATATATCCCCAAAACTACCAATAAGATACCACAAGATCAAATCTTGATTACTATAGACATACCACTGAAACAAAATAAACTCCATACTCCAGCATACTGTATTGAACGAGATTTCCCCTTGACCAATCAGCTTGTCATCAATCCAAGAAGAGCTCATCCACCAGTCAAAAGACGGAAAGATATATTCCCAATAAACCTGACAACCAAACCACCAACCCGACCATCACAACACATACACTCGACAAACACGCACTCAAAATAACCATATAAATCCAAATCTAAGTATAGACACCAATTAATCCACTTTAAACTGATATAGCTCCAAAGTGGACATTGACCCAAGTCAGAACTACTTGGAACGGAACCACCAAACCCGACCCAAGCAACGGAGAACCAAAGGTTAAGTTATCGATAAGCCCGAAAACCTCCTACGCAAACAACCTCACCACCTCACCACCAGCGACGAGCTCCTCTATTGCCTTCACTACGGCAACTACACTCTACACTACACTACCTCAATCAAACCATCCACACCCACACCCACACCCACACCTACAACCACAGCCAACCAACCAACCAACCAACCACAGCCAACCAACCAACTCAACCCATCCCCAAACTCAACCTCCCACCTCACAACCACGATGTCATCACCACCACCAAACCACCTCCCCGTCCAAACCCACCACTGCCGATTCTGCAACCACCTCCTCATCGCAACAACGCGCTCGATCGCCTCCCTACCACGACGAAAAGAACCCTCAAAAGACAACGCCCTGATATTACCCCTCCCAGTTGACTCCACCACCACCACTACCACTACCGCCACCACCACCCAAACACAAACACAAAAACACTACACCATTCTCCTATCAACCGCAATTCCGGATCGAAAGCCGACGTTGGTTCGAAGAGAAGACGGGTTCGAGAAGAGGCTTTTCCTTCGGTGTGGACGGTGTCGGGTCGTCGTGGGGTATTTTTTGGATCCGGTGCATTTTCCAGAATTGATGGGGGAGAAGGGGAAGGTTGGGAGGGAGGGGGATGGGGATGAGAAGGCGAGGGTGGTTTATTTGTTGCCTGGGGCGTTGATGGAGACGGGGGTTATGATGGAGGAGAATGATGATAAGGTACGGGGGTTGGATCGCGAGTGGAGTGCGTGGTTGGAGGGGATGTAGTTTGTTTATTTGTTGTTTATCAGGTTATTTCATTTATGGGTATACTTGAGTTGGGGCAGAAAGTTTGCGTGTACTATATCCTTATACCATGTACCATGTACCATTTATGTTTATCCGAGGCTGAATCGAGCAGTAACCCATATACAATGCACTATAACTAAACTATGCTCAAGCAAACAACTCCAACACGGCTGGTAGGAGGATCGCGTCGTAACAGAAATCATCAGGAACGTCAGGAGGGTATCGTGTGTCGTTTAGTTGGCCAGGATGGTGCGAACGAGGTCTGTTCACGATTAGCTATGCGCAGACAGGAGACGAGTATGAAAACGTACCGGTGTAGTTGATCTCGCCGGAGCTGGTATCAACTGCCTTGAGAAGCTCGTCAACCTCCTCATCCGACATCTTCTCGCCGAGATTCGTCAAGACTATAGCATCATCAGTAGCATCCCGACCATATCCATACTGCAATCACATACTGTAACGAAGCTGTCCCACTCCGATAAAACCGGTCAGATCCTTGTCGAACACCTGAAAACCGCGGCAGTATTCGTCGGGCTCGCCGGGGTCACGGAAGCCTCCCGGGCGGTTGAGGACCTTCAGGAACGACTCAAAGTCAACTGCGCATCAAAATGCAGGTTAGATATGCATCTGCCAATACGGATCTAATCCAAGGACGTACAGTCTCCACCGATACTCTTCTCCAGATCCGCGATCTCCGCCAAAGTGGGATTCTGACCACATGCCCGCAGCAGATCGCCCAGCGACTCGATCGCGACCTTTCCGGTACCGCGCTTATCGAAGAGCGAGAAGGCTTCCTTGTAGTTGGTCGAGGCCTGGTCGTGGTGATATTCAGGTGAGCGAGACATCTTGAAAAGGGGCAGAAGCACACAAATTCGGGGCAAAGAGATGAGATTAAAGACAAGATGAGAATGGCACGAGGACGGGAATGAAGGGCCGATGACGAACGAGCAGCAAGTACTAGTGAACCATGGAAACGAGGGATTGGACGGGCAGACGAGGGGCCGGAATTCAATGGATCCAACCGCACACGTTATTCCCGAACATGACAACAACAATCAACAAACAGGGATCCAACGCAGGGCCTCTAAATCGTGAAGCTTTCCGGACAATTCCTCATCCGCCACCACGGGATAATGATACATTCGACTGACAGCGAGGCAATGGGAGGCGACCACGTACCATGATTGTTGTCTTTGATGGTGATGGTAATTTCACGACTAGAATGTGGCGGTGGTCTGCGAGGGATGGCGACAGGGGGATTGAATGGGGATCTAAACAACCCGGAACGGCAATGGCAGATTGGAATGAAGGAGGAAGGGGGGGGAAGAGGGAACAGGGAAAGGAGGCGAGGCGGCGGCGGGATGGAGGAGACCCTCCGGCTCGACTGTTTGGCCGGTTGTTGTTGTGGTAACCGGACACCTCAGGCATCGACCGGCCCCTATCGAACTACGTAGTTTCCTTCAAGAGTATATTTACTTACTTGTATTTGACGGTAGCGTCTACATGCCACGCTGATATAGTTGGTCCCATTGCGTAAGAACAGATCCGGGTAACCTAGCAATATACAATTCAGAGCAACGCTATCCATCCCATTGGTATCCCAGTCATAACACATGCGCAAATATTCAGACAGCCAACTGACCGTAAGTCAAGCAGAAAAAAATACAATAGACAAGACAGCCGCCGTCTGTAGACCCCTTGCGGAGCTTGTCGTAATTCAAGCATCTCACATGTACAAATAAGTGAAAATCCGCCCACAGACGCTATATACATAGATATGAAACAAGCATATCCTGGTGAACTTTTCAAGCTGCTCCGCCGTTCAGTTTGTCTATACAACTGCTAAGCAGGTTGCCTGCCTCGGTCAGTAATTCCCAGCGGGTATTGGTGAACCCGTCCCGGAGGATCAACAACAAGCCCAGGCAGCGGTTGCGTCCTCTCATCGTTTCCAAGTCACTGGGCTCACGGACACCGCCTACCCGTCGCAGAAACTCCTGCATGTCGCGCTGCTGCTCAGCAGGGGTGACCAGCTTGACAGGAGTAGTGATGGGCCCTTCTAGTGCATATCCATAGCACCAGACAACTAGTGCCGCCACGTACAGCACCCACGGCCTGTTAAGAAGGTAATCGTCCCGGCCTGAATACAACTCGCCATCCTCGTTCAAAGCCCGTTTTCCATCCAGAAGGCACTCGGATAAGAACTTCAAGGCGTAGAATGTGGCGTCACGAGCAGTTGCCTTCGTGGCCCATCGATCCACCATCTTTTCGCGCGCAGCTTTGTAGTCTCTCGGGGTGATGGACCTTCCCATGAGCCGACCGGCTCCAGCAAAGATCTGGCAGTCAACTATGTCAACGTGAGAAGCCATGTGTGCTAATCCATGCAGCACGTCGCGCGACTCGAAGACATTGTCGTCATCGAGAGGATATCGGGGACGGTATCCAGTAGGAAATGGCCCCGATCCCGACTGGCCCAGCGCTTCATCAAAGTCTCGTCGCCAATTGTCAAAAGCTCGCAACAGCGCTGACCGCCATTTGTCCCGGCCCCCCAGCGCCGGTGGGCCCCCTAGTGAGCTCACCTGGAGGTCTCGTTGGTTCATATGCCAGCTGACGCTAAGCAATCCAGCCATGAGAATGGTCCGGCCAAAGGCATTCGTCCGGACCCGCTGGCCATTAAGGGTTTTCTTAAGCCCATCCAGAAACATGACAGGTTTAACACCGTTGGCATGCAGGCTCGATTGCACGCGAGCCACCTCTGAGGCGCTGGTCGCAGACCACAGCGCCTCATCACAAGGCAAAGGCAACCGAAGCTCGTGCGCAACCATCTTGGCGGAGTGCCCGAACATAGTGGCGTGAGTGGAGTCCAGAACAAAAGCGGCAAAAGCCACTCGCCTCGTAGCCTCAGCCTTGATCCAGTGAGACCAGGACTCCTCGGCCGCAAAGTCTGGTGCCATTGTCGATCCAGAGGCCGACCGGGCCTGCCGGTCTTCCCGCAAGCTTGCGGGCGAGTCCAATGCGGAGCGGCCAATCAATGAGCTACCGCGTCGCATCAGCGTGAGTGTGGTGTCGTGATGAATGTGCGCCCGCTCGTGCAGCGCACGCGTGGAATACATCTTTTCATATACCTCTAGCAGCAATAGCGCCTGAAAAATCCAGAGCTTGGCTGGCGGACGAAAGTCACCGTCCATGAAGAGCTCTGTCCGTAGATGCCATGCGATGAAGTTTGCCAGCTCAGATGCCGCCTCAGTCACCTCCGGTCCGTGGATCCTATCCAACGTGGATGCACCAATAGCCATCACTGCAAGCAAAAGCAGATTGGGCGTTTTGTCAGCCACAAAAGTCGGACGATGCAGGATGGGTAGCTGAGAGTGGAAATGATACCAATATGACCCGATGTACGTCTGCATCATGCGTAGACTGAGAACGTGGTCATCGTCGTCGATATCGCCGTCCATCAAAGCATCCTTCCGCTTGGCTGCCACGGAATAGAAGGCCTCATTGAACCTAGAACTCATGAGCGCTAGGAGTTCCTGTCTCTTCTCCTCTGACATGATAGCCCGTGGTGACCCAGGATCCAGAATACTGGTCACGCTCATAGGGTGATGCGGAATGACACCACTTAGAAAGCTGCCATAGGCAGGATCGCTCATGAAGAATTGATTCTGCAATTGGACGGCATCCAAGTAGTTTGGGACAACATTAGTAGTTGCAGGGTAACCCATTGATGGCGAACCTGTGACGGGATCGTTGAACAGCCATGCTGTAAAGTCATCTGCCATTGCGAAAGGTGACCGGTTGTGGGCTTCCCCACCAAAGACCGGGTAAACGCAGGAGGCCAACGAGTCAAACCCGGCATCTCCCACTGTCGGCCCGGAGGTCATCATTCCAGACATAGAATCTAGTGTCGCTCGGTCCAGAGATGTCGATGTTGCAGATGTCGTTGGCGCCATCGTAATATCGGTGTATCCTCCTACAGGGATCTGTAAGCCAGCGTAAGATGTGGAATGTTCCAACGATGATCCATCAAGATCATGTGAAATGGAGCTGGTTTCGGTCAAGGAGTGACGAGATCGCGTGTCTTGGCCCAGGTCTCCTGCTTTGGGCGAAGCCTTGCCGGAAGAATGCCCGTGAAGCACAACATGAGACGCAGCTTGTATTTCGGGTGGACTAAACGTTGTCGTGCTCGAATGTCCAGGTGGGGAGCTGAGAGTATGGTTGCTCGAACTATTTGATCGGGAAAACGTAGGGTCCGACAGTTCGACGCCATGCTGGGAGATCAAGGGCTGGTAATTAAATGCCTGGCCCATTCCAATAGAACCTGGAGGTGATGGTATATGTACATGTTGGTTCGGAGCATTGGCATCCATTCGGCCTTCCATTGACTGGGTGGACGGGTATTTAGAGGGGATGGGAATGAGAGGAGAGGCCTGGCTTCCGTTCATCTGTGGCATATTTTGAGTTGTTTGTGGCTTTCGCAGGCTGCCGTTGCTTGCTGCTGCCTGAGCGAAGTGATCTCGCTTCTGCAGTTGTGAGCCTTGGGTAGTGTGACGTTCTCTATGGCGTACACATAGGTCTTGTCGCACAAAGGATCGGTAACAGTCAGGAAAGTCGCATCGGTAAATTTGCTTGGGGGTATCTGGAGAAGGAAGGATTAGTATTGGCTTTGAAAAGCCTCGGGAGGGACCAATTCGTACGGTTTAGTTGATGGCGGTACAAATGCTCCGCTCGCGAGTAACTCTTGCCGCACCCATCGAATGTACATTCGAACTTGCGGTCTGTTTGGACCTTTCGGGTCCTCTTTCTTTTGCGTGGAGGACCGTTCAGTGCCGCATGGATCGCATCGTTTTCTATCATCATATCCACTTCCGAGTTCGAGGTATGACTGCTTTTGGGCCCCGAGGCCAGCGGGGTCATTGCAGCGAGAGCCAAGGTCATCTTGCCCAGGAAAGTTGAATTCTTTCTAAACGAACAAATGTTTCACGCCTCTTTCCTGACACCTCGTATGTATCTCTAAGCCTTAGCCAACACCCCGAAGATCACCCGCAAAGATCTCACTTGTGTCAGAACCGCTCATCAGACCGGAAATCACAGATGATTTTCATCAGCAAAGGGAGGTCGGTTCCGAGAGCTCAGACAGAAGAGCAAATCCCGGTAAGAACCGACATGAGGCGGGAGAATAATCGGGCGAATGTTTGTCTCGGCGAAGGTCGAAGGCCGCTCGCTATCTGGGCCGGGTCAGACGCACGGGGAACCCCGTGGGGAAAACTCGGCGGGAAGAGGCTGTGATTCCGGAAGTGTTGGGAGTCGCTGACGACAAAGAAACAGTCTTCAGATGGCCTGAACGGTAATTCCGGTGAAAGAGGTGAGCTTATGAGACTCGAAATATTGATCGTGTAGGCGAAGGAGACAGCAGCTCGGAGGAGAACGGTCGTATGATTGCTGGTGATGGGGGGAAAGTTTGGAGGCGGAAGAGGGGAAAAAGGCCGAGTGAGCAAGGGTTCCCGACAGACCCCCGACAGCCGAACTGCCAGACTGCCACGCGAGGGTGCACAATGGAGGAAGACGACTCCGAGAGGTGATGCGGAACAAGATCCAGACCCAAGGGAGGAAGAAGGAGAGAAGAGGCCCAAGAGGAAAAGCCGGGGAAGACAAGAGCACCGCAGGAAGCGGCGGGCGGTCCCTTAATATTCTGCTGGGTGGTTCGAGGTGGGGCAGCCGCGCCGCTGGAGAGCTTTCTCTGGATCTGGAGAGCCGATGTACTACTACCAGCCCGACTCAGTATTACTGCACCTTACCCAAAGTCGTACAGTACCTCCGTACCTCCCCCTTCTCCTCCTTTCATCCATTCAGTCTGCCTCTCTTCCCGCCTTCACTTCTCCTCCTCCACTGCCTTCTTCCCCACCCCCCTCCTCGGAGGGTCACCCAACAGCTCGGTGAGAATTTCGCCACAAATTCCACCACAGCCCACTCGAGTGGTCCTGCATTTGGGACGAAAAAGAAACGCGAGGACGAAAATACGACTTCCCCGGAAGAAGCAAAGCAAAGTTTATTCCTGGGAAGAGAATGGTCGGGATGAGGGGATGTGGGCGGGACAGCGAGGAACGTGCGATGGTTCATCATTGGCTTCCATGGATTAAGGTACAGGATTTGTTATCATTGGTCCTGCACCGAACAACCACAGAAGCCAGCTAGAACCAGAACTGACCACGGTCAGCCTGTCCCCCATCCTGGGCGTCCCGTGCCACTCCTGGCCCTCCCATTGCCCGGCCCTTTTCCTGTCTAGATTCATCCGTCATACATTCCTCATCCCGGCTGCTGCTCCCCAGACCCTATGAATGGACCCCTAGCTCTAATCACATTGCAGGTGACATTGATGTGGAGGACCCTACGGACTACATAGTCCCTGACGCTAGTGGCCCCAAGAAAAAAAAAAATCGATCAGCTAGGACAGATGCCAGCAAAAAAAAAGGAACAAAAAAAAGAAATCAAAAGACCACAAAAGCTTACTGCTCGGTTCCTTAGTCAATGCAGCCCAAGCCAAAACGGTGCAGGAGATTATGCTCTGCGGCAGCAGCGGTTAGTCCCTGGATGTTGGATGGCGCGCTTCATATTAGATGGCTATAATCGTTGCAGAGACAATCGGAGGATCATTCATGCTCCAAATCCTGATTCGTAAGGGATTGGCGCAGGCCAGCCATCGCAGTTCGTGTGTCACAGTCCACTTAGCAGTGCGGAGAAAAAGAAGATGTGCAGACAGACCATGGGCGGGCTCGATCGAGCTGTGGATTGACACTTCGAGCGTCATCAGCCCATGAACATGCATACAACCTTGCAGTGCGACTGTCAATCAGGGCCGGCGTTACGCACAATTTCCCAGACAACCCATTCTAACTTTGCGCAGTAGACCTAACTGGGACTCGATTGACAAGTTTTCTTTCCAATTGCCTTTTCTTTGCCCTCTTTTCAGCCCAACCAAATTTGTTTCGCCTCCAGCGCCGGGTCCAACTGGCAGCCTAGTGGCAGTGTCTTTCGCTAAAGCAAGCGTTGCTCCATTTGCGAATGAGGCAGCTTATTGAGTCTATTCCGCTTGGGGTATTACCATAAACGCATCATGCGCCGCCTGCAGAAAAAGAAAAGATCGATCCTCGAACGGCCGCACCTCGAGTCCTGTCAGGCGAGTCTCCTGACGTTCGGGGGATGGCGTGCTCCGTGGCTCCCCCGGACCAAGACCGCGGAGAAGGATCGCTGGTTCAGGAACAAAAAGTTAAGATACCGATATGATAAGGACATCGACTGATCCAATTTTATGACAGATGCCGTACGCCGTATCGGTTCCCCTACGGATTCCGCCAGCGCGGAAGTCTCCGATGCGGTACCAGCGCACCGGTACTCAGGCAAACACACTGCCACAGCCACACTTGCCACAATCAGCAACCGTACTAGCATCGCAGTTGAATAGCGATCAGCAGAACGCATTCACTCCCGTATAGCCATGGAGATCGGATGATGACAATCGGGTGGAATAATCTTGAGTGTCTCGGTTACCATCTGGCTACTAATTCTTGACTCGAAAAAAATCATTGGTCGTCCATGCCAAGGGATCTACCTTGCTCGAAACCCGAGTTCGCCTGGACTAATGCTCAATATAGGAGCGCACTATATTAGCGATACCGGCGATGGTGGTGCGGGACAGCATCTAATCCTCCCGAAGAAGCAAGTGTCGCGAAAGACCTACCTAAGATGAAGAAAAAGCAATTGTCCCCAACAAAAAACAACACCTCTCATCCGACCATCGGATCTAGATCCATCTAGCCCGACCCTGGCTCATTCCAACGTGTCATAAGTGAGAGGCTTATGCGAAGATGGTTATTCCACGAACCACTAGCTGGTCCCAGCCACTCGAAGGTATATGTTTGTTACGAGCTCAGCCCCAGGACATTCAAGAACCTGCCGTGCAGTGGCCCAGGATTGAGTAATGAAATGTGCTTCTCTGGGTTGGATCATTAAGATCCTCTCGCCATTGCCGCGAACGCTGCCTTGATTCCCTCACACACCATGTATGCCTACCGCCTACCGCCTAGCCGGGTTGCCTGTCTGCCCTGCCCAGCTCTCATACCAATGAACATCCACACCAGCAAGGCAGTTCTCCTCCTGCTTAACAACTCACAAAATGATAATATCCCCTGCATCCCCGGACAAGCCTCCCAAAATTCCGACAAGCCATACACCTAATACACATCACTTCAATACGATGATATATACAGAGCTAAACCCAATTACTCTCTAGCACCTGACCACGGCAAATTGCCTTCCAGCGGGATCCATCCAACACCCACTTCCCTCTGTCTTGCCTACACAATACACATAAAAAAGTAAGCCAACATAGGTAACACAAACAAGGCTACAGACCAAACCAAGCCAGGCCAACTCCACCTCCACTTCCACCTCCACAACAAGTAACGAGTACCAACTACTCCACTTCATCCAACGAACCCCGTCCGCCCTCCCGCCTCCTCACGAACACAACAACCCCGCCTCGCGAACTCGCTGACGACTCAGACTCCAATATTTCTTGGCTGTCTAGCTGGCTAGTATGCTGACCGGGAAAACCCTTTTCGCCGACTCGACATTGGTTGATCGGGTAAATGTTTGAAACGAACCGGTGGCCGATCATCATAGTTCTCATTTCTCTGCCTAGTACGTATGCAGTAAGTTCGTGGGAGGGGAGGGGAGAGCAGCGCAGCTCTCCCATTTAGGTGGTGGGGAAGGTAGGCCTTTCTAGGTATCCCGGGGTCAGAGTTTTACGGCTCATATGACAATGGCAATGAGGCATGGGGATGTGCCGTTGGTTCCGGTGAGAGAGTTCCAGTAAGTTTGCTGACATGCTACGGGTTCCCTAAATGGGTTTAGATAGATGGATGGATGGATGGATGGATGGGATGGATAAAAATCGTTTGTGAATCGATCCCCCGGTATTTGTCTAACTTTGCTACACTATAAAAGTACTTCCGATTTACAGAATTGGCCATGGGTAGGTAGGTGGGTGGTAGTGAGTAAGGAAAGGTGCAAGCGGGCTTGATCTCCCCGTTCGCTTGCGGGCCTCGGTGGCCATGGCGGGTTCATCCTCCAAGATCCAAGAGTGGTTCGGGTTCTGAAACGACCGCATCAAATCGTATACGGGTGATGCTGGGAGATGGTGGGGGAGGCAGGCAGGCAGCGAGGGAAAAGAAATACATGATTGGGCAATTTTAATAAGATTCTCAAGGCGCGCGAACGCTTGATGGTCTCCGGCCGGGTCGCATGACGTGCGCTAAATCTTCCAAGGGCTATCCCGCCTCCAAGGGCTGAGCGTCGTTGACGGGTGTTGGGGATCGCTCCCTTGGCTGAGCGGTTCCTGACTTGCTCAGTCCTGGCCTCCCCTCACTTGTTCGACAACCTATCCGCTAAATCGGAATCGGGTCGCCTCCAGTCTGCCCAAACCTTCTCGAGGTGCCACGTTTCGTCGCCGGTATGAGTTGGTGAAGTCTATATATGTCTGTTAGCCAATGCGAAGACTGCGCATAGTGCTTGATCCACCATACCTTGAAGAAGGACCCGGATCCTCCGCGTTTCGCCCGAGCGGACCTTTTCGAAGACGCCATTCAAGAGCCTCTCCGCCTCACCCTGCTTCATCGTGCCCGCGGGGAGCATCTGGAGCGTAGCCTGTAGCCAAGCCCCCGCCTCTTCGGGCATGAGTTCAAACAGGGACATCAACACGCTTGATGCGTCGGGGAAACACTCGCCCGGGAACGTGAACATCATACCCGTCAGAATCTGCTGCGTGAGTTGTTCCCCTTGCGAGGCAATCAGCTGCTTTACGGCCTGGCGAATCTCGGGAGGGTTCGTATAGGCATTTCCGTCCGCCGTGGTGAATTCGGACACCGTCGGTTTATCGAAGGCGAAGCTGAACAGATCATGGAAATAATGGAGGGTGGCCATAAGAGGGTCAATCTGCTGAAGGGTGAGAGCAGTGCGTGCTGCGCGGAAGATCGGCACGGAGAGCTCGGACGTGACACATTCCTTAGGGTAGTACCGAACAGCATCGGAAGAAAGACGATAGAAGTCCTCAATCACTGGTTGCAGATGATCAGCTTCAGGTTTAGGAAGAAACGGATGTCCAACTGGAGCACCTACCATCCGCCAGATTTTCTGGCGGCAGCTGGTCCAAAATGCGCAGGAATGCGAGCGCTTGTTGCTCGTAAAATTGGAAGACAGCGTGACTAGTGGAGGGATCGACGAACTCGGCACCCTCTGAGAACTCACGCACGACTGCATCAGTGGCCCACAAGAAGCATCCTTCTTTCGACGCGGTGAATCCGCTAGCAAGGCTCTGCGCTAGGGTGGGCAGAAGCGGAGTCATAGCCGTGCGATAGGAGATGATCATGTTCCTCCAGCAACGGCATACTCGTTCTAGAATCGGGGTGGACGAGGTAAAGTTCATCACGATTGTTGTCATGATTGGCAGGATCTCGCCGCAATACTTCACAGCAGGGTTTTCCTCTTGAAGTGACACGTAGGGGTTCACAACCAAGACGAAGATCGTAATTAGCTGAAGATGATCTGCCATGTCATTAGTATGTAATATGCCTTGATCGTCATGCAGGAAACCTACCAGCAACAGCGCGCTGGCCCTCTTCATCCTTAGCGTTGTTCGCTAGGTTCATGATGCGTGCCATGATGGGGTCACAGAACAACTTCATCGTCTCATAGATCTTCTCGAGTGGCTGAACCGCAACCACAGCCGCCACACCCTCGGTTACTTCTTCCTGGCTAGCCGGCTTCAGCTTGTCAAGGACGGACTCGTAGAAGGAGTGTAACTGAGCAATGTGACCGCCGAGCAACTTCTGGCAATCCGTGCCCAAGAATTTGAAGGCCAAGGCTGCAGCCTGAACTACCTCTGGGGAGCTATGCTGGAAGCCCGAGATGACATAGTTCAGTTGCGATTCCAAAGTTTCGGGGTGCTGCGCGGTCCACTCCGTATACCGCGCGAGGGCCATGATGGCCTGGAACCGCACCTTCTCCTGGTTCGGGATCTGCACAATAAGAGGAATGACCTGCGTGAGAACGGCATTCTCCTCAGGGTCGACCATGCGGCCCATAGCCCTTAAACTGAAGAGCGGCGCTTCCAGTTCCTGCCAATTAGGAACGTGCTCGTCAGTGGACTGGGAGGCATATTTGGAGACCCATTGCTGAATTAGCTGATAAGATTTAGTCAAGCACTCATTGACTCCAATAACAGCACAGCAATCCTTGAGAACGTCTCCCATGGCATGGCGGAAGTGGCGGAATTTCTCCTCTTGTTCCCGATCGCCGCCAAAAAGGTCGGTCTCGCCGTCCTCCGGCTGTGGGTATTCCAAGTGTTTGACCATAATATCCACCAGGCTGGAGAAAACGTCGCTGAAGACAACCCGAGAATCTGTATATCTATCCAACGTCACGTACTGTTTCAACTCGTACCAGAAGACAAAGGTGAGAGAGATGGCGTCACGCTCCCAGTCTCGGGCACAACATTCGAGGACTGCCTCAACCAGTCCACGGAATTCCGACGGGAGACGCGCCATCAAGACCACCCAGGCCTCGCCAGCCTCCGCGAAGAGCCTCGTGACACCCCTGAAAGCATCCGTGTCTTCCGCTTGAGCAAACTCGGCAATCTTCGGACGGAGGGACATTAAGCGCGGGTACAAGGCCTGGATAATGGGCAGTGACTCATCAACTTCCCGGGTATCTCTATACAAAGTGCACATGCTGTCTACCGCGGACTCGAACGATCTGTCGTCATCTAGGGCCTTCAAGATCACATCCATCAGAGGGGAGTCAACGATCTTCGACGCCGGAATTTCACGCATCCATGATGTGATACAGTCCAAGAGGCGAGGATTGGTGGACGCAGTGGCTGTAATGGAGAGTCTTGTTTAGCGACTTAAGAAAGCTGAGTAGGTGATTGGGACACATACGGGATGACTGGGCATATTGAATCAGGAGATGCATAACCTGTTCGGCGTTGTCTTCCAAGAGTTCTTTCGTCCTGGATATGAGATCATCTTCCTAAGTAATACCAGCAGGTTAGAGTCTGGTTTGTCGTGGAATATCATGTCGTCACCGATCGCGTAGGAACGGATGTTGACACCGCCGAACATACACTGAGATTGATTTTGCGACCTTCCGTCACTTCTTCTGGGAGAATCTTGAGAAACTCTAACACACAATCCCCCGCGCTGCTGCCCAGTACCGTTCCAACCGTGGGCAAGACATCTTTCCATTCCAGCATCTGAATGGCGAGACTCGCTAGGCAAACGCAAAGCTGAGTCTGAATCGGTCGGGGACCTGCAGCGTAGGCCACAAGCAGGTTTAGGACAGAGTCTCGGAGCGCCAGTATTGAGTCCGCGGGCAACTGGTCCAGATCGAAAATAATCTGGGACGGTCAGTATGGGATGGCAGAATCGCCTCACGTAGGCCATGGGACCGCTTCACCTTTCCTTTCAACGTTGTCGCTGCGAACAACTTGGCTTCGACAGGGACATCCGCAGACTGTAGCATTTCGTGTGTGATATTCCATGCTTCGATCTAGAGGGAAGCCCGGCCATTGTTAGTATGCATTGTCATGAGCGGGGTGGAACAATCGGCTTGGGGAGAAGAATGAGGGGTAGGGATGGACGGACTGATTTCTGGAACTTCTCGAGGAACTCATGGGCGTGCGTCTTCTCCGTTCGCGAGACGTTTCCTGACATGGTAGCGACTGCGGCGAGGACAGGACCAAGGGCCTGTCCAGCAGCCCCATCTTTAGTGGCCATCTTTGACGCGGAGGGGGGATGTTTTGGGTTGTTGTAGTTTGGAAATGGGAGAAGAGGGGTTCAGCCAGGCCGGAAGGCTCAACACCTATGCAGTGCGATCATGAACACTCATTAAACAAACATTAAAGAAGGGGTAGATCAAGGGATTTCAGCGCTAGGACTTAAGCACAGTGGCGGAGAGGGAAGTCGGGGGTAAAGTGACTGGTTAGTGGAGGTGGGATGTGGTGACGATCGACCCAAAGGGAAAAGTTGGTGAGCCGCAATAGTCCCCCGAGGCGGCACGAGGAAGCTTCACCACCTTTCCGATCTTTCTCGACCTCTTCCTAGCATCTCCCGCCCAGCACCACCAACGCGTCTCTTCCCCGCCAACCGACCGTGAGGCCCATCTTCTTCCTGCGATTGCTGTTTTCGCCCCTCGACTTTCCACCCATTTCTCACATTCAACCATCACTATGACCGGTCGTGGAGGCGGTGGAGGCGCTCGCAAGACGCTGCTTGCGCCAATTCATTTCATCTTCAAGCTCCTCCAGCAGCGGTCCACAGTCTCGATCTGGCTGTACGAGCAGCTTGCGTTCCGCATAGAAGGCAAAATTCGGGTGATTATTTCCGTCTGCGTGCTTACGTGACGCCTGGCTAACTGACTCGTAGGGATTTGATGAGTTCATGAACCTTGTCATTGACGATGCTGTCGAGGTTCGCATGGCGACTAAGTCTGAGGAGGAGAAGCGGAGACCACTCGGTATGGGGCGATTCATTTCATCCATCCTCCTTCATGCTACGGTGCTAATTGGGTGCTTCAACAACACAGGCCAGATACTGCTCAAGGGCGACAACGTGTCTCTAATTCAATCCGTGCAGTGAGTTAAACGGGGCGTTTAAGGGATTTCGAAAGACAGGGAAGGGGAAAAATGATCTTTTATCGCCGACTTCGTGCCGTGATACGACATTGTTTGCATTTCTAAATCACTTTTTTACGGGTTCTCGCTGGAGTACAATTATTTGCATATGCTTGTCGCAATAGATGAAAACATGGACATGAAAAGGCTCGCTTTTTCTGAATATCCGATCAGTTTTAGCGCACGAGGCACCGGCCATCACCGACCATGAGGATGTCTACTGGCCAGTCAAGATCCGTGACAGGGATCTCCTCGGTCGGAGCAAGCATTTGCTCTTTGAGAGACAGCGCGACTGTGCGAGGGTCAGTCACGGGATATATTCGATGGCTAGTTGTTCTTATCTGGGGCGGTTGTTTCTTACCAAGTAAGGGCAGCTTTGGTGCCGTTGCTGTGCTCTCGGAACCTTTGGAGTACCTTGTCAGGAAATGATCATAATACCCTTTACCATGGCCTAATCTTCTAAATCCGTGATCGAACGCCATTCCCGGCATGACAATCAAATCCAGTCCGTACGGTCCTTGCGTAGCGTCTTCCGGCTGAGGTGACACTCCTTTCCCTCCATAGCAGTTCCTCTTGTTCAGCACACTGGCTTGCGAAAGCGATGGGATCCCCCATTTGTCAGGCTCAAGCGACCTAAACTCTTCCGTCGACTCCAGAAGCATCATGTCCATGACCGAAGTCTTCGACTGCGAAGATAACTCAAGACTGTGGATATAAGGCACAAAGACTTCCTTTCCGTTGGCCAAAGCGTCGTGCACTATATCCGTCGTAGAGAGTTCGCCAGCCGGCATGGACAGGTAGACACCGATCCTTTTCGCATCCCGATATTGCTGGAGAGACAAGAAACTGTTTGTTGCGGTTCTGGCTGTGGGAGATCAGCACGTGCTGCGACCATGGGCAGTAGCGAATAAAGATGTCTAACATTGATTGGCGATGGAGTCCGCGGGGAGCTGTTGGAGAACATCCCGCATCCTCCGGCGGAGGTCCCTCTTCGCAACTTGCAGCCCAGCCATCATCCTTGCTGGCAAGATGTAGGCACAATTAACGCAATGGCTAGAGGGATTGGGGCACAGAAGAAATTGGAAGTGAATACAAGCAGGAGCGGCGTGGCTTGGCGGGCGAGCAAGCCTGTTTCCCTGCTGGCGGGTGATTGGCATGGGATGGCGGTTCACTGTTGATCGGCAGGGCCAGTAGCACGTACCGGGTAGATACTCCACCCTTCAAGGGCCGCCTGGTTGCGCCCTTCAACGCATTCCTTCCCTTCTGCCATCAACCTCTGGCCTTCTTTGCATTGTATCTCTCCCCATGGATAGTGTGGAATCATGATGGCAAAATACTTCTTTTTCGGTCTCCTTTTAACGGCTGCCAGTGCCAGCAGCAGCGCCTCTGATCTCGAAGGTACTTGGACGACCAAGTCCCGCCAGGTTGTGACAGGTCCGGTATGCTTTGCGCCGTGTTGTTTACCATGCTCAGCTAGCTAGCGCTGTCGGATTGCTAATCGCTTCCTTTACACGCAGGGATTCTACGATCCAATTAATGACAAATTTCTCGAACCGAATCTCACTGGAATCTCATACTCGTTCAGTGCGGATGGCCATTACGAAGAAGCATACTATCGGGCCATTGCCAATCGTCAGTTCCAAAACCTCGCATCCATGGTATTTTTTGCAGAAACGACATTCTGACATGTCATGATCGATGAGCAGCCCAGGATCCTTCCTGCCCCAAGGGGATTATGCAGTGGCAGCACGGCACCTACACAGCAAATAGTGATGGATCTCTGGACTTGACTCCGATCGCTGTCGATGGACGCCAGCTCTTATCAGATCCCTGTTCGTCTCCGCAGGGCGCCTACTCAAGATACAATCAAACGGAGCACTTTGAGGTACATGACTTCCATTTATGCCCTCTTGCTTTGTGATCGTTGCTAACTGTGCTAGTCCTTCACTGTTTCGGTAGACTCATATCATGGTGTCCAACGCCTCGACCTTAAGTCCTTCGATGGATCGCCGATGCATCCAATGTATCTTGTGTACAAACCGCCGCAAATGTTACCCACCCAGACCCTGAATCCCGTTGGCTCCGGCAAGGGTAAACGCCAGGTTGGAGGGGATGCTGGTGGTCGATTCAACATAAAGCACCTAGTCAACAGCGAGAAGGTTGGCGACCCTAACAATTGGTTATGGCTCGGTATTTTCATGACCGCACTCGGGGGCATCACCTTGCTCCGTTCATAGATGGCTACGAAACTTGCACGTTACAATCACGGCGCGACACGATGGACGGAAGGTGCATGAACGGATCTGGAGTTCGGAATATTGATGGGAGGGAATCGGGACGGGATGAACAGGAACGGTAATACTGGGAATGGCATAGGGTATGGCGCTAGGAACTTCTTCGCTTGGAAAGTCTACATGGTCTCTCACATGAGGGCACTCTAATTTGCTGTGTAGCTTGTTTGTTTTTATACATTGTATCACATTCAATCCCTACGAACTGATCAGGAAACTTCCTCTGGCGCTTGATTGGAAACTCCATGAAGAGAGCAACAAGGTGGCTGTTTTGGATCTATGTTATCGTACAAGTAGTTATTATACATCACTGCATGTCAGGCTTCTAAGCAGAAGCAACGGCTTCTTTGGCAATCTTTGCGACTTCAGCTCTCTCAGCGGGTTTGCCATCCAGGGCACCCCCAGGGGCAAACAAGGACTTGAGCAAAGTTCCAACTTCAGCCTTCTTGCCAGTCTCCTTGAACTTGGCAAGTTCCTCGGACACGATCGCCTTGATATCATCCAGGCTCATTGTCTCCACTTGGGCACCATATTCTTCAAGTATCGTTACCTGCTTTTCCTCGGTCTCCTTCAGGTCGGGACGATTCTCGGCTTCAAACTCCTTGACGGCCTCCTTCGAAGCAGCGATGCGTTTCCGAATCAAAGACAGGAGTTGAAGGTCGGTCTCGATCGGAGAGTTCGTTTTGGCAGCGTTGTTGGTTTCGGAGATCAAGGCGCGAACGACGTTCAGCCTGGTTGATGGGGATCTGGTCAGGCTTGCCGAACCAGTAACAGATAAGTTCTGCGTCAATATTCAGGCGTACCTAGCAGTATCTTTAGCTCTCATGGCGGTCTTGAGATCCGTTCTGAGGGTGGCTATCAAAGGCGGCAGAGTCGGGCCACCGGTGGAGTTCCAGCGCACCAGGCGCAGACCCAGACGAGGTGTTAGTCGCAATGATTGGAACATGTTGCAATTGTGTGGGTGACTAGGGGGGGAACAATGGCAGTAACACTCCAATGGCGCAAAAAATAAGGTCGTGTGGTGGTCGCCGCGGGCATGAAATCATGGGCGGAGGAAAAGCAGGCAAAGGCGGAGAGAGCTTGGGAGGTCCTCTCCAGGCCCGTGCACAATTTTGTTTCTCTTCCTGCTCATTTTACGGCTCAGGCCTGTCATTCGGTCTAGCAACACTCGCCTCACCACGGCAATCTCCCTTCTGCCCATTGATGTTCCTATCCCGCCATCTTCCGTCTGCCTCGCTTCCTTGCAGCTTCCCTTCTTTCCAGTGATCGGGTTATCTTCTTTACGCCCTCGCGCTCACCGAATCTTCACCACGCCGGGGAGCGCAACAAAACGCCAAAGCCTCCCACGGGCTACTCAACCGACATAATGTCTTATCCGGATCTCATGCCGGCACTTACCCCCCAAAAGCCGTTACCCGGGGCCTACTTCCAGACGCCTGCGCCCAGCGTATCTGTGGCAGTGCCGAGTTTCTCAATAAAGCCAGCTGCGGCTCCCGCAGAGCAACAAGCTTCACCGGATGCGCCTCCCAGACTACCCCCCGTCGCTTTCAAACCGAAGAGCCAGGCTTTGAGCACAGAGGAGCGTGCTGCAGGAACAGTCAATGATACTCTTGCTCAAGAAGCCCGCTATCCCGACTTGGACAGCTATCTGTCTCGTAAGTATATTCCCGTTGGTTGTTCATGATGAGACCAGGTTAACGCCCCTGTGTAGAAGGCTTCTCGTCCGATTACGATATTCCCGCGTCACCATCATGGGCTCCCTTTCAGAAAGTGAAGATGTACAATATCCCGGATCAGATTTTTGACCAGTACAATCGAGCGCAGGTGTCGACAAGCATGGGACTGTTCGCGGAGTTGAACCACGCCTGGGTTGCCATTGACAATGCACTTTACATTTGGGATTACACGCACCCCAACCCTCAGTTGGTGGGCTTCGAAGACCAACCAAACAGTATCACCACAGTCAAGCTGGCAAAACCGCGAGCGGGTGTCTTCCTGCCTTCAATCACACACATCCTCGTGGTATCGACAACGGCAGAGGTCATATTGCTTGGAATGGGCTGCGAGACTACGGCTGGAGGCACGCGACAAGTCACATTGTACCAGACAGGCATGTCAGCATCGATTCGGGGCTTGGATATCCACGTGATAGCTTCCTCGGATTCAACCGGTCGCATCTTCTTCGGCGGTGGTTCGGACAATGATGTGTATGAGCTCATCTATCAGCAGGAGGAGAAATGGTTTCAAGGCCGGTGCTCGAAAGTCAACCACACCAGCTCCCGTATTTCCGCGTTTACGCCCAGTCTGAGCTTTTCGCAAAAGACATCTGAGAGTGTGGGCCAGATGGAGATTGACGACACGAGAAAACTACTCTACACGCTGTCTACCTCGTCAACGATTCGAGTTTTCCACATGAAGCCAGACGGCAGTCTTGCCTTGGCCATCACAAAACCGGCCCTCGATATTTATGCCAATATTGGACACATCATCGCGTCCAACGAGACCCTAAACCCCAAAGTCCCGATTGTTTCGATTAGTCCTATTCCAGCGGCTGAGGCGTCGAGGTACCATCTCATGGCTACAACTGCATCAGGATATCGAATCTACCTGAGTGCCACTGGGTCATTCACCTGGTCGTCGGCACCGAATGGCACCAATGCACCAACAAGCATGCAGGCTCACCATGTTAAGACACCGCCGTTCGATAATGCGCCCGCTACTCAGTTTCCAGTGAACCTTCAAGGCCAACAACGTTTCCAATCATCAGTAGCATCCAGGGTGCCCATACACACCCTGCAACCTACCAGATTTACCGTTCGATACCCCCCCGGCTATTTCCTCTGTTTCACGTGTAAGGATACCACGAACAAGGCCGACACACTCTTCATCTCCGCCCCCGACTCCGGGCGCGTCGCCCGCTCTCAAGAAAGCGTCATCCCTGGGAAAGCTGGTGAAACAGCAGTCTGGCTTTCCTTGGGTAGCAAAGTTGAAGACGTGGGCCTCTGCTCTCCGACCACCGCAGCCACGAACACTCCTGGCGGATTTGGAAATGAACTGGCCGTCCAGTTTGATAACCCAGCGGCTGAGATTGCCATTTTGACCAATACTGGCATTCACGTCGTTCGGAGGCGTCGGCTTGTTGATGTCTTCGCGGCACTGGTCCGTGGTGGTGGCACCGGCGATGAGGGCTTGGAAGGCGAGGTCAAGAACTTTATCCGCACCTATGGCCGGAGCGAGACGCTTGCCACTGCCCTCGCAGTCGCTTGTGGTCAGGGAGTTGAGATCTCAAGTGACTCGCGATTGACTCAGATTAACGACCCCGATGTTTTGGAGTTTGCACGCAAAGTTTTCATTGAGTACGGTGGCCGACCGACGATGAATGAAAACGCCGTCGCGGATAACTCTACCCTCGCTATTGATACGGTCGTTCCTTCTCCACGCCATGCGGGTATTGCCCTCTACATCTCCCGGCTATTGCGGTCAATCTGGAGGAAGGAGATCGCCATGGTTGGTAGCGCTCCAAATGGCGCTCAGACGGTCGCATCGTCCATCCCTGCCGCCAAATTGCAAGCAGTGCAAAGGGACCTTTCAGCTCTGCAGGAATTCTTTAAATCCAACAAGAGCTTCATTGAAGGATTGAGCGGCCCGGAAGCCTTGACACGGGTGTCTACGAAGCAGGAGGAAACCGCCTTGCAAGCGGAGCACCGGGCTCTTCACTCTCTTGTTCAACTTGTCTCCCACACAATTGAGGGTATCTCATTCGTCCTGGTTCTTTTCGATGAGAGGGTGGATGAGATCGTTGCGTCCTTGCCAGCAGAATCCAAGGAGCGCTTCCTCAAGCTTACCTTTGAGGAGCTTTTCAGTACCAGCAAGGGCCATGACATCGCCAAGGAGCTGGTGAAGGGAATTGTTAACCGCAACATTGCGAAAGGATCCAATGTGGAGACGGTGGCTGATGCTCTCAGGCGCCGCTGCGGCAGCTTCTGCAGCGCTGAAGATGTGGTGATCTTCAAGGCTCAGGAGCTTCTGAAGAGAGCTACCGAAGCTGGGTTTAACTCGGAGCTTGGTCGCAATCTGCTCAACGAGAGCCTTCATTTGTTCCAGCAGGTGTCGGATAACTTGCCCATGGACTACCTGGTCTCCGCAGTTGAAAGCTACATCCTGAATCAATTCTTTGCAGGTACTATTCAAGCCAGCCTACGGAATCGCTTGCGTCGCTAACTAAAGCTTACAGGCGCGATTCAACTTGCTCTCAATGTTGCCGCTCGCTCAGATAAGGCCAACATGGCTCTTTCATGGATTGTGGATGGCCGGCCAGAGGACGTGAGTTTCAGTTTATTACGCTTTTCACGGGTAGTCCTAATACTTTTGACCTCCAGGATACTCGCGAGGAGTACTTCGTCTACCGCAATCAGTGTTACGATCTTATCTTCAAGGTCATCCTCGCCGTTGACAGCCTAGCAGCTCACGACCCCGGCGTTGTCGACGGACAGTTAACGATTATCGCCAAGCGCAAGAACGAGGCATATGGCGTCGTTTCCGATTCGACCGACGAGGTATTCTTGACGAGTCTGTATGATTGGTACTTGGAGCAGGGTTGGAGCGACCGTCTGCTGCAGACCAACTCAGCCTTCGTTGTCACCTACCTCCAGCGCAAGTCGACAGACGATATTTCCCACGCTGACCTGCTTTGGCGCTACTTTGCTCAGTCACAGCGATTTTTCGAAGCAGCCAAGGTGCAATTGGACCTGGCACAGAGCGCATTCACCCTCCCTCTCAGCCGCAGAATCGAGTACCTGGGCCGAGCCAGGGCCAACGCGTCCACGTTTACGCCCGACATTAGCCGACAAGCCCGACAGCGGCTGGTGCAGGAAACCTCCAACCTTATCGACATTGCGAACGTCCAGGACGATCTCCTGCAACGCCTAAAGGACGACAGACGCATCCTGCCGGAGCGCAGGGCGGAAGTCCTCCGGGATGTGGACGGACCCATCAAGGACATTAGCACTGTGCGTCATCAGCCCAACGTCTACCATTTCCCTCTTTCAGGCTAACTCTTTCCCGCAGCTCTTCAACCAATACGCAGACCCTGCAAGCTACTACGACATCTGTCTCCAGATATTTTTCATGGCCGACCACCGTAACCCCGCCGACATCAAATCCACCTGGCAACACCTCCTCCAAGACCTGCACGATGAAATCGTCGAACGGGGCGAGCCCATCCCTTACGAAGCTGTAATCGACAAAGTGCGCAGTTTGGGCAGCCGTCTGCGCATGTCCGAATCTGTGTTCCCCATTCCCATCCTACTCCCCATGCTCGAGCGGTACGCCCTAGAACACCAGCGTGGCGTCGGCCCCGCAACCTGGGTTATTGACCTCTTCCTCGACCTAAACGTCGCCCACGAGACTCTGTACGCCGTCCTCGAGTCCATGTACTACACGGATGAAGCTCCCTTTCAGGGTTCCAATAAGAAGTACATCGCCAAGGACCTCCTCTACCTGATCGAGCACTGGTTCCACGACACGGTCCGTCTAGGCGGCGTCGTGTTCGGAAGCGACCTTGTCGCTGAACGCATCTTGGAAACTCTTCTCCTCCTTCAACAGGGCGGTATTGCCCCCGACCAGATGCATGTGGCGCAAGAACTGAGAACGAGGATTGAGGATTCACTGCGGTAATTCTCTTTTTCTTCTCTTCCACTTTTTTTTTGCTTTTTACTTTTTGTTCCCTTCTTGTCTACTTATAGCAATGCAACAACCACCACCTCCTCTAGTTTAGTTTTAGGGTCCCGGAGTTTTGTTCTATTTCTTGCATGGATGAATGCAGACTCTGCGAAAATAATGCCATATATTCCATCTTATTTCCCCCTCTATCTACTTTCCTGAGGATGCGTTGGTGTAAGATGATCCCATTCTTCTTCTAAGCGTTGATAATCCAATCAATCTCTTTTTCATATATTTATTTTCCTTTCTGATTGAATATTCTCTTTCCTTACTGGTAGACAGATGGTGAGGATGAACTGGAGTTTGATTCATTGAATCTGTACCTGTATTCATATCCCTTTACTCAAACCCATAAATGTCACTATAGTAACATTCTTTTGGAATATTTATTTCTGAGACCCAATATTTGATTTAAATACTTGTGTACTACCTATCTACCCACATTTTCCTGGGTTCTACTAGGTAGGTGTTACTATTCAGTTGGAACCCTCCCTCCTCTCCCCGCCTTGGCCTGCGGGGAAGAAGGAATCAAGTCCTACCTAGTACTTACCATGCCACCTATATTTCTGTCATGTTATGTTTTACGGATCGGGAAACACGGATGTCGAACGTTAACTATAACACGATTGATTATTTTTTTTCACGACCGTAACCATCCTGCATCAAAACCATTGTCCAATTTAGGTGGATAGAATAAAATTATGGAATTAATAAATAAATAAATAAATCGGGTAGTTAGATGAAAGAAGTGAAGTCTATATCGGGCTGAAATCCAAACAAAGAAAGAAACAGAAACCATCGGATCCGAGAAAGAAGGTCAATAAAGAAAAAAAAAAAAAAGAATATTGACCCCACTAGTTCTAAAAGCAAGAAGAAAAGTGAAAAGAAAAAAAAACAAGCTGCAAAAAAAAAAATCATTTAACCGTCTAACGAACCAGGCCGAGGTATCAATCAATCAATCAATCAAATCAGAGCGGACGGAAAACGGGAACAGGAAAATTCGAGGATCAGGCACATGCGGCCTGCCAAGGATTTGAGGACCGAGGGGTAGTGGGGGAAACATCTTCCGGGGCTCTTGCATGGAAATAATTGCTGGTAAGGCATCCTGGTGGCGCCCAGTAACCTTGATCTTGGTGAAAGCTAACGTGCGTTGTGGACAAGGATAGGAGCTCCCTGGAAGGCTGACGGAGGCCGTCGGGATTTACTCGAATTGGTCGTATACGGGGATGGGCTTTTCGCCCAATGCGCACAGACGGAAGATATGACGGAGTTTGGCGCCGTTATCGTCGTCTAGATAATCGACAATGGCAGAATCTATTGCAAATATGGGTCAGTATGCTTGGGCGCTTATCTTCGGTAGGTAAATGAAACGTACGGGTTGTGCAGCGATTGTCGAAAATCACAATTGTTCTAGGCTGCCACCTCACTCGGGCCTGAAAGTCGTGCCCAGTGATGATGTGTTGCATGAGGAAATCCAGCAACCAACGCTGCTCGGGCTCCTTCAGACCGGGGATCTTGGTGATGAACTCGCCGTTGACGAACAGGCATTTCTCGCCCGTGACCGGGTGGACGCGCACCAGCGGGTGGACGGTGTCGACGGCCTCTTTGCGCACCAGGCTGCCAGTCAGACGCGCATGGTTGATCATCTTTGCCGACGAGTGAACGGCGCGCAGAGTGTCCAGCCAGGAGGTGAGAGTTGGGGAGAGACGCCTATATTGTGCATTAGATTTTGCCTGGCTTTGACGCCGATTCGTCGCGCATGAAAGGCCGATACTTACTTGTATGCCATGTCGGTCGCGGAGAAAACAGTATCGCCACCCACTTCAGGCCCCTCCAGCAAGCCGAGCATCACATAACCCGGCGGCTGGATCTCATAGCTGACATCCTGGTGCCAGAGCGTCGTGGTGGTGCGCTGCTCCAAGAAACGCGTGATTTCCTCGCGGTTACCGTCGCGATGGATGATATGGAAGCCGGGATGTCCCCGCATCGAACCAGAGACGGGCTGGTAGTTGGGCTTGCCAAAGTGGCGCATGAAAGCTTCTTGCGCCGCAGGGCCGTCATCGATCAGATCCTGGTTCGGGAAAGCAACCACCTTGCGCTCAGCGACGAGTAGAGCAAGCTCATCCTTGGCAGCATCAGATAGCTGGTTGAGCTGAACGCCCTCCACGATGCTACCGATGCGCGGCTGGATCTCCGTCACCTTAGTGCCGGGAGACAAGAGATTGCGCTTGGACTTATCCGTGACGCGCAGCGCAGGGTCTTGATATTCAAAGGGGGGAAGAGGATCGAACCACACCTTGTCCCATGTGGGAAGGTACTCGGGGTATCTGGTGCGGGAATTGGACTCTTTAGTGACATCAACGTAAGGGATGTTGATGTCGTAGCTAATCGGCTCTTCCTCCTTATGGGCATTGATGGGTTGAGCCTTCTTGGGCCGTAGGACAGGTGCTGAGGATGGCATGGTTGCTGATGTGTGTACTGCTCTGGGTGTGCTCTTGTACGAAGAGAAGATGTACGCGGGTAGCGGTGCTCAAGGCCAAAGGACGTTGAGCGGGATGTCCTCGTGGAAGAAGATTAAAGTGAGAAGGGGAGAATGAAGAAAAGGACAGAAAACCACGAGAGTCGGCTAATTGAGGCCTGGAACATGGAGAGGGAAGAAAAGAAAGTTCAGTTGGAGGTGGACGAGAGATGAATATATATCTGATCAGATACAACCTCCACCCGCTCGATATGGCGATAAAGGGATTGCACAAGCTGTAAACACGGCCAAGTGGATGATATGGTCGCAGCAGCGCCAATGATGATGCATCCACCGGAAGGTCGCTTAGACAGAGCTAGACTATCTAGGCATTATCCCTTTCAATCTCCGGACCGGAAAGCTTGGGCTGGCAGACACGCCCGATTATTCACGGTGGACACAAAAAAAGGTCGTCTCGAAGCCATGACGACAGGGGTACAAGGTCGGTGCCGGACGGGTCTCGACAGATGAGAACGGCGGTCATCGTAGGGGGGGGGAGGGGGCGGCGGCAAAGCAGCGAGCCACTCACAAGACAGAATGGCACCAGCATGGTCTGAAAGGGTGAAGGGCAAGAGAGCATCCAGACTGACGAAGAGGCCAGAAAGGGACGGGGGAGGCCGTTCGGAACAAGGGACCGAGAACAGAACTGATGCACGATGGATGGAATTGGGGAGAAGCGGTCAAGATCCAATGAATAATAATAATAATAATTCATGAATGGGGCATCGGGGCGCCCACTCCAGAGTACCTATAGCTTCCTTCCCGCATCGGACGACAGAGGACTTACAGTTACAGCAGAGGTGGTCCGTCATGGCGACGATTATCTCGGACCTAACTAAGGCTGACCGACCGCCAGAGCAATGGAGAGGAGAGGCACTGTCTTCTCCCTGGACCCGGCGTGTTCCGGGGGACTGGCTCTCACTGTACGTTGCTCATTCGATTTGTTTCTGGTGTGGTTTCACCGCTCTGATCTAGCGATCCCGGATGAACGATAAGAAAGCCAGAAGGACTGCAAAGAAGGCAGAGGTGGAGCCATGCGGCCGGCACGTTGGGCCAATTTCGTTAATTCGTTAACTTTGAGTCTGTTTCTCCCAGGGTAGGTAGCCAGACGGCACTAGATCGCGGAATTTGTCCTGTGCAGTAGTGGGAAAGAGCAGCAGCAGCAGCAGAAGCTACGGTAGCTCTGCTATCTTGCATTAGTCCTTCCTTGCATTGCTCGACAGAAGAAGATGGTAAACTCCCGGCTCTCAGACCACGGCTGCTCTGTACTACTGTGGCTTGTATGCGCTCTGCAACAGGTATCCATTGCCAATAATCCAGGAATATTGCAGCACCTCTGCTGTTGTTTGGTTGGTGGGAACCTTTTTTTCTCATGTCAAGAGGGCGCATGCGCGTCCAGTACAACATTGCGAAGGGATTAGAGTTATTTGTGTTCCACTTCCGTTTGATTCTTTTTTCTTTTTCTTTTCGCGGGTTGAAATTTCTTTTTCCGTCTGTTGGGTTTGGTTGGGATTGTGCCTGCTCTCTATCTAGTATCTACCGGTATCTTGGTGGTGATCGATCGTGTCAACTCAATCGAAAAATAGTGCTGACTACTGGCTCCGGGCTATTCTTTGGGGGGGCTCCATGCCGAGGGACGGAGTCAAGAATCGACGCATATCCACTGTAGCTTCCCTGAGAATTGATGTGTTCCCTCTGTTCGATTGACGCCTTTGCGCGTGCGTACTTCTCCCTCTCTCATACAGGGAGCAGTAACCTGTTTTTGTTTTATTATTTTTTCTCTTCGGGAAGGTGCAAGCATCGGTGTAAGTTCAAAGGTTGCACACAAAACCCGGTTTGGGCCTTCATCCAACGGGCTTGTCGTCTGCTCACGGTAGGCATCCTTCGCACCAAGACCGACTCGACCGGGGTGGAACAGACAAGGCCTGGCCGATCTGCTCGCGCGCAGAGCCAATGGAGCCTCTTGCGAGTTGTGACGTTGGCTTTCATTTCGGGAATGCGGTCCAATGTCCGTGGACTATCGGGTTTCTCCACCGAGCCACGTTAATAATGTTCCATAATCGGTAGAGATGGGCCGCGGAAGGTCGTCCAGGCTATCTAGAACATTTCCCAGATGGCGTCGAAGGCCCACAGAAGCCTCGAAGGAAGGATGCAGGAGAATTAGCCTGATAATGTACGATGGTGTCCACTTGGTTTTCTGGACTGCATCATGCCCGCTTTGAGCTACCTTCAAGCCCGAAGCTTTAGAGTCTGGAGGAGTCCAATTGCAATTGAGACTGCATCCTTGGTGCCATCCGTGCTTCCGGCATAGGGCCTGAGTGCTCTGTCGATTCGATCATTTCTACTACCGATACCAAATAGTCTGAATTTGTTGCCCTCCAAGACGGCCCTGAAAGCTGCAATCGGTTGCTGCCCGTTCAAAGCGCTAGGTCACAGATTTGCTGTCTTGGCCTATCTCTTACGAAAGATATCCCAAATGGTGGACGGAATAAAGGAATGTCAAAGGATTCCCAAGTTTGGTACCAGTGGATACGGTGAGTGGATATTGGGCTACTGGTTGGGGTTGGCGTCTATTCGCAGGTGTTCTTGCGATAGAGCAACTACCGGCGGTCAAATTTAGCCCCAAACTTCCGGGGAAAGGGTCGCGGTGGCCTCCAAGGTACGTTCTCGGTCGATACCCTGGGACTCGAGCGGTGCATTTCCGAGTCCCGGAGACTGGTCCACTCTGTACGAAGCACAGTAGCACTATGCGACAATGGACTGACGGGCGCTGGTGTAAAGTGTGGCGCTAAGCGCAAGCTTCCCGTCGTCCGCCCCCAAATCATTATTATTATTATTTCCAGGAGGACCGAGCCAAATCATGAGATAGGGGAGCCCAGGCACAGGCGATGTCGAGGACATTTCCCGGATCGGGTTGCGTTGGCTGCAGAATGCATGCTGTTATTGAAAGACATGGTGGGATCAGCCTGCAGGTGGCGGATACCAGCCGCCTATCCTTGCAGTACTTTTGCTGGTGCGTAAAAATGAGCCAAGGCCGATTCCGGGCCAAGAATAAGCCCAGAGGTAAAGATCAGCCCCCAAGAGGAGGGGGTTGCAAGCGCCACAACTAAGGGATCCTGGCCTCCGTTAGGACTTTTGCACCACAAGCTTTCCCGGGCGTCGGAGGTCATAACGAGGGAGCTCCAGGAGGGTTCGAGAATTGCGGTGAAGACGCCCAGTTATCGGGCCGCTCTGGAATGAGAGCGATCATCGTGAATCCATGTCCCGATGACTGAGGACGGTGCTGATTGCTGAATTTGCCCCCAGGGTGGACAGACACTAGGATGTCTCACACAACGATAAGATCGAAGTGCACACATCGCCATACAATCCCTGATGCAAGGCCGGCAAGTCTGAAAAAGCAACTTGAGATGAGCCACATTCCAGTTCATCATAGTCATACATTCATCATCTTATTTGATAGTAATCCTAACTGTTGGGTCACCAGCGCTGGTAGACACTAAACTTACTTACCTTACCCGAGCATGATTGTTGATTGACCGATGGATGGCCCGATCCACACGGCTAAGCTTAAGCTAGTTAATAAGCTATGTTTAGGGAATCCGAGACGCGTGCAGGGGAAAAAGCAAACAACGTAAGGAAGTCGGTACCTTTCGAGTTGTCTTTCCAGCCGATCGGAACTGGCAAACGGCGGGGATTTTCTTCGATTGATTGCTCGCCTTTTGCTTTTTCGTTTGGTTTTGCGTGGTTTGCGCTTTCCCTTCTCGGCATTCCCCGTGACGGTCAGCTGACCGGCTCCCGTCGCGCATATCAGATTCCCTTTTCTCGTCAACAGTCAACACTGCTCTATCTATCTCTTCGCGGAGTAGACCTGTCTAGTTACCGGATCACCCCCATCTCCATTCTCAATTCCGACCCCTCATGGCTGCTCCTACTGCTGCCGCGTCCGCTTCCCTGTGGAGCCGCAAGTCCGACTTGGTTTACTTCACTTTCTTCGCCATCCACGTCCCGATCATCTTCCGTAAGTCGATCCAAACCATCCCTCCCAATCACCATACATGTTACGTAGTTGCAGAACCACTAACCAAAGTCCATCCTCCCAGTGGTCGACGCCGCTCCTATCCTCCCCTCCTTCCTCCAATCCAATCTATCCCACACTCTCCGGCAATTCTACATCAATACCTACCATGACAAGTTCTTTGAAGAACCCCCAGCCCCCTGGTTCCACTTCTTCATCCTAATGGAACTATTTTACCACGTCCCACTCAGTATCTGGGCGATTAGCGGCTTAAAAAGAGGTGCGGAGCTCCTATTACATCATACCGGTCGGCATCTCCATCGGACCCCCAAAGCTAACGATAATTGATAACTAGATGACCCTCTTGTCCCCGTCCACCTCCTCATTTTTGGTCTCCAGGCCTTCCTCACCTCCACCGTATGTCTCGTCGAGGTGTGGGGTTGGGCTGATCGCACCGTTGCCCAAAAGCAGAATATCAGCATGCTATACGGGCCATATGTTGCTCTTGGTAGGTATCCATGCATCCGGGATACTGGAACTGGACGGCTGCTAACTCAGCGATCACCCAATAGGCGCGTTCATGGCGTTGGATATGTTCTTCAGACTTCGGACCAAACTCTTGGCAAAATCCAAGAGGGAGTAAGTACCCATGTAATGGTTCTCATAAATTTTCTTTCAGGGTATGTATGCATACTGGGTTCGATGCAGGGGGGAGGGAGGGATGATCATAGACTGGATGAAAAGAATGGTAGGCTAGATCTAATCCCGGGTGCATGAGTTGCAAGCTGGCTGTGTAGACGGAAATCTTTCGCAGGCCAATAGAGACCAAGTTCTAGGCCTGGGATGTGCATGGGCCTAGTCATGCAAGGATATCAGCCTACCTTATCGTGCTGTAGCGTCGGGGCTGATGGCTTAAGGCATACATGCTCACCAGGTTACAGGTATGGATGCATTCCGCTAGATGGGCAGACCCCGCTACACCGACCCGATCGATTAATGCTGCATAATATAGGCCGGGACCATGTCCGAGAGTGGGAAGTGTGGCTTGTTGCCACAGGGTATTATGGATGGCAAAAAGTCGTCAATATATGCAAGTGGCTATCGATATCTATTCGCTAGCATAGCCTCAAGCCGAACTGTGGCTGAAAGGTCATAGAATGCAATACTGGGTGAGAGTTACGTCCGTAGGCTCATTGGTACAAGGAAACAAAAAAAAGACATCGCACATTGCGCACTGGTCTCGCTGTGATGATAGATCAGATTGCAGCGGTACGAAAGTTCCCGGGACTCCCCCGAGACTTCAAAAAATTCCAAGCGGGTGACATCACCTGCGTCATAACAAGAATCCAATGGCCCCGTCCAGATCTCCGTTGGCTGCATCCAAGGCTCGCATGGCATCTTCCCGCGTAAAGCCTAGCTCGGTGATCTTCGCGATGGAGTCCGGTGGCCAGCGTGATTGCGGCGGGGCTGGGCGGGAAAAGGATGGCGCAGAGGCCATGTTGGAGCCACCAGCTGCTTGGCTGCTGCTGCCTGCCTGGTGCGTGACCGCACCTGTCCGAGCGCCGACTTCGGCGCCATCGGCTCCCTTGATCATGGGCTCGTCCTCGAATTCCTCTTGGAGGTTCTTGGGGATATCTGCCTCCCCAAGGAACGGCACAGCCTGATCTTGGATGATGAGCGCTCCTCGCCTGAGGTCAATGCAGGCCTGGTGTCTTCTCAACATATCCAGGCCGAGAAGTAAGTCGATATGCTTTCCCTCCATGACGGTGAAGGAGCATGGTAGGAACATGCTTCCGATCTTGATTTGTGCCGAATGTACCCGGCCCAAGATGTTCGCCGTGCCCACGCCCTTGGCAATACCCCCGTATCGCTGATCGACCAGACGCATGATGTTGCACGCGGTCGCACATTCAGGTGACATGATGGTGACCTGCGCGCCGGAATCGACAAAGGCGTTGAGTTTGTGACCATTGACCTCGACAGGGATATATAGCATGGTTACGCGACCGAATGCTGTGCTTTCACGTTAGCAATAAAGTCACCATGGGAAACACCTTTCTCACTCACACTCTGGGTGATGCTCCATGGCGTTGTGAAGGTTCTCAGTTACCGCATTCTGACGAATGATCTCCTCAATCTCTCGTTGGTTCGCAGGATTGAACGGGTCCGCATTTAGCATCGCAATCCGAGCCTCCTTCTCGGCTTCGAGCTGGGCCTCGCGCTGCTGTTGTCGAAGAAGAACTTCGCGGAAGCGCTGTGCATCGTGGGCCACCTCCGCCAGTTCCGGGTTCTGCCGTCGAACAGCCTCGCGCACGCGCGGGTCACCGAGGATGTGTAGACGGATTGTTTCGGGATCTGGTGTCATGGCCTGTCGCCGTTGCAGGTTTTGCTGAGCAGTAGCAGAGCTGGGGCCTCCTATGCTCCGAGGAGGGGCTTGAGGCCTCCGCAGAGTAACGTGAACCCCCAGCATGTCGCCTTCACCAATTCCAACTTGTTCGAGAGTGCGGGATTCATCGCCGAGTAGCTGGTTATTGTAGACAATTCGCTGGGATGTGGGAGGTATGGAGGTCTCGCTTTCGACAATGGCTTTGAGTAGCTCGACGGTCATATCCCCTCCTACTTCCAGGGAGAGGATATCGGCGTCGGCCTGGTCCGGACGAATCACGCTCACGGTAATTTGCCTAAGGATTGTGAGAGATATCGGTTAGCCACATATGCTCTTGGTCTCTAATTTCTCCGATGGTGTGTTTCTCCACCACATACATGATGCTGTGCAGCTCTGGTGCGGGGAAGCTCTCCCAGGCTCGGGGGGTCAGGTCACGTTGGGGAACCGAGTATGGCAGGCTGTGGCCAACACCGGGGCAAGCTTTATATAACTCTATTGCAGGCTGGTAAATATGGCGTTTTAACAATCCTGGACGGTCGAAGGATCACTTATAAATACAGTGGGACCGGCAAGCGATCGACACCAGCCGGCGAGGGGAAGAAGTGGCGTGGAGGGGAAGCGAGAAGAAGGGACGACTGGGGGTTAAGACGAGGTTGGAGACGGTCGAGGCGATGACAGGGTATCCTGGAGGTAAGGAAAGCGAGACCGGCGAGGAAAGAGGACAAAAAGAGGAGCAGGCGTAGGACGAGCAAAGGCGGGACGAGGTGAGGTTACGGTTCCTGGTGAAGTGCAGCAGCGGGCGGAGCACCTCACGGTGGCCCGCCTGATTCGGTAGGCAGCCAGTCATGCGTCATCCACCGCGACCCCCCGATGTTTATACTTCCTCTCGCCATCCGGTTTCCCCCTTTTTCTCCTTCCAAGGGTTCTCATATTGGCGATGCCAGATTTATGCTATACTGAGAGTTACAGAGATCTTCAGCCACTTTTTTTGGCGGGCAGTCTTCGAACAGCATCCCTCGTTCTCTCTCCCAATGCTTCCCACCTACGGTCGCGTTCTAGACCTTTCTGGACCAAACGATAATCCATTGTCGTGTCTGCCTCAGGCTGTTGTCTCTCCAACACCCGAACCCCGTTGAGCACACCCCCTCAAGATCTTTGCTCCATGATATCACACAGTCTACTGAACCTTCGGACAGGGCCCATCACCAGTTACAGCACTGCGATAAGAACACCATATGCATACCATGTATGCATGCCCACATTCTTCCCCCAGATGCCATACCCCGATTCCATTGCGGCCTGATGCCACGAGGCGCAGCCGCAAGACATCCCCCCCAACTAATGGATCGCTCATGAGTCCAAAGGCCTTTCCGTACCCCGAATATATCCGTGCTTCTCTAGCTCGAAAACATAGACCCCCACGAAGCTCGCTAGCTCTCTATTATCCAGTTACATGAACGCCCGCTCCTGCTACCACCCTTAGTTCCAATTGATCCATGTCTGGGATTGCCACGCTCATGTACCTAACGGTCTCACTACTGGGCACGATACGAGACTAGCGGCCTCGAGGCGATGACTCGAAAGTACGCCGGGAACAGACTAACCCACCACCCTTGCACACCCAGTTGCATCAGGCAGACACGAACTGCATATCCTCTGGGGTAGTAATGCTGAAGACTTACATACGCACAGAGCACTTCATTGAGTTGCTATGCAGTTATGTCTATATTGCACAGGCTTCTGCAAACGAGCTGCTCTATTCAAGGACCCTGGGTGCCGCTGACGCAGCCTCTCACTTGTCCTGCCAAGATGTACAACCTTGTCCGCAGTACACAGTACACGAATCGTTCCGGAACATCCATAGGCTAAGTGGCCCACTACACTGCTAGTGAGACGGCCGGGCCGTCAAGCGATGGGGACGTACGTTTTGTACTGTGTTAGTGCTTAGTATAGCGGATCGTACCACAGTGCTAGCGGGCAACTCTTTCTGCCTGCATGTGGGTGGCGAAGTGAGTGGGATTGGACATACCTTGAGGGGTTGATAAGCCTGCCTAATGTCAGTATCAGTCTGGTTATTGGGTCATCGCTATGATATAGTTGACGGTTGTACATTGTCAACGCTGTTGAGCATCCCAATCGGTACTTTCAGTAGATGTTTAGTATCTCAACCGAAACAAAATATATATTGGGAGGTGTAATCTGTATCGGGTGGTTTGCCACTGGCAGTTTCCGTGGACAATTACTGCATGCGATAGTAATATATAGTAATCACCGGACAGCCCCGATCGTCTTCTAGTTTTGTACCCATGAGCCGCTGCTGCGTTGTAGGAGCTCAATCCTGATTACCTGACAGTTGTAGGTAAAATTCGAGCTGAAATATGCCGCAGAATTCATCGCGTTATCTACACCAAAACCAACATGATTGCCAACCTAGGCTCCCCGATCCACCAGTCTTTCCCCTCGCTGTTGCCTTGGAGAACTATATAACTTCTAAACCATGCCAGACCCTCATCTTGAGCTGTGTTCTTCCAGAAATCCCAGCACAAACATCGTATCTTCTGTTTAATTGATTTTTCAACATGGCCGACGTCGATCGATGAACCATGAATCCCTGCGAGTCTAACGTCATCTGCATCCGGGAACTTCTCATCATTGTGGGAGTGTACCCCTCCATCGCTGGTGAAATTCTCCATGGTCAAGAAGTGCTTCACACGGTACACGATCAAGGATCCCTTGACATTGTCTGGACGTTGCTGACTATCCTGAACTCTTGTCAGCTCAAGTGTCTGCAAGACGAAAGAACGCTGCCTTCCGAAGGCATCTCCCTTGATGCGCAAATACTGAATGTAAATCATTTCTGCTCCTCATCTACAGCACACAGAGGTCATGAATTGTGCTGTACCGAAGGAATGTTCTGGAATAGCTGATGCCTCTCAATTATCTGCTCTGGAGATCTGAAGGATGCCTGTAGGCTGATTACGCAACCAGCTTTGCGGATCATGCATCTGACAAAAGTCGTGTATTTTGTTCGCATTGACGGGGCTTGGTGAGATGGGAGGTTCTATTTGAATCACAGTGTTTTGGCCAGGTGGAACGAGGCCAAGGAACGGAAACAATGGAGTAGCCCCTTGTGTCATGCATTCTGGGGTTGTCAATGGTATCTTGATGGCGTATTTCTGGTTCCTACCAAAGGCGCCAATCATGCCATTCAGGAGGCCCGTGATGCAGGGATTCCCCGATCCGGCCTAGTGGAGGAAGAGCATCTGCGACGCGACGTGAACTCGGTCGGACCTCTTCAGCATCTCCGCAGTGGCTCAAGCTCTCCGGTCGGCTATCCAGGTAATCTGTCTGGACTCGAGATCTTCAGGATCTACGGTTCTGCCACGCTCATTATCCGGAGAAACACTAATTCATTATCATAACATACAGACAGAACAATCCTAGCACTGATGACTTCGATTGCTCGCTTTGGCTTGTGTACGGCCTTCCCTCACTCAATGCGTCTCGCACACGACACATCTTGCACTCCCTCGCCTTCCACTACCTTGGCAGAAACGATCTCGTCCACAGGAATCTCTGCCAGCCGAGAAATGACGTGATGCAGTGTTGGCAGCGATTCCCAACTGAGTGCATCAATCTCAAACCGCGCGTTCTTGGTCGTCCGTAGCCGGGTTATCCTCGATGGGATATTCTTCTGCTCCTCCTCCTGTGGCACAAGCACGGGATACTCGGCCTCGGGTTGTCCCTTATGCGCACGTCCGACTTGTGGCATGTAGCGATAGATCAGATCGCCCTTGCCAACGTTCGGAGGAGGATTAGTGCTGGGGTCCTGTTCCTCCAGGTCCTCGAGATGGAAATGACCCCACACGGCGCCCTCCCAACTGGTCGTCAGGTGATAAGAATTGTAACGCTCATGGGCCTCGATGGCTGTGTACAGCTTGGGCATGCCGAGCTCTTCACGGCCACTCACAATAGGATCAGTCAGGCTCTCGAAGAGAATGGGCAAGTAGAGTCCCTTGACTACTTCGCCGTCCGATTTCTGATACTGCACTCCTTCGATGTAGAGGCCTAGATGGCGATATCCGCCGCCGCCAAGCCAATCCATTCCATGCAGCCTCGTTTGCGAGAAGTTGGCATAAGCCACGGTGCTTGGATCGGTGAAGGAATATCTTTCATTGGGCAGCAGGTTCTGTAGAAGCGTTCGACTGGTCTTGAATCGAATGGATGCGGTTCGGAAGGTTGACTTGAGTGACTTCTGGACGCGATTCCTCCCCCACCAATCTTGCCTAGGGCCTGGCATGGGGCCGAAGACTATGGGTTGGCGCCAGTATTTCGCCGGAAGCTGGTTCCAGAGGTGCTTTCGCAGGACCTGGGTCGAGTGGTCAAATTCGTCATGGCCGTAGATATAATCCGTCATGGCTTCCACTGAAGGAGTTAATTCGCGATGTTAAGCACACAAGGGGAGTACTCACTTTGCTCGAACGGTTGTGGCTGGGCAGATTCTCGTGTCATCTGCTGGACAGTAGTAGCTCGGGTGTGACGAGCTTTCTCGTACAGCTTCAACCTTTCTGGCACCTCTTCGGGGGTAACATCCTGAGACAGCATGACAGCCAGCGAAACACCATCCTCAATGGCCATAGCGCCCCCGGATGCGCGATATGGCAGGAATGGGTGGGCTGCATCCCCGATGATGGCCAGCCGCTCATTAACCCAGGTTGGCAACGTTTCCATATCTAACAGAGGCCACACCTTCAGGGTTTGAGGATCGGCCTTGGTCAGCATCTTGAGGACCTGAGGGTTGAACTCCTTGAACACCTCGAGGAGCGCCTCCTTGCTAGCGTCTTGGTTCCAGTCCGAAGATGTGTTGATGGCGCTCATGGTATCAGGATGGATGCAGACGAAGTTGAGGATTTCGTTATTAGCGCAGGGATAGATGACCACACGCTTTTCGGAAGAATCCCACATGTCCACCGAACTGTACTCCATGGCCAAAGAGTGCGTTTCGGGGTCTTCCTGGCCGTCTTTGCGCTTCAAAAGGAAGCGGAAAGCATTCTTGCCCGAGCTAAATGTTTTGATACCACTGCCACCAGGCAATTTCGACCTAGCAAGGGAATGGACGCCATCAGCTCCAACGACGACGTCGCCTTTGAAAGTGTCACCGTTTTCGAGAGTCACAATTGCCTTCTCAGGGTCGATGTCTACAATCCTGCTCGATGTGTGCAGTTGGGCTGGAATACCAGGCCCGGAAGCTTGAGCAGCGACTTTCAGAGCATCGTGAAGATGGGCTCGATGGACTAGAGTCCATTTCTAGCACTTGTTATGACATTATTATTGAAACGACAGGGGATCTTACGTGTCTCCATTTCCCTGCGTGAGCTTTGTTGTTGATAATCGCCAGGGGCTCTCCACTGGGGGTATGGATACGTAACTGTCAAGATCAGATGGGTTGTGCAAGCTCGTATAGCAACGCGTACCTGTTCTGCTTCGACGGCTCCAAACTTGATGCCATCAATCCCCAATCTGAGCAATGCCGCATTGGCATTGGGAGTAAGGTGGATGGCTGCGCCGATTTCATTTGCAAACCGGGAGCGCTCAAACAACTTCGTTCAAGTGAGTCTCACGCCCCGTGAAGTTTAGACCTGACATACCTCTACACGATGACCTTGTTGGCGGAGAGCGATGGCGGCGGCCAGGCCTCCTATACCAGCGCCAGCAATAAGAACATGAAGCCCGCCTTGGGGTGTGCTTGGGTCAATGCTCCCCATGATTCCAGGTGGGAAAGGAATTATTCGGTCTGAGGCTGAAGAATGCGAGAACTGTTTGGTTACCTTGAAGGGTCACGACCAAGTCTCTGAAACGCTACACAATTATATCTACTGTAGCACCCCGTTATTCGCGCATGGGCCACCTGATCCAGAAGGGTTGTCCACCCTTCTTGCCGTGGGGTTTGGCGTGATCCAGTCCTCGGCTCAACCACTTCGGCTCCACGTCGGAGCATGCAAGGGAACGGGTGAATGCACATCACCGTGAGGGGTACCAGATGACTATTTATCACACGCGCAATTGAAACATTCGTTCATCATTCCTACTTGCTGAAGTCATCGTTCACTGTGTTTTTGGTTGGTCTGTTAGCCATCATGCCGAATCCCATCCGCGAAGACATCGCCGTCCGGGATGATACATCCTTCCCCTACATCTTTGAACAGAATGTCACCATTGCTCTGAAAGATGAGTCCGGTCTCGTCCGATGCAATATCTACCGGCCCAAGGAGCTAGAAAAAGCCCCTGTCCTTGTTACCTATGGCCCGTACGGCAAAGACATCCCTTACTCAGACTTTCACCCCAAGTCGTTTAGCGAAGTCAACCAGGAGCATCACTCCGACCATTCAGCCTGGGAGACTCCTGATCCTGGGTTCTGGACCAAACATGGATATGCCATTGTTCGGGCGGACGAAAGAGGGACTGGCCAGTCTCGCGGCAAGCTGGACACCATGTCCCGTGAAACGAGCGAGGCTTTCTTCGATGTGGTCGAATGGGTGGCCGAGCAGCCATGGTCCACCGGCAAGGTAGGATTGTTGGGGATCAGTTACTATGCTGGCAGTCAGTGGAGAGTCAGCGCACGGCAGCCCAAGGGACTGTCGTGTATCATCCCGTGGGAGGGCATGTCCGACTACTACCGGGATCGATGCCGACACGGGGGGATCCTGTCAAACGCTTTCATCAAATTCTGGTGGGACCGCCAAGTGGTCTCGAATCAGTACGGGCTTCCCGGTCGTGCCGCTCGCAACTGGGGTCCTGACACTATTGAAGGTGACCTTTCTGAAGAAGAGTTGCAGGCCAATCGCCAGGACCAGACAGTCGATAACGTGAACAACAATTTCCGGGATGACGAGTATTATGCTAGCAAGGAGTACACCATGTCCGACATTCAGGTATGCCGGTGTATGACGGTGACTCACTCAGGCAAAGCTGACTACGTGATTAGGTGCCTCTTCTTTCTGTAGCTAACTGGGGCGGCATTCTACTGCATCTTCGCGGAAATGTGGAAGGCTGGACCCAGGCGGGCAGCGAACTGAAGTATCTGCGGTTTATCACCGGTCGCCATGACCTGCCTTTCTACTACAACGAGGAGGTTGAAATCCAACGCAGCTTCCTGGATGCCTTTCTCAAGGGCGATGATCGCGTGGGGTGGTCGACCGGCACGGCTCCGAAGGTTGATCTGGTGCTCCGCAGGGGAGACGTTGGATTCAACAATGCCGAGGCGGAGAAAGGATTTCCTCGCCGCATTGAAAATGAATGGCCTATTGCTCGCACCCAGTACACACGATACTATCTGACCTCAAAGCAAGAACTGGTTACTGCTGCACAGCAGGAGCGCCCGGTCAAAATCACATACCGTGCTCTGGGCAATATGCAGAATTCCCAGCTGGTGCAGTTCACCACTCCGCCATTTGAGCAGGAGACAGAGATTACCGGACACATTGTTGCACATCTCAATGTGTCGATGAGCTCTGAGCCAGGCTCGCCTACTCCCAAAGACATCGACTTGTTCCTAACGCTGCGGTATATTTCGCCCGAGGGCAAGGAGGTGTTTTACACCGGCACGGCTGGCGATCCGGTACCTCTCTGCAAGGGCTGGCAGCGTGTCAGTTTGCGCAAGACGAACCCAGAGCACCCTCGTCACCGGGACTGGCTTCCATATCGTAATTATTACTCCACAGACGTGCTCCCGGTTGTTCCTGGCGAGGTGTACCCGGTTGATGTGGAGGTGTGGCCGACGAACGTGGTGGTCGAAAAGGGAGGGAAGATCATCCTGGAGGTGTCATCGGGCGATACCCAAGGGTGCGGAATCTTCCAGCACAATTCCCCTGAGGATCGGTAAGTGCCATCAAAGAAGTGCTCACTGAGCTATGCTAACGGAGATAGTTCCCCGGAGCGATTCCAAGGCCTCAACCATATCAACTTTGGCCACGGCGACAATTATGTCACGTTGCCGGTTATCCCATCGAGGGGATGGTTGGAGGAACTCCGCATGAGCAGGTAGATTAGTGTCAAGCTTACTCGGTAGATGTGGTAGATTAGCAATCAGAATCAAGTCCCAGAATGCGTGATTCCGTATCTCCGGTACTCCAATGTCCTCCCGATGTGGTCCCGAAGGGCACCCGAGCCATACCACGAGTAGAGTAAACTACTAGTATATAGTAGACCCTCTAATAAACCCAGACTCCAACATCATATAATCTTCACGCCTCACTCAATCCAGACCCAACCTCAATCCTCAATACCAACCAAGCACCCACTCTACAATCCATCCATCCATCCATCCATCCCTCCTCAACCACCAACCAAACCCCCCAAAATGACCATCCCAACCACTAGTACCACCACCACCCCCTCCAACCCCCCACCCCCCAAAAAACCCCTCCGCCCTCTCCACCGCTACATAACAACGCACTCCCCAACCACCAACCTCGCAATCTTCTCCCCGACCCTCCCCACCCCCATGCCAGTGCAACAAATCTCCGACTCCGCAAACGCCCACTTCTCTCTCGTCTACACAACCGATACCTTTCCCGCGGACCTGTCCAACGAAACCGACATCCCCGCCTACGCGTCCTACCTGTCCAACCCCCCCGGGATTACTATCTCCACTGGTTCGGTGTGTCGCATCGTGGATATCCCGCCCCATGCGATGAGTCCGATGCATCGCACCGTGTCGATTGATTATGGGGTTGTGTTGGAGGGGGAGGTTGAGTTGGTGTTGGATTCGGGGGAGACGAGGGTGTTGGGGAGGGGGGATGTGGCTGTGCAGAGGGGGACGAATCATGCTTGGAGGAATGTGACGTCTGATACTTCTGATGGGGAGGGGCAGTGGGCGAGGATGTTGTATGTGCTTTTGCCGGCGGTGGGGGTCGATTTGGGGGAGAGTTTGGGGGGGATTGGGGTTAGGGATAGTACTTAGATTTTTTCCTCTTTTTTTGCCGAATTGGTAGGGGGAGGGGGGGGTATAGATGGGAGATGTGGATGTGGGGTTGTATTTAGATGTTGAATTTATTTTTGCTTCTATGTTCTATATATGAGATCGTGAGCGTCGGGTTCTACGGTGGGGATGGTTTATGAGACGAGGGTTTAGAGTACTGTTACTGGTCTGGTAGATATCATATGGAAGATGTTGTCGATATTTAATGGATTTTTTTGCCGCAAGAATATCACTTATTTCAGACGTATGTATTAACAGTGGTTACTTTGATATCTCTTTCTATGTTGATTAAGTACACATCGGCGGACCAGGTATGCTCCATACGATTACCGGGCGTCTCACTTAAGAAGGAGTCATAAGTAGGAAATATGAACGGTAATCATCCTCAGTTAAGTGTCCTTTTGGATTGTTCTGGCGGTATCAATCTTAGATATTACTATATCTATTGCTGATACATCAAACCACCAAGAATTTAAATTATCATTCTGTACTCTGTAAAGGATTACCACTCCCCTCCAATTTCATAATGAAAGATCTTATCATTGATCCTCCCACCTGTGGATATCCAAAGACGCGAAACAGCCTTCAAATATCAGAACCATGACCACTGATCAATAAGTATATAACTCACCGCATTCAACCACACCCCATGCAACATGGACTGGATAAACACATACTCTGCCGGGCTGCTCCCTGCTGCTCGCTCATTATAGTCTAGATTCCGGTTGGCAGGCCGATATGGAGGTACTCGTCTGTAGTCGGAGGGCCAATCCACCGGTTGAGATGTGGGTGTAGAGGTAGAGGTGCTGGGAGATTGGGGAGGGTGTGTCTCGCCGGTATGGTGGACTTCGTAGTCGGAGAGGATGGAGAGAGTGTTGGTTTGGGTTGTTGTGGTTGTGGTTGACATGGTGGGTGATTCTCTGATGCAGAGATGAGATGAATACTGACGATAAGTGAGATAGATGCTGTGGATACTCCACTGACGGTTTGCACTCACTGCACTCACTGCACCATAAGCACCTGGCTCCTCCACTTCCCGACCCTTCTTTCTCCCCCGCAAACCCCATCAATTCCGGGGTCGGAAACCATCCGGCTCCAAATTCCCGAGTCATGGAGCATGTCCACATCGCGTCAAGCCGTCGTCCCTAGACGCTTACTACGCTGCTATATCCATATTCATGTCTTCGCCAAACTGTCACCATACTAACGACCTACACCAGCAAAATGGTCACCACACAACCCTTCCCTCGACTCCTCGCCGCTGAAATAGACGGTCGCTGTCAGAACATCCGATATCGCCAGAACCAATTCCATCGGTTACAATCCGCTTTAGTCCAGAACATCGATCAAATCAAGGATGCCATCGCTGTGGATTCAGGGCACTCATCGGAGGAAGTTCGCGCAGAAATCTGCCTTGCTATAAAGGAGATCCGGACACATTATGCGTCATTGGATTTGAAGAAAGACCTCGAGGTGGAGTATCGTGTTGCGAACGGGAGGGATAATACGGATGGGAAACGGGGGGTGGGTATTGTGTATATTGTGCCGTGTTCGCATACGATGTTTTTCTCGGTTTTGGCCGCACTGAGCGCTGCTGTTGCGGCGGGGAATTGTGTCGTTCTTGAGGTTGGTTTAATGCTGTTTATAGTAGTTGAGGGGGTGGATTTTGTGCTGACTGACTGTTACAGTTGATGAAGAATACCATGGCATTGCCGGGTGTGTTGAAGAAGATCCTGCCGCAAGCGCTGGATGCAGATACATTTGCGATTAGCGAGGAGAGACCGGATAGTGCATTCCTGAAGAGGGTGCATATGGTTGTGCAGAATGATTCTGTTCCCTTTTCGAGAAATACTCTTTCTTCACCCACCTCATCCAGAACAGTCGCGTTGGTTGACCGGACGGCCAATATCTCCGCCGCCGCAGAGGCATTGGTATCCGCGCGATTCGCTTTCGGCGGTCGCTCAACATACTCTCCGGACGTTGTGCTTGTGCAGGAGTTTGCAATGAAAGAATTTGTGGAGGCGATCATCCAGCGAGCGTCAAAGTATCTAGGTGGCCAGAATGGAGAGGCCCGGCAGACGGTTGTCAATCCGCGACGAGCGAGCTCGGGTATCTCGTTGCTGGATGCAGCGCATAAGGATGCAAGTGCGCGGGTGATAGTTTCTGGTTCGGAGTGGGGTGTGGTAGAAGTGCTTGATCGGTGAGTGTTACTATGATTATTGAGGCGACGTGTTGACGGAAGTAGGAAATCGTCTCTTCTGCAGAGAAAGGTATCAGAGAAGGTCCTGGTCCTGCATCCGGTGACGAGTCTGGATGATGCTATTGATTTCAGTAACTCGTAGGTTACCATTTCTTAATGGTGGATAATGCTGACGGGGTACTAGATTGGGAACCCTGGCTGCGACATATGCTTTCGCGGCCCCGGCAGCAGCCAAGTATTTAACTCAGTTCATCGACTCGTATAGCTCTTGGGTCAACCACGTCCCTACTGATTTGCTCAGTTCGTCTTTCTCTCCATCTACTCACAGATGTTCTAACAACAGCAGTTGGCCCCGCATACCCAATTAACCAACCAACCTCCCGCGAAACCCGCTACTCGATATCATCCTTGCAAATCCCACGCCCTCAGTTCGTCACAGAAACAAGCAACACCGCTCTTGTTCGAGAAATAATCAGCACTGCAGTTGGACACAGCACAAAGTCCAATGACGCGTGGCGCGAGGCATTGGCGCCACTTCCCCCGATCGGACAAGCGGAGGGCAAGAGAATCGGATTCTTTGAGCAGGGGATTATCACTGGCGGTGTCATTACGCTGTTTTCGCTTGTGGCTACGCTTTCGACGCTCGGAATATATGGGTATGCGGCTGTGAGGAGATTAGGGGCTTGATGTTGGGGTTTGTAGATACTGGTGGGATCTATCCACCTTTCCGGTCACAGAGGTGACCGGGAGATATCTCTTTTGGTCTGCTTGGGAGTTTCTGCATATACTGTCTTGGGTTGGCTTGGTATCCTAATAGTGAAATCTGTTCTGTAGTGTTGGGTTGTAGGTTGCGGTCGGATATCGCCTGGTATGCGCATCACATAACTTCGAACGGTGTCATCCCGTAGTTGTGCTTGTAGTTATGGAACGGACGAGTCCTGCGGAAGGATTCTTGGGGCGGGGTTCGTGGCTACATCGATATGGTCGCCTATGCCTGCCAATTGGGTGTTATGGAGTGCTGATCTGGTGTTAGCGTTGGTGGACTATGCAAGCATGCGATTGATTACGCACCATGATCAATATTCCTGGTGCTTTGTCTCCGCTTTGCGCCAGTAGTCGGAGGATTCGGTCATCCTGCATAATAGTGGACTGGGTCAAGGTCTGGCCGTCAGTGGATCCCAATTTGGTTCTATTTGTGCTCTGGCTCGAATGCTGTTGCTCTGGCTCGAATGCTGTTGCTCTAGAGCGGTGAGTATTCTGCAAGAGTCTGAAGAATTGGACTAGCCTGGGTTCGATTTAGACGGTATGAGCGGGGCCTTGAGCACCGCAGGGTCGGGTGAGCTCCTCCACATCCCGAGCACGGCGCAAGGGTCTCAACAGCGCCTGATAAGCGTCCTCGAGGTACCCGCAAAACGAGTCAATCCTCTGGGTTGCCAGAGAATCCATGCAGGTAATAGTTCTGCCTGTAGCTGGACGATCCCGGCCGCAGCCGGGTGATGATGCATCGTCGTGAATCCCTGGCTGTTTGTTCTCCCGATATCCTTGAAAGCCCTGCAGCTTCCTGCCGCTTAGTCATGGCGCTATCTCACACTGGTCCAACTTGTGGTGAAGTCCAAGCAGCAGACTGGCCAGTCTGATCGACGTCTTTCAGAGAATACGTAGGCAAATATTGAAGGCTCCATAGTGGATGGTAGAAGGATTGTTCCCCGCATTTCCCTGCCGAGCTTAACGCTTGCTGACTTCCCCACACTTCTCCGGGTCCGTCTCCATCTTATTTCCTCCCTTCGACTTCTTGTTCTCATCTCGTCATCTCTCAATGTCTCGCCCTCGTCATGATGGATATATCTTCTCCGTCGTTTCCTCCGCAATCCCCGCAACGACCACTCTCCAAAGCGCGCGATGGTTATTTTCAATGTGGATTCTGCAAGAAGCACTACAACCGGGCAGATCATCTAATCCGACATGTCCGATCGCGTATGTACTTCCATTAGCATAGTCTATGTGTATGTTCTCATTCTTGCAGATACACGGGAAAAACCATATGTATGCCATGTGTGCAACAAAGGCTTTGCCAGGCCGTACGTCTATCTCAACCTGCATTCGTGTCTGTTCTGACAGCACCAGGGACTTGATGAAGCGGCACGCTGCAGGCCACGATCATCCTCGAGATGGCAAGCGAAAACGACCACCATCGTACGCTAAGAGCGGTCGGGTCTCCCAGGCGTGCAAAGCATGCGCAACTTCCAAGCTCAAGTGCGACGAGGAAAAGCCCTGTCGACGGTGTCGGGATAAAAAGCTTATATGTGATTGGCATGACGGGGCTTTTGATGATTTAACGCCAGAGTCACCTATGCAAGGTGGGTCTAGCAGCTCTATTGCCTTGAGCATCGAATCTAAGCAATGCAGCATACGATGACCCTGGCCACAGCCAGTATCCCGAGCCACCGCAGGCGCAGGCCGCGTTCACCCCGTCAGCACCCTTGGAAGAATTTCCACCTTCTATTGGTAATCCTCCATTTGGGACCCCTGACTTTCCCGTGAATGATTACCTACCTGAGGCGCCGGGCTCGGCCCCCGGAGGCCCTATTTCGACAGGCTATGATGGTGAGTTCTCTGCACCTCGTGTGAGCATGGATTAATACGAACAGCAATATCTCCCACGCTTGACCAAGAAAGTGGCATTTTCAGTGTCGATGGAACCTTCTTCCCCGAGTTTATTCCCGATTCTCTCATACCGTCATTATCCCGCCCAAACGAACTGGATCCATTAAATCCTCTCAACCATACGCAAGACTACCTGCACAACCTGTTCGATACCAACGTGCAATTCGATTTCGATCTCACTGAAGTTGACTTTGGACTGATCGACTATTTCAACACCCAAGGGACAGCGCACTTTCCGCAGCCCCCTGATATACCCAACGAGCGGTCTGATGTCGATAGTGGGATTGCACTCGGCGCCGAAGCCTATAAGCGGTCCTCACTGTCTGCCTGGAAGCCTGCCCAGAATGACCACGCCTTTGCCAACCAAGGTGATCTGTCAGTACCGGTGACTATTGATAGCCCGGAGTCGAGTATTAGGCTAGAACGTCAGATCCTTCCAGAGAGGCTGGCCTCGGGCAGCCGTGATTTGATCTTCGGGATGGTCTTGCAGACGAGCGAAAAGTCCACATTACCTCGCATAATGAAGTCATTCCCAAGTACCGAACTGTTAGACGGTCTCATGCAGGATTACTTTGCCTACCAAAGCCACCAAATCGATTCGTTCATTCATGGCCCAACGTTTCATCCAAATGAACAGAGCTCGGACATGTTAACTGCTATAGCTGCGGCGGGTGCAGTCCGGTCGGCCATCCCAACCATTCGTAAATTGGGCTACGCACTGATGGAAGTCGCACGCCTACACATGTCGGTCAAGGTATGCTTCTCTATACTCTTGAGTATCAAAATATTAATTTGCATAGTACGAGTCAGATAATCGCGTCACACGCGATCTGCGGCCTTCGCAAACATTCGCCGTGATCATCGACATAGGCCTTTGGAGCGGCAATGGTCGGAGGACAGAAATTGCAGAAAGCTTCCAACAACCATTAGTGACGGTGAGTTTACACCAGCAAAGGAGGGCAATTTCTGACAACATAGATGCTGCGACGAGCACTTCGTTTCCGACGGAGTATCTATTCGACTATCGTCCCAAGCCTTGAGGATAACGGTGAGGTGTTGGAACAGAAATGGCGCGCTTGGGCGGAGCAGGAATCATTCAAGAGGTAACTCGCTCTTTCATGTGATGGGGCTTAGCTTATGCATTTAGACTCGTCCATCACCTATTTTTACATGACGCTCAATGCGCCATGATGTTGAACGTCAACCCACTTATTTCTTACGCGGAATTGGAACTTCCGCTTCCATTCGATCGACCTCTCTGGGATGCCAAGTCGGCCACATTGTGGAGGGATACCTACCTCGCACTCGGACTACGTGGAACAGAGCGACATACATCTTTGGTTGATGCAATGCGGGACATGTCCCGTCTACAGGGAGCCATGGATATTCAACTGGCGGGTTTCATCCTCCTACATGGGTTTTCCTCCATGATCAACGAGTATCATCGCTTCAACTTCATCTCAAAAAGCAGTTCCAAGCACTGGAACGCGCTGGTGACCAGCTCCCGTCATCAAGAACTGTCACAAGCCCTCCAGCATTTTCGCATGATTTGCTACGAGTGGCCCGACCTTCCCCGCCCCGAGGTTTTCTTAATATATGAGATGATCTCGATGTTTCTATACATGTCCCTGGAGGATTTACAACTATTTGCCGGAAAGGAGGATAAAAGAGAAGCCCGACGGGTCTACCACAGTGCGCTTGAATGGATCAACAGCATCGACTCCCGGCGGGCAGTGTGGCATGCAGGCCAAGTGATCCGGGCTGCCAAAGCCATGCCCGCAGGGTCGCTAACCGGCTTCTTGGTAGTGGGAGTATATTATGCCAGTTTGGCCTTTTGGTCTTACAGCGTGGTATTCAAAGCGAAGAACACTAAGTTGACAGCCGAGAGTCGTGCTCTAGGCCCTCCTCAAGTCCGCGGCCCAACGGTCTACCTAGATGGAGACGAGACAACTGACGTACAAAAGTTCATTTCGCTTGGATGTGGAAGTCCGGCACTGCTGGGCCGACAGGGACCAGCATTTATTTCTAACCCAGGACAAACCATGGACCTTGCACAGGAGCTTCTGCGGGCGGATGCCTCCCAAGACGCGCTTCCCCCATTGGTCCAAGGACTGCGCCAGCTAATGGGTGGACTTGGGAATGCTGCTAGATCTAGCTCTTAGGAGTATTCACATCTGTATACTTATGATACCATTGTACTATGACTATTCTATGGGTCTAGGCCTATTCAGATATCTACCATATTCGCGGATTGCCTGGACAGGCAAGCTGAAGTTCGAAGACATTCCCTGCTTCTCATTCCCAGAATGTGTTGTTTACTTTCACTGGAAAGAGTCAATGAAAACGTGGGTACTGAAACTATGTGACATCCCACCGTACTGTCAATATAAGATTCACAACCCCAAATGGAAGGAACCCATTCAACGACATCCTTCCCAATACAATTCTGTAATCACCACTCATTATTCCCTACTTTAGGGCCTAAATTACCTCGCGCTACGATATATAAATACCCCTCTTCTCCCTTCAAGGTCTTCTTTTCTATTTATCTCTTTTCTTAAACAATTTGTCAAGCTATGTTGAACCTCCAACGTGGGCTATAGCGGCCATCAGGTAGATGCAGTCGCTCACTCCTATCTTTCTTTCTTATTCTCCACCGTGCATGCTTCTCACTATCTCTGCACTCTTTTCTTCTAAGCTGTTCTTCATGGCACATGAATAACACTTCCACACAACACGTCTCGCATTCAAAACTGGTGGAGAAGAATATGCCTGGAAGACACCCCATACGAGGGTCCATATCATCGAACAACCACATCACAGACATACCACGGATGGCAGGAACTACATCAATCTGGCCCGGCTTTTCTTGGTACAATGAAGAATGGTCGTTACCGGCCGCTGCATTTTACCCACCGGAAAGTGTTCCAATGGGTAGATGACTCATGGGAGGCTACTTTATCTTAAATTCCTCTGATCAACATCGACCAAGGCCAATGCGGATCTCAAAAAGCAGAGAGAATCGTCCAGTTCCAGCACTGAGTATGCTCGTCTTCCGTATACGCAGTACAGCATGGGTGTTCCTACTTATTACACCCCGAGCTCGTGGCCAACAAACAGTGGATGTTGTGAATCGAAAAATCGGCATTACTACAATTCAGACCACATGAGCGCCCTAGCGTCTAGCGATGGATGGTCATAAATGATGGAATGTTATACACTCGAGCTTCAGCTTCATATAGCGACGTCAAGCCTCCTATGTGGACTACCTCAGCCGCCGGTACATTTATCTATTGTGTGTTGCTGTTTCTTACCTGGGGTTCCATTCAAGCAAGTGGGCAGATGTCGCTTCAAGGGAGCTTCTGATCTATAGCTGCAAAGCTTTTATCGCACGCTATTACTAGATGACTGGTTCAATCCCTCTTTTTCTTGCCCAAGTTCGACCGGTGGAATCTCTTCCGGAGCGAAACCATTCCTCGATTACACCACGCAAAGCTGGATGGCAACATTGGAGGGCTTGTTGTATGCATGGTCTAATGTCAACCAGTGGCAACTTACGGTTTCTCGGCTGCGTCAAAAGCCTTCATCGAGTTTGTCGCTTTGATAGATCGACTCATAAACAAATGATCAACACCGGATGTACTTCCCGGGGAGTGAACAGGAACGCATTGAAGGCGCCAACAGATTCTCAGACCGGGCGTGGAACCATTACTACTGATGGCCTGGCAGGTGGAAGGTGTGGTCTTGGGAAAACAATCGTGGTGCTGTTCGCTATTGTGGCGGCAAGCAACATCTTGCTGAATGACGCCACCGTTTGATACTGCTGCTACTCCTCAGCGCTCTTAGAGAACTGGATGGACGAGGTGGACCAGCGGTTCGCGATGCCAACGATTATGTACCGGGGCACAATATCCCATATTTTCGGAGTGTTCAAAGGCGCGTTATCTGTTCCGACTTCCGACTGCTGCTCACCCTATGCATAGGACTAAACAGAGCACAAAGCCATTGCGACCGAATCCCGCCGCTGCGTTTCTTCCTCGGTCAATCCCTCGAGATGTACTTTGTCTTCCTCAGGTAGGGGCCAATTGCAGTTGGAATACGTCCCTACGTGGCGTCGGCGGTGAAAGGGTATCAGCGTGAAGGCGTATCATAACGATTCTAAAGTTCGGACTCTGTATAATCCTATGTGATATACAGCTACATCTGGATGCCTACAAAGGCATGCTCCATTGCCCCTGAATTTATTCTTGGACAACATCTGCTCAAGCATACGCACGCAAACGTCGTGATTAATAGCAAGGAAAAATTCTGGGTGCTGGATCAATGGCTCCCCGAGGACGTGATCATTAACCAGATTCTGAGCATGCCAGGGACCCTTCGTAATCACCTTGTCCTACTCACGATCATCGCTTTACTGCCTTTGCTACTATCTCCAACGGTTACAACCGATCTGAGGTTGTTTCACCAATTCATCTCCGATGCGAGAGATCATTTAGAGCGACACATACGCCTTGGTATCCGGATTATATCAAATGAACTCCAAAGCAGGGGACAATTCTTTACGACACTAATGTTTTCAACAATCGTGAATATCTACAGTGGCTTATGCTTCCGGCAGGTTGTTGCTATCAGAAGGTGTCCTCGATGGTGTATATGACAATATTACTTGTTTATGGGGCACCTGAGCATGTCTTGGGCATTTTCTTGGAGAACGAATCATGACTACCAATATGGACAATGACATGGACGATGACATGGTTCTTTCGGTGTTCATGATCCCGCAGGCAGGCGAATAGATAGCACAGGAGCTGATCTGCCTGACACGGATTGATAACCATCTGCTGCAGAAGTGCTTAATGTTCGAATCAGTAACATATCAAAAGCCCCAACATAAAGCCACAATCCAAACCATAACACTGGATGGACACATTTTCTGAGATTAGTGTTAACAATTCAATTCTTCTCACAATTCTTTCCAGTCTACTGCCTACTGCATCGTGCATGGCTCCACAAATAACAGGAGTACGAATACCGATATTCTTAATCGATACCTATACAGATATCCCAACCCACTAAATCCAACTAAAAAGCAATCATCTTCTACAGTCACAAACCAGGATCCGATCATACGTCCAACTCTAGCAGAGCACAACGGTCTCCTCAAACAAATAAGATACCTACAGCACTTCAGTAAAATGTATATCAATACCATGACCAATCATGTATCATTTCACCCAAACACCCTACTGCACTAATATCAACAAGAACATTACGAGACATCACCTAATCAACATCCAGGACGTTCAGCAATCTATCGCAATATGAGGAATAGAACAAACCCGGTAATTACTTGCCACACCTTGTGTGGATTCTATGCGCTACGCCAATGACCTGATGTGATTCATGGCTCACCGAGTGGCCAGAGATCATCGATTGGGCTGAAAATGTTTGGTTTTCATGAACCATAGGATAGCACACATGGGTTTTCTTGAGATGTTGTCTAGGAGCTTGGGACTGGAATTGCAGTCATGAGGATCGTTAGTCTTAGTGCATCCCTTGACATATATAGTATCAATAGAACGGATCCACTTGACAATTGTACATTTGGTTTCGTGTCATGAAGTAATTCGTCTCTATTTTTGTTCGGCAGGATACATCACGGCTGGATAGACAACAAGATATGTTATGTTGATCTCACATTTAAGCACAAGAAAGTAGCGAAATGGCCAAGTCAGAGGGATCATTACTAGCAACCCTCCAAATTCTCTTCATTCTAAACCCCACACATATACCAAACAAAGCAGAAGACGTCCGTCCCATTCCCATTTCCATCTAAAAAGAGAATTAAGGAGAAAGAAAGAACCAAAAAAAAGAACAAAAAGGAAAATTGATCTCCGATAGGGGGAATCGAACCCCCGGCTGCCGTGTGAGAGACGGCGATGTTAGCCACTACACCATATCGGATGTTGTTGTTGGAAAACCGGTAGGTTTAGTATTATATAACCAAAATCATTGGGCGTGTCAATGTCTTGTCCTTGATACACTTTCTTTGACTTTTCCGAGCCAAGCCAAGTCCATGATAATTTAGGAAGATTTATCATTAGAAACCTCTCTGAACTCTACGAGCACTAGAGTCACGGACAAGGTATTTTCCTTCTTTCTTCAGTCTCTACTAAGAGTGCGCACCTAATCACCCACCCACTTTCATTTGTGCGTTGGTGGCTGGTCCCAGAAATCCTGGTGCCTTGTGCGCAAGGCAGCGATGGCTTCTGTATACTCTGTACGTCCTTCAAGATATTTCATTTTTGACTACCACGCACTTGCGTCCACAGATACGATAAGACTACCAAGAACATCTAGGACTACAAAGTTAGGGGATAGGTAAAAATATCGCGATTTGCTGGTGAAAACCTGCGCTGCATGCTGTGGTATTGACTGGGCGGCGCTAATGCAGCGAACACGTGGGGAATGGAGATCATCCACCCCCTCTCTTTGATTTTAGCGGGGTGGGTTCATTTGGTTGGTGATTATAGGAAAGGTTTTGTATTTAGGTTGTTAGAGGTAATTGTATAACATACTTGAGATAGCGTAGAATGAAGGGGGTTTTATGTGATTAGATAGGTAGGTAAAATGGGCTGTTTGAGAAATCTGGAGTCAGATTTCAACCATGTATGGTATTCTACTTGATTTATATGATCGGGAATGAGGGATTGAACACTGTAGCTGGCATAAATCAAATAACTCATGCGTGTCGTATAGTACATCAGTCGTGGGTATAATGCTAAAAATAACAGTCAACGTAACAGGTAGACATTAGCCTCGCGAATTTCCAGGATTATCTGGCTTTCGAGCGTAGACTACTGTTCCTGGAAGATAAGCACGCGTCTGGTAGTCACGAAGGGAGCTGCGCATTTGCGCCAGAAACAATTGCGCTCGCTCATATGACCATTCCAGCGTGGAAGTGAGAAGACGAAGCATGAAGCCTTCCACCCCGCCGTGCAATCGAAGCTGGTTCCAGCGACCCTATTTATGTTAGTAAGTAGGTTTATAAAAACGAACAGGTACTCACAAGTTCATGTATTTTGGGATCAGAACTCCATCTAAGAATGGTTAGACAGGAATGCATCACTGTAGACTGCACATACCCATTCATCGGCCACTGGTACCTCTGTTCTACCACCTCGACGAAACCCGCATTCCTCAGTCGCGTCGCGCTTTGTTCCCAAATCTTAAAGGTCTTGCCGAATTGCTCTCCGGCACCAATCACCGTTTGTCCCCAGAGCCGATAGAAATGATCTGAGGGGACACTCCCATCATCCGCGACCGGTTCAACTGAATGTTCCACCACCTCAACGTAGCCCCCAGGTTTCAGGCAACGCCAACATTGCCGGAAGAACTCGTCCCAATCAGGTATACAACCGAACATTTCCCGCACGTGGATGAAATCGAAATGATTGGCAGGGTAGGTCCAAGGGAGCGTCACGTCGTCGATCTCGAAGACGCAGTTCGGAGGGACGAAAGATGGCTGAATCGGGGACAAATCAACACCGGTAACTTTGGCACTGGGATATTCATCTGCCATGTCTCTGAAGACGAGTCAGCATTGCAAGCATTCAGCGCAATAGTATCACACACATTGCCCAAATTCCTGTTCCAGTGCCGATGTCGAGGATTTCCTGAGCATTCTTAGACATTGTCGATCCACCCGGGAGTCAAAAAGACTACATACCTGTGGGTTCGAGATTGGTGCTAGGTGCAATTTCCCATCAAGTGTCAAATAGTACATATGGTGTGCCAGATCCTGCTGTTCGTTCGCAACGTCATCGTTTGGCCCCTGTGTTGAACCGCATGTTAATTCATGGGCTTGACAATTCCTCCAGGGCAACCCACCCAGTAGGCGCCATCACGGTACGAGTGATAGCGACGACCATACTCGTATCGGTAGTCGGTGATGTAGGTCGACAGGGTCATGGTGTCATCCCCGATCAACGAGTCCTCCCCGTAGGCCGAGTCATCGTCACCAATATCATCCTCGCCGTCGCTCATCGGGGCCGACATGTCGACGGAAGGATAGTGCCGTTGTGGGGTATCTGTGAAGAAACTCGAGGGGTTCTCAGTCGCAAGGCTATGCTCCTCGCAGCGGGAAGAGGTCATGGCGGCGATCGAGCCAAGATTGGTGGACGGTTGCGGAGATCGACTCCGTACGGGGCACGCGAACGGCTGGGGCGGTGCAAAGGACTTTCCAGGCTGCCAGTCTAGAGAAGACTCGGCACTTAGATAGGAGTGGGTTTAGAGTTCTGAGAGCTAATGTCGGGGTTGCGATGATGACAGCGCAGAGTTAAGAAGGTTCGATCAAGGGATCGAGGGAAAGGGGAAGCCATAAGATGCGGATGAAGGGCGGAACCTGAGCGGTCTGCATCGCCCCGTGCTGGAGATGAAGGTTTATTCTTGATTGCAGTAGTGGAACGGTCAAGCTGTTCAACGGACAGATGGTACCTGCCCAGTCCGGTTTAGTCGCTGGCCGATCGGCTCTCGGCCGTATCGGCCCCCTCGGGGACTTCGGGGAGCTGCTCACATGCTGAGGCGGTGTGCCACTCTATGAGCTGTCATTGGTTGCTGCAACCGTTTGAGTTCTGATCCGGCCATGGTAGCTACCCTTTCGGGTACAACTGGCTGCGGTTCTCGTCTTTTGCCCTTCAGTTTCTTTCCGATCGGAAGAAATGCGGGTCACATGAGGTGCAGATGACTTGCTAGACTGCCTCCGGCTTAGCCCCACTGATCCTTCAGGCTTTAGTCAGTCGGCTCGCATTTGGCTGAAGAATCGGCAGAACATAATCCTACCTTATTGGATGAGAACCAGGAGGACCCATGACGATCTCGGCCTCCTTTTGCTTCTGCACTCGGCATTTGTGCAGCAGACAAATGGGGAAGACTCCGCCTCCACGCACGCACTCATGATGGCGTCTCGACGTCACCAGTTCAAGTCGGTCTCTCCTTCAGCCTTATTGCACCCGTATCGGAACTTTGATCTTGACTAACATCTTCGACAATAGTTACTGTGTACTGGCCTAGGATGGGTCGGAACGGAGAGACAAGTCCGTGGAAATGACTTTTCAACAACCCGTATTGTGTCGCCTCCGATTGGGTAGCCGCCTATCAGTGGTCCAGCTAGCACCAGCACTGGATCTCAGCTTTTCTATATGCAGCCCGACTTGACTGATGGAGCAAGTTGTGATATGATGTGCTATCACACTGCCCCTGAGACTGGTATTGATCCTGTCCCTGGCATAATCAGATCATAGTATGGAGTACGGAGTCTGGAGTCTGGATGGGAGGTTGTTCCCTGGGCCCACAGCGTTTCGCCTCTGAGATTGGCAAAGGCTCAACCGACAAATCACAACCAGCGTCCTGAATCGCGGAGATTATCATTACCCTTGCCTGAGTGTGAACTCTATTTTCCGTCGTGATGTCCTCTTGACATGGCTACGCCATCTGCTTCTCTCCTCCACTTACTGCCATATTCTGGCGAATCTTTGTGCCAAAGCTGGGAGCCCTATACCCACTTAGGGCTGTACAGATTTGCGTCTCTATAATATGCTGGTATCTCCCGAGCCAAGGCTCTCTACCACGGTTCTGATTGTGGGTGCAGGTAAGCCTCTGTCGCACGGGACGAACGAGTCTTGCACTCTATCTTGGGCAATTGGACTGATAATTGTTAGGCTCAACTGGACTCGCTTTGGCGCAGGGCTTGAAGAAGGTAACCTTGATTCCCATGTTGGATCAATGAACTAGACTGATCAATTTGTAAGGCTGGGATTCCTTCCATCGTAGTGGAAAAACATGACTCTCTTGATGCTCAATCCCGTGACTGGAACATGGGCTTGCACTGGGGTGCAGGTCCATTAAAATCCCTCCTGTCAGAAGAGCAATGGGCACGCATCCAGTCAGTGCAAGTTGATCCCAATGAGCCTACAGCAGAACACGATGCCCTCAAATTTGTCCACGGCCAGTCGGGTAAGACCATGGCGTCCATACCTGTGCGCCTTTTCTATCGATTGCGCCGTCGGAAGTTACGAGCACTCATGGAGAAAGGCTTGGACGTTCGCTACGACAAGAAGCTCGATGCAATCGAATATTCTTCCGATGGTCAACATGCGACTGCGATCTTTGAAGACGGTTCATCGCTCTCGGCTAAACTTGTAGTGGGCGCTGACGGAGCCCAATCGAAGACACGGCAGGTCTTACTTGGGCCTAGCATGGGACAAGTCCGCCGGCTTCCTTACTGCGCAACGTTTGTCCAGGCACAGTACTCCGCCGAACGTGCGCGATTTCTACGTCAATTTCACCCTCTTTACCTTGCTGGGATCAACCCAGAGGGGTACTTTTCCTTTTTCGGTGTACACGATGCATCAGAGCGCGACAGACCTGAGACCTGGACCTTTTTCTTCTACATATCATGGCATTCGACTCTACAGGAGCAGAGAGAGACAGCCAGTTGGACCAACTCTCAGAGGCTAAAGCAAGTCAAAGAGTTTGCCAAGTCCTTTACCGACCCCTGGAAGAGCGCTTTCGAATGGCTGCCGGATAACCACCAAGTCTGGTATATGGGCTTGAGCGACTTTGACCCGCAGGCCAAGGACCACAGGTGGGATAATCAGGGGGGTCGGGTTACATTGGCTGGCGACGCAGCACATGCAATGACATACCAACGTGGACAGGGCTTGAACCATTCGATTACGGACGCAGCCAACCTGGTAGAAGCGGTGCGACGCGTCGTGTCCGGAACGGCCCAAGCTAGCGCTATAGCAGATTATGAAGAAGAAATGATCGCACGGGCGGGCGGCGAGGTCAATCTTTCTACCGTCAACACAGCCATGCTGCATGACTGGCAGAAGGTGCTGCAGTCACCGGTGCTGACGTCCGGAATGACACGGTCTGATCAGGGCCGAAATTAGCCGATATGTCGTGCTCTACCTAAGTTCCCTGTAAAGTCATATTCTACGGATCTCTTGGATAATATGTCTAATATTAGAAAATTGTTAGATAAATCTTTTAGAGAGTATACCTTGTTATGCGGTGTTGCAGTTGATGTTCAACTCTCGTGTCTATTCGTGAGGAAAGATTTGCGTTGGCATCGTGGGCGTCAAGACATGGATAGCAACATGCCTACAAGTATACCTCGACAGACGATGGAACCTCGTTACCCCGCATTTTCCGGTCTATCCGGATTTCGTCCTGTTGTGTGCGTCAACCAGCCTAATCCTGCAGAAGGACCACGCTAGTCAGCCGTGTCGGAGGCCGTCCCACCGGCCACGTTTATCTCTGCCGATTGTGGTGGCATTTAGCGACCGTTGAAGCTCCACATCCTTAACTTGCGCGACTGGATGGCCATTTCCTATCAGCTAAACTACCTGGAGATAAAAAGCGACAAGAAGCGGAGTTAAAAGGGGACGCATGCATGGATTTGCTAGGCGGCAATCTTTACCTTCATCGTTGGCACTAGGACCTGTAATTGATTGTTTCACAGACCTACTAGCGCGGTGCTGGTGATAACATTTTGCATAGGGATACTCCGTAATCGAAGTCATGTACAGAGTGTAGCAGCTTATCATATAACTGTTTTTGAACCAGATACTTCTCCATGTACCCGTTACGGAGTTAACTACTAGGTGAGAATTTTCGGCTACCCACCTAAGATATCGCTCATTACCCACGCAATAGCACATCATACATAGTATTGCCGCTCGGAGTAATATTTGCTTTAGAGGTATAAAATTGAACAAATGCGACCGGATTGGTTACGTAGCCACCTAGAGCTGGCAAAGTACGAATGCCTCTTGCTGTATATTCTGAAACAGGCTTGATCGAATGCATTGATCAGGTGGCGTACTAGTCAGTATCCTAAGGCACTGAGAAACCTTTGCCTTAGGCCAGCCATGAGCTACTATTCAGTGCCATGGCGTGATATGTCTTAGCCTGCCGGATTGGAAACTCGGCCTTGCGGCAGCGGGCTCGAACCATCGCCAATTTTTCTCCTAGATTCAAAACATCTGGTCTTGTCATCATTCAAATATCCCGCTTCCACAAATTGAGATGTCCTAGTTGCTTGCGAGCTGGAATATAAGCGCAATCTCATGTTTAGGTGCTGATTGAGAGTGCTGAGTGCGTGTTGAGTCGAGCTGAAACTCAGCAGCCCCAGGGAGAGTTAGCTACCACTATCCAAGGGTCATTATTATCAAACTATGCTTGTTATTCGTCTTAGAATTTGCCAATGAGTCTATCTGTCGAGCTAATTATCGATTGCGACGGCAGTGTACTCGAGGGATATACTATTGCGATGCTCTCATCACTCATATCGCTGATGCTTTTCACGCTATCGCATGCCTCACTTTTATCCAACGAAAGTCCTCGAAGGTCTAGTCTCGGAGATCTCGAGGCCTAAGACGTCATGGAGGAGACAATACATAGGATTTCATCGCTACGGATGCTCTTAAAAGACAGGATGCCACAGTAGTCGAAAATATCTCAAGTTCTCCAAATATTCTATCGCTGTATGAAATTGAAACATAACAGGTACGTACCTATTTGTCTCTTGACATTTCAGATCTCCAATGACCGGGTTCGCTCGTTGATTCAGGTAGCAATTGGGATTGATTCTCTGCGGAATAGTATATATCGGGATCGTTTGTGGGAAACCAATTGGGAACGAAAGCCACCAACGGATATATGAAGTCGAGGAGCTTATGATACCGATAATCTATTAATAGAAATTTATGGAATGGTTTACGGTCGAAGGTTGGTATGGCATATCCACGTGGTGCTCTGCTAATTCTGTGGATGAACGCACCGTGATGGCGACAACGCTTCTACAGTGTTGATACGACGAGGAGAAAACTGACTACAAGATCTTCCACTCCTCAAGAAAGATGATGACTGAATTAGAGATGGTCATGTCATTATTGCCTTTCACCCAAATGTAACTACCTCGATGGCACTGAGATTGATCACGCGCTCATTTGATCGAACAGCGACATCCTCGGATTTGAATCCAAGATGTTTTGCCAACCGAGGATGTTACCAGCATATCTATCGCAATAAAAACATCATTATAGATGTAGCAGTTGGCCAATCTCCGACTCGCTGCTTCCCCTGAACATCTGCTACGAGTTAGCTCATCTACGCTGCCAGATTGGGTCCCGAGACCGTATAACGACAGCAGATGGAAAGCCAAATAGTTCTCTGAGATTGATGATCAAGCTCGCAGTATCCCCGATCGTGAAGATACCTGGGGTCTATGTCCTCACAGTTGCTTCTTCACGCTACATGTTTGTTCATGTCGATCTACCCCGCACCTTCCACCCTGTACATGGATCAATCAAGGAAAAAGGCCACGACCTACCTCCCAAGCCAGTATTCTAACAAAAACTTGCCGATCGGCCGAGGCCCGGAGATTTATCCCAGTTCTTCCGACAATGTCCTATCCGGGGTCTAGGGTAAGGTGGGATAATCTGGGGAATGATCGGGTGTGGGGACTGGGTCATCGATAAATGTGTCGGGGTGGCAGCAGTGGCTCACTTCTCCGAGACCCAGTAAGACGTCCATTTGCCTGAAATTTCGGGTTACGCGAGATCGACGCGGGACTCGATCTGAATTTCGTGATAATGGAGAAGCCCCAGGGTCAACTGCTCTGCATTATGATGACCGTCACATGTGGCATCTCATATCTTCTGTACGGCTATGACCAGGGATTCATGTCGGGCGTGTTGTATGTTGAGATATCCATCACATGTTATATTGCTGACAAAACAGACTATCGCAAGACTTCCTCATAATCATGGAGGACCCGTCTACCTTTATACAAGGTCTTTTGTCGAGCCTTTATACCCTGGGATGCTTCTTTGGCTGTGTCAGCAGCATATCATTTAGTGAGAAACTGGGCCGAAAGAAGCCCATCTTGATTGGTACACTTCTCATCTCAGTGGGTGCAGTCATCCAAACAGCCGCATATTCTCCCGCTCAATTCATCGTTGGGCGACCTGTGGCAGGGACGGGAACAGGCCTGAACACTTCTATCATTCCAGTATGGCAAGCCGAAACCCTTCCAGCAAAGAAGCGCGAGCGATTTGGCGCCATCCAGTACGTTCTTGTCTGCACAGGCACCACCATCAGCTATTGGATGGCGTCTGCGCGTTCATTTTCGGCAAATAGTGTCTTTCAATGGTGTTTCCTAGTCCGGGCGCAGCTTGTTTTCGCAGCGATGATAGTATGCCTTGGTGAGTCAGAGCATTTGTAATGTCGACTCCACACTAATTTCCCCCAGTGCCATGGATGCCGGAGTCTCCGAGATGGGACTTTGTTCACGGCCACAGAGAGAAAGGGCTTCGTACATTGATGAGAATGCATGGCACGTCGGACGAACACCAATGTGAGGTTGAAGCAGAGGCTCGTTTGATTCAGCAAGCAGTCGAATTTGAAGCAATCCACAAAGCGACTAGATGGGTTGACCTGTTCAAGAATGAATCGCGCACGCAAAATCTCCGACGTCTCATGCTGGGTTGGTGGTAAATTTACCCACCAATGATGTTGGTTATTCTCGCTGACCGATCTATCACATGCAGGCTGATGTTCATGGTGATGTGGTCTGGTGTCTGCAGTATCGGGTATTACATTTCATACCTGTTCGAAGTCTCCGTCGGCCTCAGTCATAACTTGTCGCTCCTCCTTTCCGGATTTAACGGCCTCTGGTACTTACTATCGGCATTCGTACCATTCTTTGTGATCAATCATCTCGGAAAGCGGCGGTGTATGATGATTAGTGCTGCTGGCATGGGCTGCTGCTTCTTGACTATGGCATTGGCGATCCGGTCAGGCACGTTTGCAGCCTCGATCATCTGTATAATCGCCTTTTTTCTATATTATACATTCTTCGCACTGGGATACCTTGCGATACCATGGTTGTACAACGCAGAGATCATGCCCCTTCATCTCCGCTCGCAAGGCACCGCCATTACGACGTCGTCGAATTGGATTTGGAACTTCGCTACCGTCATGATGACCCCGTCGCTGATGAGCCAGCAGGGGTGGAAGGGGTATCTGGTATTTACGGTATTTAATTTCTGCTTCGTGCCAGCGATCTATCTCTTCTATCCGGAGACTACCGGCCGGCGGCTAGAGGAGATCGACGCGATATTCTACGGGACATCGGTCCTTGTCGCCCGAACGGAATGGGCCGAAAAAGGACGGTTCGATGTCAGCCCGCTTGGAGTCACCCAGGGGCTGGAACCGTCTCAAAAAGAAATGGTAGGGCCGCACGTGGAGTACGTCAACTCAGTCTCGGAGGATTCTTAGCCAAGCAATCGGATCAGATTGGGCATGCGTCGGGTCAATGGAATTATGGAAAGGGTATTCCATTGTATTTCTTTGATCTGACTCGAAGGGATAAATGGAGCGTGTGCAGTCAGATTCCTACGCTCGCATTTTTCTTTAAATCCGTGCTTAAGTCCGGTAGTGACTTGACCTGATGCAGTCCAAGTGTCTGGATTGCTAACTCAAGCTACCCTTCTTCCAGGTTGTCAGCGGTTGGGGTGCCGTGACCTATCTTTAGACCCACAGTCGGTCAGTCGGGGGTTCCGTGTCCGATGCTGGGATTGGCCTGATTCTGACTGTGAGCCCGGGGGAACCGAAAGGAACCGGAATTCTGGCCAGTGGGGTTGCAACCTGCCAACAACGATGGCGTTTTATGGATCTGGTCGGACCAGCCATGGCCGAATGCCGATGGGGTCCATCTGGGTAGGGCCAATGGCGCCCTCGATGGCTCATAACTTTTATGCTCGGTCGGCACTTACCTACTGGAGGCGAGCCCAGGAACTGGTTGCTTCAACTTCTCGGGCAAGACTACATCCGGTCACATCGAAAATTCGTGGACCTCGCCCCTGGAGTGGATCGGCTCCACATGGAGATTAGGTGTACGATATCTATGGGCGTGGCCGCAACCTTGCGTAGACGTTGGAGGATATGAACTACTAATGTCGACTACGCCCGTGTCGTAGTGACCTTGCGTCCATATTTTGATTCACTTAGTCATTCGTTTGCCCCAGACGAGGGTGCCCTTTCCAACCATGAATCCATCCCACAAGGATGGAGCAGACGGGGATGACCTCACCCTGCAAATTACAAGGACCCAGACCGCATCAAGTGTGGTCACTAATGAGCAACGTCGGGCCCTTACTAACATCGCGTCCGAGTTACACACCGAATCTCTTGCGGCTGTCATCACCAACGAAAAGGCGTTGGATCCAGACAGTCCTCAGTTCGACCCATACAAATGGGCCAAGGTAACAATCCGGGCCTTGGACGCGGAGGATATCGATGCCCGCCAGCAAGGCATTCTGTTCGAAGATCTAAGTGTCCATGGATCTGGATCCTCACTTCACCTACAGCAGACCGTTCTTTCTACTCTTTCGGCTCCGTTGACATTGGCCGCATCCGCCTTTCGCAAAAAGGAGAGCACTCGCCGGACGATCCTACACAACCACGATGGCCTGCTGGAGAGTGGGGAACTCCTGCTCGTTTTGGGTCGACCTGGTAGCGGATGCTCTACCTTCTTGAAGACCATCAGTGGACATTTGAACGGCCTCGACCTGGACCCTCGCAGCAATGTCCAGTACAAAGGAATCGCATTTCCCCAGATGATCAAGGAATATCGCGGCGAAATCTTGTACAATCAAGAAGTCGACAAGCACTTCCCACACCTGACTGTTGGCGAGACCCTCGAATTTGCTGCCCACGCACGAGCACCCCAGAACCGGATCGGAGGAATGAGTCGAGCTGAATACGTCAAAACTAGGGTGCAGGTGATCATGGCATTTTTCGGGCTTTCGCATACATATAACACGAAGGTGGGGAATGATTTCATCCGCGGTGTTAGTGGTGGTGAACGAAAGCGAGTGAGGTAAGTCGTTCTGAAGCATCACAGGAACGATTACTGAACATACTAGTATTGCCGAAATGGCTCTATCGCGTGCTCCTATTGGGGCCTGGGACAACAGTACCCGAGGCCTCGACGCTGCAATGGCCCTAGAGTTTGTCCAGGCCCTTCGCCTTTCTTCTGATCTTGTCGGCGCCGTTCATGCCGTTGCCGCGTACCAAACATCCGAGTCCATGTACGGGTTATTTGACCAGGTTGTGGTGTTGTATGAGGGTAGACAGATCTACTACGGCCCGAGCGAGGGGGCAGCCCAGTACTTTGAAGAAATGGGCTGGGAACGACCACTAAAACAAATAACCCCTGACTTCTTAACGTCAGTCACAAATCCCCGGGAAAGAGTGGCTCGGCGGGAGATGGCAGACAAAGTCCCACGGACACCAGCGGAATTTGAGGCCTATTGGAAGAAGAGCCCACAGTACCAAGCCCTACGGACCAAGATGCAGGTTTACAAAGAAAAGTATACTCCAGACGCCCAATGGGAGAACAGGTTTGGAACTAGCAAGCAGGCACAGCAAGCGAACCATGTTCGCCCTAAGAGTCCTTATCTCCTGTCCATTCCCATGCAGATCTCCTTGTGTCTTCGCCGAGCCTACCAGAGGACACGGAACGACCTTCCCACCACTTTGATTACCGTCTTTGTCCAAATCGCACTCGCATTGATTATTGGGTCAATCTTCTACAACACACCAAACGCCTCAGCTGGCTTCTTCCAGAAAGGGGCCACGCTATACTTCTCGGTCCTTATGAACGCCCTGATTACCATCAACGAGATCATGTCACTATACGCCCAACGCCCAATTGTTGAAAAACAGGCTGGATACGCATTCGTTCATCCTTTTGCCGAAGCGCTGGCATCGATCATTCTCGATCTTCCTATAAAAGTGTTCAGATGTGTCTGCTTCAGCATCATCCTCTACTTTATGTCAAATCTACGGCGAGAGCCATCCCAATTTTTCATTTACATCCTATTTTTAATTACAACCATTGTCACAATGTCCGGCATCTTCCGAAGCCTTGGTGCTCTAACCAAGAGCATTGGACAGGCTATGGCAATGGCAGGTATTTCAGTCATATGTATGGTCGTGTACACAGGCTTTACCCTGCCTCAGCCGTACATGCATCCATGGTTCAGTTGGATTAGATGGATCAACCCCATCTTCTACTCGTTCGAAGGCCTGGTCGCAAACGAGTTCCATGGACGGAATTTCGAATGTTCGGAGTTCATCCCCAACTATGCTACTCTCACTGGAGACTCCTTCGTCTGCTCTGCAGTGGGTGCAGTGGCAGGTGCGCGAACAGTTTCGGGAGACGAGTTTATTTCACTCAACTACGAATACACATACAAGCATCTTTGGAGGAATTACGGAATCTTGATTGCGTTCTTGGTCTTCTTCAACACGCTCTATCTCACAGTTACTGAGCTCTCTCCCGGCACGGCACAAACGGCTGAAGCATTGGTCTTCCGTCCTGGACATGTGCCGGCCCATATGTTGAATGACGAAGAAGCTGGAGCGGAACCTGCACAGGTGACTTCCGAAGGAACGGGGGATTCTGACCTCGGAACGACAGAAATTCCGCAGCAGAAGGAAATCTTTACCTGGAAAAACCTGTGTTATGATATCCCAGTGAAGGAAGGGACACGGCGGCTTCTGGATGATGTTAGTGGTTTCGTCAAGCCAGGAACTTTGACAGCTCTTATGGTACGTCTACCTCGCTGAATGCTAATTAATTACTAACTCTTGAATATAGGGTGTCAGTGGAGCTGGTAAAACAACTCTCTTGGATACCTTGGCGCAAAGGGCCTCACTCGGAGTCATCACCGGCGAGCTTTTTGTCAATGGCAGAGAGCTGAACGAGAGTTTTCCTCGCAAAGTGGGTTATGTTCAACAACAGGATATGCACTTGGCTCAGTCAACAGTCCGTGAGGCACTTCGTTTCAGCGCCGTTATGCGCCAGCCGAAGTCCGTTCCGTTACAGGAGAAATACGACTACGTGGAAGAGGTGATCAAGATGCTCGACATGGAAGACTTCGCAGAGGCCGTGGTCGGAAATCCTGGTAATGGTTTGAACGTATGCCAAAGAAAGCTCCTGAGTATTGGTGTCGAATTGGCAGCCAAGCCTGAGCTACTGATCTTCTTGGATGAACCTACTAGTGGTCTCGACTCGCAGAGTGCATGGGCTATTTGTGACTTTATGAAGAAGCTTGCGCACCACGGACAGGCTGTGTTGGCCACCATTCATCAGCCTAGTGCTTTGCTCTTTGAGCACTTTGATCGACTACTGTTCCTGGCCAAGGGTGGTAAAACCGTATACTTCGGCGACATTGGGCAGCGATCGCAGACGTTGTTGGACTATTTCCAAAGCAACGGTGCTCGGCGTTGTGAAGCCACCGAGAATGTGAGTCCTACCTTCAACTCTTTTCGACGTTGCGTATCTAATTATTATAGCCCGCTGAATACATGTTGGACATCATCGGTGCTGGTGCTTCTGGAAAGTCGACCATCGACTGGGTTCAAACCTGGAATAACAGCCCCCAGCGCAAAGATCTCTATGCTGAGTTGGATCGCATCTGCCAGCAGGGCTCATCGGTCCAGCCTCGTGATGAAAGCAACACGGAGTTCGCAATGCCACTTTACAGCCAATTCTACTATGTGACCCTTCGAGTCTTCCAGCAGTACTACCGGCAGCCCGAATATGTCTTGGCCAAATTCGTTCTCGGTATTGTATCTGGTCTGTTCATTGGCTTTTCATTCTGGCAGTCCAACGACTCCCAGCAAGGGTTTCAGAACGTTCTTTTCAGCTTGTTCTTGCTATGTACCATCTTCACCACCTTGGTTAACCAGTACGTATCACCCATGCCTTACAAATTTCACCCACTAACTCTCCCAGAATCATGCCCCATTTCGTCGCGAACCGTGCTCTTTACGAAGTTCGCGAACGGCCATCCAAAGTCTACTCCTGGAAAATCTTCATCATCGCCCAGTTTCTCGCCGAAATCCCCTGGCACATTCTCCTCGCCATCTGCGCCTGGGCCTCCTTCTACTTTGCCGTCTTTGGAGCCGACCAGGCTTCCGACCGCAAGGGTCTGGTTCTCCTCTTTGTCATCCAATTCTACATCTTCGCCTCCACTTTCGCCCAATTCATCATCAGCGCCCTTCCCGACCCCGCCCTCGGTGGTATGCTCGCCGTCTTCATGTTCGGTCTCTCCCTGATCTTCAACGGCGTTATGCAGCCACCATCTGCCCTCCCGGGCTTCTGGATCTTCATGTGGCGCGTCTCCCCATTATCATACTACATCAGCGGAATAGCCAGTACCGCTCTCCACGGCCGTCCAATCGTCTGCTCAAAGAGCGAGCTCAGCGTCTTCAATCCCCCATCCGGTCAGACGTGCGGCGAATACCTCGCTACATACCTGACTACTGCAGCGGGTAAGCTGAACAACGCCAATGCTACGGAAGGTTGTGAATACTGTTCTCTCCGCTCCGCGGATCAGTATCTAGCCGGGAGGAAGATCTCTTGGGATGATCGTTGGAGAAACTATGGTATCTTCTGGGCCTACATTGTGTTTAATGTTTGTGCGGCCATTGTGTTTTATTACCTCTTTAGGGTGAGGCCGTATAATAACAAGACGAAGGCCAGGAAGGCCTGAGTGGTGATGTATGAGTGGGAGGGGGATTATAGATGGGGTGGATGATGTTGGGTTGGTTGTGGTTAGGTTTGTGGGGCTGTATATACCTGAATAGAGGATAGCTTAGATTAGATTAGATTAGATTAGACTAGGGGAGAAATATTTATCGAAAGTGTTGGATACTATATCGTCAATAACAGTTTGATTAAACATCGAACGTACTATTCGACTACTGATAAAGGATCTACCTACCTCACCAAACAAATCCTCCTATAATCAATCACACTCAGAAACAAATTAAGTTTGGATTCCCTACATCCAAACGGAACAATAAACCCAGAACAGCTAAATCAACCGATATAAACAACCCCGAAACCCCCCAAATCTCAACCAATCATATACATGTAATCTAATGCCCATATAACTATACCGCGAAGACAAAGGACGGAACTCCCTCAGCCAAAAAGTTGCTAAACCACGGCAAAGGTGATCCTATTGATGCTCACTAGAAAATATAATAATTTCCGTCGAAGACATTTTTTTCCTTTTGTGTTCCTTTGGGGAGGGAAGAGGAGAGGAGAGATGTATTCTTTGCATCGTCGAGTAGGTTTTTTTGTTTTTTTTTCTATGCTATATGTAATATGTACTAGTTTATTACAATTTAACTAACTGACTAGCTGAATGAATTTCTCGGTATAGGCCTTATCGGAATGATGAAGAAATGGATAATTGGGATTAAAGTGAATGTTGGGATCGATGGAGTAGAATATGATAGGGAGAAAAGATTGGGGTTGGGATAGGTGGGTTCTGATTTCTGATTTGAATGAAGATGATGGTCGAAGTGGTGGGTGAGTTAGGGTGTAGAGGGTTGGAAGATTTCAGTAGAGAAATATTTCCTGGTTATAGGGGTGACTTAGACGAGGATGGATCGGTCTTGATATAAAGGTCCGGGTGCTTTGTGGGTTGAATAGCTGGCTTGGGGTATTTTGTGAAGAATAAGGAGAGTTCGGGACATATAAATGCGAAGATGAGATAATATTAATACAAAGGGCGAGGGGTACTTTGTATGAATGAGATGGATGGTCTAGACTAAACTAAAGTCATCTTCTTGAAGTCAAGTTCCAGGACATTCTTCTCATCAAAAGCCTCGCCTTGCATCAAACCATGTACGTATGCCTCGCCAACGAGTGTGTAGTTGCCTCCTTTCTCCCTTACGACGAACGGTGTCCGGCCGCCTTTTATAAGAACAATGCTATCCCCTTCTTGTGTATGCAGTGGGGTCAAACAGAAGTAGCCATCCCCGGTGGTTGAGAAGGAACGCGTTCTCGAGAATACAAAAAGCTCCAGGCCAAATTCACGGGCCTTAAGCCCAATCTTTGGGCCACTTGCACGCATGTCAGTGGGTGCATTGGGTGCATATATGCTCCACCAACTTTTAAACTTTTCATCTCGAGGCCAACCATCAAAATAAGCAATGCTATGACCATGATAATAATCAGAATCATCGCTCAAATCATCCCTCAAATCATCGCTTGAATCATCGTCCGTGTCATCATCCATGCGATCATCAAGTGGTCCTGTAGCAGCTAGTGTTCTCCAAAGAGCAGCGAGGGATCCCTTTTTGTATCTCCCCTGAGCTGAAAGAGTGCGCGACTTGCTATCAAGCCATTGTGCGTATTTGGCATCATCATCACACTCCAGATGACTCTTCGTAGTGTAGTCAATTCTGTCGATAAATGCGGTATTTAGGGTAAGTTCTGTACAATCTGCGTTGAACTCAGGCTCACTGATGGTGTCCCCACCCGCGCAGTATTTACGGTCGAGGTAGTTGCTGATATTAATAGTAAAATAACGATGTAGTGAACTCAAGGGATCGCCATAATTAGACCAATCAGGAACCCAAGAAGGTAACCTTGGTGGAGACTGTCTGGAGCTGACTGTGGAGAGCAAGTCGCAGTTGTCACTATTTCGGAGAATTCGAACAGCCACATCAATGTATACTTCCTCCACACCTGCGTTATAGTCCGGTCGAATGGCAAGTTGACCAGCGTTGCTGGCGAGCCCAAGGAGACAGTAAACCTTATCGCGTGGGTCCTTGCAGTCAAATGAGCGAATTATGGGCAGCAGGGTTTGCAAAGGACACCGGTCACCATAATGATGGGATTCCCGGAGATTACCAAGTTCATAAAGATTAGAGACTGTAGGATGGATACGCTGTAGATGACCGTAAGTCGAGTCGAACTGCTTTTCGTCACTGTGTGTCAGAAGATGTGAGAAAATCCCGAGATGTGATAGCCATGCTATTTGTGGTAGTCTTTCCCACTCGAATTCTTCATGGCCAACCAGGAATATATTTTGGGAACAGAGCATGGATTCTTGGACCATCCATGCCCTGTTCGCCCATGTCAAATGCAGAAGAGACCTCAGTCCTACCCATGCTGGATCATCCGATGCGGGAAGGCCGACTGATAAGAGTCCAGCATCTGTACCGCTGAGAAGTACACGTAATTCATCGTCATCTCCATCCCTCAAATTCGATATCTGTTCTGCCAGCTTCATTCCCGGAGTGGTATATTCTGTCTCCGGGCCACCATAAACGACCACGAAACTGGCAGACTGGTAAATTTGACCCATGAGCATGACCTGACTGCTCCGCTCATGATAATCTTGTTGGTTGATACAGATTGCGTCCGCCCAGAGCTTTTGAGACTCGTCTGTCTCGCGGAGGTCACGAAGCGCGTTCCATAAGGAGGAGGTTATCGGGATGTGATCCCCGGTGGGTTGTACGGTAGCACGGTATTTAAAGTCTGGGTTACCCCATTCGTAGGATAAGGCATAGAAAATGGGCTTTTCGGCAACACTAACATGGTCCAGAGTGCAAACGATCGGATCATCTCGCTCCCCAGGTAGGAGTGTGAGAACGCGAATGTGATTATCTGCGAGTGGATGGTATTTGAACGGCGGCATGTCTGGATGCGGTGTAATTTGAGGGTAATGTGTCTGCTGCAGGATCCTGTCGTCATCGATGCACATATTCTTAGTTTGTTCAAGGGCAGCCAGTATTTAACATGGTCAACACGACACGTGTCACTGATTGCCATTAGCGAGTCAGAAGCCAGGAAAGAGAAAGAAACAAGCGCAATTCGCCATGACCGGAATCAGTGCCTTAGCATCTATCATTGGGCAGCCTCCTTTGCATTGGATGCTGATGTGGAGCAGCGAAGGTGAGGCGGACCAATCACGTTGACAATAATGCGTGCCTCGAGATTCCCAAGCCTTAGGCAAACTCGTGACCCGGAAATTCCTATCCAATCATCAGCTATGAATGTTAACCAAAGGGGCCGAGCGCATACAAGCCTAAGTAAGCTACTCCGAATGAGCTGGTTTTCTAGGTCAACCTCATCATCATAGTTCAGCTTGTCTCTCCTCCCCTCCACAAACACGATCGATACATCAAAGCCGATCCAGACAATTCGTTCCCCTTCCTGCCTCTGGAGAATCAGAATGTTCTTTGGGTACGCATCATTGTGAATGACACCAGCCTGGTGGATTTGATCAAGGGCTGCTAATAGTGGCTCGACCCGTTGAGGTGACCACTTGAGATCGCGTAGGGGTCGAGCATCGGGCAACCATTCAAGGAGAATTGCACACGGGAGATTTTTATCCTCAGTGAAATCTTGCAGGTTTAGCTCAAATGCGGAAGGATCGAGGTTCTCCAATGTCTCGTAGAACTGAGGCACGCCCTTCCCGCAAACACCATGCGCTTGAAGGGCACGGTAAGCTTGCGATTCACACCGATATCGACATAGATCTCGCCCATCGGGGGCTAATCCGGGGTCATCGTCCTTGTGGAACTAGCATAATCCTTAGGTTAGCGGGAATTGTCAACTAGAGTAGGTGGACAGCTTCACCACTTTTAGGCAGCATTCGGTCCCTTTGAAAGAAACGCGAAAGATCTGCGAAGCTTCTGAGCTGTGGAGCTTTTCGAGAAATACCAGATCTTGGGAGTTATCCATTGCGATGAAAATTTTCTGATCTGACAGTCAGAAGGTAACGCAGCGACGTGTCTGCAGACCTGGAGGAATGATGAAGTGAGAACAAACCCATTCGCCAAGTTTACCCGGGGTCACGAGTGTCCATTCTGCCCGGTGGCCGCTATCGTCCGCCGCAGTTTTACCGTCCGCTTCAGTCGATCGCAATCACATTGTCCTCATTTCACTGTCCTACATACCTGACATCTAATCATCGCTATCAATATATCCCGCATGATGTACCGACTCATAGCTCATAAACAATCTTATACGCCGAGACCTTGCCATCTCTGTACTCCTGGAATCCATCCGCGACCGCGTCCGAACCTGCGAGCACCTTTGGGTTGTTTGGCTTGATGGTGCCTTTTTCCAACCACGCCGGCAAGTTTTCGAAGAGTTCTGTAGCGAGCTTGTGGTCTTCCTTGGAAGCCTAAAATATACGGAAAATAAGGTGTCAGTTGTGCGGCAGATGAAGTCTTGTTTCCGATGGTATCAAAGACATGACCTAGGCTTGGAGCGACCTCCCGGATCTTTTCTGCGACATCCGAGTTCTTGTAGTCGAAGACATGCCTGGCGCCGTACGAGCGGGCCAAATCGGAGTGCTTCGGACTGCAGGTTGTCACCACATCGAAGCCGAAGATAGAGGCGAGTTGAATTGTGTATAGACCAACACTTGCTGCAGAAAGTCATTACTAACTAATGGGGTCGGACTATTTCCAGGAGACTTACAGCTACCACCCCAGACCAGCACGCTAGTACCCTTGGCCTGGGTGCGATCGAGAGCCAAACAATCTTTTGAAAACAAGGCCAGCCATGCTGTAGCCGCAGCCAATGGAATGGTGCTGGCATGTGCTCGGGAGACATTGCCGGGGATTTTGAATGAGATACGCTCGTCGGCCAGACAATACTGGCTGTATGCGCCCAAACCCTTGGCTTCTCCTGCGAGGCGGTTAGTCTTGAGACGAACCGAGTCAAAGCCAACTTACCTCCCCAGACCAGGCCTGCGGCAACATCACCCTCCGCTAGACGAGTGACGTCGCTGCCCAACTCAATGACCTCTCCAACGAAGGCGCAACCAAGAACGGCCCCTTCACCAAAGACGTTGCTGTCGAATGCTTGCACTAGAAAGAATGAGCCTGGCTATGAGCTGCAGACCTGATGCAGAGCATACCATCGGTCGGGTTTTGGGCGACATGTGACAGTTTGACCAGGACCTGATTTGCTGTTGGAGAAGGCCTGGGGATGTCTTCTTTTGATAGCTTTGGTGGCTGCCCCACGGCCACACGTACAACGAGCGCTGTGTTGGTCGCCATGGTCTGCTCGATGGGAATGAGTTGCTCCATGATCGCTATCCAGATGAATCTATGCAGTAATCGTCAGAGGGGTGAGACGGAGATTTATGCGTTTGTCGTTAAAGATGACGCAAAACAAGGCCACTGAAGAATGGCAAGTGGAAGCGCCGACGGGGGGCCCGCCAAGTGGTTCCAGACTCTCGGCGCTTCCACTTGCCCAACGACCTCGCCGTCCCCCGCATCTGGCTTTTCTCAATCATCCCTACTGTGCCTGCTCAGGCATGCTTTGGCGGCGATTCGCAAGTTGTGGGCTCTCATGGTCATCTTACCGCAAGGAGCAATACCGCATCATGCCACTGTCTCCAGAGGGCGGTATCGATACGACAGTGAGCAAGGGCGATGATGTTACCCTGCCAGGGACAAGTAAGAAAAGAACTAGAACTGGCTGGTACGCCTTTCTTTGCCCATTCATCATTTACTCCGGAGGCCTAGCAAGACTGACTGGAAAATAACTGTAGCTTGCCGTGCCGGCGCCGGCGACGGAAGTGTATGCCTTCCCCGGATCTCCCGGAGCACAAAGTGCACTGTGGCTGACGATTTTTTATTCAATCTAAAACAGGCGATGGAGCCCGCCCAGGATGTCGAAATTGTGAATCGTGGGGGTTTTCCGGTCGGTATGTCCTCTTACGTTCTCCCTCTTTTTGTTCCATTCTTGTTGTTATAGCTCTAACAATCGACTCAGATTGTGGATGAGACAGAAGACATTATCCGTAGCTACCATATTTCTGATGATGTGCGTCCTTGCCCCTGGATCAACCGTGAACTCTAGAACCGACAAAACAGGGCGTACTCGTGGGGAATGGCGCCACGCCATGCAACTCCAATAGTCTTGGGACCGAAAGTGACTCGAATTCGTCTGATGTGTATTGTATCTCTGCACCGGATCTCAATGGCAGGTGGAGGCTAGGAAGTCGGATCAGCATTGGAGATCTGTTATCGCCATCAAACTCGCTATCCATTGACCAGCCACCGAAGCCAACAATTTCCTCCTCCCTGCTAGAGCCGACCTTCCCCGAGCCCATCACTGGTACAACAAATTTGCGGCTAGAAATGGATGTCCTGTTGCTCTCGCCTCGCCAGGGAATTCCTCCGCATATGAGACCACCAGAACCCACGTCACCCGTAAGTAATGCAGAGAAAGCACGCCTCATATGCGCGTATATGCATGAGACTGGCATCTGGTGCGAAACCACGGATTCTGAAAGGCATTTCACTGTGAAAAGTATCCACGAGATGATGGGATCTGCAGCGTTTGTGGCTGCTGCAATGGCCCTGGCCTCGCGCCAACTGGACCATCTGGAGCGTCAGCAACGGCCTGTCACCCTCGAGCTCCACCAGTACAGTATCAGATTGCTTCTTCGACAACATCCGGCAAAGTCGGATGCCTCAATGCTGGCAGCCTGCACTCTTCTCTGTGTATACGAGATGATGGCTTCAGAAGTTCACGAATGGCGACGGCATCTGAAGGTTGTTACTATGCCTTTTGTAATTGCAGCACTAACGTTGTAACAGGGCTGTGCCGGCCACCTCCAGGCTAAAAGATGGAATGGGTCGTCTGAAGGCATCGTGAAGTCTTGTTTCTGGGCGTTTGCTCGAATCGGTAGGTGTTACGACTGAAAAGGCCCCTCTTAGGCAGATTGATGGTAATGTCCCGACAGATGTCTGGGCCGCCTTCATCAGTGGAAATTCAACGTTGATACCGACTGACTTCTGGATCGACAATATGTCGTTTGAATCTGTTGCAGCCAAGGGGAATGTGGACGACTATTGTAATATGGCCAATGTGATCTTTGCCAAGATTGTCAATCTGCTCGCCGCTGGTTACCATGAGAAGAGATATTACACTGCATTAGCCACGGTATCAAATTTGTGGAGTGAGCTACAAGCGTGGTGTCGGCTCCGTCCTAAGGATGTCTGCCCACTATTGAGAGACCATTCACCGGGACAGGTATCTCCCACTGTATTGTATTCTCGGTCCTCTTCCAGTAAGTCCTTCCCAGAAGGTATGATGCCACCTGCTAAGTTGACAGTTTGTGGCAACACATTCTACCATGCCGGCTGCATCTTGCTTCTACAGACTGGGATTCTTCCAGTTGTGACAGGGGGTGTATCGCTTCTCCAAGAGACTGTATGTAACTTTTACAGCACCGTGGATATTGCACTGGAATACATCTTTACACGAAACTTCCGAACTGATTTCCAGCTTGTCTCAGAAAAGCGCTGTTTGGCACGCACGCGAGCTTGCAGGGATATCCATGTCCAACCCGTCGCAGTAAGTGTAACTCGGCTCACCTTGGCTTGTCTGACATGGTCTAGCGCAAACTGGGTCAATCATCTTCAACCACTGTTTATTGCTGGTACAGTCTTTGCGAGCAGTGAGACGGGGCCTGGCATGAAAAATGCGCGGGAGTCCCAGAAAGGATCTATCCCGCCATCGGCACATGGCAGCAGGGAGACACTCAACACCACTGGTTATGCCCCACAGCGGGAGGACTCCTACGCCGAAGAAAGAACCCTGCTTCTAAACCATCTAGCTCGAATTGAGCGTGAAACTGGCTGGAAGACATCTGATCGCACCGCTACACTACGGGCGCTCTGGGTCTGCAGTAGGGCAATGCCATGTAACCTTTGCTTTGCATTAATCGGAATAGAATCGAACTACACCGCTTGTAGCATCGTGGGCATACGATCCAAGGCTAGTATAGGCAGATTGTTGTGTCTCGATGCTAATAAAGTCAGAAGAAGTGAAGAAAACCCCAAGGTCCATTCCTTCCTGTGGCCTGTGACAAAGGCGTATGTCCCCGTAACTGGGGATTCCATAAACCAATGGCAATCTACCCCAGAACGAAGCAAGACACCGTTTCCAGCCTGACATATTTACCATAGGATAACTCCCATTTCAAGAAGAAAACATTGCGAAGATCTTGTACAAGAGTCCTGATGCCTCTCCAATGCCGGATGTAACAGTGAATCTGGAGAGAATGATGTTGGCAAGGCTTGCAGTGAGAATGGCAGACCCATCCGTAAATGGTTGAGCCATAATCTCCAACCCTTGATGATACTGGGATCTTCCCAACCACTTCGTGTGGGATTCACTGGCGGTTCCGAGGTTGGGCTTACGGTTTCTGGTCATCAATCCCTCAACGTTGAATGTGGTCTGTGATCTCATCGTTTCATGTCACATCTCCTTAGCGCTTACGGTCCGATTCATCGGCGGATCGGCATCCCGCTATTGCCGACATCGCTTAAAACCATCCTTATCCGCAATGTACATCCAACCATCATTCTTATCCAGAGTATCGTTCTACCTGCACAACTCACAACAAATTCTATCCGCCATGAATATTCCCCTCGCCACCCCCGAAGTCCCACCTCAATTCCTCAAACCCGCCTTCCTCATCGGCCACATCCCTCAGCGGACTTTAACCGCCGAACCCCGCGTCTCCTACGCTCTCTACATCCCTCCTCTCCACTACAACCCCGACCCCAACCGTGCTTCCTCCGACTCCGCCGAACAATTATCACCATATAACAAACCCAAACTCCCCCTGCTAGTCAATATCCACGGCACCAGCCGCAACCTCTCCTCGATCCGCACCGACCTGGCTCCCTTTGCCGACTCCACTCCCTGCGCCATCCTCGCCCCACTCTTCCCCGCCAACATCGACGGTCCCAATGATCTCGACTCCTACAAGGTGCTCCGGTCTGCGACACTACGCTCTGACCTTGCCCTGTTAGCCATTCTCGATGAAGTGGCCACCATCTGGCCCGGTATTGACACAGAGAAGATCTTCCTGGCGGGTTTCTCGGGAGGAGGTCAATTCGCACATCGGTTTCTCTACATACATCCGGAGCGATTAGCGGCCGTGAGTGTCGGTGCGCCTGGAAGGGTGACTATGTTGGATCAGGGACTGGCCTGGCCGAGTGGAATTGCCGATGTGGAGGGGATCTTTGGGAGGGGGTTGAACAAAGATTTGATCAGACAGGTGCAGATCCAGCTGGTCATTGGGAGTGAGGATACCAAGGTCCACGGCGGAAAGGAGTTCTGGGATTGGGCGAAGAAAACGCTGGCTAAGCGAATGGCTGCGGAAACGGTTGCCAACAAGGCGAGTGGGACGAGTGGGATGGGGAAACGGGAGGTGGTCTTGATGGATCAAGGACGATCTGAGACATTACAGGAGTTGCAGAGTAGGTGGAAGGAGGATGAGATTGAGGCGACATTGGATGTGGTGGATGGAGTGGCGCATAATTCTGCCGGAGTGCAGGAGTGTGTCCTTGGCTATTTGAAGCCGTTGATGCAGAGACAGTAATGTCAGCAATATGGTAGTACAGATCCATTCATACCCCACTCGAACCCTGCTCCAACAATTTCGCAACACACGCGTCTATAAATGTAGCTTATTCGCTCGCGTTCCTTGAGTGTTGATGATGTTGACTGTTTCATAGCTATCAGCATGCTCTGGGAGATGTCGGAGGTATTAGACTGGCATAGGACAGGGAAGCAGGCTCCGCAACTGAGCGCAATGCACAGTACTAGCAGGCATTAGCCAAAAGATGCGGTTAGTTGTAATTGAGAGACGTATAGCCATAGATAGCCATCCTAGCATCTGCTACTCCCACTGCTTCTACATATCAAGTCGGTCAAGTAAATTTTTTATTCTCTAAAGAAACCTTTCTGGAAGCTTTATATAAGACCCGATTTAGCTGAGTTATATGGATGTCCTATTGAGGAGCTCACGAAATACTCCACAAAGGGTCTTAATCCAGTCTTAACTGCACTGTAACCTCAGACACAAATTGGGGCCTCAGGCATCAGGGGATTAAAGCGGCGAGGATTCCGCTAATCATGATCATGGAAGCAAGCATATCCTCGAGTAAGTAGTTGGTGGAGATGAGAAACCATGGACACTGGTCATAATGGCGGCTCCCTTGTGAGTTGACCATTAGGGGTGATTGTGGGGGGTTGGATGTTTGCTTCTTCTCGGCGATGCCCAACCTCGCTCGCTATCTTCAGATATCGGGCACAGTGTGACAGGGATCAGCCGGCAAGCGCCTCTGAAATTTTTCCCATCCGCTAAACTCATCATCTCTTCCATTTCTCTCTGATCTCCGTTCGCACTGCAATATACAGTACAGCATGCCTATTCTTAAGAAGTGGTGCGTTTATCGTCTGAGGTGCTGACTGCCTTGGTCAGGCTCCCAGCTAACGTGCTCCATTATACAGGGAAAAGAAGTGGGAATGCTCTGTTTGCGATGTATTAGAACATGGGACAGATCACACCTCCAACATTTCGAGCGCCAGTCGCAATAAACTGAAAACATCAGCACTGCGATGCCATTCGTGCCATGTAATCACGGCAGCCAGTAACTGGATGTTGGACACATGTGGTTGGAATAGAGAAGCCGCAGATATTATATACCAGGCTAGAGGTCCGAACCTAGAGTTGAGTGTCATAAATCCATCAGATCACAGTTCTATCAACTATGATATATACGCGCCGAAAGGTACGTCCAGAAGTATTTCCAACAACATGAGCCTCCAGGACTTCGGTCTTAACTTGCCCAGAAACCAGGTTTCCGTGGGGAGGAGGAAGTGACCTAACTGACATGTTTATCCTGGATGATGCGGTACTCCGCATTCGACAATGGCTGCGAAAATGTATGGAAGAGCATCAGGAATGCAGCATGAATCTCAAGACGCCCCTTCCACGTCGTGTGGTTGATATAGGACTTTCCGACGCGGACAAGGTCTTATTATACGAACCTGGACAGTCCGATGCATGGTCGCCATACGTTGCTGTATCCTACTGTTGGGGAACCCAGGGAAATCTCATGACCACCAAGGAGAACATCAGCATCCACAAACGTCAGATCGAATGGAAGCTGATCCCATCCACACTCCAAGAGACTATCTCACTCACTCGAAAATTAGGGATCCGCGATATCTAGATTGATGCGTTGTGCATTATTCAGAACGATAGCGAGGATTGGGGTTGTGAATTAGTCAGAATTGAAGATTATTATCAGAATGCCCGACTAGTCGTAGCTGCCACTCGATCCCCGAATGCCAAAAGCGGCTTGTTTGGTCCACGATTACAAGTCACCGATTCCTTTTGGAATATGTCAGGTCCGTCCACCTTTAACACCAAGCAATTGGATGTGTCCACTTGGCTAGGGAGCCCGAAGTATCAAGTTCATGTCCGTGAGGGTTTGCTTGAGCATAGGTATGGGGGAGGGTTCCCTGATTTGGAAAATCCACACACAAACCCCCTATCATCCCGTGGATGGGCGCTTCAGGAACGATTATTGTCAACCAGGATTATCCACTTGGCCGGCCAAGAGATGGTCTGGGAGTGCAAGGAGGCGGTGTGGTGCGAGTGCGGTAAAGGATGGCCAATAAGCCGGCTAGCCACGAATGAGAAAAATGTTCAAACGCCCAAGATCGATTGGACAGTAGCCGTGCAAGATTACAGTCGCAGATCATCCACCTGTATCCAGGACAAGCTGGTTGCGTTTAACGGTATTGCACGCCGTTACCGAAACCATTTTTCTTCTGGATACTTATTTGGGATGTGGGGGGAGAACCTGCCTACAGACCTGGGATGGACTGCACTCTTCGATACGATCTTAGCTGTACCACATACTAAGAACAAGGATATAATCCTAGGACCGTCTTGGTCCTGGGCCTCGACGTATTACCCGGTAAGGTTCGAAGGAAACTATGCGCGGGAAAACATTGAAGTCGAGAAATTTCCAAATCTCCCGGCGGAACCAAGATACAGGGACATGATTTTCTACCCAGCTTGTTCAAAAGATCTGTGGGGTCTTACCTTGGTAGCAAAAGTTCTTCAAGCAAAACTGGTCATGATAAAGGCAGAGACCTCTAATACGGCGAACATTTCCCTGAAGACTTCTAAAGGACTCGATACTACTGTTGGTTTGTTCTCTGATGTTCCCCAATTCCAAGCAGGACCTTTGTCGGACTGGGCAATGACAAAGTGGAAAGGCGTCGAAGAGGGTGATTGTCTATTATTTGCAATTTTGGACATGTCACGTTGGGAAGGCCCTTTAGCCCTTGTTCTCAAGCCCAGTACTGATCATCCCGGCTGTCATATTCGTGTTGGCGTTGCAAAACACATGGACAACCCCGACAAATTTTGGGCTCTTGCACAAAGGACCTCAGTCACCATCATTTGAGCGAGCACTTTGCGGCTATTAACGTGGATTACGAATATCTCGGTAATCTGACTATATATCAGAAAGTCTGAATACATCATGGGTCCCAAAACAAGAGGCCACATTGGAAGTGTAGAATGAGATATGAATCATGCTGGTGATGATTGCCTTATATTCGAATACAGTCAGTCCCTTCAAGAAGCCCTTCCCGAGTCGCCAATGGTCAGGTAGACCGCGGCTGCGATAATTATGTATACAATGGTAGACCTTCCTCCACGTAACCCATCTCAAGTAATTGCCACGATTTTACTACATCACAAAAGTCTCTATTTCCGTCGAATCTTCGTAGCACTTTCCTCGTAGACCAGTAGCAGCTCCTCCCTCGCAGATTAGGTAGCGGCCCTACCTATCCATATTTCTCCTGGGCAGATCAACTCGGTGGTGGCGGCCTCGTTTCTTGGCCCCTGCATGTCATAAACCTAGGTATGCATTGAACACCAAGAAGGGCAAAGAACACAGGGGCATTATAGAACCAGTGGCTTGTTCATTCTTCTTTCCTTTGCTGTCTCTATTACCGAGTGTGATAGAAGGGTCTTAAAGAGGTCTTATATGTTTTTATACTCCTATATACGAGACATCGCTGGATTCTATTTTAAATTTTATCCTAGTCATTTATGTTAATCCCCATGATGAAAGGACAGGTTGTGCATAGTTGGTGATGTTATGTGTGCTATGCATGTACTCGGCCGTTAGCAGCCGGGGAAAATCCTGTCTGGGGATTAGTCGAGGGTCTGCATTACTGCAGCCTAGTCACCAACTGGGGTTGTACTCCGTGGTCCTATCCGAAAAGCAGATAATGTGGTGGAGCCTCCTCGGATGGCAATTTTGACTGCTACCTGGAAGAACACCCATTGGTGCCTACGCCTCTTGTTCATTTTACCCCCATTATGCTATCCTTTGTCCCAAGCGAACAACCAATCTATAATAGGAAACTGACACCCGACTACTGAACGGTTTCGGTGCTGCCTTTAATAGTCCGTACTAGACAAAGAACATGTCTTGGATTTATTTTGGGTGGTCGGCGGCTAAATATTCGTGGAGATGAGACAATTCCAATTCCAATTCCAATGGATAGGGGCTCGGACAGATGGTTCATGGGTCAGCTATTTTCCGGCAAACAAGCTTTGGCCAAGCTTCTGCGGAATGACATCCGGGTTCCTAGCGAAAGCTATGATAGAAATGAAACATGACACGGGAGCACGAGACATCTGAATTGGGGGAATTATTGTTCGATTGCGTGTGTTTGATCATTTGATGATCGATCATGATGGTGTTAGACCCACTGGGATGGATAGAAATTGAAAGTGAGTCGGAAGATTGCGGCTAGCCACTAGCCCAGGGTTCGGTTCGGGGATGCATGGCGCCAAGAACGAAGTCAGGAACCATCGCGATCAGGCTGAGGGATTTGAGACACAATTACGGAGGTGATAATGGGCGAGAGTCAAAGCCAATCGATGGTCGGGATGAGCCCCACTCGCGGAAGATTCTGAATCATTCGAGTGCGGCTGATCCTCGGCATCGGTCATCCCTTTCTTCCCGAGTCAGTCCCTTCTCTCAATCCCCATGTATCCCCAGGATCTACTGCCATGGGGTTATGCTGCCGGCAAGACTGCAAGACTGCAAGTACTGTGTATATGGTATGACCTCATTGGTGAATGACTACTACGGAGTAGGTATGGGATCATCATTGCAGCTGATAACAGCCGAGGACGCGCAATGCCCCTGAGATAGCAGTGGAGAATAGCACTAGTATGCCACTAGCAAAGCTTGAACCATCATTTCCAACCCGAATCCTGCTGCCTAGCTCGGATTGGTCGCCCTCAGCAGGCGTGAAACATTCACCACACCTATGCACATAGTATTTTGCTAAAATTGATTCAATTGATGACAGCATGTGCTGGCCTGGCAGATTGCAGTGGGACTGTTATCAGTTGTGTCAGACCCGTCATATGCATCAGCGGGCCTCCAAGACTCTAGTGTGCCATGAACTGACACCGGTGCCACACGGCTTGGTTAGTCTTGGTCTGCCTTGAATCGGATCGGATTACCCAATGCCAACTGCCAGTTCCTATCTCCGCGTCCCACACGTTCCCCTTTTGCCCCGGCTGCGGGATTTTCAATACATATATTATACCTCCCACCTACTGTGGAATGTTGCTGTTTCATGTTGCATACGCGTCTGCGTTCCACATTGACAATGCGCCACGTTTTCCCCTGGTTCGTGGCCGGTTTGGCTGCCACCGTTTCAGCTACTGCCCCGAGTTGCAGTGCTGATAGCAAGTGTCCAGAGGAATACCCTTGTTGTTACAGTATGCTCCCCCCCAATATTTTGTAACTCAGCTAACAAATTAGGTGGACAATGTGGTGTAGGAACTTATTGCCTGGGTGGCTGCAACCCGTTGGAGTCGTTTTCGTTGGACAGCTGCGCGCCCGAACCGATTTGCAAGAACCAGACCTATTCGTTTACCAGTTTGGATAATGCTGTTCTGTACGACCACTATCTGGGAAATGCGACCGAATATGACTGGGTATATAGCGGATATCCCAAGATCCAGAACGATAGTCTGTGGTTGACGATGCCTAACGGGACCACCGGTAGTCTATACTCCCTCAACCACTACGTCTGGTACGGCAAGGTGTCGGCTACGATCAAGAGCAGTCGGACTCGGGGTGTGATCACTGGTTTTATTCTGCTGTCGGATGATTTGGATGAGATTGATTACGAATGGGTGGGATACAATCTGTCGAGTGTGCAGACCGACTTTTACTTCCAGGGTGTTCAAAACTGTATGCCCATGTTCCACTTGATTGCTGAATCAGTCTAACAAAGATAGATACCAACGAACGCAACGCGGCCGTCACTCCTAACAACACCTTTGAGGATTGGCACACCTATACCATCGACTGGAAGCCCGATGTTCTGGAATGGATTGTTGATGGTACTGTGATGCGCACTTTGACCAAGAACTCCACCTACAACGCCACCTCTGGTGTCTACATGTACCCCCAGACGCCTTCTCGGTTGGAAATGTCCATCTGGCCGGGTGGCTCCGAGGCAGAGGGTACCGGTACGATTGAATGGGCTGGCGGTCTGATTGACTGGGACAGTACCGATATCCAGGAATACGGCTACTTCTATGCCCAGTACAAGGACATTACCATCGAGTGCTACGACTACCCATCTGGCACTATCGTCAAGGGCGACAAGTCTTACGTGTATACCAGTGACAGTGGAATGTCGAGCACGATTGAAGTGTCGGGTAATGATACCGTGCTGTACAATCTGCAGGATACGGGATTGAACATGACGGCGGGTTCCAAGACTACGTCGAGTGAATTGGGGTCGAGTTCGGGGTCTAGTTCCAGCTCCAGCTCTGGTTCTGGCTCTAGCTCCGGCTCTAGTTCTGGATCTAACTCCGGCACCGGTAGTAAGAAGGAGAGTGCTGGTTCTCGGGTTGCGGGATCGATGAGTGTGGTGTTGGGAGTGGTTGCTGCATTCACCTTGTTGTGATTAATGCTTGTATAATATGGATGTTTGTAGTATATTCTTCAGCGGTGGATACATGTTTTAATGAATACCCTTTGCCTTGCCTACTACATTAAGCAACTAAACTACAGCTGTTATAAACAATTTTGTACAGTGTATGAAGAAGTACTTCATTAATCTGCACCTTCGGTCTAGTTCCTCCTTCATAATAAATACATCTTTCTAAACTCATAAAGTCAGTACTATCATCTTACCATAATAGTTATTGTTTTATCCTGCACCTTCAGTGCAGTTCCTTCCCCCTCCCCATCCCCATTCAATCAGGTAAAATAAACCAAATACCCAATATTATGAATTCAATTCTGCACCTTCAATGCAGTTATCCTTATTAAACACACTCCCTTTAAAAGTAGTATACATCACATTCACAACTCATCTACACCAAACAACCCCTCTGATCTACTCATGACCAACACTACCACTGGCACTAACAATAACACTAATAACATCACGACCACCAAGCCATACCTCATCATCTTCCCCCTACCCTTCCTCTTCTTTGCCATTTCCCCCTCAACAAGAGAACATGTAATCCCACTCCCAGAAAGAACAACCGGTACTCCACTCCCAGGATGTGTACTTGCACCTACAAAGAACAGTCCTTGTATATGCTGATGTTGAATCCGGGGTCGAAAACATAATACATTTAGAAATGAATGCGAAAGACCGAGTATAGCTCCACTGTCGAGATTGTATTTTGTTTGCCAGGTGAGTGGGGTTTCGATTTTTTCGTGGATGATGTGGTTCGTCAGATTTATTCCCGTTGATGAGAGTATTCTGGAATGGATTTTGGTTCGAATTTGGTTCATCAGAGGATTCCATTTTTGGTCTTGGGCTTGTTGGTGGTCTTTCTCTTTCTCCTGTGCAGATATTCCCAAGGATGAAGAGGAAGGTAAATGTCCCACCGGAACTAATACGACCATTGCATCCCTCCCCTCCGGCGCAGCAGAAGAGTCAATTTTACTAGGTATGTGGATGTAGAATGATGGTTCTTCAGGTACTTCATTCCTTTTGAAGATGGCATCGAAACTTATTTTGTATTCCGTTGCTAGGAAGACGTTATGTGCTTGGAGGGTTGGAACGGTCGTATCCAGACTCCAGAAGAAGGATATCGCACTGCAGGATGTTTCTCTCTTCGTCAAGGATCTCCCGTAGGATGTTTTTGGAAGAAGATTGTTATATGCATATGTTAGATCCGCATTCACTATCACGATGTCGCCGGTCAGGAGGGTATTATCGGCGAGACGCACTCCGGTAGCAGTTCTTTGGTCTGGGGTGAGTTCGATGGATGATACTGTCGTATTCATTAGGTAGGTTGTGTTATACCGCATACTTATTCTCATTAAAGCATCCAGAATCTAACAATATCAGATGGGTCTATATATACGGAGGGATTCAAAGGGGGGGAAGTACCGTTCGAAACCCCCCAACCGGATACCAAATCCCATCGACCAATTCCGAGTATTGTAACAGGGAGTACGTGCCCGGGGCATCAAACGGACTCATTCCTAGATACATACTCGCGAAAGTGAACGCTTGGCGGAGTTTCTCGGAGTGGAAGTATTTGCTCGCTCGGGAGTAGATGCTTTCGAATGGGTGGAGTGATGGTAAAGCGAGGAGGAGATCTAGTCTGAGCATACTCCAGAGGCTGGGGAAGTTTCTGTGTAGGACGTGTTCGCAGGAGAGTGTGTGGTGATGGCCTGATTCGAGCAAGAAGTGAAGGAAGGATTCGAATCCGTGGGGACCCTCGTGGGATTCGATTTGGGATTTCATGGTGGTAAGGTCGGTTGTGAGGTCTAGGGTGGAGAGATCGGGATACCAGATGCGGTAGTTGGGGGTGCATTTCTTGAGGGTTATGCCTTCGGCGGACATGCTGGTGTTGAGGTCGTGGAAGATTTGGTGGAAGAAGGTGGGCATTAGCAGGAGGGAGGGGCCTTGGTCGAAGCGCTGGGGGGGTTAGTCTGTGTGTGTGATGGGGTGCTGGGGATGGGTGGATATACGTAGCCGTTGTCGTGGAGGAGGGAGCATCGGCCGCCGACTTCTGCGTTTTTCTCGACGACTGTCACGCGGTAGCCTTTTTTGGAGAGACGGGCTGCAATGGCGATGCCGCCGACGCCGGCACCTTTTACTTGGTTAGTTATGAAAGGTGGATGGGAATGGGAGGGGGCATACCGACAATGATGGCGGTGGGAGGGTCCATTGGGTGGGAATGGTGGATGATAGTGGGATTGTACAGATGTTATCCCTACAGCTGGGTCCTTTTGTTGTTATGGTCTAGATGAATAGGGCTGTGATGTCATGGCAGTAAACAGTGGGTGGCATAAGGTTTATGTTTGACAGCCAAAGAAGGTTACAACCAAGAGGTTTGTCGAACCAAAGCATGGTTCGCAGACACAATCCTGTATAGGTAAACCTAATGTATCAACCAGTGCTAGAAATATCATCCAATACTATCATGAAATTGATCACTCTTTTTGAAGTAGCAAGAGATTAATTAATCCCCAACTCGTCTGCCTCCCAATCATACGCCAACCTAACCCTATCCCCCATCTCCAACTCCCTCCCCAATCTCTCCTCAAGAATCTCAACCACAGCACCCACATCCACCAACATATTATGCATCTCATCCACCGGCTCCTCCATCAGGACAACATACGGATGATCCCGCATCTTGGCACTCTCATAAAACGTCAAATCCGGTCTCGAAGTCGGCTGGAACTCCACAACCAGTGTATCCGAGGCAGTCCAGAAATGATTATGTAGGGCACTTCCATGAGGCCCAATCACTGCTTTCACGTTTTGCTGCAGATACCTTATAAATGTCCCCATGTCGGAAAAGTCACCGTGGTTGAAAATCTCCAGTTTCTCTTTCTGTCCTCTTCTGTCAAGCACGGATTGAATCCCCACAAGGAGGGTATCCTCGTTGAGGACCTGTCTGCCTCCGTTGCGGGTGAGACCGTTTGATCGCGTCATGTATAAGATTACTTTGCGGTCGGATAGAGGTACATGGTGGAGACTGTCCGGAGCAAGTAACGAGAGTGATTGATGTGTTAGCCAAGGATGAACGAGCGGTGCACGACAGCTCCATATCATCTGTGATGCCACGAAACTCGTATCGCGATGCAGAACATGCTGCTCTGGATATCCGAGGGATTGCCATAACTCCTTGACGGATTTATCACCCCCCCGCCCAATAGCCACATACCCCGGTTGGTAGTCGCGCGATTGAGCAACCACGCGCATAGCCCGGTCGAGAAAATGCTGCAGTGACCAGGAGTCTGGGATATTGGCTAGTAGAACACTTTCATGTGTGGGTGTGTTGCTGCTGGGTAGGACATAGGATGTTGGGGCGAAACTCGACATGCACGAGTCCATAGACCATTTATCGAATGGTGTTGAGGTGGAGAGAGTCACGTTTTCAAATACCTGATGGTCAGTTCAGCTCTACTACTTTGGTGGGAACTTACATAGATCTGGCCGTGTTTTTCAGGGTAGCGTAGTCGGGTGTCGAGTTTGTAGGCCCGATCACGTAGTAGCCAGGTTGTGTTCCACCATGTTTCGGCATCGTGGGGACGGGATGCAGCGAAGAGTGGAGGACTTGTGGTGAATGCTGGGTAGAGGAGTTCTTTGCCGGATGCGGCGTGGGGGAGGGTTTGTGCTAAACATGGTGCGTAGTAGGGTGGGGTTGTAGAGGTGCATTCGGTTAGATGGAGGGGATGGAATGGGTTGGGTGTGTGAGAGGGAAGAGGTGGGCTATTGGGGAGAACTGATGGGGTGGGTTGGTGAGAGGCTTGGACATGGAGAGCTTTGAGGAGGAGAATGAGTAGCGAGGCAGACAGTGCCAGGGATAAGAGGAGGCGACGCATTCTGTTCACAATTTTATGGTGTGGATGTGTGTTAGATATGCTACATATCTGTGGTGTAACTTGGAGTATGACCATCAACAAGACATCCACTGGATAGAGGCAGTCTGCTTGGCACTGTAGATCGCCATGCAGGGGTTGCATATCCTCGTGTTGAGTCATCCTGCACTGTCTGTGTCGGTCCACTCGCACCCACTGACCTCCCTGTCTACCCTCAAATGAAGGCATTGCATTGAGGTAGATCGCAGTTGGTTACGAGTTGACGCAGATAAGATGTGATTAGCTGAAGGATCCCACTGCAAAGCAACAGTGAGGGACCCGTGCTGCAAGCTGACATCTCATCACAATGTGCTGATCATCTCCATTGGCTATGATTTACATAGCGCGGGGAGAGTTCAGATTCGGCACAGATCTGCAGCGTATATCAGGCTGAGCCTTGCACAAACCAACATAACGCAGATGCAGAATCGCCATTAGTCAATTCACAATATCCGTTTTCATACAGCGGACAAACAAAGCTGACTACCGCCCACAAAGAATCTTCTCCACCTGATACGACCACGCAACTGACCTCCGATCGACAGACCTCGCCATATAGCTCGATGCCCAGACTAGCAACGGGCCCATGATAGCCCCTGCGACTACCCATGCCAGAAACAGGACGTGCCAGGCAGACTCATCCTGTCGCGTCTGCCAGAAATCCGTTCCCCATAGGTGCCGACAAACCCCCTCTAGGATACGGTTCCGTATTACCATGATGAATAACGGATGCAGCAGGTAGATCGAGAACGATATAGTCCCCAGGAATTGCGCGACATTGGACTCAAGCGGGGCGCGCACCAATGGAAGATGTCTAAGAGTTCCAACGACAAGAATAGCCCCCATGGCGTGCCAACCCCGGATGCGGATCTCAGGATCTACATAGAAGGGCAGTGCAAGTTGTGATTGGAACCAGAAGTCCGCAGGGAAACTCGAGTCTTGCGGGAGACAGAGTAGAAAGATGCCTATTCCAAAGAGCAGCCCTGGAAGTAGGCTGGTGCATTTTGCAAGTCCGCGATACCTTTTGCCCACTGTGGGTGGAGACAAGTCATCCTGCTGTGCAACATCCACCTCGGCAAAAATGAGTCCTGCCAGGAAGGCCGAGAGAATGGGTGAGCCGAACCACATAAAAACAGCGCCCAGACAGGCCACTGCAACCAGCCGTACCTTGGCCTTGACGGATGCGAGGCCAAGAATTACCAGGTAGATCCCCAGTGAGCAGCGAAATTCATACGAGATCGTCCACAGATGAAAGTTGTACCCCGTCACGTAAAATGGTCCAGTGAGATCAAGAGTAGTGAGAAACGTCATGGTCAGGCAACTGACATGGGGCCCCAGCGCTGACCAGGGCTCCGCTCCCGGGCATCCCTCCTTCGGATTCCCAGGGGTCCAGTCAATGAGCCCAGTGTAAAGAGCCGCATGAGAGACCAGGCACAAGAATAGAACCGGGATGTAGAGTCGGAACCCGCGGCGCAGGACGGATGAGGTCAGTTTCCGATAGAACTGCGCTTGAGATTCCTCCCGTAGTCGGATTATGGAAATTGACACGGCATATCCGGAGATGACGAAAAATAAAAGAACCATAGCCTGGCCTGCGAAAAGCAAACGGAATGGCGGCAGCTGGAACCAGCGTCGATTGTCCTCTGCAGGGATGGTCCAGAATGACCGATAAGGGGGTTCCATCTCGCCCACCGTGAAATGAAACCAAGCCACAATGGCAGCCGCAATGCCACGGAGACCATCCAGCCAGTGTTCTCGGCTGCTAGCCGATAATGCCATAGTGAGGTCAGCTCGTAGAAGGAGAGGTCAAAGTCAACGAGAATTGCGCGGAGCACAACGAATCTCGCGAGGAATGAATTTATGAGCGTGCGGGTGGCCGCATGTTGGGGATCGACAACAGCTGACTGAGTCTCTGCCAAATCCCGACCTGCAGTATTAGCGGGGGTCTTCCTATCGCAGGCCGTCCGATCGGCCACACCGAGGGTCGACCGACGCTATAGTGGATCCTGCAGCTAGACATGCATAATTGACCAGGATGATGTCTTACTGGTGGGTGAATGTATCTAGTGACATGTTCAAAGCCCGAATGGGCTAGATGGGTAAGCCAGCGGATATTAACTCCGCGAGTTATCTGCAACGGATAGGCGTGACGAAGCAGTCAGCAGTGAAACAATACTTTCAATCCATATAATCAGTACAGAGTAAATATGAGAAAGATAAGTGGCTGATGGCGATGCCTAAGAGTGGGTCACCGAGTCCGGCTATGTCAGTCCAGACTAGCACACTGGTATGATACGAGCATCGCAGGTCAGACGACAATCTGTTTATATGTCCACGATTGTAGTGCCAGGTTCGCAAACAGTGCTAGCTATTGCTAGAAACTTCAAGTATTGCCGATCGCGGCAATTGTTGGATCCTTTGTGACACAACACGAAGACATCGCTTCCATTCGGGTATCCATTGGCATCCATACGAGGTCAGACTGATCAGCCACGTCTGAGTATTGCAAGAACCGACTGGAGGAACGCTCCCTAGTGCTTATGTACAGCCTTGCTGGAAACGCAGATCTGCAGCTGCACGCATCCTGACAGCCGATCAGATCTCGGCGTGAGCAGCAACAAGCTAGGATTCGTCACGGCCATGTGCATACCACACAGCAACCGGTCGTAATTGAAAGGTGAAATGTATTGGCATCAGCACTAGGTGGTCCGTCAACGCCATGCTCTATCGCAGAGGTGTACTTGCGATAGACGCTGCGGTGCAGTACCATCTCGCTTGCTAGCCGGTCGAACTTCTTATACTTCCAGCTGCCTGAGCAGTCTTGTAGAAAAGTTCTGCATGAAATTCTTTATCTCAAGATCTGACAGTCCTGAATATGTACTACATACCCAAGCCCCTGAAGCCGCATGGCGTTCACTCTGGCCAGGTATTGGTGTCCCTGACTCGACAGTTTTTAAACTTCCTTGGCTGCATCGTTGCAGCCATTGTATACATATATGGCTTGAAGTATCTCGAACAGCCATTGACATTCGACATGATGGTGAGTATCATGCTTGCGGAGTATTGTCGATGGGGGAACAACAAAAGACGCAAGTATGCGGCCGGTAGTCTCGGACTGGCTGAGAAAGGCAAGTCTAGCGAGCAGAGTCTGGATTGCGTGGCAGCTGTGGTTGGGTATCGGGAAGAGCCTGCCATTTGGCGGCAAGCATTGGAGAGCTATTCCCACGCTCAGAACTGCCGGTTTCTTCTCATTTGTATAGATGGAGATGCAGAGGAGGATCGCGAAATGGTCAATGTGTTTCAAGATGTAAGTGCGCTATTCTGCATCCGAACTATTCTCACATCGACAGGTGTACCCTGAAAGATCAGCTTTGATGCACCTGAATATGCCTTTGGCAGAGATTGCCATGCAGATGGACCGAGTCAGATCAGGCCAGACCCTAGACACAGAGATAATCGCCCAGTGCTGCTCCATCGCAAAGACAGCTCTTGAGAGGAACAACATCAAATTGGTCGGCGACCAGGCAATCACTAGGCTCTGTGTTAGCCAGCCACACATGCACAAGAAGGGTGTGATGTTTACCTCATTCATAATCTCCCTGGTCCTGTCAGACATCCTTGACATCGAATTTCTCTGGACATCCGACTCAGATTCCTTGGTAATGCCAGACACTCTGACGCAAACGATGGCGACGTGTGCCGCAGATCCAGGTATCGGAGGCGCAAGCACGGCACTCACTATCCACAATAGAGATGAAACGGTGATTACCCAGCTCGGAAATGCTGTCTACCTCAACGAACTGTATCTGGCACGATCCTTCACCGGTGCAGCTGCCGCCAACGATTGTCAAAGTGGACCATCTGCTGCCTTTCGCTTCTCTGCTGTCAGCGGAGAGTTGCTTGCCTGGTACAAACAGAGTGTGCTCGGACATTGGATGGTTAGTGATTCCCCTATTCATCATCCATACTGACCCTTTAGGTTGTCAACGAGGATCGACATCTGACAACACGCCTTCTTCTAAAAGGGTGGAGGGTAGTCTTCGCATCCGACGTGATGACTGCCACCGAGTCACCCACAACCTTCAGAAGATGGTTGCTGCAACAGGTATGTGCGTTCAAACATATAGAATCATGTTAACCCCGCAGGTTCGCTGGGCTCGAGCCGTCCACGTCGAAAGCTTCCATCGACCAGACGTCTACCTGAAGCAATCTCCCATCCTGTTCTTCGCTGCTCTCCGACGACAATTTACCGCCTTTGTCATGCCAGCTGCTGTCGTGCTGTACCTCATTTCCGGGGTTCTTCTTCTCCGAGCCTTTTCATTCCAGGATTATTTCTACCGACTGGTCTTGACGATAACGTATCTCGCCCTTCGTAACCCCTATCGACCAACGGCAAAGGAGTGGATGTGGAGTCTTCCTGCGAATTTTTTTTATCATGTCCCGTTGCCTGCAATTCAAGTGTGGAGCTTTCTGACCATTCTTCATGATTCTTGGGGTACTACTGCGAGATCGAGAACGGAGGCTGCAAAGCAGTCGAAGCTGCGTCTGAAGATCTGGGAAGTCGGGTTTTTCGTCTTCTGGATGGGGATCCTGGGAGGTGCTGCCGGTCGGTATGTGGCTACCTCGTTGATGCCAGGCTCGGCGGATGTGGTCACATTTAATATTTTGCTTGGAGTGGTGCCGGTGTGGGTGGTGGGTGGATGGTGGATGGTTGTTGCAAAGTGATGTGCTAAGATCTCACTTGGTGCTTCAAGATGAGGATGTGACTTATTCGAACGTAGATTATGTTGTTTAGTGATACTGAAGGGTGCCAGTATATATGTACGAGAAGAGTTGATAAGGTGACAGCGGACAGGAAAGATGAAGCGATCGCAGGAAAGTCTTGATCACCTGATTGCATGTCTACGTCTGTCACACACCATGAATGAGTTGCCATAGTATCTGTCCAAAACAGTGCCTCATATTGATCAGATCAATGCAGTATACTGCATATGTATTCACCTAACAACATATCTACTTCCTCACCGACGCCAACTTCGACTTGGTCTTCGCCACCGCAGCCTGCTCAGGGAAAATCGTCTTCACACTAGGATGTTCCCGAGTAGCCTCCGCCCAGCGACTAAAGTTCTTCACCTCCGCCAAAGACGCCGACAGTCCAGAATCAATCAGATCATACTCCTCCTTGGCGAAAGCATGAAGACGAATCAAAAACGACCCAAGCAGCACCTCCACCAACGTCAGCTTATCACTACCCCCGAAGAAAGGACCATGGGTCTTCCCCTCCAGTCCCGGGTACAGCAGCGGCTCGATCTCCTTCTTGACGGCGGCGACGAGGGCCTCACCCGCAGCCTTCCGTTCCTCGACAGTGGCACCGCGTAGAGCAGTGTTGTAGTGTGGGGAAACCTTGCTGGAGTAGGTGTCGACGAAGAAGGCGATGCGGGCGCGTTGCAGAGCACCTTCGGGGGTATTGGACGGAGGCACAAGGTGGGAAGGGTGGGTGTCGGCGAGGAATTGAGCGACGATACCGGATTCGGTGATGATTTCGTTGTTGTAGGACAAGGAGGGAACGAGGCCGCGCTGGATTCAGCAAAGTTAGTTGGTGCTGGTAGGGGGAAATCAGGGAACGTACCGGGTTAACTTCGAGGTACCATGGCTCGCGCGGGGTGTCGAGGTCAATGGTGACTTCCTCAAAGGGGAGGCCGAGTTCCTGGAGGACAATGTGGGCGCGGTGTGCCCAGGGGCAGACCCGGTTGGTGTAGAGGATGATCTTGGGGGTAGACATGGTGATGATTGTGCTGAAAGATGAGAAGTGCGGGCTGGCAGGTATAAGAAGGCGTGGAGAAGAGGGGCAGCTGCCCCGCCGCGGCTCGGTCGGGTGCTTTTTGCCGGAGACTATACAGCATTATTAATTCCAGGCTTACCCTGAATTATTAATGTAGCACCGAGCATGGATTGATGCAATATTCGTCATCGGAGAGGATGTCACGCCAGCCACGATCGAGCACGTGCTTGAACTCGAAGTATCCAAAACGGGAAGATATTATCTTACTAATGACTATGGTAATTATCAAAGTGTGAAGGTTTGTATGATAGCATCATTGGGAGTAAGGGTATAATCTATTCTAGATTGGACAAACAGAAGTGCATTGCACAGGGTATCGCTCATAACATAGGAATAAACCGAGCAGGCTTAAGCATAAGGCAAAGATTCTCTGCGAAGCCGACTGGCTCGACGACCAGCATGTTTTTCACGATCGGCTGCTAATGTCTGGGCAAACTTGCTGCGTCGTCGAATCTCCGGTCCCTTCCAGTAGAAAACATAGATTGGAATCGCCACCAACGCAGCAATGCATCCCAGCAGCGTACTACCCCATGCCAGGTGGAACTTGCCACCAATGTTCTCATATAGTGGTGTGGCATACATGGTTGCAATGCCAGCGAGAAAGTCACGGGCAAACCCGTTGCCACCGGTCGCAGAAGCAGAGTACACACCGTAGGCAGCCACCATGTAGTCGATCGTGGCCATGTAGATGGCATAGTTGGCAATGGCAATGAGACAGGCGAAGATCAACGGGGCAATCCATGGTGCATAGGCAGGCCCGATAGACGTCCACGCAAAACCTAGCAACCCAATAGGCTCGAGGGGAGCGAGAAATAAGAGCAAAAGCAGGCGGCGCTCTGCAAAGCGGGCGGCGTTGCCTTCCGTCTTGCGGATTTGGCGCTGTCGCCAAATATCCGGCAGGAAGATAAGGTATGCGATAATATATCCGAGCAGAATAGCACAAAAGGCCAGGCCGTTGGTTAGGGTGTCAAAGCCCCACTGATCAAACACGAGGGTGAAAGATTCTGTGAATGTGAAGATCAGGGCATCGGAGAAACCGGACAGAAGAGACAAGCAGAGAACAATGGGCTCGCGGATAAACATCTCAAAAGGACGCTTCCAGATCCGCAGGATCTCTTTGACGCTCAGGCGGCTCTCCTTCAATTCATTGGGACCGTAGATATTGGGGTCTTCACCGGATTTGCGGCGGCGCTTAGCTTCGCGGTCTATCAGGATGGATGATCTCGTCTCGGGAACTAAGAAAAAGTGCAGGACTTGTGTGAAGCCACCCACGATCAACTGCACCCAAAATACCCAGGGCCACGAGAGATACTGGCCGATGAAACCACCAAACACAGGCCCGATGGTGGATCCACCCACCGACGAGAGGACGACATATGCCACAGCGAACCCCTGATCGTCAATCTCCCACATGTCGGCAGTCATACCCAAGGTGACGGAGCCACCAGCTGAGCTTAGACCTCCCAGAAATCGGCATACCACAATGGTGCCAAAGTTAGGTGCCAGGGCGCAAGGGATTTGCCAGATGTTGACGAGGAACAAACTAAGCTGCATGATCGGCCATCGTCCAAATTCTTCACTCCACGGAGCCCACAGCTCACAACCGAATGCATAGGCAACGAGGAATATCATCTGCCCGACACGCGCCGCTTGCGCGCTAACACCAAACTCATTCTCGATGCCGGTAAGCGCATCCGAGTACACACCGGTGTTGAAGTTCATGGACATCTGAACCATAAAGACGACCGACAGGATGGTCCACTTTTTGTACCACGGAAAGCAAAAGCCGAGTTTATTGTAGCAGTCATCCTCGCTCAGTTCCCGCTTTCCATCAGGCCGCGTCTTCTTCGAGCTATCGGAATCACTCCCGGACGTCGGGTCGGAGGCATGCTCAGCTTGCTGGGTGGTGGGATCGTCCGACTCTGATCTGCGGTTTGCCTTTCCCTTTTTCTCATCGAACATATCTGGATTGGCAGAGATGCCGTTCTGTGGGGGCTCAGAGGCCGACATGATCAAGGGGCAATCGAGTGTAAGGTTTTGCCATGCGGAGGTGGGGAACAAAGCAGTATTATGGAGCCCAGCCAGCACCTTGAGAAGTGAATAGAAGAAGGATTGGATTGGTGATGATGATGGAGTGACGATGAGTCCCAGTGGAATTTGACGGCGTTTTATAGATCGCTGATCCTGTGGATGGCTGCGGTACATCGTTCTTCCTGGGCTCAGCCTGGTGGGTAAAGTGCATGCTGCCATCCATGACATGACGTGAAGGCTTACAGGAGATCCTATTAGCGAATTTCAAGGATAGTACCCAACAGGAATCCGAGAGGCCGTTCGGAACCTGATAAGATGCCGGGTTAGGCGGAAGAGTTCTTCTCCCGCTGGCGTCATAGTTCCGGCCCGTCAGCCCAAGTCTGGGGTTCCAATCAGAGGCGGACTCCGTTTTCTCTGGTCAGAGAGTGCTAGTATCTAATACCTTAGGTAAATAGTATCAAGACCAGGGTGATAACTATTGGCCACTACGGGACGGACCACGGGGTGAGTCGGGATGCTGTCGACAGCAGAGCGGTCTCTGATTGACTGGCTGCCAGGACGGTTTCCCTTCAAACGGCAGAATGTCGGAAGAGGGGTACATCCTGGCGGGATCAGCCCGGGCAGGTTGTCCGTATGCATGGCGAGGCATCTCGGCGTGGTGAGTGGAGGAGCAGCGAGATGCAACATGCAGTTGCTGCGCTCAACCCTTTCTGTCGGGCGGTGAGCGATGACGTCAGACCACCACAGCCATCCGAATATCCACTCACTACTCCGTACTCTCACTCCAGTTTCTCTGCCTCTCCCCCAGTCCTTTCTCCGCGTCCCCCGGCATTTCAGCTGTCCTTCGGTCCCATGACGCAGGGCTTAGCTCGCTTATCAACTGATCCAACGTCATACCTCACTGGTATTGTTCCAACGTCATGATCCATGTGGTCGCTGTCAATGCCGCCCCGATGGCCCTTGCAATGAGATCGGTCAGCCCTGGCTGTCCAGTGCTCATCTTCTTGGCCGTGAAGTTAATTTCAGCCGGCCCGTCGGCTTGAGAAGATGCAGCTATTCCGTCCCTGTCTGCCTCATATCCCGACCTCCGATGCAACCCGACGCAAACCTAATATTAGCCAGATACATCTCGCTGGGTAAGATACATCTTACAAGATCGGTCGGATAGGCGATATCTCATGGTGGACAATCACTGTACTACTTGAACATATCGATTATATCAACAATATCGCTCTATGCCGACCAGGAAGACCACAAGTCAATCATCCCACGCCAACCCACTCATGCGAGTCGAGACGATCGTGGGATGGATTCCGACAATCATGTTTTCTTTTCTGTTCTGTATCTCACCCCGCTCTCCGTTGCCCTAAGTTGGTGGACTGCAGCGAAGGACTTCATCGGCGGATCTCATTGACCAACTCACGACCCACTCTGCATCATCTCTTTCATCCACGCAGGTCAACCAGATCCTCTCTGACTTTGCCATCATATGATTCCGCTTGGTTGCCGTAAGCGCGCAAACAGTCCAGTAGCCATGTCTGCCGCATACTCGGCTCGAGGGACTAATCCGATCCCTCGTCCTGGTTCGCTGTGGGTTCCGCATCCTTCTGCAATGTGGTATTCGAGTCCGACTGTTCACTGGTAGGTGCAGCGCGATGGCGAACTGACCGCACCGTATGCATGCCTGCGTATCACCCTGAGCAGATTCAATCAATCATGTCAAGAGTCTCGCATACAATATAGTACTTCGCGGTGAACATATTTGGTAATGACTTTCCCTGGTGTCAATTTCAACCAGCTCATCGAGGTCAGTCTACTCATGATGTGTACACGGACACTTTTCACATTATTTGACTCTTGCGACATTCATTCTTGCTTTCCTGCTCGGGGAGATAATGCGCCGATATGACCAATCGCTTTCTGGACTTTGCATGGAAAGTCAGCCTATCAACTAAGACCACTTCCCCTGATCTTAACGGTCCCACTCGAACTTCCAATCGTGAATGAGAATGACAATTAACCGCCTGTCTGTAAAGAAATTAGGGCTGTTCATCCATAGCCAATCATAAGATTATTGCACATCGCCATGCCGATTTGTCCGGAGCTGGCGTCAGCCCGAGGCTACCCTTCCGGGTTGGTCGGGAATCTTCGAAAAGCTGCCAACCCATGAAGACCACGTTCCTAGTAGAGATTTTTGAAGAACAATTGAGAATCTTATCACATATCCCTACGGCAGTACATGTTAATTTCATCATGACATGTAGCCACATGAGTGTTAATGATCGGTGAGGGTTCCATTACCGGATAAAGATAATCGGCATATTCCGACACGGGACCGGAGGATTCTATGCAGCCGGACTCGCAATCTATGGAAACTCGTCGAAACAGTCATCGGAATTAAGGTATGCCCCTAGGAAAGTGGAGATATCTACATTCCTCCGGATCATCCGACTGATGGATAGCCAGTCTGGCTAGTCAGATATCCTTAGGTAGGGACAGCAAAGAAATTCCTAGGTAAGTAGCCAACTTCTTGAAAGGCAGTGCGCTGTTAACCGAGCATGCAATACTCAATTACCTCCCCAGTTGTTGCCAGGTGTGGATGCTATAGGTAAGATCGAGAAAAATACCTTGGTGGGTATCCGGTTACCCTGTCAACACATTCATCCTGGTCAATCAGACCTACAGCAACAGACACAGCACACAATCTACTGGCATATACTAAGTCGACCTCAGCGACATGTGAACCATCAGAGGCTTCTTCTCCCACACGATGAATGTCTTTTGGTCGGTCCAGCCTTCATTCATCTTGGTGTCTTTTATATCGAAATGCCACAGCAGCTTGGACATAATGAGTCGCATTTCATGCCACGCGAGACTGCGGAAGTGTCAGCTGTTATAAATGTTGTCAAATAGTGAATGCCTACTTCTGCCCAAGACAGTTTTGCGGTCCCATGGAAAACGGCTGGAAGGCGTCCTTGTGGTCTCCCTCGAAGGCGGCATCCAAGCCCAGCCACCGCTCAGGACGGTATTCCTCAGGTCGACTGAAGTTGTGAGGGGACCGGTTGGCGGCATAGTTACTGACGTACACCATTGTCTATCCAACTTAGCAATGAATAATATCAGCAGGAAGACATACCCCGCCTGGAATCATATCGTTGCAGATATTCACTCCGCCTGATGGCACGAGCCTCGGAAGCCCCACAGCTGCAGCAGGGTAGAGGCGCATCGACTCCAGGATGCACGCATCAAGGTACTCCAATCTGGTCACAGCTGTCGGAGTGATTTCATCTTCGCTGGCGAAAGCATCGCGGATCTCACCCACCAGGCGCTTCATCGCCAACGGCTCCCGCAGGAGAAAATAGACTAGGCCACTGAGCACGGTTGCGGTGGTTTCGCTACCGGCCATCATGAGAGCAAACGCATTGGAATGCATCTCTGGAACTGTCAGTCGCACATCCTCTTTCTCCTGCAACACAAAGCGCCAAATATCCGGGTTGGTGCTGTCAGTGCGAGCTAACCGGCGATCGACCATGTCGGCGGAGAATTGGAAATGTTCCATCAGCTTCTTCCGCGTCGCTGTCAAGAGCTCCACGGCTCGTCCGATCAGGGCCAGCTTCCTTAAGACACACCGAATGGCCATGAATTTGATTCCCGTCATGCTTGCTCTGACCCAAGGCACGTATGTTTGGTTGTCCAGCAGATGGAGCGATTCACCGAACGTCATGTCGGCCTGTAAATCAAAGGTGGTGAAGTTGAGCATGTCGACCAGATTGAACGTTGCTACCGAGCCGTTTTGCGCTATGAGGTTTCGGATTGCCGACATCATGTGGTTGACGTGTCTCAAGAGAAGGTCCTCTTGCTCGCGGAGGGCGCGCGCTGAGAAGCCGCGCAGCAATATCCTTCGCATTCTGGCATGGGTGGCACCATTGGCTGAAGCAACGTGCACGACACCGTTGGGAGCTTCTCCGAAAAAGTCAGGATCTTTCAAAAAGGTGCCCCGATGACGGTTATAGATATCTTTCCAAGCTTGTCCATCAGTGTAGGACAGTTCGTTCGGACCAACTCGCACCACGTCGCCGTATTTGAGATGCAAGTCGTGACTATATTTGACGTATGTTCCTTGCATGACGCAATAGATGCGGGGAAGATCGCTAATGGCCCAGTGCCATGGACCCGGATATTTACGCAGGGGATGGAAAAATAAGCAGTAAAGGGCATGGAGAAACTGCAGCAGTCAGACTCTGTCTAGTATGGGTGCGGTTACTGACATAGATCACTGGCAGCAGCATCAGTGCCACCATGCTTATATTGCAAATCGCCGTGACAGACATGTTGGCAGATCTTCCACTACGATACTTACAATTAAAAACAAAGCATCATTCCGTCCAAGAACAATGTGCGATTTATAGTCTCAGATACGCGTGAGCTTATGAGGGATAAAGCAGGATACAATCATGTGTTCCGGTTACAGTTCACCCAAGCGCAGGTCCCAGGGGAACCAGAGGGTTTGCTGCCAAGGAGGCACGCCTGATCGTACACATGGAACCCGATAGCCTTGTCTTAAAGCATCCGGCGCCAGGATATGAAAATCCGGATTGCTGTCGAGTCTAGAAAGATAGTGTTACTACCCGGGAAGCTACCAGCTGGGTTACTTAGAGTTTAAGACGGCCGGTTCCATGGTTGGCAGCGAAGTTATTTGAAGCAGCTTAGGTTCTGTGGGATAAATTATGGGAGAGATTAGCAGTATTGTCGTCTGGCACATGTTGGTAATGCCATCTACAGAGGTCACATGCGTGATTACCTGGACTTCTTTTCTACATGCTTTTTGGATCTTCTGATGGGCATCATAGGTTGCACCACACTGGGTGCAGCATCGCTACTGATCGAGTCGGCGTAACTCTTTTAAGCTATTCTTCCATTCCGGAGGCCCAGGCACCTGTCAATCCCAGTAAAGTCGAGGATAATAGATCTGGACAAGACCACATGAAGCATTACATCATATGGTGTCACATTCAAACGCTGCATAACTACCAATTCGATGAATTGCCCGAAATCAATCAAGCTACCAATACATTCTGCAGACCTTAACCAAGCTGCAGCACCAAACCATCCTTAATCGACTGGATCATATCCGCAGTCAATGGATCCTGCTTCGAGAAACTCCTTCTCTTTCGCTCCTGGCTAGAAAACGTCGTGATATCCAAAGCATCTCCCCCAACTTGTGTCTTGCGAATTCCCCCATACCCCAAGAGACGGTTCTTCTTCTCATACGCCTTCAACGCAGCCATCCACTTCCATGGATCTTTATTCCCCGTCGGCAAGACAACATCCTCCTGCTCTGCCTCTTCCTCCGCCTCGGCAATAATCTCATCCATATTCGACGGTCCATGCATGGTGATGTTCCGCCGGGTGGCATACGCAACCAAATACGGCACGAAATTCTGGCCACGATACGAGACGCCTTTTCGGGACTTGGTCTGGATCTCCGGGTCGGGGATCTCAAAATCCGACCGCTTCGTCTTGACTTCATCCGCATACATTCCCATCACGAAGCCAAGATTCCGCACATCGGAATTGGGGCCCAATTGGCCCTGTTTCTCCAACTCAGCCAACATGCACAGAAACATATGCTCGAACAGGATTTGAGTCTCGTCGAGGATCCCACCATCATCAATCCTATAAACCCATTAGCATCACCCTCCTTTCTTCTTCGCAACTCAGCCAATTCCCGGAGAGATAGAGAGAGAGAGACATACATCATCATCGGCGCGACCCAATTCCCCACAACCAACCACCCCAACCCTTCACAAACCGCCCACATCCCCCTCCAATCGGCCTTTCCCATCGCATCCCGAAAATCCAACAACGCATTCTGCACCACCTCCAACGCCCCCATCCCCGCATGATCATTAAACGTATACATCCCGAACGAATCCGGATCCCGTAGATCAATCATAATCCGGTACGTGATCATCTTCTCCAACCCGGCTTTGCTGAATGTATACGGGTGATCGGGGTGCTCGGGGAGAGGTTTAAAGCACACGCAGGTTTTTCCCCCGTCGCATTCGGGGGGGATTTCTTCTTCGTTGGACTCGGAGAGGTCATCGTTGGGATTGGATCCGGGACGTGTACAGATGCAGATGTAGGTGTATGCGTCTGGTGTTTCGGAGAGGAATTTGTGGTAGGCGGAATCGGCGTTGGCGGAGGCGGAGAGTTTGGACCATCGGGGGGACATTTTTATTCCTTTTGTGTGTATGTGTTTGGGATGAATTGTTGAATTGCGAGAGTTGGGAGTGCAAGGAGGAGATGGGACAAAGGGGAGGGATATATCTTCTAAATATCAGATCAATCAGATTCAAGTCGAGTAGACACGCGAAGTGACGCGTTGTTTTGGTGGTGTCATTGTTGCGGGTGTAACCCGTCACAGTGATGTGGACAGTCTACACATTAATATTACACAGTATGCTGCATAGCATTATGCAGTGGCGAATGGCGAAAATTAATATCATCTTATCCGGATAGAGTAATGACATGAGGTGTATTTATTTCTCCAATTTACCCACCTCATACACAATCGTACAAAGTAGTACTAGTTACCTGACACAGTACTGCTTACAGAACTAACCAATCAGGTAACGTAATCGGACACCGAGCCGGCGGACGCCGCGCCGCGTCTTGCACCCTCAACATCTTGAAGTCGAAGAACTCGCCCAAACCGCCCTGTTTCGCAGTATTATCGTGATTCCTTGGTGTTTCTTTTCGTATATCAATATGGCCGATACAAACGAACGTTTAAATCTCGCCGTCAAGGCCTTTGAGAGTGGGAAATTCTCTACAAAGGCCGCTTGCGCTGCCGCGTTTGACGTCAAGATAAGCACTTTTAAAGATCGTTTAAATGGCATCAAATCACATACTGAAAAAGATGCTAATTGTAGGAAGCTATCTACAATTGAAGAAAACACATTAAAGCAGTGGCTTCTTGATATGGCCTACCGTGGACTGCCTCTTAAAATCTGCGATGCTCGATTCTCTGCCCAGCTGCTTTATCAAGCAAAGTTGAAGCCAAATCAGCATGATACTATATCGGAACGCTGGATTACTTGCTTTATTAAACGTCATCCGGAATTGACGTCCAAATTCACGTCGAAGTATGACTATCAACGTGCTAAATGTGAGGATCCTTATCTTATTCAGAGATGGTTCGACCTCGTTTGCAAGACAGTCCAAAAATATGGCATTCTCGATGAAGATATATGGAATATGGATGAAACTGGATTCCAGATAGGAGTTGCTTCAACTGCTCGTGTAATCTGTGGCTCGGAAACACGAGAATCGCGTGCCAAGTGTATATAACCAGGAAACCGCGAATGGGTGACTTCAATTGTTGCAATCTCAGCCTCAGGAGCAGTACTTTCACTGCAGATTATCTTTGCAGCGCAGAATCATCAATCAATATAATATGAAGTCTGCCCAAAATCTTATCATCTGAGTATCAGCGGAAATGGCTGGACTACTAATGAGCTTGGCTTTGACTGGCTTCAGAACGTGTTTGACCGGTATACGGCTTCAAAAACTGTTGGTGATTATCGTTTGTTGATCCTTGACGGCCACAGCAGCCATGCAACTCAGTAATTTGATCAGTTCTGTACAGCTCGGAAAATAATTCCTTTATATATGCCTGCCCACTCGTCCCACAAACTGCAGCCGCTTGACGTTGCTTGCTTTGGGCCGTTAAAGTTATATGGTCAGCGTATATCTGAGGCTATTCGTTATGGAGAGAAATCAATTACAAAGCTTGATTTTCTACAGCTATATCACAGTGTACACGCCAAGGCCTTCTCCAATATCAATATACTCAGTGGGTTCCGTGCCACCGGTCTCGTTCCTTTTAATCCTCAAAAATTGCTTGCAACGTTACGGATTCAACTAAAAACACCAACTCCACCGACATCCTCGCATTCTAATCAGTCTTTTTATCTCGGAAAAACGCCTGCAAATTTGTATAAGCTTGGAAGATAGAGACAAGAACTACAAGAACTTGCAGATCAAGGTCTGGCGTCAATAGTTTCACACGAAGTTATTGAAAAAGTGATCAAGGCTGCGGAACAGTCTATGCAGAACGCAGTCCTGCTTCAACAACAAGTTAAGCAGTTCCAGTCTATATAAGCAAGTAAGAAAGGGAAGGCAAAGGCCTCACGTCGCTATATACAGTAAGGAGGCACTTTAACGGGCCAAGAGGGCTTTGATATAGCTCAGGCGCGAGAAAATGAAGCAATTGAGGCTGCAGCACCAAGACCGGCCAGGACGCGCCGGCCTGCCCGTTGTAGTATATGTGGAAGTGAAGGACACAATCGTTTAAGATGCCCTCATGAAAACAACAAGAATTAATGTATATAGCCTTTTCTTAGTGGTTGAATGGCCTCAGGAAGCAGCCAGCGAGGCAGTCAGCGAGACGGCGGCAGACCGCCGCCGGCTCGGTGTCCGATTACGTTATCATCTTCCCCACTGCACAATAACCTACATACTGTGTAACTCCATCTACACAATACATACTACAGTGTTTTACTCTCTACCCCCAACATAGCATAAATACTATATTAATCTCCCTACCATATACACAAATATCACATCATATTCCCACTAAAATAAAATCGTAGATCATTTCTCATCCGTATATAATTTCAGCATAATCCAGACCTATTAGTTACATACAGTACAGTCACACAGTATACACCTCCTACTCTAAATAAAATCAACAGTCAGAATCACTGATAAATTACATCAATAATATTACTTCAGGTGGAGTGAATAATAGGCATATCAGTAGAGAAAAACTAAACTAAACTAACACAGACACATCGGAAGATAATCTTGCTGAGGTGTGATTCGAGAAACAAGACATTTTGTCCTTTAAAGGAGTTACTAGTAATTTTATGTTTAGTGTGTTGGTCTTTGTTCTGTTTGTTGGGGCCGTGCGAGAAGGGATGGATCATTTGAGTGATATACCATGCATGATGTATGTATATAGCTGGTGATGTTTATCTGGTAAGAGTAAACTAAACAGTCTCGGGATGGACAGTGCTCGGTCCCTAATAGGAGTTCATCTCACTCTCAGATTTTATGGAAATAACCATCCATTCATCCCAAGAATTGAAATCCACTGTATCAATCAGTCCACGCCCATAACTCTTCGACCTCTGGAGGGAATAGAGGAAGGTCTGAAATGGTTGATTGAGTCCTTCACCAGTACATACCTCCTTTATCTATACAGGTATCTTCAATTACATTATTGGGAAATATATTACATGATACTTACTAAGACAATTCAAATACCTTAGACTGGGACATCCCACGGCCCAGGATCTAGTATCTTTGCTATGATAGACGAAATTATGTTTCGAACTGCCTTGGCAGTGATTGATGTTAATTCAAACATGTAGATAATTTCTTCTAAGAATACTATCAAGTATCCCGTCAAGCATAAGGCTTCTTAAGACTCAAGGGATCTATCAAAGATCAAGTCCGGTTGGTTCAAATCTATGGTCAATTCTATGTTGTACACGGTATTTTCTCATCTGCTAACACGATCAAACTAATAATATGTGAATTGCAGGATCTAATCACTGGTATAAATATCTAAGCTAACCCTGACCAACTGTCAACACATCATCTGCAACTGCCAGTCATATCTGCACCTGCCAGCACAATGTCCTCACCCCCGACCGTGGCAAATAGTCAATTCTATAAATCATATCTCCACGTCTAATCGTCCCCCTCATACGCTGTCCCGAATCTAGTATACACTCATCAATGTTACTGATCCCGATAAACACATCGCCATTCTGGATGCCAACCCAACATGCCTGGGAATCATGGACCACGCCACGAATAGGCCCAGGGAAACTGTCGACATCAAACCCAAAGTCCAGAATGCGGCAATAGTATGGAGCAACAGAATATGGCGAACAACCCCCCAAAAGCTCTCCAAAGTCCAGAGGCATGCCCTCCAGCATTCCTAAGAAATGCCCCCATATCCAATGGGGATGGGTGTTGATATGTTTTTCTAGATGCCAAATCCAATTCCTGGCCTGAATTTGGAGAGGCCGGAGGCGACTGTGAGACGCTTGGATGACAAAGTAATCCAATTGGCAGGTGCTCCTGAGGTCCAATTTGTCGTGTCCCCGGCGAAGCACGCCGTCGATCCACATCAGGTAAGCACATCCCCGGTGGTAGGGCGCCAATGTTTCAAACCAGCCTCCGGTCTCAGGTCGCTGGAGGTCCGTACACATCATAGGGCTGGTGTAATAGGCCACTAAAGCTTGGTTCAGATGGCGGACCATGTACTCATAACTGCGGAGCCCAAGGCGATATGGCAATACCGCTGCGTAGTAATCAGCGAGTCCTGAACAAGCAGTGAGTAGGCAGTACAAGTAAAGCTAAATGAGCTGGGTAATTCACCTTCATTGAACCACCTGTTATCATAGCCATCGTCCTCTGGATCCATGTCCGAAAAGTTGTGCACCATCTCATGAGTAAACACATGGGTCAAAAGAGAATCTGAGAGGTCATCGGTCTCCTCGTTGTATTCGATGATACAACCATGGTGAACTGCAAGCCCCCTGCGACTCCGGGTTCCTTTGCAGAGAAAGACACGCCATGTGCACCCTCGTTTGCGGAAGTAGTACATCATCTTTGGGGCCATCACCTGAACGTACCGTAAAATATGCGGATATATGCTAGTTGGAAGGATCCCAAACCAGTGACAGATTCCGAATTCTCCAAGCCAATCTGGCGGGTTAGATCTCTGGTAGGTGCGGATTGGTCCGACCATATAGGCCCCCATGTAGAGCTCGCTGGCGTGTCCAACATGACTGACAGGGTCCGGACCGTCTCCTAAGGTCGAGACGCAGCTTGTCCCCTCGGGCGCATTCGCAGGCAAAACCCATTCAACGATATTCCGATGCATCTGGTTGGAGAGGTAGCGGGGAAGAATGGCCATTCCTGTAGTCGTCAGGCCTCTCTGGTCCCGGACGAGATCTCTCCGTGTACCTCGGGGCCCAAAGTCATGAACTCCACGGGCCCAGACTTTATAGGCGAGGATCAAATTCCCCTGCGGCGGTCGTGACAGATGCCAGTGAGTATGTGTTTGATGCGCGTCGCTAGGGCCATCGACAAAGGAGACGCATAACGGCCCTTGGTCGTCTGCGGCATTGATGTCGACTTCGCGAAGGGGAGGGCCCGGCACATAATTCTGACTGGTTATGAATTGAAGCAGTGGTTGACCATGTGGCGCGTAGGGATGTTGGATTTCCAGACGAACTACCAGACCAGTGGCGGCTCCTTCTGGATCAAAAACTGGGGTGAGACGAAGATAGATAGTGGGATAGTATTGTGCCATGAGGAGAGGAGCAGGGTAATGTAACGATAACGAGTAAATGATGCTAAATTAAACCGGTTAAGACTGAAAGAATGGCATGCGGAGATAGCAATGATAGTAGCCTCTCGCGTGGTCGATGTGGTATATGATTCTATCGATCCAAGGTGAAGAGTTAAGCTCTCGTCGTGCTTTCCCGAATTGTGCCTGCCCTGGGGATCATGTCAGCAAATACTCTTAACCCTGTTACAGGAGGAGCTAGCTCTGGAATACGAGATCTAAACCATTGGAAGATTATTCCAGGTTAAGGAAGTTGGTGATCCATTTCAGGTCACATTTGATATCTGCATGATATTTTGACGATAGGACCAAAGAAATACGCTACAGCCACACGGAGACTATAACCACACCTTCCACTTACTCAATCCACATGATAAGTACTCATTCTCTATGAATCTCTAATAAATGAATAGAATTACTATAGAAAGCACTTTCATCACATTGTGAAGGTACCACATACAAGGCTTCATACAGGACTTACACAGGTCTCGAATAGGGCATCAAAATATCAAGTAGAATAATAAAGACAGTAGTCTAAAGTATTCTTGACGCTTTAAGAAGTCTTAGACCCGTGGAAATAAATACAAGTCTCAGAAATAAGATTATTTATCTGGAGTTCCGCTAGCTATAAAAAGTAAGCCCTGCCTAATATGACAAGCAGTATAGGCAAAAGGTGTGTGGTTATCATGGATGTGGTGTTATAATGATACGTTTCCTCCCACCCAACAACCATCCGACAGTTCAAAAAAAGGACAAAAAAGACAAACATACAACAGAAGGGATTCGCTGGTGGTCACCCACCCAACTACTAACCTCCCGGCGTGTGGCTTAAGTACGGCTGAGCGGACGGGAAGCCCTGTTCTCCACACCCTGTGGTCGTATGTACTATTCTTTTTTCCTCTTAGGAATGTCTAGAAAGATCGTGACTGATCAATCTGATTAGACTCAGACTGATAAACAAACCTGCCTGATACTGGTTAACAACATTCCATGATGGTAGTAACCTCCCCTCCGTGGTTAATGTAGTAGACGCTTCTGTCAATCTAATCAAATTTATAGAGGTGAGACCTCCCAAGATTGTACCTGGATCCCATCCCAGCAGAACGATCGACATACCCTTCAATTCTATCTCACAAGGACAGCCTGTGCTGAATCGTTGGATTCACATTGAATTGGAATCTTGCCTGTCATGTGGACAACCCTCCCCTGGAGATCCCGCGCATGAATCGCCACCAGCTCGGATTCATCCGATCCCAATTCCTTATCCGCCGGGGTAGGGAATTTAAGCAGATACGGTCGGAGGCCATCCCTGAGTTGATTGTGCAGGACGTGGAAGAACGGCTTGTACAAGGCGATATCAGCCAACGCGACGGAACAGCTCGTTTGTTCAAGGCGTGGAAACATGTCCTCGAGGAGATATGCGGTGACTCGCTGATCGGGACAGGCGTGACTGGCTGTCCATATTACCCATATAATTGATTCTTCGTAGGGACTGAATGTAGCGGGGTTGGAGAAGTCGATTCCGGCGATTATACGGAGTACGAGGTAGGTCCAGGGGTTGATGGGTTGGTTGGTTTCTTTGAAGGTATTTGATTGGGGAATAGCTTCGTTGGATAGTAATAGTTGAGCGGTAGCGTAGTAGAGGTAGCTTATGGCGATGGAGGATGATTTGAAATATACGGGTTGTAGGGCTTTGTCTAGCACGGGATCGGGCATGGGGTCAATGGTATGTTCTAGGGGCATCGAGTCGCGCCATGCATCGAGTAATCGTTGAAGATGCTGGATTGTATGCTGCAAGTCGCTGACAGAGAGAAACGTCTCAGGGTTGGCATCATCCAGACGAACCATTTCGGGAAAGTTGGCCTTGTACCAGGCTCGAGCCCGCTGGATGACCACTTCCATCTCCTCTTCTTCCTGGCCCATGCAGTACGTCAGATTCAACCGGGCGTGAATCGCACATGCATCACTGTACAGTCCGTATGCGGTACCTTTGCGATCGGCAAAAGCCTGGGCCACTGTCCGGATGAGGGAGCCTTTCCTTTCCAGCTCCAACATTCGGAACGGAAGCTTGTGGGCTTCCCAATAAGCATGTAATTCCGCCCAGCCACAGAGCATCGACCGACCCGTGGGAGTCATGGAGATCTCTTGGAAATGGGAAGCCACAATGGCTTGGGCACCTCTCGAATGGGTATACTGTCCGCGGGGGGAACCGGATCTGCGTTCGAATAGACAGCAGAGAGTTACTGCTGCGAGACGTTCCTCAGGCTGGGACACATCTTCGGCATGCAACATCTTGATGGCCGCGTTGTAGAATCTGACCCCGTTTGCAAGATGGTCATTTCCGTAGGACGGTTTCTTGAGGAACATCCTGCCCTCTTCCTCCCAGACTCGATCGTGCGAATGAGCCAGGTCGGATGCTGCCAGGGCCAGTAGAGCATTGTGGACCAGGGGTTGGGTTATGAATCGTTCAATGCTGGGTACGATCGATGCAGGTAGTCGCGTCTTCAAGCATCGGACATGATGCGCGAGGTAGATGTTTTCGTTTGGGTCCGCGTTCGACCCGGAAGAGCACGGCGAGGTGCTGGAACTCGTATGTTCCACTGTCGGGCTTACTGCCACGTTGGTAGTCAAGGGATTATCAATCTGACTGCAATCCTCGCTCCTCAATTGGGCTGGGCTTGAAGATTGCCCATCGGCAACGCCGGTGCGCGGCACCTTTATCGACTTGGCTGATGCCGATGTCCCCTGGGTTGTGGAGGTATTACGGAATGAATATCGCGGCGCGTAGCCTTCGCATGGGATCTTTTGCCTCACACAGCGAAGACATACTGGTCTAACCTCATCGCACTGTCCTCTTCTTAGAATGAAAGGAAATGCAATGATGTTGGCGAGGAAGATACCTTGTGACGGCGGCGACGGCAGGTGTAGCAACCCGTCCTGGTTCGGATAATAGATGTTTTCTTTGGGCGTGGTGGCGCAGGTGGGTACATGTTGAAGTGCGATCAACCTGCGGGGAAAACCAGGAAACAATTTGGAGGGAGTTAATGTAAATGGACACGTTCTAGGTTCCCCGATAAGGACTAGTTGGTGAAGTATCAGTCAGCCGTTGGTGTCATCGGCAGCTATTTTAGGGCACGACTGACCAGCTGAGCATCACGTATTGTAAATAAGAAGCAGGGGCTTAAAATACTATATCCGTTTACGCTGCGTTTGATATAATCCAGGACGAGCTGTTCTTTTCTCTGTCTCTAAATGCTGTAGTTCTCAATACTTGAGCATCATCCAATCACAAGGCAAACCAAATACTAAGAAATATTATCCTAATCAACATCGCCGTCAGTACTATACCAATTCTATGAACCACCACACTATACATATCTAAGAAATAACCCTCCCATCACCCCCACCCAACACCTCACACCTCCCCGGCAACGTAACCACCGCCCCCTCCCCCCTCGCCGCATCCGTATGATTATACGTCGGATTCAACCCCATAATCTGTCCCACGGTCGTTCCCACCTTCTCCGCCAAATCCTTATACGTGCCGTACGTAAACAACAACGGCTCAACCGTGCACCGACTGGGACTACACTGCGCGACTTTGAGAAAATTACCCACTTGCACAGGGGCATCTGGGTCGGTGACACCCCCTGCGCAGTGGCGGAGAGGGCAGCCACGGTGATGTTCAACTTCAGGGCAATGTATCGGATCGTGTCGCCCTCGAGGGTGTAGTAGGCGTGCGGGCCGCCAGACACGCAGTCGGCGTAGGTGCCGCTAGGGTTGGGGAGAATCAAGCAGGTGGAGTTGTCCGGGGTGCAGGTTTCGGGTGGGATGAGAAGCTTTTCGCCGGTTAGGAGGGGGAGCGTGGCGTCGGCCATGCGGTTAAGACGTGCGATGTCGCAGATGCCGCGGGAGTGGAGATTGGAGATGCTGGCGATGGTGTCATTGGGGGTGACGGTGTGGAGGCCGATGGTGGTGTGGAGGGTGGTGGGGTGCAGGTTGGGGATGTTGATGTGGTGGTGATGAGGGTAGCGAGAGAGAGAAAGGAGATGATGTGGGAATACATGGTCTTGAGATTGAGATAATGAGAAATGAATGAGAGGAGAGATGCTGAGTGAATGACTTTCTTGAGGTTGATGGGGATAATGAATGTGGGAGAGCGGGTTGGGTGCCTTTTATACTTGATTGAACAAGCTGGATCACATCCCTTCCATGATCCTGTTGTACAGGATTTTTCAGCATGGCTCAATAGAGGTATGTCGCAACCTGGTCCATTAGGAGTCGCTCATGTTGAGGATGTGCAATATGGAGTATCTCCATTATACGCGTCATCGAGCCTATGAGGGATTCGGCATGGGGATATAGTGGCTCGGAGATATGCTCCAGGGACGCCCGCAAGGAAGATCCCTCGTCTTTGTCTACATGGCCAGTGCGGTGCATCTTGATCAGGCGGAATTGACGTGATTGAAATTTATTGCTAATCCGGAGTGGTATATCTATCTCCGAAGCCTTTCTAGGTAGTCATTCTGTCTGCTTTGAGTCGCATCTAGATGAGCTTTTGCTCTGTCTCCTTTTCTTATTTCCACTTGAATTCTGCTCCTTCGATCAACACTGGGTAGGTTAACCGCGCAATCATAGAAGCACAACATACAGACAATGACTGCCAGGTTGCTACACCTCTGCTGTAAGGAGCGCCACTTTTGAACCTGCAGAGATAAAAAGATTCATACGGCAATCACCGAACATATCAGATGTGTACGTCAATGGCATAACCCGTGACGTCCCGATACGGTCTAGCTCGGTTTCTATCCCAACCCTATACAACAACTCCAGCATGACGCTCATTTCGTCCCTATACGCCTCAATCAACCCTCTCTCTATCTCAATCTATTAAAAATAAAAATCTATGACCAGACAGGGGCTCGATCCCTGGACCTTTTCGGGACTACACTTATTTGGAAAATGTAAACGAAATGTGATAACCAACTACACCACCCGGCCAATGCGATATTAATTGCTAAACTAGTTGTGCGTGATACCCCACTCGCCAATGAATTTTCCCGGTTATTTTCTAGCGCCGGCTTGGCAGCATCCAGCTGCTGAGCCGACGGGATGCCGATCTCAAGCCCCGGATTCCTGCTCGGAGTTTAACCGCTTTCCGGGGGTTTTGCGAGGCGGGTGGATTAGGATCCCTGACTTTCTGGGTGGGAGAAGAGGGCTAGCGAGGTGGTGGATGATGGTGGATGAGGTGATTGTTTAAAGATGGATGTGGAAATGGGGTGTCGAGTCTGCGTGTGGTGGTAAGCCACAGACGGGGATGGACTATCGCGGGCCGCTGCGGATAGCGTGGCATCGGACCGATGGTGGCCATATGCAGAAAACCAACGATTTTGTTCATATGAACAAACTTGTCTTGTTGCCTTGGCTATATAAATGTCTCCGTATCATTCTTGTACTTGGCTTTGACTCTAGAGAAGAATTAGTTTCTATTCGTGTATAACAAAATGACCGGCGGAAGACACGAGCCCTGATCTTTGTCTACAAAAATACATGGTATGACACCACGGGGTCATGTTGAAAGAATTTACTCAATTAGCACCCGATAGGAATATTCAGCTCCCGGGAAGTCATTTGGCGAGTAGAAGGTAAGCAGATATGCTTGGCCTCTTGGACAGACTGCATTGTTGGTTTTCATGGAAATTGTCAGCGGATAATCACCGAGCAGTCAGCAAATCTGAAATCCTTATGTCGCGACAGTTTCTTCAAAGTCTGGTACTGCTGTTCACGAGGGAGCCTGGGCTGAAGATTGCGAAGATTATCGGAGGTGAGTTTATACTACTCGGACCATAGCTTGTGACCGGAAGCATCTGTAAATATTGATTTCAAGGCAAAGGTCTAGAACTGTGAAATATATTTCAAAAGCAGGAACCCGGTACGCGCCAGATTCGAGTCTGCCCTACAGGTGAGAGTTTCCACTCACTTGACAACTTTCAAGCTATCACCAGGTTTGACAGTTGGAAAAATTCACTCGGAGTTCATCCTGTGATAATTCCCCAAGGAATGATTTTTATCGTGCTCAATTTGTCCAATCAGTACAAACTCTTGCAGTGTTTGGCTAAATCTGTCGCTACTTGCGCAGTTCTACTAATAATAGATCCAGATGAATTGTCAATTGACCCGATAAAAAATGGACCAGATAATAATCAAGCGCTCATACCAACAGCCAATTCACGGTCGCTGACAGACATAGTGCTTACTGCTCACTGCTCACTGCTTCCAGCTAACCCCAGCCCGCGTAACCAATAAATTTAAAATCCGGGGAATAAGCTTCTGACCAGATGAATCCCTGCGTCTGCAGTGACCAGCACAGACCATCGGCATATCTTATTCCAGAATTCTTCACGTCTTAACTCTACAGAGGGCAGAGCCAACCCACCCTCGGAGGGTTCTTCGGAGACTTTGGAGCAATTTTCCTCCGGATGCTGATTAATCTCGGCTGGGCGATGCTCCAACTGCCGTGCCAGCGGTGGGGATACCCTCATTTCGACCATTCACAGCCCTTAAAACATGGTTCCTACACCAGCGAACCTTGGATATGGACATTCCAGTGGATTCCACGAGTCAGGCCACATCTGCAGCCACCTTCAGCCACCCATGTCGGAGACTTGGCCCGATGGGGTAAATATGCAGGTCCCTGTAGCCACTGCTTCATGCTCATATCAACTCCACCTGGATTTCAAATCAACTTCCACTACCTTCGATGCTGGTATAAAAGCCATGCTCGCTCCATCCTGTACATCCCAATCCCATACAACCAATACCTAACTCATCATACCACCACCATGACTGTCTCCAACCTCGTCAACACCCCCGCCCCGGGCATCTCCTACTTCACCCCTGCCCAAAACCCCCCAGCTGGCACCGCCGCCAACCCTCAAACCAGCGGCAAGCCAGTCCCCAAACTCTTCCACCCTCTCACCATCCGCGGCGTCACCTTCCAGAACCGCCTTGGCGTAAGTCCCCTAACCCCCAACCCCAACCCCATCTCCACCACTAACCCTCTCCAGCTCGCCCCCCTCTGCCAATACAGCGCCCAAGATGGCCACATGACGCCCTACCACATCGCCCACCTGGGCGGCATCGCCCAACGCGGCCCAGGACTCATGATCATCGAAGCCACCGCCGTGCAACCCGAAGGCCGGATCACTCCCCAAGACGTGGGCCTCTGGCAAGACTCCCAAATCGCACCCATGCGCCAAGTCGTCGAATTCGCGCATTCCCAGAACCAGAAGATCGGCGTGCAGCTCGCCCACGCAGGTCGCAAGGCCAGCACCGTCGCCCCCTGGATCTCCGGCACCGCCATGGCCACCAAGGACCTGGACGGCTGGCCTGACCGCGTCCTCGGCCCCAGCGACATTCCCTTCGCCGATACCTTCCCTACGCCCAAGGCCATGACCGCCGCAGACATCACGCAGTTCAAGGCCGACTGGGCCGCTGCTGTCAAGCGCGCCATCGCCGTCGGCGTCGACTTTATTGAAATCCACGGCGCCCATGGTTACCTCCTCTCGTCGTTCCTGTCTCCTGCTGCGAATAACCGCGTCGATGACTACGGTGGCTCCTTCGAGAATAGGATCCGTCTGTCGTTGGAAATCGCCCAGATTACTCGTGATGTCGTCGGCCCTAATGTCCCTGTTTTTCTCCGCGTCAGTGCCTCTGATTGGCTTGAGGAGACCCTCCCCGAGCAGAGCTGGAATGTGGAGCAGACGGTCAAGTTCGCTCAGGCTCTGGCTGATCAGGGCGCTATTGATCTCATTGATATCAGTACTGGTGGCGTGCACGCCGCGCAGAAGGTCAAGTCGGGTCCGCTGTTCCAGGCCCCGCATGCTTTGGCGGTTAAGAAAGCTGTTGGTGATAAGTTGCTTGTGTCGGCTGTTGGTGCGATCACGAATGGTCGTCAGGCTAATGATCTCCTGGAGAAGGAGGGTCTGGATGTGGCGCTGGTGGGGAGGGGGTTCCAGAAGGATCCCGGGTTGACTTGGACTTTTGCTCAGCATCTCGATGTGGAGATTTCCATGGCGAGTCAGATTCGTTGGGGATTTACGAGACGTGGTGGACGCGAGTTCATTGATCCGAGCGTTTATAAGCCGTCGATTTTTGATGCTTAACTGCTTGCATTAGATGATATGATATGATATGATATAGATGGATGTATAGATAGAGATTATTGTAGCTGTGGATCAGCTGATACTACCATACCGATACCCTTGTACCATGTATTGCTTTCATCACTAAACATACTACTTACTACATCTAAATTACATATAAAAATACACACCATCTCAGCCCAAAAAAAAAAACAATCTTAGCAATCTACAACTCCAACTCAATACCCCACCCCCAAAACCACCTACAAACTAAGAAGAAGCAATCCCAGGTGTATCCCCAACCCTAAAAACAAACTTCACCGCACTCGCCTTACCCGCCTGCAAATCCCTCATCGCGCCCTCCACCCCACCCAAACCCCCCTCCCTGACCTGAAACGGATGACCCGAGAACATCTTCTTCCTCCCCTGAGCCTGAGCATCAAGCGCCAAAGCACGCGTAAACCACCTACAAAACACAAAACACAGATCCCGACAATCCACCGCACCCACGACCTCATGCGCAGCACTCACCCATGTATTCGATGCTTCTATTCCAGAGGGATAAGGGTTTGGATCAGGGAGCGGGAGAACGGTGTTGACTTTTCCTCCTAGGGGATTGAGGACTTGTTTGATGGTGGAGATGCTGGTGGGGGAGATTATCGTGTCCAATGTGTCGTTTAGAATGAGTTCTCCTTGGGATGGGGGGAGAGCGAGAGCGGATTTCACCTCCCTAACCACGGAATCGATTCCCTTTCGGTGGTCGATTATTATGTCGCCTTTGGATGGGTCGATGAGTGTCTCCACGTAAGGAGACCCGGCGCCGGCGATGGCGATGATGGGGTGGATGTTGCTCGCGGAGGCGAGTTTGATGGCGAAGGAGCCGACGGCGGTGCTGGCGCCGTAGATTAGGAATGGAGTTGATGTGGTGGTGGCGGATGGGGGGGACCAGGGCGTGGGGAAGGCGTGGTGGTGGTACAGGGAGATGACGGCTGTGAGGGCTGCGAGGGGGATTGTTGCGCCTTCTGTGGATGGGTTTTTGTTAGTGGTTTGTGGAGGGGATGGTAGGGTAGGGTTGCAGGGAAGTTATAGTATGGGGGAGGGAAGGGAGGGGTGGGTATACCCTCAAACGAAACCTCCCCAGGTAAATGAAACGTCGTATGTGCCCAAGCAACAGCGTACTCGGCGTACGAGCCACCCGGGGTAAGCATCTCGTGGAATGCAGCGACGCGGTCACCTTCCTATACATACATCATTCATTAGCCCTCATTACCCCCTCACATTACTCTGTATGGGAATAGGGAGAGGGGATACCTTAAACTCAACCACATTCTTCCCGACTTTCACCACCACCCCCGTAATATCATCTCCCTGGTTCAGGCCTTGTCGGACATGCGCATACCGCTCATAGAACGCACTCTCTGGGTCATTGGCTAACTCGGCTACTTTCCAGTCTTTGGGGTTGGATCCGGATACCACCACCTTGATCAGGACTTGGTCGTCGTTGATGGTGGGGATGGGGGAGTCAATGAGCTTGGTGCTCGGGCCGGGGAGGTTGATGATTTCTTTCATGTTGGGTGGGATGGATGGTAGTAGAGTCAGGATAGTAGTAGAAGTACTTATTGGGTTGGTATAGGGGCTGCATGGGGCAGGGCTGGGCATACTTCTCTGATCTTCTGAAGAATTATTAAGCAAGTGGGCCGACTCCTGATGTCATGAGTGGGGATGTCGTGCTGCTGACGAACTCGGTCTCGGATGAGGCAATGGAGCCGAGTTGTATAGCTGAACATCCGGTTCCGGGCCGTGCTCGGTTTCATACTCTATCCCGGATAGTCATGGTATCTATGTCATTCCTGTGTCTTAGATATCTTGGATACTCTATATCTATATCACACCCCGCCAACATATTAAAAAATCACCTACAGCTTGCTCTTCGGTCCATTCTTCAGCACCGCCGCATTCCATGGGTACGGGTCAAACACCAGGTCGTTGACCGGGTTCTCCTGGCTGGCCCGGCGGAACAAATCCGGATACACATCCCCGTCATACTTGCCCAGACTGCTGTCCAGCTGCCAGTCTGGGATCTTCCACGAATCCACCAACCGCACCGCATGCGGCCGGATCTCATCCAGGAGCTTCATCACCGCATTGTTCTGCGTCAGCCCGATCTGTCGTACCGTCACTGCACTTGAGGAAAAGAACTCGGACGACTCGCGCTCCAGTGTGTGCAGTGCATACAGACGGAACAGCTTGTGCAGTACGCCAGATGTCTCCGCGTCCAATGCTCCCGTCACCTCCGGTGAGGTCACCGCCTCGTAAAAGTTCCTCACCACCAGGTACTGCGAGTGCGCCGTGGACAGGCGCCAGAAGTCGACCAGTAAGCTGTTCCACGACCGCTTCTCCACGTCCCGGTGCTTCAGCGCCTCAAACGTCAGGTGAGCGGTTCGCCACGCGAACGCTGCCACAATGTCGGCGTCGTTGCCGAGGATATCGAACGAGGCACCCATGTCGCGGCGCGCGAGGTATGCCTGAAGGATCTTGGAGGTGTCGTTGTTGGAGCCCTTGCCAGCAAGAACAGCACGGGCGGATTTGAGAAGCTAGACAATTAGCCGAGAAAGACCACCAGAAGGAAGATACTTACATATCTTGCTACCTGCTGCGTCAACATGTAGTTGTCACCCTCCCAGGTGAGCGTAGGAAGATAGTCAGAGTACCACGGTCCAATGCCGCTGTAGCTGCTATATCCATGGCCACCACAAGCACGGCGGCACACTTCAAGACCTTCACCCGCTGTCGTACTAGCCAGAGCCTTCAGACCACAAGACGTAGCGTGAAGATCGGCCAGCAGGTCGGCACCCGCCCGCAGCTCCTCCGGCCCAGCGCCGCGCTTCTCCTGGGCCGCCTGGGCCGCTGCCTTCATGCGGTTCTGGTTCTCCTGGTAAAGACGCATCATGCCGCGACCGGTAAAGTGCAGGGCGTACATCGACGCGAGCAAGGGCAAAAGCCGGATCTGCACCATCTTGTAGTTGATAACCTGGTTTTCGCCCGCGTTGCCCGTGGAATCCCGGTCCTGGAACTGCTGGCGCACCGCGCAGTAGCGGGTGGCAATGGTCACACCCCGAGCCAAAACACCACCAGATTGGAGCACAATGTTGGAGCGCACCCACGTCAGAGTGCCATAGATGAGAGACGGCGAGGCTGGTCGCATGTACTGGTTGGTCTCCTTGTCAATGCGCGAGAACCGGGCCAGCATGTTCACGTGGGGAATTTTGACTTTGTTGAATAGGAGGAAGCCGTTGTCCATGGTGCTAATCCGTCAGTAGGCGCCTAGTGCCTTCAAGGTTGAACTTACTTGTAACCAAACTTGGGTCCGATATCGCCAACGTAGACATTCTCCAATGGCTGATGGGTTTCCATATCACGGATCTGGACCACAAACGGGTGCGGGCCATAGTTCTTGCCATTGATATACAGTTGAGCCATGACTACAGCATGGTTGGCCGTGCGACCCAGCGATCCGATCCACCACTTGGAGGCCGTCAGGGTGGGAGAGTTGATGGTGAAGGTCTTGTCCTCCGGGTTCCAGGTGGCAGTGGTCTCCAGTCCACGCACGTTCGACCCATGACCCAATTCCGTTTGTGCATAACATCCCAGTATCTGATAGTTTTGTGCGCGCTCGAGGAAGAGTTTGTGTTGTTCGGGGGTACCTTGTTCCCGCAAGGTGACCTACAGCTGTTAGCCCAACACCAGCAGCATGAGATAGGTATGAGACGTACCAAAAACATCGTCGCATGCAGCCCATATGGAGTAGGCTCGGCCAGCAATTCATTGGCGGCGTGGTACTCCTCTTGCGACCAGTTGTGTTGCACCGACAACTGCTGCAGTCGCTTCCCCTTGGCGAGGGAGCGCTGGATCCGCTCGGTCCGACCCAGGGTGTGATTCTGTGACTTGTCGAAAACTTCTTCAGCTTGCAGGATGGAAAGGATGCGCTGCTGACGGTCCAATGCCTCCTTGGTGTGCAGCAATTCGCCCAGCCGGTCGACAGCGACATTGGACTGAGCGCGCTCCTGCTGCAGGAGTTGCGAGCCGTGAGGCTGGGCGGGCTTGAGGGCCTTGACCCAATCGGGAGGAGGAGATGGCATGATGATGGTAAAGTGCGGAGTATGGGGGAAGTGGGAACTGGGAAGGGAGGAAGAAGTTGGGGGGCGGAGGCGTTATAAGCGATGCTCACGGGGGGATTATTCGGTCGAGACGCCGCGGGACCTTCCTGTTGCGGTAACAGCCGAGGCTGATGGTGTGGTGGCCTTGGTGCCTGAGAGATTGTTGAGAGCGAGTTGCCGGCCGACCGCTTCCCCGTGCCCGTGGCCATTTGTTCCGTGATCACCGGGAAATTCAGTGCCGACTCATCCCTGCGACCGCCATCTGATAACTGTCGTCGGTCACACACGGACATGAGTACCTGATAAACAGGAGTCATGATCTTTACCTGGTTCATGTGGAAACACTGTGAAGACAATTTGCAACCATTAGATGTACAGATCTTCCTTTTCAATGGGCAGTCTGGCTGTTTCACCCAGCTCTCACTCCTAATTCTCTGTGAATGGGATGACCGAGCAGATAATCTAACAGAGCTGCTCTAGATCCGGTTGTTCACATGTCGCTATTCAGCAGCCAGGAGAAAATGACCCTGAAAATGGCCTCGTATCATCCCAATTCCCCGGCTCCACTCTCACATGTGAGGCCGTGTCCCCCGGGTTCCCCGGTTGAACCAACTTTGGAGTCATACCCACATGTCTGCCACCTGACTGGCTTCCCGGACCATCAATTACTTGCGCTGACCACATCTTTCGATAATTCTCCTGCTCCCGCTCCCCCATACGTCTCCGAGTATCGTGCTTCCAGCCAATCCTCCACCCTTATCGGCGGGTATTTCGCCTCTTCCGTCTCCGCCTTGCAGCTCGGGATACACTCCACCAGATAGTCCAGATTCCCAGAGATAAAAAACGGCACGCTGTATCGTTCCTGCCCACTGGTGTTGATCACACGATGGAGGTTCGATAGAAATTGGTCGTTGGTCCATCGCATCATCATGTTGCCTAAATTCACCACCAATGCGCCCGGGACAGGTTCGGCATCGGCCCACTGGGATGACTCTCGGTCCCAGACCTGCAGTCCTCCCTTGTCATCCTGGAGTAGAATCGTGAGTCCTCCAAAGTCAGTATGAGCACCAATTCCTGCCATCGCCAGTAAGTAAAATGCAGGAATTGTAACTTGATGAGATCATACCGCGTTCTAGACCATCCGCCGGCTGGGGTGGGTACCGCAATAACCGCATGATATTGGCCGAGTCGTGACAGAAACCATCGAACCAGTCCTCGTTCAAGTCCAGTGTCTGTGCCAGTACTTTGAAGATATTGAGGGCTAGATCAGCCATGGCAATATGGTAGTTGTTCACGGTGTTCCGAAAGATGGCCAGGTTTTGCATCTCTTCAGGGTACTTGTTGAGCCCCAGGGAGAACCTTCCAATCAAGGGATGTCCCATTGGGAGATCTTGACAGAGGTAAAAGCCCTCCTTGAGGTCGCCGGTCCCATTACCAAAGCTCTGTTCACGAAGACGCTCGTATCCCAGGTTTACCGGCTCGACGGCTGCAACTGGTCAGCACGCCTGCTGTATCTAAGCATTGTAAGGAATTACCTCGACTGTATTTGTCCTTCACTTCGAGCGGTAGTCTAAATAACTCTTGAGCCTGTTGAAGAATAGCGGCCTGCAGATCGGACGGCACCCGATGATTGATGATCTGGAAGAATCCATGTCGCTCGCATGCCTGACGGACTTGCTGGACTAACTCTGCCTTTTTGCCGGCATCATCGCCATAGAATGCTGTGCTTGTTAGACCAAGCTAGGTGTTCGTCTGGATAAGGTTGGTGGAGACGTACGCCCAAAGTCAATAATAGGAGGTGCGGTAGCCATGGTGAGCACCTACGGTGAGCAGAACAGCTCGGCGGTTGAATGTTATTTCAGTTCAAGATGGAGTGTTGTGGTTGTGCAACTGCGGGGTATTCAGCAGATGATCCAGCCACCTGCGCCAGTGGTTCAGCCCATGTCGTGCATAGCATAGTTCACCAATCCCTGCCAAATGGGACGCTAGGAGCGGGGAATGACACTTGGACAGATCGATCAACAGTGCTTCACTGTAGGAAATAATTTCCGGAAAAGCCGCCAAGGCAGACTGACTATTGAAGCGAGAGGTATAATAACATTTAAAATATTGGTTCATGAGCAAGCTAATATATGTAGACTATAGTTTGGCGAGAACTCCGTTGGGCTCGAGGACAGACAAATGCCTTCGGTGAATCTCTGCAATCGACCGACATCTGCGCCCGTTAGCAAGTCATTTATACTATGGCATATCACCTACCCAGCTAGAGCCATTGTGATCTTCAGCTCCTGGCGTAGGATCCGAATAGCCAACTCCACGCCTTGTTGGCCGTCATACTAACAAGGTTAGAGTACTTCGCATCGGTTGGTGACTTCACTTACCGCAAGCCCCCAGATGGGAATTCTTCCCAAGAAACAAAAGTCGGCCCCCAGTGCCAAAGCTTTGAAGATATCGGAGCCTCGGCGGATGCCGCCATCAATGGCTATCGGGATGCGGCCCTTTGCGACCGGAGCGCAGTCCCGGAGGGCATCCAAGGTGGCCGGGGCACCGTCCAGTTGACGACCCCCGTGATTGGAGATGATCACCCCGTCGACCTTGTACTGAATAGCGAGTTCAACATCCTCGGGCGCGCTTACTGCTAGGGTCAGTACACTGCTGGATCAAGTCGATTGATACCTACCTCCTTTCAGCCATATCTGCATCTTGGTATGTTCTCTGAGCCAAGGGATTGCGGTCTCCCAATCAAGGCTGGGATCTGTGACCATCAGCAAGTTTCAAGAACTGAACGCAATACCCACCATAATCAGTCCGATTCGAATTATCACTCCCCGAGCTGAGAATATTAGGATACTGCATCTCTTCTGGCATCTGATACTCATTCCGGTACTCGTTCAACCGCTTGCCTAGGACAGGCACATCCACCGATAAAAAGAGAGCCTTGTAACCGGCCTTTTCTGCCCGCTCTAGAAGCTGCAATGTGAGAGACCGATCCCTCAGCACGCACATTTGAATCGCATATGGGTTTCCGCAACCCTGCAGGGCGACATCTTCCAGCGAGCAGGTGGAGTACGAGGATAGACCCATGCAAATACCAAACTTGGCGGCGGCGCGAGACGTGGCGAGCTCGCCATCGGGGTGGGCCAGTTTATGGGCGGCTGCTGGGCTGAACCCGAAAGGCAGAGGGACCTGCCCGTGTCAAAAACATATTGGAGCGAGATGAGAGGGCATACCTTTGTCCCAAGTATTGTTGTACTGGTGTCGAGCTTCCCCACGTTGATCAAAACCCGCGGTCGGATTCGGTACCGGTCATAGGCAGCTTCGTTGTCGCGCAATCTATGCCATCAGTGTGTGAAAAGATTGTCTGGACGGGATATTGCGTACGTGATGAGGTCCATAGCTCCTTCGTTGTAGTAGTCTATTGAGTACCACAGTTAGTTACTGTGATCCATGATTGATGCCAAACCTACCTCGGACCATCTTGGGGAGCTTCTTGCTCCCGAGAGCTTTCAGATCGGCAATACACGAGACATTTTTCTCAAAGGTCTCTCCTCGATGAGCCATGTTGGAGATATAATACAGTGGTGAAGGGTAAATATTCCCCAGCGGTGCTCGACTACAATATTACTCGGTCAGTCTTATATACGGTGCTCGCAAGGATCGCGGCCCCAAAGAGGAAGGCAAAACCAAAGAGGAAAGTAAAAGTATGTTATCTCGTCCAGATATGGCTCAACAGGGCAATATCATGGATACATTGCCCATCGAAGCATCGCTGCCATATGCTATGAGCGTCCGTGCATCGGGCAGCTTATCGATTATCCCCAGATTCTGGTCTCCTCGGAACCACCTACCATTTACAATACTCCCACCATCACCGCTTTTACTCCTCATCACGTCTTTTTCTTTTCATCTCCTCATTATTAGTGATTATAACTACATCCCTGTTACATTCCCAGCATCTTGCATCAAACTGGTCAATCAGTCACAATGGCAAAAATATTCTTGTAGGTATCTCGAGACAAGTTGTCTTGGTATCTGCTTACAAGTTAAAGAACTGGAGCTTCAGGATACATCGGCGGGGATGTGCTTTATGCACTGAAAACGGCCTTCCCAGACTGCAACTATACGGCCTTGCTGAGGGACGAGCAGAAGGCGCAGGCAATTTCCAAAGACTATCCTGATCTGCACATCATCCTGGGAGACTTGGACTCGTCCTTGATTCTCGAGGAACAGGCCCGTGAAGCAGATATTGTCGTTCGTGAGTAACAACTCTTGTCATTTAGTTCACTGGTAACGGCGAGTGCGTCAGATACCGCCAGCTCAAACCACATCAAAAGTGCCGAAGCCATCGTCCGTGGGTTGACTGCGCCGGGAAGATCAAAGCCAGGTAATTCCATCAACATATATTCCTTATGTGGCTAAGAACAAGCAGGGCACTGGATCCAGATCTCCGGTGCGAGTGTTCTCTCCATCCCGGATATCGAGAAGAACGCCTTCGGTGAAGCCTCGGCAAATGTCTACAACGATCTTGAGGGAGCAGATGAGCTCCGATCCCTCATTGAACGGTACTCGGCAAAGCGGATAGTGGACAACTTTATCCTCAGTCTGTCTGCGAACCGACTCAAAACTGCACTTGTCTTCCCTCCAATCATCTACGGTCGCGGCAGAGGGTCTATCAACCAGCGCAGCATCCAGATTCCCGAGCTCGCGAGAGTGATAATGCAACGCCGGGAAGGAGTTCAAGTAGGAAAAGGCGAAAGCACGTGGAGTAATGTTCATGTGTCGGATGTCAGCAGTATCTTTGTGAAGCTGGTCGAGAAGGCTTTGCAGGGTGAGGATAGAGACTTGTGGAACGAGCATGGGTTGTATTTTCCCGGAAATGGGAATCTGGTAAGTTCATACTTTGATTCATTCAGAGTGTTGCTAATCGGCCAGTCATTCGGAGCCATCTCCGCCCGAGTTGCCCAAGAAGTGAAGAATCTTGGCCTTTCTGATTCCACATCAGTAATCGAAATCAGTCATGAGGAGGCGGATTCACTGACTCCCCATGGAGGAGTGCTCTGGGGAACGAATGCTCAGCAGGTGGCGCAGCGAGCCCGCCAGTACCTCGGATGGGTTCCTGCGGGAAGGACACTGGAAGAGGAGATCCCAGCCACGGTTCTTGCCGAAGCCCAAAGACTGGGGCTGAAATAGATAGCCTCAATAATCAATGCATCCAAGATCATATTACGCGTGATATTGCTTAATGCCTGAGTTTCGATGACTGTTATCTGCTTATCGGGTGCGAACTAAGCCCGAGATAGCAGGTCCTTCCGACGCCCTCTCATCCAAATCGGGGAGGAGGTTCCGCGGGATTCCCTGCCTGAGGATGATCCACCATCTATCATCATCTTCCCCTCGGCTCTACCAGTGTCATCTACTGCCACCTGATTATTGACTGGCTATCGACATGACCGCCTCCAAGCAATCAGCCCACCGCACCCGTCGGTCCCATGGTTTGGGAGCCTGCAAAACATGTCGCCGACGCCATGCCAAATGCGATCAACGACGGCCGACCTGTCAAATGTGTCGGGCCACCGGGGTGACATGCGAGGGATTCACCGATGAGATCCGCTGGATGCCCAGGAGGCACCAACCCGGGACCATAGATGGGATTGATGATAAGCAAGGCGCTCGACGCCATCTCTACACAGGTGATGGCGCTGTTGACTCGGCTATGTGCTGTTCTGACCACTTCTAGAGAAGTTGAGAGTTTCCATGAGCGATGCCTTGAGTGCGGATCTGGTGTCTGGCTCCATCGATGCATCTCTGGCAGAGATCGATACCCGATCGCGGGAGTCGGACAAGTCATCCCAGGGGGATATCGTGGTCGGACCATTTGCCGTGCTGAATCTGACGACTTCGAATCTTGCGTTGCCCCAGACTAATACCGAGAGTTTGAATGTGGAGGCCGCTTTGGATCCGCTGGACGACGGCAGTCCCGTCGTTAGTCCGTCCCTGTCGCAGGAGTCGATTGCATACATGAATGATCTGTTACAGTGGTCCGATATTCTGAGCTTGGATCCCCAGATGCACACTGCCGCCCTTTCCGCTCCATTTGATCTGGGCGATTGGTTGCCGCTGGAATCAGCGACACAGATACCTCTGGAGCAGAACGTCACTGAAGACCCTAGCGCGACTGGTCAGACACAGGTCTACATGTCTGTTGTGCAAGAGAGTATTCGGATGACCCAACCCTTGATTGACCCCAACCCGCCTGATGTACTGGCAGATGCCCATTTCCTACTGCGGCATTTTCAGGACCACGTTATTTCTCGGATGATGGCCATCCCTCTGGACCAAAAGTCGACCTGGAAGGTACTGAATGTCCCTTCTGCTGTTGTCACATACAGCGATATGACGTTTCTAGGGTCTCAAAACATTAGTCATGCTCGACTCGCAAACCTGTATTGTCTCTTGGCTTGTGCAGCCCTCCACCTCGCTGTGGACCCATCTATGGGGACGCCGGATTCCAAGGAACGCTGGAGACCGGTTGCCGATTACGCTTACCATGTAGCAAAAGATCATATGCAGATGTCCTTGAAGAATGAGACGCAGGAGCCGAAAAAGGCCAAGTACAAAGACCAGCTAATGGCTATCTGCGCCTTGACAGAATTTGCCGTAGGTCCTGCCGCATTATTGGAGACGCTTACTGAACGAGGCAGATTTTAAGTGGTCAGCAGCAAGACGCAAGGTGTTACCTGATCGATGCAGAAAGGCTACTGCGTCTCCGGGGTCTGGCCAAGGCTCGCATTTCCCAAAAGGCACGCCTACTGCATCATTTGTATACCTGGCAACGGATTGTGGGAGAAAGCACCTACGCTCTACACGATTATGCCCCCTCGGATTCCTTCATGGAGGCGCTCAAGCATCGCTTTCGATATCAAAAGGTTGAGACCACTCCATCAGCAGACCGCAACACCCGTCTGGACGATTTTCTGCGCTTGGATCGGCGGCCGGCCGATAGCGACTTGAACATTGACGAACCCAAAGATACTGAGATCGGTCTGTATGACATTCATTTACAAGACTCGCGAAAGTATCCTGCTACGCTCTACTCCCAGATTTACGGAGTGTCCGAGACATGGCTCAGCCTGGTGTCGCAGACGACGAGACTGGCCAATGTCATGGAGACGTTTCGGGTGGCGCGCGAAAGCCGGGTGAAGCCCGTCAGCTTGGAGGCTTGGGAAGCCTTGCATCGGCGTAGTGATCGCCTTGAGAGTATGGTTTGCTCGCTCAAGGAGAGGGCAGACTCGATGGGTAAACTGTCCAAGTCACATGAAAGCTTGCTCCAGGCATTGAACTCGGCCCTAGTGATCTTCTTTTACCGACGCATCCGTCAGGTTCATCCGGCTATCTTGGAAGGCCAGGTAGACAAGGTAATCTCGGCATTGAGTGAGTTTGACCTGGCGTTGGCGGATGCGAACCTCACGGGGCCCGGTACTGTGTGGCCTCTGTTCATTGCTGGATGTGAAGCAACGACACCGGACAGACGTAAATCTATACTGTTTCTGCTGGACAAGGGGGAGGCACGGTGTGGGTTCTCGTCCTACCACACTATCCGGGATGTCATGAAGCAAGTCTGGGAGAAGCAAGATGCGCACATGGCAAGGAGGGAGGCTTTTCCTACTTGGCTCGATATTGTAAAACAGAAACAAGTCTGGCCAATTCTAGCGTGACTGTTTAACGAAGCTACGAGATACGATACCACATTTATATGAGTCGTTTATTCAATCTATATCAATCATGAGCTCTTCACCACGGTGACGCCGGCATTCTCAACCAGACCAGCTAACTCAACCTGGAGCTCCTCCTTCAACAAAGAAAATGGTTTCCGAAGCCCTCCGGTGGACTGTCCTCTCAGCTCAACTCCTGTCTTGACAGCCGCGGCATAGTTGTGCGACTCGAGGAACTTGCAAATCGGCCACGCCTTGGCCCACAGTTCACGACCCTTCTTGAGATCTCCATCCACGGAGACAGCATTCCACAACTCCACCGCCAGCTCCGGGATGATGTTGGCAGCGCCCCAGATCGCACCGGGGGAGCCAGCCGCGAGTCCGTAAAAGGTGAGGGTATCCCATCCGTTGAAGGCAGTGATTTGATCCGACAATCCAAAGACTAATTCGGTGTAGGCCGGGGCATTGCCAGAGGTGTCTTTGAGATACTGAACGCCGACCTTGCCGAGGCCCGCAATCTGCTTCGGCGAGAGAGTCAACCCGCTGGCTGCGGGAATATTGTAATAGACAATCGGCAGCTGACTGGCTTCACGAATCTCGGCCATCAGCTCTGTCAATTCCTCCACGTTGAGAGGATCGTAGAAGGGCGGCACGACCATGACGGCTGCAGCACCGGCTTGGGCTGCATGGCGCGCCAGATCGACCGCTTCCTCGGTCGAGGTACTTCCTGTGCCTGCGACGACAGGGACTCGGCCTGCAGCATATTCGACGCAGAGTTCGGTGAGCTGCTTGCGTTCTTGGCGAGTCAAGGTGGTGAATTCGCCGGTGCTGCCGCCAGGAACGAGGCCGTGCACACCGGCGGCGATCAGATGGTCGATGTGGGCTTTTAGCCTTGCTGCATCGATTTGGGTCTTGTCATCTGTGAATGGAGTGATGAGGGCGACCATGATGCCGTGAAGAAGGGGTTGTGTGGCTGTCATTTTGTGGGATGCTAAATGAACAACATATGGTTGAAGCAGTGTTGGTCCATGGTGCTGTGGATTACATATATGTCGATGCGACGGGATTGCCTGCCTCATTACTGTATGAGTCTATACAAATGTGTTGTTGCGATGAGTTGCACGAGCCCTAATTCCTCGGAACGATCCGGAACCTCCTTCCCTTTTGGTGGGGGCAGGCAATTCCGGCGCCTAGCGCTGCACCGGCGCCAGACTATTCCCATTTGCATCAGATCGTCGGAAGTGAGGGGTAATCCATTATCTGTCAGTTATCGCTTATCGGTCTGGTATCCCTCGTGACAAATTCGATTGCCAACCAGCCCGAACCACCCCCGAATAGGAAGTTCTAGCCAAGGAGCATATATCAATACTTCACTCACGTCGCTCTTGCTACGCGGTTTATCATCAAGGACTGCGAGATCATGGCCGACTCCCTCTACATCGACATTACCACGCCTAATGGCCGTCGGTACCAGCAACCGACCGGTCTTTTCATTAACAACGAGTTCCGGCCTTCATCTGGTGGCCAGACTATCGTGTCGTTGGATCCAGCGTGGGTGCCACATACCTTTTAATGATTGTTCTAACTGGTGTAGAACCGACAAGTCGATTGCGACCGTTCATGCTGCAACCGCAGAGGATGTCGATGCTGCCGTGCAAGCCGCAAAGGCTGCTCTGGGGCATCCGTCGTGGAAGCTTCTTCCTGCCACCGAGCGTGGACAGTTGATGGGCAGATTGGCTGATCTGTTGGAGGAGAACAGAGAGCTGTTCGCTTCCATCGACGCGTGGGATAACGGTGCGTGTCTACCTTCAGTGTCGGGCGTGGCTAATGTATGTAGGCAAACCCTACCACGTGGCATACGACGAAGACCTCACCGAGGCTATCTCTACAATTCGCTACTACAGCGGTTGGGCCGACAAGACCTTTGGACAGACCATCAGCACAACTCCGCAAAAATTCGCCTACACCATCCGCCAACCCATTGGTGTCGTCGGGCAGATCATCCCGTGGAACTATCCCCTTTCCATGGCTACATGGAAACTCGGCCCTGCACTGGCCTGTGGAAACACCGTCGTCATTAAAGCTGCTGAGCAGACGCCGCTCAGTATTTTGGTCCTCGCGACGCTGATCAAGCAGGCTGGCTTTCCTGCCGGAGTGGTCAACGTCATCAACGGCTACGGAAAGGAAGCCGGGGCGGCGCTGGTGCAGCACCCACTGGTTGACAAGGTCGCCTTTACAGGATCCACTGCTACCGCACGAGAGATCATGAAGATGGCCGCCGGGACACTAAAGAACATCACACTCGAAACGGGAGGAAAGTCCCCGCTGATCGTGTTCCCTGATGCAGATCTCGAGCAGGCCGTCAAGTGGTCGCATTTCGGCATCATGTCGAACCAGGGCCAGATCTGCACGGCTACTTCGAGAATCTTCGTGCATCGCAGTATCTTGCCATCATTCTTGGAGAGTTTCAAAAAGGCGGTTGAGACGACGTCTAAGATTGGAGACCAATGGGACGAGAGCACCTACCAAGGACCGCAAGTGACCCGGGCACAGTACGAGCGGGTTCTGTCGTACATTGAGACGGCCAAGAAGGAGGGCGCGACGGTGCTGACCGGCGGAAAGGCATATACCCCTGCGGATGAGAAGAACGCCAAGGGATACTTTATCGAACCGACGGTGTTTACAGATGTGACAGATGATATGCGCATCTGTCAAGAGGAGGTGTTTGGGCCCGTGGTGGTCATTCTACCGTTTGATTCAGAGGAGGAATCCATTCGTCGGGCCAATGACTCTACCTATGGTCTGGGTGCTGCTGTCTTTACGACGGATCTGGAACGGGCACACCGGGTGGCTGCGGAAATCGAGGCCGGTATGGTCTGGATCAATAGTAGTCAGGACTGTGATCCTCGAGTACCGTTTGGAGGAGTTAAGCAGAGTGGCATTGGACGGGAATTGGGGGCAGCTGGTTTGGAGGCGTATTCGCAGTTGAAGGCGGTTCATGTGAATATGGGGAGTAGACTATAGCTATGCTGAGATGACTTTATTCTAAATGATGTATTCAGTTTAGAGTAAACTACTACTACCTGGACAAAAGAGATCTCCGTTAGCTACTGACGTAGGTAGAAGATGCCCAACCATAAACAGCCCCAGGCATCCCGAGCTGATGATGTATCTAATCCAAAGTTATGACAGTAGACACATAATCGTTCAAATCAATTGTCACAACTGCGATGTTATCTACTGATATCTATCGATCTCACCCGCGGAATCAACTACCTAATCGGTCATTGCCACAAACATACCACTGTATACTGCGCCATATTGGACACCATCACCGAGCTATCTTTGTATCTCCCCGGACCCCGCAATCCACTATATCTAGCTGTAGCATCTGGCAGCATGCATATATGCTGTCCTCTTCACCTGTACTGCGAAACAATCAAACCAATCCACCATGACAGACACCGAAAAAGCCTCTATACATCAAGATGTCCCCGACAAAGCCGAGGGCGAGATTCTCCCTGCCCAAGCCCAAACTAACGAGCTACACCGTACCTTTAAGGCTCGCCACATCCAGATGATCTGTCTTGGTATACCCTTCCATTCCCATATCCCATACCTCTCATCTAACATCCACAGGAGCCAACCTCTCCAGCGGCCTCTTCGTCAGCACCGGAAAGGTACCCCCTCCCCTCCCCTCCAACCTAACCCTAACCAACCACTAACAAAACAGTCCCTCAAATACGGCTCCGCATCCGGCATGTTAATCGCCTACACCATCGTCAGCATCGCCGTCTACCTCCTCATGAGCCTCCTCACCGAAATCACCTGCATCTGGCCCACATCTAGCAGTTTCATCGACCACGCCGCCCGCTTTGTCGACCCAGCCTTGGGTTTCGCCATCGGTACTCCCCTCCCCTTTCCCCCACATAAACCCCCCTAACCTCACCCCACCGCAGGAATAAGCGAATACCTCGCCTACACGACCATAATCGCCTCCGAAGCCTCCATAACCCGCATCCTCCTAACCTGGTGGACAACCTCCCTCCCCACCCCCGCCTGCATGACCATCTTCCTCTTCATCATCTTCACCATCCACGCCCTTCCGAACCGGTTCTTCGCTGAATTCGAATTCCTCACCGCCTGCGCAAAGGTCTCCATGATGCTGATCCTTATCTTTGCTTGTGTTGCTATGCTCTCCGGCGCCGGTGATACCCCGGATACTCCGTATGGGTGGAATTATACTTCCGCCCCTACCTTCCCCAACGGCTTCAAGGGAGTGTGTGAATGTATCCCGCTGGCGGTATGGGCCATGGGCGCCCAGGAAATAATGGGTATAAGTGCAGGTGAAGCGAAGATGCCTCGATGGGATATGCCCAGGGCTTGTAGGGGGTTGATTGTACGGTTGGTTGTGTTTTATGAACTATCTATCGTGTTCATCACGCTCCTCGTCCCATATACATCCCCAGAATTACTAGGCACGAGCGGTAGCGTGGCCGCAAGTCCATTCGTGATTGCTCTCCAAAACGCCAAGATCCCAGTCCTTCCATCCCTGCTTAACGCGGTGATTCTACTAGGGGTTTGTTCTAATGCCGCAGAGGCGATGTACGTCGCTTCGAGGATTTTAACGGCTTTGTCATCAATGGGAATGGTTTGGCCGATATTCGGGAGGATTGATACCCGCGGCCGACCATACATTTCTCTTCTTGTTACAGGGATCTGTTCCACGTTGTTCACGTATATCAACTGCAGTGGAACTGGCGCGCAGATCTTCACCTGGTTTAGTTCGATTTCCTCGACGGTGTTTTTCCTCGCGTGGTTGACCATCTCCATCACGAATATCCAAATGCGAAGGGCGGTGCGAGCACAAGGGGACACCGTCTTCGAGGAACGGTTTGCGTGGAGGTTAAGAGGATGGCCTGTTCATGCTATTTGCTTGTTGGGATTGTGTGGGGCTTGTTTGGGGATGATGGCGTATGTGAGTGTGAGGCCGATTGGAAAGGAGACCAGTGCGGAGGGCTTTTTTGAGGTTTTTCTGGGAGTTCCGGTTTTTGTGGTCTTGGGGGTGGGGTATAAGTTGTGGAAGGGGACGGGGTGGTGGATGTGAGAAGGGCGGATTTGGGGATGGGGAGGAGGGGGTTGAGTGTGTGGGAGGTGGGGGTTTTGGAGGAGTATGAGGGGTTGAGTTTGTGGAGGAGGGGGTGTCGTATTTGAGGTTCTAGGTGAGTTTCTTGGGGGGGTGGGTATAGATATGCGTATGGATGTGGTGGTGGATAAAGATATATGGATGCAGGTACTGTATACCTTTGATGCTTAGCCTTAGGTTTGTGGAGGAGGTATGCTATGCAGAGTTATCTTACTTCTCTTCTTGATATACTATTCTAATTCTATCGATTGTCTGGATTAAACATGTCATAGGTATCCTCTTAGCCGCATCGCATGTCACAATAACAATATAGACCAATATATGTGTTTCATGGCCTTTTGTATCTAAGCGTTGTGCATTGGTAGATAGCACTAGCGCTACGGGTAAGAGAATGAATGGAGAAAAAAGAAAAAATAATGCATCATCCGTGAATCGAACACGGGCCTCATCGATGGCAACGATGAATTCTACCACTAGACCAATGATGCTGTTGATATATTTCTGTCTTGGGTTTTAGGTATATGAGGCTGGCTTCAGGGTAGATGTATGCTGGATGGGCTTGGGGATCAGATTGATTCAAGTCGTTATATATGTATATAGTTGGATACAGTTGCTATTGCCCTAGAGTAGTATGAAGTTGATTCAGCCTTGGCAGTTGCATTAGATTTTCTGATCTAGATATAACCCCGATAACTTTTCCACACAAGGGAAATATATATAGTGCGACTCATGGATAGCAGGACATACTATACTAGTAGTAGTACCCTGTTGACATATAGTAAAAACTGCGCAGCACTCATCCGTGCATCTATAGTTGACAGCCAAAGTCATCTGACTATTTATACTAAATTTTATATCTGTCAAATCCATTAAACAAAACCAATCCTAACTACCAAAGAAATACCACATATCATACACCCAAATATCATCACGACGCCATCCTCTCCACCCTAAGCTGCAACTCCTTCACCAACTCAATACCCTCACTAGTCGCCTCATCCAAACTCTCCTCCGGCAACCCCAACAACTCATTCTGCGCCTTGGCCGAATGCTCACTCGCCCCATCGGGATAAAACGCCCTCGCATACAACAACTTACTGAACCCCGCCATATTCCCCTTCTTAACCATCGCCATACCCTCCTCATACCTCTTCTTCGTATCCTCATGAGTAATCGTCCAATCCTCATCCCTCGTCCCCGTAACCCGCTTCACACTCTCAAACATATCCCTCTGACTGACCACAAAACTCTTAACATACACCCCCTGATTCAAGAACCTCGACAGAGTAAGACTCGTATCGTTCTCATCCTCAGGCACCTCCTTCAAACTCAACACCTTCGCCACAGCCCTACCCACCTGCGCCAACGTCGACGTCGTATTCTTCGTATTCCCATCATCATAGAACGTCAACGTCCTCTTCTCGAAATCAAACCCGAACCGAGAATCTCCCCCCGCAAGACTATAATCATACCAGAACCCACAACACACACTCACCCATTGCATACCGAGGCTGTTGATTTCCTCGCGACTGGCCTGTGCAATCGGACCAAGGATGGTATCCACTCCCAGCGATACGTTCTCGATGTCCCCCGCGTAGCTGTTCGGCATGATGTACGGGATTCCGGCCTTGGCGGCTGCTTGGACCAGTTTGCTGTGTGTGTCGCGCGGGGCGGTCGGCGCCATGGTGATGATGAGGAATTGATGGTCCTTTAGGGCTGAGATGATCGTCGATTCATCGTTGTAGTCGACTGGGGCGATGTGCACGCCTGATGGGAGTTTGTTTCCGCTGTCTTTTCGGGAGAGTGCGGTTACGGTGTGTTTTCCTGTTTGGAGGAGCGCGCGCGTGATGTGCGAGCCGATGGTGCCGCCGGCCTGGATGGGTTAGATTTTTTTTTTGGGTTGGGGGTGGTGTTGGGGGAGGGGAAGGGAGGGGTAGGGAGGGGCTTACGCCGACAATGGCCACTTTCTCAATGGTGTTTTTGTACCCGACGGGCTGGTCTTTGGCGTATTTGGGCATTGTGGATGTGGGAGTGTGGATTGATGCGTTGATGGTTGTTGGTGTGCAAGCTGTGCGAGTAGATGTAGTAGTCAGTGTCTGGGTATGTTATGTGGAAGAGGGGATCTATTTATCATTTCATACCTGATCGTGCTCGAAAGCCTAAGCCTCGGACTAAAGATCTCCACATTGTAGAGTATGTCCGACTGGGTAGGGGAAATTTGTAATGTGATTGGTCCGGAGATACTAGTACCCGAAACAAAAGAGAGTTGAAGGGGCGAGGTCGGTCAAGTTAAAGGCTCGGGAGGCCGATAACCCCGCGCTTGTCCGCCGCAGTAGCCGCACGTAGGTATGATAGGTGGACCGGCGGTTAGGGGTAACTCCGCAATATCCGCACGTAAAGCCGCACGGGGCTTATGCGGGACGGAATGACGGCGATGAGGCGCCGATTGTGGTTCAAGTTTGATTGATAAGAGGGATTTCGCCAAGGTTGGAATTTGTGTTATTTGGTTGGGCGGTTGGTTTACGCCCTTTGTTCCAGACTGGTGGTTTTCTCTGGTGAGAATGGTAGGGAGTAAGTAAGATTGTTTCAAAATTACATGTATTAGATTATTGAGGTAAAGAGCTGCACTTGAATCATTGGAGTATCACATTACAGCTGAGGGAGATCGTGTCCAGGCAGATGCAATATGTGCGTCCCAATTTCTAACATCCTGCTGACTGACATTATGCAGCGGCATGACGGTGATTATCTGTCGTACTCCATACCAGGAGTATATTCATAACAAGCGAGATGATGGACCAGGCCGAGAGTTGATGGTCAACAGGACAGCCGCCCACCTTGATGACTGCCACAACCAATCAGAGACCCCAACAGGCGAACATAACAATAGCCCGAAGGATGTCCCGGTTAATCAACCCGAGGCCGGTAAGTTGCAAAGTTGAATCACTGACAGTCAACGCATCAAACCTGAAATTCAGGACCCAGCATGGGTAAATATGGCTCAATGAAGAATTGATCCCAGTCCACCTCCCAATCCATGTCAGGCACCGCGGTGGCCTCCGCTACCGGTGCCTGAAAGAACTCGTATCCCGCCTCGACCGCTTCCAGCTGAGCAAGTTCCTTTCGCTTCTTGGCCATATTCAACCCGAGTAGGTGTCGCGCCATCGACAACGCCTCTCGCGTCAGCCCCGTATCGGCAGCCTTGACAAGGTTCTCCAAGCCTTTGAATGCGGTCCCAATGTGAGCAGAGGCCGCTGGCGTGTCAATGGCTAACAGAATACAGGTATACTGAAAAACGCTGCCGATGACGTTCCAGAACAGACGACCCTGACTCGCTTGCTGCTCGGCCGCCTCCACTGCGGCATTGCCGCTATCAATAATAAGCTTGATGATATCGTCCGGGATACGGATCTTCAGCTGGTAAAGACGTCGATAGAAGCAAAACGCAATATCTGCCTTGGTCACCACCAGAAACGGATCGGTAAATTGAAGCTCATCCAGCGCTTGGAAACGCTTGAATAGCTCCTCACTCGGAGTAGGCTGCAATTCCAGCTGGAACGGGGAATTAGGCGATGGAATGATCTGAATCAGTTGGACGAACTGATCGGCAACAGACCCTGGAATCGAGATGATCGGCTGGCAAGTCACGGTTCGAAATGCTACCGGCGAACGATCGTACTCATACGACAGCATGGTATGTCCGGCCCATGCAATCCAGAATATTCTCCTCAACCGGTCCGTATCATGCCCAAGAACCGCGGCGCCAGCAAGCGACGCCATCTTTTTGATATTCTCTTCCTCGTGCAGCCCGATCGCTTCACAGAGGTGCATTTGCGTGCACGAGGCGATCCAAGCATTGCTGGGCCGGGTCGTTGCCCGTAGGTAAAGCACTCGCAGGCCCCAGGCGACGATATGATCGATGCCATGCAAACGCATCGAGGCCGGATCATCAAGGATGGCTTTGGCGTACTGCACCAGGTCCGACTCGCGCGGGTGTCGGTTGGGAGATAGGAACGATCCGAGAGCAGCAACGCCAGCGGCCACGGCGGCAAAGGCGACTGCATTACTGCCCGAACTATGGTAATAGTCCCGACATCGCTGGGCGTAGATTCTCGGATCCATCTGGTCGCCAATGGGGTTCAAGACCGAAAAGTATGCCCCCGAGAAGAAACCCAGGTCTTCCTCCGAGATGAGATTTCCCAGAAAGCAGTGCGCATTGGATGCCTCCTCGGGACGAATGCCAAAGTTGTAAGCAAACGACCGCATTTTTGGAGGGCTGTCAGAACCAAGGGCCACCCCTAGGATATGCGGAAATGCCATGGCCGCCGATGCCCCAGAGTATCGGAACTTCTGCTCGTCGAAGATGCCCGGGGACGCGCCAGCCACGACGGTGGGACTCTTCGTCGACGAGCCATCGCCTTCGCGGCGGCTGCTCGGACTGTAGTCTGTGGCGGAGCGACTCGTCAGACGATTTTCACCGTCGAGGCTGACGCGCTTGGCTGGAGGCGGAATAGTGGGGTGGTCGTCGGTGTACCTGCAGTTGTATCCGTAGGTGCTGCACATGCCACACGGATACACATTGTCGCATTTTCGCTTGCGCTCATGACAAGGAATGCATGCTTTTCTTGCACGCTTGCGCTTGACGTTTGTCGTCGACATGACTGGAAAGTGATTTGTGAAGCACTAGTGCTGAGCAAGACAAGTTACGTCTCAGCCGTAGATCAATGCTGGCTTCTGATTGGCTTTCGGAGTACTCGTAACGTGACCTATTGCCGGTTCTCACCGCTTCGCAGCACGCAGCACCGCAGGCAGAAACTAGACCTTCAAAGCTCACTCTAGAACTGTAGAGTTCATCGTCAGCCCGTTGGCCGGACCATTTGCAATACAGATAACGGGAGCTCCGATTTCTGTCGATTCTTCTTGCACTCTGAGGTCTAGTAAGATGACAGGTCGGAATCGGAATCTACTTTGTTTCCGCTTAGTCAATAGTGGAATCGAGCATGCATTCATAGCTACCTGAGAGGAGACTGTAAACTGACAGTACAAGCGACTGGCATACGGAAAGTTCCCGTCTAAGGCATCGCGAAGTGCTTTTACAAACAGAACATGAAGTTGTTAAGCATTTCCAATGCGCGCATATTGTGGAGATAATCACGTGAATGTTATGTACTTCATAATTATCTGCAGCTTCATAGCTCTATTTCTAATTATTCAAGACACTCGAAGGGATAGAGACCGGTAGTCTCGCAACCTCGATCGTATCGAGGTTAGGATCATACTTAAATAATCTAATGGTGCCATGGCAATTTCCCAACCTACAGAGAAAGTACCACTTGCAAATGATGCAGCTATAAACTAATCTTCATAGTGAAAAGTACATACGACCACAGGGTGTGGAGAACAGGGCTTCCCGTCCGCTCAGCCGTACTTAAGCCACACGCCGGGAGGTTAGTAGTTGGGTGGGTGACCACCAGCGAATCCCTTCTGTTGTATGTTTTTGTTTTTCTTTTGTTATTTTATTTTCTTGTCCGGTCATTAGATTTCATACTCTTTATTTGAAGGGTAGCCTGTCAGTTCAAGTGGACCATAAGTTTAGGTTTTTATCGTCTGTTCATCAATACGATACCGCCACATAGACTGCTGCATTATTTCCATAATCTGACAGTCGATAATGGTCCATCGCAAGCCATGACTATGTCATATCTGGCAGGTAGATAATGATCCCTAATAGTAATAAAACTGTCTCATGAATTACTGGTCAGAATCATTCAAATACGGTCTACATACAAACCATACAGGCAGTATGCATTTAGGTAAGTGAGATAACATAATATTTCCAGGTGACTATAGACTAGCCTCTGTTGTCCCGGTTGAATTCCGTTTGATGGGCAGGAGGTATTATTTGTAATAAACATTCTTGTTATATCTAAGTCAAGTCAATCATCATCGCTACTCGGTTCATCTGAAGACTCATCTGAATCCTTTACAGGATCCTCTTCCTCATTAACAGGCCCAACAGTCAGTTCTGGCGCAACCCACTCTGCATTCACAGCCCTCATCTCAGAAAACAAAGAAGTAAAATATCCATCAACCTTACCCGCCTGCTTCCGGGTAATCGATCTCGTCAACCTAAGCTCCACCCGACGTATCGACCCCGTCCCAAGCATCGTCTTAAGTCGATCCGAAAATCCGGTCGAGAACCCAACCATGCCATGTGACGGGGTGGCAATGACAACAATCTCCGCGAGCAATTCCAAATCATCCATTGGCAAAAGCAGCACCATGGGCCTTTCAATAACGAGAACACTCGGGTAAGCAGCAAGAACCCCACCCCCACCATTCACACCCCGAAAAGCCCGACGATAGTGTTTCGATGCAAGAGCATACGTCTCCCGATTCACCAGCATCAACGGCGGCATAAACGCCGTGGTAGCATAAATCCTCGGACGACCAGAGCCAACAGTCCTACACCAACCTGTCGGTCGTTGAGCAGGCGTATATCCCGAACACGTGATCGTGATTTGCGTCGGCTCCTCCATCGCCATCTCCCAGATTTTACATCTTAACTCGGTTGGTAGACGCGGAAATGGATGAAATGTCGGCTGATTTGCCATGGCCTTGGCTTTTGCGGCATCGAGATCCCGTCGCTTCGCCTCGTACTCTTCAACACTGTCGCAGCTCGCCCATAATGCCGTGTCGGCTTCGGCGGCTTTTTCTCCAGCCGTGCGCGGCCCGATACTGGGATTGCCGATGGAGATATACGGCGCTGCGCGAGTTGGGCGTAATATGCCGTCTTCTTTACGGCGAGAGTAGAATCGCCGGGGGTGGATGGTGTGGACTTTCCATTGTTCGTCGGTGTAGGTGTAGGGACTTGGTGGGGTGGACATTTTGATATGGTATTTAATCTGGGGGTAGGCTGAGGGGGAGAGGGGGAGTATTTATATGGAGAGTGGCTTATGATAAGCTAGTTGACCCCTGATATCTTACGTCATTGGTAAAATAGTGTATAATTCTGGCTTACGGTCGTGAACCAATGGGAGTGCCGGAGGTGAGACATACCTAGTACTGATCGGGGTTAATGAACATAGTGAAGGAATTAGTGCCATATCCATAGTTGATGGTGTGTTGATTACCCCCCAGTGATAGCCTTGAAACCACTGACTCTTTCAGTCATCGACGAGTTGTAGAGTGGTTAGGAAATCCTCAATACCGAAGCCGAAGCTTGATGATTATGGCATGAGCGCAAAAGAGTTATGTGAAGGCAGGTTTGAGCAGTCTCAAAGCAGGTACCAGTACCAGATGAGGCTTACAGAGTTGAAATTCATCATGCATGCATTGTGATCATGGCTTGAAATATTAGTCAATGTGGTGGGTTAGATGGAAAAAAAGGACAGCCTGATCATGACGAACCAGCTACTAGTAACCCTATTATTTTTAGAAAGGTGACTATTTGGCGGCATATACATCATAATGATTGTATAGTGACCGGAATGAGTCACTCATTGGTTTATTTCCATCTCTTGTTCTTTTCCGCCACACTCCCATCAACTCACCGCCATATTCATCTATCTATCAAGAAACTTACGACACATATCCATGTCCTCCATCAAAGCAAATAACCAGATCTACTACCGATTTACATACCTTCTACCATGGAGCCATCTCCTCTCGGACAGCTGGGAAAGTTGCCCTATGAAATCCGACTGGAAATCTACGAAAGACTGTTCACCATGAAGAACACCCCCCTTAGCATTTTTTCCAGCTCTCGAGCTATCTACAAGGAAATAACCGATCGTCTTTACGACACGCTGAACATACATCTGACTCCATCGTTGAAAGACCCCTGGATCGAGGTTCACTGCCAGCGAATGCGATTACACTGGTCCATACACGATTATTGTCTGGATTGCCAACATAGGTTCGCACGGGTACCATACCACAAGGTGAATCTGGTCGTCCATATCTACGCCCCCGACCCACGAGACCCAGGTCAAATAGTCTTGCTATGGCAGAAGACGGACTACCTGGTTGGACTCCTCCAGAATGCTACTATTGCCTCCCTCGTTGTCCGCCTGCGAGAGGACCAAGGTCACGACTGGCAAGAGGGAGGTCATGTAGTAGAGAGCATCCCGTATCCAAACGGCACCCGTCCAGATCACCACATCGTCTTTCTACCCTTCTGCTGCCTATCCAATGTTCGGGAATTACATATAGTCCCAGATACTCGTCGCATGGACCGCGTCACCGACTGGGGTCTGGTGAATTACGGTCGTGACTTCATCCTGAACAATGGGTATCGGAACTACAACGATGGCCCTCTGAGTCAAGATCGGGAGTACAGAGATATTGTCCGAGAGTTCGATGATATTGACGCTCTGGTTCGAGATACCAACTTTTTCCTGGAGACGCGCCTGAATGATCTACCTGGTCATACCGCAGCGATGCTTCGCCTTGCTCGTGCTGCCCATTGGCCCCCGGAGAAAATGGGTAACACATCCAGGGTTAAGCGTTGCTTGTTGGATATCCGGCAATATCCACGCTCGGTGGCGCTTCATGATCCCGGCCTGAAGAGCGAATCCTTTCGTGTGGAGGGGCTCACAGATCTCTACCGATTGTCTGGATATAGGTCACTCAGATGGTCATGGCGAGAATGGTGTAAGCGCTATCCCCAAGGACTCCTCCCCAATCGGGATAACTCCACTCTAGGAGCCGCTCCCTGGTATGACTGGAGCTTTGAAGTCCTGAGCCTGACGGGGAAATATTATGAGAATATCAGGAACTATCAGCAACGAAACTGGGGGACTGATGAACCCGGATGTCGGCGTCGATGCTTTGAACAGGACTGGTGTACCGACTGTCGCCGGATAGGATATCAAACTGGATGTGATCAGGACTGCGAGAGCCTACATGAAATTGACTATGTGGAGTACTGGGATCAGGATTCCGATAATCATGCTTCTGAAATTGACTATATTAGTTAGTTAGTCGGATGATATATGAGCAATCATCCAAATCATATCAATGAATGGTGGGCTTGCTATCTTCCAATCTATCTCTTTTTCCAGTCTCTTGATTTCACCTACTCCTTGACGTGGAGGGAAGGAGCAGTCAAGCTTACTTGCACAACCAAAGCAAAGGCAAGGCAGTCGCGGAGGAGAGAATGAGGTAGGAAGTCCAGGTGGCAGGTCCAAGCACTCTGTCGCAGCTTCTATAAGGTGATATATCGTAGGTTGTCCACTCAGAACCTGCTCTACTTTCTTCCCTTTCTTCTAATATCTAACTACTCAACCAAAGTGACCTGTTGTCAGCCATCCACCACTCCTTGGTTGATCTACTATCTTCTCTCTCATTTTGTCCTGGAGTGCCATCCATTATATCCTCACAGATAAATTACCGACGCAACGCCACACTTATACTTCTTTTCTTGCACACTTTCGATGGAGATGCCGGCATCTGTAAGTTGGCTATAAACCATGCTTAGGCCTTAATCTGACAATCTCATAGGAAGATGTCGGCCGAAGATGGCGCTCACAAGAGCAGCTCAATCCCCTCCTTTCGATTCCTCCAGGCACTCAGAGACTACGCAGACCGGATACGGACCAGCCTAGTGAAAGCGTCCTAGGCAGTGAAGCCTCGCCTTTTGTCCAGTTACGTGACAAGCTTACCCAAGAATCGAATGCTTCCTCCAGCGAACGGAAACCACGGATCCTTCGCATGAGATGCGTCGAGTGTTCTCATGAACAAGGCATGGATATCGACATGAGATGGCGAAGCTGGTAATTCTGGTCTATAGCAAGCGGAACATCATCCTCGACGGATGCCTTACATGCCTCCAAGAGCAGGGCCTGGATATCGACGTGGACATGGCGAAGCTTGCGATCCTCGTCTATAGTAAGCGAAACCTCTGCCACGCTAGGGTAGGGGATCCAGCTGTCTCGAAGTAACCCACCGAGCTGGAGAGACTGGCAATCCTGGTCTATAGCAAGCGGAACCTCAAGAGATGCGTCAAGTATCCTCAAGGCCGGGGTATGGGCATGGCAAAACTGGTCATGTTGGTATATAGTAAGAGAAACCTATGCCACACTAGGGTAGGGGACCCATCTGTCTCGAAGCAACCTGCCAAGCTGCGGAAGGCAACCGAACAGGACAAGAACCAGCTCCCCGAGGTCCTGCCAGAGGAACAGTTTCGCAACTACAACACTTGGGAGCGGATTCTGGCCATCTACGGAGACTCGCAAGGCTTAATCTCCCTCAGACCCGGTTCTCGGTCTGACACGGTCTTGCCCGAGCCCGACCTCAGACTCCTACCTGAAGACGCACGTCGCGATGCGTTCAAGAACAAAGTGAGCGATGATCGGATCGACGCGACCTTTCAGTCAATAAACGAGAGGATCCCGGTCACCTTTAGTCCTGCTACCGGCCACACGCGGACGAAGCATAGCGTGTCGGACCTAATTGCAGATGTTGTTTCTTGTAGAACGAAGTCAACAATGATCGAATCAACGGGACATTCCAGACAATCAATGAACGGATCTTGGCCATTTTTCAACCTGTTCCCAGTCAAACGTGGACGAAGCACAGCGTGTCGGATTCAATTGCATACGTTCGTCCCAGAACAAGGTCAACAATGATCGAATTGACGCGACTTTCCAGAAATTCAACGAGCGGATCCCATCCTCTTACTAGCCAAACGTCGACGAAACACAGCATGTTGGATCTGATGGCGTACGTTCCTCAAAAAGGGCGCCTCTAGATCGCCCGACCGGGATGAAGTATTAATAGGGAGTCTGCGCCTGACTCATTCCTCAGGTGGCCTTTGCAAACGTAGAGGATGCCTGTACCTTTCGAGAGATATATGGCGACCTTGCCCACAAATTCGACAAGGACCAAGCCGAGGATCGCATAGTCGTCCAGGAGGCACAAAAGATGGTCCATCGTGGTCTTTGGAAACGTGGAGGATGTCTGTACCTTTCGAGAGATATACGAGGATCTTGCTCACATGTTCGCCAAGGACCAGGCCAAGGGCCGCAAGGCTCTTCGGGAAACCCAGAGGATGGCCCACCGTGCGCGGGCTGACCTTGATAGGGAGACGGGATGTAGGAAGGAGGGAGTAGGAGGAGACGGGGGAGAGGGGGAAGAGGGAAGGCCAGGATGATGCACGCCCGTCAGGAGGCGATTAAGTCATTTTCTTAGCTTTACCTTAACCTCATCATGTACCGTACGAATCAGAGGCGCTACCACATAGGCCAGGCTTCCTCCACACTAGCGCCTTGCATACAGACTGCACTTATTGTCAAGTAGCTGTTCTACTCCTGATAACACGTAGACCAGGAATCGACGTCTTAGGATCTCTTGATAGGATCTCTTGATAGGATCAAGCTACCTACGCCAGGATTATCTCCACAACCGGAACGTAATGTATTCAAACAAGACACATCGCCCTAATATCAACCCCTGCTCCCATTGACCATTCCAGAGTTGACATAGCCCATTGTTAAAAAAACAAGAAAGTCGTCATTCACGTATCTTATCGCAAGAAAATGCAGCAAAGAGAAAGCAGTATCTCTTCTCCATACTCCCGTTCTTTGATAGTAGATTCCCACCCGGCACAACGACTATATCACCCTCCTTCCAGCTGTTGATCGACCTAGCCTCTTTTGCCCCATCTCCAGTCCTGACGTCGATGCATGTATCCCTAGGTAATCCCGTGAAAGGTACAAACATGGAGAATAACAATTGACATAGCGTAAAGCTGCCATCTTCCAACATGACAATATAGGTTTCTCGAGGATATTAATGCGGAATGTGCTGGGGTCATCAAAAGTAGATAGAACGCGATATAGACCTGCCTCAACAATCTACTAGCACTACTAGCTCCAATAAGTAGAAGGGTTATGTAAAGTGGTGTGTTTCTTCACCCGTGGTAATTAATTCCATTGGATGTATTGGATGACTTCGTACTGGGTGCTAGTGTTGGTGTTGTGGTGAGGACTTTCGAATGTTTATCGTTTTGGTGAGTATGCTGTGGCTTTGTTGACGAGGGATTGGAATTGGGGGTTGGTGATGATCATGGTGAAGGGGGGGTTCATTTTGTGGGGATATGGGGTTGGGGTTGGTGGGGATGGGATTGTTTGATGTGGTTGGATAGAGGTTGGTGTTGAGGGCATCAAGGGAGGGCATACATTTAACGATAGTACAGGACGTTGAACGGCAAGATTTTACAGTTGTCAAGAGGTTTTCTGGAGATAGGGGGAAGAAGTCTGTGAATCTATGGAAGGTTGAACGTTAATAATAGAGATGATTTTGCTGATTCTATCAGGGAATACTATTTATTCCGTCACCTAAGTCCCTGTATATAGAAGTTTTTTTCTTCAAATTTGTTAGTCTTTCTTAGATTTCATTAATATCCACTTACTCAGTCAAAAGGATATGTCGCCGGCAGGATCAATCTGTCTTGAACTTCTATATACTCGAGCCGAGATATAGCCCTTGTTAGACTCATGCGTGTTTGGCAATAATCGTTCATTAAACAATCTGCAACCTGCTTCAACGTAGTTGCAAATGGGTCGTCCCCTGTGTGCAACCCGATCTTGGATAATAGTTTACCATACGCCCAAACATCATTAAGCCGGCGTTGTTCAAACGGAAGATCAAAGGGAGATGATTCATTTTTAATCTCTGGCGAACACCATGAGCGAGTTGTCCCACCAATGCCGCTGATGTCGATAATCACTGCGTTTCCTTCGCTGTCAATGACCACATTCAAAGACTTTATGTCCATATGAGTTTTCTTTGCCTTGTGAAAGCGATTTAGAGCGGTTCCGATTTGGACAGGCCATTGCTTCCAGGGATACTGTGTAACACGGTTCTCTAGAAGAATCTGCCGTAATGACCCTCCAGAATATGCCTCGAGTAGAATCCCAGTCACAACTAATGGTCCATCACTCCTACTCGAAGTCATATAATGGTTTGTAGATACGGCAACACCCGCCGCCTGCACAATATTAGACACGCCTGCGAAGTACTTGATATTTTCCAGCTCTTTTAGAAAGACATCGGTGTCGCGGGCTTGGTATAAAGGACGATTAAGGACCTTGAGAACATATCGTATCTCGTTGTGGTATACTAACTATTATGTGATTATGCAATCACATGATACGTTCATTTTCACTTGCGCTTCTTGACCCAATTTTTACTATTACTGATAACCCTATACGCAACACCAACCTTCGGTTCCTCTTTGACAAGAACCGGTAACCTAATTTTCATGTTGTGGAGCTGTCCAAGATCAAGGCGAAGATGCTGGGAGGCCCTGCAGCCAACGATGCCGGTGTCCGATCTTTTCCGTTTGAGCGTATTTACCCGAGACTTTTTTTATACCTAAGGTTTAAAGAAATGTCTTAGGCTACGAATTTAAATTCCAGTTCTAGTTTATATGAACCTACTTCTATCAAGAACCTGAATACAAGTCTCTACAGAAACCTATATGAGGCTCTGTATATGCCTATGCAGAAGACCCTGTGCGAGACCTTGTAAGTCTCCGTATGAGGCGTGTGAAGCCCTGCATGGGAACCTAAATAAAGAAAGCCTTGCATATGACTCTGTGTTTAACAGTCTATAAAACTTGGGGTGAAGCCCCATATAAGTCCCTGCATATGGATACTTTGAGATTAGTTTCAAAGGCTCTGAATATCATTATCTATAGAAATGATTTAACTTTTGTATAGCAGACTGCTGGATTACACAGATAGAGTAGCAAAGAAGTGTGGTTGTAGCAGATGCAGGGTGGTTACATCCTGACCGGTCTGGCTATAGCGCCTCCCAAATTCTCGAAGTTCTCAGTGTTCTGGCATCAACAAGTTCAAAATATCAAAGATGGCACTCGATAGTGCGAAATAAGACCCATAACCCTTACTTAGTAATACAATATGCTATATGCGTATAGTTCAGTTTCTAAACCAAGGATCGTTTAGAACTTCCTTCACCGATGCCCTGGCAGACGGCTCGAACCGTAGTAAACTTTGGATAATATGTCCAAGCTGAACAATATCCTCCTTTGTCAAGTCTTCTTTTTTCTCATTATCAAAGTATACCTCCTCCAGCCATTCTTGTAGTCTGGGCCCTGAGCTTTCCATGATAGTGCTACCACGCATCGTTTCCCATGCACCCAGCCACCTTTCGGGTAGCGCGTCATTCGTTATCTCTTGCATTTGCCCAACAATAATCTTGGGTGTTGTAAACAAGCTATCGAACGGAGGTTGGCCGGTAAATAGTTCGAACAGCTATCATATTGGTTAGTCATCATAAAAGGAAGCTGATAGTTGGCGCTCTGTCTTACCATACACCCCAAACTCCAGAGATCTACACGATAATCCAGACTGTCCTGGAATATAACCTCCGGTGCCCGGACCTCCAATGGCGTGTGAAGAGTCCGAGGGACACTTTGCTGCGAGAAGGATTCCCCATAATCAATTATCTTGATTGTGTGTGATAAAGGCCATGAGGATGTACTTGCAGGCCTAACAATATACTCTGGTATACCAGGCCCTAAACTCTGACCATCATTTCTGTGAACATGTCCGATTTCTGGTTTACCTAGTATCTTGATGACTTCGTCTTCCGTCAGGTTGTCCATGGGGGCTATGTCAAATGCTAAGTTGCGAGTGTGGAGGTCTATGTAATGTAAGAACCATTCGAAGGAATGTGTATAGATGGCTCACCCCCATGTGCAATTTCCTGATCGTGGAGAAAGTCGAGTCCAAGCAGAGCCTGTTTGGTAACAGCCTTGGCGAGAGCTCCGGGAAGTCTTCCATCCCTAAAACGACTTTCTATCACATCGGGGACGCTCGGGCCTAAGAGCTCAAGGACTAGGCAGTGATGCGCTCCGTTAGGTCCATCTAAATCAAAGTGATCGAGGATGCGCATAACATGTGGAGTGCTGGGCTGTTTTGACGTCACTTTATTTAAAATATCGAGGTCTCGCAGGTTGCTATCGTTTGCTTCTTCAGATATGCAGATCTTAACAGCAACGTAAGTCTCTTCCCTGAGATTGGATTAGCTGTGTTTAATCAAGGTAGGAATTGCCTTTACTTTTGATCTCTTGCAACCCAAACTGTGGAGTAACCGCCCCATCCTAATTTATGCAAGATTTTATATCTCCCATTTCCTAAGACACAGCCCAGGATGATTGGGTGGTAGCCACCTCTTCTATAGCGGTCAAGAGGCTCTGCATCAATGGGGCATGATAAAAGAGGTTGATCCATCCGGGATAGCGTTGAAAAGAAGGTGGCGTGATTCAGAGCAATAGGTACTGAAGCTATACTCCTCGAGGTGATAAATGTCCTTGTAATTGCCTGATGGAGAGTCCTACATGCATAATAGATCATCTTCGCGTGTGCATGATGCTGGTATTTCGAGATTGTTTGGGGGTGGGCGACCGGCGATGTGTCTAGGCGACAACCGCAGGGATCAGCGAATCACGTGGCCATGCGCCCCAAATTCCAAATGTTTCCAGACCGCCTGAATCCTCCCGGGGCGTGGGAGAGAAGCTCACAGAGCAACCGAAGCCTAGTACGGGCGCTAAATAACAGTACTACTAATATGGAGATAGCACCCGCCTGCCCTTTGCGGCGACCTGCTGCTGAAAAGCCCGTGGAAGTCACTAACGTGGTTCCCGTGAGCTAATCACTGCACACGGACCCTGTGAAAGCGGTCTGTGTACCTTTTTGTCCCTTTGTCTGCTGACTGGTAGGTACGCCATACATTTCCATCACGGTTGGCCATACCTTTTCCCTTCCTCCCACCCTTGCCAGTCAAATGAGAAAGACTGAGGCGCTTAGTATGCATTCGAACGAGTAGCACGCCACTCCATCCATTTCAAATATATAAACTGCTAAGATTACCCTCATTCGAGCTTTCTTCTTTTTCCGTACTCCTTAGCATACAAACAGGCTTTGGTAGTAATCGATACCTCCAACATGTCTCCCATCCCCAGACACGTCGTCAAGCTCACGCAAAGAATCCACAACCCTGCCCTCCGCAACCTCACACTCAGCCTGATTGAGCAGGCTTCTCATCAACCCGACCTTTCCCATTTCACCATCGCTACACTAAAGTAAGTAGGCCCAGGAAAGTGCACCTAGATTCATTGATTTGCGGGGAGCTCACTCGGACAGAAATCCAACGCACACGAGTCACACCGATACGAAACCCCACGCGACAGTTCTGTTTGCAAACGAGGAGCAATTCAAGAACAACAAGGCTCAAACTGCCTATATATATCACGACGAAGAAGGACGGTATGCTGGTCATACTTTGTATGAGGAAAGAGACAACAAGGCCTCGGATGATTAAAGGTACAAGCATGAGCGGAAGATGACTTCTACACTTAGCTGTCTTTACCGATAATCGCAGCAAAGTAATAGCGTTGTTAGCCTTTTAAACCCGGTTGGCTACCAATTAGTCGGTGTACAAATTAACAACCGAGTCCTAGTTCTCTTTTAAAAAAACAAGAAAAAAGATTAAGAAGCAAATGCGGTGCATCTATCCTCGGCGATTGTAGGTGACGATAGACCATGTCGTAGCAACCCTTGCTGTCTTGTTCCACATGTGTGAGGAGTATTATTGCTGATCGGGGTGACAATTTTGCTTGTTATAAACCGATACATGATTGTAGATTGAAAAAGATGACAACCAGTGAGTGAGGGAATCGATGTGCTGAGCCTAGATATAATAATAACCATAGCAAAATGTTTCTCGGAAGATATCCTCCGTATTTGTAGGAGAATAGTCAGATCAAGGTATCTGCAAAGCTTACAGAGAAAAGACTCTGATGGAGAGGCACTTGTGATGTTTGGTATATTTTTATAAGGAGGTGCCACAGCCATACCAGCTTGGTTTTTGCTATATTAGATTGACCGTTGCCGTATTAGTTAAATTATATATAACCTAGACTGTCGGCTTTTACAAGTTGAGTTTATAATGTATCTCTACGGACTTCTCACTAATTTAAGAATTATAATTACTAATATACACCCAGGGGCAGGTTATACAAATCTATATAGATTATATAATTTCACGCAGGCTATACAAACGCACGGAGATCATATCAGCCTATGTATGTCATGCAGACCACGCAGGCCATATAATCTATGTAAATGCAAATTCCAACGAGAATTCCCAGGTCTCACCCATGCAATACAAAAAATTGACCCAAGCTATCAAAGAAATTATTAACTCTTTACTTATGATATACCATCTTTCATCACTCAATCCACGCTGTAATACTTTACATACACTTATTGTATTATCTCATCTTCACGCCAATAATAGGAACGACACTAACAAGACAGTAGGAAACCACTGTCGATTCTGCACCCGTTGTGGTGTCTACATGGGTACTAATGAAACAGGACAGAATATACTGGTTGACAAGTGTAATGATTTTCCCTGCAGGCAATTTGTGGGTCTTGATGAGTTTGCTAAAGCCTGCTGTCGCTGCAAAAGTCTCCCTGGACGCGAAATTGCCAATCCACACAGAAAATATTGAACGAGTAAAGTCGTTGTCCAAGACGTCCAAATTGCTGTATTATATACTTGGACAACGCGAAGCTCACGCCACGTTCAACCGTCGCGGAATCGTTACTCGACCAGCAACGCTGACTGAAGATGACCGAATACTACTGGTGACCACGCGGAACAGTTTGAAGACGATCGTGCAAGAAACCTTTAGCACAGAAGCTGCTACTTTTATTATAACTACCAGTCAAACAGGCTCGGCGAAGAAAAATGATGCTGAGGATGAAACACTTAAAGCGTAGGACGCCACAATCAATAGAATGCACTATTGAGAGGAAGACCTTGTCTTTGGTCTTCTTGCTGGAAAACGAGAATATTAGATCCCGAGGACCCAAATAGAATCTAAGGGGGACGAACTAAAAGTTCTTCCAAGCCAGCAACAAGCGTATCTTCATAGATATTGTACGCTTCTTCATCAGGTCCCATACTGTCGAAGGTCGTTGCAACATCGAAGTCAACCCACACCAGTCTTTTTGACCTTCCTTCCGTTACTAGAAGAATATTTCTGGCGTATATATCCATGTGGTGGATATGAGCTTTATGTATCTGTTTCATACCTTCGATGGCCATCTTATAAAGGGCCCCTGAATAATTAAAACAGTTTAGGCATTCGGCGGTTGAGAAGTACTCGAGAAGGATCGCTCTAGGATGCAATTAGTCATGAATAAAATTCCGCAGAATTGGCTGAAACGCATCTGGGTCGAGCCGATCGATATAACCATAGCATGATGGAACCAAGCCGCTGTCACACACGCCATATTGAAGGAGATTCATGTAGGCCTTTAGCTCACAGCGATATCGATTCAAGTCTCGGCCGCTCTCCGTGTATCCAGGGTCTCCATTATCATGATACTGAGCTATCAGCGGTGGTAAAATGGGAAAGGCGCGTCGACTTACAAGCTTCATGGCGTACGTCTCACCATCGAGTTTGATCTGAAAAATCGAGGAAGCCCGGGAGACTGCAATCTCCCTTTCTATTTGTATATGGGAAGGCTCAGGCTTTGACAGGCGACTTTTCATCACCGAACGCATGGCGATAGTACCTGACAATGAACAAAGGGGACTGCTTCAGGGGATGAACCTGGTAGACTGATGATAAAGTTCATTCATTCGCGCAGCAAGGGATTACTTATTGAGTCATGTGATGGCGTCAGTCACCTGATGTTGTTCCCCGGTCCGACTGACTAGGATCTCCGGATCTACTAATCTCTGATAACCGAGATCAAACCTCAAGTATCTCAACCGTGGAATCACCACGCTGAGTTCTTGAATGGTCCCACTGCAAGCTATTAACCTGCAAAATAAGCTAAACTATGCTACAGTACCTTTTCATTAGCCTTCCAGCCATACCAGTTAATGGCGCCGCACCATCTTATAACACCACAAACCCCCGTTATGATGCAGATGATATTGAAACCGTATCTAGACACAAGTTTTGCCTCCTCATATCCAGTGCAGGTAGGTTTTTGCCAAATCATTCCCAGCTCAAAATTTTGGGGGTCAGGGTTTTCTTTTTAAGGCAGTAACGCTTATTATATCAGCAGTTGGGCAACAGCTGGGTAGTTACATGGGCAACTAATGTAATCCCACTCTGGTGCGCTTCTAATGAAAGCCGGACTGCTTATGAGTTATAGGGAGGAGCAAGTTGATATCAATTGGCCGAAACCATATGCGGAGCCTGTCCGCAGAGACAGAGTTCTATAATCACACCAGTATCGAGTGCATCAACCATTCCAGCTTACAGAGCCCACCCAAGCTGCTGGAAGAATCGCACAAAAACACTATAATCCTTGAACAACGGCAACATCCAAATCACCCCCGTCCAAGCTGTCCACACCTTCCACGTGGCTTTATCGGCAGCAGTCCTCCGCAGGAATAAAGTCCTCCACGCGATAGCTACACCCACACTCACAGGGAGGACATACCCTCCCACGCCTAGCTCCCAGAACGCCGGACACGCAACGGACCAAATCGCAACAGGAACCGCAACGGACCATCGGGCCGGCCCGTCGCCCAAGACTATCGGAACCGTATGTCGGTTCTTGGCGCGATCGCCCTCCAGGTCCTTGATGTCTTGAATGTGCATTGTTGTCCCAATGACAGCGCTGGTTATGATGATCCACCACCAGGTCTGGGGAAGGATCTCAAATCTGGCCTGAGTTGCGACCCGCAGTGACCCCTTGTTGTATTGGGAGAAAGCGATGGCGAGCAACACATTCCGTAGAATGAAGCCGTCGTCGCCCCCGCCGAGGTCGTTGTATGACCAATTTAACGTGTAGAGAAGCGTGGTCTCCTCCCATGCTCCGAGATAAACACTGAGTCCGAGTACAACCGGAATCGCAAGCAAAAGCAGCCGTCGGGTCTCGGTGGTGCTAATCCGACCCGCAGGAAGTGGCCGCCAGGGCCGGTTGATCTTGTCCTCGGCCACAGACTCGGGAAATCTCTGGTTGGCGAGGTTGAATACGAAGAGGTTGAGCCAGTTCCACAGGATCACCGTGGGTATCCGTTTCAGGACGGGGAGTAACTCTGGGGAGCCATTCTCTGTCAAAAGCGGCCCGGACAGGGCAGCGCAGATTCCAAATGCCGTTTCGGGAACGACAAATGTTGTAAAGTCGTCCGCAGTAAACAGCCAGATGGTTTTGGCGGCGCTTGCCCATGTCCGCTCATAGGATACCTGCTGCATCCCGGTTAGACCTGAGTAGAGCCAATGAAATAAAATTCTTACCGCAGGAAACTTGGAGGCAACCATGTCTCCCCGTTCGATGATGCTAGCACGATTTTCCAACATCGTATCCTTGAGTTCGTTGGAAGCAGAGAGTTGAGTTGTGGAAGAAAGGCGGGCGAGAAAGAGATGAGGGGCAAGCCAGATTAAGAATACATCCTTCAGCTGAATTTGTGGCTGTTCACAAGCAGCTGATGCCCCACTTGAGCAAAGGATTCCCGTGGCGAACATCTTAGTCCGGGTCTCTTAAGCCGACGTGGCTGCTGACCGGCGCATGCACTCGGAATGGCATCATTACCCGAGTTGCCTCCCGATTTGCGGCAGTCGACGATAGTGTCGGCATGGATTCCCTTACATATAACACGGTCTGGTGTATGAGAGAGGTGCTAGTTCTGGCATAGAAATCGCTGGGATCTAGCCACTTTCCCAGACACTCCCATGACCCGAGAATATCCACTTAGGTCCCCTCGGGAGTTTTCGCTCAGAACTCACCAGCTATAGCATCGCCAACCAACCCACCACCAGCCGACCTCTCAGCGACACCCGGAGCTTCGTCGTTCGATCCAGGTTTTTGCCCTTTGTCTCCCTCAACAACCGTCCGATTTCCATATAACTCTCTGCCGTTGCCCGGACCGGCTCCCTGACCCCAATCGGTAGCTCCTCAATCGCCACTCGACTGGGTCGATAGTAGCCGTCCGCTTTCTGCAACATTTTATTCTGCAGCTCGTAGATGACTGGGGCACTAGGGGACTGGAGCACGTCACCCGGCGTAAGACCAACTTCATTCAACCATGTGGTAGGAATATACACCCGTCCGATGGCTGCATCCCGACGGATGTCCCGTGCGATGTTGACACATTGGACTGCCATGCCCATCTCCGTTCCTGCATTTCTTATCTCGGCCATGCGTGGAGTCCGCTCATGATAGCAATGGGAGAAAATAACGTCCAGAACGAGCGCACCGACGGTGCCCGCTACATATGCCGTGTATTGATCAAGATTGCGCTCAGTCTCGATCGGAAACGTCCCTTTTTCAGGATTGAAACCTAGATCCATTTCGAAACCTTTTAGAAGGTCATATAGTGGTTCCTTGGATAGACGTGAGAGGGGAAGGAAGTCGATTGACTGGCATAGTGTCCCGTATTTACCCCCCTTCAGTTGCCCATCCGGATGCTCGTTGTTCATTCTTGCATCCAGGATGTTCTTGCACTGTGTGAGCCAATATCGCGCTTCGTGTTCATTCTCCGCTTCGTCGATGAGGTCATCTACCACGCGACAGAAGGAGTATCTAGGCATATTAGACAAGAAATCATGGGAAAAGGCGACATACAGGAATATCAGATCGATGCGTAGCTGACCCTGGAATAACGCACTGCCGAGGAACATGCTCTGGCTTTTCTCCTTCAGGCAGGATACCGCCTGCGACAGAGCGGAAACCAGTCTCCCATCCACAGGCATCGGTTTTATTAACCCGAGGATTGCTCCTTTTAGTGACGATTTGGACGCTGGCTCAGAGAGACCTCGGTACTCTTCCAGGGCGAATGCATAATCGCATCCCGCGAGTCCCATGACAATCATAATATTAGTGGCCAGGAAAAAGGTTGCTTCTCTGTTACTGTCAGACTGACCTCCATCCAAGTGGGTGTCTTACTCGACTTCGAGACCATAACACTGGTAACTTATTTTTGTGCCGGATTCTATTCTCCACGTCCCTGTTCCCATAGCACGCGCATCCGCAATCCAGAGATACATTGTGGGTAGGCAGACTGATACGACGATTTGTTTCCAGGGAAGTGCCGTAAGAAATGGGTACGATAGTATCCTAAACAGTAAGCAACCACCTTCAGAGAGCGACCCGACGTACCATTGGAACAACAGGACCGGACAGACCCACACCAGAATCAAGCCCAGATATGTCGTCCATTCTCCGGATAGCAGACATGCAATTCCGATACTCATTAATCCCAATATACCCACCGCAACCCCGTTTCGCAACCGTTTATTCCCATCTGACCGGAGGTATATGGGCCGGACCAGCGGCTTCGTGAAGATGCAGTATACCAAACTGGTAGTGTAAGTTTGGATCACAAAGAAGAAGACCTCCTCAATCGGAATCCTGAACAGTGTGGGGCCAATTACTGCATCAGGCGGGTAGGTCCAGATGGCGGTTCGGATGAGATACGAATCCCACGGGATGGTTGCGATAACGGCAATCTGTTAGATTCATTCCATCAGCCTTATTCTCATTAGCTTAGAAGGTATGGTACCGTGATCAGAATGCATATCTTGGACAGGTCTTGTGGCGTGAAGAATGGGTAGTACAGCACCGTTAGCGCTGTCGCCAAGGGGATGGTATAAGTGCAATGACTATTTTGGGCCTGGTTAGCGTTCTGCAGTCCTAGGGTCGTCCTGTCTTACAAGAAAAGGTAGTCCAGGACCATCTTGTTATGCCTGTTTGCTGCACACCATCGCGGGAGAGCTGGTCTTATCAGTAGCCGTGAGGTGAGTCGCGCAAGGTTTGCCGAAACCTGCTCCAGTCCCCAGATCAGGTTGCAGATGGGTCTGTGCTCGTGCAGAATCGCAAACAGCTGGTTCGCAATTCTCCCCGGAATGTTGTCAGCGGATCGGCGATCTGATCGGCGTCGATTACACTCATGGCGGACAAGTCATGGGTAATGCCCAGCTGCTCAGCGTGAGTCGATGCGATGAAGAGAAGAATGAAGTGGAAGGGAGTGCGGGGTCGGTTATGCAGGAGCCCCAGGCCACACAGGCATCAAGGCATTAAGGCATTAAGGGTACTCAGGCACCCACCAGCCCGTGATCGGCCGGATGTCCGGTGGATCCCTTCCCAAAGGTGGGGGTCCATTGTCTTTTGGAATGAATCATCAATGAATGCATGAATGACATGACCGCTCAAACGCAGCTCAAACTATTTACAATCCACAATCCACAAAATCACCATGCCAGCTCCGGTCGGGCCATACAGCTGGCCGCCTCTAGCTGAGAGCAGAACTTTTCCTCCTCGGCCAGTTTGCCCGTCCGCATCTCGCCCGTCACCTTGGGCAGTGCCGGCCAGATCTCTTGTCCCCCCTGCCCTTCTTCTTTCTGCCGATGTGCCATCACCATGCTCCTCACATTTTCTTGAAAGTGGATTGGTCCCTGTCCCAGTCAGCTCGGTTCATTCGGAGGCAATGGTCACCTACCCTCTCCTTGTCTGGGTGCAGCTCGCCGTTGATAAACACCCCCGCACTGAGATTCTCTTGCGCTCCGACACATAGATCCTTATCTTCGTCCAGAACCTGCCGGTAGAACGCATTGATATTGGCGAACTCCTCATCTGTGGCGTCCTTGTGTCGATACACTTCGTTTTCGATCTTGCTCGTGGTCGCGCTCATCGGAATCATGCGCTGGATATAGAAGAATTTGTCCCTATTCCTGTCAATCACAATTCAGTCCCCAACAAGGATAACTTACGTGACAGTAACCGATGTCGTGGGATAAAAATAAGTGATAGCCCGTCGAAACTGTGCATCGGCGCTCTCCTTATTGAAGATATGATGCTCCATGTACCCCGCCTTCGGCTCGACGCGATACCGCGGAAGATCCGACACTCCACTGATAAGCGGATGGGAAGTCGCGCAGTGATAGCACTCGTTATAGTTCTCAATCAGCAACTTCCAGTTTGCCTCCAGATCCATCTCCCAGTAATGGTCAAAGGTGTATTCCCCGCCAAAATCAAAGTCCTGCATCCGCGGCTGCTCGTCGATCTTTTGAAATTCGTCGTCCCATTTGACTTCCGGGTCGCCGGATTCCAAATTGACCCAGACGAAACCTGTCTTGTCGACGTGGACGTGGATGGGAAGGAGGCCGTGTTGGCTCTTATCAAAGCCGGGGACAGTTTCGAAGCGAGGGGCTTTAGAGAGGTTGCCCTTGAAGCCGTATGACCAGCCGTGGTACTTGCAGCTGAGGATGGAGGTGGTTCCCGACCGGGCCTGCACGACGGGGTACGCACGATGTCGACACATGTTGTGGAAGCCGTTGATGTTGCCATCACGGTCGCGAGTTAGGAAGAAGGAGAAGTTAGAGACGGTGAAGGAGAGAAAGTCGCCAGCTTTGGTGAATCTGCTGGCGTGGGTGAGCAACATCCACCGCTTGGAGAAGATGGCGCGTCGCTCCAGCTGGTACATGGCTTCGGAGCGATACCATGATGCGGGCAAGCTCCGGGGAGGAGAGGTCTTTTTGGGAGTATCGGAGCGGCCAAATAGACGCCACATTGTGAACGATGAGTCTAGGGTGGATACTTGAAGTCGCGCGAGTGGAATGGGACAGCTGCGGATTACGGGTCTATATAAGTGAGCTGTGTTGATAAGTGGGGATAGGCTGTCGGGATGGCTTCAAAGATGGGGGTTGGGTCGCCGAGCTGATAAGCGGATAAGAATTGGTGATATCAGTCATTGCCACGCCTATCTGCGAATGATTCCTATCTACCCCGTGCGGTGAGATTAACCACATCTCTAATTCAATTCAATCGTTGGGTGTGGAGTACTTCGTGAGTGGAGCAGCCAAGAGTCTATGGCCCAACATGAGACTTGCTGATATGATTATAGTCTTTTAAATTATATTACATCTGCCATCCGCCCCAAGTGATATTAAAAAGTCGTGGTCGTCGTTTAACAGCGATCCTCCCGTCCACTACATTTTACTCGTGTTCCGCATCCTTCTCAGCAAAAATGTCGACCCCCCAATCAACACAGACCCAAGCAGCGCGCAGCACGCACCAAACAGCTGCAACCCCGAATAATCCGTATAGTTTTGCTTTTCCAGAATGGCGCCCATGATGGGTAACCCGGTCAGACAACTACACTAGTCAGCACCATGCATCTGATTTGACCGATGGACACGTACCTCAGTGACATGATCAGCTGGAATGTCCCAAATCGCTGACCCAGGGTTTGTATGTCCCCCACTTTGGCAACGCAGGGCATCAACAGAGACACTACCGCGCCGCTCACGAAGCCGTACACGGCGGCGAAGACGATGATTCCTGCGTGCGATGGATGATAATTGAATGGGAGCCAGAGACAGAGCATGGAGACGCCGGTGCTGAAACAGCAGAGGCTGATTATATTAAAGTGCCCGAATATGTCGGCTAGCTGAGGGGGGATTAATCGGCCGAAGATGGAGGCAGCGCTAGGTCGATCAGCAACCATGCCTGGAAGGGACTGATGGGGGCTTACTTGATGATGGAGATCAGATACAGCGCCAGGGTGGATGAAAACCCGGCATTCATCGCCATACTGGAAAGATAGTCGAATGGCGCCCATATTCCCCACCTGTTCTGGTCAGTGATGGAGGGAAAATGGGTGGAGATGACAAACATGACGAAGAATGCGCCCGCGGTATACAATCCAAACGCCTTGTCCTTCAACAACGCCAGGTCAATCCATGCCGCTTTCCCGTTCCACTTCTTGCGCGGCAAACGGCTTCGGATCAATGCACACGCGACGACCAACATGACGCCCACGAAGAGTGCGGTATACCGGATGGCACCATAGAAACCGATGTCGTTGATGACACGGTCGAGGAAGATCGGAAAGATCACACCTCCCAGAGAGCTACCGGAAACAGCAATGCCGGTGGCGAAACCCCGTTGGCGGACAAACCACTGGCCAACGCAGATCATGGCGGATGTGAACACCCCGCCTGCTCCGATGCCAAAGCAGAGACCCTGGGCAAGAAAGATATTGTAGTAGTCGTGTGCCAGGCTGGTCATGCACAGGCCCAGAATGCACAGAACACTGCATGGCCAGAGTACCGGGATGGGGCCGTATGTGTCGATGATGCGGCCCCAAAGCGGCCCTGGCGCCCACATGAGGGCCAGCTGCACGGCAAAAATCCAGGAGATGTCGGATGCATCGTAGTCCTTGAGGGATGTCTCTTGGTAGGTAGTTTGGAAGACACCGATACTATTGAGGTCAATATAGTACACAAACGAGGGGGTGTGCCTACGCGTTTAAAAAGCCAAATGAAGAGAAGAGGGCGCAAAAAGCACCCGCCACGGTCAGCCAGCCTTTGACGCCCCCTTCCGGGGGAATGGTTGGCTCGTTTACCGACTGGTCCTTTGGTTCCGACATGTTTGAGGTGCGGAAAATTTAGCGGATCATCTTCCAACATAAATCGGCGCCATGCGCTCAATTTGAAGCTTCATGGGCTCCGTGACAAATAGCAGGACTCGGTCTACGAGGCTAAATCCGGCCGAATAAAGGCGCTCGGGCGCTAAGGTTGGATGTGCTGCTGGCGTCATCGGGCTTCGGCTCTCGCTCTGTCCGACGACGCGAACGCGACAGGGATCTGGTCCCTGCGAGGTCCTCAGTTGCTCCCTCGATTTGCTCCATCGATTTGGGCATGGATTACCTGGCCGCAACAGACTGGTCCAACAACATTCAAGCCAACCTACGGAAACGACGACGGAAAGGGACAATGACTAACTCAAGTCCTGATTTCACACAGCATCCTTCCTGGTGGTCTGCTTTACGACCTTGTCACAGACTGCAATGCAACTGGAAAATCTTGTCCAGGACCCCGGCCGGAAACCGACCCCAATTTTGAGATGCGTCGGGTACTCCACAGGCTCGGCTCTTTTGCAGGATACATAAACTCTGCTGCCAGCCAGATTCAAAGAGGGATTTTTCAGCTCCTCCAAGACCCCCCCAGTTTTTAAATTATCCTGCAGCTTCTGCAGTTTCTGATGAACCAACAACCCCCACACTGGCGGCAACAGGGCCATTCACAATTCCCAGTCAAGTCTTGCTGGGAGGGATCGACTTGATCTAAAGTGAGCATTTTCCGAAGCTCAGCAGAAAACAAATACCACAGGCAAAAGTCGGATAGATCCCAAACCCACGTCGCGGCTGCTCAGCATCATCGACCAGTTGATGTTTCATCGGCTGTCCTCGCCACGTAACGTGCGCGGTACATTTTTCCCACCAATAGGATATTAAAACACCCGGAGCAGCTCGTGCGTCGCAGCCGATCAAAAGCAACGTCCTTGGGCGCTCATCTCGTTCGAACAGCGTGTATCCACCTGGGGAGGGAACAATGGTTCTTTGGCTCGTCGGATCAGAAGCGGTGTGGAGTTGTGATCCAAGCGAATAGGCCCGTCACCAAGCTAGCCATTGACCTCGTTATAGCAACCCCCAGCATAATGGTGATGTCTCGGCTGACTGTCGCGTGTCCACCACGTGGCTGAGAACAGTAGGTATGCGACGCAGTCAGCACGTCGATGGAATTCGGGCACGATCGGGTCGAACAGGCTGACGGTAACGCATGGCACATAATCTGTTATGTAGAAAGCTCGGTGCCTCACACGGAGCAGGCTAAACCTGGAAGGTGATGTAGGTCAGTAGAGCAGTTGGTAATCGCGTGGCTAATTTATCATAGCCGCGCAGTGTTGGGGGCTTTTGCCATCAGCCGCATTCCCCGCAGTAAGGGGAGACATTTCCCCACCAAACCAATGTTTCAGGCATGAGTCTATATGAATTGTATATCAAAGCTGAAAAATGTGTTCGAGGAATCGAGGAAGATCAAGTGGGTGAAAGGAGGCGTGGATGCTATTTGGAAGGAAGAGTGGTGGTTAGGCGATAGCGCCGTGTAACCCCAGAAAGCTTGACCAACAGGTTCCTACGATCAATTGCTCCAAAGTCCTGCCCTGTTCTAGAAGTCTAGAACACATCCCTGGCATACTGCTATCATCAATCGGATGCCAGCATATACCCGGCATATAACCATTCCCCACGGTCGGCGACCCCCTCCGACCGCTCCATCCGCCCGGGGGCCGGGGATGGGATGCCTCATAAACTGGGGTCCCCCGCTCTCCAGCAACTCCAATCCACCATCTCATTCTCACCATTACCACCACCATGCCAACCACCCGCCCACTCCTCCAACTACTCAACCACCACCTCCCCACCATTCGATATGCCTCAACAACCACCTCCCCCAAACCCGGTCCCCTCGCCGGAATTACCGTCGTCAGCCTCGAACAAGCCATCGCAGCCCCCTTCTGCACCCGGCAACTCGCCGACCTAGGCGCGCGGGTCATCAAGATTGAACGCCCCGGGGTCGGCGACTTCGCCCGAAACTACGACACCCGCGTCAACGGACTCGCCTCGCATTTCGTCTGGACCAATCGATCCAAAGAATCTCTCGCCCTGGACCTCAAACAACCCCGTGACCACCGCGTGTTGATGCGATTGCTCCGTCGTGCAGATGTCCTCGTTCAAAACCTCGCCCCTGGAGCGAGTGATCGGCTGGGATTATCCTATACAGAACTAAAAGAAGCGCATCCATCTTTGATCGTCTGTAATATCTCCGGGTACGGACCATCAGGACCGTACCGAGATAAAAAGGCATATGACTTATTGATTCAGAGCGAGGCGGGGATGCTTTCTGTCACAGGGACGGGGAAACAGGAGCCGGCCAAGGTAGGGGTTTCGATAGCGGACATCTGTGCAGGGAGTTACGCATATTCGAATATCCTGGCGGCATTATATCAACGGGATAGAGATTCGGGGAAGGCCGGGTGTAATATTGATATTTCGATGTTGGAGAGTATGGTTGAGTGGATGGGTTTCCCCATGTACTATGCCTATGATGGTAAAGAGGGCCCAGTGCCGGCCGGGGCATCGCATGCGGCGATCTATCCCTATGGGCCGTTCGAGGCCAGGGATGGAAAATCGGTTATGTTGGGGATTCAGAATGAGCGGGAGTGGGGGAAGTTTTGTGAGTTAGTGTTGGGGGATGGAGGTATTGCGATGGATGAGCGGTTTAAGAGTAATGAGCTGAGGTCGAGGAATCGGGAGGAGTTGAAGAGGATTATTTGTGGGGTGTTTGGGGAGCTGTCCGCGGAGGAGGTGGTTGGGAGATTGGATGAAGCCGGGATTGCGAATGCTAGTGTGAATGATATGCAGGGGGTTTGGAATCATCCCCAGCTCAAGGCCAGACAGAGGTGGACGACGGTTAAGACTCCGGTGGGAGATGTTCCGGCGCTGTTGCCTCCGGGGATGACCATGGGGGATGAAGATATGTATGGAGCGCGTATGGACGCGGTGCCAGATGTGGGCGAGCATAATGAGGCCATTCTGGCGGAATTGGGGGTGGATGAGGGGGAGGAGTAGATCAGTAGAACCTTTCTTATGTTGGGTGATGTGGTCACATTGTCTTTTCCTATATCTGAGATTACTGTGTCCCGTGTCTTGGAATAATATAGTTGGGACTTCAGAATTAGCCCGGTTTGATACACTCAAAAGCTGAATACTTAGATTGTAACATTTGAAATTCAGAAGTCCACGGCTTCTGTCAACGCCATCCAACGACCTATGTTCAGCAATATTCACCTCTGAGCGGGTGAAGATGAGTCTATACCCACTGGATGAGGATATCCTGGACCACGAAGATCAACACAACAAAGTACACCAGTGTAGCAATTTGTATACAAGCTTTAAAGTTTCACGTAAACAAACAATTCCATTATGTCTGACTGTCAAATTTTCCAGGTTCGGCGCCCAAGTGCATCCGCCGAGGGGTTCATCGGCCAGCCCGACACGATGCCGAGGCGTCCGTGCCCAGCCCGGCGAACCATGCATAAAGCCGGCTATAAGTCATGTCCTCGGCTACTTGCTCCCTTTGCATCCTGCCCCTTCCATCGGCAACTCGGTGTGACCTACACAGTGCTCTAGAATGCCCTCGCAGGAAAACTCCGGACACCGCCAAGTGATAACCCGAGCCAAACAGGCCTGTCTCCACTGCAACAAACGCCGCATCCGCTGCAATGTCCTGCAGGTGCGGCCCTGCCAGAACTGTGCGGCGCTGAATATACCGTGTGAGATAGGCGTCTCCAAGCGAGGAAAGTATGCTAACCGTGGATTGAGTTTGGTTGATGGTAGAATTGACTAACTGATGGATAGGTACCCTCGTAAGAAGACAGCTGCCCGTCGTGGCGCATCAAAGGACGGGCTCTCAGAACAGTTGACATTGGAATCGTCGGCTTCGTCTGGGTGTGGAGTAGCTACTCAAGCAGATGACCATTTGACTCCGTCGTCAACATGTTCCCCCGTGCCACAGCGGCTTCTTCAGCCGGGTAAACATGCTTTTACTCAACCCCAACAACTGATCTCCGAGGATCTCAGCGACTCCCATCAAATAGTGTTCTTTGGCGAATCAAGTCCGCTAACGGTAGTCATCGACGAAGGACGGCACTCCCCTGAAAAAGGAATCGGGGAAATGCACCGGACTCGTCTCCACTATCCTATTCCAGACAGATTGGCTGTCAATATGCCCGATGAAGGCCTCCGCGCGCACAAGATAAAGCAGGAGGAGCAGCTGAGATTGGATGGGGCTTTCTCATACCCACCAAATGACACATGCGAGACTCTTCTACAAGCCTACTTTGACTGGTTCCACCCGTGCTTCCCAATTCTGAATCGAACGGCTGTGCATCAGGCCTATGGCCAGGGAGGTTTGTCACCACTTCTTCTCCAGGCCATGCTCTTCATCGGAGTCAGCCTGTGCACGGATGAGGCGTTTGCCCGGACAGAGTTCTCCGTTCGGTACTGGGCCAAGTTCCTGTTCTACAATCGAGCCAAGGCGCTCTATGATGCTGACTGGGAGTCCAACAAGACTGTCAAGGTGCAGTCGCTGTTCCTATTGAGCTTTTGGCGAGGAGGACCATCTGAGGAACGGGATTTGCGCTTTTGGCTTGGCAGTGCCATCAGCTTGGCGCAGAAGCGTGGGATGCATTTGATGTATGTAAACTTTTGTCTCACAATGTCGCCGCTAATTTTTCAGGACGAAATTCTCCTTTCATTCCCCACGGGAAGAAGGGCTGTGGAAGCGAATATGGTGGGCTCTTTATGTAGGTATTTCTCCAAGGTTATGAAAGCTGCTAACAACACAGACCCGAGATCAGCAAAGTGCCGCAGGACTCGGTCTGCCGCCGCGCATTCGGGACGAAGACTGTGATGTCGCTATGTTAAGTCCTGCTGATATTCGAGAGGCCGAGAGTGATTCGAATTTGCCGGGAGAGCAGTCTATGGGGGATCTCACCTATCCGATAGAAATGGCCAAGTTGGCTAAAATATGTACGTTTTATCCTCAGACCTGGAATGTGTGCTGACTCGCTAGTGCGCTACCTGGTGGTTACACTATACTCGCCTACCGAAACTGCCTCTGATAGTACATCACGAGCTGCTTTGCATCAACAACTAGTAGATTGGGAATCCAGTATCCCTTCAGAGCTGCGACTGGGGAATGCAAGCACCCCGAGGGAGAAATTCCTAGCCGGACTGTTGCACATGACGTATTAGTATGACATGCTTCGACCCAATATGACTTGTCTGACCGTTACTAGCAACCTGTACATCTTGTTATATCGGCCTTCCTTCCTGCATCCTCCGGACGGAGGCCTGGACAGCCAGGGTCAGATCGCCCTGGATGCCGCCATCAAGAGCACCCGAATCTTGGAAGACCTACTCTCGCACAACCTAGTTCAACATGGTCCTCCTCATCTGTAAGTCATTACACCTCGACTTGGATGATGCTAACAATGTAGAATCACCCATTCTTTTTCAACCCTCTGCATCCACACCATCCACTTCCGTCGATCGTCCGGGACATGTCGCAAGTTAGCCGAACATCGCGCCCGACTCTGTCTTCTGAGCCTGCAAGAGCTGCAGAAATCCTGGGACCTGGAGAACTGGGTATTGAATCTGTTCTTCCGGTGCTTGGACGACAACACCGCCCGCTCTCTCCGAATAACAGATATCATTCCAGTGCCGCAACTGCAGGCAGAGATCCACAGTCCTGTGGCCAATCCAGGGCCATCCGATCCTGCTATTAATGTTATTTCCGAGGCTGGGCAGACGCCTATTCCTCAACCGGGTTTTCCCCACTCTTTCACGGCAGACCTCGGCGTGGCCAGTGATTATTACGGCTGGTTCAATGTCAGTGAAGACTATACCGACTTGCTCGGAGTTCCTCCGCAAGACACATCGCTCAATCTGCAGAATTTGGAGTTTCTCTACCGATTTTTGTAACTGCATCTGTGGCTGCTTTGGATCCACTTGTTGAGCTAAAGATAACGTGATGGCGCTAAGGATGCCAATCCCTGCTGGTCCCTGCTGCTGGCCCGAGGCAGTCAGCCGGCTATTTATCTCCGCCTCCCCTGTTTCTGTTCCCTACTGCTTCACGTCATCTTCTCCGCACCGTGCACCATGTTTGGTGACTTTCCTGTTGACAACAAAATTGTCCTAGTGACTGGCGGAGGATCCGGTAATCAATTTCCAAACATTGCTCCTCGCAAACGCTAACAACCACAGGGATCGGTCTCCAGCTCATCCGCTTGGCCTCCGCCAAAGGCGCCAAAATCATCATTGCCGATCTGCAACTCACCCCTGAGGCCCAACATCTCGTCGACACCACCGAAACCGTCATCTACCAGCGCTGCGACGTGCGCAATTGGGACGACCTTCATGCCCTGATTCAAGTCTCGCGCGACAAATGGAACGATGTCCCGGATGTGTATATCGCATCGGCAGGGATCTTTGAACCCGTGTGTGCTCCTCTGATTTTTTAATCTTCTTCCTGCTAAGCGACATCAGAAATCAGCCAGCTTCTGGGAAGACACCGAGTCAACCCGCTATGCTACCGTCGACATCAACGTCAACCACCCCATCAAATTCACCCGTCTAGCCATCCGAGCTCTTCTCGAAGAAAACAAAAAAGGCGTCGTATGTCTAGTATCTTCCATTTCCGGAATCGGCTCCTCCTACTCCAGTCCGTTGTACTGCGCCAGCAAGCATGCTCTCTGGGGTTTTGTCAAGTCGATGGCCCCTCTAGCTGCATTGGAGGGCGTGAAAGTCACCTCCATTTGTCCTGGGTATTTTCCCTAGTCCATCCTTTGTGATGTAAACACTACTAACAAAAAAGCCTGGTCCCCACACCCCTATGGGACACTGTCCCCGAATTCCGTCAACAATACTCCGTCGAGAATTTCGACCACATCTCCGCAGAAGAAGTAGCAGAGTGCATGCTCTCCCTCATCGAAGAGGGTAAATACCCTGGCGGCGCGGTAGTCGAAATTACTACTCCTGGGCCAAATGGGCGACGCGTGATTCCTCCGTGGAACGTCTCCCCGACGAAAATGTATAGCGCCCGGTTGCTCTCGGACGAAATAGCGAGGAACCTAGTTGCGCCGGTTCAGGCGGTGTTGAAAAGGGAGAGGAAGATGAAGCTGTAGACCTACCTCTGTTTATAATATGTATCGTGGGTGGAATGCTATATATACCTCTCACCTTCGCTTCTATTCCCTCGTCTCAAATGATAGAATGCACATCATCTTGACTACTGTACCTATCCCCAGTCTATACTATCCTCACAACCCATACTCTATTTCTCACTTCTCCCAAAAAACGAATACTCCCAATGACACTAGCAACTCATCCGGTCCGTATAGTAAATCCAACATCATTATGAAAACAACCATCCCTGTGCTCATCGAACTGACCTGTCTACTCAGGCCATAATATGATCCTAAATAAAGTGCCATGAATCAAGCCCATCAGATAGCCGTTCCACTGGGTCCACATGCTAGGTAGTGTCACGAACATGCCGCAATTTCATGCTTTCCGGTTAATATGTCCACCAATCGTATTGCCTTATGAATAGGCGGGATATATTGCCGGGAGGTGAACCCCGTGGCGTTTATAAGAAACCATGGGTTGTTCCCGGGGAGCGGCACAACGATGATTTATGATGCATTTGGAAGGATTTTGATTGAGAAACCTTATCCCACCGTCATGAATCGTCACAACGTGCGTCGGTTGGACGATCAGGCTCGGCCCGATATTCTCCTGAAACAAGAAATCCCCAAAGTATAAGACCGGAGGTTAGAGGCCTCCAGTGGTTTGTATGGTTGAGGTGATCTAGGTTTGGGTTTTATTTGGATGGCATCACTGCCTAGTACTACCTAGCAAACATGTTTTGGTTTCTCTTCGATAGTTAGTATCTGTGGTGATTGGTGGGCTTAAAGTCCAAGCATCGCATTCAAGCCTGCATTGCGGACAGCAAGAATTCATTCCATGACACATTCTTGGGATCTCCTAGGAGATTTTATTTGACTTTCGATCTCGATCTCGCTGTATATAATCTCACCCTGCTCGTATAATCTCTATCTTCTTCAAGTGTTTTACTCTCATATCTCAAACACCAATACACACCACCAATCAGCAGTCAAAAAAAAAAAAAGAAACAGATCTAAGCAACATGCCCATCCACCCCCCCACAGCTACCCCCACCTTCAACACCGACCTCCTCAACCGCCACCTCATCTACAACTACTCTGCCCATGACAAGGCCGGAAACCCCGAGACCTGGCGCTACGAGATGTGGTTCTACAACGAAGACCGGATCGTCTACGCCATCCACGGGGGACCCATGGCCGGGAGGAAGAATTTTCAAACGGCGACTTATCAATGTATCAGACCGGGAGAGCTGTGGCAGTGTAATTGGCTTGAGGAGACAGGGACGATTTGTTCGTTGGTTTATGATATTCCGAATAGGAAGATTACGACGTTGTTGGGGTTTTCGAGGGGGCATTGGGTGAAGAATGTCGAGGCGCGCGGGGATAAAAGGAATCGTGAGGATATGGAGCGCTGGAGAGAGTTGGCGAGGGTGGGGGAGAGTCAGGCGGATAGGGTGTTGTTGAGTGAGCAAGCGGATGTGGTGGAGGTGTTTTGGGGGAAGGGGGAGTTGGAGGGGATTGAGATGGGGTGGGAGACGTTGTGAGATATGGTCTTGTGATGAGGTGTTGAGGAGAAGTGAGGGTATTGATTGTATTTACATGGTATCAGAATGGACTGTATATAGAAGCTAAGTTGGTGATGACGCTCTGTAGAATTGATGTGTATAGCGCAACAGATATCTATCAGTGGGATTGGGTCGTGTGTATGGAGCTATAATCTCATTCACTGCTCTCCACTTGTTCGCCGTTCTCTTTATCCTGTGATACCAAACAGAATAAGACAAACTGTCTGCAATTAGCCCGTGTTCATTCGGATATGCATCTTCACGCACCTTGTCTTCATAGTATGTTGGTAGATGGCTAGATTCAACAAAAGAGAGTCTGGGGTTGTTGTTCTTGGGCACTTCAATGTAAAGGTATGAGTACACATCCCTTTGAGTCAGGACAATACGAAAGCGCTCGTGCATCTTGGCAAGGGATACAAAACAGAACTCATGTAGAGTACTAGTGAGGGTAACACCAGACCCGATGATGTCCCAGAAAACCCATCGCTTCTTCGCGCAAGACTGTCCAGGTAGCGAACGGAACCGAAATACGTATCCTATTGAATTATGTCTGCGATCAACGTCCGTACATGACGGCGCGTAGCCTGAAAAAATGTCAAAAGCAGCCTCGGATGTTTGGTTCTTTGTTTGTAGCCGGCCATTGTTGTCATTGGGTGTGAAGCAAAGATAGACACCACTGGCCGGCACTCGTGGTGAGGACAATCGTAGGGATTTATTATACTGAGAAAGCCCAGCCCAGTACATAATCTCCTCGAGGGCCTTTTCGCTGAGACGGGTGCTTATGCTATTCCCAATGTAGCTGATCCAGATCAGAAGGTGTGCGTATCATGAAGAAAAGGGTGATGATGACGTAGTCAAAGATCGTACTCACATGGCAACAGCCGTCTCGTGCCCTTCGTGCGACATGAAGATGAGCGACCCCCCAGTTACTTCCTCAAGTGGCATCTTACACCCCAATTGGCCTTCCTGGGAAACAAGACAGCGCACCATGATTGTCATAGATTTGCGAAGTTCTTCCCGGTCATAGGTATTGTGGCAGCTGCTGATCGTGAGGTTTTGATTTACCAAATTGGCATAACTAAGCTGAAGAGCGAAGCCGAAGCCGGAGCTTGAGCCGAAACCAGACTCGCGACTTTGCTGACTCTCTGGCTTTGGGATGACAATAGCCCCATAGTCTCCCCCAATGTCGGGACAAGGGCCCTTTTTGTTGGCATCGGAAACGAAGATTGTACACCCCCTTTTTGCGCTCGACCAGATGTTAGATTTCTCAATGACCATTACATCTTTGACCACTCCCCCCCTGGAACCTTTGAGGATGTGACCAACTGTCAATATAATGTTATTCATACCGGTAGGGACATTGAGGTAGAAGCCTGTTCCTTGCAGATTCTGTCCTGTTGTTATCGCGAGTATTTAGTTAGCTTTGGCAGTCACTAATGATAGAGCGACTGCGGATCCAACGAACCTTCCTGGGGAACGAGGAGTTTCACAATCCCCTTCTCCCAAGTTTCATCTCGAGAATTATACGGCACATAGCGAGAACTATGCTTTTTTCGTATTACATCTTGCCAAAATACTTTATAGTCTAATGATGCCAGCTTCTTCTTGTAAACTCGTGATGGCGCGTGATAAGCTTTCTCGTGGCCCTTCACAGCTTCCTTGAGCATCAGTTGTGCTTCTTTGAACTCATCTGCGTCTTCTAGGATGAGTGCAGCGCTCCATAGTCGAATGGAGATATTAGAATGGTCGCCCAACACTTCCTTTGGGATTTCAGGTAGTAGGTCACCAATCAAAATGTCATGCCGTTTATTCGGTGGCTTCTCTTGGTAGTTTCGCCAGTCCCACAAGAGTATAAATTCTCGCAGAGAGGGCGGTTTTGGTACTTGGGGTGATATGGAGGCTTAATTGAGGATGACCGAGAAGAAATCCTTGCAGGGTCTGACAATTATGGGTGTGGAGGACCCACACAACACGTACAGCAAGTCCCCAGTCTGGACGGACTTTGCTGAGCCTGGAAGACACCACTGACTCTGGGGTCTGCTCACACTTGGTCCATCCGCCAAGGTAAGAACTATGTCTTGCTTGTTGAGAAGATCCCTTGTGGTCACTGAGGTGATCATGCCAAGAACACAGCCTTTGCTCTTGATTAACGCCATCTCTCGCTCGGGCCAGGTCTTTACCAACATTTCACTGCCAAATAGGAAAAGTACAAGTTGTTTCGTTAGCGTATGCCATGGCATCTCATAACTGAGAGACAGGCCAGCCACGGCCGGGTCGTCAGTGCTCATACCAAGCAAGGCAAAAACCTTGTCGTGGCGCATGGTAGCCTTACGCGCGTGGAACATCTGGATTAGTTCAGGTAGTGGACGTATGCGCAACGAAGATCTCCCCGTCGAACGAGACATCCTTCTTGATCGGAATCCTGCACGACTCATGAGGTCAAGCACCGTATGAACTAAATCTTGTATGGCTAGAAGATTTCCCTCGAGTCGTTCAAATTCCTTGGACATCAGACCCGCACTGAATGTGTATCCATCAATCTCGGTGCATCCGCATCTGACTAGAATATTGCGGGCAGCCGCGACCTCTTGAAGAACCTAGACCAACACGGTCAGTAAAGATCATTCAATTTGCATTTTAATCTGCCATTACCCAGATGCGCTCAAACCATGGCCGTTGAAGCAAGGCGAGGATAGCCTGTTCAGCCGATTTACTGAGGGCGGGTTCGGTCAATGCACCGGCTGCAGCCAGGCGGATCTCTTCCAGGGCCTGGTCGCCATTATCTTGGGCGTCTCCGAGCCAGACTATGACTCGACTGGCCTTGCTATAGATCTCTGCCATAAGTTGAACTTGCTCCACCTTTTCTGACAGGTCTTGTTGATTGATGCAAACCGCGTCCATCCAAAGAACCCGGTCCAGAAAGCGGTTCCGTAGATGGACCAGCGCCGTGTGGAGGTTGTCTGTAATGAGCACCTCATGATTATTTATCAAGATAGACCGACGATAGCCCGGATCGCCCCAGACATAAGATAACGCCTCATACAGGTGACTTCCATCGCCGAGTTCCTGCAAAGGGTAATCGAAGATTTGGCACTCTACCGGGGCATGGCTGCCCTTGTGCGGTAGTAGACGAAGCAATCTTGTCCAGCCAGGTGATAAGGACGAGTAGTGGAAGGAGGTCTCAGAGGTGTTGCCGGGGCCTGTCGGAGGGGATCCCTTCCCCCGACTCGGTCCACTCATTTCGGCGTTAACACGTAGTAGTACTAGTACTTTCCATGCTCGTTTTGTTGGAACTTCGATGCAAGCCTGTGCTTATAGGGACGTTGCAGAACTTTGGATTTCCTCTAGGGCATTGGTCCTTGGTTTGACCATCTTCAGGATAATTACTCTGACTACTACCTATGCAGAGAGAGGAAAGCAAGGAGAACTGAGGGGTTCCCATGCCAATCACCTGACTGGCCTAAGCGAGCCTATCAAATCCGAACACGCAGGACTACAATCCTTCCGTCTCCCGATGTTCCCTTCACTTGGAGCTCTAATCAATCAAGCTCTTGCTGTCTGAGGAGAATACCGTGGGTTATGTATGAAAGTCCACGCCTACTAAAGCTAGCCATTTCCAAACACGCCCCACTGCAGTGATCAGGTCGCAGCACAGGCCCAAACAATGTGTTCACTCTGAGTTCATGATGATCAGGCCATAGGATCAGACCATGCTGGGTTGGCCGACATAAGACGGAGGACCTGGCCTCCTAGACATACTGCATAATTCGGACAACCCTTCCAACACGCACATACGTTCTGTTACGCCTGGATGTTCTGCATGACTTTGTATGGAAGAAACTTGACCGTTGGTGCCTTAGGCACGCTACGGTTCTCGACTGCAAGTTTTGAGGTGGTAGACGGTCAGCTTCCATGAGCCATACCTTGATGGGCTGGCGACTTCATCGTGGCCGGAGAATGCAACCTGCTCAGCTTCGTGGTCGAGGAAACCCTCCCTTATCTGACACCGGGTTCTAGTGGATGAAGTCTCATCCGGAGGCCCCAACCGACGCACTTCCGGGATTACGGAATTGCCAATGTGACTCGATATGATGCTCCAATCCTTCGGGTGGTCCAGGGACCGATCGAGTTGCCATCCATCAGGGTCCTTATCACGGTCGACGCCGGGAATCCCGGGACAAGCGGATAATTCTCCAATGGATGAGGCCTAGTTGAGTCTGATACTCCAAGACAATCGGTCGGGCCGGCTTCACCTGCCTGATCGGTCTTATCGCCGGCGAAGGATCGACAGCACGGCAAGGAAGATATTACACCATATCTTTTGTCAGTCACGGAGATACGCCCCTCATCGCGAGACCCTGGGCCGACGCCCCGAAATAGCATGAATAGACCAGTAGACCGCTGACGACGCGTCGGTCCGGATGCAGAAGGTGGATTGGGGATCTGCGGCTTTCCCGAAGGACCTCCGTCTGGGGTTAAATTCTAATCCGACTTCATCTATCTGGATGCCCGAGGTCCTCATCCTGCGCAGCCCGCAGCGTCGCCAAGCCGACTTATGCAGGTTGAATAGACTGTCTGCACGCCAGCCTGCTAGCTTAGGTCTGCCGATATTGACAATCCGTCGGATGCAGGGATGCAGGGGATGCAGCCCTGTCTAGTTGCCTCGGGAGATTCTTCACAGGTGAGGCATTGTACTCTTTCAACAAGATGAACACGGACCTGGATCGATATTCTCTGGAAATCAAGACAAAACACCATCTGCTCGCCAATGACCATTCCAACGGGGCATGTTCAGTGCCCACGGTGGGCCGAACCGACAGCACTAGAGCCGGCCGATCTTCCAGTGCTTTCGACTGAATTACTATTGCGATTATCGTTTGGATCAATTCGGCCCGCGAGAGTGCGCTGACTGCCGCCCACCAGTGAGAGGCGAGGCATTGGTGACCGACTGGGCCCCGATCGTCCTGATCGGCCTCGCCGGCGGGTTCGTCTGCACCGGTGGTCCTTCCGCAGCCAATCTTGTCGAATCCGGCTTCGTCAGGCGGTCTTGGCATCTCCATCGCGGCTTGGCATGGCCACCCGATCCTGGCGTCTTCCACTTTGAGGAATTTGGTTACTATTCCCAGTATCCGGGCCAATCCCTCTGCTGGATCCCAGTCGTGAGAGATACTCGATGTCCACCACCCACAATGCCCAGACTGTGGGGACGGTGGGTGGTGGATATCATTGTGGGAGGTTACATCCCGGCCATCCACAGCGCCGCTCAGGATGGCCTCAGACCGTCTAGCCAGCTGAGCTGGTATGTCTATCTAAATGGTTGGTGTGCTCAGCCTATTGTCAAGCCGATAACCGCACTCCCTGTTTGCCCCATCTTCGGAGTTCGTTGGTCGTTGGTATGCTAAGTACAGCGAGACCTTGAGATGGGCAAGCTCGTCATCGGTTGCAACGATGCCAAGCGATCTGCCTTGGTCAGGACGATCACTCCTCAATGCATTCCAGGTACCTGCGCCGAATCGGCAGCACGATAATGTCAGTCACTCTCGACCACGGCCCGAGTAAACCATTATCCATCAAGTTGCAATATGATTCTACCGGGCGATGGCTGTGACTCCAGAAAGCTATATAAACCTGTCCGACGTGCTCCAAATCTTCAGTCTACCACTCGCATCACAAGCATCCTTTGCCTCTAGCTCTGCAATTCTCTCCGCTCCAACATGCAGCTCAAGAACGTTCTCAACTTGGCCGTCCTCGGCAATGCCCTTTTGGCCGCCGCCCACCCCGGTCACCATGAGGAGCGTGAGGCCCTCCAGCAGCGCTCCTTCAAGCGCACCCTTGCCCGCGGTCTGGAAAAGTGCGAGGCCAACATTGAGGCCAGCGGACTTCGCGCCCGCGCCGAAGCCCGTCGCCGTGCGATGGTCGATGTGCACCGCCGTCAGCTCCAGGCCCGTGGTGACACTACCGAGGTGCTGAACAAGTCGCACCTGTCGACCCGGCCCATTTCCCCCAACACTCCCGAGACCGAGATCTTCGACGATGACAAGAAGGTCTGCCTCTTGGGCCCCAGTGCAGAGGGCGAAACCGGCCCCTACTGGATTCCTGGCGAGCACATCCGCGGCAACATCCGCGAGAACGAGCCGGGTGTGCCCGTCATCGTCGAGGAGCAGTTCATCGACGTCGAAACCTGCGAGCCCATCCGTGGTATCTACACCGAGATCTGGGGCTGCAACGCCACCGGTGTGTACTCCGGCCTGGTGGCTGACGGCAACGGCAACCCCAAGGATCTGGCCAACCACCAGCGCACCTTCTTGCGTGGTGTCCAGCAGACCGACGATGACGGTGTGGTGACCTTCGAAACCCTGTTCCCCGGCCACTATGCCAACCGTACCACCCACTACCACAACATTGTGCACTGGAACGCGACCCTGCTGCCCAACAACACTCTGGCGGGTGGCTCGATCCCTCACATCGGTCAGATCTTCTGGGACCAGGACATGATTAGTGAGGTGGAGTCGACCTACCCGTACAACACCAACTCGATCCCGATCACGCTCAACGCAGATGACCGGGTGGTCAACGTCGAGACCAACAATGCCGATACCGACCCGTTCCTCAACTACGTCTATCTGGGCGACAACATCGAGGATGGTCTGTTTGCCTACCTCACGGTGGCGGTCAACACCTCGGCGATCCACTATCCTTACTGGACCAACGTGTACACTGCCACTGGTGGTGAGTCTGTCTGCGGTACCTGCGACGGTGACCCGGATGCTGTTGACGGTGGTCTCCCCACGACTACTTCTGCTTAAGCTGAGATAGAGATTGATGGTGGTTGAATGCGTGCTGGATAGTGGTGGGCAGATAGATGACGAATATGATGGATATGATTGGATATTGATTCGTAGCCAATGATCGGTTAGCTCATTCTAGAATAAGTCAATCTGAATGGAGAATCGACATGCTTCCATATTTAGATCCAGTGTCAATTACCAATAGGAATGTAGAATTTCAAATCAGCGATCCTTGCCCAGTCAGTACCTAACCAATCCGTCTTCTCCGCTAAGATCCCGTTATTGGGAACAGCTATCGCCAGGGGTGTCAACCTAGCTGGGAATATTGAAACAAGCATAAGGTGTTTCCTATTCCAGTTTGCAAAGGATCAGTGATACACCATTTAATGGCAAATTGTATTAGTTGGGAAATCGTGTCCTCACTCGCCCAGTCCGCTGCGCCAGTCGGTGACTATATATATGGACAGCAAACACCGAACATCGATGTTTTACTACATCGTGAAGGATCAATACTTTTGGCACTCACAATATTAGCTCCCAATCTTCTTTGCTTCAAGTAAATCCTGGAACGAAATAACTACTTTCAATTGTTGATCTGATTCCAGTGTGTTACCATTGGGCTGACGCTTGCATGAGGCTTACCGAGTAGTCCCGAGATAAGATCACCCCATCGGCAACCAGCGATTCGTCAGAATTTCCACGGCCTGCAGTAGTGATGTTAGGGATATGCAGATGAGACCAGGATTCCCTGAGTTCCCTGGTAAGGCTTACAAATGCCCGGATCTGTCAAAATCAAGAATCCTCCGAAGCATCCGACATCACCATCTCACCCAATGCATTTGATAGTGGACCATCCGATGCAAGCCGGCTGATAACATGACGGCTTACTGATAAGTTTGGCCCGGAACATTCGAAACAAAGCCAGTGGATCCGATCGGGAATGGCACCATGACGTGAGTCACATTCCCGAGATATTCCCGACCGACAAAGCCACCCCCTCACGCGCCCCCTCATAAAGCTCCCAAACTCAATTTCTCCCCACCGGTTTTTTTCTTTCTTTTCTTTTTCCCTTCCAGATCTCATATACCCTTAATTCGAATCGCTTTGCACATCATGATCGTCAAACTCACCCAACCATACAGCTTTCTGGATGATTACAGCGAGGGTGCTCATCCCCGACTGCTCCAATCCCTCCTCCTCACCAACGCCACCCAACAGACTGGCTACGGCACAGATGAATACTGCAACGAGGCCCGCCAATTAATTTACTCTCAAATACACTCCTCCGATGATGAAGTCGCCATTCACTTTGTTCCCAGTGGAACGGCCGCCAATCTCATTTCCATAGCAAGTTGTATCCGGCCCTATGAGGCGGTGCTTGCCGTCCAAACTGGACATATTATCGATAAAGAAGCCGGTGCTATTGAGGCCACTGGACACAAAATTATTCCCGTCCCTGGAGTCCGGGGAAAGATGACCCCGGAGAATTTGGAGACGGTGTTGAATCGGAATAGTTTCTTCCCGCACATGGCCAAGCCCCGGCTGGTGTATATCTCGAATGCGACGGAGGTGGGAACCATCTACACGCGGAGTGAATTGAGACGTCTGTCCGAGACGTGTCGACGGCGGGATTTACTGCTCATGGTGGACGGAGCCCGACTAGGAGTGGCGTTGAGCGCGGAGTTGAATGATCTAACCCTACGGGATCTGGTCGATTACACTGATCTTTTCTGGATCGGTGGCACCAAAATGGGCGCTTTGCTGGGAGAGGCGATCGTGGTGAAGAACAGCATCGCCGAGGGCTTCGAATTCCATATCAAGCAGCGCGGGGCGTTGCTGGGAAAGTCGAGAGTCATGGGCGTTCAGTTCGCAGAGCTGTTCCGCGACGGGCTGTATTTTGACCTGGCACGACATGCCAATGCCATGGCCCGGCGAATTTCAACGCAGTTTGAGCGCATTGGATGGGAATTGGCGGCGTCCACAGAGACGAACCAGGTGTTTGTGACAGTGCCCAATGCCATGGTGCGGCGGCTGACGGAACGGATTCGCTTCTACGAGTGGGACAAGCGCGAGAATGACACGGTGATCCGCATTGTCACCTCGTGGGCAACTGAGGAGACATCGGTGGAGAAGTTTTGCCAGTGGTTGGAGACAATTGATGCTTAAGTAGCCATCTATATTCTATACCCTAATAATAATGATGATGATGTCCTGCGACGGCTGTGATTGGTGTGCCTGTAGATACCGTGAGTCATGGATCGGCGGTCTGGACCCTCCCATCACGTTATGGGATCCACTTGGCGTGTTTGGGTCGATTTCCGTGACCAACTCAATGCTTTATTCCCGACTTCCCTCACCTTCATTCCCGATTCTTTCCTGTCTTCCCCTCACTTCCCCTCACGCTGTTCTCCACCAGAAACATGCGCCTGTCCATCTCTTGCGACAGCTGCCGGTATCTACCTATCCCTTACACCATCTTGCCAATCACCACTAACTGATCAGACAATCCAAGGTCAAATGCATCCACGATGGCCATCCCCCTTGTCGACGCTGTCACCGCCTCCGCCGCGATGGCTGCATCCTGACCGACCCTCGCTCGCCCGTTGCACGCACTCCCCGAACCCCTCGCAGGGGTTCCCTGGATAGCTTCCGAGCCCGTCGAACCACCACCACCACGCCATCACTCACCAATCCCAACCCCATCACAGTCCTCTCATCAGCCACCCTGATCGCCGCTTGCGACATCTACCGCAAGAAATTCCCCGTTGTCAACTTCCTGCACTATCCCTCGCTGATTGCCGATCTCTCGCACCATGTCTCCGCCGTCGAGCCCGTTTTCCTGACCGCCCTGCTGTCCCTGTCTGCCCGCTTCATGACCGATCCTTCTCTGGCCCCGTCCGAGACTTATGCCGAATATGCGCGAACTCAGCTGGCTCATCGCGCCTTCGAGGCTCCGTCCCTCTACCTGGCACAATCCTTGGTGATGATCTCCCTCTACGAATGGGGATTCGGCCGGCCTTACCGCGCCTGGATGTACAGCGGTATCCCTTCTCCTATCACATCTTATGCCATTCTCCTTACTCATGATGTACAGGCATGGCAACCTACATGATCCAATCGCTGCTCAAAACCGCCGACGACACCATGGAACAACAGCCCCCGCAGGATCCCACCCACCATATCGCCTACGAACAGCTCGTCCGGACATACTGGTGCTGTTTCGCGCAGGACTGCGAACTCAGCTCAGGCGCCCGCCAACACTTTGCCCTGTCCTTTCGCCAAATCTCTGTTCCTCTGCCGATCAGTGACTCCGACTTTACTTTCGGCAAGGCCACCCCGCGCTTAATGCCGGCGGACATGAACCGGGGATCTCCACTGGCCACGAACCTCTCCATCGATCGGGGTTTGACTATCGTGACACGGGGGTTTGACATCTTCGTTCGGATTCTACGCTTCGCGAACGAAAGTCGTCGATGTCGGGCACAAGGATCGGCGTATTCGTCCTACCGTACATGGGAGACCCTCAAGGCCGAGGTAGATGAATGGAGGGGACTTCAGGATGCTACGGTTCGGTATCCCGAGACGAGTGCCCAGGCTCATGTAGCTTTGGGATACGGAGAGTTATTTGCCTACATCAACCTGGTCTATTTCATGAGGTACCTCCCCTGCCCTTCTCTTTCCCTAAACCCTCTCTGTTATCCATACCCCATACAACCTCCCAGATCCAACTCAAACTAACAAAAAAATGTGATACCTGAAAATAGTATCCTCTTCCTCTACCGCGACCGCTTCCTCTCAACCCCCAAATCCACATCCCCCAACCACAACCCCCCCTCAGAAGAGAACGAAGCAATAGACCACCTCTTCACAACAGCCCACCACATCAACTCCATCCTCACGGCCCTCGAATCCTCCTCCACCCCCGTAATAACCCCCTACGCCGGATTCAGCGTCTTCGTCGCCGCCCATATAAACATGTACGGAACTGTATGTCCCGGTCGCTACCCGGGGGGTTTATCCCGCGCGGAACAAGAAAAAAAGATGAATTTCGAGTATCTGGAACGATTGTGTCGGTTTTGGGATGTGGGTGAGAGTTGGGTATGTCCCCTCCCCCCCCCCCCCCCCCAACCCACAAACACCTTCATTCTTGTTATTTTGTTTGGGTTCTAGGTTCCACTTGATGATCAATGATACTAATATGGATAATGTGGTGAGTGTGTAGTGGCGCACCCTCCAAGAAGCAAATCGCTTCTATGATTCTGTTTCGGCACGCACCGCAGCCCAAACCCAGGGTCTTTCCCATGATCATGAACATGATCGAGAGCATCTTACTCTTGCCGGGACGTTGGATGAGTATGGTGATATACGTGTTTCGAGGCCTGAGGCGTCGTCTTCTAACTCTAACTCTTCGGCTTCTGTGAATGCGAATGTGAATGCGAATGCGAATGCTACGCGTCATCGAACGGGGATCCCTCTAGATGGCGGTGGAGGTGGAGGTGGAGGTGGAAATGAAGTACGACGTATGTCTATGGCAGAGTTGACGGAGCAGACTCCTGCTGCTGCTGCTGGTGGTGGTAGTGGTGAGGGATACGACCTCGAGGCAGAGATGCTACAGTGGCCATTTATCGATGAGAATTGGTCGGTGGGGTTTGATACGGGGTTTGAGGCTGTGTGACCGGGGTTGGGATAGTGGTTGACAAGGGTGATGATTATGTGTATATGTATGAGTATGACTTATGACTGGTTTAATTGACAAATTGCTTTCTATTTGTTTGAGGGGTGGTAAGAAAAGGTATGGATGTGAATTATTTTGTGTCTGATTACGGATGTACATTGGCTAGGACCATTCGAGCTAGATATCTGCAATCAGATCGGCCTGTAGTTGTATAAGGTATTCTATCTTTCTCAAGTCCCGGAGATGGGGTTAGAGTAAAGAATGGAATCTACCAGCTTCTTAAAATGGTTCTATTTCCCATTAACAATAGACCTTTTTGCTACTTGCTCATCCTCTATGTTCTCTTTCTATTCCCCAGAACAAGAACCCATCACCACCGACAACACCCTTTCCCCCAATGCAATCAAACTATCTGCCTCGATAATATCTCTCTTCCTAACACTCGCTTCCATCCTCGCCTTAATCCAATTACGCAATTCGACTGCCGCTAGCGAGTCCAGGCCGTAGACTGATAGTGGTTGGCCCGGTTCGATGACTGGTTGGTTATTCCATCGGAGGATTTGCGCGAGGTGGAGGGTGAGAATATCTAGGCAGGTCTCTAGCAAGCCTTGGGTTGTGGTGGGGCTTGTTGTAAGGTGTTTGGATTTTTGCAGGGCTGTTGTTAGGGGGTCTGGCTTGGGGAGGTCGACTTCTGAGTTTGGTGAGTTATGGGAGTGGAAGAGGCCGGCGAAGCGTGGGTCGAAGCGGAGGTCTGAGTGTGTTGGGTTTTGTGGGACCCTTAAACCTGTGATGAGGTGGGACATTGAGTCTGGGCCTAGGTGGGAATGGTGCAGTGCGTAGTCGATTATATCGTGCAATGCGCTCTCCGGGATGCTGATGGTTTCTTTTGAGCCTGAATGACGCTGAGAGAGAGATTCCGATTCTGCTATCACGCCGATGTCTTCCATCACCCCTAGCGAGACCGTCATACAGCGTTGGCCGAGCTGGCGACGGTATTCACTGAACGAGTCGAGGAAGCTGTTGGCTGCGGCGTAGTTGGCTTGACCTTTGCTGCCCACGATGCTGGAAATACTGGAGAGGCAGATGAAGAAGTCGAGGTGGAGATGCCTCTCCATTGCTGCGTTGTGTAGGTTCCAAGCTCCGTGGACTTTGCTTCCGACGGCGTCGTGGAATTCATCCACTGTCATGGTCTCGTATGGTCGGTCGCGCAGCAGCATGGCCCCGTGGATGATGGCCCCGATGGGCACCGGGGCTTTGTTAAAGGCGCGGTGGACGTCGATGATTCGGGTTACGTCTCCTTGGCTATCGTAGAATTTGCATCCTAGTGACTGGCATTGTGTGATGGTAGCTTGGGAGCGCGCATCGTTGATGCCGCTGCGAGACATCACTACGATATGACGGACACCGCGCCAGGCCAGATGGGTGGCTATGCTGCCGCAGACGCCTTTCAGACCTCCGATAATTAGATAGGCCGCGTTATCTCCGATGGTGGGGTGGTGTTGATGGGTAGGTTCGTTGGTAATGCATTGTGCACTGCGTGTCAAGGCCATCTTACCCGAGCAGTGGTCACTCCGCAAGTACGCGACTGCCTCCTCGATCTGAGTCATTGAGAAGGAGACGGTCGGAGTTATTGTGTGAAGAAGTCCCTCCTGGGCAAGGCCAAAAACACGTTTCATAACTCTGAGAATGTTAGTAGGCTTATATTCTGAGTTGAGGGGCACTCACTTTGAAAGGATCTCCAGGGGTAGAACTATTGGATGACAAAGATCAACTATACGGTAGGAACATCCCCGAGCAAAGGGAGCTATTGACAAGGACCCTTGATCACTCGGCTTTCCAATCTGTACCATGGTACCACCATCTGCGCACATCCTCCATGACGCATCGAGTAGATCTCCTGTCAGTGAGCTGACAATCAAGTCGATGCCTCGATTTTCCGTTTTCGCCATAATATGCGAGACGAAGTTATTTGGCTGCAAAGAAAAGATCCGATCATCTGGAATGTCATACTGATCTTGTAAAGATGCCCTTTCCTCATCTGTACCTGTTGTAATAAACACTTCAGCTTGAGCATATTGACAGATCTGCACACAAGCACCACCCACGTCGCTGATAGCATTATGGATCAAGACCGTTTGTCCCTTTCGTAAGTTGCCAATCTCGAATAGAGTATAGTATGCTGTGCAAAACGCAACAGGTATGCTGGCAGCTTCCTCGAAGGATATGACGTCTGGGATGGTATGAAAGAGCCCTACTGGGATATTAACGTGAGGCTTAGGTGTACTGTCTGCCAAGAATGCCACACGACTGCCGATGAGGTCTGAGGGCAGGTTTTAGACTCGTCGCATAATACCGGCGCCTTCGAAAGGCACGTTATCATCCTTCGTGGCATCGCCGGCCATCAAACCCACATGTCTTTGACTCAAAGCAATAGCGCAAACCTCGACCTCGACGTGGCCATCTGGGAGATTATGAGACACATCGGACGGGTATCTCACATTGTCCATCATTTCTGCTTGGTTGCGAGAATTGTCGAGCAAACATCGTGTTTCAGTCTCTATGGCTCTTGTCGCCTCATCTAGCCGCTCATATGGCATCACGCGGTGGATATAGACCACCCCATCCCTCTCGGCGTACTCACTATCTGTGACCCAGCGGGACTTTGGGCGCTGGAGCTGGGACAGGGCATATACCACCGCTGACGGTAGATGTGGACCGTCAGGTGCTTCAACATCCAGGGTCATCAGGGTAGCAGAAGGGTCTTCCGACCGGATCGATCGAAACAGTCCAGAAACCAGTGCATTATCCGGCTTGGTGACGGTATGTTGGGCACCATGGGTGACCTAGAGAATGTTGCATCCCCTACTTATAAGTCGGCGCAAGCAGAGCCACTGCTCGTTTGTCACCTGTGTCAAGACTGGTGCGAACAGCTCGTCGATCACAAGGACTGTACTCGACGCAGGGACGTCGTGTGCGGGACAGCTGTGCTCAATTGGGTCCCAACCGGCCTCGCGGAGGAATGTGCGTAGGCCAGGTACAAGGCGGTTTGATTCGAAGAAGACGATATGCAATGGTTTAGGCGTTGGGCTCACAAATACTGCCTGAGTAAGCAAAGCCCATGTATCCCCGTTATAGCAAGATGGCAACGCTTTCGCAAAGCCTGATCGAGTAGTCATTTTCAAGTCTTCGGTGCTCACTTGATCTTTGTAAGCAGTCAATACATGCCCATCCGTCGACAGGAACCGCTTGGTGGCTTCAATGACATGGCTGCTTTCTTCCAAGGAGGTGCCTTGCACGATAATGAGGTCGAACGTTTCTTTATCTATGAAGCCCATAGCGTGGTCGTCCAGAGCCCGGAACGATGCATTGGTCTCGGATTCATAGCGCGTCTGTAATTTAGCAACTCCCTTCGCATCTCGCCCCATGAAGCAGCATTGACCGTGCATGTGTGACAACTCCTCCCTTTCAAGCCAGATACTCGCCCCATTCTCCCAGCCCACGTTGATCTCCAAGACATTGAACCCTTGCTTTCTGTGTGCCATCGACTCTAGAATGGTTGAAATCAAATCGTTCTGTGTCCGCGCCAGACTTGCGAGGCCCTCTGGTGTCAAGGCAGCAATATCTGGAATCCATACATCTCGAGTCAACCAATGCGATGCCGTCGGATTGACACTTAGATCAATAAGCTGGTGGCTCACTCCCTGCACCCGCATCAGCAATTCTCCGGTATCGGGGTCGTACACAGAGGCATTGCTTCGATAATTGTTGTCTGCACCACCGGCACTCGGGAAACAGGCGTACGATGCTACTGCAAGACCTGTGTCCCGGTGTGAGTTTGGATTAATCACCAAGTCATCGAACATTGACGGAATAAATGCTTGACGCAAGCGCGTGCGAACTCCGGCGCGTAATGCAGGAACCATGGCTTGAAAAAGTCCTTATAATGCCGCCGGATGGACTACATACAGCGACTGTGAGTACTCAGAAGGAGGAGCAACAAGCGTGATGAGAGACCGACTATGCCTTTTGCCGGCGCGGGCCTCAACCTGCTGCAGTCGTTGGAATGCCGGCCCATTGTTCATTCCAATCTCGACCAAAGCCTTGTTCCAGAGATGGCCCGGCGTCGTGTATTTCAACGGAGCGCGGTCACTCTCAGCTGCAACCTCGGTAGAAGGATCCTGAATGCGAATCTGTCCTCTGACATGCTCGATCGTGGTTTCACCGACCACAGATAAAGCTAGAAACTCATACCATCCGCCACATCGTCGAGGAAACAATGACAGATGGACTTCTCGCTCAATGCCATCGAGTACTAAAGCCTTCTCAAATCGTACATCCCGCAGACGGTAGCATAACTCATCAACTGCCACCATCGAGGATCCGTCCATCATAGTCGCCTGGTAAATGGCCTCGATTGCCATGGCCAGGAACCCCGACTTTGGAAACTCCACCTTGTCCCCGATGCGATGATCTCACATCCACGACAGGTTCGATATATTCATGACCTTTTTGAACGTTGGGGCCCGCCATGGTGTTCCAAGGACTTTGCTACCAAGCAAGTCATGATGGACAAAGCGTCTGAAACGCCAGTCGCGGCTTGCAGTACTTTCGGACCAGTACTTAGTTGAATGATTCCAGCATTAATTGGGCAAATCAAGAATAACTAATGGTGGTAGGCTCTCTGCATCCTCGTTCACCTGTGCCAGGTCAATCGGGAGACCGGCTGACCAGAGGTGGCCGACCACTGCGATTGTTGTATTGATAGAACCAGACCCTCGGCTGAGAGACGACATGTACATTGTACTGGGTGCTTCGCTGGAGCATTCTAAAATCTGACATATTGGCCCCTTCAAAGCCGCGCTTGGGCCAATCTCAACCACGTAGTCAACGGAGGATTCCAGCATGGATCGCATGGCGTCATCGAAGCGAACAGGGCATACCATGTTTCTTTTCCAGTATTCAATGTCGGGGCGTTTCTGTTGCCTTGATCCAGAGACAGAAGAAAACATTGACATTTCCAGAGCTTCATTGTGATATGACATACGTGACAGGTCCTTAGCAAGACGACTCTCATAAGACTCGCCGATGTCTTTCATGAACGTGGAATGATACGCCATATCAACCCGCAGCATCCGTGCGAAGATTCCGGCCTTGCTAACTCTCTCCTTTATGTCAGCAAGGTCGCTCACAGTTCCCGATAGTGTGATGCTTTTGGGACTGTTGTAGCACGCAATCTGAACATTGTTCAACCCTACCATATACGGTACGACATCATCTACCCCCATTCCCACTACCAACATCCCCAATGGGTCATCAAACTGGCAGCCGTCCTTGAATACCTGACCCCGGTGATATGCAATCATAATTGCCTCTTCCTCGGTCAAGTAACCGGCTGCAAATGCCGCTGCAATTTCTCCCGACGAATAGCCGACAACACTGGTTGGTGCAATGCCCCAGGCTCGAAACAGCACGACCGATACAATCTGAAGTGCTGTGACAATGGTCTGGCCATACTCGGGCTGCTGGACGTGCTCCGGACTACGGGGTGAGGTGAGCTCATCGTACAAAGACCACGCTGGAGGATTTGCCAGGTGCTGGAGGACATAATCCAGGTTTCTCACAACCACCCGCGCTGGCTCAAAAGCTTCCAATAAGTCTCGGCCCATTTCTGGCCATTGAGCACCCTGCCCAGTGAAAACGAATCCAATCCGCGGCGGACGAATGCTTTTTTTCTCGTACACGACGGGCGAAAGCTGGCGGTCGAGTCGGTCGCATACTACAAATCCTCGATGAAACAGCTGGCTCCGCCGCGTACCTAGTGTATATGCGAGATCACGTATTTTGATGTTGGCATGATATGTATCGAGATGCTTTGTCATGCTATCGAGGTAATGCCTGAGGGACGCCTCGTCATCTGCAGACAAGCACAGCAAATACGGCCTTGAGTCGCCACTTTTCTTATATACCGCCTGATGAGTATCTCTTGACTGTGTATAAGCCGGCTTATAATTCTGTATGAGAGTTCCGGGTTCATCCACGATGACATGCGGATTTGACCCTCCGAAGCCGAAGCAGTTCACGCCCACCCGACGGAAAGGCATCACTGGAAACTTGTCGCCTCCCGGCAAACAGATAATCTCAATGTCTCAAAGTCAACTGTCATGATTAGCATACATATGAGAGCATACATATGAGAGCTCTGCGCGTGACATACTGTTTGGGTTAGGAGTCACAAATGTCGGGTTCCCCGGAATCATGCCAGTCTCGACAATCATCACGGCCTCCATAAACCCCGACAGTCCTGCTGCTAGCTCCGAATGCCCAATATTGCTCTTGATCTAGGTATTCTGTTAGCTGCATCCCTCGCCCTATGAGAGACACCAACCGATCCCAGGCGCAATGGTCGCTGACATGGTCCTCCAAACACGGAGGACACCCCTTCAGCTTCGACGAGGTCGTCAACCGGAGTTCCTGTTCCATGACACTCCAAGTAAGCAGTAGAAGAATAGTCCGTGGTATTTGCATTCGCATATGCTTGCCTGTTAACGGCGGCTTGGCCTTGGGCGCTCGGCGAAGCAATTCCCGATGTGCGACCGTTGTGATTATTGGCGATGCCCCGAATAATTGCTCGGATAGGATCGCCATACTACAGCGCATCATCAAGACGCTTCAAGATAACCGCAGTAATCCCTTCTGCCCGAACATAGCCATCGGCTTTGGCATCAGATGTATGGCAGCGACCGGTAGGGGAGTGTGTATTCCGGATTGAACCGACTAGTCTATAAGCCAAAGGACAGGTCATTGGAGGTCTACCTACTTTCGCAACCATACTCGGGACTTCGCTGTCAGTACCGTCCATAAAAGTCCCAGGCCAGCTTACTTGAGAAGGAGATTGGACGCCGCGATAATCGCCCCGCTGATCTCGCCCATATGTAGGGCCTTGCAAGCAAGATCCATCGCGACTAGCGAGCTGGAGCACGCAGTGTTTACAGGCATGCTCGGACCTTTGATATTTAGAAAATGGCTGACTCGGTTGCTTAGCATCGTTGCAGCTGTCCCTAATCCCACTTTCGGTGGCCTTGAATCCGGATCCCGCGCAAATAGGTCCCAGTAATCCGATCTATGAGCGCTTTATGAAAACTAGAAGGGGTCGCCGCCTACCTCCTGTGTGGGCGCCCACGTAACAACCATATCTCGCCCCGGACAATGTCTCCATTGGTATGCCTGTATTTTCTAACGCTTCGTAGACCACTTCGAGGAGGATCCTTTGCTGCGGATCCATCGAGACGGCGTCTTGGGGTGAAATGTTGAAGAACTTGGCATCGAATGCCGCGGGATCGACATTTTCCATAAACATGACCCCAGGAGGGCGCATCGTACGCGGTTTTGCTGAGCCATCAAAGTGTCCTTGGTGGTGAAACCGCGATTCTGGAACCTCTGTACTGGGGATACCTCCACTCATGAGAAAATCCCAAAGCTGATGGGGCGAGTCGCTGCCGCCCGGGAGCCGACATGCCATGCCTATCACCGCGATCGGCTCCTGGACGAAACCACTCGGCCAGAGACTCGTGGACGAGTCCGATGTTTGGGGCGTCCAAGCCATCCTTGAGCGATAGGGGATGCAGATGGCTTCGCGAAGTCAACGAGGGAACAGCATAATTTGGCCGACTCCCTCCACCCCAGCAGATGGACGCTAGGCCGGGGTGGGGCGCGAAGGCGATCATAGGCCATGGATACTGACATTGAGGCAGGATTCGCGCGACTTATGATCATCACCGCGCAAATAAGTGTGACCCCTATGCTCTCTCGTTCTTCCGCACAACCGTGGCGGTGGTCGACCCGACCGCCGGGGGATCCATTATTGGGCACAAGCCCATTATTGGGTACAATCCACCGCTAAGTGTCCTCGGTTCCAGGCGGGTGCTGACAGGCCATGATTAAATAGAATGGCAGTTTGGTGTTTGTCACATTGGACACGGGTCGCTCTCTTCGGTGGGATGAGGATGGGGGTAATGGCGTCATCCAGCTGCGGGGGCACTAAATAAGGCCTGCTGTATGGTGAGTTAGCTCTAATCTCCGGAACGGCATTCGTCGGTCGCTCACAAAAGAAACCGGGACACTCTCCCGGGCCCATACCACTCACCCTCCATCTGCACTTTGCACACCCGCCGCTTGCCAATCATGAGGGAGAAAAGTCGGCGAGAGGAGGGGAGAGGAGAAAAGACGACGGGCCGGAGACGGATGGCGCGCGACGGCGGGGATCACGGGACACCCCCGTGACGTCAGGCCGCCAGGCGCCACTCTGGGTGTCTGAGGCAGGCATCTCCAATCCTTCCAGCTGTTGGCTATGGTATAATTTCTCTAGCTAACTTCTAGAACTGTCACTTCCTCGAGCAGCGACCCGACCAGTCGGTATCACAAGGAACAGTCACGTCGCGGATCCTTCATCCTTGGGTCGAGTGCACCAAGGTTTACCTCAATTCCCGCACCCCAATACCTCTTCGAGCCACCAGTGTCATACACATACCGAAAATTTTGAAATGCCCTCCACAACGCCACGAAAAATCCTAGGTCCTTTTCTTCCCGATATTCCCCCCGAGAAGTGGCTTGATCGCGTTGGTCGCTTCCTCCGCACGATGAAACGGAATCCGGGGGGGAAGTTGATGGATGACGTGGTGGCCGATGATGTCGTGGAAGAAATACCGCCCAATTAACCCAGAGCTACGGTTCACTGTCCCTAGGACGCCTCTGACGAAGGTCCACGCTCGGCTGGAGTAGTACGGTACGGCCGGGTGCGCGTGTTTCATACAGGTTATGGTGACTGTCACAGCACAGTCTAGGTCGAAATTGCACGGAGTTGACCGATCCAGTGGTGGACCCAGAAGTAGGGCAGAAAGTATAACAGGAACACATTGGCAATGCCAACCTTGGCGCCAATGTACGACAAGAATCCGACCATACGACGCAGGCCAAGATCGGACTGGACAACCTGCCCTCATTGTTTCAGGTGAAAGAGACCAGCTGGATTGAAATGGCCAGGGGTGTCGTATTCCTGGGGTGCTGATTTCCCTCCAGTCTTGTAAACTGCCACCCAACCAGCTGGTGGCCTAACAACGTGAGTAGAGCGACAAAAATGGGCATCTTGACCCATCGCCTTTAAGAGTGGGATACTGGTGCCTTTCCAGGATCCACACTGCTCCTCCGTCGGAAGTACAAACATGATGTCTTTCTCCATGTTCCCAGTAAAGCGATGATACCGCAAATGAGTAATTTCCAGGAGAAGTAGGGGACGAAGAGAGTTGAATGCACGGCCCAGCCGATTGCATCATTGAGCTGACGATATGACGAGAAGGAACCATGACCCCGTTCATGAGGGATTATCCACAGCCCCTTCCCTACCAGGTCCTAGCAGAAGCCGTAAGTTACCCATGCTACCAGATGCAGACGAACCGTCAAGAGATATGGTATATGAAGTGTGCCGTATATGAAGGCTGTGGCGTAACAATATCACGAGTGAGGTAGCCACTGACTCGAGCAGCGAAGTTTGGAAGCAAGTTTGGAAGCAGGATTCAGCCTTCAGCTTGTTGCGACTCGTGCCGATATGGTTCTAACTAAGTGATTAGAGTAGGGTCACGGATAGTGAAACCATTGCCCAAAAGAGTGGATGCCTGGCCTATGCTCGATGTATTGCTGCGTTCAGAGAAACAGGGAGTTCCCAGGACTCATCTGTCACTTGCTTATGGTATCACGGTGCGGTCTCGGTAGCATATATAGCCAGACATCTCAAGAGTGTGGCTACATCCAGACAACTTTTATAGCGCAGACATGGTTCAAGATAATGCTTCATACGATCCCAATTTTCCTTTTCTGCTGGAATAGCAATACCGGTTGAGCGAACTTTCTCTTCCAATCGGTTCTGTCGTGATGGACGGTATGTAAGTTGCTTCTCTGTTTCGTCCATTGGTCCGAGGCCCGGCCTATGGTCTAACGCATAACATGAATACATACAGCACATCCGCAGGTGTTCCGTGGACCACATACAGTCCAGGTTAGGTCAGACTGGAGTCCAGTGGGGAAGTTCCAGTTCACTGTCGTCTCAAAGTCTTCTCTTGCAATCTGTGCGATGCCATGACATTCTTTATTTGCTTAATCAAGGTTTCGCTTTCCAGGTTTGGCTATATACCGTCCGGGTTTGGATTGGATTCGGGTCGCGCAGGTGGAATGCATCCGAGGGCCATCAACTGCTCTGACAATAGGCGTTGAATACCGCACTGACGCAACTCCGTGGGGCTCGACCCTAGGTCTCATTCTATAAAGCGCCTAAACCCAGGTCGTATTTTTTACACCCCCTCGGCTATCGGCTATCTGGACTGCAAGATGGAGACCTTGTTCGATCGAGTCATAACGCATCCTTATTATTTTTTGGTGGCGATTTTTGTGGCCATAAAATGCCTGAGGTATATCAATAATCTCCGACGAGCTGTGGCATCTCCCCTGAGTAATATACCAGGCCCATGGTATGCCCCTCTTACATCATTGCATCTCAGTTGCGCCTTTGCAACCGGAGAGATATGGAAGGCCGTCCAAGCAGCCCATGCGGAGTATGGGCCCATTGTTCGGTTAGGTCCACGTCACATTTGGATAGCGGACAAAGATGCGATACAAAAAGTCTTGATGACGGTTGATCTCCCAAAGGTGGCTATGTATGCCGAAATATCTAGGGACCGGGCCAGCCCCGGGCTGTTCGGTGAGATGTACTGCAACCCCTTGAGTCAGTCTGTACATTAGTTGAAGAAATCTTCGTACCAGACGTCACGACCCTCACAAACGCCTGAAGCGGTTCCTCGCCCCCGCCTTCACCGTCGCCTACATTGACAACCTGGAATTTCTGTTCGCCAAATGCATCCGGGATTTGATTTATAGATACACGGCCCTGCTAGGCGAGCGCTCTGTTGTTGATGCGCGGCCATCTTGCGTTACCGATCTCATGGACGATATCCATAAGCTGGCGCTGGATATGTGGGTGTGTCACGAATCTTGTTCATGTCGTAGACTGACTGGTAGCGATAGCATGGGAGAATGTTCGTTCGGTCGAGGCTTCGGAGAAACGAAATCTGCGGACCACATTGAAACTGACAATATATGGCAAAGCATCCCCCCTTCGGTATTGAAAGGGATGAGGCGAAGGTACCAAGTATGTATAGACGAACTCTGTACGAGGTAGCATCACTGATTTCGCAGACGGTGTATCTCAAGCGCTTTATTCGCAGGCTGGGATTCGACCTCAAGTTCGATTGGCCCAAGGAGATGATCACTGTGAGTAGTGTCTGCAATTTGTCACACTCCATGCCAACATTACTAGGCCATTCATTCCATCATCCATCAAAGGAACGCGGATAGGGCTAGCGTTCGATCAGACCTCCTTCAGCATATGGTGGAGAAAGGCAAGAGACCCGACAGTGGCTTGAAGATGGCCACTCGCGATATCGTAGATCAGATGGCTGAGATTCTCCTTGCCGGATCCGAAACCACGTCCGGTACCATTGCTTGTATCTTCCTAGAGCTCCTCCGCCATCCCCGTGTCAAGAAACAGCTCATGGCAAGCCTCCCGGTATTGAAGCCATCAGAACAGATTATATCCAGCAAGACTATTCGAACAGACGCGAGGTATGAGTATTTGGAAGCGTGCATCAAGGAGACCCTTCGACTGCATCCCATCGCATCCGAGATGGGCCGGCGAACGGGGAAGGAACACATCGAGCTCTGCGGGTATCTGTTACCACCGCACACAGTCGTGTCAGCTTCCTATCGAGATCTCCATCGGAATCCGACATTTTGGCCGCAGCCTTTGCGATTTTGGCCCGAACGTTGGCTGCAGCACAGACCTTCCGACGTGCCCTCGCCCGAGTATGTATACCCAGATCGGCAGAGTTGCGCTAACCGGCAATAGCATGCATGCTTATTACCCCTTTTCTGCGGGAAGGCATTCATGTATAGGTAAAAAGTAGGTATCCAGCTTCATTCTCCGATCGAGTGCTAATTCGGCCAGCTTTGCATGGGCGGAGATGCGCATGGTGACCGCAAACCTGTTGTCGCGGTTCGATTTCACCGAAGTGCCCGGACAGGAGATCGACTATCGACAATACATCACTATGCAATTTCAACATGGATCATGGCAGGTAGTTCTGAAACCCAGGTGCTAATTATATTCCTTCGGGCAATGCCTGGGATGAGGAGGCTGAGTACGTGGCCCATCTGAGGTTCTAAACCCTTCACTGTGGGCTGGGTATGGTGTATGCAGTCGGCGGGGAATGTTAAATCACGGCCTGCCCCATAAGGAGAGTGACTTTAACAAGAATTGCGTGGCTCTAGAAGGCCCATTGGAACACCGGCCAAACTGGTTCGCTTCATTTAAGGTTAAGACTGCCGGACTATTGCCAAAGGGGTCGATCTTGGGGCACATCCCATCCCAAGTGGGTGTGCCTTGAACCCACCAGTGCTTAGGTCAGTCAGTCCACGTAAGAGCGATAGGAACCGCATCAGCCGGATCGTTTAGTCTACGTCGCGAGGGGCATCGTTTGCTGCAGTGCTATTAACCCCTCAATATGACTGGACTTGGACAATTGGCGTGGCGCAGGGTTTCAGATCCCTCGCCCAGTGGAAGCGTCATCGGGGTCGGATATGACCATATTCCAGCCATATCCGGCACTGGTTTGCGATGTCGAGCAGACTGGCCTGTTCGGTGTGGCTGGGAACCGGCTGGTGTCCGGTGGGAACAGCGCCAGAAGATCGGCCGTTGAATTTCCAGGCTGTGTGCCAAAAGAGAACGGTCTAGCGGGGAACCAGCCTCGGTTGGAACCAGATTTTCAAAGCTTGGGCTAAATTCTTTTCCTTATCAGCGGCCGGGTGGAGTCGCCGTGCCACGCTCGTGGTGAGATTATTTCCGGCATCTTGCAGCCAGCAGGGCCGTAATCACTCATGCTTGTAGCCTGAAGGGCTGTTGGCTTGCAGGAGGGCGAAATAAATATAGCCCCCAATTGACCATAGACGATATGAGAGAGGGGTGCCATCCTGCGAGACAGGGAGAAGTAAAGACGACGACGCCGGCGGTGGATTCAAGCCGCGTGGCCGCTTGAGTGGCCGCTGCCCCACTCCGGAGCCCCGGGCCAATCAGCAGGCCCGTCGCTATAAAAATAACTGGACAAGCCTCAGCCCTAGTTGAGGCACGTACGACGACGCCAGCAACATGGAAGAGGCAGAGATTTCGGCACTTGGAAATCCTAATCAGCAGTTGCTTGTCATTCATTCATATAGAGAGCTCGGGATGTTTGCTCCGATGGGTCCAAACCATCAATTTCCTCATCTTCCTACCCTCTCCCTTCATCCAAATTCCTCTTCCCCCGAATTGGCTGCTGCCTACACCAAATAGTTCGTCAACATGCAGATGCGCTTGCTGCTCGCGCTTGGGGCCCTGTCCTCGGCCGTCATTGCCCAGCCGGAACCCGCCGCTGACCTGTCCTTGACATGGCTGGCACCCAAAACCACTGTCGCTGAACCGACCCCCGTTGTCCAGGCCGATAGTTACCAAAAGCCCAAGCGGTATTACCGGTCATTGGCTTTCGAGAAGAGAGCTACAACCACAGACACTACAATCACCTCGACAGACACTACCAGCTCGACCGAAGCCTCGACGAGCACAACCTCGACAAGCACCTCGGAAGCCACCACCACCACCTCCTCCGACTCAACCACTTCTGCGACGACTACTTCAACCGCGTCATCAACCACTTCGACCTCAAGCACGAGCACGACTGGTTCCACCAGCTCGACTACTTCCTCCACCTCCAAATCCACCACCAGCGCAGCAACCACCACCACTAAGAGTACCACGACCACCTCCACCACCACGAGCACCACGACCTCCGCTACCAGCACCATCACTGCTGCGCAACGCGAGTACAACCACCGCGGAGAAATTGCCGCCATCATCACCTTCAGTATCCTCATCTTCATCTTCATCGCACTCACCTTCTTCCTCTGCTTCCGGGAGAAATCCAAGCAAAACCGAATCCTCGCGAGGAAGGCTGCCGCGGATGCCGGATCCGACTACTCCATGCTTCCTCTAGCCGAGAACACTCGACCTCAAAGCGAAGCCAAGTTCGATCGCGCCTCCATGATGTTTGCCACGCAGTCTCAGGCCGATCTGGGCTCGACGCGACCTTCGTCCATGGCAGCGAGTGAGACTTTGACTGTGACCCGGCATTTGACATCAGGGACACACCCTGGCGAACAACAGGCAAATATTGTATGATCTGTACAAGTGGAGTTTCCGGGATGATGTTCGATGATTACAGCATGACTACCGAACTGGTACCATTCCGATCGCGCTTTCATTTTCTCTTCTTCTGTATATCTTTGTGATCTTTGTTTAGCGATTTGAGCCTTCCTGCAGTGACCGTGTTGCAAGCCTTTTGTGAGATATCAGAGCATAGCGTTATGGAGTATACATAACTACTTTTCACGTTTCAATGGTGCTCAGTCAGTGTTGACAGAGAAGTAAAAAGACTCAACTGTATACTTCTCCGCTATAAGAATGCGATAGGTCATTGCCATCGTTGAATTACTTTCATTCTTTGCTAGAACACCCGCGGTAACAACAGTGACATCCCATACACTAGAGATCAAACCAAATCGACCAGTGTCTCGGACCCAACTGTCCAATTTACTGAGCATAACACCCTTTTCGGCGATAGCTCCATCCCATTTAACGCCGAAACCCAATCTCGCCAACCTTCATCCATGTAGCATTATGGGACAACCAATCCATACATGACCCAAACCCATCACATTCATCCAGCTCAACACCCCCAAGATGTGTTCTCATCCACGCATCCACTTCACCAATTCCTTCGACGCCTTCAACCTCATCCTCGCCACCCCGTGATGGCACCGAATTCACCAGAGACGGCTCAACATCGTGGCCGACATCCTCAATACCCCTTATTCCGAGTAACGCATTCGTGTCCTTGCATTCCTATATAGAGTCTGCTTCCCCCTCTTGACCGACACACACAAACCTCATAAAACCCTCAGTCGCCGACCGCGACATCATCTTCTTGCCTGGGTAAACGGTAGCCATGACACCATTGTACTGGTTACGCATACCATCGGGCTTCTTTTTGGTACAGGATTTTCTATCAATAGTGGTTATCGATTTGTGAAATGTTGATAGTATGAAATAAGCAATGATTGGTGGCCTGTAGTACCTAGAGCGGACGGCCGAATAAAAATAAGTATATAGCCGGGATCAACCACTGATTGTTCAGAAGTCTTGGCCTACGGACTCTGAAGGAATGACTGACATGGGCAGGATAGAAGGAAATCAAAGATACGATAGCATGGACCGTCTGGATAATTTCCAAATGATAAAAGGATAAACACAGGAAGATAGGTGTTGGAGGTTGATATGTATAGAAACCATGAACATAGGGAATGAAGGGTTCAATTTTCCATAGACAGGCAAGATGACCGAGCGGTCTAAGGTGCTGCATTCAAGTGATTCCTCGCTTACCCGGTTTACAAGCCAGGTCGTACTGCAGTCTCGAAAGAGGCAGGGGTTCGAATCCCCTTCTTGTCATACTTTTGAGTTTTTTTTTTCTACTCCCGCCCGCCATTGTTTACCCCCATCCAATTAGTATTCAAATCTCATTGGTTTTGTACTGCATCCCACCAAGAAATACGGTTGAACAATAATATTCTGTAAATAACCAAGGACTAGGATAATTTCATACCCGATCGGTTGGTTCTCTTCCTCTCGACACCATGTGCCGATGGCCCTGGCGCAGAAACCCCTACCTGTTCATCCCGGACAGTCCCGTCTCCGGTTTCTGGCCACCCACTGCCAGTGTCTCTCTGTCCGCAGTCTTCCTTCCATATGGAATGCTGTCAACACCCAAGTCTCAAAATAGAATACTCATGAGTAGCCACCGGGCCTGGCCAGCCAGCCATGCACGAGGCCTGTGCGTGACCGCGACCCGTGGGGATGAGCGGGGGCCTAACGCTGACCCGGTCTTCCCGTCAGCTTCCCCAGGCTCAGCTGGAGCTCTAGCTTTCCATTCTCTCATCACGAGTGCCCCGTCTGGTCTCCAACCATGTTGCCCGTCAACTTTAATGTCACCAGCCATATCATCCCCGCCTGCTATATCCGAGAGTATGCCGGCAGCACAGTGGACCAGGAGGACCAGCTCCATCTTCATGTGAAGCAGTACACCCCGCTGGACCTTCCCGACCCTGTCCCAGACGGTGCGGTCACCATCATTGCTGCTCATGCTGTGGGGTTTCCAAAGGTTCGAGAACCAACCCTACGTAAACCACACACTGAGAGCTGACCAGATATAGGAAATCTACGAACCACTATGGGATGAGCTCCTGACGCGATCGAAACAATCCAATTTCCATATCCGCGGCATCTGGATCGCCGATGTCGCAACCATGGGCCTGAGCAGTGTTCTCAACGAAGACAAGCTCAGCATGGACTGTAAGTCCCCACCGACCAACTGCTCCCAACCATCCCTCTAACCAGTAACTACCTGCTTAGCCTCATGGATGGACCATCCCCGCGATCTACTCCTAATGATCAACCATTTCCGAGATCAAATGCCCCGCCCACTGGTAGGAATCGGCCACAGCTTCGGCGGGACTATCCTGTGCGTATCCCCCTCCCCCATCCAGACATGGCTAACCAACAATAAGAGCAAACCTCGCCCTAATGCACCCCCGTCTCCTAACCTCCCTCATCCTCATGGAGCCCGTCATCGTCCTCACCGCACCACCAATGGGTTTCGGCTCCGACCCAACCGGCCCCGTCAACTGGTGTCTCTACCGAGACGACGTCTGGCCCAACCGCGCCGCCGCGGACGCCGCTCACAGAAAGACATCCAAGCGCTGGGACCCTAGATGTCTGGATCTCATGACCCAGTTCGGGTTCCGGAATCTACCCACAGCCCTACATCCAAACCTCGGGGATAACGCCGACCCTTCCAATCCACCAGTAACCCTCACCACGACCAAATATCACGAAGTATTAGGCCAACTTCGAGAGAACTTCACCCCCCGAACCCAAACCCCAGATGGTAAATTCCAACTCGACCGGTCCACGCACGCAGATGCCGATCCCGCACTCGCCATCCTCCCGGTCTACAAGCCCGAACCGGCTCTCACATGGCATAAACTCTCCTCTCTCCGCCCAGCAACCCTCTTCCTCCTAGGCGAATACAGCTACCTCCCCCTCCACGAAATCCGCAAAGGAATCAAACACTGCGGCCAAGGGATTGGAGGCAGCGGCGGGAGAGAAACCAACCAAGTGAAAGAAATCACGATTCCGAAACGCGGCCATTTCTTCCCGTTTGAAACTGTCAAAGAAACGGCTGATTATTGCGCTGGTTGGCTGGACGAGGTGATGGGGAAGTATATGGAGTTGGAACGGGCGTGGAATGAGAAGAGAGGGAAGTTGACGAAACGCGATCATTTGGTGCTGAGTGAGGAGTGGAGGAGGGTGATTAGGCCGCCGGCTGCCCGTCCAGCTAGGAAGACCAAGATATAATCACATATGCGGATATTTAACTTGGGTATTGAGTCTGGAGATAGATATATGATGAGATTGAGTGCTATTTTATGAATATATTTGAGATTAGTATATATTGCTCGTTAACATATGCTATTATGTGCTTGGATGAAGTAGTATTTGAGAGTAGACAGCATTGTATCAAGAAAGAGCGAGTAAACTTTTATTTTATCACACAAATGAAATCTATAGAGAATGATATCTAATCCCTAAAGAATGAAAGAATGAGTAAGTGAGTAAACGAATGAATGAATGACACCCCCTACTCCCCCCTCACCACCTTCACCTCACTAGTAACCACCTCATTAGTAACCACCTCAATCGACGTCCTCTTCATAATCGCCATGCTGAGCTGCGGCCACAGACCCGTTTGACTATCTCTCGACCCGCACGGTCGTTCTTCGGGATCGAATCTGGTGTCGAAGAGAGTGTCGCCCCATACGCGACCTGGGATTTTCTTTGCTGTTACGGTGTGGAGGGGTAGAGAACGGGATCGTGAGCGAGAGTATTCCTTGTTCCAGAAGTTGGGGCGGAGGAGGGGTCGTGTCGAGGGTGCGGCGGCGGCGATGACGCCGATGGAGGATTCGAGGCTGATTGGTTAGTTCAATTGTTTTGTGTCTGTGGGAACGAGAGGGGTGGGGACTTACAAGGCGCACATGTAGAGATTGACGTAGTCCCCTGTGGATGTTAGATTCTGGTTGTGTAGTATGGGGGGAGAGGTGGGTATGTACAGGTTGGGTCCGTTGACTCGGTCAGTGTGGATACGAGGATGGTGCGTGCGAGGGAGAACCCTGCGCTCCTGTTCCATGTCAGAAGATAGATTAAGGTGGATGCAGAGACATACGCAAATCCCAATGCCATAAGCCCGCAGATAGCCCCCTTCACTTTGATTGGTATCTTGACCCGCCACAGAAATACGATCGGTAGGATGGACAGCACGATGTCGGTTCCTGCGGCAATGGCTGAGACAGATTAGTACAAATATGATATATACTGGGATATACTCACATCCTTGCGCGATTGCTGCCCCGTTGATCGCTGTCTTGGGCCAACACGTCCCATCCACTCGTTTGTCCCACGCCCGGGCCACAGGACTACACTGGGGAAGCACAATAGCGGCATCAAGGATACTGGTAATAGTGTTGAAGGCAATGAAGCACCAGAAGAATATCTTCCATATCTTGGTCGTGAGACTATATCCGTTAGTTTGGAATAGCACAAACAGCAGGGGACGCACAAAAGTCTCATCAGGAGCAGGCTGATGGATATTTTCAGGAAGATGGTCGAGAAGAGCAACGGAAAGAGACACATCCGCAGCAGCTTGACACAGTAAACGGCGCGATCCATGTCAAGGCTGTCGATGTGATGTCCCAAGCCATACCGGACTGCCGCGAGGATCAACGCCATGGCGACCAGGGTGGTCAACTGAGTCACTCGTATCAGCAAGAACAATGAGCAGCCGCAGACATCTTACCGTTGCGAGCACATTAAACCAGTCATCCCAGGCCAGTGTCCTCATGACGAACTTGCGCACGTACAGTCGCAGCAGAGTGAGGATGACGGCAATGACCGTGGTCACAATCGTCGGGACCACGATGACCAGTGCCCTGGAGGCATGCTCGTCAACCGCCTGTGTCCAGACCCCCATGGTGCATCAGTCCGAGCAACACTGCTGGGTGAAAGAAGCGATTGTCCCACGTAGTCATCCGTATCCTGTCAATAGGTCGAGCAGTGCCAGAACAGCGAAAGATTTGTACCTCGGGAAAAAAAATCTTGCCCTGGCAGGTGTGCGTAAGGCCACCAGGGGAAGCCCCGGTTAATCCAACTTAATCTGTCTGTCTATCCCAGAAAGGCAAGGAATCGAGGATCCAGCGCCTCCAGACCAGGGCCTATGGCAATCCATGCTCATGAACCTGGTCTGTGGCATCCCTCGAGGGGTGGGATCGTACCAATGGCAGTGGATAATGAGCTACCTAGATGGAGCACGGTTGACAAGGTCTCTAATTTCTCATTCCTTATGGAGGCTCCACTCACGCGACCTGTCTTTGTTTGACTGCGCCAGTCTCGGAGCTCCGGGCAGATGGAAGTCAGGAGATATACCAGTCCACCAGGATCATAAGATCTTCATCTATTCCTAGAAGCCACGGAGTACTCCGTATAATCGATATGCAATGCCCGAATTAGAGTCATGGTGGTTGGGGGTCAATATTTTGCGATGGGGAAATGTGGGGGAGCTGAACGGGACGGGAGGAATCTGTGACACTTGGACATTGACATTGACACTGACACGGGGATGGCGGGGAACGGGTCACTCAGGCACGAGGGTTTCAAACGGCTGTCAGAGAGACAATAAAAAATTCTCCGTATTCTACAGTAGTGCCTACGATCAAATCAACTGTCAGTCATAAATCACGCATATTATTTCCAGTGTACACACCACTGGTTGACCAGTCCGAAATGGATGCCTGGCTGGCTGACACGTCGACTAGGGCTGCAGCTAACCCTTTAGCTCGCATCTTGGGATCCGATCATGCCACTCACAACGCCCGTCTTTGGACATCCCTGCCACCTCGGTTCCTGGATGACTCTCACGCTCGCTTTAATTATTAATCGGTCAGCTCAGGGGTTCCGGCAAAGTCTTCGTGGTCGCACCTTTGCTGCATCATGGCGATCAGCGACGCCTATCCCCGACTACCCCTCAACCCCAGTAATCTAGGAACCCCGGTCAAGATCGAGATAGAATTTGGAATCAAGATATAACAAACACGGCTCAAGTGGGGGATGTCGGGTATTTTCTCTCCACCTCCACCCAAACCAAAATCCCGCTGGAACTGGGAACATCCCTCATGGGCCCACCCCGGCCATTCACCGTCACCATCATCGGCGGGGGCATCGGCGGCCTGGTTCTGGCCGTCGGCCTCCTTCGACGTCACGTCCCCGTCCAGATCTATGAGGCTGCCGAGGCCTTGACGGAAATCGGCCTGGGCTTGTCCATCGGTCCGGCGGCTCACCGGGCCATGCCCCTCATTGATCCTCAGATTCGTGACATTTATGACTCGTTGGTCACCACGCATGCGGTTAGTCCGGGCTATGAGCAGTATAAGCAGACTTGGTTTGAAATTGTCTGGGCGGGTGGGGATCATGAGAGTGAAACATTGATGGACTTGAAGGCTCTGCCATCCGGGAAGACGACGCTGCGTTGTGCAGATTATCTGGCGGCTTTGGTTGCCTTGATTCCTCCGAAGATTGTGCACTTTGGTAAACGGTTGCGCCGACTGATGGAGACGTCAGACAAAGTTAGGCTATGGTTCGAGGATGGCACCACGGCCACGGCCGATGTGGTGGTTGGCTGCGATGGAATTTAATCCAAAGTCAAGGAATCCATGCTGCCGGACGAATCAAGAGTCAAACAGCCTCAGTACAGTGGCATGTATGGGTGCCGTGCCGTGTTCGACATGGAGGATATGGTAGAGGCGGTTGGGGACCAGCACGCTAGAGTCTCCACCATGTACATTGGCAAGGGAGCCTATGCCATTTCGTATCCTATTATGCGCGCAAAGAAGGTGAAAGTTGGGCTCTATATCCTGAGTGAGAGGTGGGATTATGAGGCTTGGGTGCGACCGGCAAGTAGAGAGGATATGCGATGAGATGCTAGGGGAATGGGTGGATACGTCAACTCGCTTGTCGAGGTATGCTGACGGTTCATCTCCTAGTAGAGTACACTGAAAAGTTGCAGCGCATGCCTGACCCTTCACAATGGGCGATATTCGACCATCCCCATCTGTCCACGTACTTCAAGTCCCGAGTTGCCATCATGGGTGATGCGGCTCATGCCTCCACGTCTCATCAGGGTGCGGGCGCTGGTCAAGCAATTGAAGACGCCCATGTTCTTGCAGAGCTTCTCAGTGACTCGCGAGTGACCAGCGTGGATGATGTCGTGGGAGCGTTCCAGGCATATGATCAAACCCGCCGACCGTGAAGCCAGCATGTTGTTACCACGAGCAAGGAGAATGCCTATCTGCTGTGCTTCTGTTTTGAGGGAGTAGGAGACAACGAGAAGAAGCTTTGAGAGACCTTTCAGCAACGGCTACGGTGGCTCTGGGACCTGGATGTTCAAGAGCAGGTGGAGAAAGCCAGAAGAAGATGATTAGCTATGCTAAGCTATAGTGGGCTTTTATTGAATAAAGCATTCGACTTGGTCCTGATCTCTTTTGACCGACTATTTATCTGTTCAACAGTATTAGCACTTCTCCAAATACCACACGCTGACTATGCTTATATCAAAAGACATGACAGGGTAAAAGCATGCCAGGACGGAAGACCATTGTGGTGCTGGTTGACTGAAATTTTCAATACTTGTCTCCCAGAGCAGCCTGTGAGTTCATTCCATGAACAAGCTCGCCAGTTGTTAGAGCAAGCTTGATTTAGGAAGAAAAGGGGAGTACATACTTTATTGGAATATCTTCCATTTCCTGCTTCAGGGAGTTTCGTGCAGTGGAAATATCCACCATAGCGTGCTTAGGACTCTTATCAAGGTGCTCGCCACATGTGGGGCCATTTCATCTGGCTGTCGGCAGTATGAAAATTCTGTATCTTGCTCTCGCTAGTTGAACAATGACAGGGCTGGTTCCTATTTGCATAAACTATGGGACTTAACACTGCAGCACGCCAGTTTCGGGATAGCTTCAAGCAAAGTCATGCGCTCATGCATATCCTCGATCATGAGATCACCAGAAATCTGCCTGAGTGCTCTCACAAAAGGGCTGTCCCCTGCATGTAGAACGAGTTCCAACAAAACCTTTCCGTAAGCCCAGGTGTCGTTTGATCGACGCACCGCAAATGGGAGCTCACTAGGTTGTACTTCACCAAGGATCTCTGGGGCACGCCACCCATGTGTATAACCACCAATACCACTTATGTCGATAAGAACTGCATTTCCATCTGCATCAATAACAATGTTTGCCGGTTTAATATCCAAGTGAGTTTTTCCGGCCATGTGAAAACAGGCCAATGCGGTAGCGATTTGTAGAGCCCACCGTTCCCAAGCAAAGTCAAGCAGGCAATGTTCCTTTAAGAGTGTCTTCAAAGAGCCACCGCTATAATATTCCAGCACGATACCCACGATAACAGGAGGTTGATCACTTGTGCTTGATGTCTTATACGGGTTTGTAGAGACTGCAACACCGGCCGCTTGTACAATTCCTGGCACGTTTCGGATTATCTCAATGTTCTCGAGCTCATTGCGGATGACTTTTGTATCATGGGGATAGTAGAGGGGCCGGTTCACAACTTTGAGTATATAAGGTGTGTTGTTGTTGACGTTGAGAACTCGGAAGACACCGTCCGCAATCTCGGTCTGATCTGAAAGCTCGTTCAAGTCGATAGCATGAAAAGAAGGAAATTCATCATACGTTGGATAAACAACTCGTGAAGGATCTTCCTGAACGGCCCATTTCAATTTGGCGGCGATCTTCACAAAGTGGTTATGGTTCGATTCTTCATTCGCATGCATAACAAGTCTGGAAGCGTGTCCTCTCACAATTTCGTCTAAAACCAATTCCGTGACAGTGTCGTTAAGAGGAGGAAGCCTGCGGTAGTCTATGAGTCTGACAAAGGTTCGAAACTCCTCGCGACGTTCCCGTCTCGTGGTCCTAGGTCCGACTCTAGGTTCATCCAACAAGCTGTACACATCGCCTTGAAACCTCACTTTAATCCACCATTGCGATTCATTCCAGCGGTAGATCAGTGTCTGCGAGCGAACGATTGGCTCCGGGTTTCCTTCTGCAGAACAGTCTGTTTCCTCACTATATGACTTGAATTCGACCGAGGCTTCAGAAGAAAGGGGAACAGAAGCGGAAGGCATTTGGTCACCGGGAATGACCTGATTGAGAAGTGACATGAGGCAGACACGATGTTGGAAAGTGCCGAAGCCAGGGAGGTCTCTAGGAAACCCGGACGGCGGCAGGTCACACGTGATCAATCAGTTGACCGTTGCCTCGACACCCCTTTGCTTGCGACTTCCGTGGTCTACTGTAACTTATATTCGGAACGGAGGTTCTGTTTCCAATCCCATCTCTTGAACATGCAACCCAAGATGTGATGGATCTGCAATATCATATACATGATTTGAAAGGGCGTTTAAGCCCGCTCGGCGGAATTCGCCCGGTGTGGCAGTAGCAGCTTGCAAATTTATATCCGAGGAGGCTTTGTATGCCCACGGTCTCAGGAACAGGATCATTGACTGGATCTACCAGGAATCTAAACGGATAAGTAATGGCTTTCATTTAATCAGTAAATTAACTGGCAAGTTTCACCTATAGCGATCTGTACATTCGTCCAATCGCCTCCCCCAGATCAGTCCGACCCCGATACAGTCGAACGTCCTTGGATGAATTATTATCTGCTTTTCTGGCAAGAATACCACCCGGCAAGAAGCTGATAGTCATCTCCACAAACGGACCAACCGAGGCATCTGGCAGGAACTGTCCAAAAAACGTCGCCAATCTAGCCTTCTCGACCGGCCTTACCTCTACCGCATGCCCGGCCGCTTCTTCAAATGCTTTTTGTACATCCTTCACCGTGTGGTCCTGTGGACCTTGCACCTCGATGACATAGGGATGTTTGGGAATGTGGATGGCCATCAGGTACGTGGCACAGGCCTTGCCGATATCAGTGACGGCGACCTGAGCAGGGCTGTTAGTCACCGATCATGGAAGCCAATACACTCACTGACCATGGGAATCTCATAGTCCAGAGGGGTAATGGGCGAGTCAAAGTGCGGCTGATCCGATTTGACTGTTAAAACAGCTGGAGCCCAGTTTTCCATAAAATAAGCACATCGCATGAAGATTATCTCAGGGACGACGTCCTTGAGGATCTCTTCTGCAATATGGTTGGTCAGAATTTCGCCCTATGCGTGGTGAGCATATTGCAGCTCAGCTATGTCGAGACCTGGACGTACTGTCCCCGACGGTTGTTCAGCCCCCATGCTCGAAAGCAACACCAAGCGTTTCACCGACCCAGCCTTCTGAATCGCCAACCGGGTATTTTCCGACGCGATCGTAGCCCACTGCATCATGTCGCTTCCATCATACCGTGGCGGAGTGATGGCAAACACAGTGTCCGCTCCACCCAGATCCAGGCTGGTAGCATCGTTGAGATCGCCCGCGACGGCATGGAAGCCGGCATGCGCGCAGAATTCGCGGGGTGCCTTGGAGAGGTCGCGGTAGATGGCATGCACCCCGACCGGGGAGGTTAGCTGGTCGGCCTCGAGGAGGACTCGAATGGTCTCCTGAGCTGTTTTGGGAGAGGCGGGGAGAACAGCGACGAGCATTTTGCTATACCTAATATCTGGATGGCAGATTGGAGATGGGCATCGATGCTGCTGTCAAGTGGAGATCAGCGGGGAAGCCTCGTTCCATGGTTCCACCAACGATGACATCAATGTCTATGGTCGTATTTAGAGTTTGACACGGGTACATCTATCTCATACTACTGCTGGCAGGTGTGGTGACACCGTACACGAGGAGTATGCTTGGATCCTGTCCCAGTGCAGGAGTCGGAGAGCGAGAGGCTGAGAACGACAACCCATTGAGGCATCTCGACCTGGCAGAGCCTCCTGCAGGCAGCAGCCTGTCGAGAATCCATTGAGGATCTTCATCGGGGCATTCGATGTGATGTGCTCAACCCGGACAGGCGAGAGCCGCACCTGGCACTGCACTGCCCTCGGCAATTGACCCTCAGTATAATCGAGTGAGCCAATTAACTCGCCAGAAATGAGACTGACCACGTCCGGCGGGGCCAAGGGGCCTGATCATTGGCGGGCTCGCTCTTCTCTTTGCCCGGGCAAGTTAGTGTTGCCGTTAGTGTGGCGGGCAGATCCTCTCGAGCGGGTCGGTAAGGCTTCTCCTCCCGTCCTGCCTCTATAAATGTCCGACTCGGCCCCTTCCTTTGCATGTCAGAATTCAACACGTTACAATCATGGAGTCGACGGGGACACAGCTGCTGACCGCGGGCATCCTCGGGGTGTTCTTATCCTTGGTTGCTCGTCAAGGCGAAATTGAGAAACACCTCGTGACCTTGCTGGCCCTATCTGCCCTCGGCAATGTCCTCCTCGTCTCATGGGCCTCGGCCTACTTGGGCACCACAACCTTTCTCCAAGCCCTTGTCCGGGTCCTAATGCTGGATGGGGCCCTGCTAGCTGGTTTGTTTGGCAATATTGTACTGTACCGACTCTTCTTCCACCGTCTGCGAAACGTGCCAGGCCCGGTCGGAGCCCGCATCTCGCGCTTCTACGCGGCCTATCAAACATTCAAGCACGCCCAAATGCACCGTCACGTCCAAAGTCTACACCAGAAGTATGGCGATGTGGTCCGGATTGGTACTGCCCCCCTGACCCTTACCCACGACCGCAACTGACGTGCACAGGACCCCGAGAGGTCTCCATCTGCCGACCCTCCGCCATCCGAGCCATCTATGGACCCCCTACCCGATTAGCCAAGGGGCCATGGTACGACCAGGTCACCCACGATAATACGAAGAAGACCGTGTTTGGCATCCGGGACATCAAGCTCCACGGCCAGCGTCGCCGCGTGTGGGATCAAGGCGTCAAAGGTATGACTTGTCCTGTCTTTCGAATGCCAGCTGTTAACAGGTACAGCCATCAATCAATATCAGATACCATTGCTGGAGAAAAGCAAGCTCCTAATGACAAAGATCCGGGAGCAGCAAGGCCGACCAATGGATATCACCAACTGGATGACCTGTCTCGCGTTTGACGTCATGGGCAAGGTTGTCCTGGGAACAGAGCTGGGAATGCTGCAGACAGGCCAGAAGACTGCCGAATTGCGGCAGATGGATGACAGCTCGCGCTATGCCACGATGGCGGGCACCATGCCGTGGCTGGCTCCTTTGCTGTTGCAGATTCCAGGTCTTGCCACAGTTCTCAACCCCTTTCGGCATTTCTGCCATACCGTGCTGGACGAGAAAAGAAAGGTGTGCAATTCTCATATCTTGACAGCAGGCCAGAGCTGATTTGTTCCAGACCAGGACCAAAGGTAGCGAGCCCACGGATGTCATTAGCTGGCTGATTCAGGCCAATGAGACCGGCGATCCCAGTGCTCCTCCAACGGATATGGCATTAAAAGACGATGCTTGGGTGGTGATTGTCGCCGGCAGGTAAGTTCTGATTCTTCTCTTCAGGGATACGATGGCTGACGATGCAGCGACACCACGGCCACGGCCATGACCAACACGATCTACTATCTCGCGACCCACCCAGCTGTACAGACCAAGCTGCGACAGGAGCTTGATGTGCTGTTTCCCCACGGACTCACGGACTGGTCCTACGAGAGCGTAAAGGATCTGAAGTACCTGACCTATGTGATCAACGAGACGCTGCGATTGAAGCCATCCGCTCCGGATGGACTGGCTCGTGTGACCCCGCCGCAAGGGCTGCAGGTGGACGAACTCCAGATTCCCGGGGATGTAGTGGTGTCGGTGCCCACCTTTACGATTCAACGAGACGAGCGGTATTTTGACCAGGCCGACCAGTTCAAGCCGGAACGATGGGAATCGATTGGGAACAGTGCCAACGTGCCATGGATTCCGTTTTCCCGAGGTGAGTTTGCCATGATTACTTGTCGAAGACGTACTAATATGTTTATGACTGCAGGGGTGTTTGACTGTGTGGGCAAAGGGATTGCATGGATGGAGATGCGGATGGCGTTATCGATGATAGTGCTAGAGTATGACATCGACCTGGCGGACGAGACGCAAGAGTTTGACGGCAAGGAGCTTGACAACTTTCTGCTAGAACTGCCGGCATTGTGGGCCACATTCCGACCTCGCCGGTCATGAATCCCTTCAATTATGTAATAATAATCAATCACTTGCATCTATTCACCTTTACACGGTACCTCGTAGTTAACTAGTCGAACCCATTTGTCATCCACGGAACAATTCCGCGATGACGGGATCCTCCCGATGACGTGATGCCTGAGGGTTCAGGGTGTGACCCCGCTACTTTTCCCCTCGTCGGTCGCATTCAACAACCATTCCTCAATTCATCTCCTTCATCCATCCTAAATCCCTCCTAATAATACCAATCCACACATAACATCACCGTCAAAATGGTCCTCAAGCTATATGGCTTCCCCCACTCGACCTGCACCCGTCGCGTGCGCACCGCTCTAGCCGAGAAGGGCCTCGACGCGGAATTCATCCCTATCGACCTGACCAAGAACGAGCAGAAGGCGGAGTCATATCTAAATGATCTCCAGCCATTTGGCAAGGTGCCTGTGCTACAGGATACCGAGACGGGGATTCAGATCTACGGTTTGCCCCTTCCCCTCCCCTCCCCCTGCTTTCCCATTGAAGCCATCCTAATATAAATGGTATTGATAGAAAGCCGCGCCATAAACCAATACATCGCATCCAAATACCGCGGCCAGGGCACCGAACTGGCTCCCCCGGAGACTGATCTAAAGGCTTTTGCCTATTACCAGCAGGTAAGCCCCCCTCCCCCCTCCCGTTCCGAAACGAGAACAATACTAAGTCTCTAGGCCCTCTCCATCGAACAATCCTACTTCGACCCGCTCGTTTCCGGGATTGCATACGAAAAAGTCTTCAAAGCGCGCAAAGGTCACGGTGAGACTGACGAGGCTCGCGTCCAGGCTCTGTTCGCTCAGCTGGAACTCACCCTCGAGGGCTATGAGCGTGTCCTCTCCAAGCAGGCGTATCTGGCTGGCGAGACCTTCACGTTGGCGGATTTGGCTCATTTGCCGTATGGTGTGTTTGTCGAGCAGTTTGGGTTTGGGGATGTGGTGGGGAAGTTTCCGAGTGTGAAGAAGTGGTGGGAGGGGTTGAAGGGAAGGGAGAGTTGGGGGAAGGTTACTGCTTGATTGATGAATGGGTGGGTGATTGTGTATTGTTGGGGTTCTTGTTGAGATGAGAGTTCAGACTACGTATCAGACTGACGAACCAACCCAAACATGAACACTTTCTTTCAAATGTACTTTAAAGCTACTATTCATACCAATTCCCTCCCCTCTGTACCTCTGTTACACTCTTCAATCCCCAATCAGATATTTCAACAAATAAAACCCGTCCTACCTCACGGGGTGGTGCCAACGCGGCAGGAATCCGACCGAAAGTCCGCGGAGTTTCAGACACTCTTCTCCATACACTCCTCTTGAAACTCCGCGGGATGAATCACGATCCCTCCAAACACTCTGAGAAATAAACATAAACCATCAATTAAATCTCCGATCTACACTACTACACTTATAGAAATCCCCCATGGCCAAAGTATCAAACCCAGGGTTTCGTTCCAGAGAAGTGGACTCAATTCTCTCCCTATCGCCACATTATCTATTAATCAAGTAAGTTTGGCCGAGGATGACTTCTTAGTTAGAAATAATCATGTCTGTCTGTCTACTTCATCCTCTATATCCATGTCGGTGGGGGCGGAGTTGCGGGGCTTGGGAGTATGAAGCGCCGAAGAGGGGTGTGGGGAGGTTGAGGATGGAGGTGTGGGAAATGGTTGGTTTGTGGATGTATGTTCTTGTTGGATTGGGTGGATTGAGGGGATTTGATAGGTGTTTTATGATATCTGCAGTTATTGGGTCTGGGCTATCACATATATAGTCTAGATACGGTATGGTAGGTCGGGAGACGAGTTTGAAAGGTTTTGATGCGGTTGAGATAGAATGATATGTAAAATGGATTTCGGAAAGCAAGTGGTTAATTAGAGGTAGAACTGTGTGCATTAAGGAGGGATTTACAGGTCAGATCTGGAGATCAGACTGCTCTGTATCCAGAAATCCCGGGGTCCCAGTAGTAGACGACTGAGCCAGACCAGAAGAAGGAGAAAAAGGCATCCACCCGCCAAAACCCTGCTGGTCTGTAACCAGAGGGGGTATGTCTTTTCCAGTTAGCCCAGGGAAGAAGTCGAAATCCAAGAATTGCCAGAAGCTGCAGCTTGGATCATTGGAGAGGCCCGGGAGAACATCAGTTTCATGGAATCCCGTGTTGTCCATGGGGAATGGCGTGGTCATGTCAAATGAAAATGGTTCGATGTTTGTGTTTTCTGGTTCTGTAGCGGGATTGTGAAGTGACTTCAAGACATTCATCACTTTGCTTTTGAGCGATACGCTGGCACCATTCCTGAACATACTTTCATCTGCGTTTGGATCTTCGTCCCCAGAAACCTCCTCCTCTAGCTTCATCAAGGCTTCTAAGGCGTGGATACTTCTCTGGGCAGTCTTCCATGCCATGGGCGTCAAAGAGGGCGACTCACTGTCTACCTCACTCGTCTGTAACAGCTCTATAGCTTCTCGCACCTTGTCTCGCGACATCATCCGAGCCAACTGGGAGCCCGAGCAATCCCCATCACTCGGCGAGAACAACAACCCCATGACCAGCACTGCGGCCGCATTGAAAAGTTGGGTTTCCCCTGTAGTCAGAGAGCGACACAAAGTACAGCGGGATTTGATCTGCGCATGAGTGCTGATGATATTCTGCGCCAGTAGTTGGCAGGACATGCGACCGCCCAGCGTGGACAAACTTCCTCGATGTAGTCGCAGGAATAGACTCCAGAGCTGCTGATGCAATATCCACCGATGTACTGGGATGGCTGCCAGAGGACCGGTGGCATTCAGTCCAATACTGCTTCCCAGTCGGAAGTGAGATGGTAGACCCACCACGAGTTCTTCGTATCGTTTGTTGAGATGCTTGTGCATCTGGTCTGGATTTGATTGTCGAACAGGTCCCCGAATGTCGATGGACTCGCGCACAAGAACCGCCAGTTCCAGCGCGTACAGGGTGTAGGAAAGCATTGTAAACTCGGATCGAGGTCGCTCGGTTATATGCCCATACGCATCAACTTTCTCCGTCGGTAGGCGGAGATCGTCGTCATTGATGTGCAGTGGCATCCGAGTGTTGAATTGTGCCGGATGAATACTATAGTAGCCCAATGACTGTCCGCGGCACCAGTCTCGCATGACGAGTGCCCACCTGGTCTCATTAGACAAGTAAATCAGTTGGTTGCTGTGACTCACCATATGCGAATGCCAATTTCCGTTCGTATATGTGGCTCCGTCGACTCGGGGCCAATAATAGACGCAGCGGCTAGCTTGGCATCTCCGAGCAAGTGTAAACCAAGTCTACGAGCCCCCGCAATTGCAGTAGCTAGAATTACATCCAGCGTGGATGGATCCCCATGGCCATCGAGCAGCAGCATGACGGCTGCTTGTAGGCCGGCGACCGACCCGCAAAATAGCGATACATGCCCTTGAAGACACCGCAGAGCAAGCGATCTCCACGCCTTAGCGTGCACATCTGATCCTCGAAGCTCCTCCACCCGAAGAGTAAGCGGGGTTGCTGACCAGCCAAGTATAGTGGGCGCCGGATGAAAGGCGAGGCCTAACACAAGCTGCGAAGGATGTAAGCATAAGCTGGATGACAGAGATAGGCATACACACCGCCATGAGGTGACACGAAATCATCTCCATAGACATCTTGTCGAGCAACGCCATGACCCTCTCCTCCAACGGAAGACGAAGGCAGTCGCAGAACCTTTCCACCTGTTTCGCAAAGGTCGGTGTATGGACCACATTCCCAAGAGGTGCTTGGCAGCGAGTGAGAAACACATCGTGAAGCAAGAAAATAATGTCAATTTCCGGGACGGAGTCGATTATTTCCCGCAACAAGGAAACCTGGTCCACTTGTCGAGGGTTCGACCAGTAGGGGTTGGGAAGGTCCGGTGCGACCACGCATGATGTTCGCTCGAGAGAGGCGTCGTCGACGTAATTCTCTAGGATTTGTACCGTCTCTTCGGCCTCTGAATCTTTCGGCTGTGATGTGCTGCGATTTACACCAGGATCGGCGATTTGGACTTGTGAGTCACTGCCATCGACACTGGGAGTGACCTTGGCCCTTTTTGCCCTGGGCTGGCGCTCATCCTTGGTGCAAAGATGGCCGATGTCGCGCTTGAGACATTCTATCTGAGGGATATTAGCCTGGAGCGGGATGCCAGCGATCATCATAACGTACACATGGCTCCTTGCGATCACACTTGAGCTTGGAAGCTCTACATCGTGAACAGGATTTTGTAAGCTTCTGGGTGCCTGTGCTCAAGCGCGCGACTCTTTTGGGAGGCATGGATGAATAGAATCCCTGAGGGAGAAGTGGGGGAATGGGTAAGATGGTAAGATGGTAAGATGGGTGGCAGGAAGGACGGCCACTTGGCGGGCGGAAGTTGAGAGGCCCCGGCTATTCGGCCCCGCTTGGCCTAATGACCGACAATAGTGTATCATTCATTCACTCGGTGGATTTCAGTGGTAATCTCTGATTTAAGTCAATGGAAATAATCTACAGGTCTTTCTCTTCATCTACCGCACAGCTCTCCTCGTCGCTTGCCAGCTCCCCATCAAACCGGTGATCTCTCACAAACAGCACCACCACCAGGAACGCAACCGCCGCAAACCCTACCCCCAGCCAATAAGGACCCCGGAATCCCATAATCATGTTGCTTCCACCCTGGTCGACATGTCCCTCCACGGTGGCAGCAATTCCCAGCCCAATAGCAATGGCATACTGCACCACGGTAGAGATAAAGGACCCGGCTGCCCCTTGCTCCTCCGGCAGCACCGCATTGGTGATGAGGATCCCCGATGACGCGAACGACAAGTCGGGTCCTCCAACAACGAGTAAGCAGGCAGGAAAGATAAACGCCCAGTAGACCTCCGAGTACGGGGCAAAGCTCATCAGCAGATCGCCAATGAAGAAGGAAAACATCGATACTCCGAAGATGTACTGTGCCCGGACCCGAGAGATGAAGATGCCGACCGAGGCTGTCGCAAACAAGCCCCCAATCACCAAGGGAACCATCTCGGCGACGGCCGAGAGAGGCCGCTCCCGATGAACACTGAGGATGAAGGTGGTCGTGTAGTACAGGAAAATGCTAAAGCTCATCCAGCCGAAGAACATGGCCGTCACCACCGGGGCAAACCCTCGGCGGGTCCAAAGAGAGTTGGGCAGTACTGGGGCAGGCACCCGAGACTGCGAGAACACGAAGGCGATAATAAAGATGATGCCGACAATCAAAAGGACATATGTATAAGGCTCGTGCCACCCGACCACGGATGCTTGATTCCACGCAAACGCAAACAGAACGAGACCCGTGATGCCGGTGAACGTCCCAATATAGTCAAACTGCCTCAGACTCAACCCCGGAATAGGAGAGCCAACACCGTGGGGGACTACCACCATCGTGGCGATACCCAGGACGAGACAGCCAATGGCCCAGAACCAGAATCCCCATCGCCAGGTGACCTTTTCTGCAAACGCCGCCCCGATCAGACCGCCGAAGATGTAGCCTGCCGGGGCGCAGAAACCAAGAAAGGCGAACGCGATGTTTTTCTTGACTGATAACGGTGGAAAGGCTCGCGCCAGAAGAGCAAAGGAGTTGGGAACCAGAGCGCCATTACCGACCCCCGTCATCCCTCGAGCAAAGTCGAAAAGGATTACGTTGTGCGCAAACCCGCTGATCAGAGACCAGATGGCCATCCAGATCCAGCCGAAGAGAAACACATATTTGTGTCCGAAATGGTCTCCGAGGCGCCCCCCTACCAGAACGAAGACTCCGCTGCACAGCGCGTATGCCGCAAGGAACCACGAGGTTTGTGCATTGCTGGTCGCATTCAGCGCGCTGCCAATTTGTTCCACCGAGAAGGCCGTGTTGCCAATCCCGCCGACGGAGAAAAGCTGGGACAGGCCGATGACAAGGATGAAGATTGCCTCTTGCAAGCCGGAGGAGAAATGAGAGGGAAAGCTCGTTGAGCCTGGTTTGTCAACGCCAGCCGGTTCAGAATTGGGATCACAGGTTTTTGTGGACATGATTGAGTCGGTAGTGGATTCGACAGGAGCCATTGCACTCTGGTGGGATGCTGTTGCGCAGAAAATGGGTATAGGACATTCAATTCCAAGTTTTCTAGTGTCTCTCGTATATTCATGATGCTAGTTCTTTGGTTGAATTATTTAAATCAGGGGCGGTGTTCAGTGGTCTCATCGTCGGAGCTAACATGCTGACCGACTGCGTGAAACTCCGCGGATTTTGGTGAAACTCCGAGCCAGCAGCGGCCAAGCGGACATCAACCAGACCGCTCAAAACCTAGCAACATTAGTCCGGACCTAATCCTGCCGACTTCAGACAGCCTAAGTCTGATAATGTGGCAGAGACTGGCACCCAGCGGATTGACTTAGGTTTCACCCAAGCCGGAGTACTCCCTCCACATGCCGAGCTGGCCGATATCCATCACCAGCCACTGATTTTTAAGAATGCCGGTAGGGGTATTATTCTGGATGAAAGAAAAGAATGAAAGTACAAAAGCACACCAGAGTTTTCCATAGGGAAGGCAGTATCAATATCAGCCAAATGCACCAAATGATGTCGGCCAGACTCCACGATCGCAAATATGCATTTATCCAAATCGTCAATATTATGCTAGAGAAGAGATTTCTAATATACACAATCTTTCTATTTACAGCATCGGCGTACCCACGTCGCGCCATGGCATCAAGAAGCAGCGCCTTAACCAAACGTCGACCTCCATAATCTCCTCCCCCAACCAAACAAAAGAATGCCTCTTCCTACAACACGACCAAAGACCAGCGGTAATCCAAATTTCAACCACGTCAAAGGCTGCCAGAGCATCGCCCTCGGTACTGCTATATCGCCACGTGCAACAATCGCAGATGTAGCTGCAGCTGACTTCCCAGTAAACGCCTCAACAGCCTCGAGCATAATCTCCACCGTCGCCTCGGGCTGACTCAAAAACGGTGAATGGCTCGTCTGCAGCTCTCTGTGCTCTACATGGCTTCCCATTTCCCTAGCCATGCCCACCTGCATCCGTTGCACCAACACCGGCAATCCATGATCCTCAATGGTGCCGATATACCAAACCGGAACATCCCTCCAGCCGGCATACGTGAATTCACTCCCCTCGAACAATGCTTTCAGACTCTGGGTGGTGAGCTGGGAAACCCAGTATTGGGCTTCTTGCTCTGGCAGGTCGTGGTAGAAGAGCTCCCGTGGAGGCGTGACCAGCTCAGCAAAGCCGGTCGTGCTATTGACCCGCCAGTAAGGAGGGGGATGGCCAAAGAACGGATCCATAAAGGCGAGTCCGGTCAGGCTGAAGCCCGAGGCGATGAGGATGAGGCCGATCACGTAGCCTGTTGGGGGCTGAGTCCGAGTTGTGGTGTCGCGTGGCTGCGCGAATCCCTTGACCGCGCTATTGCCAACCATGCCGCCGTAGGAGTGCGCAATGACGACCACGTTGCGTCCATTGGTGGTCTCGTTGGAGATGGCATCGCGGGCCGCATCCAGGTCATCTTTGAAGGTGGCGGCGGGGTCCCCGGAGGTTGAGGGAAGGGTCACGGCGATACATTTCAGCTGATGCTGCTCTTGAAGGGGTTTAATAACCTTGTCGTAGCATGTCGCTTGATGCCAGGAACCGGGGATAAAGACGAGGGTTGGTGGATTGGCCATGATGCGTGGATTTGGTTGGTCCCAACCTTGCAGATTCCAAGTAACCGGCTAAAAGCCCTGAAGTGAATTTGACTCAACTATCCAAGCTCAGGAGCAAATATAAATATGAGACGCTCTGGAAACGGTGGATGTGTTGGAGACTGTCAAATACTGCTATCGTCGGAGTGAGTTCAAAATCCATGAAGTTCGCCACGCGAGAGAACAGACGGACCCCACCGTCTCCACCAACCAATCAGATGCAATCGCTACATCTTCCTTGACTGGGAACCCAGTCTAGATCCATCCATTTCGACAAGACTTGATGATATTGGAACCACCATCCCTCCGGTAGGGCCTCAAAACAGAGCGAAGTCTAAATTAAATGAGGCGCTCCCAACTTTACCCTGCGCCGATATCTTGAGCAATGTTGTTTTCACGGGATTCACCTACCGAGACAGCCATGAACTAAGTAAGCATAAAGCACACGAGCTTATCGAGGGATCACTTCTGCCAAGGCACATGGAGCGGCCTAGGCACTACTACATAGCAACCACCCCAAGCAACCACGTCGGCTCATTTCATTTGAGAAAAGCTGAATATGATAAGCTTTGGACAAGAATTTTGTTTCCTCCTGAAAGATTGAGTTTGGTGGCAGATATGATGCTTTGGCATGGTATCCCAGAACGCCGCGAGATGCCAGCGATAGCAAAGTCGTGGGTAAGCGAACCGACCAGGCCCTGAATGAAAGCTTATGCCAGACTGTTACCGAGTTGAACAGACAGTGGGAGAGAAAGTATGATCTCCTCCGGTATGTGTTGCCCCCAAATGGGAGGAAAAACATTCCTCAATCCCGGCCCCGGAATGTACCCCTGTCACAGATCAATGACTGACTCGTATTCGAAATTTAATCGAGAAATGATCATCAGTAAACAAACAAGAGGTCTTCTCCTAGGGGGTGATTACTGCAGATTCGAATACTGTTGGTCATGCGCAAGTACTGAGTGATCTTCCGAAATGTGATATGCAATCTCGAGTTCGGACACCAAACATGATGACCCCCCCTAAATACACAAAACAGGCTGTCATATAACATACCAGTGGTCGTGAAATTAAAGTACAAATTAATGGTGAAGAAAGTAGAAGGAAAAGACATAACGTGTGGTCGTAGCAACCCAACTCCATCTCCCTAAACCTGGTACTCACGCAGCAGCCACGAAGATTCAGGCCGACTCGAGCAGCTATCCGCCGTGCTGCAGGTCGCGGTGTCATATGCCGCGTACTCGTAAAAGATGTTGGTCTTGTCCTCAATATCCGAGTCGTTCAGGTTAACCGCCATTTCCTGAATTGGGTAGCCGTAGTATCCAGTCAGGCCGGCATCGCTGTTGGACGTCCTCAACGCATTGTCAACGAAATATCCGGTGGCGTAGTGGTCACTGTGGTCTCCGTCGCCAAAGTCGTTCACATAGTCGCCCGTCTTGACCTCGTCGGGCTCGAAATCATCGATCAGAGCGGCAATAGTTTTCAGCAGCTCGTCTCTGGTGTATGTAGTCCCAGACCCGTCGATTGTCCTGATTTCGCCAATTGATCCATCCCAAAGCTTCTGCAGGCTGTCATTCTCGTCGGCCGCAAACCCGGTTCCGTCCAGGTTGCCATCGGGCAAGTGCATGAACGCCAGGGAGATATCTTGATCATCTTGCAGGGTATAGAGGGTGATGGCCTTCCCATCGATGCCGGCGTCGGATTCGATCCAGTTGTTGCTGGCGACGGACATGCGCGCATAGGCGGCCTGGGAGCCGTGCTCACGGCCCAGCCAGTAGTCCGATCCTAGACCAGCGTCGCCCGCGGTCAGAAACACGGTGCGAATGGGTTCACCAGAAAGAATGTCTCGGATCAGGTCCGGACTGAGGAAGAGGAGATCGTCATCCTGATGTGCGACAAAGTTGATGGTCTTGGTTGACACGAAGGGAAATGAGCCAAGAAGGGCAACTGTGCTCAAGAGACTATAGGTCTTCATGTTGACGGATCTGATTCCAAGGTGACACAAGAATAAGAAACGATGTGATATCTCTCGCCGGAGTGTCTTCCACGGAGTCCTGAGCTTTGTTTATATCCCCAACTCGATTCTCATGGGCAGAGATCAAGGAACGGCTGGTAGCTCTGGCTTACATTCCTTACCAGCTATCAGCTATATACTCCCTCATCCCTTGCTTTCGCAGTCTTGGTGACGCCAGACTATTGCACATCGTGTTGCAAAGCCCTGTGATCATAGCGGCTCTTCTCACGGCCCACGAGTTAATATCTTCGACCCCTGGAGTCTGTGTTGCCACTCGCGGTTATGATCAACACACTGAGCGCTCTAGCCAGGCGGTGCAGTATAAGCGACGAGGTACGGAGTATCCTGTTTGGTCGGCTCACATTCCATACCACAAGTCGGCTGTGCGGCATCGTTGAAAAACTGCCTCGTGTAAAGGAGATGTTGTCGTAAGATCATGAAGCTTAACTGTTCGGCTCAGGCCTCTATGAAAACATTCAAGGCCGTAGCCTTGATTCTGCTTTCCAGCGTCATTTACCATATATGGCATGGGTCGACACTTCTCTATCGGGAACCGGATTGCCGGGCTGGCCGGTATCCCTTCCATCCCGATGTCGTACCGCAGTCAGGCGCTGAGAACAATCTGCATATGTTTCAAGTTCGAGTGTCAGGTTATCGATCGTCAGCAGAGGCTTCCTAGACTCCCTTAGAAGGATGCATTTGATCTGCTGAGCAAAGGGAAAAATGACCACCAGTTCGGAGGCAGCTGATTGTCGCACGCGGGACCCCAAAGCTTGCGATCAGTTCATATGCTATACGCGAATTGCCCGTAGTAGCCCGGTTATCGAAAAACCCGTGTCTCACTGCAATCCAGGTGGTCAAGGCCAGCCATCATGTCATTCCAGCTCGCCACTTGACCCTCGCATCAAAAGTATAACAGCGTTCATTCCAGACGGATCAATGCTGATGTTCTGAAAAGAGATAGCCTGGACATCCACCTTGGCTGATCCTCACACTGTTCCATGGATAGAGATATTGTGATCTCCGCGCAGGTCTTCAAAAGGACTCGGGTAAGCCACTGCTCACATCAGCTCCTCGACTCAGATGTTCCGGCACCTGGATCCGCCTCTCATGTGGCATCAGTGTCCTTGATATGGAAGTAGGGTGTACCAGTCTCCTAACCAAGTCGCAACCCATTCCTGCGTGTGTTGTTTCGTCCGAGCAGACGAGCTCGATATGGTGATTGGGGTCGTTGGACACATATTTCCTCACGACTAGTGGGATTTAACCTCTGGCCGCATGAAACTGTAGATGCCGGACTGTCGGTTCACCCGTAGCCGCCGGACATGGCAACACTGGGACGCTGCTCCCGTGTCAGTGTTAGAAGCTGGTATTTGAAGTTATACTCTTAGTCCTGGAGTCGAAGGGGCACTGTATGCGAAGATAGTTCTTTACTTGGGCAGCAAAAAGACGAGTCCCTTTTGTTGGTTTGCTCACAGTTACTCAAAAATAAGGTGGTGATCGTTTGTGGTATACAGATCGGATATATATAGCTGTCTCCCAGTTAGTTTTGCACAGAGAAATATTGAGCTCACGCAATATGAGCAACCTTATCGCATCTAGCCTAGCATGAACGAGAAAGCAGTATGTTGAAGCCTCGTACCGGAAGAAAAGATCCTCTTCTCTCTGTTGAGGTGGGGAGTCCAGATGTTGATGGGTTCCCCATCCGGGGATAGCGCAGGCCCCGTGATGGAGAGCTACAATGACGTCATTACAGACCGCCCTGTACCGCACGTGATAGCCCGGCAGAATGACGGCGCATCGCAGCGCTTCACTCTGGATCACATCAACCGGCAGCTTTCCCTGAAATCAACCAGACAATACAATCCTCCAGGCATTCGTTTCGTTTCGATGGATGGATAGCTTGTGGCTAGACCTATGCCCTTGCTTGACCGAATGTCTCTGACTTGACGCTGCGAGTCGATGACTCACAGTCTCCAGTTGAGTCTACACTTGGCTACCAAGTTATGGACGTTGATTGTCCTATATACTAATGTGCATTTCATGCTACAGAACCAAGCAATGGATAAATGACGATGTACACTCCTTGCGCCCGTGCCTCCGATTTCAAAACGCCACATCCTGCCAACTGCTCAAACCGTGAGAGTCACTATCTGCCCCCAAGAAGGACTGTCGGACGCTCTCCGAATCGCATTCTCGAAGATCCAAAGACCTACATCCCGGCGACAGATCACATAGCCGATCGCCGGGTTTGTGTCGGTGCCGGTCTTGATCTTGGCCAGCCCGTCGCCGTTGCCGTCCACCAACAAGGAGGGCCGGACGAGCAGATAGTTGTCAATCGCCCGTTCTGCCACCGGTTTCTCCATCTCGGCCACAATCTGGCCCTCCATCACCTTCTTGTCCTCGTGGGGCACCTTCAACAGCCAGTGGTACAAAGGCATCATCATCACGGGTATGTCACGCTTGTTACTCAGGCCGGTGGTGCTGATGGCGACTAGCCGGGGCTTGCGCGAGGATGACTGGGCGGCGGCAAGGATGGTCCGGGTGGCGTCTTGACAGACGGTGGGATTGTCGAGGGTGGGTTTAAAGACACAATCGAAGCGGGGCTTGCCGCCGATGCCGGAGATGATCAAGTCCACGGGGCGGCCATTGTGATGCAGGGTCTGTTGGACAGCCTGGATATCGGTCACATTGCCCTGCGTGATGGTGAGATAGTCTTCGATGGCGGAGTCGGAGACATTGTGCTGATGAAGGAGGTCGTGAAGTTTGGAAGGCGTGCGAGCCACTGGAATGGTTAGTAAGCGTAGCAGCACCGGAACGGAGAAACGAACATGCGGTGCAGTGGTAGCCGGCCTGCAGCGCCAAGGCCAGGCATGCGTTCAAACACCCGCCCGTCGCTCCAAAGAATGCCACCGTGGGTTGTTGCTTCTCCATGTTGAAGTTCGAAGATCTGAATCTAAAAGTGAATGCGGGATATTGAATGTAACACTAGGTCTGATGATTGAGATGCGCTGCTGGCTATCCCAGTGGACAGTCCGAGTCCCTCGCTTTATGTACATGCGGCGCGCGGCGGCCCCCGCAAAGTCTCCGTCGAACCGCGGAGACTTTGGCTGTCCGCCGTCCTGTCTTGCTTCCCGCACCACGGAGGTTATCCCAACTATGGTCCGCCATGCCAAGACGTGCCTCAGCCTTGCTTACTACCTTTTCCGTGTAATGGATAGATCAACAGCTGCCGCATCATCTGCAGACGGACGGCGTCTGAGCCTGGTTTACACCGAGATCTTGCAGATATGCCTCCGCAGAGGGATCTCGTCCCAAAAATTCCCGGATCATGTCCAGCTCATCTACACTGCCGCCTTTCGCCAGGATAATCTCTCGATAGCGCTGTCCGGCCTTCGCACTCATCGGGTCATCGCGGAAGTTGGATGCCCAGATTTCCGCCGCCAGAGTACGCGTGCTATCCCGGGTTAGACAAATTTTTGTACCCATCACAGCACTTACTAGAGGTAGGAGAAGTAATTTGCTTCTTGTCCCCACATATAGTGGGAGGTGGTGGCATAATGATGCCCCCAATCCTTTCCCCCTGGACCCCGAAGGAGGGTCATATCTTGTAGCAGGGAATTGTATACTTCTGCAATGGGCGCTGAGCCAGGGTGGTTGTGGATTTGCATATCGAATTTGCTGAACGCGACCTGTCTCAGAGTTAGAGTCCCCTGGTTTACCTGCTTCACGGCAGCAAGCCTCTGGACCAGGCTCTCGGGTATCTCCTTGGGTGGTCTGTTTGCATCATTCGACCACCGCTCACTGTACTCAGGCAGGTAGGAGTAATGACAACTGAGTTGCTGCAAGCACTCGGGCACCCAACACCAATATTCCAGCAGTTGACTCGGCGCCTCTACAAAGTCTCGCACGGTTCGATGTCCAGAGAATACCGCGTACTTGGCTTTACCCAGGAGATCATGGATCCCTGCAGATGATTAGCAAGCGACATAGAGCTTTGACGCGACTGACCGTGACCAAGCTCATGAAATAAGCTGATGACTTCCCGGTGCTGCAAAAGTGCGGGCAGGCCGGGTGTAGCCGGGGATACATTGCACACGAGGGCTGTGGAGACTGGAGACTGTGTTCCATCCTTCTTATGGAACCCCTGGCATACATTAGCGAACACCAGATGGTCCATGCAGTCTCAGACCTACTGGGTGAATATCAAAGTTGGCCGCATGATTGTACTTGCCGTCCCGAGGGTAGATATCGGTATAGAGATAGCCCAGGAGCGAGCCATGGTCGCGAACAGTGAACACTCTGACTTCGGGGTGCCATACGTGTTGGTCGGACTTGTCTTTAATTTCAGTGATGGACAGACCGAACAACCTCTCGAATGTGCTGAGCATGCGCTGAATGGTATGTTCCGCAGGAAAATACTCCGAGATGAGGTCGTGGTTGACCTGGTACTTTTCCTGGAGCATGCGGCGGTGGTAATAATCAAAATCCCAGAGATGCAGCTCGGAACCGCTTAAGCTCCGCAGAGCCTGCAGTTCCTGGTGTGCGATCGGCTGCAGCTTGTGTGCAAGATTGTCAAGCAGGTCATTGACGGCACCGGGGGTCTTGACCAGCTGATGCCGCAACTGCTGTGCAGCGAACGATGGGAACCCCAGCAAGCGGGCCGATTCATCTCGCAGGAGAATAGCCTCGTGGAATAATCCGACATTGTCGGGGTAGATTGACTGGCTGGCTAGGAAGACGTCTCGACGTGTTTGGGCTACGCTGCATTTTCCCAAGACAGCACTGACTGTGGGTCGGTCGAGACGAATGCGGACCCCAAGCGGATTGTCATCGAGGCTCTTGAGCATATTACCATCTAGACCCTCCAGAGCGTCCTTAGGAACCCGCAGGCTACCAGGGTCACTGGCAATATTATTCATGAATTGGATTCGCAGCTCAAGCAACCGCTTTGCGATCCACTTGAACCGATCGCGGTTCGTCCCGACCAACTGGAGGCCGTTATCCACAAACATGCGATGAAACCGGGCCAAGAGTCGCGTGGATTCTTCATCCTGGATATCATTGGTTCTGGTATATGCGGCGTCGATGAGGGCAAAAAGGCGTTCATCTTGAAACAGAGCTAGGTACGCCTGATCCACCAGGTTCACTGCTTCTGACGATGCTTTGCGTAGTTCGGGCGATGGTGCGACGGACTGGAATAGTGCAATGTACTGAACCTCGTACTTGTATTCGTTGTCCAGATCTCCCAACGGACGGACTATACTGTCAAAGGTGGCGCTCTCTACGGAGACCGAGTCGACTAGCTTATCGACATGCAGCTGGACATTCTTGACAAGCCGGGTGGCGTTGTCTAGAAGAGCTGCGGGCGCGATGTCGAAAGTCGGTAGGTGGGCATATTCCGGGATAGTCATGGTGCAGTATACGGGATACAGGGTACAGCAGATACAGCAGGTAACAGTGTAGATTTCGAAATCTGGACTGAGGGGATAGAGCACACAAAGCAGGGTGAGGCGTGAGGGGAAACAATGGCCACAAGGCTGCACATGACCGACCAGGCATCTACGGTCACCTGAGCTGTGCTGGAAGTCATGAGCCAGCGAGCAGCGAATGGCTGCATGATACCATACTTGATCGAGCTAGTGTGGAGCTAACTCGCACCGTCTCAGGGGAACTTCAAATCATATCTGACGTGTGAATCACCGTTATCAGCATGCGTCATGGCGAGCCCTAGCGCGAGGAGACAGAAGGATTTGATCCCTGTCTGATCCTGTGGATGCCACTCTGTAGAAACTCACCGGATGGGCCTGACACCTGACCTGCCCTTGCATGGAGCCTTGGCGGAGGAATGGCCAACTGCTGTATGCTACAAGCAGTTGACAGAACCACATTGACCATCTTGACGAAGACTGTAAGGAATCTATCCTAGCATGGGACAACCATTTCGATGTCGTCGAGGATCCAAGGGCACGAGCCTGGTTTCTAATCCTGCTGCCAATCCTTGGCTCGGCCCACCACCGAGCAATATAAAGGATTCCTTCAGGCACCGGGTTTTCCGTACTGCGATCCGAGACTAGCCATGATTCAATAGTGTCATGGCTGCAGGCTCTAACCCAACGTTTCTGCTCCAGAGGACCAATAGATGTTATTTGGGCGAGAAATCCGGTGGCTTATCAAAATATCACTAATAGCGTCGGAGATGAAATGCCTCACCGAGATAACTCAATCAATTGTGGATTGGCTCGGGCGAGTCCCGTCGTCTCCACCCCACTGCAAAACGCTCGGCCGTACGATCCTCCGAATCCGAAAGACGAAATCAGCAACCCACTTTCCGTGCATGATCAGATTGCGCAGGGGAAACCTTTCGCCGATTTGCTGGCGATCACCAGGTGGGTCAAGCAGCGATGACAAACCTTTAGTCAGGATGGAATGGAGTAGTTATGGATTCCTCAAGTTGAGCAAATTTCTGTCGATTGACCGCGGGAAGACCCGTTTAGTCCGACGAAGATGGGCCTGATCCATTCAGGGTCTGGCCAGGACAGTGATTTCATCATTTCACACCGACCGGGACTTCCATGAGCGCAGTGAACGGTGAGGAGGATGCCCTTTCATCCTTCCTCTGGCTGTAACTCTCATATCTGCATTCTACAAACCTGCATCCTGCACGGTCCTATCGGGTGATCCTTCATCCTTGCAGAGTTCAGGCCCTAGGGAACGCCACCAGGAGTGTTGCGGCTAGGAGGCCTTAGTGGCTGGGCTGTCTCAGGCCGATGCGTGCTCGGCATGCCGATGTGTTTGGGTGGATCCTATCGACCGCGGCACAGCAGCCCAGGATCATTGGCAATATACCGAGATTTCGAAAGACCGCCAGCCAAGCATCCAGTGGACACCCCTTCGCTGACGGAAGATTAGCAAGCGATTAGACATGCGTCTCAGGAGGAAAAGTCCGCTCGAGAGAAAGTTATAAAAGGGTGACACGGCCTGATCAATGCCAGCAGACATCAAAGCGAGCACAGCAACAAGATGGTTCGAAGCTTGACATTCCTCGGCGCTCTGTCGACAGCCCTTGCAGCCCCCACGTACGATTATATCGTCGTGGGAGGAGGTACCAGTGGTCTTGTCATCGCCAACCGTCTCTCGGAGAACCCTGATGTGTCTGTTCTGATCATCGAAGCCGGTGGCTCCGTCCTGAACAACTACAATGTCACCGATGTCGATGGCTACGGACTGGCCTTTGGCACCGACATCGACTGGCAGTATGAGACCGTCAACCAGCCCTATGCCGGCGACCTGACCCAGACGCTGCGCGCAGGCAAGGCTCTGTCGGGAACCAGTGCCATCAACGGTACGTTCATGCTGTATCTACTCGACGGAAAGTTACTAACCTCGCATAGGCATGGCATATACCCGTGCCGAAGACGTCCAGATCGACGCGTGGCAGACCATCGGTAACGAGGGTTGGACCTGGGACAGTCTGCTCCCGTACTACCTGAAGAGCGAGAACCTGACCGCTCCCACCGCCAGCCAGCGCGCCGAGGGAGCTACCTACGACGCCGATGTCAACGGCGAGGACGGACCGCTGTCCGTGGGATGGCCCGACATCCCGGTCAACAATCTCACCACTCTGCTTAACGAGACGTTCGAAGGACTCGGTGTGCCATGGACCGAGGATGTCAACGGCGGCAAGATGCGTGGTCTTAACGTCTTCCCCTCCACCATCAACTACACCGCGTACGTGCGTGAGGATGCTGCCCGTGCGTACTACTGGCCCATCGAGTCCCGTCCTAACCTCCACCTGTTGCTCGACACCTTTGTCAACCGCCTTGTGTGGAGCGACGAGACCTCTGAGGGTGACATCACCGCTGCTGGTGTCGAGATCACGTCCGCCAATGGCACCGTTAGCGTTATCGACGTCAGCCAGGAGGTGATTGTCTCCGCCGGTGCTCTGAAGTCCCCTGCCATTCTGGAACTGTCCGGTATCGGCAACCCTGCTATCCTCGACAAGTACAACATCACGGTCAAGGTCGACCTCCCCACCGTCGGCGAAAACCTCCAGGACCAGACCAACGCGGGCATGTATGCCTCCACCCCCTCTGGCCTCACTGGTGGCAAGGTTGTCATCTACCCTAACGTCACTGATGTGTACGGTAACGAGACGTCGACCGTCGCTGCATCGGTCCGTAGCCAGCTCCAGCAGTGGGCCAATGAGACCGCCAAGGTCAGCAGCGGTACCATGTCGGCCGAGGTCCTGGAAGCCATGTTCAAGGTGCAGTACGACCTGATCTTCAACAGCCAGATCCCTATTGCCGAGATCCTGTACTACCCTGGTGGCACCGACAGTCTGAGCGCCCAGTACTGGGCTCTGCTGCCTTTTGCTCGTGGTAATGTCCACATTGGCTCCGCCGATCCTACCGTCTACCCGACCATCAACCCCAACTACTACAAGTTCGACTGGGATCTGGACAGCCAGATCGAGGTTTCCAAGTACATCCGCAAGACCTTTGAGTCTGCTCCGTTGTCGGATATTGTTGTGGAGGAGACCACTCCGGGCTTCTCGGACGTGGCCGCGGATGCCTCGGAGGAGGTGTGGACCGAGTGGCTTTTTACCCAGTGTAAGTTTATACCTCAATTGATACATGACCCTGGCTAATGATGACCAGACCGTTCGAACTTCCACCCGGTTGGTACTGCCATTATGTTGCCCAAGGAGAAGGGTGGTGTGGTGGATACCAAGAATGTTGTGTATGGTACCAGCAATGTCCGCGTGGTGGATGCGTCGGTGCTTCCTTTCCAGGTGTGCGGTCACTTGGTCAGCACTTTGTATGCGGTTGCGGAGCGGATCGCCGATCAGATCAAGGCTGATTCTTCGTTGTTCTGAGTGCCGGGATGTATACATGTGAAGGATAGGCACCCAGGTTGTTAATAGATTATAGATTAGACCTTATATATACACTTTCTTGCACTTTGCTTTCACCATTAAACATATTAGACCATCAAAATCGTCTTCATTGTTCTGATCTTAGTGCCGGATATTCAACATAAGTACTTCCAGTCATATCAATGATCTATCGATTACAATTCATTATACACTATTTTTGCACTGTCATGATTATTCATATAATAGACCATAAACAGTCTGCTTTGTTCTCATTTTCTGAGTGCCGGATGCATGCATGTACAGAATATTTACCCCAAGATTTGGTGATAGACTATAGAGTATTTTCTACCCAACACCTCACCATCCCCACAGTCAACCACAAAACAGTCATATCCATGCTATTAAAGAAAGTCGTAGATAATTACCACATGTATATACATTGACCATAATCCACCACCACCACCACCCATGCATACTGTACATTAACATCCACTGTGAATACACAGCCATCACCCTCCCCCCTTATCCCTAATCCCTCCTCCCTTTTATTCCCCCCCTTCTCGTTCCCACCAACACCCCAAATCACAAGTCACAGCGGCGAACTCGTAACATTAACAACCACATTCCTCACCGTACATCCCAAACTCTTATAACTCTCCGCATACGTCCCACCCAACACACTCCCCAACCAGCGCCAAGCCCTTTCATCACCATTCACCTGTTCCGCGGAATGTCCACCGACTTCGTTCCTCTCGTATAGAATATTCACACCCACCCCACAATATCTCTTCACCAGACGGTCCGTATCGCCAATGGGACTGACTTCGTCGTGGATGGCTTTGTAGGCGTAGACGGGCATTTGAGGGAATCCGTGGTAGCCCATGTATCCGTCCTGGGCGAGAGTTTTCTGGACGATGGGGTTAAGGAAGGTGGACGAGCCGTTGATGAAGTAGTTGAAGATGTTTTGGTAGGCGAAGGTGAGTTCGCTTTCGGTGAGAGTCATGGATTTAGCGGCTAGGAAGGTGGTTCGGTTGTATGGGCCCGTGGGGTGCAGTTGGCTGAGGATGTAAGCGTATGTTTCGGGGTGTTGGCTGGAGAGACCCAGGGTGGCTGGGGGGATTAAGCCCGCGCTGAGGGTCGAGGTGACGGTGTCCATGACGTTGGTGACGTTGGGGATGACGCCGCCGATGGCGATTCCGCTGATGTTCAGTTCCGGGGCGTATTGCATTTGGAGTTCGGCGGCCCATTCGCTGGCGATGGAGCCGCCCGAGTAGCCCCAGAGGGCGTATCGGGCGGTTGTAGGGTTGAGGCCGAAGCCGGAGGAGAGGACAGAGCGGAGGGAGTCGAGGGTGGCGTGGCCGGATTGGACGCCTGCGGTGAAGGAGGCCAGGGGGCCTTCGTAGTCCGGGACGTTGACGAACCAGCCGCGGTTGAGGGCGACGGCGATGTCGGCCGGGGGGTTGGAGTAGAGGGCGTAGCTGGGGCTGGCGTTGATGTCGAACGAGTCGTAGGCGATTTGGTAGGAGAGGAGAGCGCTTTCGTTGATGGCGGCGGCGGCGGCGGCGGGAGGGAGCAGGAGGGTGGTGACGGCCCAGGAGGGCTTGTATTGGCTGTTGGTGGTGCGGTAGAGGATGTTGTAGGCGGCGGAGGCGTTGCCGACGATGGAGGTGAGGTTGCCGGGGGCGGTGCGGACGCGGAGAATGGCGCCTGGTTCGGCGTGTTCGAAGCCTTCCGGGGCAGTGTACCAGGGATCCTGACTGGGGGGGATCGGGACGGTGCTGAGGGTGGGTAGGGCTGCAGCCAGGCTGCTGGCCGCTAGGAGGAGGACCGAGGAGAGGTGCATGGTGGTGGTGGGGAGGGGGAGGAGATGTGGGAGGGCGTGGAGGGAGAGGAGGTGGAAGCTTGGGAATTGCTGTGTATTAATATTCCATGGTTGTGAGCTGGAGCTGACTGCAGGCTGCAGGGTTTGCTGGGTTGACCGTAAACAAGGCGCGCATGGCAGGATCCGTGGCTTGGATGGTTGGCCGAACCCGCCAGTAGGAAGTGGGCGGAGGATGTCCATCCCCGGCTTTGATTCGGGCGCCGGCAAGTTGGGCCGCGGAATTGGCCAGTAGCAGGCTTAGAAGATGGTTGAGAGGGGCGCGCCATGCCGGCTGGGGGATGAAGCTCGTGTTAGGGCCGACTTAGCGGGAGAGCATCCGGGGCGGTTCGGCGGGCCATGACGCACGGTGGAGCGCTGCCCGGATGGCCCGGATGGTTGCCTGTTCGCCTCGCGCTTGTTGATGTTGCCAACAATTCTGAGAGGCTGCATTGTCGCTTATGGGTGGTTTTGATGCAGCTTTTCAAGAAGTGGAAGAGGATTCCGGTAAGCGCTCGCTTACCGGTGGTTTGCAGGAATCAGTGCCGATGAGCTGCAGAGAACTAGCCGGCGCGGGTCAGATGAGGGGAAGGCTTGATTCTGCGGCCTCGGTTCGGATGAGTTGATTCACGTGCATCTACAGTAGATTGATGCGGGATTTGTTTTGCATGTGTGCAGTGGCACGCGGAGGCATGGCAGACACGTGTTCAGCCATGCCACACTCCATACCTGTGCTATACATACATGATGTAGTATGCAGCAGCACTGTAGCAACCATGATAGCACCGCTGCTATCTATCCAGAGAAAATTCTAGAACACTCTAATCAATAGCCCGTGGCTCAATGTCGGTGTATTGAAATGGGCAGAAATACTCGACTGGTGGAGTCGCCTCACCGGGCACCGTTAGGTGGAGACTTGCTTGATCATCGGATCGTCGTGTCGGAGTATTTCTCTGCCGTAGAGATTAGGCGTTAATTTAACAGCTGATGTGACAGCACATTCCAATGGCCGGTCCCTTACCCAGTGATATAGTGCGAGTACATAAGGCAGAAGTTGGTTACTGATGAATGCAAGAGGCTTGAGTAGTGGAATACTGGCTATCATTAGGCAACTTACAGGTGTTCCTACACAGCAAGGCCATTAGTAGGGCTGTCAATATCAGGTTGATATGTTCTACGACTACTACAATTGCTGCAGGTATATCTTGTTTATTGGGATACATCTATATACTTGTCGCCCTGTTGCATCCATAGAACTAACTGTATCCACATGAGCCATTCAAGCATTATCCTGTCATAAGTATATTCTGCTGATTATTCTACCCTACACTCAAATCTATCACTGACACCATAGATATATTCTAGCTGCAGCATATGTATAATGACCAGTACCAGTCTACCAAGGCAGCTCCTTTCCATCATACTGGTTCAGTCCCGGGTTGTTCTCCCAGCCCGGAACATGAATGTTCAAAAACTTGCCATTGACCTCCAACCCCGAGTCACGAACCATGCCCAAGACGCCCTCAACTCCGGTCCCAACAGGCAGGTCGGCATGAGCGTTGGCAGCATCCGTCTTCAACCACTGTACTAAATTAGAGATGTCCAACCGAGACAGTGATGGTACTTACCCCCGGGCTCACACAAAACACAATGAATCCCTCCTCAGCCAGCTCCTGAGAGTACAGCACCGTGATCATGTTCAAGGCAGCCTTGGTGATTTTATAAGAAGGGGCAGGCAACTCGCGGAAGACGGGCTGCTTGGCGATAGAGCCAACACTGCTGGAACTGGGGAGGTCAGTTGGGTCATGTTTGCAGCTGGAGACGACTTACATGTTGACAATCTTCTTCATAGCGCCCCTGCGCAAGAGCGGCAGAAAAGCCTGGATCATGACATGAGGCCCGGTCACATTGACGTTGAAGGTGTCGTTCAAGTCGGACCTGCGGGGTTAGCAGAACACGACTAAGACTGCGGGGTATAGGTGTTACATGTCCTTGAGCCAGCCCCAGCCGACCACGCCGGCATTGTTGATCAACACATCCAGTCCTTTGTCGCCCACGACGCTTTCCACAGCTGCCACTGCTTTGGTGATGCTGTCTTGGTCGGTCACGTCGATGGGAACCAGGATGAAGCGACCGGGATGTTGATCGGCGAGTGCTTGCAGCGGGGTATTGACGGACCGCGAGGTTGCAAAGATGGTGCTGACCTCGGAGGCGGGCTTCGCGGCCAATTGGCGGACCAGCTCGTGGCCGATGCCTCGGGAAGTACCGGTAACCAGGTAGGATGCCATGTTGCAGTTGATGCGTCGGAAGTATTGATGGGTTATGAATGAAAGATGCGGGTGGTGCAGGTGCCATATATATGGCTTTTCTTCTGTCTTCTGCTCTGCCACCCCTCTTCCATCTCCATCCCTGTCCCCTGTCGCGGGAATAAATGCTTGTCCGGACAGGTGATACGTCAGAGGCCGGATACAGCGGAGTTAGTACCCGACCGCATCTTTAACCCCGGACAGCTCTTTGCTCATTTTCGCTTCCATTAAGCTTCCATCCCGTCCCAGATGCTCGATCCAGTGGACCCGGTTCTTTGTCCTGTCGCTTTCCCTACGGAGGACTGTCGATCGGTCGAGATCGTTGAGATAGGTCCGTCATCACCGAAAGTTAAAACCATGTAAGGCTGGCTAGTACATGGCTTTGACACCGACAGTTGAGCAACTAGGGTTATACAGGTTTAAGGGATTCATAAGTAATTGCAATGTCAATTCCTTCCTTCTTGGCTGCCCCTTCGTTCCTTCCCAGATCGGAAAGCCGCGAGCGGGAGGGCCCGGCGTCAACGCTAGCCCAACATAGTTAGATCAGTTATTCCTCAACCAAACAAGTTGCTCAAAGACATTCACTTGGTAAATCGCCCCAACCCTGTGATCACATCCCCACTCACTGCGGTTACAATGTTCCACAGAACAACTATAAAAATGACCATTAGACCAGTCCCATGAGGTGGTGAGTAGCACCATGGCCAACAGATACACCCAAGTCCACCAGTCCCCAGCTGGCGCGGGAGATGCCCGTCCCACCGCGCAGCAAATTATCCAAGATGAACGACTCGAAGGCCAATGGAGTGGGAAGGTCATCCTCATCACCGGCTGCTCCTCCGGCCTAGGGGTCCGTACTGCACGTGCGTTGTACACCACCGGTGCAACCCTATATCTGACAGCCCGCGATCTCAACAAAGCGCGATTAGCCCTCCACGATCTCATCGACAGCCCCCGCGTCTATCTTCTACATCTAGACCTCAATTCCCTCGCCTCCGTGCGTGCATGCGCCGAACAATTCAAGACCCAATCCACACGTCTCAACATCCTCATCGCCAATGCCGGGGTCATGGGCTGTCCCGAGGGGCGAACGGCAGATGGCTTCGAGACACAGTTTGGAACCAACCATCTAGCTCATTTTCACCTTTTTCATCTCCTCCGTCCAGCTCTCATCGCTTCATCCACACCCACTTTCCACTCCAGAGTGATCATTCTCTCCTCCGGCTCGCATCGCTTCGGCCAGGTCAACTTTGATAATCTCACCTGGCAAGGCGAATACGATACCTGGATGGCCTATGCGCAGAGCAAGACCGCCAATATCTGGACTGCTAATGAGATTGAGCGACGGTATGGATCTCAGGGCCTGCATGCGGTTAGTTTACATCCCGGCACTATTGCCACGGATCTGTTGCGACATGTCCCGGATGAACAGATGGCTGTTTGGACTGCGGATAAGGATTTGGAAAAGTATTGGAAGACCCCGGAGCAGGGGGCTGCTACTATCGTTTGGGCGGCTACGGCGAAGGAGTTGGAGGGGAGGGGAGGTGTGTATTTGGATAATTGTTCTGTGGCGGAGGAGTGGGTGCCTACGGAGAGTGGTTGGGGGTCGGGGTATGCTTCGTGGGCGTTTAGTCCGGAGAAAGAGGCGAGGTTGTGGGATGTGTCATTGGAGTTGGTGGGATTGAAAGGGGAATGAAATATGCTAGATGATACTCCTTTGAGTACAGCTGCTATAAAGAATAGACATGTCACCTCATCAGGGGTACAAATTGACAAACTAAGATGCAAGAACCCGACCAGAGCTAATTCCCATCCACATAGAATAAACCCTCATAGCTAAGCCAAACAGAAACCACGCACCTTCCAACCCCAACACCATCCCCCATACAACAACACCATAATTCAATCCTCAACACCCTGATACTCCACCCACGTCCTCATCTTCGCCCGTACATGATCCCCATACACCACTTCATCCCCACCCCCACACAAATCCCTAACCACACACTCCTCCCCCGGCTCAAAGAAAAACGGCACACTTATCCTCCCCAGCCCCAATCCCTTTCCACTCCCACCACCCCCCTCTCCCTCCCCCTCCGAAGCCCAACCCCCAATCCTAACCCGATGCATCGTCGCCACGAACCGTCCCCCAGATACCTTGGCCATCAAATCCCCAATATTCACCACCAATGATCCAGGAATATACGGTACTGGAATCCAATCCCCGGATGCATTCTGGACTTCTAATCCGCCGGTAGGATCTTGGTGCAGGAGAGTGAGGATTCCGCTGTCGGTGTGGGGGGTGCAGCATAATTCATTGTCTGAGGTGGGATTTATGATGGAGGGGGGAGGTGGGGGTGGGTAGTGGAGGAGACGGAGGGTGCTGAGGGAGTTGAGTAGGTAGGGGGTGAAGAGGTCGGCCGGGTGATTGAGGGATAGAGCGAGGAGGGAGAGGAGGTTTGTGGAGAGGGTTTGGAGTTCGGTGTAGAGGGTTTCGAGGGGTTGACGGGAGGGGAAGTGGGTGGGCCAGATGTTCGGCTCGGAGAGGGGGATGTTGGTTGTGGTTGTGGTGGTGGGGGTGGGAGTGGAGGGAGGGCCGATTTCGAAGCCTTCTTTTAAGTTGTTGGTGCTGTGGAGGGGCTGGGTTGGGAAGTATCTGCGATGGTTAGTTGGGATGTGATGGGGGGTTGAGTTGGGTACCCTCGATAGGCGTTTTTGTTCTGCGGTCGAAAGGACTTCTTGGCGAGGTTCATCTTTTCTTCTAGAGGGAGGGAGAAGAAGTCTCGGGCCATGGAAAAGACCTCGTCGTGAGTGAAGCTCAGTGGGCAATTGATTAGGTATGCGAACCCGGTGGTGGTGAAGATGTGGTAGAGACGCTGGCTGAGTTCGGGGAGTTGCTCTGGAGGGTGGTCTCTGAGGGCTGAGATATCGATTATTGGTAGCAATGCGAATGTTGTGGCCATTTTAAGTGCTTCACTGGTGGTATATCAAAGACAGTGGGTATATCAGCTGGTGTTGGATGGGAGGTAGGAAGAAGAGGGAGATTGGAAGCAGCTCGCGTGGATTATGATCTGGGGAGCGGGCCTTGCGGGGAGGTGAATTGGCACGATGCAAGGAGCCGATCGACACGGATTCCTTCCAAGGAATGGCGAAACAAGGTTGCCAAGGGTTGCACTGACTGTCAGGTGGCCTGCTACGACAGCCACTGGCCTATCAGATCGGAGGGTTGTGCAACAATGCTGGCCAGCGGCTTGGATGTCTATTGGAAATAAAATGTTAGGGCTACTATCACCAGAAGGAATATATCCCTGGTGGCTACCAGGCGTAGCAGGTAGATAATATTGACATACAAGGACTGATTAGCACCTAGCTATGGCTTTTAGTCGATTTGGTAAGTCGTCAGATGCTTAGAGAAGATGTCTCAACATTATAGACCACCATGTATCCGCTATGTTGTATTCACACGGACCAAACTATACAAGAACACCTGGCGGTATCATCTATCCACTGTCTATCGATTAAACTCGGCAATCACACTCCGCGACGCCTGATACGGCCCCAGACTCGTCCATTCCATATCCAGCCCAAAGCCTTTGGGTCCTCCCACCCGCAATCCCCGTTCATCCCCCGTCCACAGCGGATGTGCTGCTATGCCGATGACATTCACGCGCAGGCCATACCGTAGCTCCTGCGACCCGATGGCCTCCCCGTCTTGGCCCAGAACCGAGATGAGGTCGGGCACGGTGCAGATCACTTCATTGGATGCCTCGGGATTGGTTGGATCGATATAGGCGGCGTAGAGAAACTCATTCTGGAAGGGAATCATTAGATGACGCGTCTCTGCTGCGTTACAGTCCGACTCTTCTCGTTCCTCCCCGGATAGCGGAGCGATAGTGCACTGGCCCATTGTGTATCCGCGGCTAACATCTCGTTTCACGTCAATGATCTTTCCACTGTATAGTAGTTTCCCGGGCGTGGTCTCGAACTATAACCGGCATTAGTAGTGAATAGCGAGTGGAAACTCTACGCACAATAGCTTTGACAACATCGGTTTTGGATCTGCGGGCCCGGTGAATGGCGCGACCAAGATACCACGCTTGCGAGACAGTGTTCGGGATACAGTACTTCTTGACAATATCGCATGTCAATGGTACCGCAGCCACGGCAGTGGAGATTCCCAAGTTCACACACTGGCTTCGGAGTAGCTCTTCCACCCGACGATTGGACTCGGCTTCCTGTATACATCAGCAGTGATTCCTATAGAAAAGCACACGGCATACCAAAACCACTCCCACATTGCCTTTGGCATCTGCAATAACACAAGGCGTGATAGGATGTCCATAAACATATGGTGTCCCTACAACCACGTCAGTCCTAGCAGCATCCAAAGGAGGAATCATACCATGCTCCATGCTCGGATAGGCTCGGCCCATCAGATCCCCGTCCAGGACCGGAATATCATAGTACGCGCTGGTGGGAAACGTCGACATGCCGTTGCCACCGCCAATCTCGTCGGCGATAATAACTTCAAAATGTGAATGCCCTGACAGACGAACGGCATGGTCAATGGCCGTGGTTAGCTCCGTCTTGGCTGGGATTCTCTCGCCGTATACACTGGGCGCGCCGTACCACGATCCAAACACGCATACATCGGTGTCGCTGACGCTGTCTGCGGATATCACTCTCATGCGACCCTTGGCCGACCCTTGCAGCCAATCCAGACACTGCAGATACTGTAGGTACGATGGTCCTCCACCTCCAGTGCCCAGGACCCCGGTCCCGGTCGCAATGAACTCCAGATCGACGGCCGACAGATACCAGACGTTGTCAGTTACTTCCGGGACATAGGTCTCGATATCAAGAGAGGCAATGTGCTTGGTGCTGAGCAATGAGGGTGGAGCGCTGGCCACAGTCGCAGCCGGGGGTTCACTCGGCGGCTCATCGACGGTCGAGATCCACGATACAGGATGACCATCGGTGGGGGTACCAGCGACCGGCGCTGCCAGCTTGCCAACAGCCTTGACAACGAGCCGGATGGCCTTGTTCGTGACATATTGCAGTGGAATCTTGTCCACCTCTACGACGGTGACATCGTCTTTGTCGGCTCCACGGGCAATGGCAGCCTCAACGGCTTGCTGCTTGGCTGCCTCCACCACGGCTCGTTCATCTCGGCCCTCCAGGATCTCGATAATGTCCACCTCACCCGACACCTTGGCAATGGCAGCCCCGACAGCATTGGCCGAGTCATGATGCGGAGGAAGGATACACTCTGCGACCCCCTCCAGTGCATCTATGCAGACGATGGATCCTCCCCCTACGAGCAGGAGGGTCACGGGCTGATCGGACACCTTCATATCATCGATGGCGCGCTCGAGGATCTTCTTCATGCTTGCTCGCGCCTTGGCGAGAACTACCGCAGGGATATGCTGCACCTTGGAAGCATCTCCAAGATCAGCTTTTCCGGACGCCACGACGATATCCGTTGTGGTCATGACATCGCCGCCGAAGACTAGGGCATCCTTCGTCAAACGATAGCCAACCGAGTCCGGACCGACTGTAACCGAATCAGCTGCATCCACACGAATGCGACTCCCTCCGCCGAGGCCAACGGAGAGAACCTCAGGGATTGGAAACGCCGTGCGCACCCCGCCCACCTCGACAAAGTTGGGCGCCTTGCGCGGGAACCCCGACGGTAAGAGGGCACATACATCGCTAGTCGTCCCCCCGATATCCATGACCAGCACCTGGGTGTCAGCGTTGATGCTGCGTCGGTCCAGTCCAGCCAGATACGCCGCGCCTGTCAGACTGTTGGTCGGTCCGCTGGCAAAGGTCTGGATGGGTCTTTCAGCGGCGGTGGCAGCGCTGGTCAGAGTGCCATCATTTTGAGTCAAGTACAGGGGACAGTCGAGCTGGAGATCCTGCATGGCCTGACAGAAAGCACGGATGGTTTTTTTGGCCAAGGCAAGAATGGAGGCGTTGAGGATGGTGGCGTTTTCTCGTTCGAGGAGGCCGACGCTTCCGATGTCGGCGGAACATACCACGGATAGCCCTGGGTTTTGCTGCAGTATCATCTTCTTGCAGGTTTCCTCGTGGACGCCCTGGTGGTCGAGGGGCGAGAACACCCCGACGATGGCAACGGTGGTGATGCCCGCTGTTTCAATCTCACGGACGGTATCTTCGATCTGCTTCGGCGAGATGGGCGAGATTTCCCGGCCGTCAATTTCCAGGCCTGCCAGAGAGTTAGTAGCGTGTTACCTTGGCAATGGGATACATACCCCCATCGAGATAGTAGACTGGCCCTCCGACAATGTCTCGGAGGTGGGGAGGAAAGTCAAAGAACGGGGGAATCTTCACTATATCAGTAACATTTTAAGAAGAATACATCCAAAGGAGGGAGTACTGCTCGGGTATAAGGACCACACAGGCGGATCACCGCCACTCGACTCAGACGACGGGGATCCGCCTCGACCACGGCATTGACAAAATGGGTGGTGCCGATGGCCACACTGCGGACGTCGTGACGCGGCACCTGGGCCTTGGCAAGTACATCGACGATGGCCGTGTAGATGCCTGAGGTGACATCGGCGGTGGTGGGGGTTTTGCTAGAGGCACACACCCCGCGTGAGGGCTGGTCGATTAGGGCCGGGGTGGTGTCGAGGATGGCGGCGTCGGTGTTGGTGCCGCCCACATCCACGCCAATTCGGAATCCCATGCTGATCGCTGGTATGAATCTGTCAGGGACAGTGATATCTGCGGGAGTGCAGCGCCTTTGTACCTCTTATCTACCCCACCTGAACGAGGCTGCCTGGACCCCCCTGCAGGACTGGCTCAACCCCGCTCCAAACCTGTCAGCTGCGGTCTGGACCATGGATCCGGCCGAGATAACGCTTATCTTGCATGCCCTTAGGTTGGGACATATCTCTGTCTGTTCAGATAGACGCGATATATCGATTCCTGTCTACTGGTCTGAACTTATATAGCGGGGACGACACCGCGTCCGCACCGAGGCAGATAACAACCTGCCATGACACTCCTCGAATGGTTAGAAGTCCCCCAAGAGGGTGAGACCATCGCCGACCGATGGATCAACAGTGATATCGAACCCATCAAGGCGGATCGTCGTCAATGGGGGTTCTGGACCTTTAACAACTACTGTCGGTCATCCTGCCTCGCCGGGGATAGGGCTAACGGCAATAGGGATCCTCATCAACTCCAACATTTCGACCTACATGACGGGCAGTTCCCTCATCGCATTGGGACTGTCATGGTGGCAGGCCATCGTCGCCATTGTGGTGGGGAATATCCTGGCCACTATTTTCATCGTCCTCAACTCGCTTCCTGGCGCATACTACCACTGTGAGCACAAGGCAGACTCTCCGACGGTCGCATATTGACCAGATAACCAGTGGGATTTCCCGTCGTCAATCGCTACGTCTGGGGCATGCATGGAAGTCAATTTGTCATTTGGAACCGCATCTTTCTCTCCCTGAGTAAGCCCCCCTACAATGTTAATGACCTTACTGACCGTCCAGTTTGGTGTAAGTACAATCCTCTGCATCTCGACCATGATTGACATACCCCAGATGCCTTCCAGGCCTGGATCGGGGGTGAATGTGTCTACGTCTGCCTGCAGGCCATCTGGCCCTCCCTTGAGGAGCGCATCCCCAACCACATGTCCGCTGCTACGGGCATGACCACCGCCGAGTTTGTGGGCTATATCATCTTCATGGTCCTCTCGTTGCCGGTGATCTATGTGCGACCGCATAAATTGCAGTCGCTGTTCTATATCTCCGCTGTTATTGTCATTGTGTTTGAGATTGTCCTGCTGGTCTGGTCCCTGGCCACCATGGGCAGCCATGGCTTCGGCGATACCCTATCCTCTGGCTCGCACGGCTCTGGATGGATGATTGCCTTTGGAATAATCAGCACAATCGGTAGCATCTGTGCCGGTATTCTGAACCAGAATGACTACGCCCGGTTTGCCCGACGGCCACGGGATGCCATCTACGGACAGCTCGTCAGCGCTGGTCTGTATGCCATCATCTGCGGCGTGATAGGCATTCTGGTCACGGCAGCCACGCAGAACCGCTATGGCGAGGCGTACTGGAATCTGCCTAATCTACTCAGTGCTGTCATTGAAACCGGGGGCTCCCGGTCCCGTGCTGCTGCTTTTTTCGGGGGCGCCTCGTTGATCATCTCACAGCTGGGCGTGAACGTGCCGGGGAATGCTCTGTCAGGAGGTCAGTGCATGGTTCGATGCGTGTCGGGGATATAGCTGACTGGATTAGGGTTTGATCTTGCCGCGACGTTCCCCAAGTACATCAACATTCGTCGGGGAGCGTATCTGACGGCACTTATCTCCATTGCTGCGAATCCGTGGAAGCTGGTCAACACGGCGACAGTGTTCGTGACTGTTCTCAGTAGCTATTCAGTGTTTGTGGCGCCCATGATCGGGTTAATGATCGCCTCGTATCTGGCAGTCAATCAGCGCAAGATCAAAGTACCGGATTTGTTTGTCGGAGATGCCAGTAGCATTTACTGGTATACGTGTGGAGTGAATTGGCGGGCCATCATTGCGGTATGATACCTCCAGAGGCCTCTCCAGGCACCAAACTGATGACGATAGTGGATCTGCGGGACCGTCCCTTCGCTGCCTGGCTTTGTGGCATACGTTAATCCGTCGATTCATATGCCTGTTGGTTTGACGCATTTATACTATATCTGCTTCTTGAGTGGCGCGTTTATCAGTGGCATGGTGTATGTGATCCTGCATTATGTCTTTCCCGACCGACGACTACAGGAGTTTGTGGCATCGGCGCCGGCAGCTCGGGTGTTGATGGAGGAGTATCGTGAACGGCTGGATTCGGTGGAGGTTATTCGCGTGGGGGTTCCAAAGGTTGCTGCTGGAGACTGAGCAGATTATTAATACCAGGCTTGGGCTGATTCTTCTATCCCAATTCATTTTCCGAGGAGAGGTATATGTCGTGAGCATTCTTCTATCATGCAGCGAGTACACAACCCCAATAGCGGATAGCGGAATGCAATAAGCCTAGAATAGGCTGCTATTATTACAAGGATCTCGCCCTAAGCAATCAAGCGAAACCCTGGAACGAAAGCCAAGCCGGCAGGCACTAAAATCTCACCAGTCACCACTGATAAGCCGTGGCTATCCACGGACAATGACACCGTAATATCTTAGCGTTCCTTGGTGTATTCCCTCATTATTCCGTCGGATTGGCCTATCCTGGTGCCTGATGGGCATAAAACCATATATCCATCCACATGTGTCCACCACCACCATTATCCCTCCCCTCCTCTGACACAAATACACCGAAACATAACATGGCAACCATTGATGTATTAACCGCCACCGCCACCGCAACCCACCTCACCCACCTCCTCCAATCCAACACCCTCACCAGCGTGGACATCGTCAATGCTTACCTCGCTCAAATCACCAAACACAATCACTCCGGTCTCGGCCTTAGAGCGCTCATATCCGTCAACCTGGAGACAGCCCTATCCCAGGCCGCTGATCGCGATAAAGAACGTGCCCAAGGCTACATCCGCGGTCCGTTACACGGCATCCCCATTATTGTTAAAGATGCGATCATCACCGCTAAATCCCTGGGTCTGCCAACCACAGCCGGAGCAGTAGCATTCAAAGATACCTACGGAAAACAAAATGCCGCTGTTATCGACCATCTTCTTGACCAGGGGCTGATCATCCTCGGTAAAGCGAGCATGACCGAGTTCTGTGGACTCAAGGCCTTTTGCATGACGGCCGGTTGGTCAGCGGTGAACGGAATGACGCAGTCAGCCTATATCCAGGGGGGATTTCGATCAGATGATCTCTTCATCGGAAGATCAGGACCCGGAGGCTCGTCGTCTGGGTCGGGGGTGGGTGTGTCGGCGGGGTTTGCGCCCTTGTCCATTGGAACGGAGACTTCGGGGTCGATTTGTATGCCTGCTAATCGGGCGGGGTTGTATTCGTTGGTGGCTACGAGGGGGAGTGTTTCGATGGAGGGGGTGTTTAGTTTGAGTTCCGGGTTTGATCGGTTGGGTGGGATGGCGAAATGTCCGGAGGATTTGGCGTTGTTGATGCGGGTGTTGAATGGGACAAGGGGGGAGGAGGGGATGTGGGGGGATGTGAGGGTGGGGTTTGTGGATCCGGTTGTTTGGGATGCGTTTGGGTTTCAGAAGGAGAGGGATGAGGATGTGGAGAGGCAGATTGTAAGTTCGTTCCCTGGGATGGATGGAATGGGATGTTGGCTGACGGAGTAGTTGGATAAATATGAATGGGCTCGGGAGCAGATTGCTCGGCGGGGCGGGCGTGTGGTCTATCCGGTGGAACTTCCCTCGATGGAGGATCTGAAATATGAGGGGAAGAGTGTGAGCTATTCGGTGGCGTGTGAGTATGTTGCTGTGACGAGCAGGGGAGATGCTGATATATGCAGTTTATGAGTTCCCCGGGCTGTTTCGGAAGTTTTGCTCCCTGCTGGATGCCCCAAGGGTGACCTCGGTGGAAGAGCTTGTCGAGTATAATGAGCAGAATGCTGCCAGTGCTATGCCTGAGCGTAGGTGATCCTGTCGTGTTAAGTGATTTGTACTGAGTTCATCAGCACACTCCGATCAAAAGGATCTTATTGATACGCTCCACTCGTCCATGGCGGAGGAGAGTGTGGCTGCTGCAAAGGCATATGGACACCGACGAGCTGGCCCGGAGGGGATTGACGCCGCCCTTGAAAAACACCAGATCGATCTGATTATTGGTCCAGGAGACTGTGCCACTTGTGCTGTGGCTGCTCTGGCGGGATACCCTACGGCCATGCTACCAATGAGTCGGTTGGAAGGAAAAGGGGGCATGGGGCAACCGCAGGGCCTGATGGTGGTTGGCAGTGCGGGGAGTGAGGGCAAGATGCTGCAGCTGATGCAGCGGTGGGGGGAAGTGGTGGGACCCTGGGAGGTGCCTCCTTTGCTGGTGGACTGACTTCTTCTAAGTATTTCACGAGTGCCAAATCGACTACAAACCATAGCTAGGTGCTAGTCAGTCTTTGCATGTCAACATCTTTCAAGTAGAGACCATGAATCTCCTTTACCAAGTAAATTTTGGCCGATTGTTGTTTAAAAAAAAATCTCCTCAATTTAGGGACAGTTTCAATAGATATTTCATATCCTATCGTTATTAGGGAAGTACGGTTATGGTGCTGGCCCTATTTACACCCCCTTGCTCTCAGGGACTATCTTCCATCATCCGATAAGACTCGATACATGCTGCCCCGAAACGAAGGGCGCATCCAATCAGACGAGGCCAATGGCCGGGAGTAATTTCCCGGGCGGGCTTAACCCCGAAGATGACGCGTTCGGTAAACGATCGACAGCAACCAGAAAACCTCTTCAGGAGATCGATTCTCTCCTGCCGAGCAGAATTCTGTCAATGCACACAGCAAGCACATCATGAAAGACGACGGCATCACCACGACCCTGGATGGCGACATGGCCGGACATCCCCCGCCCGGAATGGTGCTGGTGCCCCGACCCAGTGCTGACCCTGAGGACCCGCTCGTAAGCAGCCCCATTCCTCCATCCAACATCCCTGATCCCTGATCCATTCCGATCGCTGTATCCGTGCTGACGGGTATCGCAGAACTGGCCACACCGCCGCAAATATGTCATTCTGGCCACTCTCTGCCTGGCCTCGTTATCCGGAGCCATTGCCCCTCTTTCCGGCCAATTGAATCTCGCTCAACAAGCCAAGATCTATGGCAAGACCACTGTCCAAGAATCCTATGCAGTATGACCCCCCCCCCCTCCCTTATACAGGTATGACCCCAATCTGACTGCATAGAACTCGGCCGCCCTGGCCGGCATGGCCTTTGGCCCTTCTTCTTCGCCCCCATCGCCCACCGACTCGGCCGCAGCTCCGTCATCTTCTGGTGCGTGCTCTGCGCCATGATCTGCCAGATCTGGGGCGCCCTCATGACCCACCCGGATGATTACATCGCCTTTATCATGTCCCGCCTCTTCTCCGGCTTCTTCGGCGCCGTCCCCACCGTCCTGGGGCCGCGGATCATCACGGATCTGCTGTTCCTGCATCAGCGAGGCCGCGCCTTCACAGCCCTACACATGGCCTTTCTCTTTGGCACTATTGCCGGACCCACCTTTTCGGCTTTTATTTCCGCCAATGCCTTTTTTCCTGTCGAGTTCTGGTGGTCCGTGGGATTGTTGGGGGCTACTGCTATTCTGATCTTCCTCTGTCTGGAGGAAACGGGATACGATCGTGAAAATCCTCAGCGGAACCCGACTTACCCCACCAACTGGCTGGCGAACCGCTGGGCGACTTTCTTTTTCGGCCACCGCGTGGTCCAGCCCACCACCTGGTCTGCCACTGTCAGTTACGACCCTCCCTCCACGTGGAACCATCCCTGCTGACAGCTCTAGATGAAAATCGCCGTGGCACCCATCCTGATCGGCATCTGCCCCGTCACCATCATCATGGGCACCTTCACCCTCATCTCCTTTGGTTTCTACGTCGGCATGAACGCCCTTGTCCCAGTCTGGCTGCAACGATCGCCAGCCAAGGGCGGCTACGGCTTCTCCCTCAAGCAAAACGCGGCTTTCACCTTTTGCCACTGGATCGGGATTATCATCGTCCAGATCTTCGGCCACTACTACAACGACCGGTTGCCTTTAGCACTAGCCCGCCGGTTCAACCACGGTGCCTGGAAACCCGAGTATCGGCTGCACGTGCTCTGGATCCCCAGTCTCGTTCTCAACCCTATCGGACTGGGCATTTTCGGGGCTACCCTGCAGTACCATCTTCATTACATGGTATTGGCCCTGGCGGTGTTTATTGTCACGATTGGATCGTTGGCCAGCGTCCCCGTCACGGTAAATTACGTGGTCGAGTGTTTCACCCGGTATCCGGCAGAAGCGGGCATCGTCATTGGCGCGTATCGTATCGTGTATGGTCTGACGATTAGTTTCTATATTAATCCGTGGGTCGAGGCCGTGGAGGTCGGCTGGGTGTATGGCATGATGGCGTTCTTTGCGATCTTTTCCTTTTTGTTTGTCATGTTGTTGATGTGGAAGGGGCATGCTATTCGCGAGTGGCAGCTGGCTAGTGTGGCGAGTAGTGAGGAGGGAATGCAGGTCGAGGATGGTAGTAGTGAGAAGGAGACGGCTGTTCATCATGGAGGGCGGGGAGTTTGATGACTTTTCATAGATGGGATGTTTGGTGCCGAGATGAGGCATGATAATTGTATAATCCTAATGGATATGCAGCAGAGTTCAAGCTTACTGAACATGTTGAATATGATCTGTGAGATCCGCTTCATCAAGGCAAAGACCGTTAGAGATAAAGGCAGCCAGCTCGTCCCAGCGGCAGACCTCGACAAATCGTGTAATGGTCGGATGCGTGTCCCACTAGGGGGAGATACCCACTGGCCTTCAACTGACATTACAGATTGATGTTCATTGACTGGCCGGCTACTCGCCAGAACAGGAGCATGTCCCGGTAGTGATTGTTGTAGAGGTTGTACTCGCCAGATACACGTGTAGCAGGAGATGTATGCGCCATCGACCCTTGTTGGTGGACATCGACGAACTATGCTGAGGTACATATGTTGGTCAGGTGTAGGATACTTGCATCGTTTGCAACAGCGCGTCGGCTTGATTAAGTCGATGATCGTCCAGCTCTAACTGCATATCAGGTGAAGGATCTACCCAGGATGAGCAAATGTAGTAGGAATTCTCATACACTGGCCTGCCTGTCTAACCCATTCGAAAGTGACTCGCGCGAAGGGTGTCTTGTCTCTGCATGGTATTATTGCTAGCTGGTGACATTCAGCTTGGTCTTTTGAACAAACCAGAAGGAAAACGATGGTTGAAAGTAGTCGGAGCAATGCTGCAATCTCTATTCTCGACGAATCACTAATATACCATCAACAACAGCACTATATACACCGAACAACACAATATCTATCCATCACAGAGAATCTCATCCTCAACTGCCATGGTTCTTGTGGTAATAGATAACCCTCTGCTCGATCTTCGAAACCCTCGTCTTGAACTCGTCGTACTTGAGCCCCCCCAGGTTTCGAAACTCGAATAATGGCGCGAGTTGTTTATCGTTGCCATAAACATGTTCCACAGCGGAACCGTAGGCGCCGATCTGGCCATCATACCACCGATCGAAGACCGCCACCAAGTTGACTGGATCCGTGTCCTTCCGCTTGGACTTTGGGTCGGCCTTGTTGAGTGCTTGGTTGACTTTCTTGGTCATCGCACCGGTGCCTTGAAGACCTTCCATCCATTCTTGCACCGTGAAGGACGTTTTGGCCGGGAATCCGGACAATCGGCTATCACCCTCGATTTCGAAGGTCAATTTCGGAATTGCCTCGGATCGGAGCTTGGGCTCTTTGAGGCTTCCCTGGCACTATCGGGTATCGAGACTATGGGTTTATTGGTCAGCGGATCGAGGTAGCCTCCAGAACTGGATGTCGGCACTTACTCGATATACTCCTCATAGTTTTGAAAACAAAGGAGGGTCAGGACCAGCCCATAGAGATCGGTCCCTTTGATGTTGGACTTCACATCATTGTACATGGTCACGAAATCCGTGCGAGGCATAATGGGGCTTCGGGGTTTGAAGGCGATTTTCGCATCACTGATGTGCATATTTGGCTTCACATACGATAGGATGAGGGAGAAAAAGCCTAACGTATCCTTGTTGACCCCGGTCGGTGTATTACCCTGTGGTGAATTTTGAAAGAATTCCGAGTTCACCCAGACCAGAGGTTCCAAGAAGCTCTTCGTGCTGGGAAGCAGGGGATCGTTTAGAACCAGAGACGTTTTGGCACGTTCCATCAGAGCGTTAATCCCGGAAAGAGGCATAGGTGCTGTAGCTTGCACCTGCCATCGCAATTGTTTGTAGGCATCGCGTCTTGGAGGTTCCGTGACCTTCCATGTCTTGCACTCGTTGTTCACAGGATCCAGTAGGCTAAAAGAATTTCCCGGCATCGTGGCATACTGGTTCCACTTGACCTGTTTGGCAGCGATTTTACATGTCAGAGGGATTTCATTGTATGTTGGTGCAAGGGATGTGTCTGGGCTGTCTCACAAGGTCTTTCTCAACATTCTCAGCGGCGGTAACCGCGGTTCCTGCCCCGAGTTTGATCTCCTTGCCATTGAGGATATACTCCCCCTTTACCCGTCCTGCGCTGTTAGTAGTAGTGTCCACTGTAAGGCTCCAGTATTTATTGGTATGCCCGCTGATCTCTTTACCCTTGGAGGAAAATGTGTCTGCAGCTTTGCATACCTTACATTCCAGTTCCAAACTGCTTGCTTCAAATTCAATACCGAGACCAGGGCTTCTGTCAGAGGTAGGGCCATCATCAGCCGGGGTTATGTCTTCATCACTGCTGTCCGTATCGAACGGGGTTTTGAAGGGGTTTTTCGGGGTGGACGAGCGGGCAGGATGCGCCACATGATGGGACTTGTGATGGTCTTCGGCCTTATGAGGAGCTGCGAACACGGCCTGGAAGGAATAGAGCCAGAAGAGACAAAAGAAACAAAAGGCCCATTTCTTGCTGGCGTAAAGAGAGCGAGACATGATGAGAACGACCGTTCAATTGTTTGCAATGAGCTGTCTCCAACCCACGACAGAAGGAATTGATGAGATTTATATGCCTTGTTCTCTCTCATACTGCTCACGGTGCAACTGTTGCTCTGCTTGAATTGACAGTGTTGAGCATTCAACACCAGAATGGGGACCGAGACATGCAGAGCAAGCCATAACGATGCAGGTCTATGTGGATAGAATGATACACGATGGGCCATTGTGTTGGGTCCAGGGGATTGCCAACTGACAATGGTTGTTGTTGGAGGTGCCTGAGCGCTCTAGGGACCACGGCCCCCTACTTTCGTCCCCTTAATCTTGGTTCAATAATCCCTGCCAGTCGCTGGCTTTGCAGCGGCCTCCCCCGTTCTTGTTGGACTTTTCGACTAGTCTCCCTTATAGAGCCGGGCCCCCGAGCTAATGTGCCACAGGCTTTTGCTGTGTTGTCGCTGTCTAACCACAGCCAAGTCAATCGAAAAGTACGCGAAGCATGGCTGGGCAGATGGTGATTAACAAGGTATGATCCGATGCTCCAGCTTGGCTTACCGGGCTGAGAACCCCAGCCAGTGCTTGTCTCAAACTGGTCGAAGGAGCTGATCCGTCCTCATGCACCTGCATGCAAGACGGGGTTCCGGGTATAGCCGCTCGAGGGCTGGTTGGCAGATCAGCGGAGCTAAGCTGAGTAGGCCCAAGACCCTAGTTCTAGGGCTATTCTAGTCTCCTACTGGAAACAGTCTAGTCACTCCAGAGCCATCACCGGATTCTTCCGATTCGGTCCAGCATTGGGGCCGAGAGGGCCGAGGGGAGCCAAGCCCCCCCAATCTCACCTCAGCAGCAGCCAGTGGCCATCGCAACGTGTCTCACGGTGGTCTGCCCCCACGAGAACTGCCAATGCTGCCTCAATGGGGCTGAAAACACTTGCAAACATAAGTGAATTCCTGGCATTCACATGATAGCATCCACATGGCACCATATTGCAGCTCACCTCCAAGAACGGCCCGAAAGCTATTGTCCCAACCACTTTCTTAAGATGAATGCCCCCCTGCGATCGAGTTCTATGGCTAATGCCAATAAATGCTACCTGTCCTCCCTTCCGGCCGAAATAATCACTCATGTCTTCACCCTCCTCCCCGCGTTGGGGGATGTTTTGAATTTGGCAGCAGCCTGTTCACGACATCAACAAATCTGGCAGCAGAACGCCGATCAGATCCATCGGCATGCTGGCCCCAGGAGTATCGAGTGTCTACACCATGCACGGATTTACCTGGCCGATCAGGGTGGTGCACAACCAAACACGACACTGACGGCGCGAGATGTTGTGCAATTGGTACGCAACTCTTCCGCGGTCGAGAAAACTCTGGATCTCTTCAACCAGAAATATGTGGCCTATCTCCTGACCCCCGAGGCCGGTATGTGATGTGCCTGTGACCTATACTTCTGCATTGCCACCTGTTTCTGATATGACAGCAGGAAGAGACAGAACCTTCATCAATTTGAGGCCCAATCGACGCCCGCACCTATCCCCATCTGAGCGCCATAGATTTATTCGGGCAATTTATCAGCTGTGGGGCCTGCTCATCCTCACCCCCGAAGCCAGAGCGAGTCGAATGGCATCACTCAAACTCAAAAGTGTCATGACGATCAGTGATGTAGCTAATGGCTACAGGGATATCGAGGACGTGATCATGACCGTCAAGGCCGACGGGGTACTACTGTGGGACATTGCCAACGAGCTATATGAGGTCAGGGACCAGATCGTGGCACAGGTCCTCCAGCATCCTAACCACACCAGGTCGATGCCATGGGAGTACGGATGGGAAGGGTGCATCTCCATTTGGGACGTATGGCATGAGGGATTCAAAGAACTGGTCACGGAACCAGGGGCCAGAAACATTACTCCGCCAGTCTCCGAGGTTTGGTACGATACGTCGGACGAGAAGTAAATGTACTAGTTAGCTGTATGTGAACATGATTGCGGGTTATCGGACTTGATTCTATGGTAGCTAGCCAGGCAGCAGCGACACATCAGCCATCCTATCGATCAATACCAGCCCTCGCATACCCTTAAGTGATTACTAGTTAGGCTGATAGCTAATTCAATTACCCCTAGTCACCTTACATCAACAACTACGGACTATAGACGGGCCTGATTCTTCTCATTACCCGATCATTTCCATATCATGGAGGAGCATTGTATACATCATTTGGCAACCGCCACCACTCCATCCACTCTGATACCCTCCAAAGCCCCCTATAGTGTCACAGGCTTCCTTCCCACGACCGTATATGTCGTAAATGCTAAACAAGAACCATCTTTACTCTCTTTCTCCACCTGCGGGATCAGCTCTCTCAACGCCTGGGCCCTCTCCTGGGTCTTGAACTTCCGGACAAGGCTTCGTGGATTATTGTATTGCAATCATGCAGCGAGAGGGTTAAGTGAGGCGGTGCATCACGGATGTCTTCTTTGACGCCCTCAAATCCCATGGCGGATAGCTTGGATGTCAGGCTGGGCACCCACAGCTCGACAATAAGGTGGGCGTCCATACAAGATTGTCCAGGTCACTTACCGACTATTTTCGAGGGAATCTCGGGCGAGGACGTAGTGAGGCGTTTCCAACATGTGGATAGTATACCAGTGGGGGGTGGAGTGGTTAGGGTAGAGATATAGATAGGATTGACGCTGGGTTGGGAGATGGTTGATGGCTTGAAGGAAGGAAGGAAGGATTAATTATATCGATCCTGCGCATGTCCGCCCCACTCAGTCTTGTTTCGTGTAGCATACTGATCTAGCAGACTAAAATCCAAACGTGATCCAAGGAATGGGAGGGTATGGGATCAGCACTAGCGTAGGGGGCCAAAAAGCCATCAATCATTCAAAGGTTGATCGGGCTGAGGTACATGCACACAGGTCTGATTATCGAGTGATACATCTATGCAATTCGAAAGATTGTTTAGTTACATCTGCCATGGTTCTTTGAATGGGAAGAATGTGGACTGAATCTTTTATCTAGGGCACAAAGTAGAGTGCAGACTAGTTGAAGGGATACCAAAATCATAATGAGCCAATGCTCTATCACAGTAATATAGGTTTGATTCGTCCATTCTGCTCTGCTTCCAACCTATTATCATGTTCCACCGTGTCTATAGGATGCCCTAACACCACCTTTATCTGCCATCTCCTCCTATCCGCTCACCCGGCATACATCCTATACCCTCATCCAATCCTCTAATGCCATGTCCCATCCGACAAATCCCCCCGAGCCCGATCACAGTTAGACATTCCAGTGTGCGTATAGCAAAGGCCAGCCATTCCCGCCCCCCACATAGCCCCAGACTCCCACATCACAATGGCCAGATCCCACAGCTCCAGGTTCTTCTGTCCGTGAGGATAGGCCAATTCCGCCGCCAGGACAGCTCCCACGTAGTCACTCTCCAGGGGAAGAATATCCGATGATCCTCTCACGTATGCCAGAACCGGGCTGACTAGGAGGTCGATGACAGCTCGGGTTTCCGGTAATGGGTCCGAGGCGAGCAGTGACTGGAGTCGTCCCTCGGCATTGATCAGGGCGTGTTTCCCGTAGTCAAGCTTGATGCCGGACGCGCGGAAGTGTTCCAGTGAGGGTCTTGTCTCTGGGATCGTGGGCGCGATGCCGGCTCCAACGCCGTGCTTGTAATTCAAGTCTGTCCGGCCGAGGAGGGTAATGGGGCGGTGGCGACAATTGGCGAGCTGCCACCAGTGGGTGAAGAGGATGCAGAGGGCGGCTGGGTTGTGGGGATCATTGTCGCGATACCAGATCATGGCGCCCACCATGCGGGAGTACACTTCGGCCAAGGCTTCCTTGGCCAGCGATCCCCGCGTCAGCGACGGGATGATGTTGCTGATTTCGCCACACGCGACATCGGCGCCGAGATCAATCCAGTCGTGCACGACGCAGCCCAGCCCGGCGATGGCGGCCATCTGTTCACCACCACCGGCATCGTAATAGACGTGGCAGAACACGGCATCGGCGAGTTTATACCGGGCTAGGCGGGCGAGATCCTCCCACACGACGACACACGGACGGGAGGAAACCATGTTGGTGTCCTCGAGAATGGCCTTCTGGCGCAAGCAGGCATAATCGCAGCCCTTGACGATGCGGATGTCGGTGATGTGCGGACCGGCAGCCACCGCTGCGTCTGCCACGGCTGCCACCTCCGCAAAGGCCGACGACAGCTTGTCCGCCAACGCAGGGCTGTTCTTGCCGATGGAGTAATCCAGGACAAAGGCCGAGTCCATGATGGCCCAGAGGCCGGAGATGGAGCCGCCGTAGACGCCCCGATTGTAGCCCACTGCCATGGAGAAAATGCTGGTGTTGAGTAGGGAGCCCTCGCAATCCTCGCGCGCGAGGACGTCAATAGCAGTCTGGTCCGTTGAGAGCGCCACTCCGCTCAGCTTCGGTGGCAGGGGTTTGCGGACCGAGCACCAGGTAGGCATGGTGACTTCACGCACCTCAGCAAACCCAAGGTGTACTGGGGCTCCGGTTGCAATCACCTTGTTACGCGCCTTCAGGAGCTCCGCGGCGTCGGCCAGCAAGCCCACAGCACAGTCCACCGCGTCGGCGACGCGCGCGTTGCGCATCCACGCGATATTGGCAGCGGCAGTCAACACTCCTGCAGTCTGGGGGGTGTCATCCCGACGGGTCACGGCCACCGTTGTGGTCAACTTGTTAGTGTCCGCGTCGTATTCTTGGGAGAATTTGCTAGACCCCGGTTCGACTGGACCGATGCCGTGGGTCTTGAGTGACCAGGCAGGGGCTCCAAGCGGACAATGCATGTTGGCCCCTTCTCCGAGAACATGGCTGGCCTCCCAGGTCGAAGAGATGCGCACGGTGGCCGTCGGATCAGGGGCTGAAGTTTCGTCGGTGCGATCCGCCCAGTGCGAGATTACAGGCAGGCAATCAAAGGCTGGAGAGCGACTGAGACCACCGCTGACCACCACGCCTGGAACGAGGTCCGACAAAGGCTGGTCGGCTGTTTTGGCCGCCAAAGGTAGCGTGATCTCCTTCACCCGGTCAAGGATCTGATCGACCTTGGCATCGCACTCGTCAGTGGGCTTGTCCTTGTGGCATGCCCGTTGATAGCTCGACCCCAGCGGAGAGAACTCGGCGGTGTTGCAAATAAAGTCAGTCGAGTCCCGACAGACCATTCGTATACTGAACGAAGGCTGTTCAGCAGCTCGGGGATCCTCGAGCCCGCCACGGCGAACCAGCTCGGCGAGGTCATCGGTCCGGGCGTTGTAAGGCATGTTGGATGGACTGGAAGTTGCGCAATGGATTGGCCTTTCGGTAGCAGACGAGTGAAACTGAGGCAAAAGACTGTTGATTGAGCTTCTTTCTCGGTTCCATGCCCTCCTATTTATATCTTTTCCCCCCCGGATCGGCCAGTGCTGGGAATGAAAGCACTGCTCACTGATCAACGCATATTCAGTGTAGAATCTTGCCTTCGATGCAGAAGGATACCGGACTGCGCATTCCGTAACTTCGTCGGTACACTAGAGTTATTTCCATTGACCAGAAGTCCGCAGTACTGGCTCTGTCCTGCGCAGATCGATCCCCTGTAGCCCGGAAGGGAGTTGGATAACCTCAAGCGGTGGCCTACATCCAGATTGCGGTTTCTGATCTGCTGACCTTCCCAAAGTGGTCATTGACTGGAGAGATTGGCACTGGCGGTCCTGGAATGTCTCCATAACCGGACAGTGTATGCCACCATCTCATAGCCTCGGCATTGATAATCTGTTGAGTATTGATATCTGTAGCCACCCTAGTCGATCACTGATCCATTTCCTTTGTGGTCTTTGCGCGGCTTCGGAGTCCTGCATCTAGCAACGAAGTATCCTGATTAGGAAACGAACGTGAAGCTCTTGCTGTATTAGACCACATGCGCATATCATGACAGGGTCGGACGTTAGGTTCTTGCCGAATTAGACCATGCGTAAACTTTATTGCGGGAAGACATATGCCAGATGGGTCTGGGGAATGTCCGTGCTCGGATTTTATTGAGTCTCAATACATCCCCTTCTCATTACAAGACTTGACCAGCAGTCTCTATGGAGCTCATTGATTGATCCCTATGCTTTGATCAATTAAGTAAGGAAGAGAAAACCAAGAACATGTATTATACCTAACAGTTCAGAACTCCATTTGAGATCTTGTTACGAGACCAATACCCAATCTACGTAGGAGATATGACCGGTGGAAGCAGCATGCTAGGGCTCTGCCTACTTTGACCTAAATGATGTGGGGTGACACCCAGTCGGCGCGCCAAGAATGTGGCTCCACGCCTTTTTTGGCATCTCGCATGAATGGCATGTGACGTTTGAAACCTTAAGTATGGTAGGCGGTAAATCTTTTTGGTTCAAGATAGCGATGATCCTGACAGACAGGTCCGAGGAAGCCCGAAGGAATCTAGTTGGGGACAGCGGATTCCTGCAAGGAGGCTGGATACCTGTCTGCCTCTACCCATCATTCACCCCCACACCACACACATGAGAAGGTGACAGGCTGATGTTTGTGAATGCGGTGTGGTTGGGTCTTGGCAATGCACAATGGAAAACTGACAGGAAACGAACTTGGTGGTAGGAGCTACATTGTCGCTTCTTGGTCCCCAACTCATGCAGTCAGAGGTCCGAGCCCTGAGTTTATGTGCGAGGAAGAGCCTGTGGAACAATACCTTGTTCTAGCAATCTTCGACAGGATCTGAGACGTATGAACCCAGAACGATGGATCGCTCATGCACCCTCACAGAATGATCTGCGCATGATAGACGTCTATTGTTGGGACATAGTGCAACCGTTGGGAAGATTTTTTCGGAGATAATCGGATGGCTGGATGTGCCCAGGAATCTGAGATCATCCGAGGGGCCTAGATTGTCTGTCAATAGAGGTATGCTGGAGATGAAGCCTTCTATCTTGTCGCAATTTCTGTTGGTCATGTTGGCTGTCATTGATACAGAGTTGAAAGAACCCAGTTACGGGTACATTGTTCGTTTCTGTTGAAAGGATCTCTTCTTAGAGTGATCTTACAAGATCTTGGAGGAAAGTACCAGATAACCATTGCCTACAGCCCGCTGATTCGCTGCTCCACACGGAAAATACTCCCATTCCTCCCTCACTCCCTAACCCAAGGATACCCAACTATATACAACTGCCCCGACCACAGTCTAAGACTGGTGCGTCAGATCATCAATATTGTCAAAGATGGTACAGTCATCTTCCTTCTGGCACACAGTCGTCCGACCGAGGTTCTTGTCCACGGGCCCAGTTGGCCCAGTCGTGTAGTGGCACTCGCCCACGATACAGTACTGGCCAGTCTCAATGTCGTTGAGCAGACCGTCGGGGTACTCCTCGTCTCCCCAGGTGCCCAGCCAGCTCAGCCAGTCTGCTGTCTCAGCGCCCTCTTCAGTCGCGCCGGTGCCCGCGCCTGTTGCAACAGTGAATTCTTCTGTGTCCACATCGTACCAATAACCGCGGTAGTTGAGGGTCATGTCCCACAAGTAGCCGGCGTCGGTAGTGTCAGAGACGATGCCCAGGGCGACGGTGTAGTCTTGCGTGCCCGCAGTGACATAGTTAGCGTGCCCCCCGTAGGCGATGTAGGTCAGGGGTCGGTCGCCAGAGAAATCCACCACGTCCCAGTAGTAGGCTGATCCAGCACTGTGTTGAGAGCAATAGATAGCGTATGGCTTTTCGTCGACAAAGCGGATCTGGGTGGTGCAAGTTAGTAAACCACGTAGCCTATCGACGCGTATGCGCTACGCACCATGACATGCTCCCAGTCCCCAACATGGTCGTCAAAGTGGATGTCCAGAACCCTGTAGGGAAGGTCATATCAGCAGTCTATTTCCTCAGAAAACCGGGAAGCGTAAGCCCTTACTCTCCGCCATAGTTGTACGAGTAGAAATAAAAGTAAAACACGTCGGTCGTGGTGCTGTTCTTCTCCGCGGCAATGATGAGACCGGGTGCAGCACTGAGGCCATCACTGTCAGGGATGCCGTAGTCGGATGCGAGCCAGGCCGGGGTGCTTTTGGAAGGATTCAGAATGGGCCCATCGGAGGCGGTTAGATAGACATCCGATGCCAGAGAGTCCAGGGTATCGACAGTAACCGAGCCGTTGGTCCCGATGGCGGTAAAGTTCACCTCGGGCTCGACATTGGCCAAGTGCACCGTGATGTCGGACGGCCACCACTTCTCGCCGCTGTACAGGTAGGACAGGGGGGCGTAGGTGATGGCGTAGTCTGGAAGGGCTTCTCGCTTGCGTAGCATGGGCTTGCCCTGCTTGCGCGGGGCTGCTGTGGCCAGGCCAGCGAGGGCAAGGAAGGTAGACACTTGGCGGATAGATGGCATTGCGGCGGTGGTCCTAATAATCCGTTCCCACCGGCACCTACGGCCATACTTATAGGTCTGCACCTGTGCCTAAGCACTGCAGGATGGCTGGATTGCCGGTCGCTAGTACTCAAGCAGGATGTCCCCCGACCGCTTCCCCGCCGCTCATCCGCCACTTTCCCGAGGTGGTGACAATGGCCGCGTGGTGACATCTTCAGTGCCTGATGCATCTGCCGCTGTCATTTAATACGAGAAGCGGGGAAAAGTGGCGAAGGACGTCGGTAGTTCACCCCGATGGATACAAGAGGGCCAAGGGGGCACCAGTGGAAACCGTGGTTCGGGCATCGTGCCGTGCCGTCCCCGCCGTGCAGGAAGCCATGTGCGGAGTTGATAGGTCGGCGCGTAATCCTGCTTGCTCAGGTGGAATCTTGCAATTTGCATTTGTTGCCGGCCCACTAAGATACCCCTCATATCCCAGGAATAATTGGCCATATTCTTCCGGTCACAGCATTGAATGACTAAGCTGGGCAAGGAACTGCTGCCTTGTTCCGACCAGTCCCATGTCTAATGGCATGATACTGTCCCTCTCTCCATCCACGTCACACAATACCTACAAGGCCTCTTCGCCATCCCATTATAAAAAGCAATTCATGCACACGACGACCCATATTTGTATCAAAGTCAAGTACAGAGGAAGGACAGCAATATTCAAACCGCTACCTTTGTAAAATGAAGAATGCTGCTATATAAAATAGACTAAAGATTTTGGTTCGGATCAACAAGGTAAAACCATCCTCAGATATCAGGGTTATCCTAACGCAAGAGGACGTAGTACTCGGTGCGCCTACCAGGGAGTTTGCCCTGATTATTAACCTCCAACCTGTCAACCTGAATCGAGCTACAGTTCACTTACAATCCAGAAAAATAAGATGTTAAATGATCCTTGGTAGGCTCGATAATTCTATTTCCCCTCTCGCATATTGAGCTTGGGGGCCTTTTTCGATAACTTGCCGTCTGTTCAGGACGGGTGTAATATTCTCCCGTCAACAAAGTGCATCGTATAGATGCTAGTATTCTTGCATTCAAAGTCTTCAGGGTGAAACCGGCTTTCTTCCACATCCATTAATAGTCGTGTCATTTCTATGCTCCTGACGTGTAACCCGCTTTATATTGCTTTGAAGGACTATATGTGCTTGATAGTTGAAAGATCATGTGGATAAGGGCTTCTATTTGTATGATGGTATCTCTGTACCCTCAAACATCCCATACATCAACCTGGGATGGCTATCTAGGTGTATATATATCAAAAATTACTCTTTATCCCACGATAATCGGTAGAGAGCAAGGTGTAGTAGTATCGAATATTGTAATTTTGTATATATGGGCTGGCAAAATTAGTACCACGTACACCACAAGAGATATATCCCTAATCACTATTAGGTGTATAAGGTGGAAGATGGCCCAACATTGACCACCAACATAATATAACATAGATATCAAGTATTAATATAATAGACGCTTCTCACTTCCGCATTTGAATTTGTAGTAAACAAGATAATGCCGGCTGCTTGATTGATGCTTCCGTCTCCATATGTGCATGTGGGAGCGAAAAGGCTGGAAGACGATACGCAATCTATACGCGATAAGAGATCGATCCGCCGGGACCAATATACCCACCGCAGCGCCGACAGGGGGTCAGAGGTTCGGTGGAACCCGAACGACTATTTAACTGGGGGACGCACCCGCTCCAGCGGCGGTCTCAGTCGCCCGGAATTTGAGTAGGTAGAACAATGCGTCTTGCTTCCTCTTCCCGATCGTTCCCCGGGACATTGTTCTCCTATTCTAAGTCCCCACAGTCATCTCTCTGTTCCAACTCCTTGCACACGAGACTATCCGCGACCAAGATGGACCAAATTTCGATCCCGGTTCAACGTCCCACCGTCCAACCTAAATTTACTCAGGAAGACCTGTGTTATCTCGGACCCCTGCCACGGATATCAAACACTCTCATCTATCACAAATACACCTCTTGGGGCCTTCCCATTTCCCGGACGACGTACGGCAATGATGATCTGTGGAACTTGTACATCAAAAGTCTCTATCAGGGGAGCTATGGAGTCTTGAAAAGGGTAAGGCAGGAACAGACGCTGTTTCCCTATTTCTATTGTCCCGTAATCGGAGATCCTTCCTTGGAAGGTGCTTCCAAAGAGGTGGTTCGAGAAGTGTTCACCCGATGGATGACAGACAGCACTGAGGAGAGGGATGGACCCGGAGCCTTGAAGATGTGAAAGGCAGGGGCACCGCCCTATATTGCCTGCCTGATGGCGGATCAGTACTGCTTGGAGAGGTTTGCCGAGCGTCAGCATGGCCAACGGGAGCACAAGGCGCCAATCATCGTCTTGGATAAGGATTGGACCCTGGAGAAGTACAAGGGCTGGCATCGCCCAGAATGGACGGATGGGGAGATTCACAAGGAGATTGATGAAGACGTGGACCCGGAAGATTTCTACGTGCCAGATGACAGTGAAATGATCTTCTTTCAGGAGATTGAGGGGTCGAGAGCACCAGTTCTAGGGTGGATGTTTGCAGAGATCAGCTCGATGCCGGACTTGTATAATGACCTTGCCACGAACGATAGCTATGACGCGTTTTACCGAGCTTATGCCCGACCTCCCAGAGTCTACCCCGATCAGGACGACGATGAGTGGAAGGTGTAAAACAAAGCCTTGCCCTGACACGAGATAATGTGGGCTTCTTCGTATTCCGCCCCACGCTTCGGGCCTGTGGCAGGCTTGCAGAACCCTAAACCCGCCTTAACACCGACCCGTGTCCCAGAACCCGTTATATCCGACCGTGATGGTCCTTGTACATTTACAACTATATATACAATAGCCCCCAATACCAGCAGAGTACTTATCCATCATCAATACTAATTTTCACATCAACCGCAACAATGCTCAGAGTACTCCACAACCAACTCTTCGTCACTCCCTCCCTCCCCTCCACCCCGACCCCTTTCAACCATCGCACCGTCATCATCACCGGCGCCAACACCGGGCTGGGTCTCGCGGCAGCCCATCATATCGCGGCAGGACCGGTCGGCAAACTCATTCTCGCAGTCCGTAATACTGAGGCCGGAGAAACCGCCCGCGACTCCCTCCTCTCTGCCCATGCCAGCCTGGACCCCCAAACCATCGAGGTGTGGCCCCTAGACCTCGCGTCCTACGACTCGGTCCGTGCCTTTGCCGCCCGCGCCATCTCCACCCTGGACCGTCTGGATGTGCTGCTCAGCAATGCGGGTCTTGCCACATTCCAGTATTCCAAGGCAGAGGGCCATGAGCGCACCATCACCGTCAATGTCATTTCCACTTTCCTGCTGGCGGTGTTGTTGTTGCCCAAGCTGCGGGCGACGGGGGAGTTGTCGAGAAACCAGCCAGAACCACAACCGCTGCCCGTTCTGTCAATTGTCGCCAGTGAGGTCCATGCCTTTGCCAAGTTTCCGGAGCGTCAAGCGCCCGAGGAAAAAGGGGTGGGCATCTTTGAGGCGCTGGATGACCCGGATCAATACTACGACACGATGGGGGAGCGGTATCGCACGTCGAAATTGTTGGATATCCTGTTGGCGCGGGAGCTGGCCGACCGGGTATCCGGGGACCAGGTGGTGGTCAATTGTTTGAATCCGGGCCTGTGTCGGTCGCAGTTGTCGCGCGAGATGGACACGGCGGCCGTCCGCATCATCTTGCGCCTGTTGGGCCGGACTCTTGAGGTCGGAGGGAGAACGTTGGTGGCCGCGGCAGCAGCCGGGAAGGAGAGTCATGGGCAGTACATGTCGAATGGGGAGCTGGCTCCCCATGAGCTGTCCAGCTTTGTGACCAGCGACGAGGGGAAACGGACGCAGCAGAAGCTGTGGGAGGAATTGACTCGGATGTTGGACACGATCCAGCCGGGCGTGATGTATAACGTGCAATGAATGAATGTTTGTATGAATAGATTAGATGTATAATACCCAATTCCTCCCATGTTACACAGTTTCAGATTAATTTCTTCCTTCCTCGCCTGGGGTACTGATATTACACTGGTCAATCCATGCTTCGGCTGCGTAAAAGTCCACGGTAGACTGGGTAATAACTGGCCCTGTCAGTGCATCAATTCATCACTACCAAGTCTATAATTCCTCATTTTCCTGTGCCCTTCCACTATGCTTTTGGTGTTATGAGCGAATTGTTGCACAGCAGCATGGTGCATTATTGCGACCGTAGGGATGTTGGGGCTCTACCACCTCACCCGGCACTCCACGGCCTGGTTATATGTCACCCCCAAATAATCCTATGTTGACCTTATGCTTTTCGTATCCTCTGACCAATTCAAGAGGAACCGGGTGCAATTTGGGGGATCTCTTTTGGCCCGTCTTATTTCTTCCGCTTGCAGTGCCTATTTGCAATAAAGTTGAGCATCTATATATATCAGCATCCCGTAGAGATCATACTCCACCAGCAATGAGCAACACCACTTCGTCACTGCCAACTGCAGCTCACATTGCAAAGAGCCTTGTGATCTCCTACTAGTAATCCCAAGGCTTCCAATTGATTGTGAGAGAGTGACAGAGAGCTATCTTGATTCTCGCCACTTCAAGCAGGGTGACAAACTTTCCGGTCCCGGGCCGATTTCTCCGGACAGGTTCTAAAAATAGCGGGGGTCTGACACGCTAAGATTAGAACGAGATCCGTTACGATTTTCTAAGCCGCACCCGACCGCGGGAAACATTCGTGTGCCTTGGGACATGGCCAATTCTGTGTCACATGCTGCACTGGAGAAGAGACCCTTTCGTTCCCTCAAAGCGACTCCATGGCCATCAATTCAGACCAAGGGAACACCATGAAGCCCAATACTTGGCATCTCACTTAACACCGTCAGGCAATAAACCCCGCGGAGACTTTGCAACAGCTGGAAGAGGCCTCCTCGTCCAGTCACGATGGTGGACGCCTGGCAGCAATACGAGGTGGGTGGCCGTGTCCCCGCTGCGGATCCAATGACCCGAACTTCCCATGCGGAGATCTCAGCCGCTTCCCCAACATTTTCTGGGGGATCCTGTCAAGGCTATTTACCAGATGTCATGGTAATAGCCTTGGCCCGGGCTAGTCCAGAGCAATCCGGCCTCTACTTGAGGATCCACCACGACGTGACGTCACTTCGGCTCTGAGGGTTTTGCTTTCAATCGGTTAGCCCGGTGCAGCAAGAATAGCCTGGCATAAGGGCATTCGCCGACAGTAGCCAGTGGCATGATGGTGACCATCCATGGATCACCCAGAGAAAACGAGAATATTTTCTGGTTCCACCAGTCTTCCTGTTAGGCGTCACCCCATCAATGTGCTATGTTTGTGGCTAAGCTTCGATTCGTGAGGGGGATACGACCATTGTGCCGGCTGGTTTGCAGTTATTCCACTGGGTGAGTTCTACAGAAGGAACTCTATTGTCGTGGTCTTCGTACCGCCGAGATGGCTACAGCAAGAGGCTGTCAAGAGCCCTCCATCTCACGTCACGATCCGGTCAGCATACACCTAAAATAGATCGCCTGACGACTACTTTCCATGGTGCTGGGCAGTTCGGTCGATGGCATTGCTCGTATATCGCGAATGAGCCACAGGAGGGGTGATGGGATTTACAACTCATGACAGTTGTACGACCGGCTTTGCTGGACGTCCAACTCTATAAGAACCCTCATCTTCTCCCTCTTTCAGCTCTCCAATAACAGTTCACAGACCGCGATTTCACAGACCGCGATTTCACAGACTCATCTAATTCATAAATTGAAACAAGTACATTCTGTACAAAATGAAGATTACTTTGATTCCCACCCTTCTGGCCACCTCGGCACTTGGTCTCAACATTGGTCGAGGCCAGAACACCGCTCAAATCACCTTCATCGGTGCAGCCGACGCCCAATTCTCCCAGGACTTTCCAATTGATGGATCCGTTGTCAAGATCAGTCAGTAACCATATCCATCCGTTCCATGTAATTTTCTAACATCCCTAGCCAATCCATTGAGCATCTCCCACATCTACGATGGAACCAAAGGAACGGTCTGCACCTTCGACGGCATTGATCACAGCGTCACCACCGTGACTGGCGTCGGGCAGGTCGATGTTGGCCCTCCCCAGACTCAGGTCCAGGGTTCATGTCGCTGGGCATCCACTGCCCGGGGATATCCGGATTACTCCAAGCCCTCGCCCGGTCAAGTGCTGATTACCTTTATCGGTGCTGCCAATGCGCAGTTCCAGCAAGTCTTTCCAACTAATGGTGTCAGCACTGCGATCTGTACGTATGCCCTAATGTTCTGTGGCCACAGGGCTAATGTGAAACAGCCAATCCTCTGAGCATTTCCCACATCTCGTCCGGGACCAGTGGCGTGCACTGCACCTTTAATGGCATTGATCACAGTGTCACTAATGTCAATGGGGCAGTGACGGTGGATGTTGGTCCTCCTCAGACTCAAGTCTCCGGTGCATGCTATGTTGGTTGAGCCATGGCTGGTAGATGTTGTGCATAGGACGGGTGATGTTAATCAGTATTAATGTCCGGTGTTGTAATATCTATTTGCGGAATCTTGGCATGTTGTGGCAGGTGGATTTGTGACTTTTTACTTTTATTTGTATGTTCGAAGGTAATGCAGAGCTCGGATTTTACAGTTGTTGCAGTTGCATATGCGGGATGGATGCTGTAGGCACCCACTCGTGACACATCCTGTCATACCAAGGTCGTACAGGTCGTACAAACCCCTCAAGTCTTCAATAAGCCGACATATATTTGTTTAAAACTGACTTTGTGATTGAAGGAAGGAAAGAAACAACCGAATGCAAGAAATACAAATGAAAAAGGCAAGGGATGGGCGAGCATACAATGGTTACTCCCTACATCGGGAATTGTTGACTACTTCCCTCTACGAATATGCTGATATACTTGAAAGCAAAAAGAAGAAGCACAGCAAAACGAATGACTCGGATTCAAATCAGTATCAAATCAAACATCATCTGCTATATACTTGCATCTGCATCTCCTGGCTCACCAACAGGAAGACTCAGTCTCAATCTCAATGGCAACGACCTCCAAACAGACACTCTAATCACTGTCCACTTCCCCCCAGTGCAACTGCACTGCAGCGACAAACCTAGGTGCTTAGACGTAGGAGATAGTGACAGAAGAGTCGCTGTCAATAGTCACATCGGTGACCACCTCGCCAGACTCCTCAATCTCAATGATGGTCGCATCGTCAAGACCAACGCTGCTACCGCCAGCCACCTTGGCAACAGCGCCGGTGAAGGTGACGGTGCCAAAGTCAACCAGGTTGACCAGGGATCCGTCCTCCTCGAAGTCTAGTCCACATTAGCTTATTCCAACAGTACGGAAGAAGTCATCTACTCACCCTCAACAATCCATTCGGCGTTCTGGCCGCCAAGACTGGAGCTGGAAGACAGCTCCTTCGACACCTTCTGGCCGGTGCTCTTGTTCTCAATGATGGCAATACCGGTGGTCGAGGTGTAGGACTCCACAATGGCCACAATCTCATCACCAGCAGAGATGTCGATGCCGCTGAAGTCGTAGGCGTAGTCGGGGTACCACTCGTACCAGGCGTCAAAGGAGGCCTCGCCGTCGGTCACAGTGAAGTCCACACCGGTCTGGAGAATGGCGTTTCCGTAGGTGTCGCCATCAATGCCAACCCAGGCAGAGGCAGCCTGGCTGCTGAATCCCGAGCCGGTGGGCTCAGGAACGGTGAAGGTACCAGTCACCGCAGTGTAGGTGGCGGCAGCGGAGGGAGGCTCAACTAGAACGGCGCCGGACCAGTTGGAGCTATACTCGACGTTGGTCTGGTTCTTGGTGGTGGAAGCCCGGGCAACCGACTCCAAGGGGCGAGAGCCCTTGTTGGTGGAGCGAGCCTTGACACGGGCGTCGAGGCCACGCTGGGGGGCAGCAGCAGCAACGCTGGCGAGGATGGCAGTAGCAAGAGCAGCGGTGAACTTCATCTTGAATAATTGAATTGGCAAGGAGCACAATGAGTTGGAAGAGCGGCTGTTGAACTGAGAGTGGAAGGCTTCAGAGAACTGTGTAGTCTGATGAAGAAAAGATCAACTGAACAGCGACATTCACGCGATACTTATAGAATTGTCATGCCTGGAATCCCCTCAAACCAAGGCAGAGAGAATGGCATCATTCTTCCTCATCATATCCCCAGGAGAACGCCATGCGCACTCACCTGCTCTTCCAGAGCGATGAAGTTGTTGCGTATGGCGACATGCAGGTGTTGGATGTTAAGATGCATCGGACTCCGATGGACCAGCGTACAGATGTAAATGAATCTCCGGCTAAGTATATTCTGGGTTACATTGACTGGTGTCTGTCAGTTTATCTCCGGCAGTCAGTTATTGCTCGTCAGTAGCACGTCTTATGGGATACAGATCGCTAACCATTGACGGTTCAACAAAGCGGACATCATTCACCGGTTAGTGACTATGTTGGCTCATGCTAATAATAGTAGAAGATATGGCCATGGCCAGCTGCCAGCGGAGTAGATGGCTTTCTCATCCGGTAACCTTCAGAGCATCCGATAAGAAGGTGGCTTATGGGGACAATTCAGCCCTCAAGGAGCACAGTGCACAGCAAGGGGATAATGAAGCTACATAGAGAACTCTGCATTTGAAAAAGTGCTGACGGATTGGCCTTGGGTGGCTGTTGGAGTGGTCCTGCCCTCTGTCTGCCGATTGCCGTGCAGGTACGGGGCCGACAGCCGTGGAATCCCCTCCTCCACCGGAGTCTGAAGAGAGTGGGTCAGGCTCGTTTGCGTGATTTTGGTTCCGGTGACTTGATTCCAGAGGAGGCTAGTTTGCGAAATGTTGTGATGATGTGAGGCATTTCCTGTCGAGAGGCAATTGACAATGATACTGATTGCAGAATTCATTGGTAGATAAAGATGTGTAGATGGAGATATCTATACTAAACAGTTGATCACAGTATCTCCTTGTATAGGGTTTCAACAAAGGGGTTGGTGATGGACCGGTTCCTTTGAATGACACGATGGCCATGGCTGGTGGCGTCATATGCCACGGATCAGGGAGCCCCTCCCTAGGGCGAGCCATTGAAATCCTTCCACATTGCCAGGAGCCTATATGCACCGTCAGCCAGCGAGCTGCTGGGAGACATGCAGTGGACAGTGCAGTGGGTTCGCAGCGGGCCGACGGGAGGTGGTCTTGCTGACCCGCCTTCTATGAATACTACATAGGAGGCCTTCAGCACGTAATCAAATCGATGACTCGGACGTCCTCCGTGATAAATTGCGGAAAGGGCGGCATGGGAGGTCCTTGTCTGGAATATCTGTTTTACTGAGTGATGATGAAAAACAGGCCAGTACAGAGCCCTGGCTTTTGCGTTGCTAGAGTGGTGGGAACATTAGGGCTGTTCTTTCCATTCCTCAGGATACTCAAGGGGCGAGATAAAGATAGATCCGCTCCGATACCGGATGCGACTCCTTCCATTTCCCCCACCATTACAATGTCACCGAGATACCGACTGAAGATGCCATGTCGTAAGGCATCGATAGCAAGCAACCGAGAACGTCTCAGCTTGGCGCCTCGGACAATTTCCCAGGGGTTCCGAAAGATCAGTGGCTTAAGCTCTGTTGAAGGGCCGAAATGTTCCGGATGGGTGGGGTCGACCGCATGGCGTGATCGGCAACCCCGCCACGACCCTCAGGCCTCCCACCGGGATGCTTCTCACTTCTTACATACACAGTATACCTGCACCCAGTACATGCCCTCGCCATCATGACAGCCAATGATGATGATGAGGCCCCCCTCCTCAGAGACCCCCCGTTGCCAGTCTATGGCGGTCTTGAAGGGCCGCCACCCACCGCCCATCAGCCCTCCTTCAAACGGAATCTGGGCACAGCTGAAGCATTCAGCATCATAATCAGCATTGTCATCGGGAGCGGAATCTTTACCTCCCCTGGTGCCATTGACTCCAATGTTCCCTCGCCCGGGGCTGCCCTGATTGTTTGGCTCGCGGGTGGCATCCTGGCCTGGACAGGCGCCGCCACAATGGCTGAACTGGGCACCGCGATTCCCGGCGAAGGTCTGTATACAATGTCCATCATTACTCCCACTAGCAGCTTACTGATGTGCTGTAGGAGGAGTCCAACCTTATCTTCAATACATATTTGGTGATGTTTTCGGGTTTCTCGCCGCATGGACCTGGGTCATTGCCATCGTGCCGGCCTCCCTGGCCATTGCGAGTATCGTGTTTGTCGAGAGCATCTACTCGGCCGTTGGAGTGACTGACCGATCTGGCAAATTAACACACAAGGCTTTGGCCATGCTGGTGATAATTGTCATTGGAATGGCCAACTCAGTGAGTACGCAATTCACGACTTGCCTGAATAGATTCTTCGTCATGACCAAGTTCGCGGCCATCCTGGCAATCGTGACGGCCGCCTTTGGGGTCGTCTTATCCCATCTTGTCGGCTGGAATCAAACACCTCAACCAGAATCGCACGACTGGCTAACACGATCTTGGTTTGGCCCCCGCAACACAGTCACGCTCGATGGGAGCGAAATCGATTGGAGCAAGTTGAGTGGCTGGGAGACGCTCGGCCATTGTTCGGCAGCTCTGTATAGTGCCCTGTGGGCCTATTCCGGATGGGATAAGGTATGTAGTATCACGTCAACCCAGAAAGCAGTGTTGGAATGTAATCAATGGTCCAGGTCATTTATGTCAGCGCCGAACTGTCCGCACCGGCGCGCCAACTGCCACTGACTATCAACACCGCGATTCCTATCGTCATCCTCAGTTTCATCGCGGTGAATGTCGCGTATTACATTCTACTTCCATGGGGAGTCGTTTCCACGACTGATAGTGTAGCTGTGGTATGTTCTCCTTTCCCAACTAAGGTGAAATCATATGCTCACTAGATCCAGACCTCCTTCAGTCACCTACTAGGCCCAGTATTTGGCATCGCAGCGGCGGCTCTGATCTGCCTGGTTGTTGCTGGCTCATTACTAGGCTGCTCCTTTGTCGCAAGCCGCATGGTTGTCGCTGCGGCCAAGTCCGATTGGCTGCCTGGGTTCCTTGGCCGTATTGGATCAGTTTCCGGGCAATCGACCTCGACGGCGGATGCTCCGGTCAATGCAATTATCTTCAACACCGTCTGTACGGTGCTATACATTCTCTTCGGGAACTTCCGAGCATTGGTGACGTTTAATGGGCTGGCGGAGTACACTTTCTTCTTTCTTGCCATGGTCGGTGCGATTATTCTACGCATTCGCGAGCCACAGCTTCACAGGCCTTATAAGCCGTTCATATTCGCCCCCATATTGTTTAACTTGGTCAGTGGTTTGGTTGTCACGCGGGGGGCCATATTTGCCCCCATGCAGGCTGTTGTGCTCATTGGCGTCTGGGCGGTAGGATTAGGCTTCTACGGGGGCAGAAGGAAGTGGTTGCGAAGAGGCGGCAAAGCATCGTCACGCGCTTCTACTAGGCATTAGTAAGCAGCGCCTGCGTAATGCATGATGTGACAGTAGCCAATCTCTAATTCATACCTGATTCCTCAACCCCCCCAATGCTTGCGGCAATGCTACCATACTACCACTCCGATCAACCGTGGAAAAAAAGAACCTCAATTTCAGTTACCGACTGGACCGGAAGAGTTTAGCAAGCCGTGCGTGTACTAGATGCGGGCTTGTGGTTACTTACAACCTTTGCTTCATAGCGCCACTGCGTAGGAAAGAATTGACATGGCAACTACTTTCGTCATACATACATACATGGATGGCAATACACCACGGGGCGAAAGAGACGTGCCCCCAGCAAGATAGCCACATCCTAAGTCGCCTGACGCACGTCGGTACTGCCTCATAATCTGCTTGACGCGATCCAGAGGCATGGCCTCGACAGTATGTCCTTGGTGGCCCACTAGAGTCTCTGCCATACGAAGCGCGTTGTAAATTGCCTCCTCAACCACGTCGGCAGTCGCTTCAAACAGGTCATTAAGGGGCGAATCGTCCATGACTTCAATCGTCCTAGTCACGGGGCGGGGGTCGTTCTCGCTCTGGTTGACAGGAATCCTGTTGCCCGTTGAAAATGCAAGAAAGATATCACCCGATTGGGTGTGTCCCTGGCCACCCACACGAGCCAAGCCCACAGTTGCCCGCTTTGCGATGCGCTGTAGCTGGGAGGGATGCAGCGGTGCATCCGTTGCTAGTATCACAATGATGCTACCATCTTTTTTGAGCTTTGGCTCGCGCGACGTCCTCGTATATGGCCTGGCTAACTGGGTTTCCAGTAGCATCTTGGGCCAAGATCTGACCCACGGGCACTCCAGCAATGCGCAGATGTCGCAAGATGCCGTAGTTGGCCTGCACCAATGCCGCGACCGTGTAGGCTCCGAGGACGCGCCGACTACTGCTCCCAGTGCCCTCCTTGAGTCCATGGCAGATCATGCCTACCCCGCCACCCACATTGCCCTCTCGTACCGCCTCTCCACTTCGCACGTTTTCCAAGCCATGTACAATGTGCTCGGGCTTTACGGCAAAGGACGTGCAATTATGGAGGTACGCATCAAGCGTCTCACCCACGACGGGCAACACCAACCATCTTGGACTTGGCTGGCCGTCAACCCCGTCACCCTCCGCTTTGGCAGCATACTGATGGATGCCCTGGTGGGCCGCCCCGATTCCATAAGTCCCAGTAAGGACAATAGGCGAGGAGAGCAGCCCAGATTCTTGCAGATTATGAGCACCTGTCAGCTCCCCAGAGGCGTTGAAGCGAAAGATGCCTGCATAGCATGCGCTGGTGGCCCAATCTGCCCGTGGAATGATAGACGTGGCGCCGGTATTGACACCTCCAGACCCGAAAATCTCCTGGGTATGAACCATTACCCCGGGTACGTCGGTGATGGAATTCAATGGCCCAGGGGAGTATGTGCCCAGGTCAAGGCCGGGGAGGAGTTGGCGGATACGCATGCGCGGTGGCTCCTGGCCATCTGAGAGCTGGACGAGCATGGTAGGCGGACTGTCAGGGTGGTGATGATTCAGACAGGTCAATGTGGCAGAGAATCTGTGAGTATTTCAGAGTGGAAGGGCATAAATGAAATAGTGGTGCTTATCAGCGCTAGCATTCCCGCGAACAAAGAGATAAGAAAGTCAAACAAGCACGCAGTAGATGATAGGCATCAGCAATGCAATCTACTCCGATGTAACCTCACCAAACCCAATACAGTTAGCTACCATCACTCCATGATGACCTGACCACGTGCCGAACAACTGACCAATCAACGAAAGGAATAACGTATTTCACGGGTCGACCGACCGCACGGGTCATCCGACCGCCGCGTCAAAAAGTCATCGCGTGTTCGGCACCTCTCTATTCAACCAACCACCATGCCTCCAAATCGAAAGAAAAATCGTCAAGAATTAATTGAGCAAGAGGGCCGGATCCAACTTGCAATTAAATATTGAAAAGATGATAAAAAACGCAAAATTCGTCCAACGGCACGTGCCTACAATATCTCATACGGAACCCTCCGCGACCGCGTACAGGGAATTCAATTTCAATTAGAATACTGCAACCATAATCTTAAATTCTCTGAAATTCAAGAGGATACTCTAATACAGTGGATTCTATCGCGTGATTGGTGTGCAGTTGCTCCACGACCTGCTCAAGTATAAGAAATGGCAAATATAATCCTACAAACCGCAGACCCCTCCTCCTTTGACCCTGTTGGCGAGAACTGGATTACCACCTTTATACAACGCTGTGAAGAGATCAGCTATCGATTTACCAGAAAGTACGCTTATGAGAGAGCCAAATGTGAGGATTCAAAGCTTTTACAAGACTGGTTTATAACTCTACAAGATATACAGGCGGAGTTTGGAATATTAGATAAGGATATCTTCAACTTTGACGAAACGAGCTTTGTAATGGGAATAATTGTAATTATAAAGATCATGATGAGAGTTAACATGCCTGGTAAACCTCATCTTATACAGCCAGGCCAACGCGAATAAGTGACAATAATTGAGTATATTAATTCAATGGGGTGGAGTATTCCCTCCACCATAATTTTCAAGGGAAAAGTCTATATAGAAGGATGGTTTGGCGAATATATCCTCTCACGCGACTGGCGTATTGAATTATTGATAAATAGATAGACAAATGATAATATTGGTCTGTGGTGGCTTAAAGAGGTCTTCTTACCTGCTACAAATACTTGAAAAGTCGGCTGATATAGACTTCTTGTTCTTGACGGCTATGGGAGTCATTTAACGCCTGAATTTGACAAGCTTTGTGAAGATAATGAAGTTATTCCTGTCTGCATGCCTGCTCACTTATCCTACTTTTTGTAATCTCTTAATATTGGCTATTTTGGATCACTGAAGCGGGTGTATAGCTGTTTTGTTGAGTTAAGAATGTGACTTTCATATAATCATTGTTACAGACCCCTGCTAGCCAGGTTACTAGCAGAAGCGGACTCGTCAGGCAGAAAGGTAACGACCAGGAAGGACTCGGGCAGCCAGCAACTCTTATTGAGTAAGATCCCGGTTAGGGTAACACCTGAGGCAACGCTGTGTCACGTGACTATCTACTATCAGATCTACTATCAAGAATATATAATATGGTATATGGAATCCAGGAACATGATTAGATCAACCCTCAATCTATCCTAAATAATATATAAAATAGTATATGAAGAATAAGATATAAGGACGCTCTTTCATATACTTAGCTAGTTCTGTTCTTCGTGCTTAATCTAATTATCTTTAAGTAACCATATATTTTGGTAAAGCTTAGTGACAACACTCATCTGCACTTACTTACAGATAGCTGCGCGGCACTATCTGGCCTTACTTCTCTTCTTCTGTTCAAGATCAAGTCATCTTTAGATAGTCAACAACCTGACTACCTTTGATTCAGTTCACAAAGTATGTATCGGAAACGGGAGCTAAGCTAACAGGAACAGGAAGAAGCAATCCTAGGGTTTGACACATTGAGCACTAGTCAGTACAAGTGTTATCCAGTGATAATTAGTCATTATATTGACTATATCAAACACATCGCGTGCGCCTCAGCAGCAGGGCCCGATAACTAAGGAACTAATAGACATGGTTGATTAGCTATAAGAAAGCATCACGGCCTTAAAATAATAGAACCAGTTACTTGAAGGTTGCTTATCAGTCAAATCTGTTAAGATCCGACCACCTGAGCCATTTAACAGCAAACGAGCGCGGCTCAGAGCTTTCTTGACCCAGTTAGATCTGTATCTTAACATAAATAAAGAAAGACTTAGAAATAAGAAGGACAAGATCTTTTTCACATCTACTTACCTTACCAGAGCAGTATTTAATTAGTTTGAACCATACATCCGCGAGTGATAAGAAAAGTTAGTAAATAATCAGAATAATAATATAAAATAACTTTTTACTAGTTATACCAGATTTAAATAGTATCTTGAATAAATATTCAGAGATATTAATACAGCATAAAATACTGAGTAAAAATTATAATGATTTAAATAGATAGGATTAGTATTTATATATGTTTCAGAGTTTTAGCAGGTCATCAATCACCTGGATTAAGATGATAACACCTATATTTTATGATTTAAAGAAAGACTTAAGATAGAGATTCAAGAGAAAATCATTTAGCAAGAATAACCGGATATCTTGATCAAGATAATAGAAACAGCTGTAAAGATTAATAATAAGTTATATAACTTTAATATAAAATAATAAGAAGATTAGTAGACCAGCGGGTCTACATCTTAATATAATAATCAGCCAGATTACCGAGCCAATAACAGAAGGTCGGCACAACCTAGGAGCTTGGGATACAAAGATCCCTATGGGCTGAAACCCATGGAGCTAGATACAGCACAGCATCAGACTCAACAGACTCAAGTATCTAAGGAGGAACTCGAACAGTGCAAACAAGACTGCTTGTGCTTTAGCTGCGGCAAAGCAGGTTACTAGTTAAAGGACTGTAGTTAGAAATAGCCTCAGAAGTAATTAAGAGCTACAAACCAGGATCAAGGCAGAGGAGCCTATGATGTCACTGCTATTCAGCACGAAGTTTAGACAGAATCTGCAACACAGATATTAGATAATAAGAAGTTACATGTTATTTAGCATGGTCAGCTATCAGAGAACAGGATGTACTGTGATTAATTAAGATAACAGGCCATCCCGGATAAGTTAATAGTACTATCTAGTTAATAAGAGAATTAATGATTATCTGTACCATTAGTTTGGACTATAGAAGTCAATAATAATAATTATAAGCCAGTTCTGAGAAATGACTACCTCAGTATAGTTTAAAATAAAGACAAACTGTTAGATAAAGAATATAGTATACTGCTTAAAGGCCTTGAACCCAGTAAGAAGAGACTTAGCAAGATATCTGATATTCTTGAAAAACCTCTATCAGAAATTAGTAAACTCTGTCCATCGCAGTAAGACAAGGACAAGAAGAACTAGAAGAATGATTAAAAGAATGTTACTTATTAGTTAAACCACATTTTAAAAAAGATCTCAGAGAATCTAGCATGATTTTGCCTAGAGCTTAAGATGATTATACAGCATTGCTCACATTGGGATTTAAAATATTGAAAATCATAAAATGAGACTTGGAAGCAATATTTACAGAGATACTCTTATCATCCAGAAGTTTGCTTGATATATAGATAAGATAATATAGATTATTATTATTAATTATTAGAGATTAGTTAGAAGATAAACATTACTGGAACGGAGCCTTGATATGATAAACTATATTTATATATTTATTTTAAAAAAAGTAGAGATTATTAAAGATATGATAAACTTTCTTGGCTTGTATACTACATGAATATATACTTAATATATTATAATTAAAAGTATATTACTAACTACTAATCTAGAGTACCGGAAGTGGTTAAGACTAAGATAAGCTATTATTTATATAATATCTTTAATTATATATATAAAGAATACTAGAGATATCCTTACCACAGATTAATATATTAGCTGGCATGTTTTAATAATTAATATATAATATATTACGCAGTAAAGATAAAAGGCTCAAGGTTTCTAAGAAGATATTTATAGTAATTAGAATCTAACTAGCCAGAATAATAGTTAGCAGCCACAGAGTCAAGACTGTATCTAAAGATTTAAGCAGTCATATTAAATTAACCAGTCTAAGTATTAATAGATTTTAAAATAATCAGAAACTTCATACACCCGCAATTCATGTAATAGCTTGAGATACTTAGATAATAAAAAAAAGAATCTAAATTAATTATAGAATTAAATAAAGAGAATTTGGAAACTCTCGCGTTAATAATCAAGTCAAGAACTGTATTTATAATTATAAAGAATCACTACAAGCATATAGACTTTAACATGATATCTTTAAGATAGTATGATATTATATTAAGGATTTTATGGCTCAGAAATCATAATCCATAAATTGATTGAAAGACTGAGAGTCTCTAATTTATGAATTGTGATTGCCCAAGATAACACCAGCAAGGACCAGGTATAGGGTCTGGATCTGTACAGCCTGTTATTTAGTAAGGAGCTGAAGCAAGGATTAAGTAATCTAGTAAAGAAAGGTTAAGATTGCTATAAAAGCCTAACGCGCCAGGCATCAGAGGTAACTTAGAGGAAAATAGTATCTTAAGTATAGTTATATAAGTAATAATAATAATTAAGCTATTATAGAAAGATTGGTTTATAAAATTATCAGGATGGGCACTGATAATAACAGAAAAGTACTACAAGTACAGTATTAACAGTTCTGACACAGAGATCGAGATAATTATCCAGGGACTAGAAGATTTATGGAAACTTCTAACTGCAGTCAAGAATAACGCGCAGATTTTATCATAATATGAGTAATTTAAAGACTTGTTCAAGTAGCTAAAGTAACCTGAATTATCTCAGTACAGAAAGCATGACTATACTATTTCTATAAAAAAAAGAAAGTTACTAATATATAGAAAGATTTACCTGATATTTAAAAAAAAATTACAGATATTATAAGAATATATTGATAATTAATTGATTAAAGATAATATCAGGTCTTCGAAGTCACTAGCAGGATATAAAGTCTTATTTATACTAAAAAAGGATAATAGTTTATGACTATATATAGATTATTGGTTACTGAATACTATCATGATTAAGGATTAATATCTGTTATCTTTGATTTCGGAAATCTAAGATAAGATATGAGGAATAAAATAGTTTATTAAGCTTAATATTATAAATATATATTATTATATACGCATTACAGAAGATGAAGAATAAAAAACTATATTTAAAATAAAGTATAGATATTTTAAGTACTTGGTTACATTATTTGGGCTTACCAATGCACCAGCATTATTTTAATAATATATTA